GAAGTACAGATGCGGTGATATGTAAGTACAGCGTTCCTGGCATTGCACATCCATACCCAGTCAACTAACTACTGATAGCTCCACCAACACAAACACACTCATCCTCCAAGCTTCCGACGCTACTTGCTTTCTCCAGCGTCTTCATGACAAACAACCTCCAAATTATTCCCAGCCGCATCAATCACAAACGCGGCGTAGTAGTTCGGATGGTACTCCGCCCGGATACCCGGCTTCCCATTGTCCTTCGCCCCCTCCTGGAGCGCCAGCTCGTAGAACTTATCCACGACCTCTCGGTCTGGGAGTCCTCGTCAGCTCACCATACTCATATCCTTCAGCGACCTCAGCCATGCGGAAATCCACGTACTCTTGGTGGTAAAAGCAACATGTACCGTCATCGCGCTGGACTCGGTCGCCTTATCGTTGGCAGAGACCCAGAAGTCCGGGATCCCGTTCTCGCCCATGCCGATGGCGGTCTCGACAGGGCGCATGACCTCGACGTAGTTGAGCGGCGCGAGGACTTTGAGATAGAAGGCGACGAGCTCGTCGAACTTGACGCGTGGGACTTCGATGCCGACGTGGTCGATTGCCATGTTGATGAGGGGGAGTTGATGGCTTTTGAGCGCTGGTGGGGGTTGGGAAGCAATGGGTCTTTCAAGAGATGCACACTGTAGACAGCTGTTGTGCTACTGAACCGCTCTGCGCAGCGATCAGCCTGCTTTTATGGACTCTGTGTTCCAGGCATCAATAAGCTCCCCTCTCAAAAGAACAACATGGCCAAGTGAGGGGACGCGTAAGGCATCAGGCGATGGGCGCGAGGTCCCGTGACTTTGATAGACGAGTACGGGTTCCTGCCGTGTCCTATTGGCCAATCCTTGGGATCGGCTTGCATGCCGAGCTCCGTTACGAGTGACAGCAGGCGACGTCGACTGATACCGCGCGGTAAGCCGCGAGGCGGATGAGTCAAAGATCGGAGCTTGCGTGTTGTGGATCGCCTTGCCTTTGTTGACACGTCTAGGGAAATCAATCTATGTGTAGACGACAAGGGCCCTTGCAGAGCTCTTCGACCATCAGTCAAAGGCCGAGAATCAAACGCTGGTTCTAGTCTACAGAAACAATCTCAAGGCCGCCTCCAGCTGATGAACGTTGTAATAACTTCCTGTGTAAGAGATCTTGATTGTCGCTGCGTACATGGAAAGTAGTAAAACAAGGCGCACGAGTGCTCCCAAGAGCATCAGTCCTCCATGGTACCTTTCATCAACGTTCATTAGTAACGCCTTGCCGCTACAGCCAACGAGAACGGAGATGGATCTAGCTCGGGGAGCAGCGCGGATCAGAAGGCCTTGGACTGGATGCATTGAGACCGTGTACAATCCATCTCACCGTCTCCGCCCGTCCACATGCCTGCCGCAGGAGGCATCACAGCCGGAGAGTCTCTGGTTCTAGTCAATGTGCAAGAAACCGCCTCGGAATTGATTGTCTGTCATGTGCTTAGATACCGTCCCAGCAAGGCGAGTACAGGTGTTTGCGTCCGAGAGTGGCTGCATCACTAGCAGATCCGTATCTACCGGACTATGCGAACCCGCGTAACGAGGTAATGCACCTCGAGGATCCGTCCCGACGTATTGAGTTTAGCTGGTCCTCCGCATCGTGGGCTGCTGCCATCTGACAACAGGTATCGCGTTGGAACGAATCTGCGGATTCTGCGCAGGCGCGATAGTGCATCGTGTAGTGTGGAACTGAGGCAGCGTCGGCCAGTAGCGGAGTGTACAGCTACTTTCCCGCGAGCTTTGTTACCACGGTGAATATCAAAGAAGCCAGGGCGATGGTACCTCCCCACGCTCCGAAGATGCCGATGCCCAAGTCGCCGACTTTAGCAATGCAGAAAGCCAGGATACCAAAGATCACGCATGTGGCGAAGATGGAAGCCAACCACTCAATCGGCTCCGGAACCTTGAAGCCTTCCTCAAGGTACAGACCCCAACCACACGGGGGATTGCTGGGATCTGCTTGGAGCATCTCGAAAAGCTTCTTTGGGGTATTCTTGTAGACCAGATCCTGCCGCCCTTGGTCGTTGCGGCCCGATAGTGGTGCGTCCCTTGCAGCGTTCTCGGCGGAAACTTGCGTTGCCACGCTTTCGGCGGAAGGAAGATTCGCAGAATCCTGTTGCAGTTCGACTTCCTCGGTTGGCAGCAAAGGCCTTCTTTTCCATTGACAAAACTCGGTTACTTGAGCCCAAGCATTTTCCATCGCGTTACGGTACGCGGTTGCACTTTGGCGTAGTGACTCGGTAAGGAAACGAGTCACGGACGAAAATGTGTTCTTTACCTTGATCGATGCTTTGAAAGACCGAGTCTCGTGAGGGTGATTCCACAGATGAAGGAGCCATTCACTTGGTATCGGAGGCGGCTTGGGCTGCGGCATTGGGTCCCAGTGCTTCGTTCCGGTCAGGTCGTCAGCCGGACACCATTTCTCGTGCATGAGAGCCATATCGTCCAGGGTACGCATGTCGCACGTCAATTGAAACTTCCAGCGTTCAGCGTTTGCCTCGTACCTTAGGAAGTTGAGCCCTCACCTGCACGAATTTTATGTCCTTGACGCCTCGCCATGCGAACATAGCCCATAATTTGCCTTTGGATTGAATGTAATCTTGGCGAATCGTGCTGAAAAGGCTAATATCATCAAGAGCTTTTGGCATGTCAACGTGCGTAGCTTTACGTGCATGTGCATATCGATGAGTGCAAATTATCAGCCACTGAGGCGTAGGGTCGGGCTGTGTTCCGGAACCAGGAATATCAGTGGAGTCCTGCTGATCATCATCCGTAAGATTGGTTTGCTCTGTCGAATATGAGTCACCAGTTGAACTTCCTCCCCTTCGAGATGTGCCGGAAGTTGCGGTGTCGTCTGGTGAGGTTTCAGAAGATTGGTTGGGAGTGACAGGAACCGAGCCGGCGGCATGGGCTCGGCCGATTGACGCTGCATAGCCTGATGCTTTGAGCAGCTCATAGAGATACTGAGCGTCTTTTCTCTGATCGTCGAGAAAGTCTTTGTGAAAGCGCTGCCCGCAACTCTGCCAAAGCGTCAGTCACTGGAGTGCGAATCATGTGTATCCATGAGCTCTCAACGGTGAGTCTTGTGCATTAAACATACTAAGGTGGAGGTACTTACGCAAATCCACTGGACCTGCTCACCTCGTGGCGATGCCATGAGCTGCCTGAGGCTCAACCCGGAGGCGACCGACAAATACAATGCGGCACAGCATGCGAAGAGAATGCTCTTTCTAAAAGTGCGCGACAGTCTTGGCACAATGAGACAGCTTTCCGCCATTAACGTCTTTTCCCAGCTTTGACCAGCTAACCGAGTGGTGTTCATTAAATTCTCATCAAGCGCTAAAAGGCTGCACACGAACAACACGAGCAACGCGCGAGTCGTTTTTGAATAGGGAGCAAGAGCGATAATATCGTATATACAAAAACTCAACGAGGTAAGGAGATCTATCAGCATGTTAATGCACCTCAATGCGAAGATATTGCGAGGTCGGCTGACGTCCAAGCTCACAGATGATTTGTAAGAATCCTGCAAGAGAGTATTAGGGTATGGATTAGACTGTGATGGGCGGGCTAGACGGGCTGCCCGGGAGAGTCTGCTTAGGCGGCCGATTACAATCGTCTTGAGAGCGACAGGAACCACACGGACAACGCGAGTCGCAAATGCTTGGAGAATGGCCCCTGCCGCGCCCCTCATGGCTAAGAGAATCACTGCAAGAGCTATCGATATATCAAATATAAAAGCCCTCGAAGGAAGCAGGTGAACTCTCAGCAGTATGGAGAACTCGCTAGGATGCTCGGAGCGAAGCGCATGGGACGGGTCGGACAGGCTGACCCTTGGTGCTTTGATAGCATTCTCCGAGATAGCAGAGCTTGAGCGGCGGCAAGATATCTGGAGGGCGCTTTCTTCGTCGATGGTATCGCCCTCAGTATCCGGCACTTCTTCAGTACTGAAAAGCTGATCGAGGCAATCGAAGCACAATGGACCGTTCCAGCTGGCCGTCTCGAGAATCTCTTTTGTAGGATACGCTCGTAAGGGTAAGCGGGAACAAGCGCGAGAACCACAGCTCAGCAACACTGTTCTTTCCACGAGTCCTATGGGGTACCCCAGTGTTGTGCTTTGCTCCGCCCATTGGCTAAAAAGTTCGGCAACCACGCCTACAATAGGTCTTCTGTAGTATTGAGCCGGAATGCGTTTTAGTTTTTGGAGGGTTTGAGCTGCGCATGTCCGGCACAATGGAGGATGAGGAGCAGGTAAATACCGCAAATCAACGTTCTTATTCAGTCGATCTACCAAGAAGAACCAATAATACCGGAGCGGCAGCGGATGTTCGTGTAGTGATGTGCCTGCGCAACCAATCACAAACTTACGGCCCTGGGCAAAGGCATCACCGGGCAGTAGGTCTCGTAGCAGCGATTTGTAGGTCGCCTTGTACAGTTCAAGAAACGATAATATCGGGTAGTTGACGGTTACCGTCGGCCTGGATAGGTTGGCAGGGACATGACACGAATAAAGCGAAGCCCTATGAGTGCTTCTTCCCTCTTCTCTCCATTTGGGGACGACTTACAGCGAACCAGCATTGGTGCTTTTGTTCACCAAAGCTTTGAGAAGATGGTAGAGCTTGGCGGCACTACCAGTGTGCAGAGGGCTAGCCCCGCTCTGTGAAGAGGATTGGATGAGCAACATCCTCCATCGCATGATCGCACTCTAGGCTGAGATTACTCACGCGCAGCAGTGCTATCTGTAGGAGCCTGGGAAGTTCCCTAGTTAGTTCGGTGAGGTTTGCGGAATCCTCTGCTTGGTGAGCTATGGGCGGCGCCCTGCGCGGTACACGTAGTAGAACGTTCTTCCATTGACGAGCTCCACTGGTCCCCATATACCTGAGCTGATCGTGCTTGGAGTGATGGCGATATCGAATCCTGAAATCTGAGAGAGAGGTGATATCCATATAGGAGGCTTCCGTCGTGGACGAGCGTGAAGAAGCCTCAAAGGGTACAAGACGGTCTGTGCGGACCAGAGCTGAACCATGCACCGTCGGAGGAGCTGGAGGAAGTCGATCGTCCGGTTCCTGCTCAGGTTGACCATTCCCGTCGTCGTGATAGCGACAGGATCGCCCGTCTGTAGGGGAGCGGATCCATGCGGAAGACGTGTTCTCCATGGCCGCAACCGCTCTGGTTCAGGTAAACCCTTCGCACAGTGCAGGCGTAATTAATGTACAGAACAGGCGATGGACTGCGTTGAGAAAAGCTGGGATGATTCAAGGCAAGAGGTTGACAACTTCAAAATCAGGCAGACAACAAACGCAGACGTTAAGCAGCTGGAAGGAAAAGGCAGGAGAGAAAACTTGGTTCAAAGGTCGAGTTATATCAACTCCGCTTTGCTCTACCAGCGTCGAACAGCCAACCAACCATGGAGAGGGGAAGAATGAACAAGGAAATTGTGGATTGGCATCTGACCGTCAGCACACCGGAAGGCTTGGTACTGTAAGGCAGGCACCAATACCTATCTTGATACTAAGCCAAGCTGCGGCTGAGTTCCACATCTTCGGTCAGCCGGCTTGATCTATACCTTCTACAGACTCGTGTATTGTACAGTACAGTGCAGCATGGACCGTCGCATGCTACACAAACCAAGGCTTCGAGGCCGCATACCGCCCAAAGAAGTCAAGTATTCTGCTCAAGGCCATACTATATCGACGACTAGATTATGAAGCATGCTACGATATTGTTAACCTCAAGCCAAACCGTAGGTACCGGTACCTGCAGGTGGGCGGAGTAAATATTTCTCCGTTAGGCTCAAAACCGAGGACCCTTGGTCTTGTGATCCAATCAGGCATGTCAAGAAATCGATAAGCGCTTGTCCTCCAACGTAAGACTAATACTCGAGAGGGGAGTGTTGTATGGGACTGACAGGCCGCATTTCGGGGCATCAAATGCTATCGCGAGCTATCAGAAGGCACTACATCTTCGGAAGTAAGACCACAAGTAAGTCAATCTCCCAATACTCCCTCATATCTTCCACCCTCCCTTCCCAAGCCACCCCACTACCAGCAACTCACCACCCCTTCCCAGCAAACCTTCGAACAATGTACTCCAAAGCCGCCGCCTCCGCCGCTCCTGCCCCATCATCCACTTCCAATGGCCAAAACAACTGGGCCACGGACACCCCCGGCCCCGCCTCCTTCGATTTCCGCTCCGACGTCGTCACGACCCCAACAGCCAACATGCTCCGCGCGATCTCGCAATGCACGCTCCTCGACGACGTCTTCGTCGAAGACCCGACCACCAAGTCCCTAGAATCCTTCATCGCGTCCCTAACGGGCCACCCCGCAGCACTTCTCGTGCTCAGCGGTACAATGGGGAACCAAGTCGCGCTGCGCGCACACTTGCAGGGGCCGCCACATAGCGTGCTGTGTGACCACCGCGCACATATCCTGGAGTGGGAGGCGGGCGGCGTGGCGAGTCTGTGCGGTGCATTGGTCAAGGGGGTCGTGCCGCGCAATGGACATCATTTGACGCTGGAGGATGTGGTGAAGAACGCTGTTGTGTCGGAGGACGTGCATGCGTGTCCGACGCGGGTGATTAGTTTGGAGAACACGCTTGGGGGGACGGTTTTGCCGCTTGAGGAGTGTCGGCGCATTGCGGCTTGGGCGAGGGAGCGCGGTATTATCATGCATTTGGATGGGGCGAGGTTGTGGGAGGCTGTTGTTGCAGGTGCGGGAAAGCTGGAGGAATATTGTGACTGCTTCGATAGTGTGAGTCTTTGCTTTAGCAAGGGGCTTGGCGCGCCGATCGGATCTATTATCGTTGGCCCTGAGGCCTTCATCAAGCGGTCGAGGTGGATACGAAAGAGTATTGGTGGTGGACTACGGCAGGCCGGTGTCGTGTCTGCTGCCGCGAGAGTGGGTGTCGAGGAGACTTTCCTGGGCGGCAAGCTGGAGCAGAGTCACAAAAACGCGAAGAGGGTGGCCAAAATGTGGCAGGATCTCGGTGGCAAGCTGCAGTATCCTGTCGAGACGAACATGGTCTGGCTGGACATCGAAGACGCGAGCATCGATGAAGATCGGCTGATTGAAGCAGCCGAGAAGGTGGGTCTACGGATGATGGGCGGCAGACTAGTGGTGCACTATCAGGTCTCTGATGAGGCTTTGCAGAGACTGGAGGGTCTGATGAAAGAGGTTTTAGGCAAAGGGCGTTCGAATGGCGTGCCAAACGGAGAAGTATCAATACCAGCCGAAGATATGAAGATCAACGTTGAATGAGCTGAGTAGAAGACCCTTTTGTTCTACAGCAAGCTCAAGCCACACCACTGATTATAAGCTGTGTCGCTTTTGCCGGCAGTGACTGTTAATCTCCGGGAAGATATAGCTCAGCTCAAAGCATAAGAGCGGGAAAGACGAGGCGACCACTTGGACCCCTAAGCAGACCGACGCGCCCAGAAACAAATCTTTTACCGACTTACCAGTCCTAGATCGCCATGTATCGCCCTGTCCTTGTGGATTCATATTAACAGCGCGGCCTCGCGCTCCCGCCAAATCGCTTTATTCAATATGCGGCTACATCTTACAGTTTCCCTGCTAGTCACCGCCTCTTTTCTACCGCCTCTCTTAGCCTTGCGATGACCTCGCTCGGATTTTTCGCGCCAAAAACTGCGCTTCCAGCCACTATGACGTTTGCGCCTGCGTCAGCAGCTTGGTCAATCGTCTTCGCTGACAGACCGCCATCGACCTCAATGTTCATCTCTGGGTATCTTTTCCTCAAATCCTTGACTTTTGGCATCATATCCGCCATGAAAGATTGCCCGCCAAAGCCCGGCTCCACCGTCATGACCAGCACCATATCCGGCACCTCTTCCTTAGTCCCACTATCCAAGATAGGATACAGCACATCCACCGGCGTCTTCGGCTTAATCGCAATCCCCGCCCTCAGCCCCTGCTCATGTATAAATCTGATCAACTTCGCCGGACTCGTCTTCTCCTCTGTCTGCCCACTCGGACTATCCGCCGCCGTGCTCTGCAGCGCCGCCTCGTAGTGGAAGCAATACAGGTCGCAGCCCGCCTTCTTGAACTCCTTGACCCAGCGGTGCGGCTCCGCGATCATCATGTGGCAGTCGAAGGTGCCGCGGTCGAAAGCTGAGCTGGGCTTCTCGACGTGCGGCCGTATCATGGTTACTACGGGCGCGCCGAAGGTCATATTGGGCACGAAGTGGCCGTCCATTATGTCGATGTGGAGCCAGTCAGCGCCTTGCGACATGGTGTCTGAGCAGGCCTTGCCGAGGGCGCCGAAGTCGGCGGAGAGGATAGAGGGGGCGATTATTGGGGGTGGAGACATTGCGGCGAGGATGGAGATCGTCAAGCTTGTAGTGAAGCTGGTGTTACGACTGAGAGGTTAAGGACGAAACGACGGGTTATCGATGGCTGAATTGATTGATCAAAGACTGGCGTGGAGGCGGTATGCGAAATGGCACCTAATTAGGCGGATGGAGGCTCGACTGAAGAGGTGTTGACGATGGCCGTTGGATGTTTTATAGGGTGACGTTGAGCGAACCATGGCGGGGCATGGTGGGGCTGATGTCAGGCTCCTCGAGCATAAACTCACCTCCTTAAGCCATCCCTTTTCTGCCAGATTCATCTCCTTCTCCTCGATGGTTAAACATTGTCGCCGGTATAACTGTGCCTTGACTTTGTTTCTACGAGTTATGGAGACCTCTATTGAAGCGGATGGATAAACCAATCAACATTCGATAAGATGGACGACTGACTTTCCGATGCGGTAAGGGATGGGCTTTTGCAAATGACGCACAAATCGCGTGTGCCACAACATGGGATTTCACGAGTATGCCAATCTGAGCACCTTCAGTCCGCCTGCGCTCTTTGTAGTCCTCGAAGTTTGAATATCAGAGTCAAGCGCTCTACTTTCTTCACGTCTCCAAGCAGATCACTGCGCATTGATCAGGTTTCCAACACCTAAAGATGCCACCGTACGTCCTTCGCACTGCGCTGCTACGCGGCCACCTTGCTCTCCCCATACCTTCGGCCATGCGTGTGCGATATACTCATCGCAGACCTAGTACCCTACCTATCTTCTCTCTTGAGGGGAAGGTCTGCGTCGGTAAGCTTGGTATCCGGGGTTTCTCAATTGTACATCTGACTAACACGTCTGTCGTGCAGTCACTGGGTGCGCTGGTGCACAACGCGGACCTGGAATGTCGTAGCTGTGAGCTCACACGTGTCTGTTCAGCGCCTCCCAAGGCCTCGGCCAACAGATCCTCGCCGCATTCGCCCGCTCAGGTGCCCACGGCGCCGTTGTCGATCTTGAACTCGATTCTGCGAAACACTCCGTCGAAGGCATGCAGGCCGAAGTCAAAGAAGCCGGTCTCCCCGAAGCAAATCTCCGTCCCTACGAGTGCGACACGTCGGACGAACAAGCCGTCAAGTCCACCTTCAAGCAGATCGTGCAGGATTCGGAAAGGTAGATGTACTCGTGACGAATGCTGGCATCACGGGAGGCAGCCCGGCGGAGGAATACTCGTACGAAGATTGGAAGAAAATGCTGGAGGTAAACATCGATGGGACGTTTCTGTTCGCGAGAGAGACGGGGAAGCATATGATTGAGAAGGGAATCAAGGGTGCAATCATCATGGTTAGCAGTATGTCGGGGCGGATTGTGAATAAGCCGCAGAAGCAGAGCGCGTACAACACGGTAGGTCGTCTTCGTCTCATTCTGATCAATGTGAAAGACATTCGACAGGGCCACCAACAATGAACCGTAGCTAACGCAGTGGCATCCGACAGTCGAAAGCAGCAGTGGCACATCTGATGAAGTCTCTTGCTTCAGAGTGGGGAGAGCACGGCATCCGCGTCAACGCCATGTCGCCCGGCTACATCGACACACCGGCGAACCAGGACGAAGAGATGAAGGAGCTGAGCAAGGAGTGGTTGAAGATGATTCCCTTGGGACGGATTGCGAAGCCGGAAGAGTTCAGAGGAACGGCGGTATGGCTGGCGAGCGATGCAAGCAGCTATGTGACGGGCTCTGAGATCATCGTAGATGGCGGGTATACAATCTGGTGATGCAGCTGGTGAGGATGACATGTGCATCGGAGGAGAGAGGAAGCTGGACTTGGGCCGGGTTGCATGGACAAGTCCTCGAGAGCGCCCAAGAGCCAGCCAAAATGAATGTTGCCTTAGCCTTGGCCTTCGATAGCACGCAAGGCGTCTAACACAGTTCGGCGAGCTACATCATAGCAAAGCACTGAGACGAACGGATCAGTGATCTGCAAATCTAGGCAGTATCATAGAAATACGGTAGATTCGGGTTCGATGTGTTCCTGCATCGCTGAGGTTTAGACGTTGTTGATTGGCCAGCCCCGAAGCCTGTCGGTTGTCAGTGCGAGCCGCCACCATTCCCTGGCTTCGCCCAAATCCAGCGCTTCGCACGGCCACGTCTGCATCTCCATCCAATTGAACGCGTCTCTCTGCGCTCCCCTCCAAACTTAGATGCACCCACTTCTCAACGGCTAGCGGCGCGTCGCTGGACATGCTGCAATGGTAACAGTGCTGCTTGGAGTTTGCAGCGAGCAGCCAACCACATCACAGCCAGCAAGCTAGACATGCCTTGGTCCGCAAATTCATCCGACAGAACCCAGAACAGGATCCCGCGGAGCCGCCTGTCACTCGCTGGTCCTCTCCTCAGTGGATGAGATGCAGCAGACTGCGTACCCAATAAGCCACGAGTGTACCAGCGGAAGCATGCCAAACTTCAAGGGCCAATTTAAACCGACCCTCGCCCCGCGCCCCCATTCGTAGCTGTTGTACATTCCAAGTCACTCACTTCGTTGTCATTTGCGTTCTTCAAGTCTTCGTAGATCGAAGCATTTTTGTCCCTCGAGACCGTTGATCGGCTTTGTATATTCTATCTAATAAATCTTTGCTGTCGCATTCTTCCCTACATCGCTATTTCGTCGCCCACAAAGTCTCAGCGATCTGGCATCGTCTACAGCTTGACTTAACACCGACGAAATGGATTCTTACATGCTTCCAGCAACCGTCTACAACCCAAACTGTCCAGTCACTACCTACATTGCATCTCCGCTGGCCCGGAGAGACACCCTAAACACCATCATCGAAGATGAGCCCCAGATTGACATGGAGTACTTCCCGGTGCCACCACTCCCAATGAGGGCGACCATGCTGTCTCCCACATACAGCGAAGATTTCCCCACCCCTAGAGCGCAGGATAGCCTACTAGCATTGTACGAGCACACTCCGGTATCGCCAGCGTCAGATATGTCTGAGTCGGCGCCATGGAGAAAGAGCAGGGAAGACCCCGAGTTTGACGACCTCTACGACGTTACGGACAGCGAGACTGAGGACGTTCCTCTGACATGCTCGAACTCGGTCAAGAAGATTTCGGCCCACAGCAGCCAAGCATCCAGCGCCCGTACAAGCAGGAGCCGGTACCCGTCCCTCGTCATCCCGTCTCCGTCGGCTTGGCCAACGATCGAGAAGCTGAAGACAAGCGCTTTCTCGCCAATGCAACCTACACCAATCATGCAGGTTGCGCCAAAGCGTGAATTTCTGTCCATGCTTGCAGCTCGAAATCTGCAAGTGCCGGCTAGGAGCGCTACACCCTCTCTTGATGGGAGCATGACCTCAGACGAGCTGGACAAGCTTAGTTGCCCGTCGACTCCTGACATTGAGCGCCAGGCGGAAAAGCAAGGCGATTGGGCAGGTCCCGTGCAGCTTCATCCTGATGCCATGGAGACGTTGCATCACCTATCTATGGAGGATCCCCATGAACAGGCCGTCAATCAGATCCTCGAGGCTTCCGACGCTGAGATGCAACAGCTGTCGGGGGGTCACCCACACAACAGCATCGACATTCTTGTTACCCCTGTTGACGAGGATGACGACGACTGCGTGTCGGCTCTCTCTGTACCTTCGCCTGGTGGCTTCTTCTCTTCCCTACGGAATTCTGCACGGAAGACCTGGTGGAGAAGGCCTGGTGAAGACAGCCTTCCAACGACCAGCATCGCAGAGAATTTCTACGGCGTGCCCTGGGAGACTCGACCAGACAACCCGGTCGAGCACATCGTGGAGGTTGCGCCGCCAGTCTCGGAGGTTCTCTCTGAAGACCCGGCAACCGCCCGTCAGCTGTTCTCACCTGAGGTTGCGGAAGTTATGGAGATCAAGCCGAGCGAGACCAAGTATGAGTACAACGAGAACTACCATCAGGAGCTCGAAAAGATGGCTTCCCTCAACATCGATCGAACAGGGCTTTGGCTGTCAGCGCAGGAGACCTATTCCGCTTCGCCCCAAGAAACCGAGACGATGTCTATCGGCAGCGTGATGAGCCCGATTACGAAGACTCACAGCCGCGAAAGCTCGCTCGAGCAGTCAATCCGCTCACCGTTCAAGAAATCGGTACGCTTCGCTGAAGATGGGGTTAAGTCACCCTCAGTCGCATCGAACGAGCCAATCTCACCCAAGGAGTCGACCTTCCTTGAGGGCTTCCAGTACATGCGTGAGCGCTCGCACAAGTCTGATGCGTTTGTCCACCGCCAAACACGTGCCGAGGCGGTCCACATCCAGCGACGCTGCATGCCCCAAGCTCACCGAGACCAGCTTCTGGGACGGTACGAACTTAACAACCCGCTCCAGGCGGCCCGTCGGCCCATCTCGCATTGGTTTCCTGAGGAAGCTAGCGAAGAGAAGGAGCTGGTCGCAAAAGTCCAGAAGGAGCGTCAAGCTCTAGAGCTAATGGCGCCCGCGCACTGGACTCTCGAAGCGGCAAAATTCCTGAACGGCGGCCGTCTCCTTTGCAAAGCCGCCCACCAGCAAATCTCCCGCAACCGCACAGGCAGCGCCCGGATCCTCGATCTCGGCGGCCAAGCCTCCTGCGACTGGGCCTGGCAAACCGCGCTCGACTACTCCAACGCCTCCGTCATCACCGCCTCAACCACCTTCCAACCCACGGACATCTTCATCAAGAGCCCCGAGAACCACCGGCAGGTGACCGTGCCGAACCTCTGGACGCTTCCCTTCCCGAAAAACCACTTCGACGTCATCTCCGCGCGGTCTCTGCACACCTTCCTCAAGATCCGCAAGCCGGCCGGCAAGGGCCAGGACGAGTACGATCTGTGTCTCCAGGAGTGCCTGCGCTGCCTTAAGCCGGGTGGGTTCCTGGAGTTCGAGATGCTGGATGCGGATATCTTGCATGCGGGCACCCAGGCCTCGGCCATGTCGGTCGAGTTTGGGTTCAATCTTAAGACGAGGGGGTATGACCCCGCGCCGACGAAGTCGTTTGTTTCGAGGCTGAGCAAGGCGGGATTTGGGGGTGTTAAGCGCGCGTGGATGGTTCTGCCCATGGCGAGCACGGGCGCGAAGTGGACGGATAAGGTGGATGCGAGGGTTGAGAAGAGCATTGGTGCTGATGGTGAGGTGGAGGAGGTTAGCATGGGCACTTCGAAGGATGCGGCTGCTATGGCTGGCTTGGTGGGAAGTTGGGCGTGGGAGAAGTGGTTGTTGAAGCTGCAGATGGAGATGGGGAAGGAGGAGGAGAGGCTGCTGGAGGGCGTTGCGGCGGCGTTGGAGGAGGGCGCGAAGCAGGGGAGTGCGTGGAGGTGCTTGAGTGGGTGGGCGAGGAAGGGGATGTGAGGGTGTTCAGGGGAGGTGACGGAGGTAGATGAAGGGGATGTGGTGATGCGATCATAAAGCACAAATAGGGGACTTAGAAACATGATGAGCTCTGTGGCCTTACTCTTGATCCCCAAGTGACATGATGGAAAGTTTCTTTATGCCGCGACTTCAGGACCTAAATTCACACGAAACTGCTCTCTCGACTTTCCTGGTACCAGACGAAATCCGTCACCACGCCAAGCCTCGAGATCCAAACTCTGGTGTTGCAAATCACTCCACGACTCTGACCTACAAACCTCCGCAACACTCTGCGCTCCGGCCCTTGCTACGAAGATGCTATTCTTTAGGTACGCCATCCCTCCTAAAAGCTATGAATCGCTTCTTCACGCCGTTTCTCTTGCCCCTCACTGCCGCAACCATCCATTCAGAGCACCTTCACTCTACCCACCTTCAAGTCCGCCCACTATCGCACTTCCTGCGCAACCTACCCCTCCCCACACCCTCCTTTCTTCACCAGCTCTCTCAGCACCCCAGCTGACCACTGGTCTTCTGCAACAGCTTCTTCAAAACCCTCGTCGACCACGAAGTAACCGTCGAGCTCAAGAACGACATCTCGATCCGCGGTACGCTCAAGAGCGTGGACCAGTACCTCAACATCAAGCTCGACGATATCAGCGTCGTGGAGGAGATAAGGTATCCGCATTTGGTACGTTGCTCGGATTGAGCCTTTTAGGGATCATGGTGGGGGCATGAGGACAAGGCATGGGGCATAGGCTTAGGGGATAGCATGATGGGGTGCTTGGGGGGACGCGGCATGATAAGGCTGGGTGAGAAGGATGGAATACGGATTGGACATGGAGGTTGCGGTTCAGGGTACAGAGGCTAATGTGTTTGGGTGGTGGTAGAGCTCGGTCAAGAATGTCTTTATCAGAGGCAGTGTGGTGAGGTATGTCCACCTGCCTGGCGCGGCCGTGGATACGGCTCTGTTGGAGGATGCTACCAGGAGAGGTATACCTCACTGAAGCTTTGAAGACGCTGGAAGGGTGGCCAGCTGACATTTCTATTTAGAAGCTGCTCAGGCAAGCGCCAAGGCGAAGCAGGGATGAATGCAGCTTGCCGCTCGTCGACAGCTCGCTATGGAGCGTGGAGTCGCCGGTCTGATCCCGAAGCAACCTATGGGCCAATTCTAAACTCTGCCTGCGGATCCTGGACTTGGATATAACTAGGTGGGATATGGGTACCAAGGAGCAGAGGTTGAAAATCGGAAGTCACAAGCGAAGCCGGGGTCAAAGCAGTCACTAGGCGTCTTATACGTCTTTATACAAAGTTCTGGTTTCCTTTCGTATCTTGAAAGCCATACTTGAAATTCCCTTTGCTGAGTGATATCACCTGCTCGCGCGCAAGCGAGTCTTGACCGACGCGACTCGGAAACCTGCACACCTCCACCAAGGCAACACCAGCCCTACAACCCATCCGCCTTGACCAAGTTATGCGGAATCCCCTCCAATGTTCCGCAATCCCCGCGAAAACACAACCCTCCCCACAACCTCCAAGCTCAAGCCCTCAGCAGGCCGGCCCCCATCGCCATCGCCACCCTCGCCAAGCCCGTCAACCTCAAGCTCCAGACACAATCCCGCCTCCACCACAAACGCACCTTCGCCCAAACCTTTGAAGCCGATGGCCACGAGAACCATGCCCACAAAATCACCGGCCTCCCGCACGAAACCTCAACAATCCACGCTCGCACCGACCAAAGGCTCGAAGAAGAACGCCACCGCGCTGGGCAGTAGCAACGGCAATGCGGGAGCTAAGCCCAAGGGGAAGCCGAATGGGAGTATCCTGAGCTTCTTCAAGAAGGCGGAGCAGGTCGAGCAGGGCTTGTTTATGGAGGGGAAGGCGCCGGGGCTGGGACCGGGACCGGTGAGTAGTGCGGGCATCGAGCGCGAGGAGGTGGGATGGGATGAGGAAGAGCTAGGTGTGGGTATGGAGGAGGGTGGCGACAAGTTTAATGAGAGCGGGGGAAGCGTGAAGAGGCGGCGGTTGGAACCTGCTGCTGCGCAGGTGGTTGAGGTATTGGAGGGCGCATGTACGCCGCCTCCGCCCGATTTTGCGGAGGAGCCGGTTCACGAAGCTCAGGCGGGCGAGGAAGATACTGCAGTAGCTGTTGGCAGGGCGAAACAGGAGAGCAGCAAGCGTATGGGACCCTTTATAGAGAATTCGGATAGCGAAGACGATGGGCTTGCGCCGAGTGAAGGTTTATCTAGAGTTAGGTTGCCCCCCAAGGACGACCCACCATATCAGGAAGATGTAAGCACAACTACCATACCCGTCAAAGAGGAGGATACCGAAGACAGTACCCCCGGATCGATATCCAAGGCTCCTTCTCTGAAGCGTGAAGGCACGAGCCGTACGAATGGCGACGGATTCGAAGACTTTGAGGACTATGGAGAATTCGAAGACGAAGATTTCCTTGAAGGTGAGGAGTTCGATGAGCGGCGGTGGATGAAAGAACAGAGGCGGCTTGAGATGGCTGAGGGCGGATTAGAAGGAGACATGGACGAGTTCGGGGAAGGTGACGCGGACGAGAGCCCGCGGACTCAGGAAAGGCAAATTGCTGGCGAAACTGGCCTCATGTCGAATACAAGTGTCTCATCTTGTCCGATATGTAATGCCGGCTTGGGAGGGCTCAGCGATCAAGAGGCCTCAGTCCATGTCAACGGCTGTCTTGACGGGAATCCAATTCCACTGCCAGATCCAATCTCTAGTGGTTCAGCGCCGCCTGAGAGAACCAGCAACAGCAGAAGACCTCAACGAGCTGCAAGACCAGCCAAACCCGGACAGGAGAACCCCTTCACGTTGGGACACTCAAGCGCGGGACCTTCCTCAGCCTTCTCAAAACTCATGTCAGGTCACGCCGAAGACATCGCTTGGGCTTCTGCGGCAGCAGCGGAACATGCTTCTCGAGGCAAGCCGGCGTATCAGCGGACATGTCCCTTCTACAAGATCTTACCCGGCTTCTTCATCTGCGTCGATGCTTTCCGTTACGGAGCCGTCAAGGGGTGCCAGGCATACTTCCTCAGTCACTTCCATAGTGATCATTACATCGGCCTCACGTCTTCCTGGTGCCATGGGCCCATCTACTGTAGTCGCGTTACAGCCAACTTGGTCAGACAGCAGCTGCGGGTGGATCCAAAATGGGTCGTGGATCTGGAGTTCGAGAAGACAGTCGACGTTCCAGGGACAAAAGGCGTGCAGGTCACCATGATACCAGCGAACCATTGTCCCGGTAGCTCACTCTACCTCTTTGAGAAAGTCATCGGACAGGGCCAGAATCCGAAAAAGCAGCGAGTACTGCACTGCGGAGACTTCAGAGCATGCCGTGCGCACGTTGAGCATCCCTTGCTGCGGCCTGAGGTGATGGATGCGCTTACTCGGAAGAACGTACAGCAGAAGATTGATGTTTGCTATCTGGATACTACTTATCTCAACCCCAAGTATGCCTTTCCAAGCCAGGAAGAAGTCATCAAAGCCTGCGCCGACATGTGTGTATCCCTCAATAAAGTCCGGACAGACGAATCGGACGGCTGGGAGCAGATGAAGCGCGAGCGTGCAGGCGAAGGCATGGTCAAGTTCGTGCAGAAAGGCTCAGAAATCAAACAAGAGGACGATGTCGACGCACCCTCCAGCACAATCACTCTACCACCATCCACCAGCCCAAACAAACCCCGCGGCCGCCTCCTCGTCGTAGTCGGCACCTACAGCATCGGCAAAGAGCGCATCTGTCTCGGCATAGCACGCGCCCTGAACAGCAAGATCTACGCTCCGCCCGCCAAACTGCGCATTTGCTCCTGTCTTGAAGACCCCGAACTAAACGCCCGCCTGACCTCCAACCCGCACGAAGCACAGGTCCACATGACGCCCTTGTTCGAGATCCGTGGCGAGACGCTCGACGACTACCTCAAAGACTATCGCGAGACCTTCAGCCGCGCCGTCGGCTTCCGTCCCAGCGGCTGGAACTACAGACCGCCCAACAGCCGCTTCGTCGAGAGCCCGGCCGTGCAGACGGTGCTGCACTCCGCGAACTGGAAGAGCAGTTATAGTATGCGGGATCTGCAGCCGCAGCGGGGCAGCACGGGGCGCTCGAGCTGTTTTGGAGTTCCGTATAGTGAGCATAGCAGCTTTAGGGAGCTAACGATGTTTTGTTGTGCGTTGAGGATCGAGAAAGTCATCCCGACGGTGAATGTGGGGAGTGCGAAGAGTAGGGAGAGGATGAAGGGGTGGTGTGATAAGTGGGCGGTGGAGAAGAGGAAGAATGGACTGTTTAGGCCGGAGGAGGGGCGGTGAGCATTAGTTATAGCGGCGGTGTGCAGTGATTATTGTTATATCTCTTTGTTTATTGCAGCTTACAAGCCGGACGAACTCCAACCGATTGGAAGGCTGTCAGCCTGCAGTCTATAGTCTTCGTAACAAGAAAGGCGGTGCCTTCAAGGCCTTCCTGGATGTCAATATCACATATCCGCAGTATGACAACAGTATCGATCTCCATGTCGGAGATCTCAGTATTGACGCTCTTCAACCATGATGCTGCTTCCATCGGCGACGTGTCTACAAGAACTTCCGAGCGAATATGCTGATGCTCTCGGCCAAAGCTCTCATGATTGCGTCCTCAGTGCGCCTCCAAATGCCCAGCAACCCCTCTACTCAAGCGCATAGATCCCATTACTCCACCCCACCTCCCCACTCCCCATCTCCTCCTCCTCAGCCAGTCAAAACTCAAACTCGCCCCTAAATCTCTCAACATCCATGCCCGGTCCCACCAACTCCCCCAGATCCCTCCTCCCCATCTGACTAAACACCCTCCTGAGCGTATCATACAGGTTCGTGCTCTGATTCTGCTGAATCATCCTATCCAACTCCCTGTCATCGATCCCGTCCCCGACAACCTCCTTCGCCCGCGCCCGCCCGCTCGACTCGATCACCTTGTGCATCGCGAGCGCGCCGAGCAGGTGCTGTGCCGCCTCCTCGAAACACCCGATGTTGATGCAGGAGACGCCGAGGTTGTAGCGCGCACGCACGAAGTTGGGCCGGAGCGCCAGCGCGCGCTCGTATGCATCTATCGCCTCCTCGCTCCTTCCGCTGTTCGCCAGCGTAGCCCCGAGCCGGTTCCAGAGGAGGTGCAGCTGGGAGCGCTGGTTCGTGGTCCCGGACTCGGTGGACGCGAGGGCCGCGCCGAAACAGTCGACGGCCTTGTCGTACTCTTCTGCGCCGTAGAAAAGCACGCCGAGCCCGACTTGCACATCGGGGTCCATGTGGTCGCCGCTTGGTGAGAGCTGCGCGGCTTCGATGAAGAGGTTGGTCACTTTCTCGTGCAGGGCGTGGCGGTCGGTGAAGCCGATGTCTGCGGCGGAGGAGAGGGGCTCGTTGGCGGGGAGGAGGGTCGGGTACTTGGTTGCGAGCCAGCGCTCTAGCGTGCGGTAGGCGGTGCTGTCGTAGCCTTCGTTTGTGTAGGATACCGCGAGGCCCATGAGAGCTTCGAGGTTCGAGGGGTCGAGTTTGAGGGCCTGCTCCAGAGCGCGGATCGCGGGAGATTCTTTCTCGTTTTGGGCTTGCGCGGCGCCGAGCTTGGTCCAGGCGGTTATGTGTTCCGGGTCTTTTTGCACGGCGGCTTCGAAGGCGAGGGCCGCGAGCGAGAGGTTCCCGCCTTCGTCCATGATGCGCATGCCTTCGCTGAAGGGGTCTGCGACGTCTTTGAAAAGGTTCTCTTCTTCGAAGAGATAGTCGCCGAGCTGGGGATCACGGAAGCCGGAGTGTGTGTTCAGCCCGTCGAAGCCTTCCCATTGGTCCAGATCGCCCATGTGCATGCCCTGGCCGAAGTTCTCCTCCTCGACAAGGTGTCTAGCGTTCGCCGTCTCAGCTTGAATGCCCCGCCAGATGCTCTCAAAGTCGCCAAAGTGGTCTGTCTCGGAGAGGAGGTCGGGCTCTACTGACCTGTCCATGTCGTTCAGCTCCGCCTCCATTGCCGCGTTCGCTTCTGCGTCCAGCACGTCCTGGCTCGCCTGGTCGCCGTGCTCGAGCTCTGCGAACTGCGCTTCCCAGTCTTTGTCGTCCAGCTCGACCATCCTGCCCTTGCCCTTGCCTTCTACCTGCTGTGGCTGCTGCATACTCATGGGACTGAATGGCCTGTTCATCGTCCCCATGCCCATACCCATGCCGTTCATGCCCATGCCGTACATCGGTCGCTGGTATCCCATGCCGCTTACGGGCGTGTGGACTGTCGGACTCGCGGTTCGCGCTATAGGCGTCGCGTTCTGGTACTTTGCAAACTCGGCGGGACTGAAGCCTGCATACGCTGGTTGCTGGAACGCCGCTGTTGGTGCTTCTACGCCAGGGTCGAATTCTGCTGCCCATGCCGGCGATCCGCTTCGGTATGATGCCCGTTCCAGCTCCCGGCGCATCTGTTCCATCGCGAACGGCGTGGCTGGTCCTTGCGGTAGCTGGCCGGGCTGCTGTAGGAACTCGTCCATCATCTAGATAACGGTATGTCAGCATTCAGTCTCTTAAGAGGTTGCCCAGCGCTGGCACGCGACATCTGAGCTTTCCAGGGCGCACATCTGGGGCTGCTGTTCCTTGTGGTGACATACATGATCTTGCGGGGCGCCCATTGCCTGACTCCTCATGCCCTCCGCCATGCCTCCAGGCCCTCGCCCGGCCAGCCGATCCCTCTGCAGCGACTTGTCATCCTGGACGTGCTTCGTGAACTGGCTGAGCGGGTTGGCTCCCGTCGAGCACTCTGCGCCACCGAGGAAGGACATGATGGGAGGTTATCCGGGCGCGGAAGTTGCGTCAAACGGAGAGGAATAGAACGCTTTGTACAGGGAAGAGAAGAGCTCAAAAACTCCACCAAGTCCAGATAAACAATATTGCCCGAGAGAGTGTAGTGGGTTGTTGTTGCAGTTGTAGCTTTGAAGGGTCTGGGGATCAACGTGGGGCTGGTTTCGGTGGTGCCGGCGCCGCTTTCACGGCTCCCGCAACAACCACCGAGGCAACTCTCGTAGGGCTGAGAAAGTCAGGATGGTCAGATTAGCAACCAACTGAGTTGAGTAGGTGAGCGCATGCGAGCAGTGGAAGAAGCGTTCTGGCTTGAAGTAGCTTATGTATCCACTGAGGGGTGATTCTACAAGTACGCCAGCACCGTGTACACCTCTATCTTATTTTACAATCACTACACACCCCCTATTGAGAAGCTAGAATAACACGATTGAAGAGAATGCCCCAGGATACTAGAACGCTGTGCTACCCAGTGAAGAAGTCTTGAGAGTGCCGAACCAACGTTATACAGATGATACGCTTAGCTCGAGGGCTGCTGTCGTGTCTGAGAAGACGAGTGTGAGAAGTCCACCCTCAGCTTCCTGCCATAGATCTCCTTGTTCCTGAGCACCTCCATTGCCTTTTGCGCGCTCTGCACGTCGATGAAGTCAGCGTGGGCGAAGCCTCTGGGTTGGCCTGTCCGCCTGTCGATTGCGACTCTGACATCCAGCACGTTCCTGATGTCGCGGAAGAGGTTGTTCAGATCCTTGTCAGACATCTCAAATGACATGTTGCCGATGAAGAGGGTCTTGCTGGGTTCAGCCTGTTGCCTCGGGACGTCCAGTCTCGTCTGTTCCCTCTTCTTGTGGTATTGGACAGTCATGCGGCGGCCTTCGAAAACTTGCTGGTTCATCTGCTCGATGGCGCGGCCTGCATCTTGCTCGCTCTCGAACTCGACATAACCGAAGCTGGAGTGTACAAGTCAGTCCCAATGTTGCTATGTGGTAAACGCATCGACGGAGCGAATACTCACCCCTTGCTAAGACCCCTATTGTCGTAGATGATCCTGGTCTTGACCACTGCTCCGAAGCGGGAAAACTCCCGCTCCAGCTGCTCTTCCGATACCTCAAAGAACAAGTTCCCTACGTAAAGAACCTTGGCAGACTCGGGGACGTGCACTCCCTGGCTTTTGTTTGCTGAGCGCTGATCACTCCTCAGACCTCCAGTCGCCGCATAAGCTGCGCCCGTGGCCGACTGCGCAACAGACTCGACGGTCTCCGTCGCCCTCTCTTTCATCGTCTGAGCGGCGGATGAAATGGTATCAGTCATCGATGACTTTCCTTCAGAAGTCTCTGCTGCCTGAGCGGGCGCTTCCGATGCCGTACGAGAGCCATGCTCTGCAATTGCCTCCGCCTCTGGCTTTGAAGGCGACTCGGTTACTGTCTCGTCCGTCACGGTAGCTTCGGATGGTCTCGCCGCTTCGTCACTCGCGAATCTCCTCTGGAGGGGGCAAGCAATCCACTGCTGCCGTGGTCGAAGCGTGGAAGAGGTGAGTGTGGTGATTGACCGCGGCTTGGAGACGAAGGATGTGGATGACGAGGAGAGCGCCTTGAGCGCGGGGCGGCGAAGAAGATACCTGCATCAGCATGTCAGCAGAAGCCAGCTGCGGAGGAGTCATGATGGGCCGTACATCATTACAGAAGGCAGAAGAGCAGAGAGATGATGGGAGAATGGCAGTGTCTGTAATGAGCGACTGCGATGGATTTGTCTGATGCTGCGGAGGTTCGCAGGGGAAGTTTTCGAGATTGGCACTTTTCGACGTTTCGCGCTAGGGCAGCGCCTTGGCGCGACTCACGTGAGCCCTTCGCTCAGAATGCTCGATTTCTAAATATTTGGATCGAGGAGCTATCATCTACTTCTCCGTACTCGAGCAAGGGCAATCTACCCATCTGCTTCGTCGTCGATATAACGTACAGGTCCATTGGCCTTCACGGTTCGCCATCGACTGAAACCATGCTAGCGCTTCACGTTTCCAAAAAGCGCGTCAGTAACAAACACCAGTCCAGAGCTTCAAAGGAGCACAATAGCTTGATTCTACCAGGCGCTGATCATGATATTCAAACGATCTTGGTCCGCATAATGCTGCATACGAACAAACGGACCGCATGGCATGGCATTGCAGCGCCCACTAACAGAATTCCGGGAATGCCATCATCGTGCCTGAAACTCGTTCAAAAGACATCATACGGCGCATGCCATCACTTCCTAGCCCTCAGCACCCTGCCTCCACCCGCAGCTGGTGCCGCGTTCTCTTTCTTGGTCGCCGCTGCCCTTCCTCTCGCCACCGTTCCCGTTCCAACAGCAGCAGCAGTAGCAGCAGTAGATTTGGTGACAGCAGCCTTCCTTCCTGCTGCGGTAGGCGCCTTGTTCTTCGCCACAATAGTCGTGGCAGCACTGTCATCTGATCCAGTGCTTCCATCACTTCCCCTGCCTCTGCCTCCATCAGCGACGGGTTCTGCAGGTCCCCCTACGCGCTTCTTTCCCCGCCCAGCGCCAGTGGCTGTAGGCGCGACAACAGTACCGGCTTGTCGGCTCGTTGCCCGGCTTGTCGCTCGGCTTGGGGCCGCTGGTCTTGCGGCAGCCGTAGATTTCTGATTCACAAAGCTGGCAAGCGATGCAGTAGCCGCGGCCACTACGCCGCCGGGCTTGATAGGAGATATGGGACGAGCGAGGAAGGATTTTGGTGGTGAGGGAGGAGGCTTAAACATTGATTCGGTAACTTTAAACGGCGACTGAGGAAGCGTTCTCGAGTTGTGCGATTTGGGGGAGAGAACCGTGGAGGGCGCGACCGGGCGCGAGGCTGTGCGGGTTGCGCGTGTGTTTGCTGCGGCGGCCGCGGTCTTTGCGCGCTTCTTTGGAAGGTTGAGGTCTTCGTGAATGTGGACGTTCTCCTTGTCTGAGTGGGACATCTCGGTGCTTGGCCGCTTTTTGCCCTGTAGTCTGACCGGGGTTGGCACTATTTGGACTTCCCGCGAGGCTTCGACTTTCACTGGACGCTTCGCTGCTTGACTCGCAGGCTTCGCTACAGGTACTACGGCAGTTGCCGGCGGTGCAGATGGCTCTGAATATTTATCGATCAACTCCATGATATTGGTTGACCGTAAGGATTGCGGGATGCGATTGACGCGCATCTCGAGACGGGAGCGCAAGCTCTGCGCGTGTAAAGCATACTGCGCTCGTAGTTTGCGCGCGCGTTCGGTGACTGACGCGTCTGTTAGCCAGGGCCAAACCGGGAGCTGTGTAAACGCTCACTCTCTAGCTGTAGGTTATCTATGAGCGCCTGCTTCTGCGCCGCGGTAACCATCATTGACCGCTTTGGCGGGCTCCTCTGAGGCGTCCTGGTGGGACCGCCTGTCTTCGTTGGTATAGCCGTTGGCGGTGCGGGCACGTGGGATGCCATATCTGTGGTTGTTGAGCCAGAGGACCGCTGTTTTCGCGTACGTTGTGGAGGCATAGTGAGGTCTTTCGGGTGTTTCCAATACGGGTTTGATCGATTTTCAGTAAAGAGACGCGCTGTACAGAGTGTGTATTACAACGAATGGTGAAGGCGTCAAGCGGGCGTAAACATTGCCAAGACCTAGCTGGAACATTGTTGCGCCGAGTTGAGCTTCGGCGATCCATCATGAAGCAACACTGCATGAACTAGGTAGCTATCTTCAATACAGCACTGACATCTATCGCCCATCCATCCTGCTCTAATTTTCTTGCAACAAAATTCCCGAACTTCTCCGCTTATCAGTTCCTGCACACCTTACTAAACCACACTAATAAACCGCCAAGATGGGGTTGGAGGCGACCATGATAGTGTACGCATAGCTACCGCAGCTTCTCCCAGGCACTCATCACTTACTCGTGTCACAGGGTCGACAACAGCGAGAGCAGTAGAAACGGCGACTATTTGTACGTCCATCTAAGTGCCTCCGGCGAACTGCGTCTGACACTCCATCCCAGACCCTCACGCTTCGAAGCAACATCCGACGCCGTGAACCTTATCTTCTCCGCAAAGACCAACGCGAACCCAGAGTCATCAGTCGGCCTCATGAGCATGGGGGGTTCAGGTCCGGAAGTCCTGACAACACTGACGACGGATATGGGCAAGATACTAGACGGGCTGCATCGGACGAAGATAAGAGGAAGCTCGCACTTCTCCACTGGCATCAACGTCGCTGCGGTAGGCTTCGCCGTCTCCAAGATGAATTCCTCAACTGACTTGACGCCCCACCGTAGCTCGCCCTCAAACACCGCCAAAACAAATCCCAGCGCCAACGCATCATCGTCTTCAGCTGCTCACCCCTCTCAGAGGACGAGAAATCACTCGTCAAGCTCGCCAAGCGCATGAAGAAGAACAACGTTAACATCGACATCATCGCTTTCGGCGACCTCTCCGACGACACGATCAAGAAGCTCGAAGCGTTCAACGAGAACATCAAGGGCAATAACGAGTCGCATCTCGCCGTCATTCCGCCGGGGCCGAACCTCCTCAGTGACTCCATAATCGCGACGCCGATACTAGCGGGCGACGGTGTGGGAGGTGGGGCTGGTGCAAGTGGTGGCGCGGAGGGCGGCGCGGGTGGCACGGAGCAGTTTGAGTTTGGTGTCGATCCAAGCATGGATCCGGAGCTGGCGCTGGCTCTCAGGATGAGTTTTGAGGAGGAGAAGGCGAGACAGGAGCGGGAGCAGAAGGCTAGGGAGGAGGCTGAGGGGAAGACGAATCTGGAGGGCATACCTGAGGCGGATGAGAAGCAACCGCTGCTGGACCGGAACGGCGAGGCGAGCGGGAGCGGAACTGGTAGTGGTAGTGGGAGCAAAGAGGACGGGGACAAGAAGAAGGATGATGATGCGGACAAGATGGATACCGCATGATGCTAGCGCTGGAGGGTAAGGCGCACGGCGTAGGAGCCAGAGCATAGATGCATGACAGGCGTTTGGTTGTCTACCACTTCTTACTCATGATCAAGCTGAGCAAAACTATCGTGGCTAAAACACGTTCACGATGAGGAAAGTGCTGGAAGCTGTGACCGTACCTCTTGCTGGGAAACTCGTGTGGAGGCGTTGGTTCAGCTCACCTCCGCTGCGACGATGGGAACTCAAGAGTATGCCAAGGTTGTGTATCGTGCAAGTTCAGCGCATTCTCTCTCTCTTTTAGATCATCGAGTCCTTCATGTCAGATACCTTGAAGACACATCGCTTTCCAAGTCAGCAACACGTGTCCAAGCATCCACAAGAGCAGAAGAGCAGGTGAAGCCATAAACAAAAACCACGTGCCCTCAGCTCTCCAAGCACCCTCAATATCTCCCTTCACCGCCAAGCCCAATTTCCCTCCCTATATAACATCCAAACTTCACTCTCTTCCCCGCCCAACGGACCCGGATCGATGCTCTAGTGGAAATTTCCGTCAAATTCTAACTCGGGCGGGCATTAACGTTGTGGCATGGTCTTCAGTTCGAATCGCGTTTGTACTTCGCTCTAATACTAATAATTTCAATCTCCAGCGAAATTTAGAAGCCGCTTAATAAACCTGATGTTCTTTCAGCTGCTTCGGCAGGAGGGGGGTTTCCTCGCGGACGTTCCTCGCCTTCGGGTGGGGGATTATGAGTTTTGCTGTTTTGATAGGAGAAATAAGACCTTTCTTTTGTTCGCTTTTGTTGTGAGTCACGGCAGCCACGCGCTGGACCGCTCCGAACCAGCTACGCTTCAAGACGTGATAAGCGGAAGAGATTTATTCTTCGGTTCTCCTAATAATGGACTCTCAGGGGCCTTGCACTAAATTATCACTCATCGCGTGCAGATGCTCCATCATGATAGACAAATTCTCTCTGGTTAGATGTCTTAGCATAATTCTCTGTTGTCTGTGTCTGCCTGCGTACATCACGTCCACAATTGCGGATCGGTAAACCCGCTTAGCTGTCGTCGCCTCCTGTCAATCTCCTTCACCCCTTGCTGCCATACACTCGAGGCACATCATTCGGTCCATCATCCCTTCAATCCTATAAGCCTCGTGATTCACGTCACTACACTCATTGAATACCTTCGACCCATTCCCTCAAGCCGCGCCGTCCGCCGTGAACCCGGCGATTGTCGCATCCAGACTCCACAAACGGCTAGTCCAGCTTCCGTCCTGGCAACTTCATGCAAGCGTGTTAAGCAATCACACGACCTTTCCCCCATCCTACTCCTGACTAGCACCTAGTACAGCCAATCCCCTCACCCCCTCACCCTCACAAACCCATCCACCGCGCGATCAAACTTCTCACACCTAATCGGCATCTCCAGCGTCTGAAACGGATTTTTCATCACAAAGTCCGCATACAGCTCGTGTATCCTCCTCAGAATAACCTCCACATTCGGCTGCTGCGGTTCCGTGAGCAGCAGGAACTTCGTCCGCGTCAGCGTCTGGAAGCACTGCAGGCGGAAGGTTGCGGACTCGAAGACTTCGATGCCGCTAGCGCGGAGGGTGGTTGGGTTTTGCTGGATCGTGGTGCCTGCGGTGGCGGTGGAGGAGGAGGATGTGGAGAGGGGGATGTGGGACGGTTGGGAGGGAGCCGGCGCGATGGAGCGCGAGATCTCGTGCACGCCGTGGAAGGTGCCGGCCATGATTAGCAGGTCGTTGCTGCTGAGGTCGTTGAGGCCGGCGGTGAATTTGCGGTTGTAGACTAGGCCGCCGGCTTTGTTGATTATGAGGAGGGAGAAGACGGCCCTGAGCGTGGTTAGTTTTGGCCTTTGCATGTGCGAGGTGGAGGACCGGGCTGGTGCATACATGGCTGCTTGTCACTCAGCTCTAACGCTGAGCTTGTTCCGTCAGTTCGATGATGGGGCTGCTGAGCTGTCATGGACGGTGGAAGCAAGCTTTGGAGGCTCTCGGGACGTTGGATGATCCCTGGAACGTTCCCCGCGCTTGCGGCCAGACCCTGGATCTGCATAGGTTCACATGGGCTTTCCTCCCACTTCAGCCTCAGCCTTGCGAGCTTTGAAGGCAACCTGAACAGTTACTCGGCTCACCGACGCTGCCTAGCAGAGCCTCTGGCTTCACAACGCTCGTTGGTTCCTATCCCCGCTGCCAGCCCGCTTCTTTTAAAAGTTCTCTTTTGCAAGCACCTCCGTCGCTTTCTCCAGACCCCGCTGCACAATGTCTAATCAGTCAATCCTTCGCATCACGCGAGTAAGTTTGCTGAAGCTGCGATTGTGTTCTCCGTGCTGACTCGAATCAGGAGCTCAGTGACATTCAGAAGGGTTCAGATCTGTGTATGTAGTGCTTGGCCGCTTGGGCTTTTCGGAAGCACCTTAGCTAACAGAATGACAGCCATCGCAGTTGCTTGTCGCGACATCGACGTGCGCCACGTCCGAGCCCTGATCGTGGGGCCGCCAGACACGCCATACGAGTTCGGTTTCTTCGAGTTCTCGGTCAAGTTTCCAAGAGACTATCCCACCAAGCCACCAACCGTACAAGCGATCACGACGAATGGCGGCCGGACACGCTTCAACCCGAACATCTATGCTGGAGGGAAGGTATGCCTGTCCATACTAGGGACGTGGCGGGGAGAGCGCAACGAGGAGTGGTCATCCGCTCAGGGACTCGAGTCCATTCTTTTGTCCATACAGAGTCTCATGTCGTCGAATCCATACGAGAATGAGCCCGGTTACGAGACCTTGAACGGCGACTCTGACAAGAAACATCAAAAGGCCTATGTGCAGAAGGTAAGCCATGACAAGTGACAATATGGCTGGACCAGGCGGACAGCACTGATGGAGGAAGGCCTGAGGGTCGCGACGCCTTGTCCCTGGCATGTCAGTCAGTAGAGGATGTTCAAGCTGACTTCAACTCAGATACGACACGAGACGATTCGCATCTCGGTCGTCGAGCGGCTCGAAGAGTACCTGCGCATCAACCGCTTCGAAGCGGCCGGCGTGGAAGTCTACACCGCCCAAGAAGCGTCTGACTCAGGTTCCTACGACATGCCATTCGAGCCTTTCAGAGACCTGTGCAAGCGCCGCTTCCTCTGGTACTACCACTCCTACCTTCACGCCATAGAAGAGGAGTCCAAAGACATAAAAGATGGTTCAGAGTTCCAAAGGATGCCTTTTGAAGGCGCTGGCAACATCATGGAAGGCAATTTCAGATATGGCGAGCTCAGGAAGAGACTAGAAGTCATACGTAAGAGGCTGGACATGGAGACCGACCAGTGGGCAAAAGACGGCCTGATGGCGGTGCAGAAGGAGCTCTCGATCGCGAACACTCTAGAGCGGCAGTTCGAGCAGACAGTCGAGTGGTTCAAGAACAACGACAGCGTAGCACTGGACCTCGAGCTGGTTGACAAGAGCCCTTTCGTTTGGCAGCTCGTGCTGTTTGGTCGGCCGATGACCAATCTGGATGGAGGCATGTTCCGCATGAAGCTTCACATGAGCACCAGGTTCCCGGAGGAGCAGCCGCGCATCAGGTTCGAGACGCCGATCTTCCATCAGCGCGTCTCGAAGGATGGCGTACTCTGCTACTTCCCACCAAAGCCGGACGACTTGAAATCGCACATCCAAGCGATTGTAGAGGCGATCGTGGAAGAGGAGCCGGCATACGATCCGAGGACCATCGTTAACTCAGAGGCGGCGACGCTATTCTGGGGCTCGAAGGATGACAAGAAGTTGTATAACCGGCGGTTGCGGCGGTCGGTGCAAGAAAGCACAGAGTAGGTCTACGCTAGGTGTTGGTTCGAACTTATGCTGATGTTGCGCAAGATTCTGAGACACTAACCCTCATACGATGCCCTTTTCCACTGCGCACTTTCGAGAGGTGCACATTATTCGTCTAACGATACCCAACTGCTTTTTTTTCTCGTTGCGCGGGGGTGCTCTTGCACGTGCTTAGAGGAATGATCTCTCAGGATTCACGAAAATAATCATGAATATTTCCCACTCAGTCACGGCAGTGGCATAAGCATTAGGCATGGCGTTGGTTGCATCTTGAGGGGCTAGGCGTTAGGAGCTGCATTGCAGTCGGACAAAATGCAATTCTGTGGGCGACACGCGATAAATAAGTACTCGCAGTCAATATAGATGTAGCTGGCAAATTCAAATTGCTGTTTTTGAAACACAAACAATTGCATAATATTCTGCTTCTCTAACATGACGACCTAGGATTCAGCCCACTCTGCCGATATTTCCATAAAGGACGCAGTTCACCTGGACCAAGCTAAAAGCTCGGCCGACCAAGGCGCTAATGCAAGAATCCTGGTGGTTGGTCATCTTGGCACGGGGTTGATCGGCCGAGCTTAGCGCACGGTTGCTATCTCTATACAAGTATATAGAAACAAGCTTAAGATATATTTAAAGCAGCTTAGATATATCTTATTCTAAATATATTCAAAGCTTGTTTTATAGAAAAAGATAGAAAAATCTTATAAATAAGCTCTAAATATATTTTTAGCTAGTTAGAGTTAGTGGTTAGTAGTTAGCGGTTAGCGGTTAGCGGTTAGCGGTTAGCGGTTAGCGGTTATAATTAGTATTAAAAAGAGAGAATCAAGTAGGTTAAGAATACTAGCAAGTATAACTTTATATTTTGAAATAGCATAAACCGCTACTCTCTAAGATAAGCTAGAGCAAGGTGCTTTATTCTACACTCGCCAAGCTCTTTCTGAGCTATTCCGATGTAACCGACCGCGAGCTGCCTCGCACGGCTTACCGAATATATCTATCTGCCGCTTCTAGTCATGCTATATTACAACTGTATTATCTACAAGCTAATTCGGAAGGATTCGTAACAGTTGGTGCTTAGTAGTTAGTGGTTGGTGATTAGTGGTAAGTGATTAGGATAATTAGAATTAGTTATTTAGAAAGATGGTATTATGAGGTATGTGGGGTTGGTTGGATGACTTATTGGTTGGTCAGGTGAGCTTTTAGCTTGGTCCAGGTGAACTGTACGCGCTATTTCCATATGCGCCAGGGTCCACAACGGTTGAACCATCTCCAATTCTTCCCCACACCCCACAATGTCAGATCTCACGTTCAGCAAGGAGTCGCTCGGCCACGCACTGATAACAGGCGGCTGCGGCTTCCTCGGCCACCACATCGTGAATCTCCTCCTCGAGCGCCATCCTTCTACACGCATTACGGTCCTCGACCTGCGGACCAACCTCAACCGCAACCCCTCCCCTCAAGTAACCTACTATGATGGCGACATCACCGACGCAGAGTTCATCAACGAATTGCTCGAGAGGCTGAGGCCTGATGTGGTAATACATACTGCGTCTCCACACGCGTTTGCGGCAAAAGAGGTGCTGTGGAAGGTCAATGTCGAGGGGACGAAGGTGCTGCTGGAGGCGGCGCAGAAGAGCGGGGTCAAGGCTTTTGTGCATACGAGCAGTGCGAGCTTGATTATGGATCGGAGCATGACGATCATCAACGCGGATGAGCGGTGGCCTGTTGTCATGGGGAAGGAGCAGCCGGAGTATTATACCACTACGAAGGTACGAACTCCCAATGTGACCGACTGTTTCGTCGCTTCTTCACATCCCGGAGCCCTACATTCGAGAAAATGTGGCTTGATGGGACGCATCACAAGAGCCACAATCAATCCCAGTCTCAAACACGCTGACATTAACCCCATTGCAGGCACACGCCGAACTCACCGTCCTCTCCGCCAACCGCACCCCGCCAACCTTCCTGACAACCGCCCTCCGCCCTGCCGGCATCTTCGGCGAAGGCGACGGCCAGACCCTGCCGGGGATGCTCAACGTGCTGGCACAAGGCAAGCACACCTTCCAGATCGGCGACAACGACAACCTCTTCGAATTCACCTACGTGCGCAACGTCGCGCACGCCCACATCCTGGCCGCCAACGCTTTGCTCGCCACCGCCTCCATGGCTCCCACCGCCCCCCTCGACAACGAGCGTGTGGACGGCGAAGCCTTCTTCATCACCAACGACGCGCCCATCTACTTCTGGGATTTCGCGCGCATGGTGTGGTTCTATGCGGGGGATCGCACACCGTTGAGTAAGGTGTGGGTGCTGCCGGAGGGCGTGATGACTACGCTGGGGGGAGTGATGGAGTGGGTTTATGGGGTTATGGGGAAGAAGCCGGCTATGACGAGGGCGCAGGCGAGGTATGCGTGCATGACGAGGTATTTTGACATTAGTAAGGCGAAGACGAGGCTCGGGTATAGGCCGATTGTGGGGCTGGAGGAGGGGATCAAGAAGGGAGTGGCGGCGGCGATGGAGGAGAAGAGGAAGGAGGAAGAGAAGAAGGGGCAGTAGGTTATAAATGGGGTTGGGACCACTACGGTTCTCAGATAGCCAGAAGTCGTGGATATAGGCTATCTACAACGGTTCAAAGGCTGTTCTTGGGCATCAGGAGCGGCCAACCCCTTCTGCCTGCATGATTGTGGATAGATGGAACGCGCGAAATATAGGAGGTAGAAGCAAGTCATTGCTAAAGCAACTAGTGCAATGTATACACTCACAGACAAGATCAACATATTCGCGAACTGAAATGGCCAATTCAAAATCACGTGACACCGCGACACTCACAACTAGCGTGCCTCGCCGTCATTGGGCAACATTTCTCTTCCCACCAACACAGATATTCCAATATGTGATCGACCATGACCCAAATCTCCCTCTACGCCGAGCACCTCCTCAACATCCACACCGTCAGCCTAACCGCAACGCTCCAAACACTCTCCAACAAGGAGACCAAAGCCTCGCTCTCCGCAGACGGCGAGACCATCTCGCTGACTCACGCGGGAGAAACAACCACCATCCGCCTGCCCACCAAGCTATCAGGCGGCAGCGACGCAGCGCTTACACTGCCTGCAGCGCCCGCGAAGGAACTTACACTCCGGCTGCAGCTTAAGGACACCAGCCCCGGACGCCTGAGGTCAGGCAGCTTCCAGGGAAGCGAGAACCACGTGCCATGGTCCGCAGGCGCATTAAACGGGCGGCATGTCCGTGTTTACTGTGCGAGCAAGGGCTGTGGGCAGGAGCTGGTGAAGAGGGGCACGGTCGGGGATGGTGGCTGGAAGGATCTGCCGAATGAGAATTGGGCGGAGATGATGGATTTCTGGCATTGTCATAAGCCGGATCATCGGCATGGGCATGGGGCTAGGGATGGGGAGGGAAAGGGGTATGCGGCGGCGAATCGGCTGGTTGCGAGACGGGGGACGGGGTTTGTGGATTTAGGGGGGTTATTGCTGAAGGAGGAGGATTGCTGCGTGAAGGTATGGGGTACTACCCTCAAACATCCAACCCATGTCGTGGTAGAGAATGGGCGAAAAGAAGGAGACCACAGCACTTCAATGGCCTGGCCTCCGATACAATCGCCCAAGAGAAAACACTTGCTAGTTAGCTACCCGAGCCTACCCTCTTCGGACGGGTTGCTTGGGTTAGCTGCTGCCTCTCATCTTCGAGTTTCACCGCCTCTCTTAAAGTCATTTGCTTGGCGAGATTAGGAAAGATACAAATCGCTGACTTTATCATCAGAGAAATACTTCAGATCATGAAAGAAGTAAGCTGCAACAGTTGCTATGCTTAGGGTGTGGCGGCCTTGTTGGCACTATCGACGACCGAGTCGAGGGCTTTAAGCTCTGGAAATGGGCTGTCGCTCTAAGCTTTGGGGATGAGCCGCCGAAGCAATATAGTATCCAGAAGTGGGTATCTGCGCAGCTTCTTGCACTCGTTGAAAATGAAGGCGTGAGAAAATTTGTCGTCGGTGACGCAAGCGCGGAGGCCGATGGCTCCAAAGAACGTTTGATGGTCCGTCCCCAGTGCCACGATGTTGAAAGCTCTGCTTACAGTCTACAGCTATGGGTCTTTACGCCCGACCTCAGTTTCTCGAGCTCTAAGGAACAGGAGACGCGGAATGACCCGACCCGCGCGATGAAGATCCTCTGGAAAGAGGCCGTTGAGAAGGCGGAGAGCTCCTTCTCAAGCGAAGAGCTCGCCCTCCCTTCCCCAATTTTTGGTGCTTTGCGAGCGGCGTTGGGGGGCAGCGCGGAGCTCCTTCCCGCATCTGCAAGGAAGTTCCAGAACTGGCAAGTTGGCCTCCTAGAACGATTTGGGGATGATGAGAGATGAGTTTCGCTCTCATGTTGGTGCAGTACTCCAGATCCGGCCTATTCAGATATTGCTCACCGATCTGCGCCTGGTCGATGCTGCGGTACGGCCTCAGGCGCAATTTGCAGAGGCGGCAGCGCCACAAGTCTTGCGCCTGCTCGGAGCACTCAGGGCCTCCTTTGGTCGCTTAACGGATCAGATCGAAGCCATCTCTCGACCGGATGAGGTGCTCCAAACCGGAAAGCCCTCCGGCTTCAAGCCTTGATAGGGGCTCCCAAACAGCTCTCATGAGTTAACTCCGCTGCCATATCAACATTATGATAAGTAGATGACAACAAAGGGGCTTCAATGTGTAGTGAATCTCTGCGGAAGGCTTTACCAGCAAACTTTGTAATGGGTTGGACCTTCTTTTCTTTCCCAATTTCCATCTTGCGGTCCCGTTTTGATGCATCCTCTTAGGCCGCTCGGTAGCTGGTCTAGGGATGTGGGAACCAGACTTTGAAGTGGAAAAAACATTGTTAAGAAGAATGGTCAGAGTTTGAGCGCAATATAGTACAGAATCGTTGCTCAGAAGGATAGCTTGTAGCTCGGTTGTCCTACGAATATTCGTAAAAGTCCTGGACGCGAGACTTTGTCATTTTCTATAACCACAAGCCCAACTCCCATAGTGATTCACAGCGACCAGCCTTCGCGAAGCGGTCTGCGTACGCTATATATAGTCTTATGCACAGCTCTCTGTTCGGTTCCTGCTGACATCCAAAGCCGCGATACCTACACAACAGTACGGTGCGTACAGCCCAAGTGCGCCGAACTCCAAACCCGCTTTCAAACCCCACTCTGTGGAGTCCCAGATCAGATTCGCCGTCATATCCCATCATTAAATCGTGATTGTCATCGGAGGGGGGTGTCAGGACCTTTTCGCCTTCTCAAGGCCTATCGCCCAGCGGAGTTGACCCAGCGTCTCCTTCATTTCGCCGCGGAGGATATCTGCATCCGCCTCACTGGCATCAATCTTGTTTCGCAGAGCGGCGGCGCCTGCCCGTAGCTCTCCAACCTCCTTCTCACGAGCGTCCTCCAGTCGGCGCATCTCGAGCACCACGGATTCCCTTCGACTCGACTCTTGCCGCTGCTGGTCGAGCAGCACGAGCAACGACTGCATTTTCGACTGTTCTTCCGTCTCGCGCCTCCGGAGCTCGTCGATGTCTGACTGCATGCTAGCGACAGTGCGCTCCACATGCCCACGGAAGCTTTCCAACCCTCCTTCTAAACTTTTAGCGTGCGCTTCTGCCCGTCGCTGGAGCTCTTTCGCCTCAGCCAGCTGCCTGCTCATCAGCGCCATGCCATCCGTGAGTTGCTGAGACATAAGCGCCTCCTTCTGTTCCGCGCCTTTCCTCAATTCCACCTCAATGTCCAACTTCGCCTGCAGCTCGTAGATTTTCCGGTCTCGCCGCCGCAGGGCCCGCTCATCGACATCGTGCACGTTCCGCAGCGTGCTGTTTTCTGCTTCGAGACGGCTGGTGACGATTTTGTCCGCTTCTCGCAGCCGCTGGAGCTCTTCTCGTGATCGTATCTCGAAGGTGAGTTCGCGCTTGCGGGCTTCATTCTCCAAGATCAGGCGCTTGATGACGGCGCCGGAGCGCTCGCCGGGTGAGATTTCTGGAGCGGGAGCGAAGGTCGAGAGGAGGTCTGAGGAGGAGGATGGGGAGGGTGTTGGTCGGGGTTGTGGTGGGGGGCGTACTGCTGCCATTGGTGGTCCGGATGAGTTGTTGTTGTTGACCAGTCGGGCAGCTCAGTTGGCGGTGGTAATTCGCACTCTTCTGACGCAATTTGCAAGACCGGTTTTAACTGACAAGCATGTGATGATGGCGTTTGATATCAACAAGAAAGCAATACGTTATTTTAGGAGTTGAGCGTGAAGTGAAACAGTGTATCAAAGACGACGGTAATGTAAACACACGTGTTTCAGGGACCCCCATAAGGCGGCGCGATCTGCGCGTTAGCGCTAAGCTAACTCAGGTACAGGGAGGTAGCGCCCAATAAGAACGCGACGGAGTTACTCGCCTTTCCTGCCTATCAACGCGCTGCGTTGTTCACCCCAAGGCGCTTTGCCAGCTCCCCTCCAGGTTCAAGGCTGGGCTGAATTAATCGCGGCCGCATCCCTTCCGCAGAAATCCGTGCATACTTCCGGCCGCGATTAATTCAGCCCAGCCTTGGTCCCATCCCTCGGCCACTTCCGAGACGTACATATGAGAGTGAGCTGACAGGTCTCCAGGCATGGCAAGAAGCCCTGCGCATGCCGTTCCCCGACATCTCTGACCGAGCGGCACGCCTCTTGGACGCGTACAGCTTCTTCGAGATTGATGTTGCGACGTGTCGCTTTTAGTAAAGTCGCATGCGTCTAGGCCTCAATCCAATTCTTCTCAGTCCACTGAAGGTGTAAAATGGCGGTCTTCAGCGGAGGCAGCTCCGGCCAGGGCAGGCTGGTCTGGCCAGCGCGCCGACAGCCACAGACGCCCAGGGCGGATGCAACGCATTCTACCCCCATGGGCGGCAGAATCCAAGGGAGCATGAGGAGGCAGTCCTGCGATGACCTCAATGGACATTGCTTCAGCAAGAGGACTTTGCACGCACCGTTTCCGATCATGCTGAGAGGGTTTAGACGTCGGAACATCTGCGCTCTGCATAGCCTCCAAGGTGTGAAGTACAAACCCCGCCGATACCGTTGGTGGAAATTGTCTCGCGGAAAACCCGTACTCAGTTCGCAATATCACCTGCATCGACAACGTCGACCTACCTAGGTAGGTACCAGACTCATACAAAGCCCGAACATCACGCCACTGGCGTTGGAATCCAGGTTGCCATGCTTCGGAGAGGTCGGCTGCGTGAACCCTGCAGGCCTTGATGTCTTGCGCCGGCAGAGCCGGAGTAGTCACAGTTGGGCAGGCATGTGTTACTGCGGCCACCATATTGGAGCAAGCCATCGGCACCGAAACCATCGCGTCGGGTGCCACTACTTCAGGCAATACCGTTAGCTGACCTTCAGTTCAGAAGTGGCGTCACTGATCTGGAGTACAGGATATCTTATTTCATCCATTAAAGCCCGGCATTGTACGGCAGCCCACATGGGAGAGCGAGGAACTTTCCGGTTGAGATTGATGTCTACGGCTAGAGCGATATTAAGATAAAAAGCAAATACAGTACAGTCTTCGAGACATTGTTAACGAAAGGATTAGTCTGATGCAATGCGCCATACGACCGGTAAATGCCGCACATGCTGAACGAACGCCGAGATCCAAGCATTTCATTCCAACTCAACGGCAGCTGCGAGCAAGCTTCGTCCGAACGAGATTCAGTGAACTCTGCCCAAGCGGGATGACTTCTGAGGGAGCGGCAGGCGTGGCGTGCATGTACTGCTTGACTGATGAGTGACTTGGAATATGATAAAGGATAGAGAGAGCTTACTTTTGCGGTCAGTTGACCGGAGTTCCACACTGGGGGCAGCACTTGCCGGGGATGACCCAGACGGTGTCGCCTCTGGCAAGGCAAGCAGGGCACTTTCGACCTGGAACCTGAACAACCTGTCAGCGTCCATCTCCACCTGGAAGGAGCCATTGTTCCCTCAATGAGGACATGGGATCACACTCACAGTCATTACAGTCCTGATAGCACATTCCATCTCAAATCCACCCGGAAAATGATCCAGATGATCACCAACTGGCTCGAGCATGGGCAACTGCTCAATGCCGAACTTCTCCAGAATTTCGCAGCGGCGCATATGCGAAGGCATTGTAGTAGTTTAGGAGAGGTAGGTTGGGAGAGTGTGATGGAGTCGAAGAGACTAAACGTTGCGAAGTAGCGATGGATAAATTGGCGGAGGAGAAAGAGCGAAGTCAGACGATGCCTGGAATTCGATGAGAACCAAGGACGAGTCCATACTTATATCATCCGCAGAGTAGCTGTCGTATCAAGGATCGGTCACAATCAAATTTCTCACACCTGCAAGCTGCCATCACCACGGATACCCGACTGAGTGCTACCGCTAGTCTGAGTCTCGAGATTCCGATTCATAAGATTACTTCGAAATCCTAACAAAAGCGGGATACTGTCCTGCTACCGCGTGGCTGGCAGACGTCACATGGAGGGCTGTGTAAGGTATGGTATAGAGCATCTGTCAACATGGCTGCTGGCCGCTAGTACACACGTGAGGTATCTCAGCAAAGATCAAATGTCGGCGCCATGCACTCATGCGGATCAGACTCGTGTTGGACTGTACTGCATCTTTGGCTACAATGACGAGGTTGCTCAAGGGGAATCAGCGGGCATCGAGCATCCAGCCGAAACGGCCGCCCTTAGCGCTGCGAGGTATCCTGGTCCCTGGGCACAACGCAAGAAATTCGGAGAGACGTTCTTGCGATATTATTGATGCTGAGCCATAACTATGCAACTATTGGGTTTCCTCACGCCTGCAACCCTGAAGCCTCGACCTCAAGCATCGGTGATGGAGGGCCTTCCGCCTATCGTTTCTCAACTCACAAAAATCAAAGCGAACTGAAGTATCGTACTGCGAGGACCCGCCTGCAGGAGGTCACTAGTGTTGTCTGGACATGGATGGTTGAGACCGCGCAAGAGCGATCGCACAGCGTGCGTCGACTCACAATTGCAAGGTTCCATCTCGAGTCTGCGGTGAAGACCCTGCAATTGGACTAATGGCTACCGCTTTCGTTGAGCCATGTCGCGAGCTGTGAAGCTATGCCACGATCAGTTTTAGCCTCTTGTGACATACAGACGGCGGCTCAGAAATCCGATCAGTCACTTTTCTGAGTTTGCAGATGCGTTCCATCCTGCCCGCCCCGCAATACGTTACGCAACATGAGCTCTGTCCCTGGCCGGAGGACCGAACTCGTCATCCGTGATCAGCGCAGATTGAAGAGCCTCTATTGAAGGAATCGCTAGAAAAGAGGGTTGTGCTGCTCGCGCACCTCAGCCCTACGACTTCACTTCATCGTACCAGGGCCCGCTGTACGTAGCGATGTCCTCCACCAACAACCTGTCTACAACAACACAAGCTTTGCTCATTCCAGTCTCTACCCGGGAACAGCGCTGCGGTGGCACATTACCGTCCGCATTGTAGGGCTGCAACTAGCGAGATCCGTTGATTTTGGCGCAGACCAAGCTCACAGGTGGACGGCATCTGCCGCTTGCGACCCGCTCCTGTTGAAAAACTGCAGAACGGCTATCAAGGAGGCCGAGACCCATCCGGAGCCCTTCCAAGCCAGGATCTAGGAGCAGCCGTTTGCGGTGGTCATACCAGATTGCCGTTAGTGCGGGACATGCCGCATGGCGTATGAGGCATGCTGAAGCACGAACGCCCAGATCTCCAGGAATACGAAGAGACCAGGAGTGCTGGTATTGATAGCTGCTTCAGAGTTCGACGCTACCTCATAGTTGAGTATCAGCAGACGCTCCACAGCGTTGCGAAGCAGCCGCGGAGAGCGGCTACAGGGATCTTGAGGATCCATTATCAGCAACAAATGCGCAGCTCAATCCAATGCAAGTCCATCTCAACAACTGCGGGTGAACAAAAGGACTGAAAGCTCACTAGTACTCCAAGAGCGCCATCGGCCAAGCCTGGAATCCCACACAGCGTTCATTTTGAGGTTCAATATCAAGTGCTTGGCACTACCATGCAAGCCAGCTGATCTCACCGCTACTTCTGGCCGCGCTCAGAATGTTCAGGCCGATGCCGTGTGCTTGGCAGCATCGGCATGGACACTGACCGTGGGACTGTCGGGCTTCAGCAGCCTGGCATGATCATCGGGACTCGACTTGACGCATCGAACCTCACTGGCAAGCACAGCCCCACGAACTATGGTTCTTCGCACCAGCAGCGGAAATAAACAGCTTCAAACACACAAGTTCCGTCTATGTTGAGGCAAAGCTTGACATCGCGATTCGGGGCCTTCCATGTTGAGCCAGAAACGAGCAAGAACGTCCACCACAGTTCTCTGGAGGGGACCTTGAGCCTCCTTCTGAAATTGGCACGAAGTGCAGCACAGATGCACCCAGCCGATGAACTACTATACCACGCGTCGGCAAGCTTGCTCCTTGCATTAAGGAATCAATGGCAGGTACCCACCTACTGCACGTCGTCGTTGGGAGGATCACAAAATCTTCTGGGAAAAGCCAAGCATGTTGGGCTGTCAAAGCACTCAATCCATTCTTCGCGAAACTACTATAATCTTTTAATAGTTGCGCCATGGTGCGATTCCTTTGCCAGACTAGACTTACCTTAACCAACTCGAGCACTCATCCCCTTTCTGGGTGTCCACGTCTTCTCGAGACAAGATCGAAAGACCTCCATCACAATCTCGGATTGTGACTTCCGTATCACATCTGCGTCCTTCCATGTCTATATTCTAATCATCTGCTTCCAATGTGCATGTATCCGATAGCCTGTCATTCTATCAGTCTTGTTGTAGAGCCGGTCTGTACCACTCTGTGCGCGCTGCACCCCGATTCTCAGGACAGCCAGGTCACGAGGTACGCATCTCGGGCCCATAACAGTGGCATTAACATTGGAAGACACGTCCAAATTGTTACCTGTTCCGACTTTCACTCACGCGAGTTACATTCATGGATGTCCTCCAGAACTGCTGTCGCTGCACTCCTCGGGATCAAAACTTAAATATTGATCGGATGCCTACACTAGATCGAGCGAGAAGGGATGCATCACATATATGTCAATGGATTGATTAAAGAGCCTTTGGTACTAACTCTCTCCACGAAGTCCTCATCGCTCCACCTCGGTTCGCAAGGCGATCGGCTTGGAGGAGGCAAGCACGTCTGCATCGGATGGCTAACATGATTGCTCCTTCGGTAACTTGCGGCAAGTGCGGCGGTCTAGCATACAATACCTGGGGGCATGTCAACGCGACTTAGGCGAGGCCCTTGCACGTTCTGAACATCCTGTCCTAGCTGTTATGCCCACGAGGTTGCTCTACATCAAATGTCTTGTATCTTCCTCTAGTCTCATGTCCCTGGCAAAAGCGCGCGGCGCCCCGAGAATCGCAGGGTGACGGCCGTCAACCCAGTACACTGGATCAGCGACCACATGGTATGTGACGTTAGGGAGAGCGTACGATCAATGCGGAACTAGCTCCGCGCAGTTTCCATGCGTGTTGGAGTGAGTCTTAGCCACAACACTTGCACAATTCGTCAGGCTGAATGCTCGTCATCTATGAGATTTGTTCTCAAGCTTGGACACGCGCCAATTCTGAGAATGACCAGCTTCTCACGGCTGCTACCTCACGACTGCTACTAGGCACGCCTGCTCAAGCTGTTAGATACTTTGTTAACCTGAGGATTCTACATTACACTCTCCATGTGGCGCCGCATGGGTTTCCTGCTCGTGGGCTGAGTTGTTCTGCGCTTGGCCAGAACTCCACCAACCGACGCTGACTCGCACGCTGTTGGCGCTTTCATCCTGAACACGGCGTTCATGGCTTCGTGTACATCTTGTCGGTTGTTAAGGGCATGGGGTTTACAACTTCTGCCCATGCTCCCCTGGCCTTGAGACCGGTCCAGACTCAAAATGGACCTGCATATTTCAACCCAACGTGGTTACAGGGACCTACCCAGCAAAGGATCGTCGCGCGACAGCTGTCACTTTCGACCGGGTTACGAAACTTCGACCGGGTCACAGAACTATTCCTGCTGCAAGACATTGGAAATCGGCTTTAGATGCCGGTCTACCTACTTGTAGCATCTTGTTGCGTATAAAACCCCTGGTCGGAATGGAACGGCTTACCGCATTTCTCTGGTGGCAGAATCATGCCGAGTCGAACATGGAGAGCAACAGCCAGAGGAGTGTTTCTCCGGGTTTCTGAGCGCTTCTGCAGAGGAGCCTGACGTGACTTTTACACTTTCGGTAACCGCGCCCGTAAACCAATACAGGAGGGATACTCGGATGCTCATACGAAGGCTGTCGTGCGGTTACTCGCACCGTCTCATTGCTAACCTACGCGTCTCGACAGGAATATGAACATGGGTAAGGTATATGATGGAGAAGGATATTGCTCAGCTGCGCTCGGTCCACCACATCGTGATTAGGTCCCAGCGCTAACGGACAGTTGCTTGCGAATGCGAACAAAGAGGACGCCCTTGGTCTGCACGCCGGCGCAGTCGAAAAGATGGATCATACGATACCCACTCGAGAGGCGGTCAAGACGGAAACACGCCCAAGCGGCTAGATCATCCTTCATCCTGTCGTCGTCCATGACCTTGAATCTATTTGCAAACGTCAGTTTCCGAATCAACCGAACCCCCTCACACCGCTCATGTGATTTCAATCCCGTGCTCGATCCACGGCACTGGACGCGACGTCTGTGCAACGGTCCGCGCCGACCCATGCGGGGAAGTACAGGTCTCGACACCCGCAAAGAAGAAAAATATGACTGACCTGACGAAGCTGAGTTCCGGCACCACCCCCGTCACGCCGTCGAACCTCAGGACCTCGCGCCTGAAGTCAGGACTGCAGCCCCTCGTTGTCGCCGTATGCCGCTTGTACTCTCCCTCGCGTGCCTCGCCGCCGCCAGGTATTCGCTCGCCGAGCCGCTCTTCGGGCTTCTCAACGTGTAGTTCGACCTTGACGTACGGCTTGAAGCTCCTCTCCTTCTCATCTGGCGGCAGAGGAAGATCTTGCCCAGCGAAAAATTCGATATACATGTCGAGATTCGCGTACGAAGCAGCATGCTGCTGCTGCGTGGCATCCGAGACGCCGCGGTAGCCTTCCGGCTTCAGAATCCAACCGCCCGTGCCGGCGAACATGGCTTCGTTGAGCATGGTGCCAGCGTCCCACTTCTGCCAGTTCAAGGCAACGATCTGGACGCCTTTGCGCCAGAAGACTGCCGGGTCGAGATTCGAGGAAGAGAAGCGGACGCCTTTGGGATAGGCGCGCATCAGGAAGTTCTTGTTGTGCGAGAATAACCCTCGAGGGTCGCTTTCGTGAACCTCCATCAGAACGCCTTCTGATAAGGAGAAGATGTGGGTAGGTATTCTGGCCTCAGGCTGGCTGAAGCTCTTGAAGTGGTAGCTCCGCGTGTACACTCCTAGCCGGCTTAGCTCTTCGAGCATCTTGCTCTTCGGTTTCTTCACTTTCGCCGGCATGTCTTCATCCGAGCCTGAGGATGTATCTTCAGGCTCTTGGACAGGCGCTTGATTGGCTTCCGCAGGCGGCGTCGGAGGAGAGTACTTAACCTTCACTAGGATCTTCCTTTTCAGATCCGCGAGCTGTGGGAGAGGCAGGTCGGCGCAATCGTCAGGGTTGGCAGGCGGCTTCATGAGCATGTCTTTCCAACACTGTTCCATGATCTCCACCATGATCGCTTGCTGCTCTAGACTGGTATGGACCTCGAGACTGATGATAACAGGCAGCTCGCTTGTAACAAATGCATAGTCTCGGATCGCAGAGCACACGTCCCGGAAGGGGACCTCCTTCGTCGCGGTATACCCATGGAGGACCCTCGGCTCAACACGGTTTGTGTCCACTCGCCACGGCTCGATCCTTTCCGAAGCTGCGCTGTTAGGCGGAGCTGCTGGAGGAGCAGACCTCAGCTTGTCCCTGGCCGACGACTTCCCCTTCAGCAGTCCTTTCAGGCGCTTGCGGAGACTTCGCTCTTCCCCCTCCTCGGCTTCGTTCTCAGAGGACGAGGGTGAATCATCCTCGCCGTCCCAGACGTCGATCTCGACGCACCGGCACCCTCTCAACAGCACGTTTTTGTAGCCCTCGGTGCTCGAGTCGCTCGTGAGTTGATTGCCGGTCAAATAGGTGTTGTGACTCGAGGAAATGTAGTAGTTCGAGATGGGGTAGGATAGATCTGTCGGTGGGGGTGGTGCGAGAGCGCTGCCAGAGTTGCTCTGCAGGTAGTGTAGGAATGATTCGAAGCTTTCCTGCCCTTGGCTTGCTTCCCATGCTCTTCTGGCGTAGTTTGTGATTGTCTCGTGTAAGCTGTGGAGTAGCTGGGATCGTTGGGACTCTTCGGGCACGCCGCCTCCGGCTTGCATTGTTGCAGGCACGGCTTGCCCGTGGGGCAGGGCGACTTCGCCGTGGTGATCCATGCTGGAAGGAGTCCGATGGGTATTAACGGGGTTGTCGAAGAGTGGTGGTTCCTTTAGAGGTGGGAGAAGGGGTGTGGGTCCTTCATGAAACAGCAAAGCATGGTTGTTGTCGTGGATCTTGGCGGGCAGCTTTCAGGCTGGGCCCACATGATGCGTTGGCTGGGCAGGACAGGCCAATTGGCTGTTCTTGGTGAAGTACTGCTACGCGGTTCAGAGCTGCTCACTGCCACATAGCTTGTACCGCAGGTACTGAGAGAGTTCTTCGACTAGCAGGTACGCGACCGTCAACACAGCTCTGGCAGCTAGGATGCATCTCCACGCCAAGCCATGAACGTCACCAGGGTCTCTCGCCATTGACAGTCGTGACAGAAACCGTGCCGCTTTTGTCCAGGAGCGTTGACAGGTTGAGCACAGCAAACCACTATGAAGTCACAGCGAGAGGCGGAGCAAGAGGTCAGATCTTGGGGGTTCAATACTGTTTTTACGTGGACGGACGGGCCGTAAGCCAAATTCCTTTTCGTCCATCTTACTATTGCAGTGAAAGCTAACGGATGTTGCCAGTAACGCGCATTATCCTCCACACAAGCACAGCGGCCTAACGACACACCTAATCCTCCGCGGCGAGCTCACGATCACCTATCCACAGGATCCATCGCCTACAAAGGAGACGTTCGGACCGGGCGCGCGAGTTGATGTGGACTCTCACAGGTTGCACGAGGTGTGGATGGGTAAGGAGGGGTGTAAATACGTCATAGGGGAGTAGCGTATCAAGATGATATGGAAGCGAAGTGCAGTGGTATGGTAGCGCTGTCTTTCTTGAGGGAAGAAGCGAGATAAGGGAAACGAACCCATACGCCTGAGGCCCACGACTACCTTAAGATGTAGTGCGAACTCCGAAACCAACGCCTTGACATGCACAGCAAAGGTATCGTCAGCCGAGACGCAACGCCATGGTATGGCCAAAACACCTGTCAAGGTACAACTACTCCTCCTCTACCGCCCCCCATCCGCCCCGTCTTCCGCGGCCGGCTCCTCGTTACCAGCCCACCACAGCAACGGTCCTAGGCCGCCCTGCTGCATGGAACCCTAGTTTAATCAACACAGGCCCGGATCTCCGGCGCGTAGAGAGAAACATACCACAAGACAGTACAGTGGCTCGCGTTTCTCACCTTCCACGTCCTGGTCCCGACGCGTAGGCCCCTGCGGCAGTGCATCGTGCCAGGTCTCAGCTTCGACGCGGAACCGGACGGTTTCGTTGTTGTCGAAGAAGTACTCCGTACCTTCCTCAGTCGTCCAGACGAAGCAACCTTCGTTGTGTCGACTGCTGCGTGTCAAAACGCTTTGATGCACTACGTCAAGGGTGGAGATGGGGGCACGCACTACTCGGAGCCCTCGAACAGGCCGACGAAGGGGACTTTTATGTCGCTGAAGAAGTCCATCGTGACTGCACGCGCCGCGTCAGACTCTAACCTACAGACCGGATATGCATTCCGACAAGGATGTTCGTCTTACGGTTAATGCCAGCCTCGCTAGAGCTCTCGATCCTGCCCTGGAGAATCTCGCCTTTGAAGGGCCGGAAGACGACGATGCGGAATTCGACGTTCACATTGACGATGCCGGTGCCGTGGCCGATGAGACCCTCGGAGGAGGAGAGGATGTCGTACAGGCAGATGCAGAGACCGATCTTTTGAATGATCTTGTTGGCATATTTGGCATTGATGTTGTCGGTCAGCGCGTGGATGCTCGGCTTCTCGAAGTCTTCTGGGGTGATCTGGATCAGGTCGGAGATTGTGGTCTTGCGAGAGTGTTAGTGAAGCTGTTGACGATTGGGTCTTTGGCATCCTTTCGCGCTGCTATCTCGATACGTGCATCTCTATTAAGAACTTGAAGGATGGAGTATCGTCATGTGATTTCTGATTGCTACGACGTAGAAGCTCTTACTCACAAGGATGTACATGGTCGCTCAAAGAAGTTTCATATCCTGAGCCAGCCGAAAGGGTGATGAGTTTTAAAGAAGAAGGCAGAGCAGTGAAATCGCATTCGTAGGAGTATCATTCAGAATGACAATAGCAGAGCGATCAATAGCCCGGCTCGCACTCAGAAAGTTCACTCTGGTAGAGCTACTTTTCTGCCAGTCAACCACTCACCGCCCCGCACACGGAACGAGCTCCGCAACGCGTCTACCCACACCACCTCACTCTTACAACACATCACTGGTAACACCCTACAATATTCGAGCCACCCTATCTGCCATAGATCTGGTTTGGGAGACTGGCTATTCCATACGGTACGCGAGCGTTTCATTCTCTTTCCAGATTAAAGAGTAGCAATGAGTTCGGGTTTCTCATTCCCTCCACCGCCTCCGCCGCCTCCCCGGGCAGCCTCTCCGCAATATGGCACAGGTCCCCCAGCGTATGGCCAGAGTAACGACCGAAGCTTTCGCGGGGGTCGAGGCGGCAGAGGCGGAGGTGGTAGAGGCAGAGGGCGAGGCGACAACCACCGAGGCCGGGGATTCAGTCAACCTGGTTCTGGCTCCTCAGGCCGAGGCGGCAGTGGGTATTCTGATGGAGGTGCACGCTTGAATGCGCAGACGCCAATGACAGGAATCCCACAAAACCAGCAGTATCCACGCGGATACCCTCTCCCACAATACCCTCAAATGCAGCAACAGCAAGCATACACCCAGGCTCAGTACAACATGCCTGCAGCTACCGCCGCTCAATACCAGGCTTCATGGTACTCGGCCTCCAATACAGCCTCTCAGGCTCAGTACGGCGCATCACCGCACTCTCAGTCATACCATTCATATTCCACTACAGCCCAAAGCTGGCCGTCTGTAGGGTCGCAGCCACAGAGCACACCTCTAGTCATGGGTCCTCCCATCAGAATGGGGTTTGACAACAGTCACCCTCCGGACCCTCCACGTCCGTATTCAACGAAACATGATTCTCCCAACCCCTTCCCTGGCAACAACAAGCGGAAGCGCGAGCCTCCAACGAGAGGCACGCACAGTACGCATCAGAGCCACAATTCCTCTTTTCACAATCAGCGTCATCATCACAATGGCAAGCCAGACAAGGCGAAAGCCAAAGTCGCGCCCCAAGTTCCCAATTTCGGCTTCGCGCTTTCTACCCCGCAAGCAGCGCAACCTTCTGCCGACTCAACTGACAAACCCAAGAAGAAGAAGCGAAGAAAGCACAACCAACTCGGCCTCACCCCAAAGGGCGAAGAGCACGAAGACAGCGAGGATGAGATAGACGAGGAGGCTGCCTTCGCCAGTGCTGGCGGAGCGTGAGTGGCTTGCCCTGGTTTCGGTCAATGGATGCTGACATGTTTGACATCAGGCTTCAATTCACCCACAATGGACTGACCTCCACCCTCAACACACCCACCGATCTTGCGGCATGGATCCAAGAGCGCAAGAACCGCTTCCCAACGAAAGCTCGCATCGAAGAGAAGGAGAAAGAGAAAGAGCGCCGACTTGCTGAGGCACGCGCGGCGCGGCAGGAAGAGGCCGAGCGTCGAAAGAAGAGACACGATGAAGAGATTGAATCTCAGAAGAAGGTTAAGAAGGAGAAAGATGGTGGAGGTCAAGACGATGAGCAAGAACGGAAACGAGAGAAGTATCTTGCTAAGGCCGAAAAGCTGCGACGGAAGCTCGAGAAGAGCGAGAGGAAGGCGGCAGCATTGGCGGCAGGATCATCGACCGCTAAGCCAGACTCTCCAGCACGTGATCCGATGCAAGCTATTACGGCAGCTGAGCCCCCCGTTGTAAACGACAAAACAGCGGTCAAACTCGAACCTCAACCAGATATCGTTCTCGAGCCTGTATCGGCTGATCCCGCGACAATTGTTCCCAACCCAGAGACCGACAGCGTTATCACAGACGTCCAGCTTCCAAACGAGAACCCGATGCTGAATGCCCTTCCCACCACGGTCCTAGCAACTCTGGAAGACACGTTAACTCTCAAGTACGACATCGAACAACCGAAACCCGACCTCGGTCTCTCCTACGCCGCTTCCACGAGCTCCGACAATGATTCCGAAGACTCCATGTCCATCTCGAGCTCGTCCTCCGACGCCTCCTCCGACGCCTCCGACAGCGATGCTCCGCCTACTGAGACATCCTCGCGGCGCACAGGCCCAACCAAAGTCCCGCCACCCCCGCGCGATGGCACCCGCAAACCGCAGCAGGGTACGAAGGTGTGCAGGTACTTTGCGAAGCACGGCCGCTGCAATCTGGGCGCGAGATGCGGGTTCAGGCATGATCAAGGAGACGAGAAGAGCGGAAAAAAGGAGAGAGGCGGCATGAAGCTCTTTGACAGGTTGGTGGAGCAGGAGCGGAAGGAGGAGGCGGAGCTGGCACTTAGTGCTATCAAGTATCTTGGCAGTAACGGCTTTCTGGGATGAGGTGGGCGGAGACTTGCGCTGGTCTGGCTGAAGTGATCCAAGAGCTACCTCTACGGAACGATGAAGGGGGGTGTTATAGCTGCAGTGTAGCTAGGTAACCTGAGCAAGATTAACTCTCGCTGGCTCGTCATCTGTCCTACACCTTTTAAGGCTCTTTCTTCCATCTCTTTAGTCGCCCTTTGCCGGTCCACCACACCAGCCACTCTCGTAAACTCTGTTCGTGCATGCCGTTCACTGTAGATCGTAGCGACGAGGACGACAACTGACAGATCGCACGTGCCTTCGTGTCTCTCAGCCCTCTCATTCCAAGTGAATCCCACATGACCTTTAGACCATCAGTGCAGAAAGCGTCTTCAAGCCCTTCATCAAAGTGGCCTACCGGACTGTGAACGGCGCAGTCCTTCGACATACCCAATCTCCAATTTTTCAAATATCAATGCTACATAAGTCATTTAGCCCAGTGGTTATATCAATTCTCACTTGTGGAACTAACTTATGGGCCAGCAAAGTCAACATCTAGGCCTGGAAAAAAAATTCCCCAGCATGATGGGGATTTTCTCAGAAATGAGTTTTTGCTGTTTTTGCCGCTTTGGCGAGTTTCCTTGGGACTAGCCTTCGGGCTGTGAGTTTTTGATGCTTTTATTATTTAAGGGTACTTCGCGGAACTGGATGGGGAGTTTGGAGGACAGTTAAGGGCAAGTTAACCGTGTAAATACAAAGATTAACGTAGTGATGGTTGAAGAGCTTCGAAAATCAATGCGGGAGACGAGCAATACGTTGGAGCTTCGAGGTACATTCCGTGTTGCTCCCTCTAGAGCAGTCTTGGATGCGACTACTATCCAGCAATTCCCTTAATATTCCGAGCATGTCAAGGACCACATAAGAGACACAATCCTCACAGCTGCTGCCATATCACAGTAACAACAGCAAGCAGCGCCGCCGCCACTATGGCCAGATCCTCCATTTGCTCTGCAGCAAGACTGACATCAGGCTTCGTAGGCGGGACATAGCCAAACCCAAGCGGCTCGCCCTGTGTCGCTGCAAGCCAGGCAACGTCGTATCCACTCCGATACCCGTCGTTGTATGCATCGCGCTGGTCGTTCCGGCAGCTTCCACGACAATACGGCATAGCGTCGGTTTCGTTGGTCTTGTAGGCTCCGCCTTGCTTGCCGGTCCACCAGCCAGCTACGTAGCCCTCATGGTATCCGAGGCGGCCGAAGCTCATTTCTGGAAGGAGACTTGGGACAGCCGGGAAGGTTTGGGCGGCGAGAATGATTGTGCGATTGAGCTTCTTGTCGAGGGGATTCCGTGAAATCGTTGGTCTTGATGGAGCGGCGTTTGTGGTTGTAGGCGGCGGCAAGGTGCTCGGCGGCGAAGATAATGAGATTTGAGTCATTGTGTTTCGATTTTGTGAGGCCACAGTCTGAGCTCTGACTTGTGCGAGCACGGCGGTAAAGATCGAACATAGGAGGAGATTGGATGACTTCATTGTTGAGATTGAGGCCTCGAGAGTTGTTCCTGATGAAGTAGCGACGAGTTATGAGTTGGAAATATCGGTGGTGATGGGCAAGCAAAGGTTTTACAGAAAAGATATAATTAAGGTCGGAAGTGCCATCGTTCGACCACATTCAGAGCCAAGGATTTGTCCAAGAGAACCTGGGAATCGCGGACTCTCTCAATCACGGTAACATTGACAAAGTGAGAATGGACCAGCAAATTCTTGAGGTGGCAAATTGCTCAGCCCGCTATGAGATGGTTGTCGCCATTTCACTGGAAAAGCGTTGGGAAGTTGGTGCTGACAGTGTGCTGCAAACAATGGACAAAAAGAACACAGGTCTTCGAAGAGGATTCCCAAAACAGCACATCCACCATCTGTACACTTGTTTATTAAAATGCGACATCGAAAGTTGTATGTCGGCAGGCCGTGTAGAGAAGCCGAACTCTACCCGGAATTTTGTATGCCCACGATTTCTCATGGCTGTAGTGTTGTGCTACGAGTCCAAAGTGAATCGCGCGGTTCTCTTATACCATCATTCTTCGAGTCGAGGATACAAATCGTGGAACCCCGACGTCCCACGCAAAGCAAGCAAAAATGCTACCGTATTCGGGGAATGGAAGGTGTTCGTGGAACGACTGCGAAGGTGGCAACGTTCTACAATAGCTTGGAGCTCATTCGCGCTTCTTTCTACAATCAACGCTGTGATTCTGGCGACCGCCATGGCTCTGACCCGCTTTGACTCTTAGGCGCCGCTATTATTGTCGTGAACCTTGACGGAAAGTGCTCGTTCCCCCTAGCCCGCATCACTATCTGGGCGACCGCCAGCGTACCTGTGCAGGTAATATATCGTGCCGTTGCGTCTGTCTTTGTCGGCACGAGCTTACGCTGTTGTCTTCGTCGGCCTCCGCTATTACGCTGGCGTCAATCAGTGCCCTCACGCCCATAGCAATCGTTGTTGCCGTAGTCGCCACTGTTGTGATTAGTATCTAGTGATTGTGGAAGTGTAGCGGCATTCTACGCTAATCGCCAATTCTGTATCTGGAGGTCTGTGAAGATAATCAGCACCATCGGCCTTCCACGCACTACGCTAGGTTTGAAACCTGTAAACTTCTAGCGGTATATGTTGAGGATACCATCTAAAAAAACATCTTGGACAAACCTGGTAGTCTTCTAACATCCGCGTCGAAATACCATGCAACGAAAAAGCAGGAAATTACCAACCCAGAACCAAGAACAAGACTTGGACAGTCACCGCCACTGGCCTGATGGGTTTCGGAGCTGCTACCGGTTTACGAATCCGCTTTCATCGTTCGTGCGCGACCAAGACTGGCTTCCGAAGTCGGAGATTCCCAACAGACCAAGTACTTGCGCGTCGCGCCCAAAATTCAGTCGACAGGCAGTACGGCAAAAGCATCCCTGCGGAAAACTCGCAGAGCCCGCATAAGGTGAACAGCAAGTCAAGGTGTGATACTCTTCGACAGCTCCATATTGACTTTACAGCTTCGCCGTCAGGAAAATTTTCCACATGGGTGGAGCCATATAGATATCCAGGGATCAAAGAACGCAAGCCTGTCTAAGACATACTCAGTGGGATGCTGGCAAACCCGCCAAGCAAGAAACTTTGATAGCGGAAGCATGATCGACCGGGATGACAAGCCTGAGAGAGGCCATTGAGGCGTGAATAAACGGAGAACCCTTGAATGTCACAACGCATTATGCATTCGCGAACATAGAAAAGAGCAACTAACGGCTGGTCGAAGGGTGCTCAGAGTTGTCTTCGCTGTCTTGCCGGCGGTAACAGGATGCGTGCAGAGAAGATGAAACGCAGAGTGCAGAGTGGAGTATAGCGGATGACCGAACCATTCGACGCCAGTTGGTGCTATGCCGCTAAGTGAAGCTGGACTATCATCCAACCCTGGTGAGCACGGTATATCGCACTCTCTTGTAGTATACAGCCACGAACCTCAACTCCTGACATACTACATGCCATGATCGCCCAACTCCGAAATCGTTCAAGGCTCCTTCAATGCGTCTTCCCATCATCGTACAGTTGCCGCCACAAGCTGCCTATAGTGTCTTCGCCACAGCCTGACCAGAATCTTGATCTGTCCACAGGCCTTCCTGGGCCTTCACGAGTTCGCATCGATATCCGCAAAAAGCTTCTTTATCTTCGCGCGCTCGATCTTGGCTTTCTCTCGGTTGGTCTCCGTCCTCTTGAGCCGTTGTGCGCGCAGGCATTTGTTCACCTGCGTTTTCTCGCCGTTGCATCCGCCTATCGAGCGCCAGAGGAAACCGCGAGCGTGGCAGTCGTCGAGGGCTTTCATGACTTCTTCGCAGGCTGAGATGGGTTAGTATCTCATTGCGGCGTAGGGTGGCGCGGGCTTGGAGGAGTAATTGGGGGGTTGGGGATCACGGCGATGAACGCACCTCCATTGTCTTTGGTGTGCAGATGTGGATGCATCTTGGGCCGATAGTGGCTATGTCGTGTGCGATTCAGCGCTGACGGATCACTGGCTGTCGTCGTCCGCCGGATGTGGATGTCGAGGTGAGGTGGAGCTCGAACGAATTCAGCCTCACGGGTCCATCCGCACCGGCGATCACAAGCTCCGTCACACGTACATCCTCACGTCAACCGAATAACGGGTGCATCTATCACAATATCACGAAACTTGGACAGCGAGCAAGCTGTGCGACCACCATGTCACAACAGCAAATGTCCGCGAGGAAGCAGCAGGGTACGCTCTCTACAAATCGCCATGCGCAAAGCATTTTGGCTAACCCGCAAACCAGAGCTTCAGACGCAGTACTCGAACTACAAGAACAACCTCCAACAGATCGCACAGAAGATCGGCGACGTCGAGCAAGAAGCCGAAGAGCACAAGTACGGAGCTCCTACAACCCCTTCCACAACCGTTTTCCGGCAACACACCGCTCCTTCTGTCACGAGTCATTACTCCGCGAGAACACCATCTTCTTCCCCACACCGCTTCCACGTAGACTCGCCACAATTTACTCGAGGTCGAAGACTAAAGACACTGCCTTAGGCTCGTACTAGAGACACTCGAACCGCTGCCCGGGGAACGGAAGTGCTTCCGCCTAATCAACGGCGTCTTGGTGGAAAGAACGGTGAAGGATGTAGTGCCGGCGCTTCGGATGAATTCCGACGGCTTGAAGAAGGTCCTGGACGATCTGTTGAAGCAGTACAAGTCGAAGCAGGATGAGATGGAGAAGTGGAAGGTACGTCACGCGCGAAGTCGGCATGTCTACACCGAGTTTGTCGATTCAGGACTGGCAATTTTGCATGCTCAGTGGCTTACATTGATCAAAATGCAGAAGAAGAACAATATCCAAGTCGTCCAGCAGTGAGAGATCGACGGGTTGGGTTCAACACTACGCTCCGGTTTGCAGTAGATGCCTAGAACTGCACACACCTTTTCCAAGGAGCACGATAAGCAGGGAACCCATTCGGCAACCAAAGGAGACGAAACCCAAGATGAGAACTTGCTTCGAGCAGCGAAGAAGTCGCTTGAGCTCGTGGCACATGAGGCACTCGCCGTACCGCAGTTGAGCATAGGCGTCACGGTCGTGATATCAGCCTTTGACAGCGGGTGCTTGGCGGTTAGTACGACAATAGCTCGGTTCCAGCTCTTTTGCATTGCAGGATCAGGCGCTCCATGCGAACGCTTCCTATCCTGCATGTTTAGCGGCATGTGTGCCCTTCGAGAGCGAGTAGTGCGCTTCGGTGCACACCTCGGTTGTTGCGCATTGGACATGCGCTGTAAATACTCTATGTGCATGGTAGGGCTTTGGGAGGGCTTCCTTGAGCTCTATCTTGGGTATGCGCGCAGCGGTAGCTACGTAGCTCTTGACCTAGTCACACACGAAAAGAAAATTAGTACACTCCTCAGCTACCTGGACAGCATCTTCCGAGACAGCTACGCAGCGGTGAAGTATCGTCAATTCCGGGGTAACGGTGTGTGGCAGGGCTGAAGAAGTGGCGCATATTGGCTTTATGCAGGATGCGCTGGCGCGCAAACTTTCCACGCCCGATCTACAGCCTAACAGCTCGCTCAGCATCATGCATCTCCCAAAGACGTGGGCACAATGCTCATAGGATACCAGAATGGAGCCCGACGGTCAGGTACAACTGCGCCGGGTCTTGATGTGACTGGCTGCTCCAACGTCACTTCACGATGGGCGAGGCTGCGACGAGGCTGCATCTGACGATGCCTGTTTCAAGCTTCAAGAACCGACCCCACAGCCGTTTTTCTCGGCAGTCGCGCTGTCAAGGGCAGGACCGCATCTCGGAAAGGATGTTGGGTTGTCGCTGCCCTTGATTACGCGGTTGTCTCGAGTAAAATCTGCCGTCAAGGTTTTCTAATGCGAGTCTTCGCAGCCGCGCAACCTTGCTTCGAGCAGCTGCCGACGTAAGGACATGCACCAGCGGCAAGGACCCCCGTATACCAACTCTCAATGATTTTAATTTTGCACACGATGTTGACCGCAACTTGACCGAACATGCCGAAAATTCAAGGTCCTTCCTGTCTGAGTGTACGGAGGACGTTGCAGAAAGGTTTAGATAGCGGCTCGAATAAACAAAATATAGACCAATGAGCAAATGACAGAACAAACTACGGCCTTGAATTCTCCGAAGCACAACGGCGGCGCGGGATTCGTCAAATGAGGCGATGTGACTCCACGACTGCGGGACAAAGCCAATCACTGAGTGGTGATCCGGGAGATGCTCTCCATTTGAGAGCCGGCGACAGGCTGGCAACGGTCCAATTCTCCGATGCAATAGCCAAGCAACGGCCAAGCAACTGCCTCGATAAAGAGCTTCTTTTCCCGAGCATCCACAACATTGGAGGATGGGCGATTCGCGGCGCAGCCCCGAATTTCCCCGCTCGCGATTGGATGGGGCAGCGCCATAAAGTGCGAGCAGTGCTCTAGCATTATCCTCGTTTCCAACCACTGGCCAGCAGGTCCTCGATTGCTTGTGCACCAGCCTCAAGCCTCGTCTGTCGTCATAGAGAGCCGTCCGGCGCGCGAGAGATTGCTGAGCGCTGGGAACTCCCCAGACAAAGAGCATCGACAACATCGCTCCCACGGTCGGGGGCTTGCGGGCCTTCCGTGCTGGCGGCTGGGCGGCTGGCACCTCGCTCAGATAGCTTGGGGCTCTTTCTGCCTAGTCTCTGCCCTTAGCTCTCCAATTCTGTCTTGCTGTTGGGGTAGCTCTGACCGACGTTGTCGCATACTGCGTTTCTGCCGCGACCATTTCTCAAGCTTGTTCGACCAGCACGCCAGCCCATCGCGGCCCCAGAACCCCGCGACTTTTATGCGTTTCGGCCTGACCCAGCCTCAGGTATTGCTGCGCGTCACCCGTCGGCCATTGCGTTGTACATGTCAGCGTTGCGCCGAGGAGGAGCGGTAACGTGTCGTCGCGTCAAGGACGCCGGCGGAGAGCTCAGGGTATGGGGGCAGCCTTGACTTTTCAATTGACTCCCAACTGCCCAGGCAACGCAAGTGGAAGTGACTGGTCACAATTGGGTAACTGAGCATGTCACAGTTCACGCAAAGCTGCAGCGCCCAAGGCCTGCACCCGCCCTATCCCTAGACCGACTTCCCCGGCCCACTGCCCCCTTACACGCCACGACGTCGCGCGGGACCAGTCTGCTGTCAGCGGCCAGCGCTCTCTGCTGCACGTCGACCGAGCATACCTTAGTGCTGCAGCAGAAGCTTCCCTGGCATAAGGCACGGCTAGCGACATCCGCCGCTTGCCTTGCACCCAGGCTCTCGTTGCACAGGATCGGCTACGCTTAGCACGCAACGAACTGGTTGCATCCCGGGTCGACCGCTCTGCTCGGTCTGACGTGGACGGCCAGCGAATAACTGGCGGCAAGGACAGCTCACCGCAGGCAGAGCCAGTGGCTTGGGCCCGCTGCAAGCAGCCGGATAACATGTCGGCGACTCCCCCGAAGAAGGGGGGAGACGAAGTAGGAGAGCAATCGCCTGGAGGATCGGAAACGCGTGGTATGGACAGAGAAACTCAGGATACACAAGCGCAGGGACTCGGCTACGAATTCGAAGTCAAGGAGCAGGACCGATGGCTGCCTATAGCAAATGGTTGGTCCTTTTATGTGCACCTTCCGAGTTTCTGATTTGCGCGCTTTCCTACTTCCTGCATGTCGACAAAAGCTGTCGCCGGTGTCGCTTCTCTCAGCAAATCGCCGCGCTTCCGTCGTCTCAACCGTCAAATCAGCTCCAACCTCGACTGGACGCTAAATTTGCTGTGATTCGCGAACACTGGTGGCTCAGAAACGGCCGGCGTGCAGATCGACTATGTCCTCCGGATCCCAGCCGTCGTCTTCCTCCCCGCCACCACAACGCAGCGGATCTAGAGGCGCAGCTGGCAATGTCGCGAACGATGCTAATATTCGTAACTTCGCTCCAGTCGCGCGCATCATGAAGATGGCCTTGCCCGAGAACGCCAAGATCGCCAAAGAAGCCAAAGAGTGCATGCAGGAATGCGTGAGCGAGTTCATCTCGTTCATCACGAGCGAAGGTCAGTCGTTGAAGTTGTTCGTGCCCTTGTTAAGACTTCTGACGGAATTTTCAGCCTCCGAGAAGTGCCAACAAGAAAAGCGCAAAACGGTCAACGGCGAGGACATTCTGTTCGCGATGACCTCACTCGGATTCGAGAACTACGCCGAAGCGCTGAAAATCTACCTGGCACGGTATCGCGAAGTAAGTTGCCCATCCCCTCCCCTCTCCATCTCGTTTGTCGCCGCAACTTGGCAAAGACGAATATCTGAACTCTCATATTGATTGGTGCCTCGAGACCCTCATCGCAAATCAGAACAGGCCAGTCAGTGGCCACACTGCCAGTGGAGCAGCAGCCACCAGTGCCGGGGCCGTCAGCGGCGCAGGGTCAAATGCGGCCTCCTCCTCTGCCCACAACCAGCCGGAGGGCGCCAACCACAACCTGTTGAGCACGGAGATGGATCCTTCGGAGATGGACACCACGACGTTCGGCTACGCCGTCGGCCACACCAACGGCAACGGCGCCGCAGACGACTAGCCGCGCCGCCGGGAGATGAGAGTCAGTTCAAGCTAAAGCAAGACCTCACATCTGACTTTCTACGGCAAAGATGGCGTTTGGGGCATCGCAAGAGACGGAGAAAGCGTTGGCGTTGTGCAAGAGGTGGAGGAAGTCACAGATTGCTTGTAAGATGCGGAGAGAGCGGCGAGTAGGGTCTTCTTTTCGGGCCTGTATAATTGCAATGTTAGGCGGCTATCTCTTGCATTCCTGTCCAATATCAGCCTTGAGCACGCGCTTCTGGGTACGTAGCGGATTAGTGGAGGATTACTGAAGGGCTTAGTCTTCCACATGTACATTTTTGAGCTAAGTGGATAAGTCCTGGCAGCGCTCGGAGATGGGGAGGGATGGGAACGTTCATTGTTAGATCTTGTCGAGCTCACGCATGTAGCGCACGATATATGCGCGAGTAATATCACTAATCTGACACTGCGCCTGGGCTATCACACTGACTGTGAGAACAAGAACTACCGAGCCGTGGTGTATCTTGAGAGATCTGGGTAGGAGCTCAAGTCCGTCGCGACCATACGCTCTCAGAACCCATCGGTAGCATGAGGACCTCTCCGCGCTCCACAAATGAATTCTCACAGCGGTTCCACTCCACCGCTCTTCGCCCCAACATTCTCGACGTAGGTGCGAGCTCTTGGTTTCCCACTGGAGCTGACCTCAAAAACTCAACGGAGCCTGTCTCCGCCATGCAACACGACTGGAAAATCCGCCAGCACTGCAAGAAAGAGACCCCCAAACAGTTTTCAAAGCTTGCAAACACCTCTACCGCCCCAACCCCGTCATGCGAAACGACGGGCCGACGCGACGTCCTACGGAAACTCTGGAGATTGCCTTATCCGGACAGGAGTACGATCCTTACACTCATTGGATGGCTGGACGGCTGGACGGTGGTGCTGCGAACCCGTCACACCCGTTCTTCCCCCCCGACTTCAAGCTCGTCCATCGGTCCACAGCGTCCAGAGGTCACACGAGACCCTGCCGAATGATCAGTGTCCCCATGCTGTAGTCCTCGACTTGCCTTACCATGTCGCCGTGGGGGTTTCGTATCATTCATATGCTAGTACGCGAGAAGACATGCTCATCTCCTCTCAAGGGCTGGAGGCTTCTTGTCTTCTGATAGGTACCTTACTTTGCTATGGGGGAGTTTCGTCTCGTGCGACTCTCGCTGCCCGCGGTGCCGCTAGTTTGCATGGTGGCGTGCGGTTCCTGCTTTGCGGACGCAATGCAAGATCAAGAGTATGGAATTCACCTAATGGATAGACTTGGACAACGCACTCGTTTAACATGAATACGGCTTTAGCGGTAATCACTAGTAAACTGTGACATCAAGGAGAGCCCTGTCTGCGTTAGTTCACTGGTGTAAATCGGCAACGGTCTCATTGAGCGATGGACCTGCTAACCATTTGCATTCTTCATATAGATGAAGTCTCCTACCCAAGCTCAAATCTGTTCTCAGCAGTCGCCTCGAAAGCGTTGCACAACTAATTCTGAAGTTAGCTCAAAGACACCTGGATAGCTGCCCGTAGTTGCAGCTCCCTTGCCTGCTGCTTAGTCCGAGCGGATGACGCGATTTATCGCAACTGCCGTTTACGGTAATGCGTCAATAGCCGGCCAGTGCCGACCAAGAATGCTGACATATTGGATGCTCCATGTTGGCCGCAAAGCCATTGACTAAGTGTGCATGTCAAATATAGAATACGAGGGCTACAGAATTAAAGTGCTTTCGAGTTTACGCCGCTCGAAAGATAAAGACTCCGTTCCAACCCTAAGTTGCGTCAGAATCACCTACCGTTGCGTCGAGCCAACGTTGTCCACTGCGCGCCCTCACTATTGAACACACCAGATCGAATATTCCGCACTAAACCGCCTACTGCGCTGTACGCACGATTCTTAGACATCTAAAAGAACATGGCTCTCGGCGAACATTCCATTGAGACCCCTCCGCGGGCGGCGTCTCCAGTGCATCGATTCGGAACTCTCGCCGTGCATGCGGGCTCGCCCCACGATCCAGTCACAGGAGCTGTCATAGAACCTGTACGTTGCGCAAACCCGCAAAGAGCCTCAAATCCGAGACAATACCTTAGCTAACCGCCGCGAAGATCTCCTTGTCAACCACCTTTGCGCAAAGCTCCGTCGGGAAGCCTGTCGGGCTCTACGAATACACACGAAGCTCGAATCCCAATAGGTAATCATCCAACGGGCGACTCGTGTGGTACTTTATAGCTAACCTGTCCTTGCAGAGACAACTTCGAGACCGCCATCGCAGCCCTAGAACACGCCCGCTATGCCCTCGCCTTCTCCTCCGGCTCCGCAACGACAGCCACGATCCTTCAATCCCTCGCCGCGGGCTCCCACGTTGTCTCCATATCCGATGTCTACGGCGGCACACACCGGTACTTCACAAAAGTCGCCGCCGCGCACGGCGTCCACGTCACCTTCTCCCCCTCCATCGAGATTGAAATCAGCGAGCTGATCCGGCCCGACGAAACAAAGCTCATCTGGATCGAAACCCCCAGCAACCCGACGCTCAGCCTCGTCGACATCCGCGCCGTCGCCTCCGTCGCGCACCAGCATGGCATAATGGTGGTTGTCGACAACACGTTCCTCTCGCCGTACGTGCAGAACCCGCTCGATCATGGAGCGGACATCGTCGTGCACTCTGTGACCAAGTACATCAACGGGCACTCGGACGTGCTGATGGGGGCTGCCGCATTCAACAGCCCCGCGCTGTACGACCGCCTCTCGTTTCTCCAGAACGCGATTGGAGCTGTGCCGAGTGCGTTCGACTGCTGGCTCGCGCATAGGGGGCTCAAGACGCTGCATCTGCGCGCGCGGGAGGCGAGCGCGAACGCCGCGGTCATCGCATCAGCGCTCAAGGCCTCCGCGCACGTCGTCGCTGTGAACTACCCCGGCCTGTCGTCGCATCCACAGCACGCTGTCACGCTGAAGCAGCACCGCAACGGCATGGGCGGGGGCATGTTATCCTTCCGGATACGGGGCGGCCAGGGCGCTGCAGAGCGGTTCTGCCAGGCGACGAAGATCTTCACGCTCGCCGAGAGCTTGGGCGGCGTCGAGAGTCTGGTTGAGGTTCCAGGAAGCATGACGCATGCGGGGATCCCGAGGGAACAGCGCGAGGCGGCGGGCGTGTTCGATGATTTGGTAAGGGTGAGCTGTGGGATTGAGGATGGAGAGGATTTGAGGAAGGATGTGCTGCAGGCGCTTGAGAAGGCGGTCGTGGGGCCGAAGATCAGTAATGGGGTTAATGGGAGTGTGTGAAGGGAACCAGGGGAGGGGGCGCGATTTAGGGGATAGATAGAGGTGGTCATATGGTGGAGGTGGCTATACCATGGGTTCTGCCAGCTTGCGATTACGGAAAAGCTTGGGCGTTGAGGGTATCGTCTGGGGACAGGCACAATAGAAACATTAGGGGATGCGTCCGATAACAAGATGCTTCTCCATCCTATATCTCCCATGCCGAAGCCTTGTGGGGTCCAAACCGATGGAGATCTTGCTTTATAGTTCACTTCGGGCCGGATCAACATTCAATACACCTGAGATGATGCGCCAGGCTTTGTATGAGTGTCCATATCTTGCGGCTCTAAGCTTCCAACTCACTACAGTCATTACCTTGTCATTCATGTCTTTATCAAAATTCGTGACTACAGTATCATTCTGACTTTACAGCGCGGACATCTGCGCAAGGTAAATCCGGCTTGACTGGGCTTTACAACTGAGGAAGGGAATCACTTTGAGGTTCCAGCGAATACTCTAGATAGCTCAGGACATGTTCTAGACTCAGTCTAGCAAGTCAACGGCGGAGCGACCTCCGTTCACACCGTTGATAGTGCATGGCGGAATGATCTATACTTGCCTAATCAGGACAATGGATGATGGATCGTAGAACGTCGCAGGTGAACACGGCTGGAAGCGTCCTTTGTGAATTTTGGAAAAGACTGATGAGCTTCAGGAGATGGTCAAGCTAGGAATGCCCTTCGCGAACGATTCAGAGGGCTGAACGAGCTTTCGATTCACCTCAGAAATAGAAGTCGGAGATGCGCCGAAAGTCTGATAGAATCGTCTTGATTACTCGATATACTCCATCAAGGACACGCTGAAGGACTCTTCGCGCTGCCATCGTTCGAGTTTGGAACCGAGGAAGCTTTCATGATAGACCTTTGAGAAAAGTGTGGCGCAAATGTGACCCGGCGCTCAATGACGCCGCACCTTGGACCCCGCCATGACGTATACCGCGGCTTGCAAGCCATCAGAACACACTATCAACACATTCCCGTCGAACAGACATCGAATTCTCTTCCTGACACTCAATTGAACCCAATCCGAACTGTGCCCTCAAAAACACAACTACACCTCCTGTTCAGTCACTCTGCAGAATGGCCTCCGCATCAAGAAAAGAGATCCTGGGGAAGGTGTACAAGATGATACCCCCAATGCTCGAGAGCTTCCATAAGGGTACGTCCGAGGCCAATTGCTCAACCTCTGCAGTAGGACTGTATTGACAGATCCAACAGGTCAGCTCGGTAGAGTAGGAGTCATTGGCGGCAGTGAAGACTATACAGGTGCACCTTACTTCTCGGCGATGGCCTCGGCCAAACTGGGCTGCGATATGGTGGGCTTCTATAAGACATCCTAAGCAACCTAGATCACTATTGACCTGAAATGCTAGAGCCATGTCATCTGCGAGCCCGGCGCCGGCGCCGTGATCAAAACTTACTCTCCTAACCTGATGGTGCACCCCTACATGCGCCAGCAAAAGAACATCTCCGAGAAAGAATCCATCGACTCGGTCGCCGAAGAGGTTGTCGGCATGCTCTCCCGACTCCACGTCGTCGTCATCGGCCCAGGCCTTGGTCGTGACCAAGCCATGCAAGAGACCTGCGTACGCGTGATCAAGGAGGCTCGCAAGCAGAACATTCCCTTCGTCCTCGACGCCGATGGGCTGTACATAGCGCAGACGCAGCCAGATCTGGTCCAAGGCTACAATAATTGCATCCTGACCCCCAACGTGGTGGAGTTCGGGCGGTTGGCGAAGAGCAAAGGCATTGATGTCAGTGAGGGCGACCCGACACAGATGTGCTCGAAGCTTGCAAAGGCATTCGGCGGCGTCACCATCATACAGAAGGGCGGCAAAGACTACATCTCCAACGGCGAGCATACCCTGGTCAGCGAGGGCGAGGGCGGCCTCAAGCGCAGCGGCGGCCAAGGCGACACCCTTACAGGAAGCTTGGGAACGCTGTTGGCGTACAGGAAAGCATATCACGACAAGATCTGGGACCACGACAACAGCCTGAGCGAGATGGAGACCCTGGCACTTGCGGCATTCGGCGGCAGCGCTATCACAAGGGAGTGCTCGAGACTGGCGTTTGCGCAAAAGGGCAGGGCGCTGCAGGCGGGAGACTTGACGGAGCATGTGCACCAGGCGTTCCTCAATACCATTGGTGACCCGTCTGAACAGAAGTAAGAGGTTGTCACGTTTCGCCGAAGTGGAAGAGACTAGCTTCGGCTGACTGGACAGTCGCAGCAAGTTGTAGACTGCGAGTTAGAGGCTTCCGTATGCCTAGAGTTGAGTACTGAAGGTGGGCAAAGGTGGATTGCTTGGACTTGGTTGAACGTTGTTGTATATATTTGCGGGTCAGTGCAGGCCTGCTTTCGAATCGAATGTATTACGTCTGGCAGCCATCGTGATTTGAATGATTCCACCTAAACAACTAACCAAATGGCAGTCTACCTTACCCACGAAAAATGAATTCTTTAGTTTTTGATCAACTCAACAACCCCCTCATCCACAGGGTCTGCCAATGTCGCGTGCAAAGACAACCCCGCCGACGTCATCCCATCCCTTATTCGAACAGCCCGCAATGATCTAATCCAGCCCCACGAGCACCAAACCCCACTAAAAGCATTCTAGACACCGATTGCCCCAAACAACTACCTTTTCAATCCTACACAGACCTCTAAAATCACCAATTGACCAGACATCACACCAAACTCCACCACCAAACCCTCTCCAACCACCCAAGATGTCCGACCTCTCCCCCACAGGCCCCGCCCAACCAACGCAGCAACAAGCCTACGAAACATCCGGCAACCCCGCCAGCCAGGAGCCCGCCGAAGCCTCCGCCGCAAAACGAGGCTCCGAAGCCGCAGCCGACGCCCCCAAGACCGACCAGCGGGTGCCCTCGCAGCAGACCAGCAGCGTCGATGAGGCAACACCCAACGCGATGGGGCGGGGAGTGAGAGGTGCTGGGCCCGGAGAAGAGGCAGAGGGCAAGACGCACGAGGATGTGGGGCGCCACAAGGAGCTGGATGGGCAGCAGATGGCCGCGCCGGGGGAGGGGAGGGTGGCGGATGCGGTGGACGAGAAGAAGGGGGCGAGTGGGAAGCAGGAGGATTTCGTGAGTGATTTGGATAGGTATGTTGGGGCCTTTCTCTCTTGGTGTTGGTGGGAATGGGGCGGTTTGAGGGACCGTGAAGGCGGGTGGGAAAGAGGCTAGGCGCTGGGTGGAATGCGGGTAGGTGAAGGTAGATAGGTGGGCGCTGACGTCTATACAGGAAGAAAGCTGAGCAGGCACCGGCACGGGAGGCGATGAAGGCGCAGAGGAAGGAGGAGGTTGATGTTGGCGGCATCTTGGGACAGCGAGGAGGACCGGCGAACCCTGTGGATAAGAACAACTACCCGAACAGCGGAGACTAGAGCACTAGACCTCAAAGCACAGCTACGTTTGGCGCTCGGTCAAGATGATGTGAGACGACGGAAGGGGGCCAACTGCCATGGAGATACGGTATGGATTGAGACCCGATCATCTGTATAGACAGCTAGAGAGCTAAAGAACGATCTTCTGCCAAATCTGCCTTCTCAGCCCTTGACGAACCTGCTGTTCTGGTCGCCTGCGGGCGAGCTGATACTACCGCTGCCTGACTCGACTTGGAACAGACCCCTGAATCGGGTGCTGCCTCACCCTGGTTCTCTTTGGTAAGTCCAAACACTCTCCAGTTAGACCAGCTAGCTCCCCAAAAAGAGCTTTGTGGCGTGCCTACTCCGTTTATGGTCTTTCGGCTGCTTAGCAAGGTCGTACCGCGTTGATGACACCGAAGATCCCTTGTCTAGGAGAACCTCGACTGACAGTTTCGTGCACCTCAGCCTTGGACCTATTCTGGTCTGAATACGACCAGATATCGTTTTAGCCATGTAGTGGCGAGAAGCCAATATCGCCGACTCTCAGCCGTCCGACGCGGTCCGGGCTTCAGCCATCTCGCTCACGTGACTATTGCTGTAAGCGGATATACTCTGCTTAGCTGCCCGCTCTTGCGTCTGTCGTACCCATTCCTGAAAGCTGTCGGCTGGTCCTCCCTCGATCTTGATCGGTCTATCCTCAGCTGGCTTCCCAAGCACTGTCCCCTGATATCGTGACTCTTCTCCGGTTTTGCTGTGTTTCTTCTTGAGAGCTAAGGCGTACCACATCAGCAAGTCCGCCTTGAAGATCTCCAAAAGTCTACAGCCCCGTTTCACCAAGGCTGCTGGCTAGGGCAGGGCAACATACCCGTCAAATAATCCTCCGTCTGCCCCGTCGCCTCCAGCTCCACGCCCTGCACCTCATCATTGAACATCCCCGCCGCCCTCCTAATCTCCCTATTCTTCTCTCCCGTAATCCAGTCCAGGAACTCCCTCACATCAGCCGTGTCCTCCGCGTCCCGTCTCGCCCTCTCCTTCGCCCGAAGCCCGTTGCGCTCGGGGTACTGGTCCAACGGCTTGCGCAGCATCTCCCGCCAAGTCTCCTCTGCTGCGGTGAGCGGCGCTACGATGACGCCGCTGTCCTGTAGAGCCAGGCGCACGTCGGTTATGCAGGGGATCAGGTCACTATGAATCACGGACGCGTTGGCGGCGGTCTTGGAGGCGAGCAGGAGGAGGTGTCGGGCTGCTAGGTCGGTGAGAGTGTCGAGAACGGAGGGACGGGTCGCATGGAAGCCGGCGGCGCGCAGGATCTGGAGAATCGCGGGTCGGAGGAGGGATTCGTGGAGGGAGGAGGCGGAGGAGTTGGACATGGTGGGGCGAGTATGGGGGTTGGCACAGGCTGTATGCCTGGAATTTACTGTGATAGCTACGGCCCAAACATACTAAAGTTGTATTATAAACATAGGTAGGCGGACGAAGCCAGGCGCAGAGCGTGGAGGTGAAATCTGGGGAGCTTGGCGGCATCTTCCGGGGCCCTGCCCTCAAGGGCCATCGTCACTTCCTCACTTCCTCACTTCTTCACTTCGAACCACACACACTCCGCCCATGCCGCTCTTCGCATACGGATAGAACACTTACGCCAGCTCTGACAGCTGGCTTCCCTCAAACGTCAGCACCGCAAACCATGAAGCTCAAACTAAACACCGCGTCCGCCCAACCAACACCAGCGCCCACGCCCGCCGTTCAAACCCCCGGCGGCAGCGGCCTCAAAATCTCCTTCAAGCACGGCTCGCTCTCCCAAGCGCCCCCCTCCGCCCCAGCTCCACCCTCCGACGCCGCGCCGCCGCCAAAGCCAAAGCGCAAATACACCAAGAAAGCCGACAAAGCGGACGGCGAGCCCAAGCCCGCGAAACCTTCCAAGAAGCGCGCGCGCAAAGACGCCGACGACGACGACGGCGACGAAGCCGAGCACGTCACGCCCGCGAACAAGAAAGCCAAACGCCCTTCTCATGGTGGCGCGAATGGATTCCGCGCCGTGCAGCCGCCGTCTGCGTCCGTACTCCCCACGCCAGCGCCATCGCAGCCGCGCCCTTCGCTGCCGAAGATCAGGATCAAGACTAGCGCCAGCAAGCCAGATGTGGGTCCCGCGCGCATCAAAGTGAAGCATCAGGGGAAGCCGCCGCCAAGGCCGCTGGGCGTGGGTTATGATAGCGAGGCAGAGGACGTGGAGGTTGACCCGGCGATCGAGTCGCAGTTTATCTTGCGCATGGCGCCCGGTGAGGACTGCGAGTACCTACGCAAGGCGATCGAGGAGAAGCGGGTTGGCTTGCCGAGAAGTGAAGGCGGGGCGGATGTGGTGTTTCGGTTCTTTGACAAAGAGGGGCGCAGGGCGGTAGTGAAGATACGGGGGAGGGACTATGCGGCTACGCTAGTGGATCTGCCGTGCGTGATTGAGGGGATGAAGAGCTGGGATAAGAGGGGGTGGTGGAAGAGCGCGGATATCTGTCAGATGCTGCTCGTGTTGGGCAGGGTGCAGAATGAGGAGGAGGCGAAGAATTTCCCGTTGCCGAAGGAGGTGGATCCGTATACGTTTCAGTATCCGCATGGGATTACGCCGCCGATGCACAATGTACGGAAGAGAAGGTTCAGGAAGAGGGTCAGCTATCGCACTATTGAAGCTGTCGAGGACGAGGTTGAGCGGCTGCTCGCAGAAGACGACAAGGTCGCAGCGGCTGGCGGCGGCTCGCAGTACAAGATTCTGGATCTCGATCGCCTAAGAGATGCCGAAGAGGCAACTGAAGATGAGGAGGATATGTACGAGACAGTCGAAGGCGGCGATGCTGATGCCGAGGGTGAATACTACGAAGACGAAGAAGAAGACGACGAAGCCATGGCGAGACTCATGGAGCAAGAACTCGGCGGCGACGGCGACGAAGAGGCCATCACTTCTAGTGCCGTCACGCCGCAGGATCCCGTACCGGCTGTTTACCAAGCGCCCACCACTGCCGTCATCAATGGCGCAACAGGCGCAGATGCAATCGTTCTTGCCGCTACGCCCTCGGCCTCAGCTGATCAGACCGAAGAGGAGTCTGAGGAAGACGACGATGCGGACGACGCCATCGACGAGATGGACGAGGACGCCAAGGCAGCGCAGGACGAGATGGATCAGCAGAGAGAGGAGATTGCTGAGCTGGAGAAGGAGGTCGATGCTGCTAGAGTGCGCTACGAGAACATGAAGAATCCGATGATCAAGCAGAAGCTGGCGGAGAATCTCATGAGTCTGCAGCAGGACTTGGAACTCAAGCGCGGATCTATGGGGGCCGAGTGGGACGAGTGATTCCCGAAGGGTTTGCTGCTGTTACTCAGACGCGGTTATGGTTTACTGGCGGCTGTCTCGAACGCAGCTATTACACTCGCTGCGCTCGACTGTATGACTGAGTTGCTGCGCAGAACAGGGGCATTTATGTGCACTGAATAATTCTTCGCTATCCGTTGATGTCATGTGTTCTTCCAAGCGTGCCACTAATAAATACCGCGAAACTAGGTCCCATTCTCAGCTCTCCAGTCGACTGAGGATATCCCTTCGTGAAATCTCCAGCTTAGGTGCCACGTTAAGACACTTGATATCACTCGTTGCTTGGGTTCTCGGCCCTAGGGGTGAAAGCAATCTTTACAAGCAGTAACAACCTTCACGAGTTGTCACTCCTAACAGCGCATGCGTGGCTAAGAAATATGCCAGGCTGTATGATAAGCGCACCTATGTCCAAACGCCAGAAATGCTATTGGTATCGCGTCATCCAACCAACGCCGATCGCGAAAAGAAGCCTCTATGTTCCAGCTACCTCAGCTTGACCTTCCCATCAATCTGAGCTAGCGGTATCGGGTCTTCCGTCTTAAGCCATTCTCCATTGAAAGCATTGATAAGCCAGTTGTTGAGTTCTACCCTCGAAGTCAGCATCTAGTACCACCAAAATTATTGCCAGTTTAGGTACTCACTATCGTACACAATCCTATGCGCATTATGGAAGTAAATGCTATGATCCGAATCCGGAAACACATGCACATCATAGTTCTCCACGCCCGCCAGGTCAAGTCTATCAATCAGCGCGAACGTGCTCTGCGTGTGCACATTATCGTCCGCGATGCCGTGCATCACCAAGAAGCGCACATTCTGGCTCAAGGCCGTGGCGTTTGAGATGGTCGCGTTGTCGTAGCCGCTGGGGTTGTTCTGGGGCGTGTGCATGTAGCGCTCTGTGTAGATTGAATCTGGAGTTTCTGGTCAGCGCAGGACTCAATGGTAACTGAAAAAGGATTGTTACCATAGAACCGCCAGTCCGTCACCGGTGCAACAGCCATACCGTACTTGAAAGTCTGTCCCGCATCCTGCTCTAGCGTCTTGAGCGTCATGAAACCGCCATAGCTCCAGCCCCAGATAGCCATCCTGTTCTCATCGACGTACTTCTTCTTTGCCCAGATCTTGGCAGCTGCGATCTGGTCGTGCGACTCGTAGTAGCCGATGTTGTCGCGGACAATGTTGCGCGCTTTTCTGCCTAGGAACCCGGTTCCGCGGCCGTCGACAGTGACAACGATGTAGCCTAGGCTTGAAGCAATGTAGGATTGGAAATCGACGCTGAATCGCTTGTCAACTTGCTGCGACATTGGGCCGTTGTAGAGGTAGAATAGGACGGGGTATCTTCTCTTGGAGTCGAAGTGAGGCGGACGCCTCTCTACGTAATTTAGGTCGAAGCCGTCGACGTTGATGGTAGAGTATATCTCTATGGGAAGCTCATGCTGGGCGGCACGCTTCGCAAGCTCTTTGTTGTCTTCCACGAGGCTCTCGAAGTCGTCTTTGCTGCTCGGAGTGCTGATGACCTTCTGCCATGGAATGTTGGGACCATCGTACGAAAGCAGCGCGTACCCTGCTTTCGCTGAGAAGGATGCCTGGTAGTAACCTTCATGACTTGTGTCTGTCAAGGCTTCGAGATTGCTCCCGTCAAGATTCACACGGTACACATGGCGTTGGATGGAGCTTTCCTTCGTTGCCACAAAGTAGACCAGGTTGTTCACCAGGTCCACCGCTGAAGGCGCATCCACTACCTCCCATTCACCGGAAGTCAGCACAAGTGGCTCTGGATTATCCAGCGGGGTGAAGTATCCTAGATGGTTGTAGCCTTCATGTATAATAGTGTCGACATATCCATCATGAGCGCGGCCCTTGCCAGGATCGCTTGGGACGAAGACGGTATGTTCTGTAATCTCGAACCAACCACCGTCAAGCGCAGCGACGTCTTGAGTCCTGACGGTCTTGCCTGTGCGCCGCTCAACGTCCATGAGCACAAGCTTTAGTAGGTCGCTCTCGCGGTTCGTCTCTCGAACCAGGACTTTGCCGCTGCGGCCAGCCCAGATCACCTCGGTGATCAACCTGTCGGAGTCATCGAAGTCACCGTCTATGGGCACCGAGAAGATCTCATCCTTGGTCATGTCGTAGAACTGGAGATTGACGACTGGATTCGGAGCTCCAGCTTTCGGGTACTTGATGTTCCGCACTTCGGGGTAGTTCTCTTCGCCAGGCTTCGGCTGCTTGTTGCTGGGCCTGGAAAGGAAGTACTGGACTGGATATGTAGGCACGGCCGACTCATCGGTCCGCAGGAACGCAATGTACTTGCCATCCTCAGACCACCAAGTTGCGCTGTTTCCAGAGAATACTTCCTCCTCATATACCCAGTCAGGCACGCCGTAGAACACTTCTTTGCCTCCGTCTTTGGTGATCTGTGTGACTGTTCTGGAACTCAGTTTGCGGAGGAATATGTTGTTGTTCCGAGTAAACACGATAGCATCCGATGTTGGCGACCACTTAACAAGCTGTATCCGTTCACCCGGCTTATCCGGGTCAAGCGCCTCTCCGGTCTGTGTGTGTACATCGAATACCCAGTATCTACCTGTGTACGAGTGTCTCCAATTCTTCTCGCGATCAGACACAACAAGGACCTTCTTCAAGTCTGCGCTAGGCCAGACCTCAGACGGAGACACCCACGTCGAACCCACGTAGAAACTGCTCTGTTTCATCAATGTTGTCCCATTGCTGGCGTGTGGATGTCCCTCCCGTTGTCGCACATCCTCCACCACGAGATAATCCTTTCCGCCTCCTCCACCTCTTTCCAGTAGCAAGCCATCCTCACCGTTCGCCCCCGCAATCCAGGACAGTGCGTGCCTCTTCGGGTACCACGCGCCAATCAGCGTCTGCTCTAACGTAACTTTCTTTCCCGACCCCCTCGAGACCGTTGCGGCTGGGTCATGCGGCCGGCTCGACGAATGCTGGTATGTGCCTCGGGACACGAACAGCAGCAGCGCAAGCAACCACCCTACAAAGCCGACCAGCCCGAGTGTCCAGAACAGGCGCCGGTATTTCCTATCCGCGGGCCGGACGCCGTGATACTCTTGTCCATCCTCGATGTCGAAGGCTTCTTGTTTGCGGGGGTAGCTCTTGCTATCGGTGTATCGCTGAGGGTGGATGGCTTTGGGGAGGTAATCGTTTAGGCCTTCAAGCACAAGCGATGTAGTCGAAGCGGAGGAAAGGGAGTCTCGGGGTTCGTCGTCTGATCGCCTCGGGGGGTGTTCTGTTCTAGTGAGAGGCTGGGCTTCGTCGACGGCCAGCAAGCTTTCGCTCGCCATTGCGGAGTTGGATAGCGGGTGCTGCGACGACTTGACACAAACTACATATTCAGAACCACGGACACCTGACGACTCAACAATCACTTAAGAGGTTCACTTAAGAGGTTCACTTAAGAGGTAGCGGTGCAAGGAGGCGCGCAATGCCGACGTATGAGACATGCGATGGTTGGTCGCGTGGCTAGATCTGGCAAGCCGAACCGCTGCAGCGCTGATCTCCCCGATTCGCTTGAGATCTCGTGGTGCAGCCAAGCCCTTTGTCGTCTTTCTCCTTGGCAACCATTCTAATCCATTGACACCCACATGCGGCTATAAAGCGTCAGGACATAAGCGTCAAAACATAAAATCGTGGGGGGTTTGTGGGGCTTTCCGCACGATTTACGTGGGGAGTCGGAGCGGCAACATCATTTAGGATAGACAGGATTGATACAACTGCATACACCGATCAATTCATGGAGGGATCTTGCATTAGCCATAGAAGATCGCGTGTTACTTCGTTTAGCTCTATCGCTGTAGGCAGACGGGAATTTGCTTGCTACTCTGCCTTGTAAAGATAGGCCTGAGCATGAAACCCAGGCATACCGAGCGTGGCTCAATTACACCTCAACCGGCCACAACTAAGGCGCTTCTGACTCGCAGTCAGATGAGTCGTCCGTCCCGTAGAGAAGTTTACGTTGTGCTGATGCCTCTCCTGGATACAACTGAAAGAATTCTGCTGTCTGTTGTAACGGAGAGTCGGCTGCCGTGGTGGTGTTTCCGCTTGTCTCCCTTGCTTCGTGTTTATTCGGTTTGGTTTTGATCTTCTTCCTCTCATCATACTCGCGCTCCACTTCTCTTAGCTTTCCACAGGCTTCTTTCCAAGTATCCAGCAAAATCCGCTCGTACGTGGTTTCATCCCTCGTTGTGGCAATGCTGCTCTGTCAGCCGCAGCGAGGGGGTTTTTTTTTCTCGAATCGTTGTTGATATTATGAATAGTCTATACCCGTCGCCGACCCAACCATGTCACTCACAACGGCAGCGGGCTGGAGAAAATGTCAGATAGCGTCAGGAAGTGTCACGAGCATGACTTACCCAAGATAGTCCTGTACAACGGAATGGCATATTAGCGGAGTTCGCGGCACGATGTAAGCTCTGGAAGCAATGCTTACCTCTTTGATGGTTGCGATGGCGTACATGCGGTCCACCTCAGCGCGGACGCCCTTGACCTTCACCCGAATTTGAGTGCCTTTCTCGATAACCTGCTCATTGTTGTCTGTCCACTGCGCGGGCGTCGAGTTTGCGTCGAACTTGATCTCTGGCGGTATCATCTAAGCAGGGATTTAGTTTCATCTCGCAATCTCCGGTAAACATGACGTACACTTCTAGAAACAAACGCGCTGAGAGGGCCGATGTCCACAAAGAATCCCTTGTCAATCACAGAGGACACTGTGCCATCCAGCTGTGCCAGCTCCATTAGCTCTACGCTTCCGCCGCCCATCCATGCAGGCTTACATACCACTTCAAATTTGAATGGTTTCCACACAACGGCTTCATAGTGAATAGTGTACTCGGCGTGTGCACTACCAGGAATTACGCGGCCTTCTGAGATTTGCCATGTCTGGTCCATTATGCAAACGATGAAGTAACTGCCCGTGTTCGTTCCCTCAACATCGTGAATCAGCTTGTTGATAAGATGCTCGTGGATATTCGGTCCGAAGAAAGAAGGGTGGATGGTGATGGTTTGCTCGAGTTCGTGTACGAAGAACATGTTGCTGGTAAGGGATCGCTGTCCACAAGTGCGCGCACCTCAATCGCAGGATTGGAATAGATGGGACTGTTGCCAGCGGTAGCACGTCTCCGATCTGCCCGAGGGAGCGCAGGGATACTACGACGAAGTCTTCAACCAGGCGACCTAAGCAGCCGTTCGAGGCAGGAGGCGGAAGCGCGACAAACGTTCACGAGCGGACGGCGCGGCTTTTGGAGAAGGAGTGTAGGACTAAATGCGCTCTACTTCACGCAGGAGCGCAGCGACGCGACTTCGAGGTTAAGGACTGATTTGCTGTGAGACTTCCATGTGCGCCAAAGAGAGATCTCGAGCCTATGGTACTGACACAGTCAGTCGCCTATCTTCCGCGCAACTTTCCCAACCGCTTCCAAACCATGCGCTAGAGGAGCGGACCGCAAGGCGCTCGTCCGCGGGAAAGACTCGACTCACTTTTTGGAAGCTGCAGTTGTGAGGCTGAAGCTGAGCGGAGCGAGACTTTCGCCGTGTCACATGCGTGGAACGGGCAATCCTCGGCAGACGATTTCTCCAGTTCTCCGCTTCGTCAGATGGCGGGTTTGATGATGAAGAAGTGTCGTCGAATGTTCAGTACGCGAGACTGTAGTACTGTTTCCTCTAGGCCGGCCTTGCAAGGTTGCTTCTTGTGGTAGACCCTCGGAGGATGTCCTTGCACCGTTCCAACACTGGCGACCTAGTTCTTTGTTCATAACCGAAAAGCTTTTATAATGTCTCTCAATCTGGAGAAGCAGCTCGCATTCGTATGCACAATCTCTGTTGAAAATGATAGCCGTGGACGCTGATCTTTGCTAGTATGGTGCCTATCATCATGATCCGGTTCGAGCCGCCTAGAACAGTCCAATTCTCTCACAGCCTATGCTGACAGCTTCATTAAAGGTCAATATCGGGATCCACATGGCATGTGTGCCACTGATCATGATGACCGCCTTCCTCTTTGTACGCTATACGCATAAATCTACCGGCCGTTGTAGGTGCTGATAGTCGGCGCCACGCAGTTCACCAACACACCAGCATTAGCCCTCCCATCATGGATGCCGGCAGTACCGAACATGCCGCTCAACGGCAGCACCATACTAGCAGTCTTGTACTCTACGCTCTACATCCTCATGGAACCAGTTGCCGGAGGCCTTCTCGCACCGTTGATACTCGGCGGGACCGCCTACATGAATCATCTAACTTCGACCTATGGATCGACTGCAAACTATTGGGGCATCGGCCTGCATATCTTCTCCTGGGTTGCGCAATTTGTCGGGCATGGGAAGTTTGAGGGTAGAGCGCCCGCGCTCTTGGACAATCTGGTGCAGGCACTCTTTCTAGCCCCGTTCTTCGTGTGGTTCGAGGTGTTGTTCTTCTTCGGGTACAGACCGGAACTGAAGAGTAGAGTGGAAACGGCCGTTCAGCAGGCGCGGAAGAGGTTCAAGGAAGAGAAAGCAAAGAAAAGCGCTGGAGAGAATGGGTCCGCGAACGGCTCCCACACTTCCTGATAGTGTGCTGAACAAGACTGCCACAGAAATTGTTAATACAAGTGCGCTTCGGTCTGAGAATGCATCAGCGGTTCAATGCGTCGTGAGAACCGAGAAGTTTGCTGGCCCGTAAATGTGGTTGTTGGGCGCCCCCAAGAGTGACTGATAAACGCAATCTCGCCATCTTTCATCAGTTGTCTGTGGCCCTGCTAGATATACACCCTCTTCAGAGTGTTCGTTTCCACCAGCTGCTGAGACCGTGCCCTGTCATTTCAAGATGGCACGTTTTTGGTGATGTCGTCTTGGCGCCAACGTCACGTGAGGTGCCTAAGCGGAACGGGAACTGAGGAACTCCTCAGAACGCTCACTCCCTCCCCAGAGCTCCATCGCGGCCACCAACCAAATCTCCCCTCTTCCTCTCCTGCTTCACTCTCAATTGGTAGCCGAGCTATCGAGCAACTATTCAAGAGGGGTCGCAATGTTCAGGAACGCCCTCCGACAGTCCGCCCGCGCCGTCGGGGCAGTCTCTGCCTCCGGCAGAGTTGCTTCGGTAAGTCCATCGAAAGCTCCTGCGACCGACCCCATTGGCATCTCCAGAGCTGCAGTGAGCTTCTGCTGCACTTCGGTCATCGTTTTTAGTGGATGCAGAAGTGTTGATTGCTTCTGGAGGCTGTCGCAAAGCCCTTCGAGCTCCTCGGAGCAACCGAGCGCTGACGATTTTTGCTCTCGCTACAGACCCGAACCACTCCCGCTGTCTACAACGCTGCTTCAAAACAGCTCCGAAGCTATGCTTCCGATGCGAAAGCCGCCCCTACCGAAGTCTCCTCCATCCTCGAACAGAGAATCAGAGGTGTACAAGAGGAGTCTGGTCTCGCAGAGACTGGACGGGTGTTGTCTGTTGGGTATGTCGATCCTCCCCCCAGTTCAGCAAAGCTATCGCGGTTATAGAGCTAACAATCGGTCAACAGTGACGGCATCGCTCGTGTCCACGGTATGAGCAATGTCCAAGCCGAGGAGCTTGTCGAGTATGTTTCCACCAAATAGCTTTTGCCACGGTTGTGGTTACTCACATACCTCAAGGTTCGCATCTGGTGTCAAGGGCATGTGCATGAACTTGGAGGCCGGCCAAGTCGGTGTCGTGCTTTTCGGTTCCGATCGATTGGTCAAGGAAGGCGAGACCGTCAAGCGGACGGGTGAGATCGTATGTTTTACGCCTTTCATGTGGGTGTGATTTGTAAATGCTGATACCCTTCGCTTAGGTCGACGTCCCAGTTGGCATGGAGCTGCTTGGCCGTGTTGTTGATGCACTCGGAAACCCCATCGACGGAAAGGGCCCCATCAAGACTACGGAAAAGCGCCGTGCTCAGCTCAAGGCCCCCGGTATCCTTCCCCGTCGTTCCGTCAACCAGCCTGTGCAGACTGGGCTCAAGTCTGTCGATGCCATGGTGCCGATCGGACGTGGCCAGCGTGAGCTGATTATTGGCGATCGTCAAACCGGAAAGACGGCCGTTGCCCTCGATACCATGCTTAACCAGAAGAGGTGGAACAACGGCAATGACGAAACCAAGAAGCTCTACTGCGTGTACGTTGCTATCGGCCAGAAGCGTTCCACCGTCGCCCAGTTGGTCCAGACGCTCGAGGAGAACGATGCGATGAAGTACTGCATCATCGTCGCCGCCACCGCCTCCGAGGCTGCTCCTCTCCAGTATATTGCTCCTTTCACTGGCTGCTCCATGGGTGAATGGTTCCGCGATAATGGCAAGCACGCTGTCATCGTCTACGACGATCTGTCCAAGCAAGCTGTTGCCTACCGTCAAATGTCCCTCCTGCTCCGTCGTCCTCCCGGGCGTGAGGCTTATCCCGGCGAGTATGTGCACCCTGACAAGACACATTTGTGGCGCACAACTAACAGCACAACAGCGTCTTCTATCTCCACTCCCGTCTGCTCGAGCGTGCCGCCAAGATGAACGACAAGCTCGGCGGTGGTTCCCTCACTGCTCTGCCCATCATCGAGACTCAGGGTGGTGACGTGTCTGCCTATATCCCTACCAACGTCATTTCCATCACCGATGGCCAGATCTTCTTGGAGGCCGAACTCTTCTACAAGGGTATCCGCCCAGCCATCAACGTCGGTCTGTCCGTCTCCCGTGTCGGTTCCGCTGCACAGCTCAAGGCCATGAAGCAAGTCGCTGGTTCCCTGAAGCTCTTCTTGGCCCAGTACCGTGAGGTCGCGGCCTTCGCCCAGTTCGGTTCCGATTTGGACGCTGCCACCAAGCAGACCCTGAACCGTGGTGAGCGTCTGACTGAGCTGCTCAAGCAGAAGCAGTACTCACCCATGGCCGTCAACGAGATGGTTCCTCTCATCTTCGCTGGCGTCAACGGTTATCTTGACAGCATCCCCGTCAACAAGATTCTCACGTGGGAGGCCGACTTCCTGTCCCACCTGAGGAGTAATGAGTCCGACCTTCTCCAACAGATTGACAGGGAAGGTGCGCTCAGCAAGGACCTGGAGTCCAGGCTCAAGGATGTTGTGACGTCATTCACCAAGAGCTTTTCGTAAAAGGCTGTCACAGGCATGAGTGGCTTGTCCGGAGGATTTGGGAGAGGTGTACTGATGGTCTGACGTAGATGTATAATAAGAGTTTGCGTGTTTCCACCAGTCACGTCTGCCTGAAAATCAATTTATTGCACAGAAATCGTTGTCGAACGACCTCCTGCTCTTTCCATATCAACCATCCCGATTGACTGCAAATGGTCCATCTCGTTCTTGACTAAGCATGTCGCCCGTGAGGTTGTGTACATACATGTTGCATCTTTTCCTTTGTGCTTTAACTCCAATATTATAAACGTTGCTAACTATCAGCGATGACTCTACTCGCTCCCTTGCTTCAAGTCATACAATGTCTGCTTACGTGGTGAGTAGCTCACAGCGCGCCTACAGCAGCTTTGCTTCGGATATTCACGATTGCCAGCGCGCTCCACCATCGCTTATAGAAGGAGCCACCTTCAACGTTCCTCCGGAACTATGTGCCTCGTCTCCACATTAATCTTCTCTTGATACGGAAATCTATCTTTTCCCAACACTCCTCTAGAATAGCAGTATTCACGATATGCCGAGCATCACTAAATCTCTATTCGCCTTCTTCTTAAGCAACCACCAGGAACAACACCAGTCTACCGAGGACCCACCTCGCCAACAACAACAACAACAACAACCAACAACAATCACCCCCCATCGACCCCTCTCCACCCTCCGCAGCCCACCTAATCGGTCTACCAGCCAGACTATCCCACCTAAACCTCAGCAACGCACCACAGCTCCTGCCTTCGAGCAATTCCAGCATCGCCTTAACCCCGAGGCAACACCTTCGCGACCTTGGAGACACGCTCGTAACCCAGACGAATTTGGTTCGTCAACTCTATGCCCAGATTGATGAGCTGAGACTCGTGCTTGAGAGGAAGAGCGCACAGGCTGAGGAGGTGGTTGAGGGGTGGAGGGCGAGTAAGCGGTTGTTGGAGGAGACGTATCGAAGAGAGCAGGAGGTGTTGGAGTGGTGTGAAGATGTGGAGGTGCGGAGGGGCTGGAGGAGGAGGAGTGGATGGGTGAGGTGGTTGGGGAGGCGAGGAGGAGGGTGTGGGAAAGGGAAGGGGAGATTGGAGGAGCCGGCTGCAAGGCTGGAGGGAGCGCAGAGTGGCGGCGATGAGACGGCCGAGGGAGCTTTGGGCGGTGAGCGTCTGTCGAGGGAGGAATTTGAGGAGGTGGTTAGGAGATTGGGTGGGAATGCAGTGAAGCTGAGAGATGGCATGGTGGATATGGAGAGGAGACTTGGGCGGTGTGGTGGGGTTACTGAGATTGGTGTCGAAGAGGGTATGGGCTTGTAGCACGCCAATGGCAGTCTTTATGTGAGCGAGTGGTAGAGAATGGCTCGGAATTGAATTGCATTCTCAACACGGTTAACTTCTGGGAGAAGGAGTGCAACGTGTGGTCATATCCTTGGATTCGGTCAATTGATACAGGTTCTCTTGGTTACAATCAATCTCAGAGTTGCAGATCAGCAGCCATAAGACATTCTTCACCGCTTAGACACCCTCAATAATGGAGAGGGATCCATTTACACCGTAGTATGCTGCATAGACTCGTGATGCAGGCCCCACTCCAGACGGCCGAGCCGATGAAACCCCCAGTGCCCTGTTGATAACCTCGCCCGCTGGAAAACTGAATGTCCCGATCAAACTGCCTGTACAGAATCTGACGCCCTTCAAAACAACCAAGGGCACCAGCCGCCTTCCTCTGTATCATAGACCAGCGTGATGAAGAACTCTCAACGAAGGAACGACGTTACATTAGGTCTCGACTACACCACAATACATCTCTTTCTTTTACGGCAGAGAATGACTAAAAATGCTGATCACCACAAAAATACAGAGGAAAGCAATGAACGTCGAGAGCCATCCAAATTTTGTAGAACGGGAGGTACTCGCTTCATTCTCGACCCGGTAGGCCCAGTAGTTCGACGTTACCGTTACTGTCGATTCCAAATTATGCCTGCATCTCAGAGCTTTAGCTTCTTCGTAAGGCGTGAAGATTTTTACGAAATCCTCTCCATATCTGAATCCAATCGCCAGTCGTCAGAACGTAGAAGGGGTACAACCCCGTTCATACATCGCGCGCACAAAGATCTAGAGCCGCTGGGTACTGCTGCAGAGGATACTCAAGTTGTTACATAGACAACCGTGGATCCAGGTGCTGCGGTGGTTCCTCTGGGTAGATAATCGATAGAGGGAGGTTTGCACTTCTCGTAGAGGGGTAGTTGTGGTTCCATCGGTGAAGCAGGATATGTGAAAAGAATCGAGGGCAAAGTCAGAGGACTTGTGTAGGAATCATTGTAGAACATCATGATACCGGATCCGAAATGCCAGAGTTACTTCACCTCCAACCCTTCAAAGACGCTTCATGCTAAAATCGCAACGCTTGCTTGGCAGTGATGACATGCTTGAGGAACCTACGAGAGGTATTGCCGTCGCAACCCTAAGTAGCAACACCACCGGATCCACCTTTAGATCTTTGATAACAAAAGTACCCCAAATTCCAAATACCCCAAATACCCCAGATGGCGGGCAACAGCAGCCGCTTGGCAACAGTCGGGTCAAACCACCGCTCTTCTCCATCGCCACTGGCGGTGGATTCAATGAGAGAGGCTTTGTAGCCACTTGAAACCGTTAATTCCAAGAATTTCTGTGCGCGCTCTCTCTCATGAGCAGCAAATTTCTGACTGAAAGTCTCCCCACAACCCTGCTAAAGCATTAGTTCCGAGATTCAAGCACTCCAAAACGATGATTACAACTCGTGCGCACAAAGACATGACGGTGTCGGATGCTAGCATATTGGGTACTCACACAGATGAAGCGGACGGTCGTAGGCCCATACGGTGCGGCCACGTTTGGCGTGTCGAGAAAGGACAGGTCTTCCGCTTCATGGCTGGGCAGCTGCATGTCCATCGGTGGAGCCATTTTTGTAGAATAAGAGAGTCGGAAGCAGCTGGACAATTTATACTGAAGCCATTTTGATTATTGTGGGCCTGATCCAGAATCTGGATGCTCGCGCTGGTAAGCATCCACGGTCGACTTCCAAGATTATCAGATAGTCGAGGGGCTGGGGTTACTAGCCGCTGTTGCGTGCCCAATGCAGTCGAAGCCGTATGAAAGCCATTACGGCTCTACATACAGCCATCCGGCGACACCGCCATACTGCGGTGAGGTATTCCAAGTATTGTTCCTTTGGCAAGTGCGTGGGTGAAGTGGTAGTCCGTAGGGCTGAAGCGTGGAGGAGGTCGGAGCTTGGATCCACCGATGCTCCCTCGCCAAGACTTCGCGAAGGACACTTGGATTGAAGCTCCTTGAGGTGCTCGTCGACGACGTTCTTTCGGAGCAATTAAACCGTGTCGCCCTCTTTCTCCAAATCAGCCATGGCAGCCGCCGTGGGGGATCAGTTCCTCCAAGGAACAACAGGGCGCAACACGCGGGGAATGCTCCGTGTCATCATCCTGTGTACCATCGCAGCTGCAGCCGTCTCGAGTCGATTATTCAGTGTGATCAGGTTCGAGAGCATTATCCACGAGTGTAAGTGCTGCTATGAATGCGCTTCGGTACAACAGCAGGCTGATTTGTATCTATAGTCGATCCCTGGTTCAACTTCCGCGCAACGAAATACCTCGTCCAAAATGGCTTCTACAGCTTCTGGGACTGGTTCGACGACAGTAAGTTCTCCTTGCTGTACAAAACCTTCGTGGCTGCATTGGTGATGAGATAGTGGGAGCAAAATGCTGATGCGGCTTTTCGACAGGGACGTGGCACCCTCTGGGTCGAGTTACTGGAGGCACCCTCTATCCTGGCCTGATGGTCACCAGCGGCGTAATCTACCACATCCTCCGCCTCCTCGCATTGCCAGTTGACATTCGAAACATATGCGTCCTGCTTGCACCAGGTTTCTCGGGCCTTACCGCCCTGGCTACCTACCTCTTCACCTCCGAGATGTCAGACTCGCCCTCCGCAGGCCTTCTTGCCGCAGCCTTTATGGGCATCACTCCTGGGTACATATCCCGTTCGGTTGCAGGAAGCTACGACAACGAGGCCATCGCTATCTTCCTGCTGGTCTTTACCTTCTATCTATGGATAAAGTCACTGAAGAACGGCTCAGCCATGTGGGGCGCATTGACCGCGCTCTTCTACGGCTACATGGTGTCTGCGTGGGGTGGATATGTGTTCATCACGAATCTGTTGCCTCTGCATGCCTTTGTGCTCATCTGCATGGGCCGGTACAGCCCGCGACTCTACGTCAGCTATACTACCTGGTACGCCTTAGGCACGTTGGCAAGCATGCAGGTGCCCTTCGTCGGGTTTTTGCCAATCAGGAGTAGCGACCATATGGCTGCTCTAGGTGAGCATGAGATTCAAAGTGACATAATCTTCAGTAAGCTAACACAAGCACAGGTGTCTTCGGCCTTCTCCAACTGGTCGCTTTCGTTGAATTCATTAGATATCAGTTGCCTAGCAAGCAGTTCCAGACCCTACTGCGAAGTCTGGTCCTCCTCGTCTTCGTGGTTGCCTTCGGTGGACTCGTCCTTCTGACCGTAAGCGGCACCATCGCTCCGTGGAGCGGCCGCTTCTACTCCCTTTGGGATACCGGTTACGCCAAGATCCACATTCCAATCATCGCCTCCGTCTCCGAGCATCAGCCCACAGCATGGCCAGCGTTCTTCTTTGATCTGAACATGCTGATCTGGCTTTTCCCGGCCGGCGTCTATATGTGCTTCCGAAGCCTGAAGGATGAGCAGGTGTTCATCGTCATATACGCCGTCCTGGCAAGCTACTTTGCGGGAGTCATGGTTCGGCTAATGCTAACGTTGACGCCCATCGTCTGCGTTGCTGCTGCGATGGCCCTCTCCCAGATTCTCGACACCTACCTTGTTGCCAAATCTCCGTCAACTCAAGCTCAGGCCAACGGCAGCGCGGAGACCGTCAAGAACACCGCTTCATCTATGCTGCCGGAGTCTCTCCGCTCAACGCGATCTCCCCTGATCGGCATCTACTCATACACCTCCAAACTTACCATTGTTGGATCGGCAACAGCTTATCTCCTGCTCTTTGTGCTTCACTGCACTTGGGTAACCTCCAACGCCTACTCATCTCCGTCTGTTGTGCTCGCCAGCAGGTCACCGGACGGATCGCAGCATATCATTGATGACTATAGAGAAGCGTACTATTGGTTGCGACAAAACACTCCCCAGGATGCAAAGATCATGTCCTGGTGGGATTACGGCTACCAAATTGGTGGCATGGCCGACCGGCCCACGCTCGTGGACAACAACACATGGAATAACACGCACATTGCAACTGTTGGAAAAGCCATGAGCTCTCGAGAGGAGGTCAGCTATCCAATCATGCGCCAGCACGAGGTTGACTATGTCCTGATTGTGTTCGGCGGTTTGCTGGGCTACTCCGGTGACGATATCAACAAGTTCCTGTGGATGGTCAGAATCGCCGAGGGCATCTGGCCGGAGGAAGTCAAGGAGCGCGACTTCTTCACTCCTCGCGGCGAGTATCGTATCGATGATCAAGCGACGCCGACCATGAGGAACAGCTTGATGTGAGTCTCGCTTAAGATGAGCCTTGGATAACGCGCTAATGTGACAACAGGTACAAGATGTCCTACTACAATTACAACTCTCTGTTCCCTGCTGGACAGGCTCAGGATCGCGTCCGTGGCGCGAGGCTGCCCGCTGAGGGCCCTCAACTCAGCACCATTGAAGAAGCGTTCACCAGTGAAAACTGGATAATCAGGATCTACAAGGTCAAGGACCTTGACAATGTTGGGCGTGATCACGCAAGCGCCATGGCGTTCGAGAAGGGGAACAAGAAGAAGAGACCTTCGAAGCGAAAAGGACCGAGGGTTCTCCGCGTTGAGTGAACCATTTGTAGTCGGTAGCTGTAACTTTCACACTTTTGTTTTGCAGCTTAGGGCCAGGGCATTGTGGCGTCCCGAAACATCAGAAGCGATAGATATTCTCGCTGATCGTATGAGCGCACAGACAAAAGGCATGTGGCTGTGACTGCAGGACTTTGACGACTTCTTGAAGGAGCCGACGTCCACAGTACTAGCCGCTCAGACGTGCGAAGATGTTGAAGACGAGCGCGTTTGTGTTGCTCATAGCCAGTGGCCACGTAGAACTGCGCCGAGACCAAAACAAACTCAGACAGCTTGTGAATCTACAGAAACAATTTGCAATTGCCTGCAACCGTAAACGTGCGGGTGGTCGGTCCTTCCCCATTCACTTCGCTCGCTCGCTCGACCTTGCTAGCTCGGCATCACAGTCCACATCTGCTTGATTCCGCTTCACTTCTTCCCTTCCATTCCTATTCTCAGACGGCGTCTTCAATGTTAGAAATCTGAGACTTGTCATCATGACACAACCAAACATCCACTGGGTGTACTACCCCGTTCCAGGGCCTTTCGGATCCGGATATCCAGGGTGAATACTACTCTCTGCATCCATGGATATCAACACGCTCTCCGAGCTGGCCTCGCAGACACTCATTGAATGGTTGTAACGGTGCTGACAGCTGCGTAGGATTCCGCCTCCGCCAGTGCCTGTGCCAGTCAACAGCCCTCACTCGCCTAGTCCACAACCACCTCCTGCGCCAGCGCCTACGCAGCCAACGTTCGTACCACAGCCCCGACGGCAACAAGCACATGCTCACCCCCTGTACTTTACAATCTACCTTGAATACACGTAATCGACGTGGTCAATAGCTCTCGGCTGATCTTGTTCCTCTCAGACTCCCTCCTCCAGCCCCTGCCCCAGCGCCGCCTGGATACATCTCATTGCCTAGAAGAATACCCGCCCCCGCCCCGCCCAAGGAAGAACAACAGGTACTGTGTATAGAGGCTAAAGGCTACCATTCTCCCACACAAATCAGGCTCCCGTCGCCTGGCCCACAACCCGCACCAGCAGAACTTATCCCATATCAATACCACTCACCAGCCCGTCTTACGCAAGACAGTTATGAACCCTATTATACGCCTCCGGCTCGTGCTCACCGTTCGCGTAAACAGTCACACGCGCCAACCCACTTCTGCCTTCTGTGCAACAGGCCTCGCTCGAAGTCCTATCATCATGCAAATCCAGTGCCTCCTGGAGTGAACCCACTCTCAGGTGTCTGCCGCAGGTGTCAGGTGGATCCTCGCAAGGTTACAAAGCACAAGGAGATCACACACCTTCGAACTCCAGAGTCAGATGACGAGGCGCGTGGCCGGGCTGAACCAGTAAGTCAATCCGAGTCCTTCCGTCGCGGTGTCGTCGCTTGCATCTGGACGCGATTGATCGCTCCGGATGATGGCAACTGAACCAGAGGAGTTGTCTGGTTTAGACTGTGTTGAAGGCTGATGTTGACACACCACCTCAGACTTTACACAGGTACGATGACGAACCGTACGAAATCATTCATATAAAGCGGCGGTACAGCACGCCGCCTACAGCTCATCACCACGAACCACCTCCTCCACCTTCACCCCCACCGCCTGCACCGCCTGCACCGCCTGCACCTGCACCTCGAGCACACTCTCCACCAAGGCCTCGGCGTCGCACCAGCATCGTGTTTCATGACTCAAGCACGGAGGACGACCGACGCGCTACTCCAGCTCCTCGACGCCCTGAGATACACTACCGACATGTCTCCGCGCCTGAACAAAAACGAGATGACAGGCACGGACATGATGTGCATCGTGGAGTCGAGTACCGCGACGTGTCACACCATGGTCCCTCGCGATATGAACATTACGTGGCGGTGGATGACTATGACGGCTATCACCATCCGTCGCCGCCACCGCCCCAGAGACGTCCACCTCCTGCCCAACCTCCCCCAGCTCGTCACCCCCATCATGACCACTCTCCACCGCCTCCTAGAAGACTTGCTACCAGAGAAGCAATGATCCCTGGCCCACCGCCTCGACCACCGCCAGCGCGGCACCACTATCACGAACCTGAACTGTCTCGTGGTCGTAACCGCTCTCCACTTCGAAGCGCCATGAGAGCTCCTAGCCGGCCCCGACCTGGCAGACATTCTGCGGGCTTCGACCGCCCAGCTCGCAGCACGGATAGCCTGGCAGTCAACTTCAATGAAGCGAGGGTCTCGTTCGCGCCTGAACCGCGGTCGTCGCGACGCCATGATTCTTTCAGTGACAGCGACATCGAGATCGAACAGGTTAGGACTCGGCGGAGATATCGACCAGGCTATGATGGCCATGACAGCATAGAGCACGAGGCACCGCCTGGTGAGTGAGAGTCGTTTCTGCTATGTATTTGCAGTGTTGCTGCTGGGCAGCGTTGGATAGTCAGCTGCGTCAGCAAGCTACTCTCCAGCACTGAACCGGTATCACGTGCGTGTGACAGGTTGCAGGTAGCACAGGTTAACATGTCTTGACTGCAGATGACTTCTCCAACTTTGACGACCATCGTGGCTATCACTACGAATACCATCGCGTGGTTGCACGAGACGCCGAACCATTGCCAGCACCAACCCCACCCCCTACTACCAAGAAGCAAGACAACCACCAGCCTAGCGGTCCAAAGCATCCAGCTCCAGCTTCAGCGCCAACTTCAGCGCCAACATCGACACCGGCACTAGCCCCAGCGAAGCCAGAACCATGCAGCCACTGCAACCCACCCAAGGAAGCTGCTTCAAAGCCCGATAGCACCAAAGTAGCTCCAGCGCCTAAAGAAAAGGCTCCGGAACAGCACTGGGAGGAGGACTGGGATTCGGATACTGCTACCCATGACAGCCGTGAACCGTTCACGCATGTGGATGTCAGGGAGGTAAGACGTTCGGACGGAAGATGTATCGAGATTGAGGAGACTACGCACTTGCCTGAGGAACATCATCGAGACGGGGGCAGGAGCGTGAGGATGTCTTGGAGGGATGTTTGAAGGGTGGAGGTGGGAAGAAGCGAGGGTCGTAATCACTGAGCGGGAAGAAACAGAGAGCAAAGAAGGGGGTGCGCGATGGCTCCGATTGTTATCTTGAAGCATCAACTAAGTTGCTATGCTGTCTTAGGAACGCTGCGAGATCAAATGCTTTCACGGGATATCTTTTTTTCATTCTACTGTTCGAATACACAAGATTACTGCCCTATAGATAGTACTCCGCTGTAAGGCGAGCTTGATGGGAGGCGGCGTAAAGAGGTCAACGCGCTTTAATAGCTGAATTGAAGCTGGCCGATACCTCGATACTCCACAGAGGAATATGGTAAATCCCCACATCACGTGCTGCTCCAGGAACCGCCAACAATTCGCTCCGAAACCGGTATCTGAGTCCGACATGGAGACAGGCAGCGGACGCCAGCTCAACCCCGTCCGAACAAGCTCCGACGCCGTGTTTGCTGTGTTTGCTGTTTGCGGCTTTAACGTGTGTCAGACGGACCGGTGCATTGAGCAGGCCTGGCCCACTGCATCTCGTTTTTGCTGCCCTGGGCGTTTCAGGTTCCGTGCCGACCAATGAACCCCACGTGCACGCTGGCTCGCGAGAACCTCCTGAACGCTCCAGAGCCTCCCGAACCGCACCGAAACCCACGTCTGCCGCTCGGTGTCCGGCAATGAGTCAATCTCAGCGCCGGAGACGCTGTGGGCCAATCGAGGCTGGTTTGAGGATAAACAAGAGGCAGCGAGAGCGTGATGCGGAGCGCCCACGGTTGCTGTCATGTCCTTGGGCTTCGCGCATCGGCGTCGAGGCTGTGTCGCAGTACAATGCGCCGTGCTATCTGACGCGCGGAGGAGATTGCGGCTTCATGGCCGACACGAGCTTTCACTGCATCTTGGTGGGCCGTTTCAGAGTGGCATCAATGCCGATGGGACGCTGGCGTCTATCCTCGTAGGCGCGAGAACTAACCCCCTGCATGTGAAGCTCCGGATGTCACGTCGAGAATTTCTCGCGAAGCTCTCAAAAGACTCTTCACTTCTTCACTTCTTCACTTCCGCCTTCTCACTCCGTTTGTAGATGATCTCGACCGCGGTCTTCCTTCCTTAGACCACTTTTGACTTTTGTACCTTCGCTCATTCACTCACTCCCCGTGCTGGCACGATCACCTTCTGACTTTCTGGCCTACGCAAAGACAAACTGAGCTGGCCATTTCACACTGTGTAGGTGCCCTTTGTCCGGGGATAAAGTGCCAAATTACGTTCATTGTCTACCCTTGTTCGAGACTCGCTGTCACAAAGCCCCGATTGTGCAGCTTGCTTCGACGCCGGTTCCCGTCAGTGAGAGTAACTTCATCGCCCGGCTTCGTGTCACCAATTCCTCACTCCACTACTATCTTCACCCTTCTCTGTTTGCTTTAATATCGCGCAGATTGCTTACTGTTGACCAGTAACCCTGCACTCGTTTGCTCCAGCATTAGCACAACTACTTTCGCATAGCATTTCGCAACACCACCGCACTTCAGCAGAAGCACGACACTCGTTGCATACGCGCAATCGTTCATCATGAAGACCTCAATCGTTCTCAGCGCGCTTTCCGCTTTCTTGACCGCATCCGTCACCGCAGCGCCCTATGGCACTGCCTCATCCTCTTCATCGATCTCCGCAACGGCCGTAGAGGTCCCCACCCCCACCGCATCAACCAGCCACAAGACCGGCGGCGAAGAGTACGTCGTCATCTTCGACAGCTCCAAGCCCCAACCCCCGCACGTCGAAGAGGTCCTCGCACGCCTCGAGCTCGACCCCAACCACCCCGATGTACGCTACACCTTCAACAATGGTGCTTTCCGCGGTTTCGCCGCCAGCATGAAGCACCACTGTCTCTCGCAACTCGCCAACATGACCGACATCAGCATGGTCGAGAAGTCTGTCAAGCTCAGCACGCACGCGACCCAGATCCGCTCCGGCGCGCCCTGGGGCCTGCAGCGCATTTCGTCGGCCAAGACGCCCACGGGCGACCCGACGGCTACGGACTTTACGTATTCATTTGAGCAGCAGTCCTCCGGTCTCGGCGCGGGCGTGGACATCTACGTCGTCGACACGGGCGTGAATGTCGAGCACGTCGTCTTCGGCGGGCGGGCTAAGATGGGCTTCTCGTTCCAGAACGACGCCTCCGACGGCGACGGGCATGGCACGCACGTCGCGGGCACGGCGGCCGGCTCCAACTTCGGCGTCGCCTCCGGCGCCAACGTCATCGGCGTCAAGGTGCTCGGCGCCGACGGCTCAGGCCTGACTTCTGACACCCTGGCCGGCATGGACTACATAATCCGCCAGCACAACGCGCGCAAGAACCAGCCCGGCTTCGTCGGCTCCATCATGAGCATGTCCTGGGGCCTGGACTCCGTCTCGCAAGCGATCCAAAGCGCCATCACCTTCGCCGTGCAGCAGGGCATCCACGTCAGCGTGGCAGCGGGCAACGCCGCGCGCGACGCATGCGAGACGTCTCCCTCCGCCGCGGGCGGCGCCACAGGCGGCGCCGTGAGCGTCGGCAGCGTCGGCATCGACGACCAGATCTCCGCCTTCAGCAACAACGGCGCGTGCGTGGACCTCTACGCCCCCGGAGAAGACATCCTTTCCGCGTGGACGGGGAGCCCGAACGTGATCAACTATCTCAGCGGGACGAGCATGGCGTGTCCGCACGTCACGGGCGTGATGGCGTACCTGATGGCCAAGGACGCCAGCTTGCGCAGTCCGGGCGCCATGAAGGCGTTTCTGAAGAGCTCGGCGCTCAAGGGCGTTGTCAAGGGACGCGCGCGCCAGGGGGATCCCATGTTGCTGGTCAACAATGGCGTTTTGGAGGCCCAGGTGCCTGTTGCGCGCCGCGGCTGGAGTGGACTTGACAGGCCGCTCTCTGTGCTGTCCAAGCTGTTCGGTGGGAAGGATGAGGAGGGGGAGAAGAAGTTCTTGATGGCGAGGGGGGAGGAGATGTTCCAGCTGAGGTATTAGTTGTACTGGACTGGGAGAAGGGGGGCTGAGGTACCAGCCGCTCTAGAGGAGGGGCCACGAAGGCGGCCTTCTGCCTTCTTTTCCCCTTTGTTTGCTTGAATTTTGTGCACTGCATATTTAATCGCATAGCGTGGCGTTGATTTCTTTTTTGGTGCATTATCACCTCTGGTGAAGAGAGGCATAGAAGAAAGAATTGGAAATTTTTCCACGGAAAGTTATTGGTAGACTTCCGTGCGCTTCTGATTCGTGAGACCTGTAAGTGACTGTCCCAGTAGTTCACAAACGTGCCGTTATTTTCTTCTTTGGCTTCGGCAAGGGAGCTGTTTGACTGGTCGCCGGCCCCACGTGCTATGCCCCGTGAACCTTGCGAACGTTGAAAGTCGTGAGTGTCTGCATGTAGGCAAAGTCGGAGCTGCTGGTAGCTATATAATCTCGATAGTACATTAGTAGCATCGTGAAGCCTCAAGAAGCGCGGGGGGCGATACGCTGGTATGGTAAGATAATCGTACAGAGCTGGTTCTATGACCTGGTTGTCCGGATGACGAAAGTCGCCAGAGTACAGAGTCACGGGCTTGCGGGATTAGTGCAGTGAAGCAGCTCTGGCAGAGGCGTAGATACGGAGGAACTGTGGGCCCATAACGGTGTTACCGGGACGGTCGGGGCCTAGTTCAGTATGCTGAGGATTGGGGTAAAGGTGACGCATTCCGTGAACCTTGGTTGATGTTGGAGCCTGGCGGTTGTTGCCTCCCGAGTGGTAGGAAGGGAGTCAGCAATTAGTTTAAGCAATCAGTGAGGTCATTGAGAAGTGAGGAAGGTATCGATCCTGATAGACGAAGCCGCCCGTGATTGAGAATTCCTTAGCGCTTTCGAGTCTAAATATATTCTTGATGGCCGCTCCTACCATTCGTGTTCAGCGGTGGAGCAACCGGGCAGCCACGGCGTAAGCTGGAAGTGCACCTGCTCCTCCGTCTTGCCCTAGTTATTCATCCCATCTTTTTGGTGCCACGGAACAAAAGAGCTTCCAAATCCCTTCTCGAGCGCCCCAGCGAGTTCGCAAAACTATGTCCATCAAAGCATGATGTCCTTGCTGCAGAATAAATCAGAATAGAAGACAAATAGGTTGCCGCCAAAAGCAAAATAGAAAGCGGCGTCGGCAGCGCAAATAAGGACCGCTAAAAAAAACTTCGCCAAATGTAGAGTAAGTCTAGCAGAACCACACTCAACTAGCACAGAACAAGGACATGAAAATGCTATCACAGATGCCGAGACTCTTCACAAATGAACTCTGCTTGTCGGGAAACCGTATGTGAGGTGGTGAGCTATGTCGAGGGCGGAGCTCTTTATCGTACACGTCGCTCGTGATATACACGAAGGTGGTATTGAGTAAGTCTGGAGTCCGGAGCTAGCGATGGTCGAAAGGTCGGGTAGCGTATTCGACACCCTGCATCGCTGCGCCTGGCGGACCCCATTGCGGCGGCGGAGGCTGTAACGGAGGAAGGATCGTGGCAGGCGCGGGTGCGGGCGCTTGTTGGGTTTGCTGCTGTCCGAACGCGCTCGACATGCTTCCGTAAACATGCGGGTTGCTGGGATCGATTTGTCGCAGGTGCTGCCACATGGCGTGCATTTCCCTCTGCAGCATCTCATTCTCTTCCTTCAACCTGCGGCACATATTCGCGTCTGACCGCAGACGAGTGTTCTCTTGGCGGCTGTTATCATAAGCCCTATTTATGTGTTTGATGTGGTCGATTGCTGTGAAAAGATCAGTTCTGCCTACCGCACGTGACCAGAGAACATACATTTCGTCAAGATCTCCCATTTGCTGGACTTGCTGCCCGGCGAGTTTGGCAATATGGAATTCAATTCCTCGAACAATGACTTCATCTCACTGCGCCGCTTTCTTTCTGCCATTTTGTGACTTACTCGTAGTTCAGGCGTCCGGCTGTAGTTACCACTTCCTGATGGGCCGTATGGGCCGGCTGCTCCAGGTTGCTGTTCGCTTCCTTGGAGACTTGCAACACTGCGATGCTGTAACGAATGATGGTGCGTGTAGGAGCCTTCTGGAGAACGATTCGTTAGTCGAACACACTGCTTGACGGGACTGCGAGTAACCTCACCAATACCATCATCTAGCCTCTTCTGGCCCATGGGTAACGCTGAGTCAGTGTAGATGCTGTCCGTGAACGACGTGGCGAAGCTGTTCTGCCGCGAGGGAATGGTGGAGCGCTCAGCGCTGGAGTCTCCGCTGCTCGACGCCCGTCGTTCCTCTGGTTCAGCCTCAGCGGGGAAGGCCCAGGCATGTCCTTTCGTTGGAGCAGCAGCCATTGGGTCTGGTACACCGGACATGTTCCTTTGAATCGGCCGGATTGGCGGCGCCTGCCGAGGAGCTACATGTGCGCGAATTGACGCCCGAGGGCCTAAGGGAGACAAGGGTATCGTGCCGTTTGACCTTGGATCACACGCGATACCGCGCTGTTGCTGCAAGCTCGATACGAGCGAGACGCGTGAAGCGTTCTGACTCTCGTACGGTGACGACGGGCTGATGGCAAGGTGACCCATGCCTGCATTCATACGACTGTCGACGCTGCTCCGCCGGGAGTCGAGACGAGACGTCTGGTCAAAGCTCAATCGCGTAGGATCATATCCTTGGTTGATCGAGGGGAGGCCGGCATGCTAAGCATTCGTTAGTTACTACACTGTACTGATGGCAGGTTGGACCAACGTGTTGTGATGCATATCTTGCAGACTGCAGCGTCTCGGGCACTGAATGCCGTGATGGTGAGTCCTCCGCGTTCAGGATCTTGTGTAGCTGTAATCCTGTAGGATTGGAGACTACGGACGAGTCTGTCGTAAGAGAATTAGCTGCGCGTAATGTCAAAAGATGCCATCCTGTTGACAAAAGATTGGTGATACAGTAACAGAAGCAGGCAGACTTACGCTTGCTTTGCGGGAGCGACCAATTCCCAGAGTCGCGAGTATCTTGCTGATGATGCGCCTGATACGGAGGGTAATCGGGCTGATGCAGACCGCCCGTAAGAGAAGCAATTGACGGGAGGGCCTGGCTCTGAGGTGCCGTAGTCGGCTGCCTTGACGCAGATTCCATCGTGGTTTGTCGAGGATTCTCTGTTGTGCTATGTCAACACTGTCCCTAGCTCCTAAAATGCAATTGACGCAAGAATGCCTTGGAATAAGAGTAGCAGATGGACCATACCACGATGACACACCTAACAGAAAAATCAGAAAAGTCTGAGGTCGTGAAGATGCAGAACAGCTTCTTGAAATTGAACATGTACAGCCAAGCAGCTATTCACTCTGGACCTCTGCGAAAATCAAGTCGCAGAGATGTTGAGGACGGTGGAATGGTTGCTCTATAAAACTCGAACGGTACATGACGTTGCGCGAACGCGAACTTACAAACAAAGCGGTGTTGACGGAATCTAGATGCACTTACACTTAGTAGACGATGCCAAGACTTCAGCGCCTGCGCTACTGAAATAAGGATTCTCGACGCAGTTGACAGCGAAAAGTGTCAGCGCATGCAGGAGGGCAGGTTATCGGGTGAGAGGCTCAGTTAAGCAGTTCGGGGAGAACTTGTCGCGAGTCGAAGAAACTGTCAACAATTGATTGATGCGGATGTGGCTGCAGCTCCGTTTACGGACGAGTCCTCGTGAGCTTGAAGGCGCTGCACAGAACAATGGACGGAAGATTAAGAAGGAAGTCCAGCGCCGGGCTTGGAGGATGAGGAGTCTCAATGCTGGTGGAAACCTCGCTGGGGTGAAGCGAGCCGCGTGGTGAAGGACGTCTACTTCATGAATCAGATGCCGAGAAGGCGCCTCATCTGGCGAAGCCTGGCAGGCGTCACGGAAAGAGTCCACAAGCGTGGCGGCCGCGCCAATGGTTGCACAGCCGGCTTGATTCAGCTGATGCGGGCCTCGGGGAGCTGGGCCGGGAGAGAGACGAACGGGACTGCCGACGCGGTGGCAAGCTGGGGAGAAGGGCGCAGCCGGCAGCGGAGGTGGAATGGAGGTCTGATGGGAGCTGGAGCTGGAGCTGGAGCGGGAGCTGGAGCGCGCAGCAGTCACGGGCGAGGCCTTTCTTTTTGTTGCGTTGCGTGGAGCGAGAAAGCAGCCGGGCCGTGCCTTGCATGCCCACGACTCAAGTGGACCAGGTGATCGGGTTGCACAGCAAGTGGTGATAGGGTTGAAAGGTGAGGGAAAGGTTCAGCGCAGGCCATGTGTCACTCTGGTTGAAGGCAGGGCGAGAAGAGGGCCTGACAAGCCGGACAGGCTTTGACAAAAAAGCTGACATGGATTCACACGTGGGCGAGCCGTCGAGTGCGTCTTCAGCCGATCGCGCGACGATTCATCCGCCCCCGGACAACGGCCGCTCATCTCGCCCTACGAAACTCTGGAGAGTACGTCACTTTGCGGCTGTCTGAGATACGCGGCAAGCCTCACCATTCGCTGCTGCTACTCAACGACGGCGACACGGCGCTGATCCTCTCGTGTTGCCCGCGCGGCGCCTCTGTGGGAATAAGGAAAAAGGAAGAATAGGAGCCGATCAGCGTGCCGCTAGTTGGGTGCCTCGTGGCATCGGCAAGCCGGGCGGAGAGGAACTGCATCCCTGGACCGCAAGCCGGCAGGAATCTGACAACAGAACCACCACACAAGTCAACCAACTTTATATCTATCGCCCTCACTTTGAGACTATCTGAAAGCGCACGTCGGCCGCTTCCGAGTTTAACGTGCGAGCGGCAGTGTCTCCCCTCCTTTTGTGTCGCGCTGCATGCATCGCCCTTCACGACGCACAGGAAATGTGCCTGATCCTTGGGTCATAAAAGCAAATCCCTCTTCGGTGGCCGGGAACCCCTTTTCTTGCGCTGCTCCAGCCGATTTGCTCAACGCTGCATCGCCCTCAGCGGACAGTCGCGGCCCTGCTATCTTGCAGGAAAAGATCAAGGGTCCCAGAGTCACAGTCTTTCACATGTTGCTCGAGCATTTAACTGCAAGCCATTTGTTATCGTGCACTGCTAGGTACTTCAGGACTAGTATGGCATCTGGGACTACTAAGTCCATCAGAGATCTAAAATGAAGCAACCGTCGATCTCTAGCACGTTGTCTCCTTTTCAAATTCGAGAACATAACGAACTTTCACACACTGTATAACATCTTGTAAAGCACACAAAAGAGCGTTCGGGACTGTGCCGATGGCGAAGGCAGACACCAGAATCTAGAGATCGTGCGTAACAAAGCGACCGGTTTCGACGATCGACATCTGTCCATCCAAATGTGAGAGGGTGTGACACGACATGCTGCAAAGCACCCAGGCAGAGACGCCGTCCACTTCAGAGCCCGTGCTTGACGACCTTCAGCTGCCGAGCATCCATTTGTCGCCAATCGTTGGGGAAAAGTCACGCTTTCTGTCGTGTGAGCGCGATATGCAGCCTTCCACTCCACTTGCCCTGGGCAGGCTCAACTTTTCTCTGCGAATGATCTAGTCATTCAACCACCGCTCCAGGGTTCATCTCGGAGTGACGCTACGGCCCGCATGGGACGAAGAAGCAACATCACCGGCATCTCATCCGAGTGGAACGCTTAATGTTGAGGATTATCGGTCACCGTCCATGGCGATATCGGCGAGACCTCATGGTTCAGCGCGTGAAGCGTTGTTATATCGTTTCACAATCCCGGATGCTCATAGAAGGCTGCTTACGCATACCGGGGTTTTATTCCAATGTTGGCTGTTCGGCCCCGAAGCACAGGAACTTGCTCCGCCGGGCATTGTAGAACTTGCGTGTCTGGGCCTCGTGTACGGAGTGCTTCACAATTTGGAATTTGAAGACTAATATCATCAGTCTCATTGTCAGACGCCGATCTTTACAGGCCCCTCACGCTCTGTTTCAGTGTCCAGTCCTTCGCCGAAGGCATCTTTGTACTTCGAGCAACACATATCGATGACGAGCGAAGATATTCTTAATCTGTGACGCCACCCATCCGTTGGCCTATCTACCTTGAGCACCCTTAGAAAGGAGAACCCCATCCTAGGCTGAGCCAAAGTCCAACCACGTATTTTGCGGAGCATCAGTTCCATCTATGCTCTTCGTCATCTACGCATCTCACCTATGATACAGGAGACATTCCGATCTGTCCATCCCCCTGATATCAGTTCGCTCATCTACGAGTAAGGAGGCTTTAAGACATTACTGAGCTCACGAGACACATGCACAGGCTCCCCTACACAGCTAGACCTTAAGTGCCGATCGTAGTCGATACCAACGGGTAGCCGCATGGACGCCGCGCGGTGGCTGGACAACCACCCCACGGTTAGAAAATGTAAACCGCTCAAGCACCGGACGTGGTCAAGTACCACGAGCCAGATGGCGGCTTCGATGATCGTCACTGGCTCAAGCCACCACCAACAGTTCTGCATCGCTACCGGCAATCGCATCACGTCCAGAAGTCCTGAGGGGACAAAAAGCAACCCCAACTTGGAACAGAATTCGAACATCTGCGACAGCTGCCCGCGGGTGACAACATCTCCCAACGCACCTGCCGTATTCCGAAGCTCATGACATACTCCACGTGCGTAACGGGTATCGTGTCGCAGATTTGCAACGTTTTATCGACAGCGATCTTGTACTATACCCCTCATACGACACGAACAGCATATCGACTGGAACAAAATTAATCTGACCTCACACGGTCTACACGGTTGCCCGGCCCTCACGTTACAACTCCCCCCACCGTGACGCACTCCCCCTCGAACTGCAACAACCCACCAATCGCTTCATCCGGCAACAGTGGATATCGTACCCACCGCATACTCGCACGAGAGACGGATCCCTGCCCCTTGTATGCCCTGGACACGTTCGACTGGATGCAGGTGGTGGTATGCAACATGGCGGACTGCATGGCGCCACCAGGTGCAGCACTACCAATTTCGGCTCTGCGTGCCGCGACACTGACCGGGTTGCCGGTATGCGGTCGCACATGGTCGGCGTGGACTGCTGCCTCGGATCCACGAGGTCGTCGAGTGAGGCGGAGAGAGTGAGGCGGAGAGAGTGAGGCGGGCATGCATGGCAGGTTCTCGATGCGTTCGCGGTACGCGCGTCCGCAAATCGACTCTCGTTGCTTTGCAGTAGCTCATGTGGGCGAACCTGAGACAAAGGTTGACTGTCTGGATAGAAACTTGTCAATCTTGGAGAACAACCACTCGTGCGAAACACTCGTAACCCGACCCCGTGGAGTTTTCATGGATCGTAGAGTAGTAGGCAGCTCGACCGAGGCGCCCGGTTATTGGTTAAACCCTACGAAACCAGTGTCGAATGTGCGACCAGAAAACCACACATTCCGTGACGGACACTGCCAAATCCACACCGTGCCAAGGCTAGGAAAATCGAGGCTGGGTAGCTTAGAACAAAGTAGCCGCCATGCTGTCAGTAAACGCGTCAAGGCACTTGTGGACAGAAGCCGAGGGCACTGATTCCCTGGAACTGAGCATCAACCTGTCAGCGGGAGTGGAGCGTCGGAGGGTGATAACGTGCTCACAATACCGGTAGCCAGCACTAAACACGAGGAGCGTGATGTTCTATCAGTAAGCGGAGTACATGCCGGCAATATTGGATCGCTGCGATGTTCGTGACGTCTCGGGGATGCGCGAGAATGGCTCGTTGGAACTCCTTGGCAAGCTTCGCCGCCGTCATCTTGTTGATATTTGATTTGGCTGCGAAGACCGCCAGAAGCTTGAGCAAATGGTTCAGAGTGTGCCTATTTTCAAGTGGCAATCCCGCGAGTGCTCTGTCCAGACGATGATGCAGTCCCCTTTCGTCCCCAGCGGCGGCCTCGGGGTCCGCGAAGTGTTCCCTTCCAATGCGACTAAAGCGGTCGTAAGAGGCGAAAGGTACAAGTGGCTCCGGCAGCTGGACCAAATACTGACGGAGTAGTGAGGCAGCATCATACGCTGTATACCCAGTCCAGTCAAAGTGCTTTCCGTAATACGGCGGCGAGTTGAAACCCTTGTAAAGCTGCCTAAGCCTCCTTGCAGATCCATCAGACCTGAAGACACATTTCACGTCGACGCCTAGAAGATGAGTGAGCTGTCAGACGAACGAGCCTGCATTGACGTACCTTCCTCTCTCAAAAACACACTGGTTGCGGCGAGAGTGGTGAGTAACCTATGCCTATGGAGAGACCTCCCATGGTCGCATATGACTTTACACGAAACATTGGCACGTTTCTAACTCGTCTCAAGGGTAACTCCGAAGACTGGCCCGGCAGCGTCAAAGACTTCCATCCTGGAATCGAATGTATCCTCGTCTGACTCGATGTATGTCGAGAGCCGCGGTCTTACTGAGATGTTCTTATGACTATTAAGGGAAATCTGCGCTACCTCTAGCTCACTAGTGGCTGTAGTTTCTGCACCCCCAAATGCATACCGGGCGCTGTTGGAGATATCTGCCGCATGTATTGGCAGAGCGAAGACAGAGATATTGGAGATATCCGCCAAACTCAAAGCTGAGTTGACTGAGAAAGCCGCAGTCCGCTGAGCGGACACTGTTATAAGGGCCGGAAGATCATTTCGAAGGGTTCTCCTGTAGACCCCAGAGCTCTGAAAGGTCGTCTTCGAAGGTAAATCTTGGGGCGCTACTTGCAACAGTATCGTCCGTCTCTTCATCTTCCTGTTCTCTGTCATGAATAGGAGTCGCCAACCTATAGGAAGGCTCCTTCGAACGTAACTGCTGGTCTGTGGCCTCTGACTGGGACAAATGGTTGTCGCGCTCCTCTAGATTACGAAGTCGTAATAGCATCGCCTCATTACTGCGCAAGACCTGATTGATTAGATCGCATAGGTTATCTGACTGCCTTTCGGCTTCCGACATCGAGTTGCTACCACATTATTGTCAGTTGAAATCAATCACTAATCATCCAAGGTAAATTTCGATCGAGCATACCATTGGATGATATTGAGCATCAAGGCCAGGGATGACTTGTGCATCTGCAATCGCCACAGGATATCGGGTATATATTTCTCTCTCATCGTCCACCTGAGCCTGACATATACCTTTGACGACCCGACGCTTAATCCCTTCATGACAGTCTCCAATTCTGAGTAGGTAGTAACGCAGCCAGTCAACGTGACCAGCATATGCTTAAGCAGTATGAGTGACGCGCGCGCAGGAGAAACCTGAGCAGCACCTAGGACGTAGGTCTGCATATGGCCTAGTGAAACGGTAAGAGCACTGAGCTCGGTGAGCACATCTCTTGCCAGCCGAGGAGCATCCTCCATCGAGCTCGTGAACTCGTACAGCATTGTGGATATCTTTGCACCTGCGGTAATAAGTCCGGCGACCGCCGCAACGACTGATAGCGGTTCCGTGGCGAACGGCTGAGCCCGACTTTTGAGGATACATTATGTATTCGCACGGATGGTAGCACCCCCAACCTGCATGCTACGCCGCCTGATCGTACGGGAAAAGCTTCACATGGACGTCCGCTATCCACTACATGGAGAGATATATCAGCAGGGGTCTGATGGCGGAAACCACCCTCATCACAATACTTGAGCACCATCTATTGCTCTAACACAGGTTGCGGCAAGCTTTGCGCCTTCGTTTTGACTCTCCTGATGTTGCCTGTATATGATGATCCTAAGACACTCAGAGGGTGTGGGTCCAGTCGCAGGTGAGTAGTCGGGATGATTCAGTGACTGCAGTCCATGCTTTCCGATTGTTTCATCCAGGACTTCGAATACAGTAGGGCAATACTGCTGCACGTAGATCCAAAGGCGAGGAGACTGAGTTGTTCAGAGTTAAGTGAGCCACGCCCCAAGGCTGAGGCTTCAGCACCGCCTCCGTCAGCTTGCGTACCGGGCCGCCAATGGGATGATCACGAGAAGCTAGAAGTCTTTGCAAGGGCACGATGTCGGCCATCCTGCATGTCATTGTCGCTACAACATAATTGGCCCTTTCCGGTACGAAAGCGACTGATATACGCATCCCAGGATCTTGAAATGTTTTTACAAGCCAGCGAGCTCGGGCAACCATTTGGGCGGAGCGAATTGCCGAAGATCTGCCGGATTTGTTAGGGCAGAAGTAACTGAGGCGGAACTATAGTTAAGACAGTTTCATCGTAACTCGACTATGCGCAGACTTCAAGATAAGCAGGGTCGGCGTGTCTAGAGGACCTGTCTGCCGAACACGTCCGCATGGACGTACAAGAACGTTACGTTGCCGCATGACTATATCTCCCTCACTGCATCGATTCTCCGGCATCTGAGACCTGTGGCGCACCAGCACTCGGACAAGGGTCGCAGTCATAGTCCCTTATTTAAGCCCGTTGGACTTCGATCACTGTGGTCTAGGGATGGGCAGTCTCTATTTCAGCTGCAATCAGCTCGGAGCAAGTCCCTGAATTGGAGGCTTTACTGTACATGTTGCCACGGCTCCAGTTCATTGCTCCTGTGTATGCCCCATACGCCCAACGCCATGTCTATGCACCGCAACGATCCAGGTCCCTCTCCATGCACAACCCTTCTCCCTCAGTTTGTCTTCGTCTTCTTCACGGGATACTGAAGCCGTAGCCCGCCATACAACTCCGGTACCTTGACACAAGGTCCCGGCATTCCTGCTGAGCGTTGTCGCTCTGAGAGAACAGCATGCATTCGTCGCGGGCGGCCTTTTCGTCCTTACATACGCAGCAGGGCTGAAGCAACATCGTTAGCAGTAGACTCCGCAGCAGTCCTCCCCACGCTCACTTTGACTTTTGCCGCCGCGGCGCCGGCGGGCTTGAGCTCGCTACCGAGGTTTCCTGCCGTTGCGGGAGCTGTGGTACGTGTCAGACAAGACGATGAGTACGCGGCGAAGGTCGTACCTGCTGCGTTCATGTTTGCAACTGTTGTAGAGGGATGTGGTTGTGGTTTGTCATCGGCATCATGAACTTTTGAGGCTGAAACTGGGATCGACGCCACTCGGGAGGAACCGAGACCCTGCATTTCAGTGTTGACGCCAAGACCGCGCTTCGTAGAAATCCAAGTGAACGAAGTGAGCAGTTTCCAAACCCACCAAACAACCTCACCTTTTGGCTGAAATACATATATCACTACAATGGGTTCCTCCAAGATCTTCTCGCTCGAAGGCAAAGGCCTTAAGCTCGACACAGCCGCAGACATCGAGCCACATATCAAAGAGCTCGTCGACAACCAAGACGTCGAAGAAGTGCGCTTCCAGGGCAACACGCTCGGCGTAGAAGCTTCGGAAGCTCTGGCCAAAGTCCTAGACACGAAGAAGAAGCTCCAGGTATGTTCATCTCCCTTTGTCCCTCCACTCCCGCTCGCCCACTCTTTCCTCCACTCCCACCACCAAACCTGACTCCCACGCCCCACACAGACCGCCAACCTCGCCGACATCTTCACCTCCCGCCTCCTCTCCGAGATCCCACCTGCCCTCGATGCCCTGCTAAAGGCCCTCCTCGCTCTCCCCTCTCTGCACACCATCAACCTCTCCGACAACGCCTTCGGCCTCAACACTCAGGCGCCCCTCGTCTCCTTCCTTGCCGCCCACGTGCCCTTGCGGCATCTCATCCTCAACAACAATGGGCTAGGTCCCGCAGCCGGCACTTTAATCGCTAACGCGCTGAGTGAGCTCGCGGAGAAGAAAGCCGCGGCGCGGAAAGAAGGCGGCGGTGACGACAGCAACGATGTTCCGGATCTGGAGACCGTGATCTGTGGAAGGAACAGGCTTGAGAACGGCAGCATGGCCGCCTGGGCGAAGGCGTTTGCGGCGCACACGGGCGTCAGGGAGGTCAAGATGGTGCAGAATGGCATCCGGCAGGAGGGCATCACGTTACTGCTTAAAAAGGGCCTGCGGCATGCGGCTGGACTGAGAACGCTTGATCTGCAGGATAACACCTTCACGGCGATGGGCGCACGGGCGTTGTCTGACGTGGTGGGGGGCTGGACAGAGCTGGTGGAGCTGGGGGTTGGAGATTCATTGCTGAGTGCCAGGGGAGGTGTGATGCTTGCGACGGCGCTGGCGGAAGGAAAGAATGGGAAGCTAGAAGTGTTGAGGTTGCAGTTCAATGATATTGATGCGAAGGGCGTCAAGGGAGTGGCGGATGCGTTGGAGAAGATGCCGAAGCTTAGGAGGGTGGAACTCAATGGGAACAAGTTCAGTGAAGAGGATGTGGCTGTTGATCGCCTGAGAGAAGCCTTGTCTGAGAGAAAGGAGAAAGTCGCGAAGGAGGTGGACGATACAGATGACGACTACTGGGGTCTCGACGAGCTGGATGAGCTGGAAGAGGAGGATGAGGAAGAGGAGGAAGATGTGGCTGATGAGGAGGAGAGAGAAGAAGAGGAAGATGTCGACGCCGACAAGAAGGCAGAAAAGGAGCTCGAGAGGGTAGAGCAGGCAGAGGACGAGAAAGTGGCGCAGAAGGACGACAAAGAAGTGGATCAGCTAGCGGATTTGCTGGGCAAGACGGAGCTCAAATAGACGGAGGAGTAGTCAGAAATGGAATCGACAAGTTCTGAATAGCACTGACTTGCCATCGTTCGTAGTCGAAGTCATACCACAACCCTAACGATGCTAAAGAGTATCTATGCGTGTGGAGTTTTCACGAACAGGACATAAGTGGATTATCAGGGAATAGGACGTTACAACAGCCGCCCTAGCAGCTGAGCGGACTTTATCCTCCGTATCATAAGCTTACCTGTGAAACAGCCGCTCATAGCCGCTTGACTCCACAAACTCAAAAATCACCGCGTACACGAAGAACTAAAATTCCCCTCCATGACAGCATTGCTGCAAAAATGCAAAAACATACAGCAGTAGGGATTCGCTAGTGGTCACCCACCTAACTACTGATCTACCGATTCAAAGCTTATGTGGTGGCAGAGCGAACGGGATGCCCAGTATTCTTTGATCTATGGCCGTATGTGTTTGCTTTGATCAGGGGTTTCGTTTCATCAAGTAAGATTTTTTTTGAGTTCCGTGCTGGTCGCGGTGATGGGCGTTCGCGCCAAGCGCAGGGACCAGGGCCCACCATCTTTTCCTCCCGAAAGAGAGTCACCTCAGCCTCAAGCCGCAAGTCCTCTGCCACCGTCCTCAGCTCGTCCTCAGCTCGTCCTCGTTATCGGAGGATATTGCTCGTCATAGTCTCCAATATACGCACAAACATGACTGGCTACTCACTTACGCTCATTGTGGAGGCGTACTGGGAGGGCTCGGCGAATAAAGCGTACCGTAGCCGTCGGATTTTCTCGTCCTGTATTCATTAATGATATGGCCTCGTACGTAACGTGTCCGCTTGCTGGATACGAAGCCATTCGTCCAGATTTGATTGAGCTTTTCCGAGAAGCAACGGACAACATATTCAAGCTCCTATATCAGAGAGCGCTCTTCGTCACAGATTTCTCAGACTTCGTCTTCGTCACGCTATAACGGTCCGGAACCAACGGTGCCTATTTGACCTTTGCAACAGCGAGTGTAAGCAAGCTTGAGTCTCTCGAAGGCTATCCGCTTGAGCGGTGGAAATGGGACTCGGAAGATAAGATCTCTAATGCAAGCTCTAGACATAGACTCAAAGTCTAACGCTTCCGAGATAGGTTTAGCATTTTCGAGAACAGGTTAAGCGTCGGCTGCGAAACGTTGCTGATCAAGTGATATCACTGCTACTTCCTCACCAAAAACCATCCCTTGCGCAGTAGGAATAAGTTCTTTGACCCTGTCTAGAACGCGCATCAGAAGTGTCCATTTCCACCGCTCAAGCAGATAAACGAACAATATTCGTTCAGAATTGTGCATAGAACTAACCATGTAGCTTTTTTTTTGCTTTTGGACGCTGCTAAAAGCACCATCTGCATCTCCAGTCTTTTCCGATGCCAGGTTGCGTATCCTTCCAACAACGTCTCTAGTCAAGGTTCTTGAGCGATTTGGTTATTGAGGTACATCTATCGACTAAGCAAGTGCAGATACTATCATCAAGAAATCATCGTGGTAGCGCTTCTCTCAGAAACACGTCTGCCTCGCTATAGGCCAACCGCTGATCGGATACAATATCTTCGAGATGTACGACGATCGACCTTGTTCCCTCCTCTCTGATCAACCATTCGGGAACCATACCGCTTTTTTGCTAGGGTCTCTAGTAAGCGATCTAAGAAAGTGATATGATCATGGAGGCTTGATTATGTAGCACAGGGCCTACTCATGATGCTAATAAGTTCGCAACAAAGCGAGCATGCTTGTAGGGTATATAGAGGTTCCGATTGGTCCATAATACTTACTAGCGGATCTACATGTTGCAAACCTTATCAGTCATAAAAGAAGGTCTCCTAAGATGGCCGGATGCTCCTCCGGCTTCCCGCTCTCACGTGACCACTCAGACCACGGCGTTCAGTCACATCAATCTTCTCACTGGCTGTATGCACCCGAGGGAACCATCCGGCCCTTTTAGGGGACCCTCTCGTAACGAGTACATAGCACAGCCTAACCGGAGTTGCTCAAAGATCCGTGCATGCGAATCTAAATCACGATTCACGAGCCTTGGCAACGCTGTGCATGGAAGGAGCCGAACCGACAGCCAGCCGCTGTTAGCGGTTATCCTTGACTTTACTCATTGATCGAGACACTCTTGTTGGCTGGGGCCGCCTTCTCAGCTACCAAGATAGACTTGCGTAAATCACACCCGCCCTGCCTGATTATAATCGTGTTTACTGCACGTTTCAAAAGTACCGTCTAAATTCCGCAGGTTAGCGACATATGTAGCATGGGCGAACAAGACTGGTATTTCCCCGCAGTAATTGCCTGTTCGACTCTGAGAAAAGCAACAAGGCCGGCCGACAGATGATGCTAAGGGCGCGGACGGTAACCGAGGGGCCTTAGTTGGGGCCGACTAGATCATTATAAGTATTCTCTCGCGAGACGCACCGTACTTCCGCTTTCCGTCCAATCGCTTCTCATTTTTCTTCCGCGGTCTCTGCTCCCTGGCCTCCTGCCCCTTCCAGATCGACCACCCAGGGCGGTGCTATCTGTCACGCACGACTGCTACTAAGATTCTCTGAGAAGGAAGCTATGTACTGATCACCCTACGGATCCCGGGGGGGTTGGTTGCAACAGCGGGTCCACGCTGGTGGTTGCAGCTAGTGGGGGGCGAGACCGTTGGCCTGCCTTCCGCCTCTTCTGCTCTGCTGACAGCCCAGGTACGCCTCATCGCGTGTCTACTAGACTGATGCAATGATGCGTTGACAATGTAGATACTCGTACGTAAATCTTCCCGAAGCTAACGCTCAACACGATGGATTGGGTAAAAATCAATATCTCTACTTATTACTCCGCTTTCCTGTCTTTATAGTATAAAAGATATCCATCGACCGAACCACTTGTTCTTTCTTCACAGCAACTTCTTTCGAGCCTCCAACAGTCCGTAGTTGCACCTTCAGTATTGTCAATTTACAACCTCAATTATACTCACAATGCGTGCCACAATCCTCTTAAGCCTCCTTCCCTTTTCCACGGCTACGATTGTCACCGCCTACTCGGCGGGCAGCTGTACGGGTACCAACCTTGGGACGTTCTCCTCGTGCGGCGTTACAGGTCTTCGGAACTTTGACGTCAGAAGCGCGAGGGTCAACTTCGAGCGAGCGACGGTGCGCTTTTATCGCGATTATGTCGATGGGCGTTGTGCAGGGGCCGTCGTCTCAGTCGCGAGGTAAGCAAAGCCCAATGATCTCAAATAACGTGCACTTGCAGGCATTCGGTGGATCATGGTCCATGGTGAAGTAAAAAGGCGAGTAGAGCGCTGTGCTAATCTGTGGATAGTGACAAATGCCAGAGCTTCAGCACATTTGCGCCAAAGTGTGCAAAAATCTGTGGTGGAACTTGTGCGGCCTGTTGATAGGTTAATACGCGGTGGAGTCCTGCATTGGCGGCATCCTTACGGACTTAAGGATCTCCTTCACTTTGTAGACTGGATGAAGAGTGTTTCCCCACGATGACTTGGCGATTTTTCATTTCCCATAAGAGATGGGCAGCGTTCTTTGACAGGACCAAGTTTGCTCTTGCGCTCTCCATCGAAAAATCAATCGACATCTGATCAGTTGGCCTGAGGATTTTAAACCGCTCCGTCCTCAAAGCTTTAGTAGACTCGGGCATCGTACAAGAGAGGTACACGTCGCAGCAGCAAACTGATATAAATCCACTCATCGTTCATCTTGATAGTGATTGAATTGATGCCGTCCATCTAAATCCAAAAAAAAGGTCAGATAGGCGCAAACGTATGCTATACACGTGATATGTAGTCATTTTCAACACAGACTGCTCCTGTCAGTAGCCGTATAATTGTGAATTATTGCTGCTTAAGAGGTCTGTAAAGCCATCCTGTCCTCCCAAGAGTCCAAGATACTGGAAACACAAGCGATTGCACATTCGCAAGCCACTATGGGTGAACGAGCTCACCACCGTATTGACTGCAGCCACTCGAAGGAGTGGTCTAGTTTTCTTCAATGTTTCACGCCTCTACAAAGCTAGTTTAAAGCCATGATTATGTGTAAAACAGAAGAAAACTTTGTGTAGAACTTCTCGACACTTGTGCGCGTTTCGGCTTGGACACTGTTGGCGTTCTGGGTTCTCACCATCATTCAGCACTATGTTATCGAACTTCATTCCCCGGTGGCTGCAGTTGTGCTGTTGACCGCTTCTCATCAGCTTTCGCTTAGCTAAGAGACGTACACTTCCTGTTCACATCAGACACCTGAGTATTTGTACTCATCTCTTCGATTGAGGGCGACATCAAGGAGGACGCCTGACTGTTTGTCGTGTCTGAACGTTAGACGTGCTATTGTCAGAAGACAGAGGTTTAGGGCTTAATACCATTCTTTACGCACAGTGCTAGTTGGCCTCATTCAGCATCCCCCGGATAGTACTTCCTTACAGCCTCCTCAATCTCCGTTGGCTTTGCGCCCGTAACCCCTTCCTGTACATCGCCATCCACGAAAAACGTAAAAGTCGGCATGCTGCGAATGCCGAGCTCCTGTGCGATGTCCGGCTCCTTGTCTACATCGAACTGGTAGAAGCGAGCTTTCGGGTATTTCTCCGAGAGCTTTGAGACAGTGGGAGCGATGGCCTTGCATTTGCCGCACCATTCTGCGATACCTTCGACGATCATGAGGCCATCCTCGTTAAGAGCCTTGAGGTAGGCAACCTTCGAGTCGAGTGTGTGGATGCGGTCAGTGGCATCTGATGGAGGAGTTTGGCCGCTCATCTTAGGTTCATCCGGTGGATTAAGAGACTGGGTATTAAGTAGTGAGGAGTATAGGTCTTCCAGCACTGGATATCCTATCGAGATGATAATGAACTGTCAAGAGGTTCGTGACTTGTTCTAGAGCGCGGGCATACGAGTACTGCGGGGAACGATTTCCCTTAGCGAGCTTGTCTCGCTAACCCCAAAGTTATCAATGAAGGTCCAAGGGCAGATTAAAGAAAGTTTGCCGCTCTGCACGCGTGATCTGGGAGCACAGAACAGCAATCTTCTTTTTAATCCGCCCTCGGTCTATCACTAACAATCCACTCACTAGGAAAGTGATATATATATTTAAACAAGCATGATCTTGAGCTACTTGAAACTCAATGCTGCCGGATTAGTCAAACTGTCAATTAATCAAAGAGCATGTGACTGGCCCTTGTCCGCTCAGCATGTGCTGCGGCAACGCTTAACGCTTATCCTCTTGGACAGATAGTCCGATGTCAAGCCTGAAGGCTGACAGTCCACCCCAGCCCCGACCGACTGGCGGTCTATTAACTATCTTAGCTACAGATGCCTAGTAATGCAGGAGTCACCCGAGCGGAGATACTAGCCCAAATCCATAGACATCCTGCGCCACTGCAGCGGCCGGTTATCTTGACAAACTGAACCGACGGCAGTAAAGGCCAGTGCTCCTTGAGAACAACAACTTGCAGGGGGGAAATGTTCTACGAGGTGTTCGGCTGACGGTCGTCGCTCAGGATCCTTTTCCATCATCGCCTCGGTTACTGAGCATGCCTCTTGCAACCACATATTGTCAACCTTGTCGGCGAGCCCAGCTAGCCACTCCTTGACATTTGCGATGTTGGCTTGATACGAGCGGTCGCCATTCTGGTTTGCGAAGCGAATATCGGAGAGAGACTTTAGTTCGCTGGTGTTCTGAAGGTCCGATGCTAAGACACCAAGCATTTCTGCAAATACGCAACCGAGTGAGAAGATGTCTGCACTAAGGCCTCGTCTGTTCTGCTCAGTAACCTCCGGCGCGGAGTAGGTCCTTGTAAACGATGTGGGGTTGTCAGTGACCGAGTCTTGAACAGACGGGTATGAGCGCGAGATCCCGAAGTCCGCGATGTAGAGCGTGAATTCTGGTACGTTGCAACACGACTGAGGTGCCTGCTTCGCAAGGACATTCGCGGGCTTGATATCCATGTGTTTAATGATATTTTTGTGGAGGAACTGCACCGTGTTTGCAAGGCAAGCAAAGAATTGCGCCAAGTATGCTGTTTTTACTGAAGCTGTGGGAGGTGAAGTCCATATACCCCACGCCGTGGATGATAGGACGTGCAGCTTTCGCAAACCAGGGCCATCATAGTCCAATTCGACTTCACTGAAGTGTGCTTGGCTCTTGTCCGGGCGTAGAAGTGGTAGCCAATGGCCCAAAGCAAACTGGCCAACATCTGCACCTTCTTCCAGGATCATATCCATGTAGTTTTCCAGGTTCCACTCGGCGACGGGGTACAGGAGAATCGCTAGTTCGTTGAGCACGACGTATGTACCAACAACCCTCACGATATGGGCGTTGTTGAGACGCTGAAGATGTTCGACCTCCTCGATGGCTTCCTTTCGGCTGATCCAACGGCCACATTTGATCCTTTTCCTTGCAAGGCGAATTCTCCGGCACATAACGCTGTCTACCAAGGCAGTTTCTGAATGACCGAGAACCTTTCCTTCTTCTACCAAAGGTATCAAGGCTCTCTCTTTCCTCGAGTATTCCGCATGCTGCCCTCGACCGGACCAATTATGCTCGTCAAATGCATTAGGGATGAGATTTCTTGACTCAAGAAATTGCCGCCACTCGCTGTCTGCTAGGGGCTGCTTGGAGCTACCTACCCCTGACTTTGGGGTATAGAAGCTTTGTATTCGAGAAGCAGTGGTGTGGTAACTTGTGGGACTTGCCACGCCCGTCTGTTGCTGCACGCTTGAGTATATGAAGGCGTTGCGCAGCGGGGATGATATGGGGACGTGAGACGTTCCGAAGAGCTAGGAGGTGTCTTGAGGGCACAGACCATCGTCACTTCCCGAGTCGCCTACGTCTCCACTATGAAAGTGTTAAGACGAGGCTGTATCGAGGTCTTGGTTTTCCTCGTGCTCCTTTTCGAATGTATGGAAGTCAAGGTCCAGCTCTTCCTCTTTTGATGTATCCGTGATATCCTTTGTTGCGGTATAGGTCGCCATTGCTATTATACTTGGTCGTCCTTGTTGCTGGGGTTAAAGAAGCGGCGAGGCTAAGGTAAAGCCTGGGCCGGATTACATACTCCAACGGTTCTGTAACACCCAAAGAAGACGGCAGCCCGCAGTGACTTCAAGGCCGCTTCTGCGGCAACGGTTTGGTCGGTTGCGGTCGGTCGTTTGGAGACATGATGGCCATTGGCATCAGTCAGAATCGAGGATGAAGGAAGTTCGATAGGTATGCTTCGCAAGGCGTGAAAGAGGTTTGGGCTGCAGGATTGAGTTGTCGAGTGTGGCAGCCAGCACCAATGTGGGTATACGAATAGTTGGAGGTCTGCCCTATTCTATCACCTGCGCTCGACTCACTAAACACCCAACTTACCTGAGAAGCATCAATTTCGAACCGCTTGAACCCCTATCCTGCCCAATCAAGGAAGCTGAGCGGTTAGGATAGTCGAAGCGCACGTGACTGGATTTTGTAGGTTCAGCAAGTCCCCCGCCTTGCATCACAGGGTCCACGTCTGAGCTCGTGGGTCAAATAAACCACCAACAGAGCACAGAATCTCAGCGCCCCTTCAGCTCCCCCAACTCTTTAGATTCGTAGCCTCGCTCTCACCATTAGTCATCCAGAAGCCAGCCCACTCTCCCATCTTAATCTCCACCCCGAATCCAACCCCCCACCACCAACCATGACCGACCTCTCCATCTACGACCATGACAAGACCCTTTACCTCTTCACCTCGCTCACAGCGGGCTCCTCGCACATCATAACCGCGACCTCGCGCATCGAAACCATACTAAAGGCGAACAAGATTCCGTTCCAGGGCGTGGATACCGCGACGGATGAGCTAGCGCGGAAGCTCTACGGGCGCCGGGCGGGGGGCAGGAAGCTACCACTCCTAGTAAAGGAGGGCTATGTGATTGGCGATCTTGCGGAGGTGGAAGAGTGGAATGAGTTTGGGGAGCTGAAGGAGGCGATTGGGGATGTCGAGGCGCCCAAGGGCGCGGGCTCCTCGACGGCGGCAGCTCAAGCAGCGCCAGCAACGAAGTCGTCCTCCACTGCCACCGCTGCAACTCCCGCAAGCACAAGCGCAAGCGTAGCAGGAGCAGCACCAGCACCACCTCAAAACAAAGAGAACGCCCCTCCCTCCCAACAGACTCTCGCGATGCGCCAACTCTCCACCGAAGCCGCGGCCGTCGGCGCCTCGAAGCAGAAATCCACATCTACCCTTAAACCCCAACAACCCACGTCCGCACAACCACCCTCTGCAGTCCCAAAAGAAGCCCTCCCCGCGCCCGCAGCCGGCGACCCGAACCCGACGTCGCGCCGCAGGTCGAGCATACCGGCCCCGCCTGAGGAGATAAAGGCGGTGGAGGATGCGTTGGCTATCCCCGAAGAGGAAGAGGAAGATGACGACGAGGAGGAGGGTGATGATGAGGACGAAGAGGACGACGATGACAACGACGATGACAACGACGATGAGGAGAAGGTGGGTGCTCAGCGGGCGGACGCTGTTGCTCCCTCAACGGCCTTAGGCACGGGATCTAGGAACGTGGAGGGAGACAAGAAGGGCGGGGATGCAGCGGCGCCGGAGAAGGCGGGGGAGAGCGTTCTTGATTGAGGGGAGAGTCTTGGGCTGATATGGGCTATAGGGACAAGGGATTTCGCGGTGGGGTCTATGATGTGCAGACAGGGTTTTATGGGAATCCAGGAGGACTGGAGTGGATACCCTGGGGAAATGAGACTTGGGATATATTCTCAACCATGGATCTTGGGGAAGTCTGGGGGAGAGGCTGTCTTGGGTGCGCCAACATTTCTGCTACTCGTACGTAGGTCAGGAAGGACGAAGCACCGAGTTGGAGTCTATCTACAATCCCACTTGTTGACACTCAAGCCGGAACAAGAAGCTTTGCAAGAGCGAGACAACAAGTAGTCTGGTAAGCAAGAGTGAGCATTACATCCAGGCTCCCTTGTCCAACGGTCAGAAATATCATCTTTTTACAAGCCAGAACATATAGCTGCAACTACTGGTTCCAAGCAGTCGCGGAGACCATGTTAGACCCGTTAAGGGAGGCATAAGTATCAAGCTTCATGGCAAGGACGTTGCTCAGCGCGTCGCGGACCTCGAACTCCTCGAGCACGGCGCCAAACCTGCAAAAGTTCATGTCAGCGTTGCGATGAGGTACACTAGAGCTAAGAGCATAAACGTACCCGTAGCACCTGATCTTCGCCAACAGGTCCTCCTTCATAGCAGAGAAGTCCTCCTTCTTCAAATGGAAGAAGCTCTCATGCCCCATGATTTGAGCCCAAGCCATGATCGGCGTGATCTCCCCCTCCAGCCCCAACCTGTTGCTCAAGTCCAGCAGCTTCATCAGATCCTTGATCCCCACATCCGGCATCTTGTGCGGATACTTCTCCTCCGGGCGCTCCACGATGTGCGATTCGGGTGGGCACGTGGCCATGAGTGCATGGCCGCTAATATCGGCCTCGCTGTCCTGCGAACGGACGCAGAGGAACTGCATGTGGTCCATGCAGGGTCGTTCGAGACTGCGACACCAGTGTGTCAGATATTGCCCGGACAGGAGCAGGGGACGATGGAGGAACGCAGCAAGGGGACGAAATGTGCACACACGCACATGAGCAGCGTTCACTGATGGGGCGGAGGTGACAGATAGGGTGTTCGGTCGTACGTTAAGACAAAGTCTATGCCTATCTGGTCGTAGTCCATGCCTGGATTCGGCTGCGGCGGCGAGGGCAGCGGTGCCTGGCCCGGCATCTGGGGCATTGCATTTGGTGGTGGCGGCGACGTGTAGCCGGTTGATGCGGATCCGGGGTGATAGCTGCCTGCGCTGCCCACAGAGCTGTCCATGAAGCCGGAGCTGCCGATCCTGCTGAACGTGCTCGGACTTGACAGGTCGTAGGTGATGCCATGGGCGGCGAGCAGTTGCTTTAGCCTGCGGTTCTCCTCGGCAAAGCTGTCGCGTTCGCGCGCGGTGGTCTGGAAGGTCTCTTTCAGGCGGAGCACTTCTTGCTCCAGGGCTTTGATGTACATCTCTTTCCGCTCCCGATGCGTTCTAGGATCAAATTTAGCGATTGCAATCACAGTCACGGAGAGTCGGACTACCTCTGTGCCTGCCGGTTAAGCTCTTGCCGTCTTGTCAAGGCAGGCTTGCTGTCCGGCTTGGGGCCCCTCCGCTTCGGCGGTTGGCCATCTGCTATGAACGTCAGTGCATTGATCGTACCTCGAGCGGAAATCAACATACCTTTCGTGGTCTTCTTGTCGCCTGTCAAATTCTTGAGGAAGCCAAAACTAGACAGAGGACTTCTGGAACTCTCTGATTGATGACCGCCTAATCATAAGAGGTAAGCCACAAGCTAGACCAGAAAGATAGCTTGACAGAAAGACAAGGAAGCTGCTCCTCAACCAGCCGACGCAACGATTGGTGAGCACCGGAGTCGTCCCGAACTGCCTAGTTGCTGCGATTGCACGCTGACAGCTGAGAGAGCGATGAAGACAAAAGTGCAAGGCCACGATACAGGTCCAGAGGGAAGCAAGCTTTTCCGAAAGAACACGGTGAAGCCCGTCACGCCGGAGTACCGGCCACTGCCGCCTTTGACTGAACAGGACTCCAGCAAGTGCTCTAAGACCATTCTCGGACGGCAGTTCTAAAAGTGCTTTCTCTTTAACACTGTACCGGACTTGGAGGAAGATATCGATTGCCGAAGCACAAAATACTCAGGAGGGGTAGTTGAGTCGAAGAACGCGCGAAAGACACGAAAGGGCGATTGCGAACAGTTCAATGCGTCTACACGAAGGCCTTCAGGCTTACCATATCCATTGCTGCCCGATCCCTGATGTTCCTCCATAATGTCGCCCATGGCGTTTGTGTCCGGCGGAGTCATGTTCATACTATGAACGGCGCATCGATCGTCGGGTTGGTATGGTTTAGGAGACAGCTGCACAAGGTCAGTTCGAGATCGTAGTAGACCTGAAGAACGAGCGATGATAAAGATAAAGCATGCAGTGTAGATATACGAGTCTCCTGGCGACCTAGGTTGTATCGGGCATAGGCAGGAGGCATTGACAGTAGGAATGGACTCTACTTGACCAGAGGGTGTTCAAGGCCAAATGCTTCGAAGGACAGCAGGCAGCTTGAGGGCTCCGCTTCGTGCTCGTGTTACGCAGAGGGTACGGGCATGAGAGGGGCGGAGCAACAGGTAACTTCAGGATCACTCACCAGACAAAAGCGTTGAAGACGTAGACAGGTCCGCGATGCCCGTCAACGTCCAAAGCTTATGTATTCCGGAACTGTACACTAGTATTCCAAACTTCCAGATCCTCTACAGCCCTATTTGGAATTGTGGGTCGAGGTCGCAAACGGGCAGCGGATCGGCGGTGTTGTGGGATGTAACAGTTGCTGCGAGGAGTTGCACCAGTTCCTCGCTGGATGCTGGTAATACTCGTGGGTACCTTGCAGCGGAAACTGCCAGAGTGACAACCCCTCAGGACTCGTCGAGGATGGGATGACAGTTGGGATGACAGAGAACGGAGGGTCCAAGGCTGGTGTGGATGTGCGTTCGGAAAAGCGCGACGGTCGATCAGCCGTCGCTGTGGCTGGCTGCGAGGCGCGAGGCGTGCCCAGTGCTCTCCAGCTTAGCGCGACATCGGTGGTGGGAGAGTGCCTGATGATTCGGCGGTGGTCGTTCGAGGGAAATGGGCTTGACGGGGTCGACGGGCTGCCATCATTATGAAGAAAGGCCTGGGACCGGGGGAGCTGTGTTTTCCCCCCAAACTCGGGGCAACACCGACTTGGCAGCAGCGACACCGACAGCGCCAGGGGCAGCATGAAACACTGACCACCTCCCCTCCACCTGGGCAGCCATGCCATCAGCATCACGACAGCCCGTGCGTGCACAACATCGGAGCATGTCCCGCATCTCCCTATCAAACCACCTGCGTGGCGTCCTGATCCTGCTCCCGTGGCTGGTCTGGCTGTGTGTCGTCGACTTCATCCTCTCCGCGCTGCTGCTGCTGAAGCCCGTTTTCCCTGCGCCCGTCTATCATGCTTCGTCTGCGCTGGCCTACTCCGTCTGGAACTGGATCCAGGCCATCTTCACGCGCTTCAATGGCGCGCGTATTGTCGTGACGACGAGCTCGACGCTGCCGCCTGGGGAGAGCGTTATCGTGATAGCGAACCATATTGCCTGGAGCGACTTCTGGCTTATTCAGGAGGTCGCGAAAAGAAATGGGATGTTGGGGTACTGTCGCTGGTTCGCGAAGCAGGAGCTAAGATGGGTGCCGTTCCTTGGATGGGGGCTCTGGGCCATGGGGATGCCGCTGGTCAGCAGGCAGTGGACGAGGGATCGGAAAGAGATGGAAAGGGTGTTCGGAGGCGTGGTAAAGAGGAGGTGGCCGATCTGTACGTAGCAGCTTCTGTAGATCACTTGGTTGTATCCTTCCTGCGATTGCGTTATACCTTCCAGAACATAGTCTTTGGAGAAAACGTCCTGATGACCGTCTTACAGGGCTCATCGCATACAGCGAAGGCTCCCGCTACAGCGCCAAAACCTACCAGAATACCACCAACTGGTGTCAGTCTCAGGATCCGCCTATACCAGTGCCGCGAAACACGCTCTACCCACGCACTCGTGGCTTCGTCACATCTGTACGCGAGCTGCGATCCTCCAGTATTCGAGCGGTGTATGACTTCACCATCGCATACTCCCGTGACGGCCATTTCATGGCTGCGCCTGAGTTCTGGGAGAGCATTGCGGTTGATGTCAATAAGGCGGGCTACAAGTTCTATGTTCATGTTGACCGTTTCCCACTAGAGGACTTGCCAGAAGGCGACGAGCATCTCGCTGAGTGGTTAAAGAAGCGATGGGTGCGGAAAGACGAGAGACTTGAGAGACTGAAGAGGAAACTCGAGGCCGGAGAGCTCGATGTCGACCTGAAAGATTGAACGCTTGTGGGCTTCAGGGATATATAATACGTCAACGCGCAACATGATCGTAAGCAATGGTTGCTTGCTTCCTGATGATTTCAATGGCGATGCCACAAGGAGAAGACAAGGAGGCATTGTGAGGTAGTTCTAGAGGCGTGCCGGTATCTCGAACCGACCCGCCCCTCTTGAGCAGTCAATTAAATCCAAACTAGACTATATACACTAGCATTCATATGTGACGCTTGTATGTAATCAAAGCGAAAGGGGTATCCGTGTCATCAAAACATGAGCGGAGTGTAGCACGCCTCACATGTACTACATACTCCAAATTTACGCCCGACTCTCTCCCTACCGGGTCAAATCTTTGGATAGCTGTCAAGCTTTTCGTAGATCCGTTCTCTCAAGAGGGGGTTTAGCCGTGAGAGATTGGGGCTCCAAGGCTCTGCGCATCGCCCAAATGCTTTCAGCCTTCCAGATCCAATTCGTAGATTAAACAGATATATCAGCTTCTCCTTCTCCTCCTTCTTCGTGCAAAGCGAGAACCCACTCAGCAACATCGCCTAGACGATCTCTCTGCTCCTAAACATCGACAAGCCCTTCTTCTTCCTCTTCTCTTCCCCAGAAGGCCATACTGTTGGCTGTCCAGGAGCCAGTGCGTCCAGCGCAAGAGCATGACTGTGCTGCTCCTCCCATGGCAAAGACTCCGGTTTCTTTATTCGGCCGCCCAAGCCAAGTCGCTCCTTGGGGGACTGGAACCATCGGGCGGATAACACTGACGGAGCTACCGATGAAGCGAGCGATCTCATGTCCATACTGTCCCGTGGCCGATGCATACTCCTGGTGTCGGTGCTAGGCCCAGTTTCGGCTCTCTCGGTGGGTGCCATAATCGTGCCAGCTGACGACGGCCGGGAGTAACTCGCGGCTGACGACGGCCTGATATCATTGGTAGAAGCCAGAGAAGAATCCCGAGAAGAATCCAGCGAGATGCCTTTGAAGGAATCGGGTCGTGCATCTGATTCTGGTGTGAGTGGGCCACTTGACATGGTGCTCGACGGAAACGATCCCAGGAAGGGCCTTATCCGCTGCGGTATTGGTGGCGGTGCTGTATCCGTATCCAGACTTGGACTTGTAGGAGTAGACAACGGCCTCAATCGCATAGGAATGGGAGGTGGTGGTCCAGTGCTGGATTCTGGCCGCTGTAATATCGTCGATGCAATGCTTGATGCGTCATCGTCAAGCGCCTCGCCTTTGAGAAGGACAGGCTGCGCTTCTCCCGCGAGGAAACCTCGTAGCCACTTTTTAGATTTCGTAGTGACCGGTGCTTCCGGGGCTTTGGTAGTCTCGGATCCGGGTGGCTGGATGACGATGCTATCCGCGGAATGGGGCCATTTCGTGAGACCGGCGTCATCCAATGGGGCGTGATATGCTTCAGCTGGTGAAACCTGTATATGCTTTTCGGGGTGCAATTGTGGTATAGAATGCTCAACAGGCGTCAGTGGCGACATATCAGGCGGTGTCGCGAGGACTGAGCTGTCCTCATTCGTTGTAGGAGTTGACGGGAAGAAATAAGATATCTCTGGTAAACTCGACTGGGAAGGCGTCTTCAGCAGAGGTCTGTGTTTGACAGTCGTATCCTCCTTCACCAAAGGAGGAACAAGTGGCTTGCTAATGCCTCTCCTTTCACTGCTAGTGCTCGATGAACTTGCTGCAATCGAGGCGGTCCGGTTCATGAGACTAGGAAACTCAATGGAAGAGGCCGGCGAATTTGAGCTGTTACTACTGCCAGAGGACTGGCTTGAATAGACAGCGGAGCGAACATGACCAAGAAAGGGGCCACTCCAAGCGGTCGTACTCCCGGACTTAATGGAATCGCTCGCGCTGAACCGTTTATCCTTTGCTGCCTCCTTACGCTTGGCTGATTCTGGAAGGCCGTCCCATTTCGTGTTGACCTTGGGAACAGTCGGTGGCAGCTTCCTGGTCGAAATACCAGGCAACGTGCCAGCCGACATCGCGACGCCGCGCTCTGCGGCCTGTTTTCGCTGCAGCTCCGCGAACTGCTCCAAAGCGTTCGCCGACGGCTCCTTTAAGCTGAGAAAGCCGAACACCGAGCTGCCCTTCTTCTTGTTCTCTTTACCCTGGCCTCCGGACGAGTGGGAGGGAGTCGCGGATATGCGATTTGACTTAGAGCTTCGAACATCGGATTTGGTTGTTTGGGCAGTTGATGGCCGCGATAGCTGTTCATCCGTAGACTTAGTAGAACATGGCATTATTGCGAGGTCGCTCGTGTCGTTGCTGGAAGTTGTTGAAACGGACGCTCCATCGGGCGCAGTGCCATCCGACGAGCGATGCCTCACCGCAAGCTTCGGAACTCGCTGCGGGACATGATGCTCGATGTGAGCCATGGTGGTGTTTCAACCCGGGAAGACTTTTCGCATCACCAACCAGGACAGCGATGAGGCAGGGATAGGAACGTTAATACGGAGTCGTTGATCTTCGTTGAGGCCTATTTAGTATGGAAGAGGAAGACTCGGAGATTCGGTGAGCAAGGACAGGATAAATCTACGTTGAATGGAACTGGGTGTAAACGCTGGCGACGGCTGAGAATATTTGGACTGGGAGAACAGCGATATGAATCTAGGGTGTATCTCAGGTGACAGTCGTCGAGGTTGTAAGTTGTAAGAGGGATGATATGAGTGAAGACGGAATGTGCGGCTGCGGGCGCACGATAAGATAGCTGCCTACCTACCTAGTTCGTTCACTGCTAGTCCGAGTCCGAGAAGCTGAAAAGAGTGAAGGTGAGCATTGCTCGGCGTGCTCGACGTGCTCGGCTCGAAGTCGCCATCCGCTCAATGGGCCCACGTCCAGAGCCCGACGTTGTGGTTAGAGGTGCGCTAAGATCCTGCGGGCAAGTCCGTGACGAAGCATTGACGGCGCGCGTGGGTTAGCGCCTGTCAGCCATTTTCAGCCACTGTTAGCCAATTTCTGCAGGGCGGGTTCGTGAGGAGGAGAGCAGTCGACGATTGGGCCGTCCGAGGGCGCGAGTGAGTTGTCCCTGTTCTTTGCGGCGTGCCGTGGCCGCTGGCCTGCTTCTCTGCCCTGCTTCTCTACCCTGCTTCTTTGCCCTCTCACAGGCGGTCATCTCTAGCGGTTGGCCGTGGACGGGTGGGGAGACGGTCGAGGGGCATTTCAGCTCGACATCGCTCAAGCCACTGCGACCAGAACGGGGCTCTGAGCTCTGATCATTTTCGATTGATCGGTCAGATGCGCGCACCAACCACGCTACAGTATTGTAACTAAGCCCCACGCTACAGTAGACACACGTCGCCAAGCAGCCCTAGAAAGGATACGCGCACCCATAGATTTCCTCCACACATGAAAGCTTCCAAATAGCCGTTCTGTTCACCAGCCAACAAGAGTGAGGCTGCTGGAAGTCAATTTAAAGCCGCATCTCAAGGGCAATCCATCCATTCCAGCTTTGTTAGTTTTCCTACTCCAACTTCCGCGTCATTCAGTCGCCATGATTACCCAGAAGCCCAAAACCCAGGTCTCCATAAGGCGTCTGCCCTTGCGCAAAGCCCTCAGCCGCTGACCGCACACTGCCGCAGCGCGCCAGGAACACACGGCTCACAATCCTCGAACTTGCAGTGATCTGTTGTTGCTTGTCTTTCCTTTGCGCGCCATCTGCCTTTTCGCCCTACGCACCTTACGAATCCGGCCTGTTCTCCGCTCGACTCTGGCAATCGCTGTTTGATCGCCCTGCTGTGACGTTCGCTGTCAAGCACTTGGCTCTTGGGGCGGGATGAGATCAGGCAAAACGGAACGCAGCGAGTGCTTGCGCTGTGAAGTCGTTTTAAGATGAAGACACCGCAAGGGAGCGAGTCGTGTCAACGGCTATCTCAGACAGTCGATCACATAACGCTCCGGCAACGACTCGGGAGATCTGTGTTTGTGCGTTTTGCAACAATGCCCGTGAGCGTACTCCGTACCGCGGTCGCAACGATGCACATCATTCCCTAGTCTGCCACCGGACAAGGGCTACCCAGTTTAGTCCGGCAAGCGGTACCGGGCTTGCCAGGGCCATACACGTCGGACGCGAAAGAAGACTCGCCGCGACAGCAGTCCAGCGCTTGTTTACCGTCAGCTTCACGAAACAATCCACGATCAGCCGCTGTGGTAAGTGTCAGGAGTGACCGATAGAATGGCATGCTTTTAGTTAGCTACTTGGACTATATTGCGGCGCGTTATCTTGATTGTAAAGGCAGCACCATCGTTAGTAAAGCCCTGGATGTTTAGGCTCGCGATGAGGCTTTTTTCTCGTCTGACGTGTGGACGTAAACATAGCACTGCTGGACGAGTATCGTGAGCAACTCAAGAGACCGACGCCTGGAATCCCTTTCGACAGCTGAGACGTCGGCACGGAACTCTGCTGGAGCATAAAGCCTGGAGGGAGCGATTCGTACTCACACCGACTGTTGGGCGATTGATGTGAATTTGTCAAAGAGGCGCTCGTGAAATTTGCTGTGGTGTATTTCTGTGAGTCCTGCGCTTGCAACGTTTGCATGCAGGAGTCAGAAGCCCAAACAGGCAACCGCGATGCTGAAGATGGCCAGGAATCACCACAAACCATCTCATCTTGCAGTGTAGTTCGTGCCTCGACTCATCGTACCGGATCTATTCATACTCGGGCACTACCGGCGCGGTAGGCCTCATCTCATCCTTCAAGCAACTACCCGGCACGATGCCCGGCGGCAAGAAGGGAACAGCACGGCGGGACAAAGGCAAGGGGAAAGCCGTCGACCGAAGACAACATCGAAATTGGCCAGCTCAACCTCCAACGCTCGATAGTTCTCCAGCACTTTCCGAGCCGCGTGCAGGCGCATCGAGCAGTCCCGGGGCGCTAGCGCAGGTTGGCTCCGGCCCTTGTCCATCTCCCGCTTGGCCGCCGCCTGGCCCTTCCACTCACCATCTACTATGCCCGCCCTCACATTTCCCTCCTCCTACCAGACCGCACCCGCCACGTCCTCGCCCGCCGCAGCTAGCTCTGCAAGTTACTCATCACCTGAGCAGTTCGATGCGGGATCCCGCTCACCACCACGGCCGCCTGTGTCGCCGATAACGCCCGTCGCTTCGCACGCCCAGCTCGCGCCCATCGAGGACGTCGAAGATGTCCTCCCTCCTCCCGCTACCAAGTTCGTACCACCACCGCCCCCGGTGCCGATATCAGAGAGCGAGAACCCGGATGCGATAGCCTTGCGCTCCTCGATCTCGCTTCTGCAGCTGCAGCGCGAGAAGAGCAAGAAGGACATCAAGACGCTGGAGCAGATAAAGCAGGCAGCGCTCGCGGACCCAGAAGCGTTCCTCAAGGAGCTTACGGAAGGGAGACTCCGGGGGAAGCATGCTGTTGGGGATATTCTTGGGCCCACGCTGGCGGATCTTATATCCAACGTCGCAGACCAACCCTACAGCGAACTAGGCCGCAACGAAGCGCAAGACAGCCAAGATCCAGCACCGGAGGACAGCACCGCTCCGCTGCCTCTACCTGCCGAGCCGCCCTCAAGGTTCCCTTCTATACCGCAGCCGCAGAACATCTTCCGCACGCCGCCCATCAACTGGGCGAAATACCACGTTGTGGGCGAGTCGCTGGACAAGCTGCACGAGGAGCAGAGGCAGAGACCTGCACCGGGACAGCCGTCACGCGATGACCCGGTTGGTAGAGCGCCTGTGCATGTGATAGCGGCGCCTTACTCGCCATTCACGGACAAGCCGCATCCTATGCAGACGCGGAAGGATTCGAAGAGGATGGGATGACGGGATGGGCATCCAGCGGAAGTGCAGTGGTCCCACAGTAGCAGGGAAAAGAGAGCTCCTGTGTCGCGTGCACGATTGCGGTTTTTTGGGAGGCATAAAAGCGCATGCTACAGGTTGTACCGCAAGGTTGGAAAAGTCCGTCTCAAGGGAACCGACTTGTGGTCTCCTCATTGCGTTACGTCATAGATGGGAAGTTGTTACTACTGGCACGTATAGAACAGTGTTTGAGTTGCAGTAAACATCATTAGCTCTCAACAACGAGGAGTTCACATGACTAGTCTACCACTTTCAACCGCTCAATAAACCGTGATGGAAAGGGTATAAGGCTAACCGCAGAACCCCTGAACAAACTCCCAGATAACTGCACTCCTCAAAGGCCAAATCACCGCGTCACCTTCTCCAACCTTTAGCACCCACCCCTCCTGCACTTAAACTGCTTACCAAACCATCACTGACTAGCCGGCTGCGCAACACCCTCATCAGCCACCACCCCCCTTCCCGTCCTCTTCCCCCTCCTCCCAACAACAAACTCCCCACACCACCACAGCACCCCTAAAAGCCCCACCCCCGACCCCGCCCACGTCAACGCCAAAAACCTCCCTCCCCTCTTCGCCTCCACACTCACCCGATACCCATACATACTCACCACATCCGCCGCCCTGACAACCACAGCCGTGACGACCGCGCTCGCCAGCACCAGCGCCCCGAGCGCCAGCACCGCGAACAGCAGGCTCAGCGCCGCGGAGAGGCGGCCTGCGGAGAAGAGCGCGAAGAACGAGGACAGGAAACTCAGGAAGGCGAGGACGATGGCGAGGATGTAAAGCGTGAAGGCTGTATGGTGTGCGATGCGCAGGGCGGTTATGCCGGTGGAGAGTTCGGTGGGCCAGTGGAGGGTGGAGAGGGTGATGTTGGTGCTGCCGCTGGTGGTGGTGTTGAGGCTGCGTGTTAGGGCGGCGGTGGGGTCGAAGTGGAACAGGGCGCGGGGGCGGGAGCAGGATGTTACGTTTTTGGTGATGGTGGAGCGGGGGGCGGTGGTGCTGGCGAGGGCGGAGGTGGTGTAGGTGCCGCTGCAATAGTTGAGGAGGTGGACGGAGTAGAAGTCTGAGAGGCCGAGCTCTGCGGCGAGGGAGTCGAGGGCGGAGTTTATGGAAGAGGTGATGGAGGAGGAGGCGTTTCGGAAGACGTCGGTGAGGATGTTGTCGCCTGCGGGGACGAGGGTGGAGTTCACGAGGAAGTTATGGCCTATGCGGGAGGTGTTGAGCTGAGCGAGTGTTAGTCAGGATCTAGTTGTAGCGTCGGCTGCCCCTACGTACTGTAACCATGTGGTAGTCCTCCATGAAGCCGGGTTTGTTACCGGCGAACATGCAGAGGAAGCACGGCACCATCGCCGCCAGGGCGCAGAGGCACGGAACGATAGCTGTTAGGCGCATATTGGGCCGCTCAGCGGATGCGAAGTAGGGGAGCCCGAAGCTCGAGAGTCTCTAGCGTAACTAGGACCTAGATTCTCTGACGAGTTGTGCGAACTGTGTCAGAATTCCGCGAAGGGAGCAAAGAGAGTACGTCAAGATAGGTGCAGTGTGGTCACTCGAAATTACAAACGAAATATAGAGAGTGCACGGAAGCGTTTGCTTTCACCCTCTGTCGCCTGCTTGTGGCACATGACACCGCCATGGCCGGTGGATGCGAGGTAACTTTGAGTGTAGAGAGTAGTAACACGTAGACATCTCTGGACACATTCCAACCGAGACCCGTGGAACACTCGAAACTTGAGAGCCAGCCAGAATCAGAGCCGCATTCCAGGATGCTGCGGCCCTTGCATCCTCCAGATGATAAGGGGCAAGCTTCGGTCATGTGTAAGATATCATATCTGAAGTATCATGTGAAAGGGAGGCAATTGCTGTGTTGTAGACTCCGAAAATATTATCTGTAAGGCATTGCAACCCAGAGCGAGAGCAACGAATACCTTCCACGAAAGCAGAATGCGCCTAAAAAGAGCAAGCAAACCAAAAGGGTATCCCATCCAGCAAAAGTACCGTTCAGACCGATGAGCAACGACATGTAATGTCCCAGATAATCCTCCTGACTCGTAGACTGGTCCCGAGCGCCGTATCTGCGCTCATTCCCATGATCAACTGTGCCCCCGCGAATACCTTGTTGCTTCGCGCAACATGAAGTCAGACAGCAGGAGCCATCGCCCCATTGGACCACGTTCTGCCACCCGGACTGAACAAGCTGGTGAGACCCATGTGAGTGGGACACACACGAGCCACCTGTTGAGCGGACTCCGTTCCTGCGGTCCCGCGGTCCCGCGGAGCTTGACAATATCATAATCATCCAGTCGCGAGCCTATTCAGCCACCCATCTCCATTTCTCCCTCCATCCCCCTCAAACAGTCCCAGCAGCACACCTCCCCTTCCTCTCCCTGCTCCACACAGCACCTACTACACACCCTCCTCTTGCCGCAACTCATGATGCACTGCCGTATGCAGATATAACAGGTTCTTCCTCCACAACTCCCGCAGTCAGCATAAGAGTCAAGGTCCCGCCTCTTCGTCGGCTTGCTGTGGCAGATGTGACAGGGTCGGAGCAGGGATGATGGAATGGAGGTCGTTGGTACTGTTGCGATTTCAGCAGGAATGCTCGCTGTGGAGGCTGCGGATGGTCGAGCTGGGGCGTAGCGGTGAGGCTTTAGGGAAAGTATGCGTTTCGCTGTCTTTAGGGGCGGCGGCTCGTTGTACGGGTGGAGTCGGATTGAAGAGGCGTATGTACATGAAGAGTGTGGCCAGAGGGTAGAGGATTGCAGTGGCGGCAAGGGTATCTGGGCGGTATATAAGGCTGTTCTAAGGTCCTCCTTAGGCGTCTGGTGGGCAGCTTTGTCCGTCGAGGACCTTGTAAGCGTTAGCCAACGCGTCTAGTATAGACAGGTAGAAAGAGTGCTTCGAAGATCTTACTTTAGCCCTTCGCAGCTTTCCGTGAGTCTCTTCCGCTTTCCCAGGCTACTGAAGCTGTCATGGTCGAATGAGGGCATGGCGTGGACAGTTGAGATGCTGAAAAGGCCGTGATCTGTGTCTGGGTATGCAAGGGAAAGTACGAGGTTTTGCCTTATTTATACCAGGCTGTGAAGCAATGGAGGGAGCGTATAGGCCTGTTTTCGAGGCGCCCCAACACGGCCAATGCCTTGTGCTTAGCCAGGTGTGACAGTAGCCGTGGCAAGAATCTAAAGAGCGAAGAGAAGGAGCGAAGTGAGCGGAGGCGCTCGACGTCTGCGTTGCCTCGGGGAGCTCAGATTTGTTTAGGTTGGGATGCCGCGGAGGCGGGATCACGGCCTCACGTGGCTATCGGCCCGTATGAATCGTCTACGACCAGCAGTATTATCAGATAACCCGCAGAAATAATGCATGGCTCCTTTTTACCACCGATTTAATTATTGCTATTCGAGGCAGTGTCGGCTGCTGAGTCTAGAACAGCATGTCACAGCGGGGAGAACCTGGAGAGTCCTTTCTCCAGCGTCTAAGTCTGTTGCTTAAGTCTCCTGAGTAGGTAGTATTTACGTGAAAATGTGAGTAGTGCCCCTCAGGAGCATAAGACGACTACCAACAAGAAGCAAAGGCTATACGAATGCCCGACTACAGGCCTTTGGTATTCTCCATGCCCTTCGTCAACGGAGGAGTAGTAGCGCTGCCTGCGTCGCTATCTCTGATCATCTCTCCCTCCACTATGTCGTCTCCCAGCATCATGTGTGCCACATTAACCTTTGGTCCCTTAAACCACTTCCGCGCTGAGACGAACCACCAGATGAGGATGAATAGCATCGGACCACCATATACAAGGGCCGTCCAGTTCATATCCTCAACCCTGGGAGCCTGTGAGCCAAGATACCTCAGTCGCAACGATGAAGAACTTACGTTAACCCCTCTGGTACTGTAGTCCACGGGAAACACATGATCGGAACCATAAGCGCCACAAAAGCAGAAGCGACAATGCCAATCGGGATGCTGAGCTTGCCCAGATTCCATGGGCCGGGCCGGAACCGGTCTCGAACGAAACAGACGCGGATGAAGATAGGGATTGTAAAGGCAACGAATGCAGCAATGGCGCCGACAGAGAAGAGGGCTCCGATGGCGAGTTCGCCGGCGAAGATCAGTAGTAGAAGCAGCATGCCGATGAAAGCATTGAACCACACGGCGTTGACTGGCGTCCGTGTAACCGTGTTGACTGTCTTCAAAAGGTTCGACAGCGGACCAAAGCAGTCATCTCGTGCGTAAGCGAACGTGACTCGCGAGGCTGCGATCATGCATCCTTGACCCATGAAGAAGCCGGCGATGATGGTGAGCGCAAGGATGGTGATGGCGATCCGCTGCGGTACGCACTGGATAAGGTATGCCGCAAAAGGCTGGCCCAATTCAGACTCCAGTACTTCGTCGATGTTCACAACGGTATAAGCAACGACCATCTGCAGAAACCAGCCTGTGATCCCGCCAACGCTGGAAGTCAAGACAATGGCTCTCGGTGACGCAAGGTTGGCATTACTGCACTCCTCCGCCAAGTGGAACGCGCTGTCATATCCGGACATTGTCCAAATAACTCCAAGAAATGACATCAGCACCGAGATGCCTGCTGGGAATGTCGTGCCCTCGTATATAGTACCCCACACTTCACCAGAAGGGGCAAATTTAGGCAATCCTCGTGACTCTCTGTCCGTCGCCGCAGGAATGAGGATAATGACGACTACAAGCGCAACCATGTTGAACGTTGAGCCAGCCGCATTGACCTGCGCCAACCACTTGGTCGGCAAAGATGCCATGACTCCGTGGACGATCATCAGGAGTATCGTGAGCAGGAAGGTCTGGTAGTTTGTGGGAACGTATTCCGGATTCATGATAGATCCAGAAGCCAGCATCATAGCAGCCGCACCGTAATTGACAGATGGAGCAGCCGTTACCTGGACCAACCAGTTGGACCATCCAGTGATCCAGGCGGCGAACGGTCCCCATCCCTTAGGCGCAAGGACGGCCGCTGCGTAGTAAAGACCCCCACTTGTCGGCATGGACGAGCACAGCTCTGCCATTGACATCGCGACGCTCTGAATCCCAATCATGGCGAGCAGCCAGCCCCATGTCATCCCAGCAGTCCCGGCGTAGCCCATACCATAGTATAGCGTGCTGGCGAAGCTGGGAAGCAACCCCAAAACGGCAAAGCTGACACAGAATGTCGTGAAGAGGTTGAATTCGCGCCTGAATTCCGGCTTGTATCCAAGCGCAGCCAGGACCTCATCGTCCGCACCGAGGTCGGGGTTGTCCGGATCGTACGGTACATCGCCGTCTGCAGCCGCAATTCACGGTCAGAACTGTGAGTATATAGATGGCCATCTGGAAGTCCACTCACTCGGAAGCACCGAGGTCACAGGCTCATCGCCCACACTCTTGTGGCGGCGCGACGCCGATACGACACTTGCGCGTTTCGTGTCCATTGGGAATTGGGAGACACTCGGAGAAAGTAAAGATGCACAGAACGACTGAAAGCGAAACCTTGACAACAGAGAGGAAACGAGGCTTGATAAGTATGCTTTACCTTGCACCTCCACACCACCGGTACGATATAATTAAGCCAAATGCGGCATCTGCAGCCTTCTGGGCGAGATACCCACGGCTCTTGACCACTAACATGAATTGATGGTCTTCCGGCAGCCCTGGCAAACCTGGCGGGCGGGGGACTCCACGGATGGTCTGCATGATCGAGGTGCAGCAGGGATGGACTCCGCCAAGTGCGGCCATCGCCTACTTCCCGCCTGGTGCGGCAGAGGGCTGGAGTTTCTTATCTCCCCACTCTGCTGCTGGACGAATTATCATGCAAGCGCATGTCTGAAGGGTGGGCATTGCGCCAATCGACGGGGGAGTGAGAGGAGAAATGGTCAGATTGACAAGGGAGCTCCAGCTCAGCGAACGGCTAAACACATGGGATCAAGCAAACCCTGCCTCTTTGAAGCCTGAGAACCCAGGCTGTACCTGCCGCATGCGGTAATCCTGTGTCCAATCCTTTCTCAAATGCTGCACCGAATGCACCCTGGAGAGCATTATGTTCTTGGGAGTTGACGTTGGAGCTCGATGGTGAACCTCGTGGCGTCCAAGCGTCGTGTCGTGGCGCGCACGCGTCCTCGGGGCTTGAGATAGCCGCATGTGGGGAAGTTTCCATTGAGTAATCATATCCGCTTCAGCCCCATGGGCGACTTTACGAGACGTCAGGTTCAGGTTGAATTGAAGGGGCATCTAATTCATGGCAACAGTAAGCCGATGGAATACATCAGATTCGTGCCAACGATACGAGGTACACGCCAGCGCCGCATGCTCTCAAAAATACGCATTGCTCCCTGAGTACTCTGCCCTGGTGCCTGGGAAGGCGCCTACAGGTGCAGTCCCACTGCCCTCCTCGTCGCTACCACTATCTTCCTCGCTGCCCTTAAACACGGCATCACTGGGATCAGGAGGTGCTCTCATCCGAGCAATGACATCTACGTCCAGCATCGGGACTGTGAACGGCTTCTGCGTATGGTATTCGCGCCCAGAAGGCATGCTCGCCAGCAAAGGCTCCGACGAAGGGATGAGTTGCACGTTCATCTGTACTCGAATTAGCATGGGCTGATACCCATATGGCGAAACCGCTTGCCTACCGTATCATTTGCCTTGACCCACTTCTTCTCCAGCATGTCCACGATCCTTCCCTCCTCGAACTTCCCGCCATCACTTCCCCAGTCTCCGCCCTTCTCGATCTTCCTATCCTCCCTCCTCTCCGCCCACTCCTTCTTGAGTTTAGAGAAGCCCCTTGATTTCTTCCCTTCATCTCCATTGGCCGCTAGGAATCCCATCTCCTTCCTCGCAGCCCTCAACCATGCAATCCCCTTCCCCGTCTCACCCCCAAGCTCAGCGTCAATGCCGAAGAACCGACAGGCCTTCCCCCGCGCGGTCCGCCTCAAATCATCGATATGCCTCACCAGCCCCTCATCAACCCTGCTCGCCCTTCCCAGCATCCCCTGCGCCTTCGCCGCATGCTCCGCCGCCGCAAGACACAGCCTCGCAAACAAGTGTGCCCGTACCTTCGGAATATCGGGATTCTTAAACATCCAGTCCTTGGAGTTCTCGTTGCGGTCTTCTGCCACAACGGCCGGATAGGGGTCGTCCTTGAGCACAGCAATGAGCGTCGCTTCCGCCATTGTGAGCGAGGCCAATGCGCTGAGCACCGGCGCGGATATGTCTACTGCGGCGGGTGGTGAGCTCCATTGGCTGGAGCGATGGACGAGGTACGTGTGGGTGGTGTTGGCGTCGAGGAGGTACCGCATTGCGGATGCGATAGCCGCTGCGCGCTGTTCAGGCGAGGGGAGAATCGCGTCGAAGAGGGTACGCAATTGGCTGCGGGCGAGTAGGGAGCACGTGTAGGCGAGTGTCGATAATACGAAGAAGAGCTCGGCTTCGAGGCTCTTGAGCTTGATCCGGGGGGGTTCTCGACTCGGGAGTGTTGCCGTGAGCGTCGCGCGCCATTGAACCTCTAGCTCTTTCACCAGCACGACGTCGACTTCCTCGTCGTTTATGGGAGCACCGGTTAGTCCGGCATCGAGCGCGAAGATGTAGGGGATGTATTCGTTCAGGGCTGCAAGGACATTTGAGAGATTTGAGGCTTGCGATTGCGGTGGGAGGCGCTTATGCTTCTTGAGCGCATCGCGAACAACACCGCGGCAGATGGTCGCTGTGAGTGGAAGCGAGGGATGCGTACCGCTGTTGAAGTAATCTGGAAAGGAGAGGTAGGATGTTGTGGGCAATACGAAAGGAAATGGCATGGTTGCTTAAGCTTGGTGTTGATGTCGCTAGCGCCAAGGCTGCTTTGTGGACAGAGCTTCAAGTTACATTCCAGCAACCGTCCTCGCTTGGCCTTTAACTCTGGATGTCTATATAAATTTTCAAATCGCCTCTGCCTTCCACGTACGGCCATAGATCAAAGCACACAACTACTTCAGAACGGAGTAAAGCACAAAATGCCATTGCGGGAATACACTGGCGATTCCGACGGCGACGGCGCCCGAGGAGTGAGTGCAATTTCTGTATCCAGGGAACTAGATGCAATCTTGTAGTGCCAGCAATAGGTTGTCGATGTATGAGAGGGTGTGAGAATGTGATCGAAAAAATTGTATGTATGCTTAGTTTTGCACAATGTGGGAGTCAGTGTAGATTCTTGGGCGATCCTTTCTAATTAGCAAGGTTGCGAACCATTTCCTTGTATATCAAGACTTTTGAGTATACAATGTCAGTGTGAGAGGTAGTGATATTGTTACAAAGTTCATTCCCTGCCGCTGTGCCTGACTGGGTGCTTTCGTTCCATGCATATCAAATGCTCTCAAACTTCTTTCGATCACGAGAATGCTTTGGCAAAGTTGACATCGAGCAATTACTTTTGGCTAGTAAAAAGCATTCGACAGGCTTTGATCTACGACATTTTAGCACTCAGTGTGCAGTTTTCCTCCGGTTACAAGGGTTTCTGCGGACACATATATATCGTCAAGTCTATTAGCTACAATACCACCAACTCCTCTTCATGTCCAAAATGCGTAACGCTCGCGCATCGGTATTCATTCTAAAGTGAAGTCTTTCTCCATACATGCGTCTAATCCGTTTGTAGCTTCACCGTGCATGAGGCCATACACGAAGCAGTCACCTATGAGCTTGTAGTTTTTATTCTCCAACGGGCGAAGGACGAGTGGAATTCGAGAACCAAAGATGAGGCATATCTGGTCTCCAGAACGGGCTCCACCACTCAATTCACAGATGTCGTTGTGGCTCCTTCTTACCTCCGTATACCTCGGAGCCAGGCCTATCAGTCCGTGTTCGGAGATGAAGAGGAACCTCCCGTCTTTCAGTGTTTGTTCTTCGCCAAATCCAAAGCGACTTGGGTCAAACGGGATGCCGCGTCGCCTGAGCAGCTGCAAATTCATGTTTTCATGCGGGCTGCACCCTTGCCGCTTACACTCCGCAACGTGATGCCAGAACTTTCGAGTTTGCGGCGGTTTGCGCGTGAAAGACTCGCTGAGCGGTGAAAAGAGGACAGAAGTCAAGATGTCTGTGTAGTACTCTCCAGTTATAGGGTACGGATCGGGATATGGCAATGCCAACTCGGCATTGGCTGTCTCTTGAACCATCCTAATAGTCATGAGCGGGACGCTCCTGGCTGTAAGGAAAGGCCTGGCTTCGGGATTGCTTTTTAGATCGTCGAGATTCGAAAGACTTACCACAGGTGGATAAGCGCCTAGAGCAAAGTTGGTTGCGTCAAAGCCTCCTGCATACAGGCCAGATCTGACGCTTCCCAAAACTTTGGCCACATATGCCTCACTCCAGTCCGGAGCCCATGATGGCAAATCGTTCGCTATGTTCGCTGCTTGAACGTTGTAGAGAAGATCCAGCCTTGGTGTAGCCTATTCTCCTATGAAGTCAATAGCGGCACGGGTATACAGATCTCTCACTGGTGAGCTATAGTCGGGCTCTATTCTCGAGCCTCAGAACTCATCATAGATGCCAAGTTCGTAGTAGATGATGTCCAGTGGATTTGCGGCCTGACAACCGCGATGATCTCTAAGTAGCCTGGCCATGGTTCGCAAGAATAGTGGATCGAAATCGATTGTGATTGCACGACGCAGACCGGCGACTTCCGCAATTGTGCTCAGCGCCAACCTCCACGCGCAAACCCGTGTGACAATAAAGCAGTGCCGACGTCAGCTGATAGAATATCTTCGAAAGCTGCTTGTCGGATATCGCTTATCCAGGACCGCCACAAACTGAGTCGTACCGAGAAAGATGATCTCCTGGGTAATACTCCAGGTAGACCGACACAGTGCAGTTGTCCTTCCGCGGTATGTATTCGAAGTCAAGATATCCCACGAGGTTCGGATGCTGCAACTTGCTAAGGACCTCGTAGGCGGACCTGAGACATCTGATCCTAGTTGTCGTAGTTTGGTCCGCTGTATCGAATGTATAGCTTTTTCGCATCAAATACTGCTCCTGTCTCCCGTCTCCCGAAGAGCCATTTGAGTGGATTGCGGAGGTCTTTGTAATAAGCCCGACATTCATAATCTCATCGGAGGGAAGGAAGTCCGCCAGTTTGCCAACGCAGACACAAGTAGCCTTAGGCTTGAAATTCCCATGCATATCGAGCTGTTCCGTTTACTGCGGAACCGTCGTAAGGAAATCCTGGAGACTCTGGGATTTCCACATACAAAGCAACAGATTCGGTAGCGGAGCGTTAAAGGCAACAAGGTGATATGGTATCAATGATGGTAGGCTCTAGAAGATACAGCGGCTAAGGGAAGCTGGTACTTATGAACACCTTAAGCAGTGAGAGAGGAGCCGCATTGCACTCCTGGACAGCTTTGTCTGGTGTGCTGTGATCTTGCTGCTTATGGTAAACCCCCAAAGGACGGAGGAGTCCAGAGATATTAGGTAAGCAGGCCACAGCTCCCGTCCCCTTGGGTTTTCTTCCACTCTTTACATCCAACATCACCCTCGACATCTGGGCATCAACGCCGGTACAGTCGCCTATCCACCTTATTCCACTGGTCCAGCCTCGACGAGAGGCTTCCTAACGTGCAGCCATGTCCGTCTCCACGTTCTACATCCAATTCACGCCCTACCGACTCTCCGTGGTCTTCTTCTGCCCCCAGCAACCGTCAGTTCCGGTCAATCCACCATAAATTTCCATCCTCACACGCGCCTGGACCACTTGCGACCGAAGGCAATGTGTCAGGCGTCTCCCCAACGGCGTCGCCGTTAGAGCAATCCCTACCTCTTGCTGGCCATGATCATGTCCTTTCCGAACAGTACATCAGTTACGAAACGGTATATAAACCTTGGGACCAAGGGTGGGCCGAAGAATCCGTGGCCGGGCCGAGCGTCGATTGGGGTGCGTGGACCGGACCCGACTCTTTTGATCCGCTCTTGGTTGGCGAAGGCCAAGTTGTGGATTCGTCCAGTATTTCTGGAGAAGGGGCTTTAGGGAACGTGCTTTGGGAGTCATCCTTACAATCTGCATCGAACGATTTCTCCAAAGATCACCTACCCATTACGCTAGACAAATGGTGTTTCTCTACTAGTAAGTAATAAATGCCCAACATCTTATGTTCCCTAAGCTCATTCTTACAGATGTCCCCCAAATACCACATCCGGACATTCACTCGCTCTCTGCCACCCCCCAAACCGGCTCTAATCAACCGGACACGAGTATTCACGCAGTTTTCCATTATAATCACCCCCCACTCTCTAGGGAACTCCCTGCCGTTTCTATCACTCAGCCAGTCTCGGCCCCATCTCCAGCATCATCGACTAGAACTCCTCAATCTCAAGAACCGAGAGGCATCAGCACTAACCCCAAGACCGTTGTCCTCAAACGCCAAAGAAACACCCTCGCTGCTCGCAAGTACCGCCAAAAGCGTCTTGACCGTATTACAGAACTCGAGCAAGCGCTACAGGACATGACGCGAGAAAGAGACGATTTGAAGTTGCAATTAGCGCGACAAGAGGCCGAAAACAAGGTGATACGGGAGGTAATGAGCGGGAGGAGGTAGGACGGTATTAGAGACCACGGATGTTTTGGTGGTGGCATAGTACTCTCTCTAAGTTTGTTGATTTTACGTGTCCTAGTTGTGAAGCGTACTTTGTGGTTTCCGAGTCGCTGTGTCCTGGCAGTATTCATGTATCTTAAAAATCCAAAGCTTGCGTTAGCGTCTCAGCTGTATTTTGTGCAAAAATGCTTTTCTCGTAAATCATAGTAATAAGGAGACAGCTCAGGCGATGTCAGCAGGTCCTTCGTAAAGGGGTCCCCATATAAATCCTGTTCTCAAGTATGAGAGTGGGAATGTCGGAGGCTAATTCTTCTCGTCATGGTCTCTGCAGCGGGCCCAAGGATGGATACGGAAGGCTGCTTGGGGATTGGACTTACTCATCGCACGAAGCAGAACAACAGATTCATGAGGTACATATATCGACTCCCACTCAGGAGCTTGGCGTTCTCACAAATGGACATTGATATCCACATCGATTCTTTCCGCTACTTTATAGCAATCTTCTGCTTACTGCTCGCTCAACCGGACGACAAGCCATTTAAACGCTAGCTTGCAAGACTCCATACGGATCATACCATCTCGGAGTATACAAATCACGACTTGTGAATAATTATGACTCATCCCGTATCATAGCTTTTGTCACGTTGTTCAAGCTCAACTTTCAAGCCGATTGCCCTGCCATATCCTTCGAAGCCGGGTTTGCCTAGTAGCTTTCGGTAAAGTCTGTGGTTAATAGCAGCAGGATCATTATGAGTCGAAATGAGTCATTCCTTGGCGGAGCGCGATACCCGAAAACCTCTCGAGATCCACCAACCGTCCTTGCTTGGCATTAACTTTGCATGTCGATATTGTATGACAGGACGCTGCTTCCTTTCATGTACGGCCGTAGAACAAAGAATACTGGGCATCCCGTGCCATTGCATAGGCTTTGAACCGATAGAGTAGTAGCTAGGTGTGTGACCACTAGCGAATAGCTACTGCTGTATGTTTTACATTCTTTTTGGCCGAGGTTGGGTGTTCTTTCACTCGACGAGTTTGAGTAAGGAAGCAGTAGAGACTGCTAGGGTGGAAGCTTGTGCATAAATTGGGACGTCGTTTTGAGGTCGTAGTTCGCCGAATCAAAGTACATTTCACGAGACATTCGTCATATCAACAGTGAAAGAGGGAATAAGAATCATTAAGAGTTCACGATACATCCCATTTATTACCACTTGGAGCTCTCCTTGCGAAGTACAGCTCGAATCCGTATGATGAAAACAAAACCCCGCATTCCAGACCAAGACAATATCTCGCTCCTGAATCTCTCAAGAGACCAACGGCCGCAGGCCCGGTACACACGGATAGGCTGCTGACCGAAATAGAGTCGCCACCGACTTTGTCAGAAGTTCCATGGTAAGATATGAGGCTTCGGTGTCTAATTTCGTAGATGTTTTGGGTCTCGGAAGGCTCTCTTGGCGAAGCCCAGTTACAGCTTGGCGAGCTGGGCTTCTTGAACAAGAAGAGCCGTCTTAACCTGGTAAGTTGTCCCTAATCTTTGGAGGTCTTGGGTAAGGCATCGATGTCAGGCAGCGCACATAGGGTCCCCCGGTAGTTTGTTGGGCTTTTCTTCGTGTATTCAGGGCTCGTTGGCCCGTCATGATTTTCAGGCGGCGCCGATGGAGTCCCCCAGTGCTTCGTGAGGTGCCTCTGCACGGTAATGTGGCTATGAGCGAATGGATCGAGTGGCAACCCTGAGTTCCGATGGCTTACTGGCGAGAAGGCAGGCTTATTCGGTGATCTCCGGGCTCCCTTTGGCGATCCCCATTGGGGAGTTTCCGACCACCACTCTGGCTTCTGCGGCTCTGGTTCTACTATCCGCAGTCTACTGGCGACTGGCTTCCACGGTTTAGTCTCAGCGAGTTTCCGTCCAGCGCTGCGGATCCCATCTACCAGGGATCGCTCATCATCATGCAGCTCCTCCATGGTGACGAGTTTTGGTCGAGTTCTGGTTGGCTTTTTAGGTGAAGGGGCCGGAGGGGACTGTCCCTTGGACACTGCTGCTTTTTCGCTGGCCGCCTCTTGGGCCTTGGCCGTGGATTCGGTCGTTGCTTTGGCGGCAGCTTCGGCGGCAGCTTCGGCGGCAGCTTTGACCTTCTTTGTAACTTTCTTTGCTTTCTTGACAACTCTGGAGGCCACGGGTTCGACCTTGAAGACGGCGGGTTTAGCTTTGGTGGCTGACTTCGCTCCCTTGCGTGATTTGGCAGCCGGCGTCGACGTGGTGATCTTTTTCTTCTTGGATTGGGCCCCGGACTGGGACCGAGTGACTGCCATAGTTGAGTTTTTCTGGTGGGCTGAGGAGTGCCTCGGTTATGTTCGTCGTGGTCGCAAAAGTGTTGTAGTCGAAGATGAAGACTGGAAGCCCGACGAAGCCGTTTGCAAGCGGAGACATGTTCATACACCATTGGTGATCCTACCTTGGCTAATATACTGTTGGTAATGGCCTGCGAAACAAAGGCGTTGGCATGGTAAAAGGAACTTGCTATGCTTGGCCTGCCGTTTGCGGCAGACTGTGTTGGATGCTAACGGAGAACAAAGCAGGAGATACCGAGAATAGCAGCGCGCAGTCAGACCTCAGATTCGGAATTTGACCTCGAGAGTCCGCTTGTAGCTGTAACGGGACTGATGCTCGACTTGTGCTCGCCGAAGTGTGAGAAACGGACAGTTGCCGTGTGAGCAAACAAAGGTTTCTAGAGAGAATGATTGCGCTATAGGCATGAAACAATTGACTTGAACCGAGTAACGCGCAGCAAAGCTCAGCACACGGTTGGCGGATTAGAGGAGTCCAAACACTGTTTTAACTATCAAGCTGCAGCTTCTACTACTGTCTTTAATCACATTGTCCTTAGAGAAGTACGGGCTGATAAGGCCTCGCTGAAGAGAGCTGCATTGCTCGCTTGATGCTTTCGCATATGGGGCGCGAACCGGCCTACATCGTCCGACTCATCATCGATTCTACATCTACCTAGGTCGGTATTTCCTGAGCGTCTTGAACCTCACAGTCATTCGAGGAAGCGTGGGAAGCAGGGAGCAGCCAAGTGCATGCATCGGCCGCTCGCGTGCCAGGCCCGATACGGACAAGCTAGCCCCCTAAATTGCCTAGCGACCGCCTCCGATCTCAGGAACGCGGATGCGCCTATCATCGACGGCCAGATATGGTTGACATCACTGAAAGGTTGGTGCACAAGTCCTCGCCTTGCTCAAAGCCGCGCATTGGCCTGCGCTGGCTTAATGGCTGGGAACTCAAGTCAATGACGGGGTGGCTCCGGGGAGGTCGATTTCCGCTTTGCTCCCATTGAGGAAACCTGATATTACGTCAAAGTAGCGACTGTTTAAGTCTCCGTGTCGCAAGCAATCAAGTGCATCAAGTGAATGCTCAAAGTCTTCTGCAAAACCCATTACCTTCTTGTGCCATCATTGGTCAAGCGCATCCCACCTAAACGCCAATTTCTCAATCCGAGCCTCGCCCGCCCCATCACAGCTACTACAGCGCTCAAAATGCCTCCCAAGGGAAAATACACCAAGCCCAAGCTCCGTGAAGAAGTCAAAGAAGAGATCCACGCATCCTCCAAAGGCGGCGCACCCGGCCAATGGTCGGCGCGCAAAGCACAAATGATGGCCTCCGAATACAAGAAGCGCGGCGGCGGGTACACGACCGACAAGAAGGACCAAGACGAATCCCAGAAGCACCTATCCAAGTGGACGGAGGAAGAATGGCAGACCAAGGAAGGGTCCGCGCACGCCAAACAGGAAGATGGGACGCGGAAACGGTATCTGCCGAAGAAGGCGTGGGAGGAGATGAGCGAGGGGGAAAAGAAGGAGACGGATGAGAAGAAAGTCGAGGGGAGTAAGGAGGGGAGGCAGCATGTGGGGAATACGGAGAGGGCGAGACGGTCGAGGAGGAAGGCGAATGATGAGGAGGATGAGCGGGTTGGGGAGAGGAAGGGGAAGGAGAAGAAGGGGCGTTCCACGGGGAAGAAAGGCAAGCAGCAAGGCGACGACGAAAGTCAAGGGGAGGAAGTAGCTGAGGGCGAGGAACACTCGGACGGCTCTGAGGCTGAGTATGCCGAGGACGGTGATGCTGCCGAGTCGGAGAAAGACGAGGGCAATGACGGAGAGGACGAAACCAAAGAAGAAGAAGAGACCGCGAAAGCAGGACAGAAGCGCGGCAGAGGCCGTCCGAGTAAGTCCTCGTCGAACAAGAAGCAGAAGGGCGACTCAGGCAAAGCAAAGCAAAACGGGAAAGCAGGAGCTAAGAAAAACTCCGAGCCGCCTGCGAAGCCAGGCTCGAAGGATCGCTTACCGAAGAAGGGCCAGAAGGTCCATTGGCATTCTCTACCGGGATACATAGAGGGTGAAGTAGTGGAGATCGCATTCGAGGACAAGGAGGTCGAAGGCAAGCGGATCAGGGGTAAGAAGGACGATCCGCGGATTGTAATGAAGAGCAGCTCGTCGGGGAAGATTGCTTCGCATAAGCCTGAGGCTGTTTTCTTCGATTAGAAAACTCGTGGTAGAGTGTATCCCATTGAACACAACCTGTTTGCCGTTGTTTAGCACATCATAATAATACCTGCGTCAGTAGGAGACTAATTGCTTTGTACGGTTCGAGTACCAAAGTAGCGTATGGTAATGCGTAAGAAATGCAGATGTCGATCTTTCTATTGTGATGACCTTGAGCTGTAGCCTCCGCGGCATACGAGGAGCAGCTTCCCTTCTAAACATACCCTCGCAGCGGCCCAAGCTCTGCCGTCTCAGCTACGCCTGCGGCAGCGGACGGTCGTATGAGCCATCTTTGCAGTGTATAACCTGAAACCGGGTTTCATTAAACCACCACTGCACGCTTTCCCCAGGAAACTCGTCGAAAGCGAAATTCTAGGCTTCAGCCTTGGGCCCGGAACGCCCGGCCACTAGCCGTTTTCCTCTCCTTCTGCTCTTGCTCCTCTGGTCTGGCACGGCGTAGTACTATACGAAGTCAGCGGTCGCGTAGTGCTATAGGTATAGAGAGGAGCCGTACCTTGGAGGAAGTCGGCTGTTCTGCTCCTCATCCTCGAATGAATGTAGGCTTTAGACGCTTTTATGTGATAGTGAAAATAATCACGGAAAGTTTGGATGTGTGAGATGACCTCCTCCCGTCTCTGCTGCGTCAAGTGCCTCGGGAACAACACTGCAACCATTAGCATAGCCCACTGCTAAGCCGTCTGACAAGCCTACCGAATGTTATGTATCCCACCTCGCCACTTCCACTTGCCGGCAGGCCCGGCACATTTTGCAGTTCCAGAGGGGGATCATTCCGGAATAGCACTTGGGGAGCGTTCTGTATCGCCCGTCTCCTCGCATCCACAAACTCTTGAAGAAATACCTTCCCGAATATACGGTCCGTCTCTTCTCTGAATATTGTGCTAAATATGACGGTCACCCTGTCGTGACTGGCCTTTATGTAGATCGCCTCCTCCTCTCTGTAATGAATTGCCCGCACCTCGCCGCCCTCCCGCACGCCCTGGGGAGCCTGCTCCGAGGAGTACTTGCTCGCTTCCTCGGAGAGCGCCTTGAACTCATCGAACGCCTGCTCGAAGGGCGCGGCCATGGCGTTTCGTTTCAGCAAGCTTATCCGCCTGATCAGATCATCTCGTGCGTCCTGTTCCGCCGGCAGGTCTTCTAGGTCCACAACAATGGAGAAGTCGTATCCGGACTCAGGGGCTACGATGTATGGACCGTATTCGCGCTCGAGCACGGACTGGGCGCCGTATTGCACGAGCTCGGCGAAGCATTTTATTGCGAGGGATATTTGGATCCGGGTCTTGGACTCGGGCGTCGATATGTGGAAGGTCACGCCGTCGAAGTCGGACACGACTTGATCGATTGACGCCGGTGCTGCGCTGTTGTCCCCGTTAGCCTGTGGACAACTCCAGCGCATCTGTGCTGGCTGTACCCTGAGAATCTGTCTTTGAGGAGAGACTCGATGAGGACGTTCTGGTAGTCTAGGAGGAGCATGATGGGTAGTGAGGTAGGATTGTGTAGCTTCGTAGGATTAAGCAGCTTGGTGGGGGATGTGGGGGGCTTTTGCGTGGCCGTCTGCCAAGGTGCATGTGTGTGCCTGGGATGCTCGACCGTGGCAGCCAGCGCTCAGCCCTACGGCTTAGGTGTGGGGCACGCTTGGCCATACCAGAAAAAAAGTTCAGAGAGCTTCAACTTCGCGACAGCACTGTGAAAACATGGTCAAATCCTATGTGTACGTACAAATAACCGTTTCTCGAGTTAGGAGCTTGCAACTGACTTTGACAGCAAGTATGAGCAGTCGCAGACCTTCGGCGCAATAACATCTGCTTCCTCGAATGTAGTCTGGACAGCGGACGGCGCCTCTTCATCCACGGGTGCAGGCCGCGCGTATGTTGGCGCCGTCGAAGAGGTCTTGTGCTGGAATGTGAAGAAGGGCGAGCTTCTGAGCAGGTGGCGCGACAGCAACTGCAGTGCGGAAGTAACCGCCATCGCTCGAAGCCAGGCAGATCCTGATATATTCGCTGTTGGGTAGGGTCAGAAGCATCGGAGCATACGGCAGGTGGACATGAGCTGACGAGGCATTTCTATGCAGCTATGCAGACGGGAGCATAAGAGTGTGGGACTCGCGAATCGCGACGGTCATAATCAGCTTCAACGGCCATAAATCTGCTGTCACCACTTTGGCCTTTGACAAATCTGGAGTCCGCTTAGCAAGTGGCGCAAAAGATACCGATATCGTCATCTGGGACCTGATAGCTGAGGTTGGCCTTTTCAAGCTCCGGGGTCATAAGGACCAGATCACGGCACTACATTTTCTCCACCCCACGGCAGACGCGGAAAACGAAGAGGAAGGCGTAGACGGTGTCGCCGACGATGAAAGTGGAGCTGTCTTTCTGCTGTCTACCGGCAAAGATGCGCTGATTAAAATCTGGGATGTGTCTTCTCAGCACTGCATCGAGACGCACGTCGCGCAAACAAATGGCGAATGTTGGGCAATGGGAGTCTCTCCAGATGGCAGCGGATGTATAACGGCCGGCAACGATGGCGAGCTCAAAGTCTGGGCACTAGACACCGCAGGACTCCGGAGGGCCGCAGACCGGATTGCTGCAAGCGGCGAGCAACGCTACCTGCACGACCGAGGCGTCCTATATAGGCAGGGAAAAGATCGAGCTGTAGGCGTCGCCTTCCATCCCCGAGCCGACTATGTTGCTGTACATGGATCAGAAAAGGCGGTGGAAATATTGAGGATACGGACAGAAAGCGAGGTACAGAAGAGCTTACTGCGAAAACGTAAGAGGAGACGGGAAAAGGCTGCCGCGGCAGGAAACCAGAATGGCGACCTCGAGATGGCTGATGGGGAAGAGAAGTCAGAAGGCGCCTCCAAAGCGGAGATTGGCGATGTCTTCGTGCCTTATGTGATTGTTCGAACGGGAGGCAAAGTCCGCTCGATAGACTGGATGGGCAGTAGAACCGGTAAAGCCTTACAGCTTCTGACGGCGACAAGTAACAACCTCCTTGATGTCTACAACATTCCGACCAAAGAACGAATAAAGAAAGCGAAAACCGATGAGGCGCCCGAATATGCGCGCACTTTCTCCGTCGACTTGCCCGGCCACAGGACAGACATCCGAGCCATTGCTTTAAGCTCAGACGACCGGATGGTGGCGACCGCTTCGAGTGGTGCGCTGAAGATTTGGAACGTGCGAACTCAGAGCTGTCTTCGGACGCTAGAGTGCGGCTATGCTCTGTGTTGCTCATTCCTGCCAGGCGACAAGATCGTAGTAGTTGGTACGAAGAGCGGAGAACTCGAACTATTCGACATTGCATCGTCCGCTCTGATCGATCGGGTACAGGCGCACGAGGGAGCAATTTGGACGCTCCAAGTCCATCCAGAAGGGCAGTCTGTCGTAACAGGAAGCGCCGACAAGTCGGCCAAATTCTGGAAATTCGACATAGTCCAGGAAGAAATACCGGGCACTAAACGAACCACCCCTCGCCTCAAGCTCATCCATACTCGTACCCTAAAAGTTAATGACGACATCCTATCTCTCTGCTTTACTCCTGACTCCCGCCTCCTCGCCGTCTCCACGCTCGACAATACCGTCAAGGTCTTCTTCACTGACAGCCTAAAACTCAATCTCAACCTCTACGGCCACAAACTCCCCGTGCTCAACATGTCCATCTCCTCCGACAGCAAACTGATCGCAACCTGCAGCGCCGACAAAAACATCCGCCTCTGGGGTCTCGACTTCGGCGACTGCCACCGCGCCCTCTTCGCACATCAAGACAGCATCATGCAAGTCTCCTTCATCCCGCACCCGATCTCCAAAGAAGACGCCCACCTCTTCTTCTCCGCCTCTAAAGACCGCCTCCTCAAGTCCTGGGACGGCGACAAATTCGAACAAATCCAAAAGCTCCCCGGCCACCACGGCGAAATCTGGGCCCTCGCCGTGTCCCGCACAGGCGACTTCCTCGTCTCAGCCTCTCACGACAAAAGCATCCGCATCTGGGGGCAGACAGACGAGCCCATCTTCCTCGAAGAAGAACGCGAGCGCGAGCTCGAGGAACTGTATGAGTCGACCTTGACTACCTCCCTCGAAGCGGACGACCAACCCATCGACGCCGAAGACGGCACCCGAGCTGAAGTAACCTCCGCCTCGCACCAAACCCTCGCAACCCTCACAGCCGGCGAGCGCCTTGCCGACGCCCTAGCCCTCGGCCTCACAGATCTGGAAAGTGTGCGCGCGTGGCGCGTCCAGAAAGCCAGTAATCCGAAACTCGCGCCCCCGGCACGGGACCCGCAGTTCCTGGCCCTCAACAACGTCGCCGCCGAGCGGTACGTCCTGGACGTGCTAGCCCGCATCCCGGCGGCCGCGCTGCACGACGCGCTGCTCGTGCTGCCCTTCTCGGCGCTGCCGGCGCTGTTCGAGTTTGTTGAGGTCTGGGTCGCTAGGGGCTGGAACACGCCGCTGGTTTGTCGAGTTCTGTTTTTCGTGCTCAAGGTGCATCAGCGGCAGATTGTTGCAAGCAGGGAGTTGAAGGGGAAGGTGGAGGGGCTGAGGGGCGTGGTGAGGAGGAGGTTGGGAGCGGAGAAGGAGGTGCTGGGGTTTAATCTTGCGGCTGTTGGGTTTGTGGGGGAGAGGGTTAGGGAGGGGCAGGTTGTTAGGTTGGAGGATGTGGAGGTTGAGGAGGGGAAGGGAGGGAGGAAGAGGGCGTTTGTTGATGTGGCGTAAATCGTTAATATTAGATGGGTATGGATGGCAAAATAAATAGCTGTAAGAATGTCGACGTCACGTGATCAAATCATTGTATGGTTTTGATAAATACGATCGATTGATATCTCATGCTATACAGGCACATCCTATCGCCTGCGGACATAGCATAGGGTCAACGACATGATCCACCATTATACAGTCGTCATCACAGAGGCGTTCTTGTACCAGCTCAGCATCGGGTTCTCCCCATTTTTTGTCTGGGTGTCTTCCACATAAGCCCATCTCCTCAAAAAATCCTCATGCGTGAGCACCCTCGTTAACTTGCCGGTAATTGCCCGGTATATGTCTTCCATGACGCCGAAATCTGTCGGAAATAGTATGTCGAAGTAGCCCTGTTGGACCTGTTCTCGGTATTAGCGTTGTGTCCATACCGCCTGGGACGGGGAGGGGAAAGACGGGGGAGGTGTGAGAGCTTACCAAAGGTGTAGTAACGGGCACCGTCCGCCGCTGATACCGCGTCTGCACCACCGGCGCGTTAATGCCCCTAATCGTGTCCGGCAGGCTGTGGAAATCGCTCGTCACGAGCTTATGTGCGGGGAAATAATTATGTAGAATGTCGAAGAACTGCATCAGCCGCGTGGGTATGTACTCGGGTATGCTCAGGTTAGAAGCATAGGGCATGCGCGAGCGCAAGGCGCGCAAAAGTCGCGGTCCTCGCAAAGGATGGTTATAAGGGGCGGAGCAGGCAGCATCTCGCACTCGTAAGAAGCGCGCAGCGACGGGGTCGATGGTCTGTGAGTAGAACTCGTAGAAGTCGCCTTGTGCGTCAACGAGGACGCTGCCTTGGAGAGGCTGCTCTGTGACCGGGTCGTAGCGCAGCACGTCGTGGGCAAAGTTGTCGAAGACTTCCAGCGCCAGGAAGAAACAGGGTGAGGAGACATAGGTGTTCCAATCGAAGACGGAGCGGTTGATGATCTCCACCTTGTCTGTGTGGCCCCGCGCGCTGGCTGAGCGCTTGAGTTGCTGGGTCTGGAGAGTGGCGAGAGACGACGAGATCTCAATGACCTTGAATTGGGTTCGCGCGTACACATCGGGATCCATGTCTCGGATGCAGTCCAGTATATTGACCATCAGCGTCCCGTTGCCCGCGCCCATCTCGTAGATTATGAGATCGTGATAAGGGTATAGCGAGAGCTTGTAGTTGGTAATCAGATACCGCGCAATTGCTTCGCCATAGTAAGGTCTAAAAAGCTCCGTCGGCGTGTGCCATAACTGCCGAGCTTCGTTGTACTCCTTCTCGTCAAGGGCGTCTTCGAACGCAGAATACCGCTGGCCGAGGATCCTGTGGAATTCGGGCTCGTCTCGGATGTTGTTGAAATCGAATGGATCCCCGGGCGTGAAGATGACTACTTGTTTCGCAAAGTAGCCGTAATTAGGGTTGTAGAGGCTGTCTAAATTGACATATTAGCTTCGTTATACATCAGAGGTTTCTCTGTGCGGGGATGGCTTTTGACCTTCAATGAAATCCCGCATCAGCATCTTCACCCGTCTCGGCCTCTCCCTCCTTGTCCTGAGATCATTGGCGGTGACGAGCGGGTATCTTCTGAACTCTTCCGACTTGTCCTGCGGAAAGACATCTGTTCTTTGCTGCCATGAGCTCTCGCTGCGGCTAGCTTCATCGTAGCTTCTTGGGGAGCTCGACAACCTCCGGCGCTGCGACCAGCAGCCGCTTGTCATAGCGCGCGGCCTTGTCGAGCATGATGCGCATGCCCTATGGCTGAACAGCTGTCGGAAGAGCTTTGTGATTTGTGGTGAATCCATGGATGAGAAGCGGAGGTGAGCGCGGCGGGCCGGCGATCAACTGAAGCTCGCTTCGGAGCTTCGCAGCAGCGACATCGAACAACGTCAACCCCAGTAACGTACCTACGTGGACCTCTATAACAATTCTCAAGATGACTTTGCTGCTAATTGTTTCCGGTGGGAGGTAGCGATGGATAGTCATCCTCGTCTGCTGCTCGCCGGAGCTTTCATCGCGGGCATCTTACTGACACTGGGATACAAAGATGTGTATCCGGATTTGGAACGCCGGTTTCGAGAAGCACGTTCGAGGAGAGCTTCTCAGCATCATCGATCGGACTCGGTATCCTCCATAGCATCCAGGCAAAGGGTGTCCATGAAGGATAATACAAGCAGATCAACTGCAACAACAGCGCTGCAAGAACCCATTTTTCCAGAAGGCATTGAAGGCTGTATTGGGAATACCCCGCTGTTCAAGATCAAGTCTCTTTCGGATGCTACAGGATGTGAGATCCTTGCCAAAGCAGAGGTACCTTTAGCTCCGCAGACGAGTACTAAGATACAACTGGGCTTACGTCTGTGTCAGTTCCTCAATGGCGCTGGTAACAGCCCGAAAGACCGGGTTGCATTAAGCATTATCAACATGGTAGCAAGAATCATATGTATAAATGTAGTTCTCCAAATCTGACGCTCGTCTAGGCCGAAGACGATGGTCTCTTGACTCCTCATTCTGGCGACACCATCTACGAGGGTACCGTCGGTAGTACGGGCATCTCTCTTGCTGCGATATGCAGAGCACGAGGCTACTTGGCGCATATATGTATGCCGGACGACCAAGCAAAGGAGAAGTCTGATCTTCTCGAGAAACTTGGGGCAGAGGTCGAGCGCGTGCGGCCTGCGCCAATCGTCGACCAAAATCAGTTCGTCAACAGAGCCCGCAACAGGGCTGCGGAGCACACTGCAGATCCGAATCGTCCAGGCAAGTTCTCAGTCTTTACATCTTTTGCATACACCACTTCAGAAGCAGCTCATTCTTGAAAGCTAGGAGGCGGTTACGCATGACCGCAACCGCTCTGCTGTGTTTTGGACGGCATAAGATACGAAGTACCTGGCTCACGTTGGCTCATTAGGTCGGGGCATCTTCGCCGACCAATTCGAGACCCAAGCCAACTGGCAAGCGCACTTCAACGGCACCGGCCCCGAAATCTACCACCAAACCGGCGGTCGCCTCGACGCTTTCGTGACAGGCGCTGGAACCGGCGGTACCATTTCCGGCGTGGCTCGCTTTCTGAAGCCACGGTTGCCGAAGCTAAGAGTCGTGCTGTCGGATCCGCAGGGAAGCGGCTTGTTTAACAGAGTCAAGTACGGCGTGATGTTTGACCCAAAAGAGAAAGAGGGCACCAGGAGGCGGCAGCAGGTTGATACGGTCGTCGAGGGGATTGGAATCAACCGCGTCACGAGTAACTTTGAAGCTGGGCGGGAGCTCATCGATGATGCCGTGAGGGTCAGTGATGAGCAGGCCATGGCTATGGCGAGGTGGCTGGTGGAGAAAGATGGGATCTTTGTGGGGAGTAGCAGCGCGGTGAACTGTAAGTTCCGTTGCCCCACAAGTGGGCTCAGTAAAGACTTACCAGATCTGCAGGTGTTGCGGCAGTAAAGGTGGCTCTTCAAATGGGCCCTGGCCATCGGATAGTCACGATCCTTTGCGACAGTGGAATGAGGCATCTTAGCAAGTTTTGGGCGCAGGTCGGCCCTATCGGAGGGAAAGACGATGTCACCCTCGACGATGTCCTCAATGCCGCTACCAAGCAGAACGGGCTTGTCGAGAAGCCTGGCCAGGAGTGGGGCGTATAGACTCGATATCATAAGGCTCGCCAGAATCAACAACATGTGAGAGGTCCGTGCAGTAGTATCGAAGAGTATCTGGCGGAATCTGTCGCCCACAGCTCGGAGGGAGAGCGGGCCAAGGATGCCTAAAGGCATCCCGCTTGCAGACTGCCTTGAAATAAGTCCCATCCGCGACGACGGACTAAGGCAAACCTAAACATGAGGCTCAATAGAACAGTAATGACCTGGCTTCATCTAAACCTGACGCTCGTGTGTGCATCAGCCTTAAGAGATTTAAGGCTGACCTTAGCCGCGAAACAAGCCTTGTGGCGCCGGCTTGCCGTCTCGGTGCAGTGCAGATCTTTGAACATCAAGTCTTCTTTGGCCATCGACTGGGTCTGATCATTGCTTGCGCCATTTTCAGCCTCGGTGTTGCGCTGCAAACCGCCGCCACCGATATTCCCCTGTTCGTCGCCGGTCGTTTCTTCGCCGGTTACGGTGTCGGCATGGTCTCCGCTTCTAGTGTGTTCATCTCACCGTTATGTTGACTTGCGCTCTGCTAACGATTCTAGTCCCTCTTTACCAATCTGAGACTGCACCAGAGTGGGTTCAGGGTACCGTCGTTGGCGCTTACCAGCTTGCGATCACTATCGGACTCCTTCTCGCCGCTATTGTGGACAATGCAACCAAAGATCGTAACGATTCTGGCTCCTACCGTACTCCCATTGCAATTCAATTTGCATGGGCTATCATCCTCGTCGTCGGCATGATTGCTCTACCACAGGCTCCCCGCTTCAACATTAAGAAAGGTTGGCCAGAAAGGCCGCCAGGTCACTCTGACTACGACGGCTCGATGTGGACCACCTCGCCCTGATCGAGAAATTGGGCGAGGTCACTGCCAAGCATGAGTACGAGCTGTCGCTCGGCAAGACCACTTACCAGGGCTGCTGTAAGGGCAAGCTCGGAAAGTGTTTGGCTACTAGTTGCGGCCTGCAGGCTCTCAAGCAGCTCACCGGCGTCAGCTTTATCTTCTGCGGTACGCAGTTCTTCAAGAACTCTGGTATCGGAGATCCATTCATCGTCATCTTGATCACTTCTTGTGTGAACCTTGGTTCAACTTTCCCTGGTCTGTATCTGGTTGAGGCGTGGGGTCGTCGAAACCTACTCCTGTTCGGTGCTATCGGTATGGCGGTCTGCCAGTTCATCGTCGCCATTGTCGGTACCGTTGCAGGCACCGATGACTTGCCGGCTCAGCGTACCCTGATCGCCTTTGTCTGTATCTACTTGCCTGCTCCTGGGGCCCGGTTGCTTGGGTGAGTAACATCTTTAACCATTCGATACTGTAACGAGGTCTATACTGCACGAGTTATCAGGTCATTACCGGGTGAGATCTTCCCGCTCAAGGTACGCGCGAAGGCTCTGTCAATGACCACCGCGTGCAACTGGCTTCTCAACTGGGCTATTGCCTACGCTACTCCGTACCTCGTAAACCCCGGTGAAGGTAATGCCAATCTCGGAGCCAAGGTATTCTTCACCTGGGGCGGATGTTGCTTCATCTGCATCTTCTTCGTCTGGGCTTTTATCTATGAGACCGAGGGCCCCTCGCTCGAGCAGGCCGATGAGCTGTATGGAAAGTTCGACAAGGCTTGGAAGTCGAAGAAATTCATTCCGACCGTCTCCCTCCAGGATGTCGAGGATGTTGGAGAGACCCGCCACATGTCACTTGCCGATGTCGAGAGCGCTGCTCTGCGCAAGAAATCGGTTGCTCATGCTGAGGGTCAGCCTCCGGTACCGGCCACCGAGAAAGTAGAGAGACGTGCCTTTTAATGCTTTGCAGTACTCTGCTCAGTGCTTTTTATAAGTCAAGGAAAGCCTTTCACGATCATAGCTGAATTTAGCTGTAGATACTCTCCTCTTGGTACGATGAAAGTCCCGGCGGAACCAAGCAGCTGCCTCGACTTGTTCTCCAACGCTTTCTTCGCACCCCGGAACTTGTCTTGAGTGACTTAAACACGGAGAAAGGGGTCCGGGTGCTTGACGGAGTCTAAGCGCTGACCGTAAGGCACCGTGATCTCTAAAATTGACGGCGTTTCATTTCTCGCGGAGTGAACCATCACTCCACAATTAGACTGAACGCCCAACCTCGGCATCAATGGATGGAATGAAATAACTCTCAGAATCTAAGTCATTGGCTTCCCACCACAAGCCATTCGACAAACGGATAAGGCAGTGCCGAACGACTGCTCGATCTCACCAGTAGATGTAGTATGAGAACTATAGCTCAAGTTTTGATTTAGATTCTGCACCACGTATTGAGAGGCTACGAGAATTGAGAGTATAGGCTTCCAAGAACGGTTCTTGGATATCACTCAGGGAGCCTAGTTCTGATCTTTTGATCCCCGGCGTTTTGCCTTGGTATAACGCCTCCGTAACCTTTACCTAGGGTATTCACAAGAACCGACGGCCACGACTTCACGGATAGAACCGCTAGAAACGATCGATGAGACCGCTGCATCGCTCGCTATTGGAGGTCTCAGGCGTTCGACAGACGCAGGATACTGGTGTAGCCACAGAGTCGATATCCAAAGGCGCCCCACGGCTTTCCTAAAGTTGATAAAATCTTCACGCCACGTTCCCATGGCTTTCACACTTCGTAATCGTTTTACGAACAGCTTTTCACGTCCGAGTTGCGCAATACTAGCTCCATCGTACAACTACCTTGCACTAGAAATTTTCCCACAGCCGCTACAAATCGTCGCGACTCCGTTACAGGAGTATGAACGTTCCATCGCTATACGACAGAGCCGCTAACGATACTGGCGACGATCTTGTGGATGAACACCGTCAGAACCACCGCCGGCACCAGGACGTGGCTCTGAATGCTTCTACATTCCATTGCTGCCGAACCGAGGTGACATTGGGAACAGCAGCAGCAATGATTCTAAAGACCGCGAAGGGTCCGGAGCCCACAGCGTAATGGCGCAGTTCAACAACGACGGCGGCGACGACATTGGTGGTAACCGAATCGATGACGCCGACAACGGCAAAGGCACGCAGAGTACTCAAGGAGACGCCAGCACCACGGCGCAGGTTAAAGAAAAGTAAAATCTAGGGTGCCGCCTCGGCTTCTGGCACTCTTGTATCCAGCGTCGTTCTATGAACGATAACCCCTTCCCAATATGGCAGTATCTACAGTCCCCGTCGCACGTCTTTCGGTGTTCACATCCCATCCGCACCAGCGTTTGCGTATCCTCGCGTTTGCGTCCCTGTGCCTTTACACCAACGCAAACCCGACCTCCCGCCCCCTACAACTTCGCCGCAGCCCTCAGATCCTCCCTCGTGAGCTCCTGCCCCCTCTTCCTCTCCGCGCTCAACCTTCCCGCACGCAACAGTCGCGCAATCATCTCCTCGTCCCCAAAATGGCTATTATGCTCAAAGTCCGGCTCCTCCGCATACGCGACACGGGCCGCATCAACAAGGATACGCGCCGTCATGCCAAAAACTCTGAAGCGATTTAGGTGCGCAAGGGCATCTGCAGTTTCCTCCTGTTCCTTCTCCTCCGAAGATGCCGCGTCCCCACCCTTACCTTTCTTACTCCTCGGCCTCGCAACACTCTGCCCCCCTACCGGCACGAAGAAATTGTGCATGCGCCACCGGCTCTCGTGCCAGTCTGTCCAGGTGCCCTGATACCATTCGGCTGGGAAGCCTGCCGCTTCGGCGCCGGGGAACTCGGCGGCTGAGGCGCTGGAGTAGCGGACCGCGTCCTCGTCTTCATCCTTGCTACGTAGGAAGTTGTGGAAGGGTGCCGTGAAGACTGCAGCAACTTCTTTGGCGTCGAGGCGCGGGATCATGGTTTCTTCTACGGACGGCATTTTGCTGGAGGAGGTGGACCCAGCACCAGGCTTCGCGGACAGAAAAGCCACACATGGCCGCACGGCGAGCTCCGTCTTCGCGAGGTTGGCGGGGAGCTCGGTCAGATGTTCGACGCGGAAGGGGGGAGGCAGTTTGGCGTCGGAGAGGGGGAGGCCGATCTCCTCGTAGGCTTCGCGGCGGGCGGTTTGGAAGGGGGCTTCGTTGAGGGCGTCGGCTTTGCCTGGTCGTGGTGTTACTTTGGGAACTTCCTTGCAAGTGGACACAACACCAGCGGATAAGTGACTGTGAGGTTTGGATGGGTACATGGGAACGTACCTCCTGGTAGCGCAGCTTGTCCGGCATCTATGGTCATAGAAGTTAGATACAATAGCTTGTTGCGCACTATACTCGCGCTTTGCGCAAACACTACTAACAAGACTTCAACGTGCTCGCGCGCATCGTAAGCACAACCCTCAAATCGCCCTTGCGATCCGCGAACAGCAGTATCAGGACTGCTGCCCTGCGCGCCAGAGGGCAATTGTAGTATTGTGTCGGCGGCGGGACATAGGCGCGTAAGCGCGCAATGGCGGCCTGTCACATTGTCAGTCCCCAAGATAGTGGTCGCTATGCGCGTAGGAAGATATACCGCCGATGCTGGCGTGAGAGATGCCATGTCGAGGCCCGGTACGGCCTACATCGTGGTACTCATGAAGGGAGCATGACGCGCGTGGTTGTCGAGGATCATCGCTTCCGAGGCTTCGGTGCTCGGGGAAGTTGAGGCGGGGATCAGGGTTGCCTTGTTCCATTGGCTGATCCGGTTCAGGGTCACTGCAGCATCGGTTGGAAGACATTGAATCGTATCAGTACTGCATTGAAGAGAATGGATTGCTAAATACCTCGTTTCGAGGGCCTCATTCTAGGAGGACTTTCAGAGAGGGTATCCCAACCAACCAGTATCCCGAACACCCATGCTATGCAGAGCGATTGCTGCCCCCCATACAAAAAAACTCCTAGGGCTGATGATGCCTTGCAATTCCTCCCTTGTGCAAACTCCCAGACCCTTCTCAGTAAGACAAATTGGGTATCATGATCCTTCTTCCATTTCTAAACAAAAGCATCCGCCGGCAGACTGGCCCTGGCGCTCTCAAAAGCGACGACAGCCCTCTCCAAATTCCACCCACTTTCCTCCAAACACTGCCTTGAGTAGGTCGCATTCATGCGCGTAGCCGCCGACAGCTGCGCTACAAGCTGCTCCTGTCCCAGAGCCTGGCCATCGACCTTCCAAGCCTGGTCGCCTCCGTAGGGCCTGACTGTCCACATATCCCGGACGATCCTGACACCCGTAGCCCCGCCTGGACCGAGAATGAATGTGCGGTCGAAGCTTCTGTGATGTTTTGGCTGCCCTGTCGAAATGTTGATTTCTTCGTATTCGCCGTGAATGGTGATGAGAAAGCCGCCGACGCCATACGGCAGCTGTCCTACTGGGTCTGGCACGCCGGCCTGGTGAATGCATTCAATGACCCATTTCTGAGGGTCGGAGATCAGGCCGGGGTGACGAGTCGCCGGTAGTGTGTTGTAGACTTCGCGGATGGCGTCTTGGCCTTGTAGCTTGCGGGCCATGCGTGCTGGTGTTTGCGCGATATGCTTGAGGTTTCGGCTGCGCTTGATGTAGACGTCCCATTCCTGCTTAATGTGATCCTGCGAAGGATCTCGCGGCGCCCGTGAATTGACTGATAGAGAGAAGGTGGTGTCGGCATTGTAGTACATGTTGACTAGCGCGTTTCTGTCGCTGTCGAACCCTGCGAAGAAATTGGTGATGAATGTTTCCGCGATCTGCGCTTCATCCTGAAAAAGTGGTGCAGCGACTGGTAGAGGACTCTTGGTGATTTGCTTGCTCGTTCTCGCAGCTTCCTCGTCTGAGCGGACTTGAACGCCGTTCAAGAAACGGAGAGTCGGGTACCAGTTGGTGATCTGAGTTTGGTAGTCGGGTGACTCTTGCTCAAACGGATTGCCGCTGAGAACAAGGTGGTCGAGGTGGCGGAATTTGTGCTTCCAACCGTGAAGAGATGCGAGGTTGGGAAATTTATTGTTCGAGAGGTCGAGATTAATGAGATCGGGGAAGGTTGGCGCAAGTGAAGCGACTGCAGCCAAAGACGAGAGTTCGTTGTCGGCTAGGGTCACACTGTGTACAGTGTCCTTCTTCTCCTGCGCTGTCTTGAACAGGCCATCGCAGATTTTCATGAGTGCGGGGAAGAACTTCGACTGAGTGGATGCCGAGTTGAACATGCCCAAGGTGTTGAGCTCTGCGTCCGAACCAAGAGCGCTGAGGTCGAGAAGCTTCATTTCTGCGTTGTATCGACGGCTCAAGAAGTTCTGGAGTAATTGCTTGACTTCAGTCGCATTTTCCGCTCGTGATGCTTGTCCCGGCGGGGTTGGAGAGCGCGTTGGTTCCGAGAGTTGCTCGATTTTGATATTGGCACCAGCAAATACCCAGCCGTCCAGGCGCAATATCGACAGCGCTTCGTTGGACGGTAAAGTGATGATCAGAGCATCGCCTTCTTGTTGATGCTGTTGGAGAGTTGGTTAGCGACTGTCCATCCGAAGGCTTCACTTTGCTTCTCAAGGGGATAGCTTACCTTTCTGATTCTGATTGGATGCGATCCTTTGATACCGCGTGCGTTATTCCGCTTGTCCAGGTTGATGGTGCCTCTCTTCTCAAGGAATGTGAGGAGCGACTGGATCCCTCCATCGTCGTTTGCGGCAGCCTTGCTGTTTTTATAGCCGGTGACCTTCAGGTCTCTCATGTCTTTTTTTTTAGTCAGTCGCTGTTATTCACTCTCTTCATGGCAATAAAGAGGTCGTACGCTTGATTGGTCCTGTGGTGGCTCTGGGACCGCGTGGAACGGCATCGCCGGTGGCAACGTGTCGGAGAATTTCGCGCTTGAAGACCTCGCTGTTCAGATTTTTGGCGCGGCCTGGTCCGGTCGGTGTTCCATCGCGCCCTCCACGGCCTCTGCCCTTGGTGATTCCTCCACCGCGCGCCTTCGCGGCGCTGTCCATCACTAGGTCGCCATCACGGTCGGTCCGAGCGGCGCTGCGTCGCTTTGCTATTGCCCCCCGCCTGTTGGTGAAGCCGTCGACTGGCGTTCCGCGCCTGGTGGTAACGCCGGTTGTCATGTTGCTAGTTCTGAGGTTGTCGAAGAGGTTGTAGTATAGAGAGGGAGTGAGAGGATTTGTATGTAATGACTGGGGAGGTGCAGCTTGCTCGGATAGTTCTTATGTGCTATTGTGTTGTCTGTGGACAAAGGGCGAGCAGCTTGGGAAAGTTTGTGGGAGTGGGAGTGAGGTTCGGCTTAGGCATGACGGAGCTCCAGGCCGCCGCACTAGTGTGCACGTGACATACTAGGCGAATCGCCGGACTCGTCGATCGCCGGGCGCCCAGAGTTTATCAAGCTTCACCACGTTTCCAAAGACCTTTTACACTGGCCCTTCCACTTCCAGTCGTAGCTCTAACACGGCTACGATGCAGTATCGGATGCGCCTCTAGGTTCTCCATCGTAACCCTCGTAAGTTGATTGAAGTCCCTTCTGTTTTTCGAGTCCGGCGATTTTTGTCACCGCGTCGAGTAAGTATGCCTCACGTGACTCTCGAGTACCAGCGCGACCACTCACGCCGAGCGGGAAAAGAGCCTCACCGCGTACAGCTACCCTATTCAAGCTAGTCGTAGCACTGTAGCTGAATAGGCCCCAAGCACAGTCCACAGCTCAAAGATACCTTTAGGCGGTGGACGTAGTGTAGAACGAAACTGCTGCATACCTTTTGCTTCCTATCACATAGAGTTGTCTAGCTGCCTTGCAACTGACAGGATCAGGAGGCCCAGCTCGATCGTGCATCTAGTGTCGAACAAGCTGGGCATAGACGCGGTAGCGGACTTCTCATGTAGTTCTTGTACCTAACGCTCGGCCACCGTGAGCTCGTAGAGTGATCCACGATCAGGCGCTGCAGTAAGCTTCAAGAGTGAACGATAGAACGACATGCGTTGAGCTAGCGATTTAGACTGTGTCGTGAAGCATCACAGGGATCTTAAAGGGAGTTTCATTCTTGCTGCAGCCCCGGACCTCAAGGTTTGCCGTGATGCCTTTTTCCCGCTCGGCATGCCACTGAACCGTGGAGCGCAAATCTACATCCGCCCGCGTGCACTTTGGAGAGCAAATATTTCCAACAACCCGCCGCTGCCAGAAGTAAGCCCCCCAAGCAAGACGCGTAGTCTCAGGCAGTGCTGAAGATGGCAGAGACACCCATCAACCGCCGAAATCGAGGAAAGCGTTCTTTGATGTCATCTGCCTGAACGGCGCCTGTGTAAAGAACTCTACCGGATTGGGAACAGCCCCCAGCGAGCGTCCACCATAATACACGCACTCCCATCTAGCTGAACCACACCGTCGCCCCCAAAATGGCCTCCGATGCGCCCACTGCGGCTCCCGCGCCCGTCTCTCGTCCGCGCGAAGTCTCAGCCCTAGACGAAGAAGCCTCCGAGCAGCTCAAGCTGGGCGAGTTCACCGGCGTGCCAACACTCTCCCTCTCCGAAGCGCGGCTCGTCATAGACAAAGTCCTGCGCGTGCGAAAACAAGAGCGACGCGTCTTCCAAGAGACCGAGTGGGTCCCCCCCCGCCCCCCTCTCAAGCACCGCGCCCTCACCGCAAAAACTTCCCCAAGACTGACACCTCCACGCGCCCTTCCACAGAACCCTCACGAAAATGCAAACCTACCTCGACCACTTCGCGCGCTTCAAGCAGCAGACGGCCGCCACAAACGTCGAGCGCACCCTCAGCAACTACCCCGAGATGGAGAAGTTTGAGAAGAGCCAGCTGGCGACGCTGTGCTGCGAGGATGCGCAGGAGGCCAAGACGCTGATACCGAGCCTGCAGAATAAGATCTCGGATGAGGACTTGACGCAGCTGCTGAAGGAGATTGCACAGAATAGGAGTTTGGGGGAGGCTTAGGGGTTCCGGACGTGTCGGTTCGGGCGCTCCGGGCGGATGCTTGGCTCAGGCTGATCGGGTTTGAGGTTGCATGAGGTCTCAGGTGGACATTTGTCCGTGTTTCTAGCAAGGCGTTTGGGGGTTTTGGTCAGGAGTGAACAGATTCCACGCACGTCGAGAATGATACCACAGTTATAGAGTTTGCACAACTTCATCGAATTCAGCTATTGGTATGCGAACAGTTTTGTCAGGCTACAAGTCTGTGCTTGGTACCTTTTTCCTGCATGTGAACATTGCCCTTTCCGAAGAACATGTGACAGTTGAAAAACCACACCGCAAACGTATGACAGCCACGCCCGTAGCCTGTGTATCAATCTAACAGGCTCTTCCATCTGTTTCGTCTCGAGCGCCAGCCCACGCTGATACGTTTGCCGAAAGACAAGCAGCCAGTATACGCAAGGTTCCGGCTCTCCATCAGCAACAAACGACTAGTATAGGACGTTGTACAAGAAAACAAGACAAAAGAAAAGCTTCTGGTGAGACAAACACAACAACGCTAAAGCAGGAGGCGTCGTATACGGAACGCCAGGTCCCCACGCGTGGACCATGTGAGGAGACGATTAGCAAACCACCAACACCTTGCTCAAACAGATTGACTATCAGGAAAAGGAGAAAGCACGAACGAGTGTAGAGTGGTAAAGCGCACATGATAAGGACAAGTTGTGGCTGGACAGCCGCGGCGTGCAAACGGGTGCCATCACTGGTATCGCTGAGTAGGCGACATCGACCGTTTGGCCGTAGGAGTTGGATCAGGATCCAGGTAATTTGTGTGAGAGGGCTTAGGCGTGACAGCATTTGGGTCCATATCAATTTCTTGTACATCGCAGCCCGGCAACAGAGGGAAGATTTCTGGCGGAGACATGAGGGGTTGAAATTGTTTCGGGTCTTGCTTCGCAGTCGTCAACGCTTCTGCTGTGGAATCTTCTGCTATTGCGGGTGGAGGGGATGACGCGAGACCGTCTGCCGCAGACATTTCTTCTACAGAGATGACACTACCGTGACTGTTGGTGCGCATCATCTCCGTTCCGAGCTTCGACGACGGCTTCGACCTGCCCTTGGGGCTCTTCGCTCGAACCTGAAGGTGGCCGAGCTCCTCATCTTCGTCGTCACCAGACTCAGCGCAGTCATATCTCTTAGCTTCGAGGGAACGCCTCTTGGAGTCCACCTCCTCCGAAGATCGCTGTCTGCGGGGGACGGAGTGGCTCATAACGGCGGGGGCTGATGATTGCTCCGGTCCAAGGATTGATGGTACAGTGTTCAGTGACTTTAGCTCCGGTGATGTAGTGGGCTCTTCTGAGATTCCTAGCCCGCCGAGCATACGTGCTATCTCCCGATCAGACCACTCGTTGGTTGTTCGTCTGCTGATGATGCCTGGAATGTCATCGCCGCCACGGCTCTCCATGTCGCCATAGGAACTTGACCCGATTGAGTCTTCTCTGCTTGACCCTCGATAGCTACTCGATGGCATGGCTGCAAAGCCCGAAGAATTCGAAGTTGTTGGGCTGTCATCAGTTCGAACAGACTCCTGTCTTAGCCCGGATGAAGGAATAATTGGCAGCTGAGCTGGAGTCCAATTGGGAGGTGGGGCCTTCCATTGACACAGACGGCCCATGATCTCGGTCAACTTCTTCATAGTCGGCGGCTTCTCGATGTATCCGTCAAAATACTGTGGTGCTTGCAGCTCTTTCAGATATCCAGTGACTGTCACGATTGGTGTGTGGGAGTTTGCATTCTTGGTCTCGCGGATCATTCGAGCAACGTCCGCACCGTTGATTTGAGGAAGCCTAAACTCCATGAAGATGATGTCAAACTTGACCTGACCTGATGCGTATCTTATAGCCTCGGCACCGGTCTGCACAGAGATCGTTCGACATCGCAGCTTTTCCAGAAGCTTTTCCATGACGAGCCGAGACACTGGATGATCCTCGCAGATCAAAACATCTAGTGGTCTGAATATGGGACCTTCCGCTAGCGTTATCTGGGAAAGCCTGCGCATACTCTGTCTTCGTCGCTGCACACGTAATAGGACCTTTTGTCTGGAATCTTCGGTGTCGGACGAGGAGGGAGACACGTCAAGCACTTGGCTTCTCCGGTGGTGGTGATTAGGCCTTAGATTCCCCAGCGTGTCTTCTTCCTGCGATCCAACGGTCATAGAGCGTGCTCTAGGAGACGTAGCAATGTTTATTGACGCGCTGCTTTGGCGATGCACCGTCAAGCCATGGCCTGATGGGGGCTGGATCATCGACTGCGTTTTGAGAAGTTTAATAGGCGATGAGGCGCTGGATGCGGCTTTGATGGCGCCCGGCAGTCGAGGAACGTCGAAGAAACTGCCCGGCTGGAGAGAGCTTCCGCTAGTTTGGTGGCTCAGTGTGGAAGATCCGTTCGATGTCTTTCTACGCTCGTGGTTCTGGCCAGTGCTGAAAGAGACCAGCAGAGGGGACGATGGCTGCGATACCCTGCTAGGAGAGGAGTTCACCTGGCTTACTAAGGACGGAGAAACCGGTCGATTGGCCCCTTTGTTTGCCGACATCGTGCGCTTGAGAGGCATAGAAATCAGTGGCGAAGACTCCAAAGAAGGCGACGGAGAGCTGATGATAGGTGAGGTCACGGCAGAGGAAGGTTTGCTCTGCCCTTGCATCGCTTCTGCCCGAAGCTTCTGTATGACATCTTTGTTCGCCTTTTCCAGAACAGGCAGATTCTTGAACGCGAAATTGCCGAAATCATCCGCAGCAACCGGCTCAGATAACCTTCTTGTACGGCCCTCACGCACGTGAGGAGGTATATGCAGCGGCATCAGGCCTCGCTTCATCGAGTTGACCTGGGATCGCACGCGGGAAAGGGCGTCGTGCGGTCGGTCCGGATAGTCCGCCCCAGGCGTAGCTGCCGGCGACGAGCACTGATCCTCAAATTCGGAAGCAAAATTCTGATACGTCGCGCCCCGTGCATCGAAATATTCTGTATCTTCAGGATTGCATGTTGCCGGGACAAACGAGGCTTCGTCGTCGCGAAGCGTCTGCCAGTTGATGCCCACAAACCACTCATGGCTTCTGATCTCTTCTCCACCGCAAGAGAACTTCTCCCCCGCATTTGCACCCAGACGATCCCGAGGATTACTGCACATCAGGCGATTCATCAGATCCTTGGCTTCAGCCGATACCTCACAGACGTCCTCCTCAGGCCAGTCGATCTTACGGTCAAGAATGTTCTGAAACACCTGGTCCGGCGCGTCCGCGTGGAACGGCGGATAACCGTACAGGAACTCAAAGAGGATGCAGCCCAGCGACCACCAATCACTGGTTTCGTCCTGACCAGCACCGTTGATAGTTTCGGGAGCAAGGTAGTCAGGAGTCCCTACAAACCGGCGGTTGCTATCTCCCGGATCGTACAAGGCCATCGGTGGCGGAAGCATTGTTGACGCCTGTGGCGGCGTGTTGTTTTGCACAGAGCTTGTCTGACTCAAGATGGGCTGCAGCATATATGGATCTGGAGAGTACCCATCCTCGCTGTAGCTCTCCTCCTCAATGGGCGAGCGGCGTTGGTATGCCGACAGGTCATCGGCGATGGAAAACCTTCGGAACATGGCCTGCAAGGCATCGCTCTCGCCACTATCGCTCCGGTTTCCAGACGTTCTTCGAGACGGCTCACGGCTTGCTGAAGTCTCTCGACTGAGACTGAAATAGGATGGCTGTCCAATATCACCCGTAAGAGCTGGAGTAAGACTAGGTGTTTGAGCTGGGGAATGGTTGCCTTGCATATCGAATGAAGCAGAGCGAGATGACGCGACTGACATTGCCCTGTGGAAAGGCCCTTGTTTGAGAAGGTCCGGAGCGGGCTCATCCGGCTTGCTGTTGAGTGCCCGCTTCTGCCTTCCTATCAGTCCCATCCTGGAGAGACCAAAATCCGTCAGCTTCAAATGTCCCTTCTGGTCGATGAGGAGGTTGTCGGGCTTCAGGTCACGATGGATGATGCCCCTGCTATGCAAGTGCTCTACTCCAAGGACAACCTCTGCGATATACTTCTTTGCCCAATCTTCAGGCAGCGAGCCAAGGACTTTGATTAAGGACGCACAATCTCCACCGTTCAAGTACTCCATAACCAAGTAGAGGTAGTCTTTGCTGGAGAATGTCCAGTAGAGCTTGGCAACAAAGTCGCTCTCGCCCTGCCACATCATTATTGCACGTTCAGCCTTGACGTTAGTAACTTGGTTCTTGGCAACCATGTCCGCCTTCTTCAAGACTTTGATTGCGAAGTAGTCACCAGTAGACTTCTTCTTGGACAGGTACACGCTTCCGAAAGCGCCTTTGCTGATTGGCTTGATTATTTCGAAGTCTTTGATGGAAGGTGGCACTGCTCGCGGCTGAGGGGCGGTGATAGATGCGAGACGAGGCGATGCAGGGGCACGCGCGAACTCACCGCCTACAGCCGAGGATTGTCTGCGATGGTGATGGAGCTGAGCCGCAGAGATTGATGGAGGAGAAAACTCGCCCAAGGGCATGACCGGGGACACGATGGGAGACGGAACGTGATCCGTACCACTGGATACCCTCGGTTTCGACAGTCTGAGTGGGGAAGATGGAGGAACCGCGCCTCTCGCGGGTGATTGTTGTCTGCTGGACATGACGCTAGGGAGGATGAGACTCTTCCTCTTGCGCTCACGAGAACTAGCGATCCTAGTAAGGCCAAGCTCAGAGCCAGGAGAATCTGTTCTGGGCGGACCAGATAGGACCGAAGAGCGCACGCTAGTGTCACTATCGCCGCCAGCGTCGCTCTCAAAGACCATTGAAGCACGCTTGCTGTGAGGGACTATGCTCATCGCACCCGCATTGGATCGGGGGGTCTGCGACCCACGCGGACTGCTCGACCGCGTTGACTCGGCTGCCGAAGAAGGTCTGCGGCGCGTTCGAGAAGTAAGAGAAGGGGTTGACGTGCTGCGGATGGCTGGATTGAGGATCGCGGGACTGTCGAACGATCCTGAGAAGACTCCTTCTTCTGTGGACATTCGGTCAAGACCATCATCGCCCAGCTCTTCTCGGATTTCCTCACCGCCAACTTGATCAATATCGGCGCTGGAATCGCTGTCTTCTCCTGCTACGATTGATGCAGCCTTACGCATTGCAGCATCAATACACTCCTGGACAAGAATGTCGAATTCGACGCGGATCCTCTCAGAGTACTCCAAGATCCTACGGTGGCGGAAGACAGCCTCAACCTTAGCTCTCGCAAGTCTCGAGGTATCGTCGCACAAAAGCGCGAGACCCTGCTCTGCTTCCAGACTCCCTGCGCTCGGCGACTGCCATTGGAGGATTTGAGAGATCCTACTTTCCGACTGCGGCGACTGGGTTCGAATTTCTGTGCTCAACTGTCCCCGGCTATCTTTGATCGCAGGTGTGTTTATCTCAAGCGCGGTGTCGCAAAGGTCAAGAACCAGTTCAACGATGCGAGAAACCGGCCTCCTGATGGCGAATGAACGGGCGCGATGGTGGCCGAAGCCTCCTGGACGCTCTCGAGACCGTGAGGGAGGAGATGCAGGCGAAGCTCTGCCTGAGCTGGGGCCAGAGGACGGCGTGGAAGCAGGCGAAATCGGCAGGCCCTTGTATTCCGGGATTGGGACCGGAGAGGCGACTTCAACGGGCAGGGATCGTGACTGGCGTGACTGAGCTTCCAAGACATCCAGAACCTTGACGATAGCGTTGCGGTGATCAGTAAGGCTCTCCTGAGCAAGCTGAACATCCATCTCAGCTTTGTGTTCTAGCAAGCAGAGCTCGGTGTGCTTCTCGAACCACCACGGCGTAATCTGGCGTTCGCATATTCGACACAAAGCTGGCAGTGGAGGCGGATGGCTCTCAGGGTCTCTTGTTCCAGCCTCAGCCAAGGCTGTGAGGTAGTGTGCAAGCATCTCAGCCCCAATGCCGAGAGACTCAACTAGGACCTGAGGAAGGTCAATAGTAACCTCGCGGATGACAGAGGGCCGAATCATCCACATCGTCTAGCCGGACGTCAACAACTGTACCTGCAAAGGCGAGAGGAAGACTTACATGGCTTTCCTCGCCGGATGTACGATCGTACACGATTATGCCTTGGGCCTCAAGATTAAGCACTCGGTCTTGCTCTTCCACTTGGCCTGTCTGAGCCGCATCTTCGCCCTCAACGATAGTTTTGTGAGACTTTGGCTGCAAGACAGACAACGGCCCCATGGAAGTGGCAAAGCGGATAATTCGACTGCGAGAATCATCTTTCCTCATTGCCTCGACCGCTTCCGAGAATGCGTCCTTGTCGCTGAGAAGGATGTGTGCGATGGGCTTTCCGACCACGGCGTCTGGCTCAGTACCGACTACATCCCGCCATGTCGGACTGACCCATCGGATATGGTTGTCCAAGCCCAAGTCCATTATCACATTCAGGCATTGCTCGGCCGCTTCTCGTAGTTCTTCTCGCTCCTCGCGGATATCCATGCTTATCGATCGCTCCATCTGACCTCTGACCGGACCTTGACCCGCAGCTTCTCCCTTCAATGCTGCCACGGCTGGCGGAATCAACACCGACGGTGTTAACCCTTCGGCCATGTTTCGAAGTGGCCCTCTTTCACAATGTGTGTTTGTTTCTTTAGTGGGGTCCTAAATCCTGTCCGCCCGGGGGCAGCCGGTGCGCTTGCTATATCGCGGCAGAGAGCATCACCATCATGACAGGAATCGTGATGGTATGCTCGGTAGTGGCTGTCGCGTCGAGGCGCTGTGGTGATATGAAGCTGCCTCCAGTGTCTGTTGCCGCTTGTTGGAATTTTGTCGACGGTAGGGCCGGGACGTTGCATCCAGGGTCTGAAGCAGCTTCTTTTGGTGGTGCAGCCGGCAGCTCACACTAAGCGACCAACATTGTTGCAGAGAACTCCAGTGAACTAGCGATTGAATGTGAGGTAAATGAGCGTCGGGTATACGGTTGGGAGTCGAGGAGTTTGTCAGCTGCGGATGCGGTGACTTTTTTCACGAAGTCGAAAGACTCCCCCGCTGACGACCGGTGGCCCGTCCTCACTCCACCGCCCAGAGCACTGGAAGGCAGCACAACAAAGCCTCGGGCACGCTACTCGTATCAGCACATGACCTTCCCCCACTGGAGGACGCCAGTCGGCTAGATGTGCTACTCTCGTGCATTTGACTAGACCACGGTGTGCTTGAAGCCGGCAAGGGGCAATGCTTGAACAGATTCTCATGGATTCGAGCGCCGCGTTACAACGGGCCCCCTTTGTGTCACTAGGAAAGCGCTGTGCAGATTCATTATGACGAAGCATGTTCGCACTTCTTCAAAGCAGCTCGTTGAGGCCACAAAACCACGCATCCTGGCTGTCAGTCACCAACAACCTGGCCTGCGATTGCATTTATGAACCCAATAATAGCCATCAGGGATGATGCATCGAGGCTGTCATCTGCGGCAGCGAGGACCCAGGCAGATGTCATCGAATCCACTTCGTGAGGTGTGGAGGGGATAAATGCAGGTGGATGCCTATCAATTCGGGGTCGCTGACGCAGGACTGGTGAGAGCTACACTGCCTCCTCGCCGTACGGGTTTGTAGCGCACCAGCGACACCACAATCAACCCATGAGAGCAGTGCCTCTGGCAGCTCCTTCCTGACGCTCCAGACATGCTTCTGCTGCTGCTTTCATAGCTCTTGAGCAGTGGGTACCATGCCAGCAGCGCCCACTTCGGTTGCCAGTCATCGGGTCTGGAGTAGCTCGAACTGTGACAGAACGAGCGGTCCGCTCGGCGCCGGTGCATGATCATGCAGATCGAGAATTATCACAGCGAATCAGCACCGCGCGGATGCCATCCCTAGTGCCCTTGGCTGCGTTTCGTGCAAAACCTAAAGATGACATTTTACTCGAACGACGCAAGTTCAAGCCACCACTAACGGCGGGAGCGTTGCCAGCTGGCCCCTTGCTGGCTGGTGTATCCATGCATGCATGTGGGGTAGCGTGCCGGCTTTTCCATTCTCATCGCCAATGCACTGCCGGAAGCCGCACAATGAGCCACCCCAGGAACATGAAGCTGGGGGAAAAGGTCTTCACGGTATTGGAGATGATCAGGGAGTGAGGATTCCAGCCGTTGGATCATTCAGACAGTTCACGACTTGAGCCGTCTTTTTTAATTGTTGCACAATCAACACATTTAACCACCACCATGGGGGCTGCTGCAATGGCGCCGGGCTCGCTGCAACCCACAAGCGGGCTTCAAACCATGACGAGACCGCGATGGAGGTGTCTCAGCATTCGCTATCAGTGTTTCAGACCCTCCCCACATCATCTTCAAACTCATGAATCCATAGCTATTTGATACTCGAGTACCATTATACCCATCCTGACTTACCGACTTGTATTGGCCGCTGTCGACGACGACTTATCATATCACTGTGGCATGTCAGTCTCACACTGACTATGCGTGTAGCGGCAAGATATAAATGTGCTGAGACTCACGGGCTTGTCTGAACATCTCAACTGATCAACGCTGTGAGGAATTGTGCTGGTGTCTCATATCGACCCCGTTGTGCCTCTGATGTTGAGTTTTATTGATGGTACCCAGTCGCCCTCTGGTATTCTTCGAGGCCTTCATTGAACGAGGATCGGGTGGCCTATGTGTACTACACCGCTCGTACAGCTTCGAGGAACGGGGCAGCAGCAACGACTTTGTGCTGGCCGCTATCCTCGGACGCTTCTCTAATGTTGACAGACGGCGATGGAGATGGGTCGATATTCGACGACATCCACCCAACTGAGCCGACGTGCTTGCCTAGATCGCCAACGTTCCTGGTGGCCTTTATCTGGAGGCTTGTCGGTTTGCAGTAACTCCAGTGGAAGTCCCTGGTCAGTTATCCAAGAACTTGTGGAAGGGGGCGGAGTATGAAGTCCTGCGAGACGTGCCCGAATAAACCTGTCGGAGAGAAGATCTGGCTAGCCGCAGTTATACTGTTGAGCCCATGGACAGAAAGCTGTTTAGGAGAGTAAAATACCTACCTGATAATGCCATACAACCCCGGGGTATCAATTATCTCGAGGACGGTCAATCCCGGAAAAGTGCACAGATACCTTATCGGGACGGCTTCAATACCTACTGTGGACGCCGTGTGCAGCGCATCAATCTGTGCAACGACCTCCGCAGCCCTATCACAGCTGGCAATCCAGCTCAAGCTCATTGCTGCTCTTGGCGCGCTCTAGTGTATGATCAATCTGGTAAAGCATCAGGTGCCGCTACGCGCCAGCTCTTACCTCCCTCATATCTCCACGAGCTTTGCGGAACTTAGCCGCAGCCCGCAGTACGGGTGAGGGCAAAGACAACAAGGGCTTTTAGGAGTACACGCTGCTCCCCGAGCGGTGGATTGAGGCGCATCTTGTCGCGGAGATTTTGTTAATTTTAGAGGGCTCGGCAACTTAGCCTCAGCCTCTCGGGCCCCCAGTATTCCTGCAGGGGTCTTTCTCTCTGCAACACTGCGTCCACACTTCTCTGCACCCAGAAACCACCACCACTGCGTGCCGGACCTCAACCCTCGCGGCGCATCCGCGCTCCTATCTGGCTTATTGCGAAGATACACTGGCCATCGAGATATACGCAGGGAGCCCGAAATCCGCGCCGGACTGACACCCCGACATCCGTGACCGCCCTCTGTTGTGGGCAACGCACGGCGCTCTTCAACCCAGCAACGCACTCTCACTCTCCGCCGCGCACACGACATACTCTTGCGCCAAGCAACCGCAAGCGCCGACGCCGTTCAGCGCGTCTAGATCTCCGACTTCGCCGCCTCAGTAATCTCAGATGACTGGTCGCGCTTCGATTCAGGGCCCGCAGCGTCGCGCATAGTGACTTCGTCGACGATCGCAACCACGAACTTCCACACGTCAACTTTTTTTTCTGAGCGACTAGATCAGGCTAGCTCTCCCCCGCAATGGCGGCCCCTCTTGAGGGTCAGCCCTTGAGCGAAGAGCAAAACTTAGTTGGCGAACCGCACCCAGACGACAACCGGACTTCACTCGCCGACGGGGGATCTGATCCAAACCACTCCCATAACGACAACACAAACCCCAAACAGGGCGATCAGGGCGGCGAGGAATACAACGCGCTCACCGAGAATGCTTACACTCTGGAGCTCGCGTCAAACAGGAGAGATGGGCCGGAGACTGGCCAATTAGCCACCACTGCGCCTGTCATGCGGGAAGTCATATCCATCGACCACCACAGACGCCAGAGCGAGCCAAGTTTCTGTGGTAAATGCAAGCAAGAGCTACCCGGCCAGTACGTGAGGGCGTTAGGACAGAAGTGGCATCTCGAGTGCTTCACTTGCGAGGTGGGTCTCAGGCAACAACATCACTACTATGAACGACCGTCTAACCTGGCTCATATAGGATTGTGGTAAGATCGTCGCATCCAAGTTCTTTCCCGTGCCCGATCAACCCCCTGGCCAGTACCCTCTGTGCGAGACAGATTATTTTGGGCGGCTCAATCTTCTCTGTTATAAATGCGGACATGCTCTACGGGGATCTTACATTACTGCCTTAGATCGCAAGTACCACATCGAACATTTCACCTGCTCCGTCTGTCCGACGGTTTTTGGCGCCCAGGACAGCTACTATGAACATGATGGGGATGTCTTCTGCCACTACCACTACTCCACTAAATTCGCACAGCTATGCAACGGATGCCATTACGCGATCCTGAAGCAGTTTGTAGAGATCTTCCGGAATGGAGAAAACCAGCACTGGCATCCCGAATGCTACATGATTCACAAATACTGGAACGTCCGCCTTCGCAAAGACGGGGTGCCAGCAATCACACAAGGCGCAAACAACGAAGACGCCACTGAAGCCATGCGCAGAGCAGTTCGGTCCGAAGAGGAGCAGATGGAGCAGAGGGTGGTTTGGATCTGGCGGACACTATCAACATTTGAAGAAAAGTCTGCCACGTGCATCTCAGATATGCTCTTGCATGTCAGCAATGGCGAGTACTTCAAGGGCATCGTGTCTGCAAGGACCTTCATCGTGTTTGTCGAGACACTCTTCATCTCCGCTGACAAGCTGGACCAACTGCTACTCGCCGCCTTATCCAAGAAATGTAAGTTTCCCACTCATGCCGACGTTCCACAAAATACGTTTCACAACAGCTGAACATGTTGCTGTAGCCCTTTCAGTTTCGCGAGAGGCGAAGCTCCTGTGCAAGAAAGTCGTTTCGTTCTTTCATCTACTCGCGCGTTCGTGCGACACAGGTGTGCGCCGCCTTGGAGTCACCCAAGAATTGTTGTCGCTTGTCACCGGCTTAGCGCACTACCTGAAACTCATCATCCGGATTTGCCTTCAGGGGTCGCTACGCCTAGAAAAGGAGAAAGACATTGACGAAGGCCTGAACTTCCTTCTTACGAACATCAACGGTCTTGACGACCGACTAGCTCATGAAAGCAGCGTGGATCAGGCCGCCGAAGCTGCGGTCTACTGCCGAAAGAAGGCCGACACTTGCCCCGTGTGCAACGAGCCAGTCGAGGACAAATGTTTCAAGCAGGCAGACCGAATAATCCACATGCAATGCTTGCGGTGCCACAATTGTGGCGTAGATCTATCGGATAAGCTACCGCATGCTCGATGGGCTCCCGGTACAAGAATCATTCTTTGCAGCAACTGTGCCGCTCACAGACTGGTAGATAGTCAAGGTGGATTTTCGGAAGTCACGAGGCTAGCACAATATGTGCACCTGCTGAAGTGCGCGCACGCTCGTCTCCTAGCGACTTTGCGCAGTAGCGGTGCCTTGCCACACACCTCAGGTATGCTTCACTCCGAAAACGGGCTTTGCACATGCTAATTGCTACTAATAGAAGATCCCAACCTGGCCGAGTATGATTCTAACCAAGGGCATCGTGTAGCTCCCTCCGAGCTCGAGCCGCCAATGCTTCGTGCAGATTCACGTTCAAAGTCCTACGGAGATCGAACCGATTATGAGGCCGAGAACGGCTCATCTCTGGAGGGCATCAAGCGTATGCGCTCTTCGAAGATGGAGAAGCACCTCTCCATGACGGGACGTCATGCAAGAACCTCAAGAGTCGTTGACGGTCCCACCGGATCAACTGTGCATCCTGGGTCTCCGGGTGAGGCGTCAGAAGCTAAGTTCAATGGCATGCACATCGTGCAAGAACGAGACCTCAGTGGTGATGCATTGAGACAACTCACAATCGGCGGTAATTCACTTGCCTTGGACGACATCCCCAGGTTCGCCGCCGCAGAACAAGCGCGAGATCAACGACCGAATGCGGCCAAGTACGCCAGAGACCATCTTGTTGGCTCCGAGCCCAAGCCGAAGCTTGTCAACGGTCATCGGCGCGACATCTCCGGAGGTCAGGAGATTGAGAAGGCTGCCCTGACCGACGCCTCGTTGTTCCGTCCGAAGAGATACTTCTCGGAGTTGTCTGGCCTAGAGCATTTCATTGTCAGAACAGTAGCAGTTATCTTGCTGGAGCCCCTGCTAGGTGGCCTGTTCAACCAGGAAGAACTCCTCGCGATGATTAGCGAAAAGCGACCTGGAAACTTCTGGGGAAGGTTCGGCAAAGCATTCATCAAGAACGACAAAGGAAAAGCTAGCGGCAAGCGCAAGGGCGTGTTTGGGAAGGGTCTGGATCAAGTCACCGAGAGAGACGGTGCAGAGTCCACTGACGGCATCGGTCCTGGCACCCTCAAAGTACCTGCATTGGTACAGGACGCGGTTTCCGCCATGCGCTCGATGGACATGTCGGTAGAGGGAGTCTTCAGGAAGAATGGTAACATTAAACGGCTAAGAGAGCTTGCTGAGGAGATCGATGTTCAAGGTGGCGATGCTGTGGATCTCACAAAGGAAAACCCTGTCCAAGTCGCTGCTCTGCTCAAGAAGTTCCTGCGCGACCTGCCGGATCCCGTTCTGACATTCAAGTTGCATCCTCTCTTCATTGCGGCTGCCAGTAAGTGAGCCCGTCGGGCAATTTGGTTTCGCCTGCTGACTCGGCCTCTAGGAATGGATGAGAACAAGCGCAAGCGCGTGCTTCACCTAACCTGCTGCTTGCTCCCGAAAGCAAATCGTGACACGATGGAAGTTTTGTTCTCCTTCCTCAACTGGGTCTCATCCTTCTGCGCTGTTGACGAGGAGACCGGCAGCAAGATGGACATTCACAACTTGGCTACAGTCATTGCGCCGAACGTTCTGTACTCGAACAGCAAGAACCCCGAACTGGATCACAGCTTCCTGGCTATCGAAGCAGTGCATTGTCTCATCGAGAACAACGAGACGATGTCGGAAGTGAGTTAACGTGTTGCACCTCAACAAGAATCGCAAAGCTAACATACACTTCACAGGTTCCGGAAGATCTACAGACCATCCTCAACGACACCGCTCTTCATGCCAACAGCGGCGAAGTCACCACCAAAGAGATCCTCAAGCGATACGGCAACCTGTGCAAAGCGCCACAGACCACAGCATCCGCGGCCGAGGTCCAAAAACCGCGATCGCGTGAGGGCCGCCCGTCAGCACCGGTCGTTCAGCGCGTCGATACGGATCCCCATGCTTGGCAGAACGAGAGTTCCGTCCGTCACATCGGAGGACCTCCGGCATCTTTTGGACCCAGCAGCACTCATAACACCCCGCCCCAGAATCCAACCGACTTCACTCCCCCCACATCCTACAGCTATCCTCCAGGAAACCATGAAGTCTACGGGGCTCCCAATGGCAGCCCGAACCGCCAGGCACGGCTGAGAGACAGTGCGTACACGAAGCAAGGTGCGCTCGGAATCACAGGCACTGGCTGATTGAACCTATCACAAGCGCTGGTTGATTCAAGTCAACCACCGGCGCTGGACAAATCAGCACTTTCTCACTTAGGCTCCAGGCTTGGCATGCCCATTTTTGCATATGTCCGGAGTTCAGCGTTCACGATCTCGCCACAGTTGAAAGGCACGGCCACTTTTGTAACCGCGGATACCAGAGACACTGGCGACACAGGCTCATGTTTTTTTTTGTTATGCGCTTGCACAGTACCCATAGTACCCTGCTCCTCATGTTCGCCCTTGGCGCTTCGGTGGAGGCCCTTTGATTCCCCCTGGATGCTGATTCCCCTAATGTTTCCGTTTTTGTTGTCACTGCTGTACGCTGCCAACCCTTGTTGGCGAAAAATTGGCATAGTGGGCGCCCATCTCGAGGGTGCTGTGGCCTGGCGGCGTGTAGATTACTTAGCGAGCACCTTGCAGCTTTCCCCGCCTACGCTGGCTAGGCGGGATGGAAAGCTTATGCGTATGAGAATTGATACAAAGTCAAAAACCAATCACCGTCTTCCTGCTCTGCTTGGTGAAAGTGAGTGCACTCACCGCTGGTGATATCCGGTTACACAGCTCCATCGCAGCGTTTGCATACATATCGTTTTGGGCAATGTCTTTGCCCTTACCACCACTGTTGGCTGTGAGCTGCACAGGCTTACACCACAGGTGAAGCCAGGTCAGGACATAAAACGAGACTTTTGTCATTTCAGTTGCTTCGCCGCGTGCAACATGTAAGCATCCGAAATACTGTCTAGCAAGAAAACCAGGTGCATTTCCGGATAGTACTGCTGATATTACACATCTATCATGGTATTGACTCCGCTGAAGCTCTGAGTTTTTAAACAGAAGACTTGCTAAACTCGCTCAATCACCGTAAACGTTACTCAAGAGTTGACAAGCGTGCAACACAAACGGAGCCAGTTCGGGGCTCAAGAGGAGCTCGAATGAGAGATCCTTGTCAATCTACACAACATGGATGACGCAGTCGTCTTTCTAAAGAGCAAAGAGCAATTCACGGCACTGCTAACATTGCTCGCAACATCCTCAAGAGTCCTCAACCGCCATGGGAGCTCCGGCATTCGACAGCACCAGATGGAATCAGCGCGTAGCTACCCTGACTTCCTCAGACGAAGTCATCCGCATCAACTACATTGATTGCCCGCCCCCTCCATCCACCGCCTCGAGAGGTACCATTCTCCTGATCCACGGTTTCCCCCAAACTTCATACCAGTTCCGCCATGTAATCACACCTCTAGCCAATGCTGGCTATCGCATCATCGCGCCCGACTACCGGGGCGCCGGGCAGTCGTCACGGCCAGCGGGCGGCTATACCAAAACAACCATGGCATCCGACTTAATAGCCTTGGTGTCCCATCTAGGCATCACCTCTCGAATCCACATCGTAGGCCACGATATCGGCGGCATGATCGCCCACGCCTACGCCTCACGGCAGCCGTCCAGCGTCGCCAGCATAATCTGGGGCGAGTGCCCTCTTCCCGGCACTTCAGCATATGCTGCAGACAGGACAACACACCAAGTCGCGCAGTTCCACTTCATCTTCCACTGTGTGCCTGACCTGCCGGAAGCGCTGGTCGCTGGCCGAGAGGGCATCTATTTGAAGCACTTTTTCAATAAGCTGGTGTATAACAGCGCGGCCATTACGGACGCTGATTTTGGCCATTACGTGTTAGCTTACAGCCAGCCTGGCGCAATGAGAGCGGCATTTCAGGTGTATGGTACTTTTGAGAAGGATGCGGAGGAGAACAGGGAGTGGGTGAAACGGGAGGGGAAGTGTAAGGTTCCGTGTATGGTGTTCAGTGGAGATATGAGTAGGCATAAGGAGGCAGCGGAGAGTATGGCCAGCGAGGTCTACGAAGATATTGAGGTGGCGGTCGTCGAGGCAAGTGGACATTACCTTGCGGAGGAGAATCCGGAGGGTTTTGTAAAGCAAGTGCTAGAGTTTGTAGGAAAACACCGCGAGCAATAAATCCACACGGGCTTCATCTGATATCCAATCCCGAGTTCCGGCCAGTGAACCGAAGTGTAACAGGCGCTTCTAAACAACTGGAATATTTTGGGACGTAAAGGACATGCCCATCAAAAAGGAAGCCTCAGCTGGAGCTTTTATTCGATATTAATCGACTTCCATGCATTTGAAAATGTCATGATATTATATGTTTTTACTCCCATTGAGATGCTATCGATAAGCGCTCTTAGCTCACTTGGGAGAGCGCCAGACTGAAGTCCAACTTCGGCCTAAATCATCTGTGCGGTGTATCTGGAGGCACTGTGTTCGATCCACAGAGAGCGCATTTCTTTTGCTTTTGCACCGTTTTTGCTCACCGAGAGATTCTTTCCTTTTTGCTGCCGGGCCTAAGTCACATAAAGGCGCTGAGGATTCGTTCGCTCTTGAGTTTGTGAGCACTATTGCAATGTGCGATGAACTACGACACCGATTTGGGGGCAGCATTTCCGAAAGCAATCTACAAAAGCCACCGCAGTAGCTTTAGTCTTGTCGATGCTTGGGCTGTGAAACAAGGAGTTTTCATCGAGTTATACACTATCCCAATGTACAGCATTAACTTTAACAGCACCACGGACTCTAATCAAAGGGTTGCAAACAATATCATATCCCTCATCGGAGACCGCGGTTCAGACAACGTACTCAGTAGAGCTTCGATTCTGGACACGGATGGGTTCGTTCAGCTTGAACATACGTCTAATAGCTACGGGTGTATACGCATGAGATCTTCACAGCTCTGATGATCAAGTGGGCGCTCATTATCACTGATGTTTTCCCTCCTGCGGCTGGCTACATGGCACTATTCATAACTGCTGAATTCTCGTGTATGCATCGACGCATAGTCCTCAAAGCCCGCGCACCCTTTCTGAGATGGGGTAGCCGCTACTCAGAGAAACCAGACGGAAATAGACTTCAGTAGGCCGTTTCCGCATGAGCCTCTTAAGGTACTCTTAGAATCAAGCCAGCCTGGACGAACGCCCCCAACCTAACTACGGCTGGCCATGCTTCAAAGATCCGGCAAGCATTACAACCTATGAGGTAGACCGTACACCTCTCCCGGCAACCTGTTCCGGATGCTGGAGGGCACTGCCCCAGTGCCCTTGGCCGATGGAAAGGCTCCGAGGGTAGTATAAGAGTGTCGCAGAGGCTACATATGAATAGCTACACCTGAGTGCATGCTGCTTAGTGGGTAGAGGAGCTCCGCCTTCTTCGTATCAAATAGATCTGTAAGGCCTTACCAAGGGCATGCGGCTTCCAGTCCGCCGCCGGTTATCCAACAAGAGATCAAAAGGACCCAGACGCACGCGGCCTCTCAGCCTCCGTGCTCGAGCGTCGAGGTTTCATCGGTCCTCACGTTGCAGAGAAACACTCATGTTCAAAGAGAGACGGGACGCGTATGCCCATCCCTAGTTGATCAATCGCTGAGTAGCTTGGGAGATGGATATCCAACTCTGAGGGAGTATGGTAAGGTAGCAGCGGACGTCAAGAATAGCACAGAGGAAGTTGAAGAGTAAGACCGGCTCAATTCAAAAGTGTAGATGCTGTATAAAGGACGTCTTCATCGCTGCTCTCTTCCCATTATCAGACAGCATCACCTTCAGAAAGCACATCTTAGCACTCAATCAGACTCCCGCCCACAGCTCTTCCAATATCTAAATCACATCCCAATTCCCGAATCTTTTCAGAAAATCCTCCCGCCAAAATGGTCAAGCTTACCTACCTTTCCGCAGCTCTCATCGCCGCTGCCATGAATCTCGTCCCAGCGGCTCATGCCAGTCCTGCTGGTTTGACCGCCACGATGGACGTCAAAGCAGAGCCCACCGGCCTCGATCAGAACTTCGTCGAGGTCAACGCCGTCATCCACGCTTTCACTGATTTGGGCGCCCACCGCGCGGTGTTCACACTATTCCCGGAACAGTGTCAGACCCTTCCCGGCGCAGCCGCTGAAATCTGCTGGAGGAAGAGTGCAAACTTCCGTGGTGAGTAGAGATACTCAGCCTGTTATGATTTAAAGACAGTCCGCCAGGACCCAGAGTGGTAACGGAACAATATACTAATAAAGTGATGATAGTCACGGCCTATAGGCGCAACTTCGACGGTACTTGCAATTGCACCACAGCGCCATTTGAGTTGAAGCGGGAGGATCACCGCTACGATGTTCAGGCCTACCCTTGCATTCAGGGTGTGTACTAGGGTAGTCTTCGTGCTAGACAAACTCATTCTCTGAGAGGCGGCTTTAGGGACATGTTGGAGTAGAGGAGAAGCGGAGCTGTAGCTGGAGAGTGATGGGAAGGTTCTACAGGATACTGGCTGAGCCAGGCGCTCATTTGCAACAAGTTGTATTTTCGCGTGCTTTTATATTGCTTCTGCGCTTTCTTTTTATCCACTCTCTTGCCTGACTAGTCTGGTCCAATTAGTTATCAGTATCGCGTTGCTATGACTTTGCTTTCCAGCTGTGTGAAGCTTGCTGAAACCAATGACAAACTAAGAGGACCATCTGGACGTAATCGTGTCATGAACTGTGCGCATGGTTGTGAGATTAGGAGTGTCTAGGTGCTGTTGGTTTGCAGCTGGAGCGGCAGGGCGGCCAAGGGCCATTTGAAAAGCCTGTTGCCGTGTCTTAGCTACTAGCTTTTTCGATACCAAATCCGCGATTAAGCTGGACTTATGATCATATCAAGGTTAAGGACGAGACCGATTCTGTGCTATGGAAAGCATGGGACGGTTAGCAGTTCACTTCCTTCTTACATTAATCACTCGAGGTACCATCGATCCACGAATTAGTCTTGTTCAGAATCTACCTGGATGTCCAAGCAAAGCTTCAATCCGGCAACGGATTTTTTTTTGCTGACTTCGAGCGGGAGACGTTGATTTTGTCCCAGCTTGGCAAGCTGAGGCAAGACAGCGCTAAGACTTGCAAACCATTGACTGGACCACAGCGTCCTATGCACTACACTTGACGGCTTGATAAATGCACCCTATGTGGCGCATAATGCTATTTGCAGGAGCTGGAGAAGTAAGATCAGGACAGTTGTCGGCCCGTTTCTTCGGGGATCCTTAGTTACAACTACACTGTTTATGAAGGCGTGGAAAAATGACAGTCAAGAGTCACGCGCGTCCAAAACGCTAGAAGTTCGAACCGAGCAAGCATCTGTATTCTCCATGAGGAATTGGGATGAGGCTTTATTCGACCAATCCGTTCATCAGAGAGCGCTACAAACGAGCTACAACTCATCCCTCTTGCCCAGCCTCTGCGGCGGATCCTCCCACATCCTCTTCTTCGGATTCGCTGGCCTGTCCCCCCGCTTCTCCAGCACCGTTCCATCGCCCCTGACCGTTACTTTCTCCTCGCTGCTAGCTTCCCTCGTGTCATCCTTTGGCGTAGCGTCTCCTGCCTGATCCCGCTGCTCTTGACTCGCCTCTGCCATATCCCCTATCTGCTCATAGAGGCTCCCCTCAGAACCCTCCTGCTGTCCCTGCTGCTGGCGTCCCTGATCAGCCATCTTTGCCCCGTATCCGCCGCCTCCTGCGCGGATATACGGCCCCTGACCCTGCGTGCGCTGGAAAACTGGCGGACGGCCTGTAGCACTCGGCTGAATTCTGAGACTGGTACTAGGCTGTGTAACTGCTGTAGACGTTGCTCGGCCAGTCAAGCCGATGCTGCCCAACACAAAGAAGAAAAAGCGATACGAGAGCTTGATCGGCAACCAAACAAACCACCACAGCGGCCCGTACAGAAACCGGCGATACACCAGCCAAATGATTGTGGTCAGCAGGATATAGAACGCAGTCTCAAGGTACCACGTATCGCTCTTCTGGCTCTTCAGCAGCGTCCCCAGCAGGTTCCTGCTAGTCGCTAAGATGTTGTCGAGGCTGCTATACCGCTCCTTGAGCTCCTTGAGTGCCGCGCTCGATTGCTCCAACGTCTCGTGCGCGAAGCGGCTGCGCGTGAGCTCGGACTGGAGCGTGCTGTGCAGGCGGCGCAGGGAGGCTGTTACGTCGCTTGAGGCCTGGAGCTCGAGTTGCTCGGCTGTAAGGTTTTCTTTGTTGTTGGCGCGGCGGCGGGAGGTGGAGACTGTATCGGCGGCACCGGAGGTGAGGTTCGCGAAGAGGAGTTCGCGCTCTTTGCGCTGGGCGGCTTCGGCGGAGCGTTTGGCGGTTAGTTGGGCGCGGCGGAAGTGTTCTCGTGCGCTGGGATGTGTGAGCTGCGATGCTGAGGTGGGAACTGGGGCACGCTATGGGGATAAATACGCTTTGAGGTCTTCGCCCAACCGCGCTACTTGGACGCTGATTCTGCTTCTTTCTCTGTCTCGCTCGCTGTCTCTCCTGTGCCTCCCGCCAAGCGGTTCTACAGATGTGAAGTCCTCAGCCTCCTGCTTCAGGAGCTCAAATTCCTGCTCCTGCTGCCGTAGACTCTCGTGGATCTCGGAGCTTAGTTCGACTCGTACGTCGTCGCCGTCCCCGTTAAGGGCAGTGGATCCGGGCTGGAATGTAAGTTTGGATAGGCGCTGGATGAGCTGAAGGGTCGATTTGTTGGCTTCTGAGAGGGCGTCTAGGCGGCTGAGGAGCGACTGGGTGCTCATTGTTGGCTTTGGAAAGCTGGTGTTGCGAGGTGTCGCGTATGACATCGGTTTCCTCGTCGGCGAAAATTGACGCCGATGTGGATCGTGACAATGGAGAAAGTCAAGATTGAGAGAGCTCCCTAGCAATCCGGTATCTCGCGATTCTCGCCTCAAGTGAAGCAGTTCAATTTAGATGATCGCGGTATAAAACGTACGCATACCCAAACCTGAGCAACTCAAAACTCAGACTGACCCACCTTCCAGCTCGGCGCGCATCTCCCATATCCTCCACCAGTGCTTCCTCTTCCCCCCAGAAGACCTCCGCCAAACCTCCGCCGCCATGATAACCAAATTCCTCACCAACGTCTCCACGACCTTCAACCCCTTCTCTCCGCGCGCGAAGACCGCCCGCAACTTCCTCGCGCTCCTGCCACCCAATGCGCGGTCGACGATGAAGGTCGACGTCAAGATGCTGCCGCGGACAAGCAAAGAGCCTATAAGGCTGAGTTTGAAGTTTAGTACGTCGCTTGCATGGCGTTTGTTAGGCGGATGCTTTGGTTATGTGGGACTGTATGGCGCTAGGGCAGTTGCTGACAACAGTGTTTTTTACAGAAGACGGCAAGGAAATGGACCTCGACCTGCAGAAGCTGAAGATTGGGGACGTGGAAGAGGAGGTGAATCGGCATTCAAGAGGGCTGGCTAGGCAGGAAGAGCTGTCAGGGAATTGAGTGGCGCGGTTTCGGAAGCGAGCCGTACATTTCTGGCAGTGCATATTACAATCATGGACCGGGAGCATATTTGCATCGGAGTCAAGCAGGGGATTTTTGGTCATCGCATCATTGGCGTGCTTATGTCTATATCATTGTCAAGCGGCTGTACGCTGTAAACCTATGCCGTTGGTTGCACTACTCCAAGATCGTCTCTATCACATCTACCCGCTCGGAGCGCCAGAAATGAAGAACCACTTGTCGATGCTCGGATCAATCGGAGCAGGGGACTGGTTCTCGCCCTTGGGGATGTTGAGCTTGCTTGGGTCGGCTCGGTCAGGGGAATGAGGAACGGTGGTGTTGGTGCTGTACATTGAGTTAGTATGTGTATCGGAAGATGGGTGCCACAGTCAACTTACAGGGAGATGTCGCCCTTTGGTGTCTTGCCAGTAATCAGCTTCTCCCAGGCTTCAGCGCATTCGCGTACGATATCCATAGCGTATCTACATAGATGTTAGCTTGGGGCTCTGGTGTAACGTTCCGAATTACTCACTTCTTATTTTTGCACTCGCCCGAGAAAGCGAACTGGTTCTCCGGCTTGCCGTCGGGAATCTTGTAGATACGGAACCACTCGTTCGTGGCCCTGAGCAGGCCCGGGAGGTGCCTCTCAACGTCCTCGACATCGTTGAGTTTAGGAGCTAGCGGGTCGTTCACGTCAATGACGATGATCTTCCAGTCTGTCTCCTCCTCGTCCAATAGAGCCATCACGCCGAGGACCTTGACTTGCTTCACCTCACCCGGCTTGGCGACGAGCTCGCCGATCTCGCAGACATCGAGGGGGTCGTTGTCGCCCTTGGCTTTGGTCTCAGGGTGGACAACGTTGGGGTCTTCCCATGTCTGCTTTGTGTCAGGGCTTCCGCAATGTACACAATCGTTGGTGTTCGGTGCTTGTTTAGCCCATTCGTACGCACCTGAGGGAAGGCACCGTAGTTCCACAGATAACCCTTGTGCGGAAAGCAGTTGCGGACAAATCGGAGCTTGCCCTTCTTGATGTCCTGCTTGATGGGATTTAGGGTCTCCTCCTTGGAGATCTGTATGCGTATTGTGTTAGTTGATCATCATCCTGCTGTCCAGCTGAGCGTGGCTGGAGGCGACCGGCGGAGGGCAATTCAGATACGGAGCAACTGAATTCACGAACCTCCATCTTAGCATTGGTCCATCTCGGAACCTCGACGATCATGTTGAGGACCGTCTGCTGCTCATTGGCATACAGCGGGATATCGTGGAACGGCGAGAGCGGTTGGCCATCCTTTTCGATGTAGATGCGGTGCTCAAGCGTGTTGGGAGCGCCAACTTTCCTCGCCGTGAATTGGGAGGGGGCCTTGGAGTGGTAGCCCTTTTCGGAGATTGGTAGGGAAGCCATTGTGAAGGTTGACTGGGAAGGTTGGAAATGGCCGGCCAGCTGTTGCGTGCGAGAATGAATTTTGTTGTCGAGGCCCTTGGCGGGAGTGACGCTGGTGGGGTAGCGGGAGGAGCGATTAGGTACCGCCAGCGTAGCAAACGTCTTGGCGGGTCGCCTGTAGGAGACGATCCACCGCTTCGACAGAGCAGCACAATCACCGGTCGAGGCTGGAGGGCTCAAGGTTGCTCGGAGCGAAATCATGCAGAAGAGAATCACGCAATTCAATGGCTTCCGACTACCGATGCAATGGGATGAGGTGACTGCACAGATGGCCGAGGAAGTTTGGATGCAGGGGCCGGGACAAAAGGAGCTACATCTGATTCGCTTAAATAATATAGCAAAACGGGTATCGCAAAGTCAATACAGCCGATGGGGACGCCAAAACCCCGCGAACATAGCAGCGCATTCATCCTGCTCTTGTTGCCCGTCGGGCACAGTTTCCTGCTCGTAAGCAGCCGATTCGCTAACATCAAACCCGATCGTTGCGTGTGCTAATTGCTCCTCAGAGTATCTGCTGTATGACTCTTCCAAACCGGCATACTGTTCTTCATGTCCACCAACAAAATCATCGTAGATCTCTTCATCCAGCTGATCGTGATGCATGCTTCCCATGATGTCCGCCCCTTCCGGTAAGGTTTCTGCCTGGCGCTCGTCTAAATGCTGCCGTCGGTAAAGATTCGGATACATTGACGAGTCTGGCGTAACCACCGGCGCTCGCTGTAGAGGGAGACGCAGTGGGAAGCCTTGTGGATGTGTAGCCCTCGAACTCGTCTCGGCATTTGGAACCATCCTCTCTTCGTTCGGCCGCTCTTCAAGCTGAGACAGGGGCGCCGCCTGGTCTTGTCGTATCGCTACAGCATCGTCGCACTCTCGCAGTAACCTCCCTAGTGATGAGTTCGACTCAGGCTCTACGTTCTCTGTGGAGCTCTCATTAACTTCTGTTCTGGTTCTGAGCGTCTGCTGCGGCCGTGGTAACTCTGGTAAGGCACCGATGTTTACACTGGATCTACTCTCAGTCCGCGCAGTGGGAAGCACATGTGGTCTTCGCTGATCTCGTGGAGCTGCGCGACTATTTCTTTTGTGGGATGACGGCATACGAGGACTCCTGTTCTGGGCGTCCCTTGGCGGAATGTGGTTTCGATCAAAAGGATGGGAGGGCGGTACATGTCGGGTCGAACGATCGACTACAGCTGTGTTTATTTCTGGTTGCGCCAGATCTTGCGGTCGAGCAGGCCGCTGCTTCTCCGTAGCCTTGCGCGCTGCTTCGAATGGCTGTACCAATGAGGTGTTGTTCCCCACACCTGTCTGGCTGTGACCATTGTGCCCTGGAGCGCCTGCCTTTCTGTTGATTTGCACAGGTTCGACGTCATGCCGGAAAGGCGGCTGTCGTGGCTCGGCATGTCCGTTTGCTGGAAGCGGGACACTAGGCTGTCTGATAGAGCCCGACCATGAGTAGTAGCTAGCGCTGACTGGCTGGGTACCTCTGCTTCCAAATCCCAAGTATGGTTTCTCTGGGAGCTCAACGGTTGATATTGCAGGATCCGCACTCAGAGAACGGTGTTGCTCATAGTCCTGCGCTGACTTCTGAATCGGATCACGGTGCGAAGGGCGCGGCTTCGAAGGGATGTTTGTGTGCCTATCTGCTAGTGGAGGCCTCTTAGCGGCGAAGTATGCAGAAATATCATCCTGCTTTGCGTGCGCCTGATCCTTCTTTCGCCGTTTCTTGGGCGCTTCGGCGGGCGATTGTTCCTCTGCTGGGTCTCGTCGCTTTTGCAGAAACTTCATCTCGTTGAACGTCAGATCAGGTACTGTTCAGGGGCACGTCAGATGCCGCGTCACGGCACAGTGGATGTTCTTGCATATTCGAGCAACTTACATCCTCGGCCTCTTACCGGCGATGATGCGCGACCCTTTTTGAAGAGTCCAAGATTCTCTCCTGGCTTCATCTAGATAACACAGTCAGCAGGTATGTGAAAGACGGGGCGGCGTGTAACTCCACAGTCAGTCGAGATATGGCGACATTCTTCGCGTGGAAGGTCTGCACTAGACCTGCGCCCGGCTTGTCCTTGGTCCTTCGCTTTGACTTCCGCTTCCTCTTCTTCGAATCCCTCTTTTCCCCCCGATGTTTCCGAGTGCTCTTGGCCTTCTGATCCGGCTTCGGATCGTAGAGGTCGGGCCGGGTCTTGTGGCGAGGTCTGCGCTTGTAGCGGTCCTCTGCAGATTCTTCATCCGAGGAGGATTCTAACTCGCTGGATTGTCCGGACGACGTGAGCTTGCTCGGCGCATGGTCATTGTGGCCCTGGCTTGCAGCCGATATAGGAGGTCGCCGTGGTCGATCGTCTTTGAGAAGCGAGCTGTCCGAAGAAGGCTGTTTCCGGTTGCGCCGCTTCCGACTCGGTTCCTCATCGGCACCGCCATGGGCATGAGGGAATGAAGGAGGATCTAGCCCGTGAGCCGGGGTCTGGTAAGCGGGTGGGATGTTGATTGCCGTCCCTTCAAGCCATCTGTTGATATCCATGGTGGTCCGAGACGGCGGGTTGGGTGAGCCGACGGTCACACTCAACGAATGACTGGTTCCTCACGCCTTGAATGCTTACACCGACTTTCTGATATGAGCAACAGCTGTGATACAGCCTTGACCGAGAGCAGCGGAAGTTTCCAGTACCGTCTTCTGCGCGAGGAGGACTCCTCAGGCTGTGATGAATTACGGTTCCGTGTAACCGCGATTAGTACCGATTCTGGTGATGGCGCTGCAGGCTGAGCATTCTGTCACAAAATGCTTGTAGACACCGCTGTTGGCTCCGTTTCGAGACATGTGTTGATATCTGACTGGAGATGGACGTTGGACGGGACTAGAAAGAGGATAAGGCAGGTCCATCATGTTATTTTTCTCTACGAATGCCCGGTCTTCGCCGTGATCGCTCACAAAAGTAACATCACATTTCGCATCTATAGACGAGGGAAAATCGCGCAGCAGGGCATGCCGTTCGGGACATATGCGTCACAATTATGCTCAGGAAAGGGTTTCCTGGTCGTGAGGAGCCCAGAACGTATGTCCTTGGTCGCGCACGTCGAGCAGTATGTCACAAATAAAAGCCACTTTGATAGCGCAGCTGGCTTTCCTGTGTGGTCTGAAGCAACAAGGAGGGATATGCGTTAATATATGCGATTTGAGAAGGCTACGGTACGACGTGTCTTGCAGCCTTGTCCTTGGCGGCGGATCACCAGCTGGCTCCGCCGTGGCTGAGCTGAGAGCCCTGCGATACGCGCCTAGTCGCGTTATTTAACTTCAACCTGCAGTATCGTAACAGGTTGCGAGACCAGCGTACCGAGCCTTGGGCTGCTTGAACCTACGGTGGGTTTAGACTTTGGGCAGGATATTAGCACCCTCGAACCCCAAGAGTCTGCACAGAGACAGCCAACCGGGGATCTGGGTTGCTCCGCTAGTCTATTTGAGAGATTCAGCTCATCCGCGGTCTATTTGAGCAGGCTGCTGGGCAACTCGCGTGTTTTGTAAGCGCTCTGGATTCATGGCAGTGGAGGTGAGTGTGAGATCCGCCTAGCGACCGATCGTGTCCCAAGAGACGCACGCGCACGAGCCATTTCTGCCCCACAGGTCTGATAATCTTGATAACCTTAAGCGCACTCTGTACGTCCCGCTTGGGCGTCGTTCGAAGCGGTTGGGCACACTCAGCACACAACCGTGATCCTGCTCTGCAAGTCTCGCGCGCGAAGAACTTCGAGCGCGGCCACTCAGGTGCACACAGAGTTCGGCTAGGCAGAGTTGGGCGTGTCAAAGTGGGTGCAGGGGGAAGCCCGCTGCTGCTGTTCTACCTATCAATCTTGGATCCTGCTTTTGGATTGCGCTGGCACGCCCCGGCTAAGAGACCGGTGGCATTGCCGCACGCCTGCTATTGGCCTTATAGGGCCAGCTAGGCGGGGCCCGCATGACTTTGCGAACACGGGATGGCGCGCATCTCTGGCCGTGAAGACCGTCAAATCTGACTGCAAAGGCCCCCGGCCGGGACGACCGTACAAAAAGGCGTGGCTTCCTGGGCGCGGCTTGTTGCTCCCCCAAACCCAAACTCGCCTGGGCCTGATCTCCACCCACAGGATCTTCACCCAGCTGCAACCACAAACGCCCGCTGATAGCAACCGCTTCACCTGACCAACCTGGTTGACCTGTCATCTCTCTTTGGAAGTCGCCCACCTATCGACAGCGTGAGTGCTTCTGCTTTTCACCTAGCGTCCTTCACCGGAGGGGGTCCGCTTGTCCAATCCCTTGGCCGGCTAGAGCCCCGCCATTATTACACTTTCTTTCTTCTTTCCTTCACCACCTCGTCTTGAAAACTCTGACCCGAACAGCCCCAGCGACGAGAGTCACGACAAACTTGATACACGTCACACAGCATCGACTAGATTCATCCACCGGCATCAGCTAGAAGGATTGCGGTTTGCGCCATGTTTGTCTTCACTGTTCACTACCTACAGGCATGCGCCCAGCGCAGGTTTCCTTCATCTGCCGCCGTCTAGTCACGTCCTGCTCTTTCTTTCAAGATCTGAGACTAGACTCCCTTCATGCGTCGCCAGCCGTCGTTTGACACAGAGGACATAAACACTAAGACGTGCGCAGAGCTCCCGGTAACGGCCTTTCAGCAAAATGTCGAAACTATTCATCGGGTGAGTGAAGCTTCACCCAGGATGGCCTTGTTGACGAGAAGACTGACTGAATCATTAGTGGCCTTGCTTGGCACACCGACGACACAACACTCCGCGCCAAGTTCGAAGAATTCGGCCAAGTCGAGGAAGCCGTAAGTCCGGAGCCATCACCGTACATTCCACTCACAGGCGCTCACTCCGTCGCAGATCGTCGTCAAGGACCGCGACACTGGACGCAGCCGCGGCTTTGGCTTCGTGCGCTTTTCCAACGACTCGGAAGCCGATGCCGCCATTCAGTCCATGAACAACGTTGAGTACGTGCACTTTCCACTTCCAGCACAGCAACTGCCGTTTCGAGTCGGCCAGAGAACCGCTACTGGTCCTGGTTGAATCGAAGATCGCCGCTCACGGCTTTATTCGCCCTTTTTCCGTTTGTCCTACATGAACACGTGCCTAACTCATCCGCAGGTTCGACGGTCGCACCATCCGCGTCGACAAGGCCTCCGAGAGTGGTGGCGGAGGAGGGCGTGGTGGTTATGGCGGCGGTCGCGGTGGCGGCGGTGGGTATGGCCGTGGAGGCGGTGGGGGTGGTTATAGCGGCGGCGGTGGCTATGGTATGTTGCTTTCTAACAATTGCTCCTGCCCTTTCTGACATGAGATGCAGGCGGCGGTGGTTACGGCGGCGGTCGCGGAGGTGGCGGAGGCAGTAAGTCATTCCTGCAGCATTCTCCCTACACAACCATGGCCACAGCCGTTGATTTTCCTTATAGGCTATGGCGGAGGCCAATGGCGCAATGACAACCAGCAAGGCGGCGGCGGCTACGGTGGCGGCGGTTACGGCGGCCAGCAACAGGGCGGATACGGCGACCAGAACCAGCAGCAAGGTGGTGGCGGATGGTAGACGGTCATGATCCCGGCAGACTTCGTGAGATGAGAAAAAGCAAGGAACCTTAGAGTGGCCTGACGGAGGGTGACTGTGGCAGTCATACTATGGTTTTCCCCGTTGGTCCTTTACTGACATTCGGGCACATGGCATCTGAGTTTACACGGGACACATCAAATCGGCTTACGGGGTGCTACTACGAGGCTGCAGGCTTGGGCAGCGGGTTGATTGCGGCGGTTCTATCATCATAGCTCTGGGGCATGATACCCAAAATGAGAACACGAGTCTTCCCTTCAGCTTGCGCTTCTCTCTCAGTGTGATACCATCTGTCTGGACACCAACTCTACCTTCTGTAGTCGAGGTAGTAGCAACCGATCTCCCTGCGGTGTCGAGGATCCACCCGACGGATCGTGCAGTGATCTGAAAGCCAAAAATGCCCCGACGCGCAGATCATCCCTCAACTCCTCGCCAAGACCTGTTGGAACCCCGCCTGCCGTGCCGCCCCTGCATTGCATCTCAGGCAGCAGCCATGATCACGGGATTCCCGTCTCTTATGAGCAGAGCAAATCCAGCCATGAGGCTCTTCGCTCTACCTGCGATGTGCTTTCGAGGTCATCTCCTCGAACCCTACTCCGCGCCTCACAATGGCTAAAGAACTACCATCATGGGTTGACACTCAGGGAAACGGCTCACCACCACCTCGACCGTTATCGAAGCGAAGCACTTTCGCTGTTGTGCTTGCTGCTATCCTGTTCTACCACGTTGCCGTTACGATCTTGGGCCCGTACTGTGCGTGGTGCTCTTGGGCGAAACTCGGCGCGAGTAGAGTTGACCCCGCGGAGAAAGCAGTGTGCGGAGTGTTTGAGGGAGCTTCGAACTTCACTCAGGAAGATCTAGACGGGAAAGTTGGGGCAGCTGGGAAGGGTTTTAGGTGGGAGGAGGTAAGGTTAGATTATTGATATTCAGAGTCTCTCCTGCGTTTCGAGATTGTTTAGCCGAAAGAGATAGGGTGCTGCATTAAGCAAATTTGGGACGTGCGGTTGGATGCTGTGTCCTTCCTCTCTTCTTGAAGTGCTTTTCGAGTATATGTTCAAGATTCTCATAGTCGAATTTCCCGTCTCAGGAGTACTTCGTGGCTATGACGCCATCATGGGGTCTGGGAAGCTCGTAGTCTCTGTAGCCTTTTGACAGATCTGAGATGCGACTTCCCATATGTCCAACTTCCAGATAGTCCTTCGAGCAACGTGACAAAGATCTCCGTTCAGTCTATATTCCTATCAATCTCTATTTGTTCCCTGGCAGTGGAAGGCTAATTATCGCGCTCTGTACGAATATTCGCTCAACAGCCAGCGCTGACCAGCATGTAGATCACCCCAACGAAAGATCTAGTATTTACCGACTGTTTCAATGGTCTCCAATGCGCCCGCTTAGAGCTCCCGCTTGACTACTGGAACGGCACACACCCCAGCAAGACCATCAGCCTCGCCGTGGCCCGATTGCCGGCGAAAGTTGGATTCGATGATCCACGCTATGGCGGCGCCATCATCGTCAACCCCGGAGGCCCCGGCGGACCAGGAGCACAGTTCATCGAAGGCGCAGGCCATCTCCTACAAAACGTCGTAGATACCGCCCGAGATCCATCTACTGCAGATCCCACGGCCAAATACTATGATATCTTAAGCTTCGACCCTAGGGGAGTGGGTGCATCTACTCCCGGCGGGCATTGCTTTAGGACCGAGGCCGCGAGAGAGTCCTTCGGCTTGCGCAATATGGAAGAGGGCGTTCTTGGGAGCTCGGATGCGGCTCTTGGAAGGAAGCACTCGATGAACAATGCGCTTGGCATGAGTTGTGCCGCGTCAGTTGAGGGTGATCACGACATCAAGTATTTCATGAGCACGGCTTCGGTTGCGAGAGATATGCTTGAGCTTATAGAGAGGTATGGCGAGTGGCGGAATTCTAAATCGAGACACGTCAGTGTTACGACAGAGAACCTTCCCTGCACGACAAAGCAGACAGAATGTTGGGAAACAACAGATCAGGGAAGGAAGAAGCTGGGCTGGTCCCACTTTTCGTCCTGCTCGGAAACGTGGACTCGGACTCCCAAACCAAAGTACGATGCCAGTAAGGAGACGATGCAATACTGGGGTTTCTCATACGGTACCTTCCTAGGCTACACATTCGCTTCCCTATATCCGGACCGAATCGGCAGAATGATTCTGGACGGTGTAGTCAGCGGATCCGACTACGCCAAAACCCGCTGGCACGACAACATGAACGATACCGAAAAGACGATGCAGTACTTCTACGACTGGTGCGTCGCCTCCGGCCCCACCGACTGTCCGCTCGCCAACAGCACATCAACACCACACGACATCCAAATCAAAGTGACCTCCATCGTCAATCATCTCTACCACAACCCCCTCCCCATTGCCGATCCCGAGCCAGACGTAATAACCTTCAGCGACCTCCGCTCCATCATCTTCGGTGCGCTCTACTTCCCACAGACGTCCTTCCCCTTCCTCGCCACAACCCTCGACGCCATCGGCCGCGGCGACGGTTCCGTCCTGGCCCCGTTCCTCACTATTGCGCATACCTTCCGCTGCGCACAGCCGCCCTCCGCCAACCAGACCCAGTCCGCGCCGCGGGACGGCGAGGCCAGCCTCGCGATTGCGTGTGGCGACGGCGATGACCAGGCGGCCTTCAACAACGTCGAATTCCTGGAGCAGTACTGGCGGGACCTAGACGCCAAGAGCCCGAGTGTGGGCGCGGTGTGGGCGAATATCAGGACGACGTGCGCGGGGTGGAAGATCAGGCCGAAGCACAGGTTCACGGGGCCGTTCGAGGGCAACACGTCTCACCCGCTTCTGTGGATCGGGAACACGGCGGATCCGGTCACGCCTGTGGGGGCTGCGCATCAAATGGCTAAGGGGTTTCCGGGCTCGGCTGTGCTGACGCAGGAGAGTGCGGGTGTAAGCTTCAAGTTTTTTATTTTACACCTTCTCAATCCCTGCCTCCGAACCTTGATGAAAACTGGTGGGCGCCGGAGTCGCTGACATCCATCCCAGCACTGCTCCATCTCCGGCATCACTCCCTGCACTATCGATGCTGTACGCACGTACTTCCACCACGGCACCCTGCCAGAGCCGGGCACGATCTGTCGCGCGCCTGACGCCGATGCTGCTGCGGCGTTCTCGGCTGAGCAGTTGAGCGTCCATGCCGCCTACCGAGAGTTTGGCAGGGTCTACGCGAGAGAGGACTGGGCGCTTGGAAAGGGCTTCATGAATCTGAGGCAAAAGGAACTGGCGAAGGCGCTCTGGAACAGGTAGGCAGATACGCGGGTGTGTCTCGGGTTGGCGACATAGCATGGGTTCTGTCGGTCATGGCTCGGCCATGCATTCGTGGGTCCGGCGCTCACAAGAGAGTGATGGATGACCATCTCCCTCTACCAGTGGGATCCTAATATTGAGATGATTGCCATGCAGATCACGCAGAGAGAGGAACGAGGTGAAAGATGAAGGGATGTCGTATTAGGTAGGATGATTATACAAGGTTATTTTGTTTTGCCCAAGCGCCCATGACTTCTCCCCCCATCCCAAACCGTTTTAAGAATGCTATGCACAGCAGAACGCCTGCCTTTATGCCCCGTTACTCCGACACCGATGATGTTCCCACAAGCGGCAAGCCAAGCCAACAGACACGAGTACTCCAATGACCAACCAACGGGACCATCAACAATGCATCCGAGAGCTGAAAACGGCCCAGAACAACACTACATCACACTACATCACAATGCAGTCCTTGTCGCCGCCGCCCTTCTTGCCTTTGGCTTTGTCGGCCGTCATCGGGACGCCCGCTCCCTCGCCCGAGACAGCGGCTCTGATGATCGCAAGACGTTGTTTGGCGCGCTCGTCGCCTTGATCCGCGGCGCGGACGTACCAGACGTTTGCTTCGAGGGGGTCGCGCCGGCAGCCGATGCCCATTTCTGTGAAGTAGCCGACTGCGTATTCTGCTTTTGGAAGGCCTGTGGGAGAGGGCAGTCAGTATACCAGGTATTTCTCCCAGAAATCTGAGAAGCGAAGAGTCTATTGGGAGGAAAGAGTGAATTGAAAAAAGAGGGACGTGGTAACTCACCCATCTCAGCAGCCTTCTTAGCCCACTCATACGCCTCGCACTCGTCCTTCTCCAGCACCGGTTCCGCACCGACCATGTACCACGCGCACAGGTTCATCATCGCCTCCGGGATGCCCGCCTGGGCGGCCCCGTTGTAGAAATGCACGCTGAGCGCCGGATCCCGCGGACAAGCCAGCAAGCCATGCTCATACGCCTCGCCCATCTTCAGGCTCGCAAGCTCATGGCCCAGCTCCGCCGCCTGCGTGAACAGCTGCGCGGCATACGCCTCGTCCTTGAAGACGTCCTCGCCGAAGCCCGTCTGGTGCAGCAGGCCAAGCTCGTACGGCGCGTCTCTGTACTGCGCGTCCGCGCTCTCCGCCGCGCGCTTGAGCCACTTGAGCCCCTCGCGGTACCGCTTCCCCAGCCCCATGTCGCCCGTCAGACACGCCTTGCCGAGCCGCGTCGCGGCGCCGGGATGGTTCTTGGAGGCCGACGCGCGGTAGAACTGCACGGCCTTGGCGTAGTCCTTGCGGCAGCCCCACCCGAACTCGTAGCACAGCCCTGCGCGGTACCCGGCCTCGGCATGGCCGTGTTTGGACGCCGCGACGAAGAGCGGGAACGCGCGGTCCCAGTCCTCCTTGCCCTTGTTAAAGAGGCCGGACGCGTAGCCGTCGCCAAGGTAGTACTGCGCGAAGGGGTAGGCGCGGTCGGCGAGGCGCTGGAGGATGGAGCGCGCTTCGCGGAGCATTTCTGCTTGGGGGTTTGGGCTGGGGGAGGCAGAGGGGTTGGAGGTGCGCCGCATGGTTTTGGCCATGTTGACCATGAAGACGGCGAATTCGTATTGGATGGCGGGATCGTTGGTTTTCTTAACGTTGAGGCGGTACATCTCGAGGGTTTTCTTGGGGTCGAGGAGGGAGGCGTTGGTGCCGACGTTGCTGCGGAGGAAGGCGTTGTCGAAGTTGGTGGCGGCGGGCGCTTGTTGCTGGTAGGGGGTGTTGAGGAGGTCGATGTAGGAAACTGGTCGGCTCTCCGGTGAGCGGCGCTGTGCTGATTGAGGCCGAGCATGGCTGAGGGGTGAGCCGCTGGGCGAAGGTGACAGGTGACGTGGGCCATTAGCTGCTAGGTTGGGCGATGATGTCCGGCCCCGAGCAGCGTTCAACTCCGAACCTAGTGTGTAGGCCGAGCTGGGTCGGGGTAGTGTCGTTTGCGCGGATAGGAGAGCAGAACTGCCGGACTGTCCAGAAGATCCGGTGTTGCCATTTGAAGATGTTTGGGAGTCTGACTTGGAGCTGTTGTTGTCGTCTTGGGCAGGCTTGCGTGGCGAGTCGCTGAAGGGCTGATGGTGGTACTGCAGCGCCGGATAGACTTCTGTGGGCGATGGCGGCTCATCACTGTAATGAGTCCCTTCGGTGGATTCGGTTTCTGCCTCTACGGCACTGCTTGCAGAGTTCCTATACGAGCTGCTCTCAGCAGTGGAGACCTCGGCAACTTGCGAATGATGTGAAGCGTCGGAAATCCGCTTGATTTCTCGTTGCCGGAACGGTATTGTGTGAGTGACGGGTAAGGACGAAGTTGAAGCGCGAGAGTAGTCAGGTTCGGGTGTTTCGAGATCTCGAGATTCGGTTCTTGACCAGGTGCGTGAGCTCGGAGGCGAGGAGTGTATGGATTGTGGAGCAGGACGCTTTTGTACGTAGCCCGGTAAACTATCGACATGGGCATTGTTCTGGGGGGCTTCGCTCAGAGTAATTGAGGGATGCCTCGAGTCATAGGGTGGTCTCCTGCTAAAGGGAAGAGGTGGCAGAGTTGATCGAACATCTTCCTTCTCGTCTATGTAGACCGGGGCGCTGAGGGATACCGTGCGAGGTGGTAACATCTGAATTGCATCTTGATAGCCCATGGCCGGTGTTCCCGCGCCGCCGTAGCCCGGCGTCAGAAGCCTTCTCTTTCTGTGTCCGTCTGATCTGCTCTTCGATATGTATGTAGGGAGCCGAGGCTGGGCAGGATGAGCGGAGGCGATGCAGACGTCTAGACCGTGCGAACGATATTGCGTATGATAGACAGCCGTAATGATAGGCAGCTGAAAGATGGATATCTTCAGCGGATGGCGCGGTGAAAGTCCTTTAGAGGGTTCGTGTCAGCGTCTTTGAAGTCAGTCCGCCAATGGGTCGCGGCTTCCTGCTGGCGTCGAGGCGCGATCTAGCAACGGTGATGCCCCCTAGTCCATGCGGCGTTCAATACTGCTAGCGGCGATCCAAAAGGCCAAATACAATCTCTTCCTTCTTCTCCTCCGGCGGGTGCCCCGGGACCGCTCTGATGTCTGCCGCGTGTCGAGTGGGCTGTTGCTGTCTCGTAAGCACAGCAGCGAGCGCCTCAATGATCGACGACAATATTCTCTGCAGGGATCCCCACCAGAATTGGCGTTTTCCGCTTTCCTGCATGCACAGCTGAATGCTGAGGGCGTGCAGTGCGCCAATCGGCCTTGATGGGTGAATCGTTTGCTCAAGGTTTGCTCACACCCGCCGCCCGCCCGCCGCCTCCTTTGTTCAAGCCTCGGGACCCGAGCGTTCTGCTCTACCCCCGTGCCGATCCGTGCTGAAATAGTTCAATCTCTCCTCAACACCTAAGAGCTGTTTAGGACAGGACTTCCTCTGATGAATTGCGCATGTCCTGCAGGGAGGGTTTGATGCTGGACTGGGAACTGTTCGCCGCGGCTGGCCGAGGCACCTTTCGAGCACTCCGGGAAAGGCTACTGTTTGTCGGCACTGCAGAAGTCCACCTTCAAGTCACACTGGCACCGCTAGCAAGAGGTAGCAGCCGCGTGTTTGATAGACGCGGTGCTCGACTATCATTCGAGGTGTGCGGATCGGCGCGACAGGAATGCGGCTCCCTGCGTGCGTCAACCTTATTGAGAGCTTGGGGATCCATGCTTGTTTGTGTGCGAGACCGACTTCAAATGCCAGCTTGTAGATGTGTGGGAGCCCATAGATGACCTCAGAGTTGGGTACGTACTGGACATGGCACCGCATTCGCTATGTTGTTGAGAGCACAATGCCATGCAGATGGGGTTTGACACAGGTGTCTTAAGTAAAAATATGCCAGCGGTTATGGCCGCTGTTTGCTGAGAGAAGAAGCTCACAGCACCAGCGGGCTACTATAACGTTGCCTGAACTTGGCGAGTACTTCTATGGGATAGCTTTCCTATTGCGATGCAGTTTCTATGGTAGTGCTTTTGGCACAAGAATCCTCTTCCTGCAGCAATCCGGTCAATGGGTGTCCTCGATACTGGTCTAGACGAAGGTGTTCTCATGGCTTTATGGATATCTCCTACAACGGTCTGGACCTTCTAATGCAAGAGGATTTAAGCGTTCCCGTATGCATAGCCGTTGAGGTAAGCCCCCCTGATGGCGAACACTCCGTGATGCCTCGAATAACGAGCTCTGCACACTCGTCATCGCGCTGGCCTCTGGCTTTACGTTGTTCTTGGCTAGATGTCTAATATACGTTGGATCGTGAACACTGTCGAGACACATGGATGACTGCAGCTGTGATTCAAGGTTGTTCAGGATGGGATTGAGGCTGTTCCATGCCATACGGGAGCGAGCGGCTCTAGCGCACCTGGGCATTGTGCTGAACGAATAGCGGCCGCCACGCCCAAGCCGCTGTCCAGGAATAGAGAGGGTCTCCCATGCGATCCGTTCTGCTCACCTCATCAGGAGGCGCTCTCATCCATCTCCTCCCCTGTTCCGACATCTTCAAGCGTTGCACAGGCCTCTCGTTGTGTGCATTCCGCTTCAGTCGCTCGTTCGCAGCTTCTCTGCTGGTACTCCAGTTCCCTCACTCCGACGTTCGTTCTTGCCGCACAGCCTTGCGTGTCCTCTGTGCGTTGCCGTCCGTCTGTTGTGAAACGTCTGGGGCGCAGAAAAAAGTCGTCCCAAACAATCCACATCCCAGTCTGCAGACCACCAGCAGCCTTACCCGGCGGTCCGTCTCTCATTGTTTGCGGCCGCCATCTGGCCGGAATACGATCTTAGAACGTTACGACAGGCTTACCTTGGGCGTGGAACGAGCATTGGGGGGCGACGGGTTGGAGTTGTTTGCATCTGCTGTTTGGGAGGCTGTCCGATATTTTAGAGTTCCTTGTAGGTGGTCGACGGGTCTGATGCCGCCGCGCGGCAGGGCTCTTTGTCTGGAATGCAGCTAACACGCATTCTTCAGGCCCATAATGTCTTTACCAGAACGACCGAATCCTACCTCGCCGAGGCGAGAACACAGGCATGCGCCACGGTCTTCTCCATACAGAGATTCACCACAGCGAAGACGACGGCCCTCAGACGTCGAGGCACGGCCTTACGACCGCTCCTCTCACCGAAAAGTGCCCTCAATTTCTTACACACAGCCTGTACCTACACATAGCATGCCCGTCGATCGAGGCGCCGCTCGGGCGACACAGGCAGAGTCTGACCTCGGGCGCAAGAAGAGCTTGGTTCGGCCGGAGCGCAACCGCATAGACAGAGACCACCCGAATTACCACTACCGAAAACATGCGCAGAACATGACCACCCTCCCCTCGAGCACCGGTAACGATCTGACATCGGAGGAACATGGTGAGGCGGAGACTGTCACGTCGGACGAGGCGGACGTGAAGAGCTTGCAACCTGCCCCAAGGGGCTATTCAGACAGACCACGACCGCGAGACGAGGGCGGTTCGCCACTCAGGAGGGACCAGAGCGCCAAGTCACAACGGAAGTTGACACGGAAGGATACTCGGACCCTCGAGTCGGAGGAGAAGCAGCGCCAAAAAGTCAAAGATGCCGCCCGGCCGTTGAGTTTATGGAGCGTTTACTGCGGAGTGGTCACATTCTGGTGTCCCGATGCCGTATTGCGGTGTTTTGGCAAGCCGGCGAAACCCCAGCAGCGCGCGTGGCGCGAAAAGATGGGCCTCATCAGCATCATCCTGCTGATATGTGCGTTTGTCGGCTTCCTGACATTCGGTTTCACGGAGACGGTGTGCAAGCAGGGAGGCCCACAGCGGTTGCGAATCAACAAGGTAGATGCGGGATTCATGATATTCCATGGACAAGCATACGACCTGTCGAGATCGCAGCATCCACAAGCTCGTGGCGTACCAAACTTTGCTAATGTTCTCTTTGACTTACAAGAGAAGAATGGGGGCAAAGATGGCAGCTTCCTCTTCCAGAATGTCAATGGACAGTGCAAAGGATTGATCACCGCTGCCGAGGGCTCGGATGTCCCATCCTCAGACAATGGCCGCGAGTTAGCCTGGTACTTCCCGTGTACACCTTTCAACCAGGATGGATCCAGTGAGCCACCCAGCAACGCCTCGTTCTATCTCGGGTATGCCTGCCATACGTCGCGAACTGCCCGGGACTCATTTTATAATGAACTCCACAGCTCCGGCGATGTGTATTTCACATGGGACGACATCAGAAACTCGAGCCGGAACCTTATGGTCTGGGGCGGAGATGTACTGGATCTAGACTTGCTGCAATGGTTCAACACAAGCCAGGTTGCGGTTCCGGACGAGTTTGAACGGATTAGGACCAATCCCAACGTTAGAGGCATTGACGTTACCCGTGCCTTTGCATCGAACAGAGAAAAGCAGATCGCTAGATGCTTCACCGAGATCATCAAGGTCGGATCGATCGATACAGAGTCTGTCGGTTGCATTGCTTCTCAGGTAGTGCTCTATGTGTCTCTTGTGTTCATCTTGTCCATCGTCCTGGTCAAGTTCTTGCTTGCGCTCTGCTTCCAGTGGTTTCTTTGCCGCCGCTTTGGCGCCTCAAAAACAACGCTTGGACCGGAGAACTCGAAGAAGCGGAAGCAGCAGATAGAAGACTGGACTGAAGACATCTACCGGGCGCCACCAAAACTTGCAGACCCAATTGGCGGCATGGCCGATAGGTCAAGCAAGCGCGGCAGTCAGTTCTTCCCAACCACGTCGAGATTCACCAGCCCGTATGCCATCGAGCGAGCAACCGCCAGAAAGAGTACAGCACCTACTACCATGGCCAGTCAGACATCTACCGCACGACTGCTATCTTCAGGGGGCGGCACGATCTACAAGCAAGGGAACCACAGCCAGGGAACACTGCCTACCTATGTTGACTCCCAGGGCACCAAGACTTCGATGCAGGAAAGCAGAGCCAGCTTGCTGCTCTCAGGTACGACGGGCCAGCAGAGGTTCTCCAGCGTGATGGGCGAGTCCGATGGGCCAGGTCCAGCGGGCTTCATCCACGATGCTGTCGTGCCACAGCCGCCTCCCGAGTGGCAGCCTTTCGGTTATCCTTTGGCCCACGCCATTTGTCTGGTCACAGCCTATTCCGAAGGAGAGGAAGGTCTGAGGACGACTCTCGACTCTATCGCCACAACGGACTATCCCAACAGCCACAAGCTCATCTTAGTCATCTGCGATGGTATAATCAAAGGCAAAGGCGAGGCTTTATCAACACCGGACATCGCTCTTGGAATGATGAAGGACCATGCAATCTCCCCCGGCGACGTTCAGGCTTTCTCCTACGTTGCGGTAGCCAGCGGGTCAAAGCGCCACAACATGGCCAAGATCTACTCAGGCTTCTACGACTATGGCAGAGATTCCAGGATCCCTGGTGAGAAGCAGCAGCGCGTCCCGATGATGGTCGTCGTCAAATGCGGAACGCCCGACGAAGCGAGCAAAAGTAAACCGGGTAATCGGGGCAAGCGAGACAGTCAGATCATCCTGATGTCTTTCTTACAGAAAGTCATGTTCGACGAACGGATGACTGAGCTCGAGTTTGAGATGTTCAACGGCATATGGAAGATAACAGGCATCTCGCCAGACTTCTACGAGATCGTTCTCATGGTTGACGCTGATACGAAAGTGTTCCCGGACAGCTTGACGCACATGATCTCAGCGATGGTCAAGGATCCGGAGATTATGGGCCTGTGCGGTGAGACGAAGATAGCAAACAAGCGACAGAGTTGGGTTTCCATGATCCAGGTGTTCGAGTAAGTAGCCGGACTTCGTGTGCACTGCACGCACACTGCTGACCTGACGCTTAGGTACTTCATCTCCCACCACCTGTCAAAATCTTTCGAGTCCGTGTTCGGTGGTGTCACCTGTCTGCCCGGTTGCTTCTGCATGTATCGCATCAAAACACCAAAGGGCGGGCAAAACTACTGGGTGCCCATCTTAGCGAACCCCGATATTGTGGAGCATTACTCCGAAAACGTGGTTGACACGCTACACAAGAAGAACCTGCTGCTGCTTGGCGAGGATCGGTATCTGTCAACGCTTATGCTGAAAACATTCCCGAAGCGGAAGCAGGTCTTCGTTCCACAGGCTGTCTGCAAGACCACCGTCCCCGACCAGTTCAGTGTGCTGCTTTCACAGCGTCGGCGGTGGATCAACAGTACCGTGCACAATCTGATGGAGCTAGTGCTCGTCAGAGACCTGTGCGGAACGTTCTGCTTCAGCATGCAGTTTGTTGTGTTTATTGAGTTGGTCGGAACGCTAGTGCTTCCGGCTGCCATCTCGTTCACTATCTACCTAAGTAAGTTCTCGCTAAAGGCTACTACATTGAGACAGACACTGACTAAGCCTCAGTCGCCATCTCCATCAAAGCGGCAATTGAGCGCACCGAAGCGCCGCTTATCCCGCTTCTTCTTCTCGCGCTCATTCTTGGCCTCCCGGCCGTTTTGATCGTGCTAACGGCGCACCGTTGGTCCTACGTTGGGTGGATGTTCATCTACCTGCTCTCGCTGCCGATCTGGAACTTAGTCCTCCCGACCTACGCCTACTGGAAGTTCGACGACTTCAGCTGGGGCGACACGCGCAAGACGGCGGGCGAGAAGGTGAAGAAGGCAGGTATCGAGTACGAGGGCGAGTTCGACAGCAGCAAGATAACGATGAAACGCTGGGGCGACTTCGAGCAAGGTAAGTCCCTTGCAGGCGGTGTTTCGCGTGCACGATTGCATCTCCGATCATGCAGTAGCTGACACGGCCCGCCATCGACAGAACGAAGACTCAAACCTCCGGGCACCGGCTACTCGCAGCGATCAACGTCGGTCGGAGGCTGGCCCCCGCATAAACAGCATGGGTACGAGCCGTATTACGATCACTGATGCGCATCTCTGCTTTCTCTACTCTGGGTCAAATGGCCGGCGTTGTCCTAGGTTTTTCCATTGCTAGCGCGGGCTTTGCTCGGTGTCGGTGCCATGGTGCAGGGGTGGTGCTTTGCTTGGGATGTCCAGGGTGGTCAGCGCAGCGCTTGGATTGTGTATATGACGTGTCGTATTGCTGGTGTGTACAAAGCCGTCCAGATCCGGCACCTCTGCGCTGTCATCTTCTGTATGCATGTAGCCTGAGCGCGGCGTTCCATCACACATCGCTTAACCCATCTCGAGACATTGTTGCACGGAACACAAGTGACATGATTTCCCTCCCGTGCATTAATTATCGAGCAAAAGCGAGAGTCAGCTCACGTTTGCGCTGACCAGGTGCTGAGGAAGGGCAAGAAACGGCCCCATCCCTGGATCGTTTGTGAGTTTATGCGGCTGTGGCCAGAAGCGGCATTCTTAACGGCGTCGATCCTTGGAAGCCTCTGCTGGGGGCATGCAGCCACCCTTCACTGACTTTGTTGTCCGTCACCGCTGTCCCTGTCCGATGCGGCAAAGACGCCCAACCCATTGGCTCTTGCTGCGACCTGGGCCGCTGGAGCGGTCCTGGCGGCTTTCGTCGTTTCGCTTGGGCGCCGCGGGCACAGGCACAAGCACAAACCCTTCCCACGAGGCAGGAGTGGCAGATCAGAAAGTGCCCGCGCTCTCACCCCGCCGCCAGAACGAGCGCAACGTTAAGACAGCGTCTGCGGCACGTTACCTCCGCACGCGTTGTCATGGACGGACCGACTGCAAACTGCCCGTACTTGATCTCGTTTCAAGCTTCGTGGCCGGCCTTAGCTGCGTCTTCACCGCGCTGTCTGTGACCATCTGATCCGAGCCTCCAGGGTCCCGTTCGCATGTCCCACTGCCACTCACCCCACGCCGTATCCTCGACGTACCCTCCACCGACGACTCGACTCGGGCGCTAGAAATAGCATATCGCTTTGACGGTGACTGTTCCACAGGACCCGACCGCCGACCCATCATCGTCGAGGACGCCCACGCACCGCCTCGCCAGCGTTTTTGCCATCGGAAAAGAACCTGCGCCTGTGCGTCTCGATCTCTCCCGCAGGCAGATCCTCTGCTTCCCCTTTGGCATTGTCACCCTCTGTTATGCATCTGGCCGCTGGGACAGGACGCAGATAAACTAGGGACGCCTGCAAACACCTTGTACATATCGCGGAGTCGCAGGCAGGCGGCTTTTCTAGAAGCCGGTACATACCTAGTCATACCACGTTTCTTAGCAGGAGACAGCGCCCACTGTATCACATACCTGTCCTATCAGGACTTCATACTATCCTCAGGTCATAGTAGCAGATATCTGGGTGTCAGACCGCCTGCTGACGTTGTCGTTGGGCATCAACGCTGGGAGCGTTACTGGAAGCCGTGGACGCGCAGTTTTCTTCCATTGGCCATTGGAACTGGTCCGCATTAACTCGGACAACTCAAGAACTGGGCGGGTCTTCGCAGTCACCCAGAGATCAGTCATATAAAATCTTTCTTCACATCTCAACTAGCATTTCGTCATCGCCGCAGCAGCTCCAGTCACGCTCGCTAAACGCAAGGCATCCATGGCACCCACTCACAATTCCTTTTACTTTGGACTAGGATCGAGTTCTTCAGCCGCTCATTCGCCACATGCCACCTCCCAAAACTCATACACTGCGCAAGCAGCGCACCCAAGTGGAGAAATCCAGCACGCGCAGGGAGCAATGGAACATATCATGTCCGACGATGAGCAGGCAGGCGGCGTTCCTATCGGATCAACCAGTCTTCCAAGTTCTGTAGACCAAGGCCATTATCCAACATTCAACACGGGCTACTCAGACTTTCCCACCGCGCCGGCGACCGCGTCGCAGACACTTCATCCCGCCGTAGCCCCGTATTTCGCCGCAGATTTCGATGATGATCTCTACACCGGAGGCGCCCCGGGCGGCGAGAGTGATGTCTCAATCTTTCTTGACACCTGGAGGGGTGTCAGCCTCCGGCATCCGAACTCAGCGAATGTTGTTGGCTCAAAGGCGTCGACGTTCAGGCACATTGAACGGCCTAGGACAGTGGATAGGAAGCAACTCCAAGGCGACCGCTTTGACATTCAAGGTATTAACTGGGAAGCGCTGGAGACAACTAGGGAGACGGCTAGGGCCATCCGAGAAAACTTTGCTCATGCATCTCATGGGCGAAACCATCTCCATCTAAACGTAGGTCCCAACAGCCTTCCTGGACAGCTGTATCACTCTGACGGGCAACAGCTTGCGAAGCCTCTACCTGATACCGACAGCTTCTTTCGTTTCCGTAGAATGAACACCGAGCACCGAGCCTGGATCGCGCACTTCCAACTCCGCAACGTCATCTCCGCCACCTCTCAACATGACATATACTACGCCAAAGGCTCAAAAGTTATGCGCACTGATGCCTATAACATGCGGACGTCCTGCCTGATGGATCTCCCCCCAGTCGCCGGTTCGTCTGACGCCGGCGGCTTCCGCGTAACCGCACTGACAGCCTCCTCCAACACCCTCATCGCCGGGGGCTTCAAGGGCGAATACGCCATCACCAACCTGCAATCTGGGGTCGGCGCACCTCCAACTGTCGGCTCCGTCACACTATCCTACAATGGGATCGCGACCCACGTGCACGCCTTCGCGCATCGCACCTCCGCACACACAACCGCGGCTTTCTGCTCCAACGACGCCAAGATGCGCATTCTGGACTGTGAGACTGGAACCTTCACCCACACCTTTCCCTACGCCCGCCCCATCAACTGCGCCGCCACCTCCCCGGACGGCCGCCTGCGCGTCGTGGTGGGGGATTGCAACGAAGCGCTCATCACGAACGCGGAGACGGGCCAACCGGTCGAGACACTACGAAATCACACGAATCACGCGTTCGCGTGCGCGTGGGCCGACGACGGGAGGTACGTCGCGACCGGAGCCCAGGACTCTCAAATCGTGGTCTACGACGCAAGATGGTGGAGGGACCCGCTCAGGTTCATCGCGACTGAGGTCGCGTGTGCACGCGCCTTGGCATTTAGCCCTGTCGGCGGCGGGAAGAGGGTGCTGCTTGCTGCAGAGGCGGATGATGTCGTCAACGTGATTGACGCGCAGACGTTTGCGAGCAGGCAGAGCCTCAGTCTCTTTGGGGCGATTGGCGGCATGAGCATCACGCCCGATGGAGGGGACGTCTTCGTCGCGTGCTGCGACAACAAGGTCGGAGGGATTCTGGGGTTCGAGAGGACGGGATATGGGCAGGAGTATGGGCTGGGCGGTTTGTGGAGGAGGGATTGGAAGTATGGGGACCAGAGAATGGTACAGGAGGAACCGGCGGAGTGGGCGACGGATGAGGAGATGAGAAGGGATGGGAGGGTGGTCAAGGGGCCAACTGCGAGGAGTCGAAGGGGGTTGGGGCTCGGTAAGCTGATTGTGTGAGCGTTTGGGGGGGTGATCTTGGACTCCTCAAACCCCCTGCGCCTTATATCAACAGGCGGTCTTGCTCACTCTGCCCCTGCAGCTCTGCGGCACCGGGTCGTGCTTTGCATCTTGGGGATTATATTCGTTTGTATCTACTTTTCAGAGTCGTAGCGCGGCTGTCCTCGCGATTGGCGCACGCCTCATATTCAAGCATTTACACTCGGCCCTGCATCTGGCTCAGATTCGAGGGCCAAACACTCTTTGGAGTCTTGAATCCATTCAGTCACGTTGTCGTATATTTGGCGTGCTGTGTGAGCTCTGCTATACATTTCCGCATTCGGATGTCATATGACGTCTCGCGTTGTTCAAACTTGTCGAGATCCGGTAAGTTTGACGCTCCCTAAGAACAACAAAGTCCCTTTTCGAGACCTCTCTTCCGTCTTTCATTCCCAACTGTTGAGAATATTCCGGGGTTGCCGGCTTTGAGTTAAGCATGACAGGACTTTACGTAAAGCTTGGCATGAAGCACAATCGATAGGAGCGGTCGGGTTACCTTTCTTGCACGTTTCGCGGTCATCCGACGATAAGCGATCCCCAGTACCTATCGGTGCCTGCTCCACTGAGGTGCTCCACGTTCCTCCCTCACTCCACACCGCCGACTTGCATGTCGTAGGGCGTGACTGCAATTCAGAGTCATTCTGTCACTCGTCTCTGCTCCGGTTCCTACTCACTAAACCTCGACTCTACTCTCTCTCTCTCTAATTACTTTCCACGGTCCTGTCTTGGATCTTTGTTTACTCACACAGCCCTGTCCTCTCACTCAGAAACCTCTAACCCGGAAGCAGCCCATTCAACATGGCGCCCCCAGCAGCGATCGAGACCGAAGCTGTCACCGACACCTCGGCCATCGTGCTTCCTAACCCGCTGGCGGCTCCCTTGAAGATCAATGAGCTCTATGGCAGACGGAAGATGCCGCTTAAGAGCCAGTGGGGCGTCGCGGCTGTGTCGAACAGTGAGATGTTTAAATTGAGACCGCAGGAGGGGAAGCTGAAGGCGAAGAATTGGGATTGTAAGTTTTGCTTGTGTGTTTGCTGTCGTTTCCGTAACGGGGGTTGTTGAGGCGGGTCAGAAAGAGGTGTATGGAAGTCCTGTGAGCTCAAGTGCTGCTCGTGAGCACATTAGGGGTTTCGCCAGAGCCGCCGAGCTCACCCTTATGATTGCCATGAGTACAAAGCTCTAGCCCTGTCTTAGTGGGCGACCAGTACCGTTCTCACTCGGTTATCCAATGCCGGGATACTTTTGAGGGCTTAGCTAACACCTCTGTAGACCGCCTGAGCCAAGAAGCTCTCTCCCGGAAAGGCAATTCCCTAAAGCAAGCCGCCAAGTTTCTCGCAACACCGGGCCTTATCTCCCTCGGTGGTGGCATCCCAGCCAGCGACTACTTCCCCTTCGACTCTCTCACGCTCAAAGTCCCCCGCGTCGGCCACTTCTCCGAAGCCGAAGCCCACGCCTCGGGCATGATACTCGAGTCCGGCAAGCACGACCAACTCGAGGACAAAAGCATCCTCGACATCGCCACCGCCTTCAACTACGGGCAAGGCACCGGCACCGCGCAGCTGCTGCGCTGGGTCACCGAGCACACTGAACTCGTCCACGACCCGCCGTACCAGGACTGGGCGTGCACTCTAACCGTCGGCAGCACGTCTGCGCTAGACATGGCCTTCCGGATGTTCACCGAGAAAGGCGACTACGTTCTCTCGGAAGAATACACCTTCGCGACCGCGGTCGAGACCGCGGCGCCCATGGGCGTCAAAGTCGCGGGCGTGAAGATGGACGCGCAGGGCCTGCTCCCAGACTCCATGGACGAGATCCTGACCAACTGGGACGCCGACGCCCGAGGCGCCCGCAAACCCACAGTCCTGTACACGGTCCCGACAGGCCAAAACCCGACAGGCGCGACGCAGGGCCACGCGCGCCGCCGGGCCATCTACGCCGTGGCGCAGAAGCACGACCTCTACATCCTGGAAGACGAGCCCTACTACTTCCTGCAGATGGACCCCTACACCGGCCCCGACGCACCCCCGGCGCCAACGCCCGCGACGCACGAAGAGTTCCTCGCGAACCTGGTGCCGAGCCTGCTCTCCATGGACGTCGACGGGCGCGTCCTGCGCATGGACTCCTTCTCCAAAGTCGTCTCGCCCGGCAGCCGCGTGGGCTGGATCACGGCCTCGGAGCCCATCGTGCGGCGGTACTACATGCACGCGGACGTCAGCACGCAGGGCCCGAGCGGCATGAGCCAGCTGCTGCTGTTCAAGCTGCTGGATGAAGGATGGGGCCACCCGGGGTACCTGGACTGGCTGATGCACATACGCACGTCGTACACGAAGCGGCGCGACGTCATTCTCGCGGCGTGCGAGACGCACCTCCCCAAGGAGGTCGTGAGCTGGGTCCCGCCGATGGCGGGAATGTTTCATTGGTTGCAGATTAAGTATGAGAAGCACCCGGGGTATCCGGCGAAGAGCATCACAGAGCTGGAAGATGAGATCTTTATGCGCAATGTCGGGAACGGGGTGCTCATGATGAAGGGGAGTTGGTTCTACGCCAGCAGTGAGGAGCGGCATGATACGCTGTTCTTCCGCGCGACCTTTGCGGCGGCGCCGTTTGGGAGGATTCAGGAGGCGATCAGGCGGTTTGGAAAAACGCTGAGGGAGAGCTTTGGGCTTGAGATGGTGGAGGATGGGGTGGGTGGGGTGGGTGGGGTTGTGAGCAATGGGGCTGGGGGCAAGGAGAACATGGCGCTTAGCCAGCACGGTGCAAACGGCCACGCTACCAATGGCCACACCCAGAAGCCGGTCTGAAGTTATTCGCAACCAACTGGTGTTAGGGCGGACTCTACTCGACCGCCATTGTCGCGTTGTGCCATCATCAAAACGGATGGCAGGGGTTGCTGTGGTGGCTTTACTTGGCGGACGGACTGAACGAGCATTACCACCCACGGCCCTATGGTCGATTGCTAGCATCCCGACATACACGGACGCGTATCTTTGGGTCCACAGAGAAAGGGTAGAGGTGGCCGAGATACGGCCTTGATGGCGCCGTTCGTCATTACTAGAGCAGCGACCAGAGAGACGGGTTACGAGTTACTGTTCGGCATTATATCTTGGCGTGGAATTCCGACGAGGCATGATATGTTGGAGTATCATACGGTCACATGATAGAGCCGAGAAAAGTGGTTTTTGTTCAAGACGAGAGTCTTTAGCCGAAATAGACTAATACAACTGCCCCGCTTTTGGGGATCTGCTACGAAGAATCGAAAAGACCGGGCCCTAGTTTATGAAGTTCACGCAGAAGAAATGCAATAGTACGCTCCCGAAGACATAATCTGCGAACGCTCTGCGGATAAACCCAACGTCAGCCCCTCGCTTTCGACGTTGCTTTCTAGGAGACGTAGACGGAGTAGATTACTTACCGCTCATCAGAGATACTCTCAAACTCCTTCCTGTTCTCTGGGTTCGTCTGGATGCGCAGCGAGGCTGTGAGGACGAACTGGCCGACTGTGGCGCTGAAGCCAGAGAGGAACGCATTGAAGGGCTGTGGAACCATTACATCAGCTTTTGTTCAGCATCTACACCTCCCTTCCCTCAGCCCCGAAATGTCCGTACAGAACATTCCCTTCTTTTCCCATCATCCTCACCATCTCACCGCCAGGTATAAGGCTGAGGGGGAGAACTCACATAATTCCCCGCAAGCACACAGTACGCAAACTGCACCACGCCCACCACGACCAAGAACCCCATAAACGCATCCATCAGCTTGACTCTTTGTGGCGTCCGGTCAACATAGTTCTGCCATACGCCCTGCACGATCGCCTGCGCGTCGGACGCGTTGCGGAGGCTACTCTTCGAGGACGCGGAGGAGGGGCCTTTGCTTGGTGATGATGGTGAAGTGACGGCGGGATTCGTGGAAGGCTTGGTGGGCTGTGAGGACGTTGGTCGTGTGGGCTGAGAAGCCGCGGAGGTGGTGATGTGGGCGGAGGTCATGGCGCTGGGGGGGACGGCAGCGGGGGTGGTGGTTGTTTGGCGGGGTTTGGGTGCCATTGTTGGTGCTGTGGGGGTTCTTGGAGGGTTGTAGAGAGCTGCGAGGAGTTGTCTGGGGAGTTGTTGGTGATTACGGAAATACTAGTATCTGAGATGGTTGTCGAAAAGGACACCGCGCTGGGGCTGAGCGCACGGACGACGGCGGAGAGCTTCGGTGCATGCAAGGTACGACGAGGCTTGGCGCTAAGTATCGTCGGAGCTGTGCGGCTGTCTACCCCACATCCTTTCGTGAACACTGCAACAGATACGCCCGGCAGAACAAGAACCTACTCAGCTATTACACAGAAGCGACAATGGCAAGTCGAAACTCTACTCTCCTACCACGTCCTCGAACGACGAAGCGCGACTCCATGCGCCTGGCGGCAGCCACTTCGTCCGCTTCCAGTACACACCATCGAATCCAGCTGACACGTCCCAGACATCCCTCGAGAACATCGCCTTCCTCCTCGGCGCCCTGACCGCCGGCGGCGGCATAACCGGCTACGTGCGCACCGGCTCTGTCCCCTCCGTCGCCGCAGGCGTGAGCGTCGGCGCACTGGTAAGCTCCCCCTTCGTCACTCCGTCACCCTAGGAAAGAGGTGATCGCTAAGACACTGCAACAGTACGCCCTCGGCGGGCTCCGCCTCCGCAACCGCGCTCCTTACGGCGTCGAGCTCGCCCTGCTGGCGTCTCTTGTGCTGGCCGGCTCGAGCATTCCGCGCGCGATGAAGACGGGGAAGCCGCTCCCGATCGGGTTGTCGTTGCTCGCGGCGTATGGGCTGTTTAACTTTGGGATGGCGTGGCAGAATCGGATGCGGTGAGCGGGAGAGTGGATGTGAGGCATTGGGTTGGGGAAACGGGGAAAGGGTTTTGGAGACGAGTACTAGGGGAGCGGGAAAAATTGGCAGCTGGGAAGAATTCCAGGGCTTGAGGGTAGCAATGCTTAATATCTGTATTATGGTTCCGATATCCTCGCCCTGTCCTCTCGTGCTCAACCTGTAGCACAGGCGTACATGGCGTCCGCTAGCAATATACTGACATGAAAGCCCCCCAGGCTAGCCAGCATGCGCCCAAGCTATGTAGCCTCCATGTCGGAGCTCCTGCACCGCCTAGATCGTGATAAGAGATATCCACCAAGCCCAGTCATCAGCAACCTCACTCGTACATACCACCATCCTCATCGTCATCCTCAACCTTAACCCTATCCTGCTCCTGCTCATTAAGCAGCTCCCCAATCTCAATACTCTCCGCAAGCACCTCCCTCGCCCTCGCCTCACCAACACCCATATCATCCATGACAAGCCTCGTCGCCAGCTCAGGCACAAGCACAGCTTGGATGTAGCCCGAAACACCCCCAGATGCAATCAGCCTATCGCTCCCCGCTCTCGTCCGTATCGCCGCCGAAAAGGTCTTGGTGATGTGGTCCATCATGACTCTCGCCCCCTTCGGCCCGTAATACCCGGGGGTCAGAGTCTCGGAGGCGCCGGACTTGAGCGTTTGCATCAGGCTTCTATTTTCGCCTTTCGAGACTTTCTCGGCTAGCCGGTCGCGGAAGTGTGAGGGGACGCGTTGCTCCAGGATACTTTCGATGAATGCGTTGTGTCGCCGCATGCGGGTAGGTAAGCGAGCCCAGTTGATGGGGGGGTAGCCGCGCTGGATGCAAGTCTGTTCCGCTTCATGCTGCTTGTGGGCGCGGCAGAATTGGATCTGTTCGCGGAGGGCCATGCGAGGTTTCCCTACCGTCCAGGACCGAAGGAGGTCCGGGTCAACGGGATCACGACACATTGGGCATATAGCGGGAGCATTGTCCTCGTCGGATAGCTTGGTGAGATCTGCTATGGATTTTGCAGGGGATATAATGGGAGAGTCTGGGACGGAGGTAAGAGGAGAGCTGGGTCGATCCGGACCTGTATCTGGTTTAGGATATGGCTTCTCCAGCATGTGACTCGTTTCGTTCAGAAGAGTTTTGATGTTGTCACCTGTGAGTGAGGTCGGTATTATAAAGTCTTGCACGGGTGTCCTGTCGTCCTTGGTAGGACGTTTGGCTGTCCGTGCACTGCGCCTCTTGCCGCGATCATCTCTTTCCTGGTGGGAGCCGAGGGAGGAGTCTGGAGTCGGTATCCCGCTGGGGAATCTGAATGCAGAGGAAGCAGCGTTTCCATCTGCCGTTGATTGACCGCGTGGCTGGACAAAGGGAGCTTCTTTAGGGATTGTATTGTTCTTCTTAGGTTTACGAAACTTTGCAGCGCTTGCCGTATCTTTGAAGCTGTGCGCGCTGCTGTCTGATTCATGAGATTCCTTCTTAGCCGCACCTGAAGGACGCTTAAACGTAAGCTTCTCTGACTTTCGTGCTCCAACCGGGGGTGCTATCCATCCGGACGGACCTGAAATGTTAGCTTTCCTATTTCTAGACGGTGGTTGTGAGGCCGTACCCTTGGCGCTATCTGATTCCTCCGGGCTGTCTGATCTTTCCTTCTTCAATGATGTCTTTGGCTGGAGCGCATGGATATTGGTGCTTTTAGTACGATATGAGACTTCTCGTTTCCTCTTCCTGTCATTGCTCTCTTGGCTCCATTGGAATTCGTTCATTCGATCGTTCCCTTCATCGCGTGAGCCGTTATCCTGTCCCTCATGTTCGCCCTTCGTCTCGACCATCGACTCTGCAGCCTCCGCATCAGCAGATCTTTTGTCGGTTCTTTTGTCTGACCTCTGTTCTTTCTGCACCAATACTCGAGGGGGGTTCTTTCGTGGTGGATGAATCTTAGCATGGCGCGATCGCGTGGGGTGGTATGTCTCAAACTCTGCGGCGGCGTCATCTGACGCTAGCTCCTCATCACTCGAGCCTTTGGGTTCGCAGTGGATGTCATCATCATCTAAAGGTGTTCTCGGGGTCTGCTTTGCGGGTGGTGTATCGGGAGTGTGTTGCTTGCGGTATAGTCGGTTTCCAACGATGCTTATAGGTGGTCCAGAGCTATGCCTGCTCCCCTTCACGCCTGCTTGGATGCCATTTTTCAGGTTGTAGGAATTAACCGGCATGGGCATCTTCGTGGACGTGGAGCTACGCGATACTGTCGCGTTGACATATGACTATCATATGAAGTTGATACGAGGCTCATACGTGGTGAGCTTATCTCAGCCTTATCGACTCAGCCCTACGCCTGACTCGTGCAAATCATTTTTTAATCCGCCGCAACACCACAGCACATCTTTGCGCCGATGCGCTCGACTGCTACACAACCAACTAAACACCCTCTTTGAATCCAGTGCAACCTCAGTCGCCATGTCGACCACTACCTCCCCACCTCCCATCCGCTTCACCGGCTCCAAATACCTCGTTCAACGCCTCGTCGTCAGCACCCTGACCGGCCGCCCAATCCGCATATCCCAAATCCGCTCCAACTCGACAACCAGCCCCGGCCTCCTCCCCCACGAAATCTCCTTCCTCCGCCTCCTCGACACCATAACCAACGGCTCCCTAATCGAATTCTCCATGACCGGCACAACGCTGCTCTACCGCCCCGGCCTCCTCACCGGCTCCGCCCAAGGCTACGGCGCCGACACCTCCGGCGTCCTAAAGCACGAGCTGCCCCGCGAATGCACGCGCGGCGTGTCCTACTACCTCCTCCCGCTGTGCCTCCTCGCGCCCTTCAGCAAAGCTGCGCTAAACGTCCTCTTCACGGGCGCGGGCGTCATAACCTCCTCCACGCCCAGCACGGGCGACATAAGCGTCGACACGGTGCGCACCGCCATCCTCCCGCTCTACAGAAGCTTTGGCATCGAGAACAACATCGAGCTCCGCATCCTCCGCCGCTCGAACCCGGGCCCCGGCAACCGCGGCGGCGGGGGTGAAGTCCAGCTGCTCTTCGGACACCAGGTGCGCCTGCCTAAGACCGTGCACCTGCTCAACCCAGGCCGCGTCAAGAGCATCAAAGGCGTGGCATACGCGACGGGCGTCTCTGCCGCCAACAACGCGCGCATGATCGAGGCGGCCCGGGGCGTGCTGAACCCGTTCGTCGCGAATACGTATATCTTCAGCGACGTGAGCAGCGCGCCGTTGGTGCCGGATGGCTCGAAAACCGCCCAGCCTGGGGCCAAGAGGAAGATAGGCGTGGGCTTTGGGATCAGTCTTGTTGCGGAGAGCTCGACGGGCGCGCTGTGGAGCGCGGATGTGGCGAGTCCGCCGGAGGGGGGCGTGCCGCCGGAGGATGTGGGGAGGGGGGCCGCGTATCAGCTTCTGGAAACGATATCAAAGGGGGGGTATGTGTCGGCTGTGGCGGCGCCGACGGTGTTAACGCTTATGGCGATGGGGAGTGAGGATGTGGGGAGGGTGAAGATGGGGAGGGATGTCTTGGGGACGAAGGAGGTTGTTAGCTTGGCTAGGGACCTGAGGGCGTTTGGTGCGAGTGGGTGGGGTCTTAGGGATGCGGATGAGGATGAGCAGGGAGATGTCGTGGTTAGTGTTGTGGGTAGGGGCGTGGGCAATGTCGGAAGAAAGATTGCGTGAACGATCGACAAATCCGATATGAGGGCGCAAACTTCGCGAACACCGCGGCACATTAGTGTGCGGCAGCGATGACTTTTAACGCAAAGCTATGCCAGGCCTTGGCCATTGGCCAGAGAGAACTCCGAGGGCCTGCTGGAGGCCTACGCGGCCGCAGGGTGGAGTTCGAAGTGTAAGGACTATGCGCCAGCTATGCTTCAGGAAGGTTGGTGTGAGAGAAGGAGGAGTATGACGAATATTGAGGTAGACAAAGTGTACCCACTCGGGCGGGTGCTGAAACGGAGAGCCAAGACATGGATTGAAGCTTATGCGCACGAGAATCTGTCAACAAGGTCAAAGTTCGGTTTTTCCCTACCTGATTTGCCGTTTTGGTACGAAGTCTCGATCGAGCTGAACCTGTAATGATGTGCTGGCAAGAACACCAGACCAGAGTCCTGTAAACATACAAGAGAAATCATTCAGTATGCAACGCTTTGTGCATCGGTCGCCGATCCCATCCTCAAGAACTCTAGTCCCTACCTTCCTCCGCCGTTTTAGCACTACTACCCCAACTCTCCCAGCTCTCCTTACTTCTGACACTCCCCCCAGTCTCAGTGCCCTTCCGACTTCCTCCCTCCCCCAACCCAGAAGCCCGCCGCTGAATAGCCAGCCCCTCCGCTCCCCACGCTCCAGGCCGGCGATAAAGTCCCTTGATAGCCGCGCTGCGAGGTATGCCGGTACCACCTGAGGCGCGCCTGTCGAGTGTGCGGTTGCTGTTACTGCTGCTGCGGGTTTCGCTGGTGATGGAGGCGGTGAAGGTGCTGCGTCTGCTGAGGGGCGGACCGCGGATGGAGCGGTTGGCTTGAGCGTCGATTTCATCCGTGATGGGATATAGGGGCGAAGCCGGACGTGGAGACGAAGGAAGGGAGGGCGTAGTGGGTTCGTCGGGTTTCGGGGCCGAATTCAGGGGAGGTGGATCAGCAGGGGCTGATACTGGTGGTGGTGGTAGCGATGGTGGCGGTGAAGCCACTGCGGGAGTCGTTTCTTCGCTCACTGGAGCAGGATTTAACGGTTCGACTGGTGCTGCGCTATCAGGAAGGCCTAGATGCTCTTCATATGCATGGAATGGCACGGCGTCATCGTAGAGGGCCAAACCTGGGCAGTATACGCAACCTTTGTCCTCTTTATCCTGCTCTGTAAGTTGAAAGTCCGGATGTATAGCCTCCCGGTGTATCACAGGGATCAGCCGGAGCAACAGCTTTGGCCGAGTGTGAGATTCTCCATCGGTAGGCGCCTGCAATGTGGCCTCCGGTGTTGACGTGTCAAACACCTGGGCAGGCCAAAGCCCATCAACTGTATCCTCCTTGGCCTTCTCGTCGGTCGCGGGCATCCGCGCAGTGATCATCTCCCGCTCCAATCTCGCAAGCCTCCATGTCTCCGCGGCGAGCTTGACGATCCGCCTCACAGCTACTCGGATTGCCTCTTCTTCGCCCGGATCGGCCCAGTGCCTAAGCTCGCCCACGATCTCTTCAACGACTGCTCCGGCGGCGGCGTTAATTCGCTCCTTAGCATCGGTCGTTGTAAAAGCGGCAACGAGCGTATGCTGCCTCCAAGTTGCTTCTTTCCTGGTGCTCTTTCCTCTGAGCTGATTGGACATCGCGCTGAACAGACCATCGGCGTTGTCATAACGTTCGCCTAGGCTGAACAGGAACGGTGTGAAGACACGGGAGGTCAGAAGGCTAGAAACTACGTGAGCTACGTAAGCTAAGCGAAGGTGGCGAGACCGCGGCGTGTTGTCAAGGAAGGGAGGGAGGTTTGGTGGGACACAAGCGACGTTTTCCGCCGGTGGAGAGGTCGGAAGATGCTGAAAGTGGGTGGCCGACAGATCCAGGATTAGCGTGGAGAGCTGTGTGAAGGCGTCGATGCTGTGGAGAGCATGGAGTCAGTCAGTGAAGCTAGTAGTACTCGAGATAGGAGATGGCGAAGTTCGCTGAAGTGGGATTGGATGGTTTGCTACAGGACTGTCATGCTACAGTACAACTCCATACGCCTTTCGCTGGTTGAATGAGCCGGAGCCGCCCACACAACTTACTAGTATGCATCCCCCTTGCTCTTGACATCCATAACTTCTCCGAAACTGTCAACTATCTTCTGCAGCCGACCCTTCTCCACGCCTAAATTCTCGGTAACGCTTCTGAGCTCGCCGACTGCACGATCAAAGGTTTCGCGATCCTCGTCCCATCCTTTCTTGAGGGTCGCTATCTCGTTTCTCAAGCCTTCCTTTTCAGCCTCCCACTTGTTTGTAAGGTCAGCTTGAAGCTCTAACCAGAAGCGCTGGACGCCACTCTTCTCTTGTTCCTTCTCTGCCGTAAGACACTGCCGCTGCTCTTCCATGTCTCGGCTAGCTCTCGTTCGCTCTTCGTCCCAGGCTCTTGTCAAGTCGTCCTTCTCCGTGATCCAGGCTTCTCGGCTGTCCTGTTCCCTTTTGGCAGCAGCTTCAAGCTCGTGCTGCATGGTGTCGAGCTTGGCCTCGAATTCTTCCTTCTGTCGGTCGGTGTCTATGCGCATTGTATCTATTTTCCTGTTAAACTCTGCTTCAAGATCATTCCTCTGCTTTGCAAAGCCTTCATCAAGGGCGTCCTTCTCTTTGGTATGTGCATCATTCGCCTGCAACAGTCGTATCTCAAACGTGTCCTCTTGCTCTTTCTGTTTCTTTTCAAGCCCCGCTGTGAGATTTAGCTTCTCCATATCGAAGTCCTCCTTTGCTCTTGTCTTCCAGTCTTCGAAATCTTCCAACATTCGCTTCCTTTCCTCAACAAAAGCCGCCTCGGCATCGGCTTTCTCCCCCTCAAGTGACACTCTCTGAGATTCAAGCGCACAAATGTCTTCCTGCAGACCTTTCCTACTAGTCTCGGCCTCATTGACACGGTCCTCGAACTCCTTCGTTTTTTCCTCCGACCTATCGAGTTGTAGCCGCAATCTGTTGCTCTCCGCCTCGTGAGCCTTGGTCGTACTCTCATGCTGCTTCATTGCATGGTCCAGTTGCCTTGTAAGCGTGTCAATATAATCTTCCTTGCGCTTCATCAGATCGGCATGTTGAGCCAACGCTTTCCGAAGGAGCTCTTCGCGAACACCAAGCTGGGCTTGTGCCTCGTTATAACAAGACAGAAGGAGGTGTAGGTCAGGAATTGTGGAGGAGATCCGTGAGAGCAGATCTCCTGCGTCACCTGGAAATGCGGTGCTGTTTCCATTTGTTCGTTGCGATATGCTAAATTCGCCCGGCGAAACTGCTCTCACGTCAATACTGACGTGCGGTTGCATCGGTGGAGTGCTTCCGTAGAGACTAAACGGTGAGCTGAAACTTCGGTAGGGTGCTGAGTGTGATGGTGGTGCGTATTGAGGCTGTAGCGAATAAGCAGGACCACTCGACATGCCATTCGTGGTGCCATAAGGAAAACCGTTACTAAGCACAGTTGCGTGAGGCAAGGGCGTTGGGCTTGGCTGATAGAAGTGTTGTGGCAGGTAGCTCGAGTTTGGTAAAGGCGCAAAGGGCTGAACTGGAGCAGAGTGCGGATGCTGGTCGGGGGACTGCGAGCGAGGAGCAGACATTGATGTTAATGGGGTCTGTGGCAGATTGGCTATCTGAGGTGCAGGAATCGGAGGGGTTTGCTTTTCTGAATCATTCCCTCTGGTTGTGGCGCGCTCAGTGTTGGCTTCGGGCTTGTTTGCGGCGACTTCTGATGGAGGGGCGTCAGGCACCGGATACTCAGGCTGGTCTGGGCTTTCACTGCCGCTGGCCGCTATTCCCTCAGCTGGTTCCTCTAAGCCATGCTCCACGATGACTTCTGCAGACGGGGCATCTGTGGAAGGATCGACGACAGATGCAAGATCCTTCTCTTCAATCTCAGCACCTTCGGCGCCTAGATGTATCTCGCCGCTATCTGCGGCATCGGGTCCGGGTACGGCCGCGGGACCCTCGCATGTTGTTGAAGAGGCTGCGCCAGCAGTCGGCTCCTCAGCTTCGCTGAACTCTAACGAAGTCTGAAAGCTATCGCTAGCTGAAGATTCGGCTCCCTTCAGAACCTCTATGTCTTTCAACGGAGTGTTCTCAGGAGATGCTGCTTCGTCCTCTCGACCTTTGATGTCTTCTTTGCGCTCCTCAACAATACCGCTGGCATTTTTTGTAAGAGTCGACACTGTTGGTGGCGCAGGAGTGCTCGATCGCAGGCTTGCTATACTCGGTGACGGTGATACGGCTGGCGAAGGTGGCAACGCCGGAAGCATAGACGGTGATGCTGATCGGCTCGCCGGTGGAGACGGACTTCTTGGTGGAGTAGACTCAGCTTGTTTTGCAGGCCGCCTTGCAGCTCTGCTGTCTTTTTTTCGTGCAGGCATGGTGCCGTTAGACAATGTGAACCAAGTGATCAGAGGAATGAGCGGCTAGCGGCAAGCTGCTGGTCGTCGTGTTATTACTTCAGGACTTTGGTAGTGACCTTGGCGAAGTAACGTTGTTTGGAATATATTAGACTGCAAGCGATTGGGGACCTCTAAGTACGGGACTTAACTATGAATAAAATGCGGCTCATAAACGGCACGTAAAGAGCTCAGATCCCATTCGGTGTCACCAATGATACGCTGCCAGTACACGTAACTTGACAACTCAATGTCTGGTAAATGAGGAAATCGCTCGCTATGCCAATGGCGGACGGCATTGCAGATACTACCGGAGATCGTTTACTGGTGAACGATTCGGTTGAGAGGTAGGAAATGCTCAGAGAACAACTGTCAAGATTCGACTCGCGGACGACTCTGACTGGAAGGATGAATGCATCTCGCCATGGATCATGAAAGGGACTAGTACGCGTGTGCTAGTAAAAGGCGCAACTCATGTAATACAAGGGCATCAAGATGAAGTGATGTTGAGAGTCGAGGCTCTAGAAGCCGGCATAACAGTCATTTCTCAAAGCAACCGCATCCTTCTCTGGTGAGCTGATGGCTGGTCCCTCGGCGGACCAATGACATTATTGAAGTCTCCGTCGGGCTTCGGCGCTGCTGCCAGACGCGGCGTGGCACTCTGCCATTGCCCTCTACTACCATTAGAATGGCTATCTTCTGCGTACGGGCGAGCCTCACTGGGCATCAAAAACACAGAACCTGGAGGGTGACGTGCCATGCCGCCTCTTGACAGGGAGAGGTACGAAGATAGGCCTGAGGCGTCGAACTCAAGTTAAGTGGGCGCTTACTAAGCCAAGCTTTCGCGCATCGTCCTCGACGTGAAGCAGCGGACTTCAACACACGGCTATCGTCCGCCAAGGCCTCTTACCTATGAAAGTCAGAGGAACCGAAATAGTGGCCGTGGTGATGCGGCATGGTGCAGCCGCGCGCGAAAAGGAAGACGGTGATAGTCTTGGACTCCGATGACGACGAGGAGAGCGCAACCCAGCCAGCACAACCAGCACTGCTGTCACGTCCAGGTCGAACATTAAGGTCCAGCGCATCAAGCAGGGTTTCCCGCTCTAGACCGTCCGAAAAGAAACCCCTAGCGGAGGCTTCCCAAGCTTCCTCGGCCACACCTCCAGATGCACAGGCCGCATCTCAAGGCGGACAGCCAGGCACCAAGTCCAGACCCCAAGGAAACAAGATATACTCCTTTTTCAATGCTGCTACACAGCGGCAACGTTCACAGCCATCGGCTAGCCCGGAGAAGACGACTGCAAGCATACACGAGACTGAGGAGGATTCAATACTCGATGATTCGGACGAGAAGCAATCGCGCAGGGCAAACGGTCATGATGGATCTCTCTCGCTAGCAATACGGAAACGGGTGCGGGATGAAGCTGGAGAGAGTGCCGCTCCTGATAATAGGAGTTCCCAGCTGAGCAGTCAGAAGTTCCTTAAGACATCAAAGGGCGCAAAGCGAGTTACTTCAGATCCAAGCAGCGTCAGCCAGCCACCCAAAGACCAGAGACCCTGGACGGAGAAATACGGTCCTGTCAATCTTGACGAGTTGGCTGTGCACAAGAAGAAAGTCGCAGACGTGCGGGCCTGGTTGAGCAACGTCCTAGCAGGCCAGGACCGCAAATGTCTACTGGTTCTCAAAGGCGCCGCTGGAACAGGCAAGACTGCAACTGTCGCCCTACTGGCACAAGAACTGGACGCCGAAATCAATGAATGGAAGAACCCGGTGGGTTCGGATTATACCGCAGAGAACTTCAATTCCACCTCAGCGCAGTTTGAAGACTTCATAAGCAGGTCTGGTAAGTTTGGGGGCTTGAGCTTTGCAACCGAGGGTGTGGGCTCGAAGGAGCAATATCAAGAACCAGTGTCACAAGCAAGCAGTAGGCAGATCACGTTGATCGAAGAGTTTCCCAGTACATTCACACGTTCGTCTTCAGCTCTTCAGTCTTTTCGTTCTACCATCCAGCAGTATGTCTCTGCGAACAGTCGTTCCCTCGACAGTATTTACACCAGCGATGCCCAGAGAGAGAGTGTTACGCCTATTGTGATGATCATCTCGGAAACCCTCGTTTCGGCCAACACGGCTTCCGCTGACAGTTTCACTTCTCATCGTCTTCTCGGCCCTGACATCCTTGCACATTTCGGCACCACGGTCATTGAATTCAACGCGATAGCGCCTACACTCATGGTCAAAGCTTTAGAGCTAGTGGTGTTGAAGGAAGCCCGAAAGTCAGGCCGCCGGAAGACACCAGGCCCGCAGGTCATTAAACGCTTGTCGGAGATCGGTGACGTACGAAGTGCAGTATCTTCTCTAGAGTTCCTTTGCCTCCGAGGAGATGAAGGCGACGGTTGGGGCAGTAAGATCACCTTTACAAAATCCAAGAGGGCCAAAGAGGACGTGCCGCTCACGAAAATGGAGCAAGAGAGCCTAGAGATGGTCACACAACGAGAGAGTGCTCTAGGCCTTTTCCATGCTGTCGGCAAAGTCGTGTACAATAAGCGCGAGGCACGACCTTCTGTTGACTCGATACCTCAGCCACCTGCCCACCTGCCACAACATGCACGGCCAAACCCGCCAGAAGTCAATGTCGACACTCTCATTGATGAGCTGGGAACCGACATCCAGACGTTCATCGCTGCGTTGCACGAGAACTATATACTCTCCTGCCAAGGCACCACCGACGAAGACACAATCGATTCCGTTAATGGCTGCATCGACGCTTTGTCTAATGCCGATCTTCTCTCCCCTGACCGCTTCGGCTCTGCTAAGCGCCCCTTCTTGGTTTCCGCTGGTGACACCTTGCGCCAAGACGAGATGAGCTTTCATACCAGCGTCCGCGGGATTCTCTTCGAGTTACCCCATCCCGTCAGAAGAATAGCGCCTCCTGCCGATCTTGCGGGTCAAAGAGGGAGAGGCGGCTCAAGAGATGCGTATCAGATGTTTTACCCCACATCTCTCAGGCTCTGGCGGCAAAAGGAAGAGATAGAAGGAAGGGTGGACCTGTGGGTTAGTCGAGCGCAAAGCGGACAGCTGCTTGGTCCAGTCAGGCAAAGAAACCGGAAACAAGGCGCAGAAGCTGGCGGTGTGGAAACCTGGAGGCGGACTGCCACGATCACCGAAACCACAAACAACACCGAAGCCGCCGATGCTAGCTCGGCACCATTGCTGCTTGGAAGCGGCAGCTCCGCGCCTCGCGAGATGCTTCTAGAGCGGCTGCCGTACATGGCTTTCATATATCGGAGCAGACCTTCGATCCACAGCCCGGATGTTATCAGGGAACTCGAGAAGGTGACGCTCTTCACTGGGATCGGCCTCGCGAGCGAAGAACCATCAGAAGAAGAAGAGACGAACGAAGCTGTCGAGGGGTTGGCCACGGACTCTTCGGCTGGTCGGGTGGCTGTAAGGAAACCTACCATCAGAGCAGTCAAAAGGGAAACGAGTCCTCTCGGGGTGAGTGGCGTTACTGGCGTAGAAGAAACGGGTCTGGCAGGACTGGTGCTGAGTGATGATGATATTGAAGATGACTGAGCTACGTATCGGAGTTCTCTGGCGCTGAGACAAAAGTATGGGATAAGACGGCGTAGATTCCGGAAGAACTCTGTGAACATAGGAAAGAACAGTCAATATTATCTGGGTTGGCGTCAAAGGGGATGCAATGTCGGAGTTGTTCGTATAGAGGTTCGTCCCAATACCAGCGGGTAGCAGTACTACCTCCTGTATGCAAATAAGAATGATACTTATGCTCGTAGCTTCCGCACAGACTGACACACACATTCAGTAAGCTGCTTTCAACGATTTGATGTCCAAGCTGTCTAGCCAGGGACAGTGCGAAGCCCACCTCCCTGAAAGAGTAGTCACGTCGGGGACCGTGCTCTTCTGATCCCCAAGCTCGAGTCGAGGAAGTCTCCAGCTACCTTTCCACATCGCTTCAGCAGTCCTACAACGTATCTGCTTCCGTCGACTGCTTATACCATACCGTGTTTCGTAGTGCATTTCGCTCAACCCCCTCATCCACCTTAGCAATATCCTCCCACCATGGATCAGAAATTTGGTTCTTCGCCCTTCTCGGACACGTATGATAGATTCATCCTGATACCCCAGGACTCAAGTTCTCCAAAGGCATCCGACACTCAGCCAACCTCAGCTTCTAGCGAACGTCAACAGCACGGATTCGCCCATCATAGCGGCTCCGCTGAAGTTGGGAATGGATGCTTTCCTTTTCCGACCGTCGACAACCAGATGGAGCCCTCCCATTCCAACACAGATCCCAACCTGCATATGGAGAGGGTCCACTCCACGAATACGAGAGCCTCTTCTCCACGGATTCCGGCCAACCATGAGACCGTAGACACGTCGGCCAACATCAACAACCAAGCCGATGTCAGCAACGCAATCGAGCCTAGCTTCGTCTGCAACTGGCCAGGCTGCAAAAACCGTCTGCACCGTACAGAATGGCGACTGAGAATCCATCACTTGAAGAAGCACGCCCCAGGCACCCCAATGCACTGCTGGGTCGAGGGATGCAATCGTCATAAAGATCAGCGTTGGGAAGATCGCCCGGGTGTAACATGGCCGTTTCCGAGCATTGGAACTTTTAGGACGCATATGAGACTGGTGCACGGATTTGAGATTGGCCCCAGGTCTGGCAGGGGATGAGGCAGAAGCTGGTATTTCTTCGCGACTTGGAAGCAGAAGAGGATGAACATATGCTGATCTCGCTAGTAGACTGCTCAGAGGCTCACACGTCAACACTCTCTATCTCTAACAGCGTCAGAAGGGAGGTTCATGGCTGGAGAGCTTTGCTGGAGGGGAGTTGCTGAGAGGCGAGTTGCCAAGAGGCGTTAATGGGTTTTGCTGAAGTAGTCGTTGAGAAGGCAACGCCCATAAACATCGGCTATCTTTGTTATACCTTACTCTGTGTCCCGGACGATTTACATGCATATCGCCCTGTTGAGGCCTGTGCGCCCTCGTTGCTCCGGCATAAGTCCAGCCAGTTCCCCCGTCCTTTCCACGTCCTTTTAGCCTCCTCTCAACCTCACGAACCGCATTGTACTTTGCCAAGCTTCTCGCTCAGCCTCCTTAGTTTGTCTCAGCCTCCCCCTGTACAACATGGAGGCCAACTTCTATTGGCCGCCCTTCTCCGACCTCAAGGAGGGATCCGTGGGTCTCACCTACGATTGGTCGCCCTCATTCGATGCGCATGAGGGATCCATGCAGACGCCCTGTTCGGCCTCCGCCAGCGTATCCGGCACTCAGCCAACTTCCGCTTCCAGCGAGCTGCAGCAAGGCAGTTACGCTGGAGCCGTGTAGGTTTTTTTTTTCCCGCTAACGTCGCCAGATTGGGAAAAAACAGGGATGATAAACACTTTAGGTACGTCACCTGCAGAGCCTCATATCCAATCCAGCTCTACTCACCGTACGTGACAGCACTCCTCAGCCATTTGATCAAGCCATTCAGGCCGCCTTAGCCAACCTCGAGAACGAAGCCAGCTTGCTCAACCAGCATATATGCTTCGTACCAGGCTGTAAGAAGAACCAGTTCACTCGTGAAGCCGATCTGCAGCGCCATATCAAGACTGTGCATGTCCGTGACGAAGCTTTCTACTGCGAAGTCGAGGGATGTCCTCGCCATGAACATGCTCCCGGCGGCCAGCGGTCCTTTCCGCGCAAGGACAAGATGAAGGAGCACATGCGGACGGTGCATAGAAACTTAGGGTACTGAGAACGCTGACTTATGGGACGATGTGGTTGATGAGGGTGAGTTCTCATAAGTGATGCCACGAAGGATATACAAACATGCCTAACTGCTCTGGCAGACTGCTCATCCCACTTCTTGTTGGACTTGCTGAAGCCAAGCTGAGGGAAGGGTCGTGATAGGGGCATTTGTCGGAGAGGTTACTGGGGCGCGTTGAAGGAATTTAACAGTCTAGTAGCAATCATGTCTTAATGAGTATATTGGCAATAGTTTCTTTCGTACAGGTTTACTTCATCTCGGTCTGGATTCAATTACTTCTCTTCCACCACCATCTGGACAGCATGATTCAGTGCCACGTCTATGCCTGCGATCACCTCTGTACTCTCAGCCGGAGATCGATTCTTCAACGCTATATACAGCACTCGCCCCCACCCCCACCCCCAACCTCACCCCTACTCATCCTCCTCATCCTCCACCTCATCCATCCCCATCCACCTAGCCCTACACCTCACCGCCTCGCCCCTAACCGCCCTCTTCCCATCATCCAACGACGCCATCAACCTCTTCGCGACCTGTTTCCTAAACGGCAGCACCGTCTCCGTCCTCAGCTGCCCAGGCACAAGCGCAAGACACTGCAGCGCCGCCGCCCTCACCTTGGCCGGATTCCTCTTCTCGCTCGTTGTGGCCAGCAGCCGCGTAATGAGGCTGCTGGCATGCTCTTCTATCGCTCTCGGGTTCTGCGTCAGGAACGTGATGAGCGTGTCCAGCGTCGCGGACTTGACTTCGTGTTCTTCGGGTGGCAGGTCGAGGGATTGCAGGAGCAAGGGGGATAGGGCGGAGATTTCGGGTTCGATGATTGTGTAGGGGAGCCAGCGGAGGATCCCGGATAGGGCGATGAGGTAGTTCGCTTTTGTTGAGGCGTCGGTGGCGGAGCGGACGGAAGTGGAGATGTTGGGGACGAGGAGGCTGAAGGCTTTTTGTTTGCGGAGACCGGAGATGGTGCAGTGGTTTTCTTTTGTGAGGAGGTCGTCTGGTTGGAGGAGGGTTGAGAAGCCACGGGCTACGGTTGTGCCGTGCTCAGGAGAAGAGAGAAGGGCTAGGAGAGACGGGAAGATGGTGGTGAGTGTGGTATGATTGCGGAGGACGAGGCCCTTGATGATGGCGAAGATGGTGCGGATTGAGTTTATGGTGAGGTTAGCTGGGTTTAGGAGATCTGTGGGTGCGTACAGGACTGTGCCTGTAACGGCCTTGAGTTCTGCGGTAGGTATGAATTTATTTACCACCAGTGAGACCTGCGCCGAGGTGGCAGCTCGGACCTTGGGAGAAAGTGAATCGACCATAGCAAAGTTGACCAATGCCGTAAGCAGCTCGTTGATATCATCAACTGGTTTCGCTTCCCGTTGCAGGGCTGCAAGGACATGCGTGGAAACAATCATTGTGCGTCCCTGTGTTGTTGGAGCATCCGTGCCGAAAGGCGGGAGGTCTTTTGCGGGTCCGGTGCGGAAAAGGGTATAGGTCTCTCTAGCGATCTGCTTTTGGAATTCGAGATGTTGAGTTCGCAGGACCACATTCGAGAGTCGTCCAATAAGGTCTAGAACGCCTTCATCTTCGAAAAGGCTTGACCTGGTCTCTCTTGCACCAGAAGATTGCTTGAGAAGTGGCAGGATCAAGTCGTTGTAGTAAGGGCAGGAACCAGGAGTTCCCTGGAGATTGTTGGCGCCTTGGGCGAAGGCGAACAGGATCGCTGATAGGATTGCACGGAGGTATCTGACCGACGCTTGTTGCTGGACTGCTACGTTGAACTTGTTTCGGAGGCGGAGGACAACTGTTTCGAAAAGCTGCCTTTCGCTGCCGAGCTTCGCGAAGGCCTCCAAGACAGAGACATAAGTGGTCGATCCATCGACGTCCGAGTCCGGCAATTGTGCCATGAAAGCTGGAAATGCATGATCAATGATGAGCTGAGGCTTTTGTTGGCCAATCTCCACTAGGCCATTGACCGATGCCGCTTTTAGCTCGTCATTACCATATGACTCCTCCGTGATGACTATGGTGTGGAACAACTTGATGATCTCGGCAATCTCTTGCGGTGCCAACAGTTGGCGGACCTTGGCCAATTGAAGAAGCGCATCCAGCGTCATGAGGCGAAATGATACTTCCTTAACGGGCACGGTTGATAATCCAGTGCTCAGGACTTCGAGCGCTTGATCGGTAAACTTGAGTAGCGCGTTATTGGCAGCAAGATCAGCTGAAGAGGTCCGGTCCCCATTAGGGGCTTGCTGTACCGCAGGCGCTGCTCGCCATTCTCCGTAGACTTGCAGGTCAGCTCGGATGAGCTGTACGAATACTTCGATCAGACCCCTCCTCTTAGGGAAATTATCAGCCGCTTGGTAAAGCGTGAACAGCGTTGGCAGAACTGCTCGAAGAATCATGTTCGCCACTTCCGGAGATACACTTGCGATTGCACCTAGTATGCGTCCCGCGGCCTGAGACTGCTTCGTAGGCGCGTCTTCGAGATGTTCGTTACACTCCTTGGCTATTGGCTTTAGGTAAGCGTTGAGTGCGCCGGTAGATGCCTGGGATAACGACCGCGCAATCTCTGAAAGTCCAGACAATGCTTCCTGCGCAAGGTCTTCTTCTTCTGAGTTGAGGATCTCGAATTTCAGGGCGTCCCAGAGCGTGACCGAGTAGAGTGATATGGTCCGTGGGCCATAGTCTTTCACACATGCAATGATGGTTTGGAGTACGTCTCTCTGCGTTTTCTTAGCTTGGATACTAGCCACTCTATCAGAGCTATGTTTACCTTCGTGTTCATTGAAGTTGAGTCAAGCTTGTCTAAAAGAGCAGGGAACGAGTAAGGAGCGAAGTCAGATGTAGAAGAGATGCAATCACGTAGTCGGTCCTTGAGGTCCTGCGTCGTGATGCCGTAAGGATCATTCGGGGGAGGCTTGAATGTGATTGGGAAGTAGTTGAACACTGCTTCGAACAGATCCTGCGTAGTTTGTTAGCTTGAATCTGGCAACCGATAGTACGATAGCACAATGCACATTATACAAAAGGACCGCAGAGAAGCTCGCAGATCAAGCACAAAAGCGTATAAGGAGAATGAGGATCACGTGAATGTGACAAAAGCTGCTTACCTGCGCATCGGATCCGATGTCCCATTCCGTCATTGGTACTTTCAGTATCGAAAAGACAATCATTAGGTTTCGCGGATCCTTCTCGCCTTCGAAGTAGTTGATAAGCCGAGACATGAACTGTGGTGAACTATCGTGAACGCTCTTCATCGCTACGGACTAAGGTTCAGCTACAGAACTTGCGCAGGCAGGGGATGATGCTCACCATTTCTATATTTGGCCATTAGGGTATCTATTAATTGCAAGACAGGGTAACGCTCGCTTTGCTGCTTGTAATTTCGGAGTGCATGAGTGTTGTCAAGGAGCCTGCTGCAGAATCAGCAATGGTTCAGGTGCTACAGCGGGACAAGCGGGCTTCACGCATTGATGACGCTTGCTACTCTTTCTTCATCCCATTTCCCGCGCTCTTCAAGTGCCAGAAGGCCTTTGGCGTACGAGCCGATTACATCGTGGTCATCCGCTAGGCGTGTCAGGAGAAAGTCGCAAAGGAGGTTTCCTGGATCCCTCTTAGTACTAATCGAGATCATGATACTACACAATGCAGCAAACAATGATCTAGATCATAGAACGTACTATGCTGTCTCGACAACACTCGAGGGGCAGTGGCCGCAAGGACTTCCGCAAGATACGAGGCCGCTTCACTCTATCAGCGATGGTCCGTCGACTTAGTGATTCTCACATTACCCTTCGCTCTTGTCGCGGTATCATCATGGCTGATATATTCGCCGAGAGACTCTATCAAATCCAGGAGTTTCAACTCCTTACTCTCGAGCCCTGCGGCTCAATCAGCGTTTCGTCGTGCACGTTAGAATGATTAATGTGTACGTTTTGCAGATTGAGCAGCAATCGAAGATGCTTCCTTCCTGTCCTTATCGAATTCGAGCAGATACAATTGAATATCTGACATGCTGATGATTTCTACTGTATAAAGACATGGATCCGGCAGCAACACTTTTGTCGTTCCGCGCAAGGTTCTTATCGCCATGACGCCACGACGCCAATCGCTGGCCTGAGGTTCAGAGACGGGATGCAAGTTTATCCGGTGGGGTCGCGGGGCATCGCGAAAAATATTTTGAAAGCAGCCGTCGCGACAAAGAGCTTCACGTAAGATGTAGACCGTATAGACGTCCCCTTGGGGAGGCTACAACACTCGCTATACAAAACCAGCTTTAGAAGGATCTCAACGCGTCTCAGAATCCCACCATGGCCGCCAACGCCGACGCGCCGGCCAATTGCAAAGTAGTCCTCGCTGGCGGCATCGCGAAAAGACTCCTCGTCGAAGTCGCCGAAGGCCTGGAGCAAGTCAGCAAACCACCGCTGCTCGTAGGCTTCCTCTCCAGCACCGATCCCGCCGCGCGCATCTACGCAGACTGGACCGGTCGAACATGCCGCGAAAACGGATTCGAGTTCCAGCTCCGAGAAGTGGATCGCGAGGAGCTCGAAGACGCGATCATGGCCGCGAACAACGACGACTCTGTAGACGGCATAATGGTGTATTATCCCATTTTTGGGACCGGGCAGGACCGCTACATACAGCAGACCGTGGACGTCAGCAAAGATGTTGAGGGTCTTACGGATCGCTATGTGCGGAACATGTATCACAATGTGCGCTTTCTGGACGAGGAGAAGCAGTGCAAAAGCGTGCTTCCCTGCACGCCTCTCGCCGTCGTCAAGATCCTCGAGTATCTGCAGATATACAACACGTTCTTGCCGTACGGCAACCGCCTACACGGACACACTATCACAGTGATAAACCGATCGGAAGTCGTCGGACGGCCCCTAGCTGCGCTGCTTGCCAATGACGGAGCTTGCGTATACTCAGTCGACATCGGCAACGTCCAACAATTCACTAGGGGCGCAGGCCTCAGGGAGAAGAAGCACAAGGTGATGGACGATCCGAAGTGGACGCTGGAGAACCGGTTGCCCTTGAGCGACGTGGTCATCAGCGGAGTTCCAGGTGACAAGTTCAAGGTCCCAGTGCATCTTTTGCGGGAAGGGGCGGTGTGCATCAACTTCTCCAGCGAGAAGGTATGATGCAGTCACGTTCATATGAGAGACGCGCTGACAGGTGTTGTTCAAGAACTTTGACCCAGAGGTCAAGCAGAAGGCCTCGATTTACGTCCCTGCTATCGGGAAGGTGACTATTGTTGTATTGCTTAGGAACCTCTTGGTGAGCCAGATCAATCTTCAAGATCAGAGAAATAGCGCTGACTCAAATAGCGAATTGTGCAGAACCGAAAAGACACCCAAGGGCATCCGGCGGCGGCGGTAGAGAAGAATGGCACTCTGGAGCAAGCGGCGCCTGGACCGTGAACAAGCCATGCTCAATCGTATGGGATGTGAGCTCTGACACCGCGGATGGTTGTGTTGATGTGACTATTTAGACGTTTTAGAGATACCAGATGAGAACATGAAGCAAAATGGACACCAGATGACCCGCGCAATGGAACCGTGACCCTCGTAGCCTTCGTGGTTTTGAATACCGCTTACCGAGAACGCCCAGATGAGATGCAGCACTGACAGCCCGCATAATAATAATCTTACAGCCGCTGCCTCTTCACCAGATCCTCGTCTTCCGGCTCAACTTCATCATCGTCGTCCACCAAAGTCATCTCCTCATCGGCACCGTCCCTCCCCCTCTTCAAGCCCTTCATCTTTCTGGTTTGCAGCTGGCTCAGATCCTGCCTACCAACATGTATCCTCCCCATCTTATCACCCATCGGATCCGTCTCGATATTCTTCTTCGTCCTCGGCTCCAGCTGCTTCGGCCTCTTCAGCGCCTCCTTCATCATGGCCTCATCCGCCTCCTTAACCCTGCCTACCCTAAAGTCCATCCTGGGGCCCATCTCCTCGACATCCACCCTTGGCAGCTTCTGCCCGCTCCGACTCGTCTTGATTAAGTAGGCTCTGAAGTGTATCGCCGGCGGCGCCTGCCCCTCGACTTCTTCCGCCGCAGAGATGTGTATCATATACTGCAGCCCCTCCACATCCACACTGGCGGCATCGTGCCCCCTAAACAGATCCAGGAACAGGCTCTTGGCTAGCGTATACGCGTTCGGGGTGGGGCTCTCAAACAACGTCCCCGAAAAGCTGATTAACGGCTTCAACCCCACCGCCGCCTTGGCATTCTTGAACTGGCTCAGCGTCCGGAACGTCTCGGGGTCGAGATACAGCTCCAGCATATCCAGGATCTTGTGCTGAAAGGTTCGGATGAACACCATGCAGTGCGGCCGCTTCTTGCTGTGGTGGCCGAAAACGAGCAGGGAGGCGTCGTTCTTTTCGCTGAAGAATTCGAGGCTGGAGGGATCGTCGAAAGGGTGGATGTCGTTCTTCTTGGTGAACTTGAGGGAGAGCGGGCGTTTAAGGGAGTTGATGTCGGTGAGGGCGAGCTGCACGATGTTGGAGCAGGTCGTGCCGCGCAGCAGGAGCGTCGTTTTGGGGTTTTCGGTGGTCTGGGGCTCGCGCTTTTCGAGGGCGCGCTTGGAGCGCGCGTTTTTGGGTTTTCTGGGGTAGGATTAGCTGTTCGGTGTTCTGTATTAGCTCTTACCACGGGTAGTAGCGTACATCTGGCGCAACATCTTTGGCGTTGCTCTAGTTGGCAGATATCGTGACTTGAAGCACTTGGTGTTGAAGCTCGATATTTTTTGCAGGGCTGCGGGCGGTGAGAACCCCGGCGTTTGGCAGAACTGTCGGAGCAGGAGTGCGGCGCTCCGATATGACGCGATGCGACTGCGGGCGATATCTCGAAAACAGTTTCTCTTTTTCTCCACGGAGCTCAACAGCCTATCTGCAACATAACTACGCTCACTCTCACTTCCGTTGGTAGATTTAGAAGCCCCTTCAACGTTCTACCACAGACCGCAAATCTAGGAAGCGCACACCGTCTCAACAGACAATTTCCCAGCGGGGCCATAAACCACCACCACCACCCACCATGGCCGCGAACCCTCAACCCCTCGACCAGCAAGGCGCCGGCTCCACCGTCGACCTCAACTCCAGCAAGAACCCTTCCTCCCAATCCAACACCTGCACCGTCACCGACATCCCCACCGAAGCCGACTTCGCGCACCACACCTCCTCCCTCCCCTCCAGCGCGCTCCTCGTCCTCTACTTCCACGCGCCCTGGGCAGCCCCCTGCAAGCAAATGAGCACGATCCTCGAGACGCTAGCCAGCACATACACCGTCGAGTCCCCTCCACAGCTCGCCTTCCTATCGATAAACGCTGAGGAGCTGCCAGAGGTGTCGGAGCAGTACGACGTCACAGCCGTGCCGTACATCGTGCTGCAGCGGGGTGGCGAGACACTCGAGACAATTAGCGGCGGCGATGCTGGGAAGGTGCGCGCGGCGGTAGAGAAGCACGCGGGCAAGAGCGCGAATCCCGGGAAAGCGGGACTGCCGCCGCCGCAGGCAGTGAGCCGGCCCACACAACAAGAGCCCGTAAACCTCGAGAACGGCAAGAGCGAGGAGAAGAACGGCGATGCCGGCGGCGCATCAAACCTGAGCAAATACGCTCCCTCAGAGAACGACCCCAAGACGGCGCCAGAGTACTCTTCCGGCGAGAAGCAGGGCAAGGAGGAGCTATTCGAGAGGCTGGGCGAGCTGGTCAAGGCGGCGCCGGTGATGCTGTTCATGAAGGGCACGCCGTCGGCGCCGCAGTGTGGGTTCAGTCGGCAGACGGTCAGCATGCTGAGGGAGAAGGGCGTGCGGTATGGGTTCTTCAATATTTTGGCGGACGATGAGGTCAGGCAGGGCTTGAAGGAGTTCTCGGACTGGCCGACGTTTCCGCAGGTGTATGTTGGGGGTGAGTTGATTGGGGGACTTGATATTGTGAGTACTCGTGATGGGAGTGCGAGAGTGGATGTTGGCTGACTGTGTGTGCAGCTCAAAGAGGAGTTTGAGAATGACTCGGATTTCTTGAAGGACTACTCGGTTAGCTCGCAGAGGAATTCTGGTGGACCGGCTGCGCCGCAACAGCAAGCGAAAGCGGCGTGATCTTGCAATCAGATCTTTACGAATTACATAGCATGCAGGATTTGCAGGTTGAGGTTCTGAGCGATCGTTCTTCCGCCACGGACGGCATCGTTGCTATGTGCCTTCATATCCAGAGTCGGCTATACTACACCAAGATCCAGGGGCTGAACCCCACAGTGGCGGAACACAGTCCGGCGGTATGCCAAACCTCCCCAGAATGCTATACCGCTCCAACATGCATCGGCTCAATCGGCTCGACCAGCGCTTTCATCGCATACAAGCCCATCCAGAAGCGTCGCATATATCCTACTCTCCTACAACAAGCTCTCATTACACGCAGTTCAGTCCCACCCCAACCGCGCCCATTCCCTATCACACTGCCACTCATACTTCCTCTTGACGCAATCCCAGCCCTCGCGCTCCAAATCCGCCCTCAACGTAATCACCGCCTCCTCGCCCTCCTCCTCCCACGTTCTCGGCTGCCGCCGCAGCCCCACCACAAGATCCACCAGCCTGATCTCGCACCCGCGTGCTTCCATCTCGTCCTGCACCGCCCCGAGCGCCTCGTAGTGCACCAGGTCCCACTCCTGCGGCTCCGCCGCGATCATCTTGTGCAGCTCGACGCGCCGCTCTACCAAAGCCATTATGTTGCGGGGCTCGTAGCGGATGTCGAACTGCGAGAGGGTGCCGGCTAGAAGGAGGCCTACGCTGCGGACGGCGCACATGATGGAGTACCAGGTTCGGGGGGGTAGCTCGCGGTATTCGGTGCCGAGGAACTGGAGCGGGATGGTTAGGCTGGCGAGGCGGAGGTGCCGCGAGAAGAAGCGGAACAGTGGGCCCAGCTCTTCCTCGTCGATCGTGTAGATTGTGTCATACAGGTCGCGAGGCGGCGTGAGCCAGAAATGCTCGATGCGGCGGAGCTTCTGAGTTAGGGATCTGGGCAGCGCGCTTAGGACGTCGAGCAGGACCCTGGGGCCGCAGACGAAGAGCACGGTGTGGTTGCTAAAGAGGGCCTCGGTCGCTTCGTAGGAGATCGCTTCGTTCACTTGGAGGAGGGGCTCTTCGAGGAGCCAGCCGAGCGAGCGCGGTGTCCCGCTGTAGACGTCGCTGCGCTCGCGCTCGATGCGCCGGTCGAAGGGGTCGTCGTAGTTGGGGATCGAGAAGAATTGGTTGTAGATCTGGTCGCGGAGCTCGCGGGGGAGGCCTAGGAAGGAGGCACGCGGGGTGAGCGGTGTTTTGTCGAGCTTAGGGTGTTTTTGTGGACGGTCTGAGGGATCTAAGCCGGGAGATTCGGCGGAGGAAGCTCGTCGCTTGTCGTGCCCGTTTGGGGGCATGTTGCGAGTACAAGAGGGTACAGGATTGCCGACAGGCGAAGAAGGACAGCTGGTCGACATGTTGGGCGCCATGACTTGCGGTGTTGGTGCGCGAAGCACTGGTTTATTACGATCTTGAAGCTCCATAGTGGGGGATACGGGTACGGAGACAACGGACTTAAGTAACGCGACGTAGATTCGCCTCGACTTGCTGCCGCTGCTCTCCATTTCGCACACCTCGCTCGAGGATATGCAAAGCCCCTTCTCCTTCCGCCCTTCCTCATGTTGTTCCTCGTTGTCCGGTAGAGTAGCAGACTACCCAGTTTGGGTTTTATCCGTGGACAGTGACTTGGCTCTAAGGCATATACATACGTACTCAGGGGTATCCAGCTTCGGCTTCCCGCTCCCGCGACCATCTAATGAATTAACATCTGCCAGTCAAGCACCTGACCGGAGCCGTGGTCTGCTGGAGCACGTTTTTCATGAGGAGAAGTTCCCTTAATGTTGTTTCTTACGCCTGCCCGGCATCCGCAGGTACCTTACACCAGCCAATCGGGGGGACACCTGCATGACGCCTGACGTGAGCCGCATCAGCCCTCCAAGCAGCGGCGGCCAAGCTTCAGCTGCGGCGACTCGCAGTGCCGCGCACTCCGTCCACCATCCATATGCCATAAGCCCAGCTTCCTACGCATGGAGCTCGAAAACTGCCTGAAGTAGCAGTTCTCCCCACCCTCATCTCACCTGTTTCCACCGCCCTACCTCCCTCAAGCCCCCACCCCCGCCCGCATCCCAATCTCCGCAACCTCCGCAACCTCCGCAACCCGCAATGCCCCCCTCCGACGACTGGGACATCCGCGCCCTCGCCATCCCCATCGACGACACCCCCGAGAACACACGCCGACGATCCCCCAGTCCCGCCGTCAACCGCACGCCTCTCTCCTCCTTCCGGCACCGCTCCTCCCCCACCGCTGGCCCCTCGACATGGCAGTCTCGCGTGCAGCGCAACGCCGACAAGCTGCAGCGGCATGCGTTACGGACGTATAACAACCTGTCGGTGCTGCAGCGCGTGCTGGCCGTGTCGACGGGGCTCACGATGCTGGTGCTGACGGTGCTGTTTTTGATTTACCACAATAGCATCTTTGGATGGCTTGCGCCGGCCGCGAAGCGGTGGAGGGAGATCAAGGGCGGGTGGATGATCCTCTGGGCGCTGGTGTTTGTGGTCTCGTTCCCTCCGTTGATCGGGTATAGCACGCTGCTCACGATCTCGGGGTTCGTGTATGGGTTTCCGAATGGGTACGGTTGTCCCCCTCTCCCCTACCAGCACACCCTCCCCACCAACAGCCCCTTCTTCAAGGCCGCGCGCCATTTGGTGAAGTTTACAAGTTGCTGAAAATCCCGGTCTAGATGGTTCATCGTCGCCTCCGCCACCATCCTCGGCAGCACCGCCTCCTTCCTCGCCTCGCGCTCTCTCCTAAAATCCCTCGTCCACCGGCTCATAGCGCACGACACGCGCTTCGCCGCGCTGGCGCTAACCCTCAAGCACGACGGCCTCAAGCTGCTCGTCATGATCCGGCTGTGTCCGCTGCCCTACTCGCTCTCCAACGGCGCCATCGCCACGTTCCCGACCGTGCATCCGCTGGCCTTCATGGCGGCCTCGGCGGCCGCGAGCCCGAAGCTGCTGCTGCATGTCTTCGTGGGCGCTAAGCTGGGCGAGATAGCCGAGAAGGGCGGGCAGATGGATGCCAAGACCAAGGCGATTAGCTATCTTAGTATCGGGATTGGGATGGTGGCCGGCGCGGTGACGGGGTGGATCATTTATCGGCAGACGAAGGCGAGGGCGAGGGAGCTCGAGCAGCTGGAGGAGGAGAATGCGAGGGGGAGTAGTCGCGAGCAGTTGGTAAGGGAATACTCGGACGATCCGGGGGCATTGGAGGCGGCCGAGAGGCTGAGGGAGGGGGAGGATGATATTTCGTTGAGAGAGTCGTATGGGGAGGAGGCGGGAGAGGTGTATAGGGATGAGAGTAGTGGCAGTGAGGAGGAAGGGGGCAGAGATGTATTTGGGGTCGGGGACGGAGGTGGGGACGTGGATGCGCCGATAGGGGGTAGGAGATAAGTTTGAATTTTCTGGGTACGGTGTCTCTGGACGGGTCTCTGGATGGGGCACAGCGTCGGCTGCACTGGTGCACTGGGTTAGGTTGTGCGGGCAAGCTAGAAATTAGAGATGGGACAAGATCTGGGTGCTTAGATACCCGCGCCGAAGGCTTTCGTGCCCTCGATCGTCAAGAAGGCGCAATGTCATTTCATTCCTTTTGCTTCTTAGCGCTGTAAGAACGCCGAGCATCATGCAGCGCCAACCCACTCAAGGTGCAATGCAACGTGTCTGTCTTAACGAAGATCGTACGCCCCATCATCAACAGCATGCTCACCGTCCTTTCTGCCCTTTCTTCCCCCTCTTTCCTTCCGTTCCAGCAGCCTCCTTCTGGGCCTCCTCGACTGCCTCGCCGGCCTTCCTCTTCCCGTTGGCGGGCCTCGTGGTTTTGACACCGACAGTGGTGCTCTTGCCTTTCCGGATCTGCTCTTCCGGCGCCGCCCAGTCTGCGCTTTCGTCGACGGCATATCTATTCGATGGAAGAACGAGGTTAGTGACATTCTCTATTCCGGAAAGTTATAACCCGAATCCATACGGATAGAAGGCCGTGCAGGAAATGGAATAACCGGATGGGGGCTCTCACCTATCAAGCGGCAGCGCATCGACCAACCTCCTCGCCTCCTCCCTCATCTGCCTCTTAACCTCATCCCCGCCCTCCTCCAACTCCTCCATCAAGCCCTGCTCCAGCGGCCTGAACCGCTGGATCTTGACCCTGCCCTCCGCCCCATCAGCAACACCACCTTCATCCGCTCCTTCCGCCTCAGGCGCGTCCGGCATCCCCTCCGCCACGGCCCCCTCCACCAACTGCCTAAAGAACGTAGCAACCTTCCGGATAATCTTGACGAACATCGCCAGCAATTGGCTGGCCCCAAGCCCCAACTCCCTCTCCACATCCTCAAGCCCCTTCCGCTGAAGCCCAATCGCGAGCAACAGCGCCCTCTGCACGCCGCTCAGACTAACCGCCGCCCCGAAGCGGCCGGTGAAGAAGAGCGCCGCGATAGCCGGCAGCATATCGAGGATGACGTGGTAGTCGAGCATGTTGTTAGCGTACGAGTCGAGGCGCTTGAGGTCAAAGGGCGAGAACATCTGATCCAGATCCTGTTTCGCCAGCAGCCGCGGTCGGGCAGAGGACGCGGTATCCAGCGCCTCACCCACCGTCGCCGACTCATCAATACTGAGGCCCGTGACGGACGGAAAGGCGCGGAACTGGTAGCTCAGCAGCGAGAGGAACCGGCGATGGAAGTCCTTGGCGAACGCGCCGAGCCAGCTGGCATCGCTCGCTTCGGCGCTCTCGAGCGCGCGCAGCATGACGCAGGTGTGCTCGCCCGTCAGCTCGTTGGCCGTTTGGCGGAGGTAGACAGGTACGTAGTGAGCGCGTTTCCAGAACTTGTGCAGCGGCGGCGTCAGGCCGTAGCTGACGCCCAGGTAGTCGAGCTGGGGTGGTCTGCGCTCGGTCAGGCGCGCGAAGAGGGGCGGCATGGCGGCGATGTCGCGGACTTTGACGTTGTCGAGGAGGAGGGTCGAGCTCTCCAGGTCGACGTCTGTGACGCGGACCATCTCTTCGGATTCGGTGGGCTCGGTCTCGGAGAGGCTGGTGAATTTGTGTGAGTAGAAGTCTGTGAGGAGCTCGAGGGCTCGCGACCCGTAGCCCATGCCGACGTAGTCGGGGTTGGTCGCGATTCGGACGATACGGGCGCCCGAGAGACTGGCGAATTCGGGGTCTTGAAACTGCTGGCTGACCAGCCAGGGGATCAAGTCGCCGCCAGCCCGCTGCCCCCTGCTAAGGCTATTCAGCACGCTTTCCCTGCTGATTTGACCCTCCAGTGCCACCTGGATAACACAGAGAGGTTCCGGTAACCGATTGCTGCTCTCGTCGACTGGGGGCACCAGCACAAACAGCTGATGCGCTGGAGCGTCGGACATGAGCTGAAGATCGTTCGGCGAGTTCTTGTAGTGGCTGGCGACGTACAGAGCCATCATCTGCTGCAAGAACTTCTCAGAGATAGGATGGAAGGAGAAGAGGGTATCACGGTTGACGTGGAGCAGTTGGCATGATTTGGGGTCGGGACATCCTCCAGTGGTGAGTTTCGATCGCGGCAGAGTGGCATCGAGGCAAAGTAGCCTGTTGAGCCACTTCTCCACGGCATCGCCAGGCGCGTACCGTATGGGCTCCGAAAGCGTAATCTCTCTAAGCGACCGGCCGCTTAAAGATACCTCTCCGGCGTCCTTTGACGGTTTCCCAGACGCTCGATCCACAACGTCCGTATCTGCGCCATTGGGCTTTTTGGATCCGCCGCGAGACTGCTCCCGCAGCTGCTGGATCAGCTTCAGCGACAGAGAGCGTCCGGTGCCTTCGTACCCGTTGATGGTCGACGCCATGAAGACGAGGTAGGGGCCCATCAGTTTCCTTACTAAGGGCAACGGGATAGCGGCCGCCTCATCAATGACGAGGAGTTCTGCCTGACCTAGCGTGTAGGCATCCTGCGGCTGGATGTACTGGATTGTTTGACGATGCTGACGGTGCACATTGACCCTTACGATAGCCTTATTGAAATCCGGGTTTGTTGATTGTATGATAGAGTAGTCTACATGATCGAGGTAGTTGAGCGCATCGAATCCCTTGAAAACAAACTCGAACAACGTCTTTAGATTCTCCGGGCTTGGCGACGTAATGAAAATATTACTGTATCCGTGAGCGATTGCCGCTGCTACTGCCACGCCCAATGCCGCAGATTTGCCACGTCCACGAGCTGCCGTGAGCGTGACCGTGCTCGAGAGAGTCTTCTCCGAAATGGCGTCGACAAATGTGAGCAGCGCTTTGGCTTGATCTACGGTCTTCGCAAGAGTGACAAGGGAGCCCACAGGCTGGGTGTCGGCCAAACTATCCTTGATCTCTTGCAATTCTCTCGCTTGAGGGCTCTTGCCTTCGTTCTCTGGGTCTGGTGGCGGTAGCTGCTGAACGGATCTCCCGCCGGAAATAGGCAGAACATTCAACTCGTCGTCGACTACCAGACACGACTCGCAGCTCCCCAAGGACAGGATAAATCTTTCATTAAACCGTGCAACAACGTCCCCATGCGCCTCTGTGCGATACCTCGAGTGAATGTCCATGGACATGGTATACAGCTGCTTCAAGCTGTTCATGCCCTTCAGCAGCAGCAACACGAGCCCCCCACCCTCGACCGTTTCTATTGTTCTCGCGAGCAGATTTGGCGTGATGGCCTCAAAGTCCTGCAATATGCACATGCCATAGGTATTCCCTAGAATCTTCTCGGTCTCCTTGTAGTATACATAGCGGATATTCTGCGTCGACACGAACAGCTCGAACGGGTCCTCGGTGTCGGCATCGCGGATCCCTCGTTTAATCTCCTGCTTTATTTTCTTCTCCCGTTTTCTGCGATGGCTCGTGAAGCCTAAGAGCTTGTTCTTGTACGCCCAGAGCACCGATTTATTCAGCTTGATGTCAACATTGAGCAGGATGTGGTAAAGGTTGACTATGACATCTTTTTGCCGGTCGCCGACTACGACGAAGAAACTTCGCTTCTTCTCTTGAGCGCCGTTCCGGATCAGGGCCGGTATTCGAGAGTCGATTGCCTTCTTCACCATCTTTGGCTATGCGCCCTCCCCCACCGCTCGCGCCTCCGGAGTGGGTTGCGACTGCGTATACAACAGGGAGGCCCGCTTCCTTGGATAGATCGTAAGTCGCCGGAGTCACACGATCGATGCAGGAAGCAGTTCGAAAAGGACTCTAGTGGCTGCTTGCTGTGCCTGTTGTTGTACTCTACATTACAGCTTCCGGGCAAAATTATTTACTTGAGCTCTCGATAAGATTAGATTAAACCGGCAGAAAGTTCACCGCCATCCTTCCCTCGACGCTCGATTACGCCGCCGGCCCCTCCGTGGGGCTGCACCCGCGAGCTCGACCGCAACACGACTCGGCGAGGAGATATTGCCCATAACAGTTGCGACCTCTAAACTCTCTCAATCGTGCCGTCTCTACCGCTGGGTAGTGATTTCCGCTACTATTCCATACCATCATCATGGCATTAGCACCTAAGTTCGCCGGCCAGAAGCTCGCCGCTGGCGTCTCTCCCAAGACGGTGCACACCTTGGAGCTCTGTACGGCTCAAAACACGACTTCGCATCTAACAGCTTGCTGACAGTCTTCTTAACCCAAAGACCTCGATTATGTCTGCCCAGTATATCCCCAGTCTCAATTAGCCGTCCTGTCTCCTAAAAAGCCAGAGAACCAGCACAGCTAAACCCCCCACAGTTCTCAAAGAAGATGTTCGCGACCCTCTACAGATCCGTCCTTCCGACCATAAAATCGAAATACGCCGGAAAACTCGCCCTTATATTCCGTCAGCAGATCCAGCCGTGGCACCCGTCCTCGACACTTGTGCACGAGGCCGGCGTCGCTGTGCTGCGCCTTGCGCCGGACAGGTTCTGGGAGTTCAGCCAGAAGCTATTTGAGAAGCAGACGGAGTTCTTTGACGTCAATGTCGTCAATGAGGTGAGGAACGATACGTACAGACGGCTGGCGAAGGTGGCGGCGGAGGCCGGATTGGAGGAAAAGGAGGTGTACGGGTTGTTAGAGGTTGCGGATAAGCCGGCAGAGGACGGGAGTCTGAATATTGGCAACAAGGTCACGGATGATGTCAAGGTTATGGTAAAGGTATGAGGAGGGCGTTGTGTTCCTGGTCACACGGCCGTTGAGCTGATCTGGTATGTCCTAGATGAATAGGATGACGGGCGTGCACGTGACACCGACAGTGGTCTTCAATGTAAGCGTGCGCCCAGGAGTCCATAGGCAGTCGTCTGCTAACAGCTCATCCAGGGTGTCGTTGAGAATAGTATCTCTAGTAGCTTCACTAAAGAGCAGTGGGAGGAATGGCTGGAGAAGAACGTGGTGTAAACCCTCTAGTCTATTGTCTGAAGCCGGTGTAGCACCTCTACTTCTCAACTTCCTCTTGCTCCTCCGTGCTACCAACTCTTCTCAGCTGATTGCCGAAATCTGCCTGTGCCGCTGTTCCCTTCGCAAGATAGTCTTGCTGCAATGGCTCTCTGCTCGGTGCCGCTCGTGCCTTTGCCTCGATCGCATGGCACCTTCGCACTAGATCACTGACGTGGTCATCACCGCTCTCTGGACTAAGCTTCACAAGCGCCTGTTCTAACGAGTAGAGATACTCCTTGTTCTCGCCACTAGGTCCTCTCGTCGTCACAATATGCTCCGCTAGTTGTTGCGGCTCTTGTGGACCAAGGAACACTGGATTGTCGGGCAGGCCTATATAAACTAGGCAGTGTATCGGTGCCTTGGTGTTGGCGGGAAGCGTCGTGGAGGCGGCAGGGTGGAAGGGCGTGTATTGTATACTATACCCGTTGTTCTCGCGTATGTCGAGATATTCGCGGACTTCGGCCACTTTCGAGGATGGGATGTGGTATGCTGCGCCCCAAACCTTCTCACCGGCCGTCGCGTGCTGGTACCGGTCAGGGCTTTCTCCCAACGCCTGTGTCGGGGAAACAAATACGGACGTGGTCGTCCAATGCCTCCCAATGTGCACGGTCAATGAGCGTTACGACTCTGCCAGGGGTTTCAGGCGTGCCTCGGTGGTCCAAACTGTGTTGTTTTCAGCTTGGGTCTCTATAGCTGGCTGAAGGAAACATACCTCCCCTGCACTCATGCTATTTAGCCCACGCCCTCACCAAGGGCCTTATCCGGCACGTACCTGCCAGAATCGGCGAACATAGCCCTCAATGTATCCGGGAACGCGTAGGTCTGGGGAAGAGTATCAGTATACTGCGTGCGCGGTTCGAAGTAGCTGGCTATACCGAAGTGGGGTGGAGGCTTCCATATCAGGCTTCTGTTCTTCTTTAGCATTTGATGTAGAGGGCGAAGACGAATATTACCCGTATCCGAATAACCAGAATTCATTTTCAGATGGTTGTGAATCCATTGCTATTGCGTCTTGACATTCAAGCTCAACTGTTGCGCGTCGTCACCGCATGCCCTGGATGAAGGCGCTAATCCCTTTATGGACCCAGTGAAGGCTGCCTCCATCACTCTACCGCGTGCTCTTCTTACCCCTTCTGCGTACCAGCCGTCCCTAGATGTGCCTTGCGGAGCTGGCAGTGTTCGATTCAGTGCAGTGCGCTGGCTCCAGCCAACCGGAGGTCACGGCTAAGCGCCGGATGCCTCAAACGGGGTTTGTTCTTTCACGAGGCTGCTGTAAGGGTGAGGCGCGGTCACCCCTTAAAGCTACTGACCATGCCATACGGTCAATGGTGAAACGTTCAATATGCAGACTGCGCGTCTGTCCTGGGGGTCCGCTTTTGCCTTTTTCGTCAATTTTTAAAGGAAATTATTAAGGAGCTCGATTTATACATCAAGTCCAACTCATCTCGAGCGTCTCACTTTACGTGTAGACTCATATGGACTTGCTGCACGTTCCTCTTCGAGTAGCTATCAGCAGCACCGCAGCCACTGGCGATAGAAACAGAACCGCCCGCTCATAAGGAATCGTAGAGACCTTACGGAGGGGCCGCATTCATGTTGAATCTCAAGTATCGAATATTGCGAAGGCGTCTGTGCGTTCGCACTATTGCTTTTGAAACAATTCAAGACAACAGTGGCTTGCTTCCATGTCACTGAACTCTTGACCGAATCTTAAGGCGGTAGCTCGTCTCGCTAGAGCTCAGCTGCGGCAGTACGCCATCCTCACCACCAGCGTCACAAATGGACCCGCTGGAAAGGTCGTCAGGATTCAGTATGTATGATCCCTGCGTCTTGCCGCCGGCGGGAGATCATATATGTGGCTGTGCAAACACAGATGCTGCCTTAATGGCATGAGGGAGTGTTGGGTCGTAGGTATATATATATCAACAAGAACGTGGCTGTCATTCAGTTATATCCTACACCATATCCACTTCGACTCTACGCTCGTTGTTCCTAAGTATGGAGAATCTGACCACCATGCCATACACTGCGCCAGACGCTACGGTGTTCAGGCAACTGCAGTCATCGGAGCATGCGAATCTCCTCGACGATATCGACCGGCTTCGATCCCGGGGTATCAGCAAATACATTGACCTCCCCCAGTTGATCGTTTGTGGGGACCAGTCTTCTGGCAAGAGCTCAGTATTGGAGGCCATCTCACGAGTGCCCTTTCCCACGAAGGACAATCTTTGCACCACGTTTGCGACAGAGCTTATCCTGCGCAGGAGCCAGACAACCCATACAGCTGTCAGCATCAGACCTGGGCGTTCTCGAACCGCCGAAGAGAAGCAGCAGTTGTTGGCCTTCCGCGAATCTTTTACTTCCACGAGCGATATACCCCTGCTGATAGAGGCAGCCAAAGGTTGCATCGCAGGCCTGAACGCGTCGCAGCCCAACGCGTTCTCCGAAGATGTCCTTCAGATCGAATCGTCCGGCCCTGACAGGCCTCACCTTAGCATTGTAGACCTACCCGGGTTGATTCATTCCGAGAATCGGCAACAGACGGCAGCAGACGTCGAGACTGTCGGGAGGCTGGTTCAAAAGTACATGTCAAACCCCAGAAGCATCATGCTTGTGGTTATTTCCGCGAAGAACGACCATGCGAACCAGATCGTGTTGGCGAAAGCCCGCCAAGTAGACCCTCGAGGGACTAGGACCTTGGGTGTAATCACGAAGCCGGATACGCTGCATGCAGGCTCGGAGAGCGAGCTGGCGTTTGTGAGCCTTGCCAACAACGAAGACATCAAGCTTGAGCTGGGTTGGCATGTCCTAAGGAATCGCTCGTTCGATTCTCGTGACGCCGGCATCGAGGAGCGGGACGAGACTGAGCGGATTTTCTTTACCAGAGGCATATGGGCCAGTCTTCCACCAAGGAATGTCGGTGCCGCAAAGCTCGTCGCCAGATTACAGACCCTGCTTATGCAGAAAATCGGATCTGAACTGCCCGCGATTATCGGAGAGATACAGTCTGCAATCAACGTTTGTGAGGAGCACCGCAAGAAACTGGGCGAGCCTCGGACGAGCGTAAACGCGCAACGGCGTTACCTCATGGAAACTAGTCAAGAATTTCATGGCCTTGCTAAGGAGGCTATCAAGGGGTCATACGAGTCGCATTTCTTCGAGGAACCGCCCTCTGACGAAGGGCACGCGAAGCGGCTTCGCGCCATTGTGCAAAATTTGAACGAAGATTTTGCGGAAGAAATGCATGAGAAGGGCCACCGTTACTGCATCATCACTGACGAAGAATGGGAGGAACGGGCTTCCAGGCCATCGGGATGGCTGTCCCAACAGAGTGAATCAGTGGGCAAGCTCATCATCACAAGATCGAATTTCATCAAACAGATTGCGCAGTACGTGAAGAGGAATCACGGGCGCGAGCTCCCAGGCACCTTCAATCCACTTCTGATCGGACCCGTCTTTCAAAAGCAGTCCGCGCCTTGGCAGAACCTTGCCTCAAAGCATGTACAAAGAGTTGGCGATGCTGTCAAACAATTTCTTGAGCTTGCACTGCAGAAGCTGATGGACAGAGCAAGCTGTGATGCCCTTTACCGTGAAGTTATTGAGCCGGTCATGGAGGAGAAGTTGAGGACGACGACAACGAAGCTGGACGAGGTACTTTGGCCTCACCAAAAAGTTCACCCGATCACTTACGACCGGAGGTTTGCCCAAACCACCCGTGACATTCGTACCAAGAGCCAACTGAGACGAGCATTTACTCAATTCAAGCCACAACAGCTTGCTGGTCTTGACGACGCGGGAATCTCTAGACTCATTGATGAGATGGTCATTACGGCGGATGATTCTTTGGACAAGTATGCTTGTTCCGAAATCCTGGACATCATGGAGGCCTACTACAAGGTATGTTGTTTTCCAAAACACTCTATGTACCCTGTCCCGTGTGGCATCTCCGGCAGACGGTTTCCTGTCTTGCGAGCTTATAAATGCACCGTCTCAACCTTGCACGGTTTAGAGCCGACTGTCTCTATGCTCTATTTCGAGGATGGACTCGTCACGGCTCAGCTCAAGGCATGAAGGTCAAGTAGACCCTATCCTATGATACCTACATAGCGTGGGTTGTAGGGTTGGAGTACCTTGTTTCGTTACGATGGGCTCACTGTACGCAATGAGAACGTTGACTGACTCGTCGGGCCTAGATTGCGATCAACCGATTCATAGACGATGTGGCTACCGTCGTTATCGAACGCTGCTTGCTACAAGATCTGGCAAACATCTATTGCCCACTTGCCGTAGCCAGCATGACCGACGAGACGGTACGTAGCCTTGCGGCCGAGTCTGAGGACATCACAGCGGAGCGGGAGCTACTAGATGCGAAGCTTAAAGCTCTGAGTGACGGCTTGCGCACCTGTAAACGACATGTAGTCCGAGGGTCGCCGGGTAAGTCGTGAAGTTCTTTGTATTAGTGGGACAGCATTGTTTGACGGCTTGAAACTTAACTAACCTTTTCTACAGTAGCAACCACAGGAATGTCTCTTGGCGGAGCGCTGCTCGAGGATATGAGATCACACGCCCCTTCAATAACAATCCAAAATCCCACCTCGGCTTTAGACCATCCAACACCACCGGCAATGTCTGGCATTACCCCGGGAGCCGACTTTGGCGGGCTCTTCAACGGGGACTCCGGACCTGCTGCAAACCCGTTCTCTTCCAGAAGCGGCATGCCTTACCGCGCGCCTAGCCAGGATCCACAGCACCGTGCTACGTCCGGTTCCAGTAGTGTCACGGAATCATCACCTGCTGCTCCGAGTTCTGTAGCGCACTCCACACCGCAAAGAAGCTCTGCTGGCGCCAGTAGCTCTACAGGTACAACGTCGCCAGCCAGCTCGGGCAGGTCGTCGAGGGCACCGCAGAGTATTTTCAACTTCAATACGCCGGTACGGACTGTAGACCGGACGGCTGCTCTCTCACTGTTCCCTACAGCATTCCAAGCACATGTCAACGGGTGACCAACTTAAAGATGCTGTGTAGCCGATGAACAGGGGTATGGTTCTGGAAGGCATGACCTCCCCAAAGATGACACGAAGGAAGCATGAGGCACCACTTTCATAATAGTCGCGGAACGCCTGAGAATAGTGCCGAATGCTGCTGCTGGAAAATAACCGCTCCGTGATTTTTAATTTAGAAATTCCTCTCTTGTCGTTCTGTTCTCCACCCCTTCGCTACTCTTAATGCGTTCACTCGTAGCCCGTAGTGCTAGAACGGTGTAATGCAATGTTATTATTGGTCATGCATCTCGCTTGTCCCTTTACAACCACATCCGTGCCACTTCATGAAGAAGCTAGCTTTGAGAAGCTGCTACTGAAAATGGAAGGGAAAGGGCACAAGGTCACCAACAAAGTGGCATCCCATGCAATGAAGTCCGCCTCCCGCCCATCACGGCATTTGATCCCCGTTCTACAATCCTCTGTTCATATCAAATTCCACATGGTCTATTCGCCGACGGACTCGTATCAGATTTTAGTCTCTAGTCAAATCTGACCTGGCCAGGCATTGCCATCAGTCCCCCATCCCCCGGTTCGGATTCAATTCTCACTTCTGAATCTTTCCCTCTCTCTCGACTCCAACATATTTTTTGAGAAATTTGCGTAATTGGCTTATTCCTCGAGCAGCCTTCGGGCCGTAGACTTTGTAGTTTCCCATCACCTTGTTCTTTCTATCACTTTGGCTTCTTCCTCTACGATGCTGACGGTGGCACTGTTCAGTCTGCCACTCATCGCTTCATACATAGAATCAATACCGCTGCGCTGGCCTAGGTCTCAAGCAAATCACAGACATCGTAAAGTCGCAAGCCAGGTTAATGGTACCGCAAGCCTGTTTCAATCTAGAGTATGAGCCGAGGAAGACCTGTATGAAACACGTCTTGCGCCCGACGTGCAATTTGGTATCATTTCATCATGTTCCCTATCTTACAATAAAGCCAGAATTTTCCCGAGCACCAGCCCAGCAACCCCAACACCCTTTCCCACACGCTTATCCAAAAGCCAAGAAGCGACTGACTGATCCACTTGAGCAAAGGATAGAAAATTTTCAAGTTTCCTGTGCCCGCCACATTGAGTCGTTTGCGACCGGTGGCAACACTACCAAAGGCGATGATGTTCACATCATCGAATTCCTCGGCGGAGTACCCACGCCCATAAAGACACCTCCGGCGTTGGCCCACGGAAGATTCATAGGTGACTGCTGCTGCTGCTGCACCGGCTGCGACATCTGCGGCTGCGGCTGGCCAAAGCTATTTATTTGGCCGTCCGGCACATTTGAGGGAAGATCCCACATCTGGTTCGTAGGGTCATTGGCCGTACCCTGGATGTAGGAATCCCAGACTTCCCAGTCGAGGTTTGCTGATGGCAGATCCATTGACTGGAATCCTAGGTTCGGGCCGAATAAGGTCGAGAAGTAGGGGCTAGCGGTTGAGGTGACCCCTGATTGTTCTCCGGTGCCGAGGGTATCCGAGTACTGTGATGTCAAGCCCGTAGATTGCAGAGGCTGGGAGACGTCGGGGGTGAAGTTGGAGTAGGGCGGCTTCATGTCGTACATGCTTGGCGTGTGCGGGTTCAGCGCGCCGGTGCTTAGCATGCCTAGGGTCATAGCTGCGGAATGCTCGGGCGCGACGTCTGGGTCTTCTGCCATACCATTCCTTGGGAAGGCCGTACCGAACTTCTGCTGGGCTTGTTGATGTTGCTGATGGGTCTTGAGCCTGCTAAGCATGTAGCTGAGCGTAGCATGCGCCTTGTACGCCTCCATAGAGTGATCTCGCAGGTCTTCCCAGATAACGACAGAGGTCTCGATCGCCGCCACCATGCTATCGCGTCGATCCTGCGTCCATGCTAGGATTTCGGGTGGAACGGACCGATGGGTACGCTCCGCTTCTGCGGAGTGGTAGAGTTCCAGACAGACGGTCATCGCGGCCAGAAGGAAATCGTGTACGGTGAGCGATGAGATGAACCACTTGACGCTGCGTAAACGTCCACCCGGCTGGGACTCGTTCCGAAGCGTAGACTGATGCTGAAGCATGGTCATGCAAGCCTCGATACACGTTCGGCGAGAATAAGAGGGGCGAAGATTGTAGCGGCCCTGAGGAAGAAACTTGCGATGCAAGACACATTGACTTCTTAGGAACAGTAGGTCTAGGTTATACCGCTGCATGATCAGGCTCGCGTCATCACGGGAGGACTCCTGCATTGACCGCATCTTCAGATGCAAGGGTAATGCTGCCTGAACCTCCCGCAACTGCTGATCGAGCTTCAATATCTCATCATAATGAGAGCAGGACAAAGTCTGAGCTTCATCGACGATACGACCCAACATGTAGACCAGACGAGCTTTGGCGATCATATATGATGCCGGAGTAGCCTCGGTCACAGGACGTGATGGTGGTAGTTCTTTCATCTCCTCGAACAACTCGTCATCGTACAAATTGGCTGGGAAATCGGCATTCGTGTCGGTTGATCGGATCATCGGCGGGAGACCTGCTTGCTGAGAGAATAGAAGATCTGCTTGTCGGATGGCTGTCCAAACACGTCTTCGCATCTCGCCTGTGAAAGCCGAGATGTTGGGATAATGCTTGGAGTCTCTGTGGCATCCCATCCTCTGCGCAAGTCTGACGATGATACCCACACTGAGGAGTACACCAGTCTCGGCATCCCAGCTGCGTGAATATTCGGCATATAGATGTAGGAGCAGTGTCTCTAGCAGATGAGGTATCGGCTGCGTGACGTCGGCTAAGATCAAACACTGCGCGGTGAGACGTCTATACTCGCCCGACAGTTCCCACGACTTGCCATGGTATTCAGGAGGTTCATCGTGTGCTCTATGATAGGATTGTAGGGCAATGCACATCATCGCGAAGGCCATGCCAATCCAAATGATCGGTGTTTCATTAGGGTTCAGCCAATGCTTGTCGTACTTGATGGCACGTCAGTATTCATATTGCCATTATGTTTGCTGCCTGTGTTTACGGACCTGTTTTTGGAAGGTTGGGCCGTGGATAATATCTACGAGTGTCAGCTAGGAGATGTATGACTTAGTCGCTTCGACTTACGAAGCGCTGGATCGTATGTGATGAAGTAGCGAGTTATGAGTCGATCAGCAATTTGCTTCTGAGGGAAAGCAGCCAGGACTTCCGCTTGATCAGGCTTGGCGTTCGCTCCGAAAAGGAATGCCGTGCCTGGGCGGTCATCGTCTGGATGCGCTGCCTGGTATCTTCGAAGTTGATCGTCGTACTGTTTCTTGTGGTCGCTGAAGTAATTCTTCACTTCTGTGATCTGACGCACAAAGTTAGAGAGAAGATAACGAGAGCCGTTGCAGCGCATATGCCTACCTCTCCGAGAATCGCGTACCAATGCGCTTCGGATGCAAAGATGGGGGCCTTGTTATCCATGACTTTCATGACACCTATCGACTTCGTAACCTTGTCGACCTCGCCGTCGAGACCCTCATTCTCTTCGCTTATCATGTCATCGCCATCAACGTCTAGAGGAACGCCAACAGAGCTACCACTCAAACTTCCTGCCACTGCGGTGGCCGCGGCGGTCGGACCAGCAGACTGCGCGCCGTTGGTCATAAGCGAGAGTACCAAATTTTCTAACCGATCGATGCGGTTTTGCATATCGCCTGGCGAGCTCGAGGAGCTTTGGCTGACCTGGGACTTCTTGCGATTGCCCGGCGAAGCATACGAGCATGAAGAGGCGTCGCCTCTTTTGGTGCAGTTGTCGCATGGATGGCCTCTGTCACACTTGAGTCTGTGCCAATGCCGTTAGTAGACCATATGAAACTCAACAAAGACCACAAGCCGGCAGGAACGAAAACATTGTAGAACCAAGACGGATGTAGCAATCATATCGAATGGCGAGACTTAGAAGGCCTAGCTGTACTCTGACGGAATAGATGCAAAGCGGTTGTTTGATGGTTTCAAAATCCCGTACTGCTATGAACGGGAGTGAGCTGACATGCTGATTACAAAGCTGGAAGACCTCGCGCTTAGTCTGACAAGGTATAGTAACGAAGGAATGGAGATACTGCAAATCAGGCAGGGGACAGATAAGGAATCAGTACACAAGCAAGAAACGGTTTGCATACTTGCGATGCCTACACGGCGCACATGACAGCGGCACTCGGTTGCGCTTACGGACAACTCTGAACTGCGCATCGGGGGATTGGCCGGTGCTCGACGACGTGGCAGACGGTGGAGTAGGCGTCATCGTGAGATAGTGGAAGGAAGACTTCGATGGATGAAAGGTCCAACGGAGTAAGCGGGGCGGAGAGAAGGACGTAAATACGGCCGGATGGAGTGTTACTAAGTCCACTGGTAGGGGGGGGCTTGAGTTCGTCCAGCTGTTCCTCCGATAGGTCTTCCAGGACCACACAGCCGTTTTCGAGCAGGACTAGACCGCAACGAGGAGCAGAGTTTCCGGCCTGCACGTAGGTCCTGCAAGCTCAGCACCTGCTTGGCAGCGACCGCTCCTTGCCTATCGAGCTGCCTTCAGACACGCTGGACCGGGTATGACAGGCGTTCGAGGCGCGGAGATAGAGTGCGGAGGATGGCTTAAGTCCAAGTGCAGTGGCAAGTGGTTCTTAAATAGCCAAGAGACACCACGGTCACGTCAGCCCGTTTCTGCCTGCAGATATGATTCCGCCTTCTTCTGACTTTCTTCCCGGCGAGGCACAGCGTTGATAACGTCGAATACTGTGACCCACGCCTCAGTCCGCGCTTTCACGACACTGTAGAATGTGGTCCTTATCGCCTACAAACAAGTTTATAAAGATACACGGCGAGGAAGCGGGCGCTGGAAGCTCGAGCGGACTCTGTTGGTCGCTTGCACTACGGCCGCTGCAGTGGTGAGTCGGCGGTCTAGGTTTCGCCGGATATGATGCTGAAATGCTCTGAACGCAGGCTACAGACTATGGGTTTACTGCGCTTAGCGAAAGTCAGCCAGAAAGTACCTATTTGTAAGGACGATCGACGGATGCTACCTTACTGCGGGACTGCTTGAGCTCTTCGAATTTTGTCGCTGCGCAAGATCGCACTCCCGTCTTATGGATGGCGCAATATCGCCACAGTAGACTTGCCGTTGACTGTTGCGCTGGTTGTGGTCCAGGCCTTGTCACGATGTACGACTCGAAGGTTGGATGGTGGTGACCCTGCCGCGCATGAAGGAATCAACACCGCCTCATCAGGCGCCAAGCCGCGCAATCTACATGGTATCTGCGACATCTCTCGTTCTGCCAATTTCCTCTTCGCTGTACACCAGTGGTGAGTCATCAGAAGCTGAGTCTTTGGGGGCTGCTGTTCTCTCAACACCTGGAGCGACGTTAACTATATCCCCTCTTAAGTCCGCTTGGCTCGGCATTAAGATTTCCTCCGTCATTGACGTTGCTTCAGCTGCTGTCAACCTAAAGAACTTCACGGTCAACTGCATGCGATTCTGGAAATGCATCAATAAAGGCCAATCCGGTTAGCTCAGCGAGAATCCCATGCATGTTTGTTCGACCGAAGCTTAAGGGCGACCTCAGCGGCTTCCCAGGACGGAATTACGTGACATCTTTATATATCTTTCAACAGTAGTGTACTGCACCACTTGATATAGAAGTGATACAACACAATCGGAGCACGCCGGCTCCAAGTGCAAGGCCCACCAGGAGGGCGCACAGTCGTGCCTTTCCCTTATGCAGTTCCAAGCCATCACTCAGATCCTACAGCTTGATGCACCGTATCCCATGTGCTTATGTATATCTACACCCTCAAAGAACCCACCATGTAGACTTCCACCTACTCAATCAGTGAGGATGGCAAGGAAGGCCAACTACCACGGGAGCAGCACCGTTTTGAGCCCCGCACCTCCTTGCCAGACCTCACTCCCATCATCTTGCGACTATCGCATAGCTCTCAAGAAGTTGTCTTCCTTAATCGCGCTTCTTCTTTTCACCCTCATCGCCCTTGTCAAGTCCTCTCTCGCCTTCCCCGCCACCATGGCACCATCAACACTCCCGTCACCCGCCGGTAGGTCTGTGCTCTGCTCATATAGCGGGATTTTCGGCGCCAGGCTCCCCGGGTCCAACAGCGCCTGCTTACGCAGTTTCTTCGCAGCTATGCGGCGCTGCTTCTTAGATTTCGCTGTAAGAAAGCCAAGTCAGAGTTGCCCAATATGCGGAAAGGTTTATCGCTGACCAACGAGGGAAGACGAGGAACATACAGAAGAGATCCCCCTCAGCTTCTCCCCCTTCTTTCCCTTTCACCTCCTTTAAGACCCCCCACAGCCAGCTCGGATACTCCGAATCCTCTAGTGCCACCGGATCCGTTTTATTCTTGAAGAAATTCAATCCCTTGAGCGGTGTACCTGCCAGCACGGACGAGCGCACCGTCGCAGGCGTGGATGGGTTTCGTGCCGCGACATCTGTCCCAGCGGGCGAGGGTGTCAGGGGTGTGCTAAAGGGCTGGGCGGCGGAGGTAGAAGTTGCTGCGGGAGGTTGATGGGAGTCTGGCGCGCCTTGCCGTGGTGCAGCTGTTGTGGTGTGCGCGGGTGAGATGGCTTTTGCGGTGTTTATAGGTGAAGTTGTTAGGGCGCGTGCGAAGCTCGGGATGGAGGTCTCGCGGAGGTAAGGTTGCGGTCGTGTGCGGAAGGTCGCTCGGAATAGACAGCGCTGGCAGATCATTGTGAGCGCGCAATTCGGAGATATCGCCTGGGCTTCACCTAGGGGCGTAAAGTGATTCCAATGCTGCTTCGTTGCAGGGAGTTCGAAGCTGCTCGGAAGAGGTTTCTCCGCTGATGGATCTCCGAACAAGAATTTGGACTAGGCCCGAAGTGGAACTGGTTTATAGCACATTCATACCCACCTCAGCGCTTGAGCCACGGTGGTACGAAAAGCCTTTAGCACGTTCAGAGTAGGTATTGGGAGCCTTCGAGGGGTGGTTTGGGAAAGTACCGCGCAACGGAATCCAATCTTGGAAAATATGCTTTCTGTTTGCCACGCTTGTTTTCATGGTTTGTGGAAGAGCATGTGACTCAAAATGAACGTTCTCTATCAAGTACTCGGACCTTGATTCTTATCTTTCGTCGGCTCCAAGGACCAGGACAGGAATCTCGCCGTTGACAAAGGCCAAGCTTCGTTCAAGTACAATGTTGTGAAGTTCGCCTAAGTCCGAATTGCTGTTCCACACTTCAGGGCGCAACCGCTTGGAGTAACTTGTTTCCGACGGGCATTCACATGAAGCATGAGTTTGCTGCATTCCGCAGATTGCGGGTAAGAATTTCGAGGTGTCACCAGGTGCGGCAGAACCACTATCGCGGACACCTCCCAGGACGGCATATTCTCTCAAGCAGAGAGGCAGTCGGTCCCACGCGTGGGGCAATTGCACTTGCACCACGATAATGATGTCTTCCCTCGAACCGGAACCGGTAATGAGTGAAGCATGGAAGGCCTGCCGCAAGTCAACCAGCCTCTTCGTCGATCATACACCGTCCGAACCTTATGTAGACACATAAGCTTGGTGATCAGTCTCACTTTCCCTGGCTAGGCGCCTTGGGCTCGTTCCCAATCCCGCTCATGGATTTGGCGGGAGGAAATGCCTTGCATGCAGGATCGAAAGATCAGTTGATGCATGGGATCGGCGTGGGATGGCTTGAAATAGAGTTAGGCGCCGCGACGAGACACGAGTAGCGGCCAATTGCTGACGAGGATGGCCAGTTCGCATCACCATCGCTGCCGCGCACGGCGTGGGAACAGCTCGAAGCGGCTTCGCCAGGTACTGGAAGCTGTGATGAGCGTTCCATCGGTTTACGCGCTGTGCGACTGCAACATGTGTCTCGGGCTACCATCATCCCGTGCGACGAAACAACATGGAATTGTTCGGGGGCGCGAAGGCGAATGCTCCGACGGAGCACGATAGCAAGGAATGTGTAGGTAACCAGACTCGGAACGAACGATAGAACGGCTGCGCTATGCTTTTTTACGCCTAGAGAGTGCCGGGGGAGAGGCGATCAGAAAGAAGTGGGTGCAGGTGGAGGGAAGCGGAGGCGAGCCGCGGCGGAGGTGGCTTGCAGCGGTTAGCGACTTCCAAGCCGCCGTGGTCGGGAGAACAATTTCAGGCGGTAGGCCAATCGAAAATTGAAAATCGCGCAGGGCAGAAAGTGACTGGAGCTGGTGAATCACATCGTCCGGATGGTGCGATATTTCCTGTAGTGCGCTTGACATTGGGCCATGCGAAGCAACACACCCGGATAGTTAAATGATGTCGTATCTGCTTGCGAAGGTGAACTCGGAATTGCGACTGCAGCCGCCGTCGAGAGAAGAAAACCTAACCTCAGAAGAGCGGTGCGGAGCTGGGCCACGTCAGTCCCCCGTAAAAATATCTTCACCGTAGTTGTGCCATCATCGAATCTTTTACTCCGCTTCTCCAGCAGCACCTCAGCAAGCGAAAAACGAATACCATCATCCTCGTTCCAGCCTCCCGTGTTCACGCCTGGACCACGGATCGCACGAAGGAACCTTGGGGGCCCTGCATTGCTGTGTTTGGTCTGATTCCCATTACCATCTGAAGCCGAGCGAGGCGTCCGAACCTCCAGCGCGACCGGCCTTGGTATCGCCGGCTCATATCAATAGCCAGTTCCCCTAGTCGCTCGCCCGCCGCCCAACCAGAATTCTTTACTTCCTTCAACCTTCGCCAATCACCAGCAGCATCCACCGCCGCCAATCATCAGCAGCACTTCCTCTGCACCACGGCTACCTATCAGCTTCCCTATCGTCAACCTGCACGACGATCGAGGCTTGAAGTGGGCTCCTTGCGCGCGCACCGCCGCCTCGCTCCACGCGACTGCGCCATCCACGCCCGCCCAAACGGGCATCTCAAGTGAGACAGGTCGACACAGCACGCCGGCTTCACCAGCGAACAGCGTCTGCTTGTTGCTCACCACAACCACCAAGTCCCGTGACTGACTTCGCCTGCGGTTTGCGCGTTGGGTGAGTACTCTTGGTGTATCCTCTCATCCACTCGATGCCCTTCGCCCAGCGGCCTGGCTGCTGTTGACGTCGACGTCGCCGACCGCGCGGGTACAGCCGGCGCGTGCTTGCAATATGCACTGTGCTGCAGCGCATTCATCAGGCAGCACGAGCGGGCAACGGTACCTGGGCACGGCTTCTATCGACGGCAGTGGGCTGTCTTTTGAAGTTCGGGCGGCCACGGCATCGCGAGTCTTGTTGCAGACCCCGAACTCAAGGCTCAACCCACCGCTCAGCCGCGCATAGATAGCTCGGGCGGCGGAGCACTAGCAGTCGAACGTCACCTTGCGACGGCAGCGGCAGAGCCATTGCGACGTGGACGTGCGTAGAGACTGGTCAACACGGTATGGTCGACGTTGGGCGCGCACGAACCTGCATTGCCAACGCATCACCTCTCCAATCGACTCTCGGCCAGCGCATGGCCACATCCCGCACTCTCCAATTGACGTCTTTCTAGTTTCAAATAGAGCATGCTAACAAATACCCGTCGCTGGTTACAGATTGTAAAGATTCCTCGACTTCCGACTGGTAGCAGCCTCCACCAGTGCTTCCCTCCGCCTATCCCAAGCCGCGACGCTGCGACATTAGAGCTATATTCGGGCGAGCACCTCACGCACAGACGCCGCCTCACCGCGTCGACGCGATCGAGGGACTAAACAGTGACCAATAGGCCAGAGGACTCAGCGTGAGGCTGATCGTCAGCTTCGCGACTCTGCGGAGTTTCAACTGCGCAGGCTGATTACGCCACTTGCAGCGCGTGGCCACCCAATTGACAGCGCATCGACTTGTTGAAGCCTGAGCCCGGCCCAGCGAAGGAGTGTCTGACGTCCTGGAAAGCACGTTATCTGGAGCATCCTCATCAGACGCAGAGGTCCATCGAGGTTCTTGCAAATTACACGTAGCAGGATATCGACAAAGGATCGCCATATCGAGTGACCGGCGTAGATCTTCTGGTCTGTTTCGTAAGTACATAGCTATCACCTTCCCCCTAGCTTGAACCCCCACGATTGGACCGGCTGCTTACTGTCATCCGGACTAGGTTGCAGCTCTCTGCCATTAGTCAAACGGTTGCCGTCACCTCGCACCTATTGTTCCGATCGTTGCCGCTCGCTTGCATCCCGCAATACAAACATCTTCCAATAGCCGCAGCGAAGCAAGTGCTCCGAATCTTACTCGTCGATCGAGGTCCTAAGTGGCTCGCTGAGCGCGCCGGACACGGATACAGAGACCTGGGCTGTGTAGTGGCGCATTGAGGTACCCGTACTACAAGTCTTGGGCACTCAAAACATTCCGATCTCGAAAGAAGCGCCCACCGACCGGCCGCATCCATGATGGAGTACGCGCAATATCAGCAAGCGCACCCTCACAACCCGCACGCGCAGGCACATCTACAGAATGCCTACTCCACCGCCCCTCAGAATGCCGGTCCTGGTGGCGCATCGATAACATCGCCTACCCAGCAGCCGCAAATGCGTTCACAACACAACCAGGCGTCGCCCATACTGCAGGGTTCGGGTCACGCCTACGCGCAGCAAGGCCCACCGAACCCAGCGGCGCATCAGGTCCATCAGCAGATGGGTTACCCGCCTAGCTATGCCATCACCGGCATGCAGCACTATGGGATGTCGCCTGCACAGATCGCGACCGCTGCCGCAGCAGGACAGCCTTACTATCCGGTCCCGGATCAGTCCATGCAGGGGACGTTGTCACAAGATCCTAGGGCATCTCCGCGGATTACAGGAGCGCAAATGCAGAACGATGCGCGAGCGACGCCCCGATCACCAGTGCAAGTATCGACCGCGATGCAGGCGCAGCCTCTATCCTCTCAAGTTCAGATGCAAAGTCAGTCGCTACCTCAAAGACGGATGAGTCAACAGATCACAAGTCCCGGGATGCAGCATACGCAGCCGGTGATGAATCACATACCCAGGCCTTCAGCACCGCCTCAAGATTTCAAGCTGCCACCACAAGCGCCACCCGTCCAGCAGCACCAGCAGTCGCCTGAGATTGTTTCTGGAGGCACCGAAGAAGCTCCGTTATATGTGAACGCGAAACAGTTTCATCGTATCTTAAAGCGGCGGATGGCGCGGCAGAAGCTCGAAGAGGCACTTCGGCTTACGTCCAAAGGTCGTAAACCTTACCTCCACGAATCCCGACATAATCATGCAATGCGGCGACCACGCGGCCCTGGCGGCCGGTTCTTGACTGCCGACGAGGTTGCCGCGATGGCAAAAGGACAGAGCATTGGCGATGCTGATGGTGGGGATAAAGAAAATGCCGACATGCCTGCGAAGGGAGCGTTGGCAGGTCAGACTGGGTCCGCAGGGAAGCGAAAAGCTGGTGCCATGGCTGCGCCGGCGGCGAAAAAGGCAAAACAGAACAGCAAAGCCATGCCAGTGCAGCGACCCAGTTCAAGTGGAGATGAGAGCGAGCCAGAAGACGACGATGAAGACGCTGACGATGACGGCTGAACCTAGATTGCTGCTCAGTCCGTTTTCCTTCATATCATTCCGCTCCGTGACTGCTTATATATCTTCTTGCCATCTATACTCTCCCTGTCACGAATTACGACCGCGCTGTTCTAAGATCTGTGCTCTGTTCGAGTTCTGAGATTTCGGCTTTGGCATCTCAGGTTGTCGATTATCTTCATTTTCTGGCCCGGGAAACCCCAATCTGTTCGCTACCCGGGACCTTCCGTTACGACATGTTTCCGTCGCAGATTGCTCGTATACTGCTCTGCTTTGTTCAGCCAGTGCATACGTTAGACTGGCTGCTTACGAATCTCCTTTGCTATGCCCGCATCTAGGATGGGGAGGGAAGGGCAGGCAATATTAGATGGACTCCGTCACCGGATACGAACTGTGTGCTTCTGTTGAGGATAGTGGCCGAGTCGACACCACTCCTTTCAACATCTGTCTAGCTCGGTCATTCGTTTGCTTTACACTCGCTTTATATCCTGCATTGCGTCGGTTTTAAAGGATTGGGGAGCGCTGGGATCTTCAGGAGAGCTGGAACTTCATCGCATAGGTGGCTTCGGGGAAGCACGGAACAGCAGGTCGGAAGATGCTGGAAACTGTCATTGTCGATATCGCTTTCTTGTGCGGGACTGAGTCCTGTCCTGCCAGTTGGTGGGAGGATGTCTGTACTAATAAGGATAAGCCAATCAAGAGTGCTAAGTTTCGCCCGTAGCTAACCGGTTATCTTTCTTGTGCACCTGGAGCCTTGCCGCAATACGGCGGAGACATTTACACAATCTGGGCACGCTTCGGAGCATGTTGATTTGGTCAAGCCTTAAAACTACGTTTAGCCTAAGCGCGACTACTATACTCTACTAAGCTTTGTCATGCCATCTGCCTAAGTTTACACCCCACAGGACTCCTAATGCAGGTTATTTGCCAACGAGTGGTCGAACTAGACCTGTGTAAGCACACCATTTAGAGATATTCTGGCAACATAAACTTACTGTTCGAAGTCATCCCAAACACTCTTGCGCCAGAACCTGACCAAAGCAAGACCAACGAGCCAGCTCGCTGGTCCAACCATCATTCGAGATATCTACCGCTAACCGAGAAACCCCCCAGCAAAAGCACATAACGTACCTTCTACCCCTTCTCCCCTTTCTTCGCCCCACCTTCCCACGGCACCATCTCCCCCCTCCCCTCATCCCATCCAAACACCCCTCCCACCCCAACATTATACCGATAGTAGTTCTCCGTTCCGCCCCTCACCATCGCCTTCCGAAACGTGATATTAATCCTCCCCCTCTCGCTCTCCCCTCCCTTCCTTTTCGGAATACTATGCAACCAATTCGCCTGCGTACTTCCGCGCATGAGTACCATATCCCCAGACGCGAGCGCCAGCTTGATCTGCCGAGTCTCCGGCGGCGGCGGGTCGGAGGGATTTTTAGCGGGTGGGAACGGTTTGTGCTTCATGTAGAAATCCCGCTTGGCACCTAGGGAGAAGGATGCGATGGAGGGGTTTGGGCCGAGGAACCGCTCGTCGTCGCTGTGGTAGGATATACTGTCCGCGCCGGAGGCGTAGTAGTTTACGAGGCAGAAGTTGTAGGTTGAATCCGTTGAGCCTTCGGTTAGGATGCGTAGTGCGTCGAGACATTGGGGGAGAGGCCGCGGGTGGCAGGTGTAGCGATCTTTAGGAATGGGTCTCTGTGACTCCGCGTCGAGGAGAACACCCGTGGGAGAGAAGTAGGAAGAGGCATCGACGCCGAACACGGTTGTGTAGCGGGGAGTTGATATGGATGTCTCCGCCGCCCCGCGCTTTATGGTATACTGCACGCGGTAGAAGAAGAGCTCTTGTCGCAGGAATTTGAAGAGTTCTTTGTGGACCTCTTTGGGGATGTAGGGCTCGAAGTAGACGAGGTCGAGGTCGGGCTGGTCATTGATCGCTCTGCCCTCTGTGGCGGGCGCGAAAGCGAGGGCATCTGTTATGGAGGTGGGGAAATGAGGCACTGGATATGGGTAGGTTGGATGGTTGGAGGCGTCTCGTGGGAGGGTGTCCTCTGGTATTGATGCGGATTCTGTGTCTGTTCCCAGCTTCGGCTTCTTGCTTTGCGCGGGCTTGAAGAACCCATCTAATGTACGTTTCTTCGACATGGAAAGAAGAGTAGGTCAGGCGACAGGAAATCTGCGATGCAACCAAACCTGCCCGGTACTTGAGCTACTATTCGCAATTGATGGAAGAGAGGCCTATGTTGCGATGCTCTAAATCGCCTCACCCGCGAGTCGAGCGCGTCGCGGCAATGGAATTGAACTGCAGATCCATTATGTCACAAACTCTAGCTTGATACCTCACGTGACTTTGTGTCTGTTCCTTCGCCAAGCGTGCTGACAATGACATCGCTGTGATGCCCATCTTCATCTTGCTTCTAAACGCGCTCTGAAACACGCTCTATTTGTCTTTTGTCAATCGAGTTCCTGGGTGTCGTCGCGGAGTGCTCGGTCCTAGGATGGATCAACTGCCCTTCGAGCTGCTTCACTGGATTTGCAACTCCTTCCATGACACCAAAGACATCCAAAACTTTCGACTCGTGAACAAAACTTTCGCTGCTGTCGGTGCAGAGCACTTGCTCCCTGATGTCCACTTCTTTCTCCACGAAGATAGCTTCAAGAGGATGAAAGCTATATCTGAGCACCCAATCATCAGTCAGCATGTGGTGTCCCTATTTTACGAAGCGGACATTTATGATGACCTCATGATGGGTTTCGTCGAATGGGAGTCTCATGTGGATTTGCGAAGCTACGTGGACCTGGATTACGCTTACGTACCCGATGCGAACAACGACGAGCGTGCGAAGCGTCATGAGCGGCGTATGGTCGAGAAGTTCAATCGGACTCCGCGCCATCAGCTGAGTAAAGCCGAGCTCAGAAAACACTACCACATTTATCAAAGTCTTTGGCAGCAGCAAAAGAGGTTACAAGAAACAGATCAGGATTTGGCGTTTATCACGGATGCGATGAAGCATTTCCCACGGCTAAGGTCGGTCGTTATGTCATTTGGCTTTTGGTACAGGACTCGGAGTGAAGCAGTTGAACGAGCGTTCAAGGAAGGTCTATGCTATCTACCAGGGGACAGCCCATACAACGGCTGGACAGAAGGCACACGGCAGCTAAAGGTACTTCTTGAGGCCTCCCTGTTGTCCGACACGAAACTTGAAGCGGTTTTTGCGGGAAGCATCAGTTGGCAGTTCTTCAGACTGGACGAGGACATCATGACCAAGATGATCTCGGCCTGTACGTCTCTAACGACGTTGAACCTCATGCTGTCCACGGGGCGGGATGAGGATGGCGATGAGCTCGGTGTGGAAGCCTCCTGGTGCCGAGATTTCATGCGCAGTGGCGTTCTTCGCTCCTTCCTCGAGTGTTTTCCCAACTTGCGACACCTTGAGATCTCGTTTGACGTCAGTGACGGCCCCAACGACTGCTTTCCAGCGAGGCTGGGGGACGTTATTGGGGATGACTACGTCTGGCCGAATCTGAAGGGGCTTGTCTTGGGACACCTCGATGACGCCTCGGAAACCCAAATCTTGGATATTCTGAAGAGGCACCGCAGTAGCTTGAGGCATTTCGGCATTGATGCTATGGCGCTGAACCCGGGCAGTTCGTGGTCGTCACTGCTGTCAAAAATAAGGGACGTCGTCCAGCTGAAATCCGCTTGCATCTGCGGCTCAATTTCTACTGTCGATGCGATGGGGCTGCCGAAAGAAGCCTGGAACATCACTCCGCTGGACATTGCTGCCAGAGATGAGGAGAGGAAAAAATTAGAAGACTTTGTTCTTAACGGAGGCGAATGTCCCTTGAAACCGGATAACATGGATTTCAGATAATGAACAGCTCCTGGCCGACCGCTTCAGCTGCGCTCTCGCTTCTATCTCCCGGTGTTTCTCACCTTCGAACTGTCACGAACGTAATATATAGCACTTCACTGAGCAACTGGGCCTTCTCACTGCAGTTGAGAGGGTCAACTTCCATAATTTATACCACGTTGCAAGCCTGTGGTACAAGGATCGGACTTCCAATCACTCTTCTTGGAGCGACATGCGGAATTGCCAACCTGCGCGGTGCCTTCGGCTGTCTTTCTCGAAATGTCCGCAACTGCCTCTGGCCCTCGGCCTCCCACAGCCGAGGCCTCACGCGGTTCAGTTTCACTAGGACCATATATGTTACCATGTGCCCGCATCGTCTTGTTGCACTTCCGCGCTTCGCTCTCAGACTAGATTACGGCACTGCAAAAGCCCAAATCTTTTCTGGAAAACGCTGGGTCGGCCGCTCTAGATTGGGCGTGTCCCCGAGCTGTAATGGCACCATCAAGATGTCCATGCCTGGTAAGAGAAGACAGAGCGAACGATCCGCAGGGAGTTGATCGATGCTGCACCGCCGAGTTGGTTGAGCGCCAACTCAGAGTATAGATGGAACGACCTGGCTGCTGGCAGCTGTAACTACGCTGCTGAAGCACGAGAGCTGAGAGCTTCGTGTGGAGCATGGGTTTCGCGACTGATGTAATGACTTTGCTCCTATCATACTAAATAGGTGTAAAGTAGGCCGGCTGACAAGTCCCTGCTGAATCCAGTCAGGCAATCAAGTACATGTATTCCTGCAGCCCAATGCAAGGTGTTTTACAGCGGACGCTTGTTGTATGCATCTGCAGGTGGTTCTATTCCCGTAGACGAGTGGCTGATCATGCCGTCTGATCAAACGATTCCGCAGGGAACTGACTGGCGAGACGTTTGCATCGCATCTAGGCGTAGAAGCCTGTATTGGGACGTTTAAAAGCTACTGCACCATATCCACAAATCCAATCCGACTCGCGTCCACCAATCGATACTTTGATATTACATCCAGTCCGTACGAAGAACGCCTGGTTCAATCCCAAGATCTCGCTGCAACTTTAAGACTGTAGCGCGCACTTCCGAGCAGCTTCAGCCAATCACATAGTCTAGTAGGCGTTACCACTACCAACGTCGATGGTCGATGCGGTCTTGGTATGCCTCTCAGTCGATGAGAAAGCTGGGACATGCAGATGAAGCCTCAGCCTTGTCATGTCAGACCTGAACCCCCACTGTTTCTTGTATCGAGGCTGGCTCAGCCTCATGCGCCCGTTTCTTCGCAGCATCTGCTTTGCTGTTTCTTCGTCCCCCTCGATATGCCTTGGTGTTGCGTTGAGCAGACTCCAAGTACATTTTTCTGAATTATTGCCGGTCCTTGCGCTCTAGTCCGCACTCATGTCGTTACGTCCCTGCTATATAGGTAGGTATGAAGATCTCGAAGACCCTTCCACGGACATCAGGATCCTGAGGCTGTAACGGGGCGAGGAGGAGCAACCTTTGAGAGGCAGCTTGGCCATTCAAAAGCCTGGTCATGGTTACGAAGCGCTATCATGGACGTGGGGAGATGAACTAGATCTTTGTTCTATTGAGATTGTCGATGCCTACGATGATTCCTCCAAAGGTTCTTTTACCGATCACACCGAACCTCGAAACGGCGCTAAAGCGGTTGCGGCATCCAAGTCGAAGCTATAGGTTCTTGTGGGTAGATGCCGTGTGCATACAGCACGGGCATGATGTGGAGAAAAAAAATCAAGTTGAAATGATGGCGAAGATATACAGCGAAGCAAGCAACGACGCAACGTCCGTGTATGGCTCGGAGAAGAGAGAGAGAACAGCGCTAACGCGATTAAATCCATCAAAGAGAGGGCGTAAAATTCGAGACGGATGACCCGACAAAAGGCAGATCCACTAGTCGGTTTGTACAATCTTGGAAGGAAAGTTTACGCCGCGTGCAAGTCCTCCACTGCCATCCATGGCGAAGACTGGGGATTCAAAGATGTGAAGACTAATCCAGTCATGTTTGTTACTGGCTTTGTATTTGATACTGTTGGGGAAGCCTCGGTGCCCGCTTTATTCGGCAGTATTCCGCCGCAATGGATCAAAATGGGCTGGCCCGACAAGTCAAAACGTACGCCGGAGCCATTCTGGCGCACACTCGTGGCCGATCGCGATCCCGATGGGCTCAACGTTCCTGTGTACTACGAGCTTGCTTGGGATCATGCTTGTAACCAGAGCGAGAAAAAGGAAGGATTGTGAAATCGCCTGGTGAATCAGGGCATCAACACAACTGACCGCATCCATCATGGTCACTGTTCGATAATGGCGGAGTTCTTGCAGCGGGTGCAATCCGTCGTCTGGAACAGGAAGCTCATCCGGACGGCGAAGGGGCACTACCTTGGTCTTGGGCCCGAAAAAACCGAAGTGGGAGACGGTGAGTATTGCCCTCTGATTCTATCAGAGTTCAAGCGCTGACGACTTCCTGAACCCATTTGTATCTTCCGTGGTTGCAGTGTGCCGGTCATCCTTCGGCCGACTGCCACAACAGGCACCGATGGCAAACCAGTCTACACTCTCGTAGGGTGAGTAACACTTTACCACTGCTCACGACTTGGGGCTAAAATGCGCAGCGAGGCATACGTGCATGGAAAGATGGATGGTGAGGCTATTGATTTCCAAGTGGAGAACCAAATTCTCGTCGAAAAGTTCGAGCTCGAGTAACGACATCATCGGCCTGTTTTACACCTGCAATCTGGCTGACCTTCGAGGAGCCACCATTCTGGAACCCTCAGAAGCTGGCCAGGAAAGGTCGACCGGATACGCGGAGTATGCGGGTTGGAGACCGCTATCGACGGACCATGTGATGATGCCAGAGATGTTGAGCTATCGGACTGCTAGCACAACTGACGGACTGCCAAGATACACCCGGAGAAGCGCGATGAAGGCAACAGATAGCATTGCAGAAGGAACCCTGGGACGTCACTTTCCACCCTGAAGATCGCGACGGAAGTATGAACCGGCCTCCCGACCTGACGCTTGCACTCCTCGTCTACATAGCAGCATTCACTGCAACCTTTTCCGCAAGAAAACAGCATTCAACAAGATGTCCTGCCCGTCCAGAGTCTTCTCCGGATATCTCGGCTCCTCTCTCCACTTCACGTAACCTCTCCGAGCGTACCAGTCCTCGGTGCTCCTACCCTTCGGAGGCAGCTGTCCTTGGCGTAATTTCGCCCATTTCCGCCACTCTTCCGAGTCACCCTCCGTATACCTCCGGTCTAGCGTGTGTACGGCGATGGCCCTACAGTTCGGTGATCCGTAAGGCTCCTTAGTCGCCAAATCCTCCATCACGTCCATGGCTAATCGGCCGAGACCTGTCGACCTGTACTCTGGGAGGATGAAGAAAGTAGAGATTGTCAGAACGGACTTGTCTGGATTTGCGAGCTCCAGGTCTGGAGGGTCCGTTGCGCAGTCTAGAGAGATATGGCCCACCCGAGTGTTGGTATCGGGAAGAACGATCCAGAACAGAGACTTCTGTTTTGAGTCCATCATTTCGCGCCATCGGACGATGTTGGCGGGTTGGTTGTTCCAGCCGCAGATGACTCTTTGCTTAAGAAGCTCCTCAAATTCAGCCTCGTCATACAGGTTCATTGGGCGGAGGATGTCCGGGCTTTGTGTAGTCGAAACCCTGGATGGAGACATGATTGATGACGGAGATGATGTTGAATGGATAGGACTGTAGTTTAAGCGAAATAATGGATGAATCACGCCTGACTGTTGGCAGAGAGCTTTCCAAAACCTCAACTTCTGAATGTTTACGGTACACCGATGGTAATCCTGTGCTCTACTGCTAGGTTGAAAACGAAAATACGAAAACTAGGCTACGAGAACCGTGTGATTACGTCATGGACTTCACTAATAGCCGAGTCGTCAACCGGCTTGCAGAGAAAGCTACCCGACCGGTTTAGGCAGGTAGTTACCTGCTTTGCGATGCTCAATGTGAATCCTGTCAGACTACCCACGGTAACACCTCGAACTTGGTGTTATTCTTCGATGAGGCCGTAGTCATGAGTGGCGAGCTGTTTGGTAACAAGCACCGAGAGTCGTACAGAGGCAATCCGTTCTAGACGCTACACAATGCGAGATGATAGTGTTCATTAAGGTGTGACGTGGAGTGCGTCTTGATCTCGAGGTTCAATATCGACAATCTTGGCATGGTGTAGAATAACGATGCACGGGCCATTCTCCGCAAAAACTTCGAGACGGAAATCCTGTCACAAGTTTCATGTACTCAGAATATCCCACGAACATTGTTCAATTGAATACAATGAAGCGTAAAAACGAGGATACAGCATCGGCCAACGGACAATCCAAGAAGCGCGCTGTCTCACCTACCTCAACTCACAGCAACTTCCGCAAAGGCCTCTTCGACACCGAGAGCCTCGAAAAATATACCCAACAATATGCCGATTCGCAACCGTAAGTACTGTCTCACCTTCTCTTATACCTGGATCAAAACCGACTAATCAATCACAGCTACAAACACGCCGTAATCCCCTCCTTAATCCACGACCCTCTCCTCCGCTCCGTGCGCGCCGAAATCCTCGAAAACCTGCACTTCACCCCCAAAGAAACCGACATCTACAAGATCCACCAATCCGGGGACCTCGCCAACCTTTCCGGCCTCGACTCCTCCTCCCTCTCCCGCCTACCCTCCCTCCTCACCCTCCGCGATGCCCTCTACAGCCCTGAGTTCCGCCACTATGTCAGCACCGTCGCGGCGTCCGGCCCGCTGTCGGGCCAAAAGACGGACATGGCGATCAACGTGTACACGCCTGGGTGCCATTTGCTCTGCCACGATGACGTGATTGGCAGCAGGAGGGTCAGCTATATACTGTACCTGCTGGACCCAGACGTGCCGTGGAAGGCGGAGTACGGCGGGGCGTTGCGGCTGTATCCGACCGAGGAGCGGACGACGAAGAAGGGCGAGGTGGCTAAGGTGCCGCGCCCGGATTGGAGCACGGTGATTCCGCCGCAGTGGAACCAGTTGGCGTTTTTTACGGTTCAGCCGGGGGAGAGCTTCCATGATGTTGAGGAGGTGTATAGGCCGGGTGAGGGGGAGAAGGAGGAGGGTGTGGGGAGGGTCAGGATGGCGATTAGTGGGTGGTACCATATCCCGCAGGAGGGGGAGGAGGGGTACGACCCGGAGCTGGAGGCGAAGCTTGCGGAGAAAAGCTCGTTGAGTCAGCTGCAGGGCAAGACAGATGAGTTTGACCTACCGCAGCCGCAGTGGAGGAGCTTTCCGGAGGAGTCGCCTGAGGATGCGGAGGAGCCTGAACTGTCGGAGCAGGATCTGTCGTTCTTGGTTAAGTATATCACGCCGTCGTACCTCACGCCTGACATTGTAGAGGAGCTCTCATCATCATTCCAAGATGAGTCCTCGCTCCGGCTCTCGAACTTCCTGTCCAAGAAACTCGCGGTCCGGCTCCGCACGTTCATTGAAGCCGCAGAGAAACACCCAGTGATCCCAGCACCAGCCGCAGCAGCAAACAACTGTGGTGTGGCTGCTCCACCACACAAGCACCGCTTCCTGTTCCGGCAACCTCGGACGGAGCCACCATCTACGCAGGAGGAGGCATCACCCTACGACGAACTGCTGGACACACTTTTCCCGTCATTAGCATTCAAGAAATGGCTAGCACTGGCTACAGGACTGACGCTCTCCAAGGCAAACATCCTGGCGCGGAGGTTCAGGAGGGGAATGGATTACACGCTAGCGTCTAGCTACGAGGAAGAGGACCCACAGTTAGAAGTCTGTCTCGGCATCACGCCTAGTAAAGGATGGGGTGACGAGGACGAGGGAGAAGAAGAAGGGGAAGACGCCCAAGCCTCCTCTGGCAACGATGCGACAAATAGCAAGAACGGCAACATCTCCAGCAATTCAAAAGCCACTACCAACACCGCAGACGAAGACGACACTGTCGGCGGCTATGAGGTCTACATGGCCGGCGATGACGCGGACGAGGCGGACGATGGCTCAGACGACGGCGTCGAAATCCCAGCTTCCCTAGCCAAGAAGAACCAGAGCAGCAGCACAGGCGCCGGCCAACGCCGCGGTGCGGGCAACAGGAAAGCAGACCCAGCGATATACAAGAGCAGCACCACGGACGAGGACGATGGGGTGCTGTTCAGCATGCCTGCGGGCTGGAACAATATGAGCATCGTGCTGAGGGATACGGGCGTGCTGAGGTTCGTCAAGTATGTTTCTCGGAGTGCGAGGGGTGATCGATGGGATGTTTGTGGGGAGTTTGGGGTTGTCGGGTTGGAGAAGGAGGACGGGGAGGGTGGGGAGGAGTGATGTGGATACATGTAGTGCCAAGATTGGTCAAAAAACTTAAGCAAGAGAACACAGAAGTCAAAAGTTTTTTTACTTCCATAATGAAGGGATATGAGACGTGAGTGCTTACCGTTCCAGTATCTCTGATTCGAGTGGCATGCTACCCTCTCAACACAACCAGTTCGTGACTTTAGCTTGTCTATAAGCACAGCCTCGTTACGTCATCCCCCAAAACTTCTGATATTCATGAGCCAGCGGATATCATGATATCGCTTCGTACATCTGACTTTCGCTGGTGCCACAGCGTAGGTAGCAAACCCATGATTGACTACATGCCTGCTTCCGCTGAATCACGAGCTTTGGATATGTTACCACACTCCACGCCTAAACGCTCCTACTTCCCCCCCTTCTTTCCCCCCTGAGCCTTCCACGCCTCTCCCCTCCTCGAACTCCTCGTCGTCGGCTTCCCCTTCCCCTTCCCCTTCTTCTTCCCCGCGCCCCCCAACTTAAGCCCACTCTTCCCCTGCTTACTACTCGCGCGATGACCCTCAAACACGAAGCCCTCCGGGGCCCTAATGCCCGCCCCGATCCCTATCCCCTTCCCGCTCTCGGGCCGCTGCTGGCCCTTAAGCACCTGCGCGGCGCCCGCGCGACCGAGCAGCTTGCCAGCACGCCCAGCCAGCGAGGCGTGCTCGGGCTGCGGCTTCGGGTTGTAGATGCCGTTGGCGGCGTGGCGCGGTGGTGGGGGGCGAATTTTGGCGGCGTTGCGCTTTTGGGCTTTGGCGCGCAGGACGCGGAGTTTGCGGGGCAGGAGGGGCGGGAAGGACTTGTCGTTGTAGAGGAGGGCTGCTTCGGCGCCGTTCTCGTCCTGCTTGAGCCGTTAGCGATGATGCTTCGTGTAGTGTAGTGGGCCTTTGATGAAGGGGTGGGTGGGCACTTGCCGTGAACTGCACGTACGCGATGCCCTTTCCGACGCGCGTCTTGGCATCTCTGATGACGCGCACGCTTTCGACGGTCCCGGCTTTGCTGAGTTGTCGCCATAGCCCCTCCTCAACGTCGCCGGGCGGCTTCGTCTTCTTCCGCTCCTTCTTGCCGGATTCGGCGTCTTTCGCTGCGTCTATGGCACTCGAGTCATCCACGAAGCCTAGATTCCCGACAAAGACACACCGCCGGTGGTCGACCTTGGCTGGATGGGCCACCTCATCGACGCGCAGATGTCGGTCCAGCACCACAGAGCCATTGAGTCGCTTCGCTGCTTCTCGCGCGGCGGCTTGAGTGCTGTAAACTGCGTAGGCGTTTGTGCTCTTCGTGGTAGCTTCCATCAGCTCCTTCTTGGCGAAGGCGGCTTTCTTGGGGATTGGGGTTGCGAAGGCGGTGGAGCGGAAGCGGAGGGACTCAACTTTGTGAGGCGGGGAGTTTGCGGGGACTGGAAGGGAGGGGAGAAAGGAGGAGAGATGGGCGAGGAGCGTCTTGCGGGCGGATTTGGAGGTTATGGCTGTGGTGGAGACGTTGCCTAGGAAGACTGTGCGGGAGGACTTCTCGAGCTCTGAGGCGTCTTTGTTCGGATTGAGCGATTCGTGCTGGGGGATGGAGTATGTGGATTCGAGGTCGCTGTCTGCAGCTTCTGCTCCATCCTCGTCTGCGTCTTCGGCTTCTGAGGTCTGCTCCGAGGCGTCGCTGGACCCATCTTCATCCTCGCCGTTTTCAGGCTTCCGTCTCTTGGTGGCGCGTTGGGCTACCTCCACCTCCTTCGCTTCCTCTCTGGCGAGGTTCTGCAGGTACAGGCCTTCTAGATTATCGTCCTCCTCGTTCCGGCGCTTGCGCTTCTTGTGCGTCTTGCTCGACTGACCCTCGTCCGTCAATGCTTGAGGGGCGTGGACCGCATCCTGGGCATTTAGTGATGAGTCCTCTGCCGCTATTTCAGCATCACTGTCCGCCTCTTCTGCATCTTCGAGCTCTGACAGCTCCTCGTCTGTGGGAGTTTCGTTTTCGGCCTCAGCTTTGGACGGCTTGGTAGGCGGTGGGGCTTGATATCGCGACTTTGGGGGCGGCTTGACAGGTCCAGCCTGGCTAGTGAATCAGCACTGCTTGCCCGGCTTCAGTTTGACTGCCACGTACACTTGCAGCGAACAACGATGCCAACGCTGGATCGTGTGCGTTGCTGTCCGCAACGAGGAAGGTCTTTGCCTCCCTTTTAGAACCGCGCGGTGCTGCGTCCCGACCGGCTGCCATTGCCGACTTAAATATGCCGAAGTCTTCTGGTTTATACTTGACCTGTACTTCTCTTTCCTTTCCCTTCCCACGAACGACGGCGCGTGGAGATGATTTTCGCGGTGGAGGGTTTTCTGGGCGTGTTCACCGCCTGGCAGAACTGCCCTGGAGTCAATCATCCGCGCCCAGCTCTGGCGCTCACGGGCTCACACGGCCGCCATCCTGAAGTCATAATACTCTCCCTCCACAGCCGAACGTGAACGGACTTCTGGCTGTCCAACACTTCCACACCTTCATGCAGCTCAGTCCTCCTTGTCTCTCGAACGGCGCACTTGGATTTCGAGCAGCGCCCTCCAAATCACTTTCCGACACCAGTTGAGCGACCCGGCCGCCCACCCCCACAATCGCAGCGCGATCCTGGCAGTGCCCTCTGCCCGCAAGCTTCCATCTAGCGCCTTAGTACCTCCTGTAGATTTCCGGCGGCTTATACCTGAGAGAAGTCCAGTCTGCGGCCGTAGTCGCGCGAGCGCAGCATGAGCGCGGTGAACGTGGGGAGCAGTAGTAGACCAGGGACGATCACCATTGATCCTACCTTGGCCGACAGTGAGTCAACTCCTCATTTATATCTGGGCTGGGCTCTGGAAGCGTTTCAGCCCTTGGATCCGCGCAGTTTTTTCGCTTTCGTGCGCTGTGGCCGCACCGTCGTCAGCTTGAGCGGACAATGGCCTTGAAAGCCGACTCCACTCTCACAACTTCATACCAATAACCACTTGTCGAATCGGGTCTTCGTGGACGTTTACTGATTGCTGCTGCGCGCCTCCTAGGTCTCACTCAAGCGGTTACCTCAACCACAGCTACTACTCGCACTCTCACTCCAGAACCCGAGGCACTCACACCACGCACTACCTTCCTTGACCACAACACACTTATACCATTAGAGGACGGCATGCTCAGCACACTCCAGGCCGTAGAGCCGCCCAGCGCCTTTGATCGCTCAGCCGGGGACATTGAAGCTGCCAGAACCCAGCTAGGCGACTTCAACGACAGCCGATCAAGCAGCCTGAGCGAGTTGGGCGACGGCCCGTCAGACGGAGAAGATGCGGTTCGCGCAAATTATACACTCACAGCTGCGGGCGAGTACGACTCCGAAGCGGAAACCGAGCGCTTGCACGACTCGCCGACAAAGCTCCCAGCGCCTGATACCACAATCGAAGCCGGGACGATGATTGGCAGGACACCAAGCAGGTTACGGCGAGAAGGGGTCGCAGATCGCGCGAGCTCAGAGTCGGTCTCACCATCGACGAGGATTGCGCGAGGCGGCGCGACAATGGACGAACTGGCGGGACTGAGCGGTCTGTCAGCACTAGCAGCCATGGCGACAGAGCCTGTAGTGCAACAGCCGGCAAGCTATAGCCCGAGGAAGCGGAAAAGACTGACACCAGACGCGAGCCCGATCAGCGACGAAGAGGTGGAGGAGCCAGCGCGAAAGCGCAGTGCTTCCGCGAGAGCCAATGGCGGTATCGCTGCGATAGACGCTGCGCAGAAGGGAGTTGCAGAGGAAGAAAACGATGCGGACGATCTTCGCGCTATGCGAGAGGAGGGAGACGAGGCGATGGGCGATAATGTGGAAGCGGCGCAGGAGCCCGGCGAGGATGAACCAGCATTGCTCAAGGCGTCCAAGGGAAAGAAGGGCAAACGGAAAGGAAAGAAACCCAAGGAACCCGATACTATGCACAGAAGTATTGAGTCAGTACCGCCTGCAGCGACCGAGAGACAGGCGGATCCTGACGGCGATGACGAGCCTCTTGCTGTTGGAGAAGAATGTGGGTGAACTTCTTGCGACGTCGTTCAAATAGCTTGCTGATCAATGCGCCACAGTGCACAAGAAGAGGAACGCGATGGAGGGCTTAGAGGAGATCCAGAGACAGTTTGTGCTCATGCGATCAAAGTAAGCGAAACACCGAGCGTCAGAATTTTCGCAGGACACTAATCTGACCTCTTAGACTCTCCGACGAGCGCATCGCACAGTTGGACAGCGAACTTGAGTCCTTGAGACAGCCCAATTCTACCTACCCCGATCTCCTAGCAATGCTCCGTTGCATCGACGAGCGCTTAGCGGAAAAGAAGCAGATCGAGGACATGACGCTGCACTATAAATTGGGCGCACTGGGAAACCGCATCATTTGCGAAAGACGGCAGCTTCAATCTCAGTATTTCCAGACCGTCCGAGAGATCAGAGACGAGTCCTTGTACCTCTGCAACAAGACGTTCTTGAAGCTACGGCAAGAGCGCAACCTCTTCGGGGCCGACGAACCAGACTACGCCTACCTGTACAACCCCGACCGCGCCGAGCAGGTCAAGCGGCAGACGGCGTACAACAAAGAAGTCTCAATCCTCTCCGGCGTAGCCAAATACGTTGGATTCCCAGCTGCGCCCAATCTCAACGGCGCCCGAACCGGCGAGCTCGACAACGATCTACGAGCCCTACGGGTACGCCCCAACTTTCCTTCGTCTGCTCTCCCAAGCACCCACTCGATCAGCAAAAACTGACACACCTCTGCAGATAAACCCCCAGCCTTCGACTATACCCCTCACCCGCCCCGCTCTCCTCACCGAGCCCTCCGCACGCGACAGACAGGCCGCAGAATCCCAATTCCTAGCCGAGACCCCCTGGGCGAACCCCCAGCACCCGCTCTCGCAAGCCAACCACACCGCATTCCACTCCGCGCCCTCGTCCACACACGTCCCCCGCTTCGCTGGCAACGGCACCAGCAACGCGCCCCTCTCCACCCCCGCGCCCCAGAAAAGCAGAGCCACCACCCAGCCCTTCAGTGGCTCGGCCGCCTCAACGATAACAGCAATCGACCCACCCAGCAGCACCGCCCGCCCGACCCCCACAGGCGCAGCGGCACAACCTACGCCCACGCCCGCGACGCTACGGCAGGAGGAAACGCTCGTCATCGCCGAGTCACCCAGCTTGGCTACCGGCCAGGCGAAGCGAGGTACCGATGCGGCTCACATGAGCGGTTCGGCGGGCGAAGAGCAGCAGCAGCAGCAGCGGGAAGCAGGGGCGGGCAGTCCAAAGAGCGTTCCGCTGCCGCAACCACAGCAACTCAATGCGTTCGCGCGGCAAAGGAGTGAGCAGCAGCAGCAGCAGCAGCGCTTCATGGCGCGCTCGCCATTCGCGAGTCCGGGATTGGCGCAGGGGGCGGGGGAGAGGGTGGGCGTGTTCAGGCGATGAACAAAGAGATATACTAGCGTATCGGTTATCACAGAGGAGGGAGGAGGCTTGTTGCTACGATCGCGGTCAGCGGTTGCTTGCCGTGGCTAGGGGCGCGCGTGGAGCGGGCCTTTCCAAAGGCGTTCACAGCGCACCTCCTAAGTTGGATAGCTGCTTTCGTGGCTCGGTGACGGAAGCAGCGGGAGCGGGCGGGCTGGGACCGGCGTTTTTGTGCATCTGGCGCCTTTTGCATCGGAGGGATACCCTGGGTTGACCTGGTTGTGCTGCGTGGGAAATGCTGTTGTTCGGCTTGTTTTGCATGGCGGGCTTGCGTCACATCAGATCTGGAAAGGGTCGGGTTTAGACATGTGGGGCGTTGTTGATGGTTTGCATAGCTACATGGCATGGGTGTAGATGATAATGACACTTTTGCTGCATCGCTTCTGATGATTTCGTGGCATGCGTGTGTGCGAGACGATTGTGTCAAACCATGTCCGGCTGTTTGCAGGTGTGTTTGAACCCTGACCCTCCGAGATGGAAACTGCTCTGTTTCTTGTAATTTCTGGTAGGGAGATGTATGAACGGTGGTTAATTAACGCCTAGTCTAGGGCTTCCCCTGTGGAGAGTCTCAACGTACAGACTGGAACGTAGTTGTGCGTCCCCATGCCACAAACGTATAAAACAAACAAAACATGAGCAGAGAGAAACACAACAAGCCACCAATGCATGGTGTACAGATCCACCAACCAATCTCGCCACCCACTTCCCAACTCCTCACACATATGCGTAAAGAAAAGTACAAAGTCGCAGATTGGAATAAACTTTTGAAACCACGTATTGGGGCACAGAAGATCACAGTTACCAACAACCTCCATCCCATCCCGACAGCCAATGCTCACCGCTGCTGCTCCACATATCTGACCTCCTGTCCCGGTGGCCCAGTCGGCCGCTCAGACAGCCTCTCACTGGCCATGGACGGCTCAGGAACCGGCTCGTACACCCTCCGTTGGTGCTCCTCATATGGCGGTTGATTAGCGTAATAGACGTATCGGCGGTCGTCGCGTACCGGTGACGTCTCGTAAGGGACATATTCGTATGCTTGCTCCGAAGGACCGTGATGTTCTGAGACGTATCTTATCGGTATCCGGTCCTGTTCCGAGATGTACCGTGCTGGAGGGTGATGTTCGTGGACGCGGACGACTTCGATGGGGCGGCCATACTCGTCTACGTAAAGCGGTTGCGGTTCTGCGTATCGGTAGCGCACTGGAGGCTCGGCGGGTGAGTAGCGTGCAGGCTCTTCCATCGGTATATACTCACGCGGTGGCGGGTGTGAGGATTGACGCGCAGCTTGGGCGGCTTCGTCATGCTCCGGATGCGCAACGCTCCGATCACGGTATTGATGGGCTTCTAGCTCTGGCTCGGCGAGGCGGGAAGGGGAACGAGACCGTTCGCGGTCCAGCCGTCGCCGTTGGACCTCGTATCTCTCGAACCTGCTGTGAGGCCGCGCTACGCGCGGGATCGGGGCTTGGGCTGTTTCGCGGTATACGCGCATGTAACGTGCGTAACGTGGACGAACCTGTCCGACGTGTCGTTCTTCAAAGCGACCGCCTCGGCTGACATATTGCTCGCTACCTATGGCATTAGGTCTGCGTTCTGAGTGGCTGGCTGGCTGGCGAGGCTCTGCAACCGGTCCGGTGGAGCCTGAAGGTGGCGGCGGCCCTGGCGTTACCGCGATACTGCTGTAACCTGTCCCAGCCTCACCGCTTGGCGCAGCGACAGGCAGAGTGTCGACTGGCATCCGAGAAGAGTGCTGCGGCATCTCTTGCGGAACATGCTCAGGAATTACATGGCCAAGTCCTGGATCCCCCATCTCGTGGTCGTGTTCGGTCGCATAGCCGGCATGGCCTCCTCGCTCAGTGTCTAATTGGTCGAGGAACCGATCAACATCGCTCTCGGGCATCTTCGGAACTGATGGGCGCGGTCGCGTCTCGGGAACGCTCTCTGGGCCATAGTCTACAGAAGGCTCGACATATTCATCTGGATCATCTACATATCGGATGAGGGGACGAGTCGCTTCCGTTCGTGGTCGCTCCACAAGGGCCTCCCTGGCAGGAACGATGGAACTTGTACGACGCAGATGACCGCGGCTAGTTCGGGGGACCTCTACGTATTCGACGTATGCAACGTCACTCTCGTACTCTCGGCGACGATCTGCAGGACTAGGAGCTCGGTAATAGCCACGAGGTGCAGCGCCATAGCCATCATCATGCGGATCTCGTGGAACCTGGGTTTCGATATTAGCTGCCCGATGACTTCGCTCACGATGAAATGAGTCACCCACGTATTCCACTGGCTCGGCGTAGTAGTAACGACGTCTGTGATCGTCCTCTGGCACATCCCTTGACTGTATCAAGCGGCTGCGTTGCTGTACTGTAGTCCGCCTGGGCGGCATGTCGATTGCAGGATGACGCGGATCATACTCATCCTCACCTACCGCTGGCAAAGACTGTGGGGATTCATGAGACGGTATGCTTCCGTCTCTACGTCTCCGCGGCGGCGACACCCTCGGGCGTGCTACCCTTGTCTCAGATCCATGTACGGCTTCCTGTGGCAAGTCCTGAGCGAACCCTCGATCCGAGTAAGGATCATGGCGCGCCATATCTCTACCACTGGTGTTGCGCGCCGCTGGAGGTTCTGGAGATGAAGCAAAAAGATGAGGAAAAACTTCGACAACAGCTCGAATCTTGTCGTCACCTATGCCCGGTACAGAGAGGGTATCTCTGATGTATGCTTCATCAGGAATCTCGATCATGTCCTCCGCCCATTTCAGGTGAGAAACAGCACTGCGACCACGGCGCGGTGGCCTTACTTTCTCAAGATGAGCAAACTTGAAATGAGAGATGAGGGACAAGAAGTCGTAGGCCTTATCCGCTAAATGAGACGACTGAGACTGACGGCCTTTGGAAGGGCGCTGGTTGTGACGTATGCAAGTTTTGCATAACAGGCCACGAGCATTCTTGATGGGTTTCATCAATTGATGTGTTGCAAGAGCATCAGAGAAGAGATCCAGACTCGGTTCATAACCAAACCGAGCGTTGAACTTGGAAATAACGTGATGAATCACGACGAATACTCTTACACTCTGAGGGAAATCTTTGATGCCTGACGTGTTTGTCCACACGTTTTTCGCCGTTTGCGCAATTTCACTGAGGTGGTCCTCATGAGAACCACTGGTGGTTGAGTCATTAGGGCTATCGCCTGAGCCAGAATCGGCTGCATCTGGTGCGGTAGCTGGTAGCTGGAGCGACGGGGCATTGGTCGCGTTAGTATCGGGAGCAGCTTGTGGTCCACCTGCCGGTATCACATCCGCAATCATCGACGGGGCCAGGGCAGGGCTGAACATTGTATTCGGCTGGCCAGCGTAATTAGCGTAGCTGTTGTACATTGGCCCTTGGCCAGCCATGAAAGCCTGTTGGGGACTGTTGAATGGCAGGCCGCCCGGGACCTGAGCATAATTCTGCTGGAAACTTGGACCTTGGAAGCCATTGGCCGGTAGCGGAGGTGGCTGAAATGGACCATGACTGTATTGCGCGTACAAAGGGTTGCCATAAGGACTGGGACTCATCTGCGAGAACTGGTGTAGACCTAGGGTTGCCATCTGGGGCGTCGACGACGCTCCACGGGAATACCCACCATATTGGAAGGGAGCATACGCTGGTTGGCCAGGAACGGCCGAACCAGAACCGCTAACAGATACAGCGTACAGAGCAGCCTGAGCAGTACCTGGATCTGGATGGAAAGGGGGTTCTTCTGGCCACTCGGCCTCTTTCCAGCTTACAACAACGTTCCCGACGCTAAAATCGTTAGTGTGTTTGGCGCCGTAGTGCTGCAGAACACCTTCAAAGCCGTAGAACTTGGGATTCCCCTCAGCAACGCACTCCTTGCACAGGAATAACTCCCTACGGTGTGGTTCGGCCAATGATTTGATCTTGTTATCGTAGACCCATTTCATGCTCTCCAAAAGTAATCTCCGGGCTGGTGGGCCGTTAAATGGATCCTGCCTGAGTTCCTGGCCGGTGGCGGTCCTGGCCTCGTCTTCCTCGGCAAGGTCATCGTAAAACCGCTTACGAACGTGCAAAAGGACATCGGCCGCAAACTTCGAGCTGTTGTCCTTGCTGATGGATCTGCCATTTGACCAAGCACCTCGAATCAGCTCGTCCGCATACATACCCAGTCTTCTTCGGAGGGGTTTCTGGGCATCATCCCATTCCCGGTCTTGCGCTTCCTTGAGTTCTTTAGAGCTTGGTTCTTGAGGGCGGCCCGCCTCCAGCTTTGCTTGCAACGCAGCCATGTGCGCTGCATGCTCGGCCTCCATGCGCTCGGCTACCTCGCGCTGAGCCAGGAGTCGTGGCTTGAGTACTTCCCAGGCACTGTCCGTCATTGGGACACCAATCTGCATAGCGTTTTGAAAAGACTCCATGTGTCGCAGCACATTGGCCGAAATCGGTGGATTCAGTTGTTGACAGCGATCCTCTATATCGGCCTTTCGGGCAGCTTTGGCTTCGTTCGCGTCGCGCAAATTACGTTCCGGACGATGTTGCTGAGGTAACCCATGCAGCTGCTGTGGTTGGTGGTTGACGTGAGCCAGAGATGTAGGTGGGCGGGGAGGCAGAAAGTGGGGACCTGCTAGATACTGAATCAGTAGGCGCTCCATGGTTTCCTTACGTTCTCTTCCGACTTCGTTGCCTAGTAATGAATTCGATATCAAGGCACGTATCTCCTGTGTAGCGGGATGCTGATCACAGCTGCATGACTTACCCGCTGTTGGAATGCCGGCTGCTGCTGTCGATGCGGTGTATGGCGTGTACGCACTCGTAACTGGAGGCGTGACAACCCGAGGAGTTGTTATGACCGGGGTCGGCGCAGACTTGGTGGACGGACGATCCGCAGCTTGCTTGGCCTCCCACAGCTCCCATCGCTCGGCAGCACTACGACGATTGTTTCCCATCTCCTCAAGGCCTCTAGACCATCCTTCCGCAGCAGCGGGTCCGAGTGAACGCGCCTCCTCAAGTTCCCGCTGAATGTCGGCTATGTGTTCATCGAAATATCGCTTGGAGATCGAGAGCGTGGGCGGTACTATCGTCGAGCTTTTCAGAACCGTGGAAGGGACGACGTGTCTGGTAGACGTGACAAAAGCGTACGGGAGAGCCTGGAGGAGACCTGAAGGTAGGGAGAAGAGCAACTCAGTATCCTGCGTGTTTTAGTAGTGACTACGCGAAGTTGAATTTAGTTGCAAACCTTCTTTGACCTAGCTTCAAGGCAGCTTCCGCATAAGCGAACTCCAAACGGCCAGATTGCTCGCACTCCGTCAGGACCAGGTCCACCTTCCCACACGTTACCTGTGAAGGGTACCGCAGGTGCGGCTTTCCCACATGATTGACACTTGGCACCGCTGGTAAGCTGCCACATCTGCATTTCGGTAAGCCCGACTAGTGGTTTTGGGCGAGGAGCGCAGTGTAGGTGCCTTGCAGTAGCCCATATAGCTTCGGGGTTTACGGGGGCCAGTCGACCTGGGACACTTCGCCCAGCGCGACAAAGATTGCCGTCGGTAAGATACCCCCGGAACGCGCGGTTTACAGATGTAAGGCTAATGAGATCGCTCGGATGGAGGTAATGGAACACATATTGCCAGATCTCAGGCGGTACTCTTGCGCAGGTCGAGGCATTCCCCGCGGTGAGAGCTTCGGACAGTGGAGTCATCCGGGGTCGTTTTTCTGTGCCATCGCTCAAGGCTTCGCGCTTGCGCTTTCCAACAACGCTTGTCTGAGGTGTCTCGGTCGGTGACTTGGGAGAAGGTGTCGCGCCGGACGACTCGTATAGTTCGGACGAGCTGGCTGTACTTGCTACGCTGGGCCTTCGTCCTTCCATACCTACCAGGCTCAAAGCTGAGCGCTGCTCAGGCATCCACCGCCCTTGCGACGACCGAAAGACTGCAAAGACCTGCGCGAGCGTATCATCTGTTGGAGCGATAGGTGGAGGGCTGTAAGGCCTGATCCGTTGCGGTGTGAGCGGGATTTCAGTGTCTGTTCGCAGTATGGGATTGAATAGAGCGAAGACTGGAGAAGAAGCGGCGGGAGGGCAGCAAAGGAATGGTGAGCTTTAAGGTGGTGGTGGTGGTTAGGTAGGGCAGGGCGCAGGGAGCGATTGGCTCTGGGGCCGCGAAAAGTGAGGCTTTCCCGGCGGCACTTGAAGGGTGGGTTAAAGAACGCGTTGCCGCATGGAAAGCCACTCGTGGCCCCGCGGTGGATGGCCTGAGTGCACAACCCGTGGACCAAAGACACCTTGCGTGACTGATGCATCAGAGAGCTTAACTACTAGACATGTTTTGCTCTCTGCGGCCATAGAACTGTCTACCTGCTCCACCACCGACAAGATCATAAGTCCGTTTTGAAAGTGAATATGGCATTAAACAAGCTGCAGGGTAGATCCGGCAACGGGCTTTTCAGACAGCCCTTGAGTCCGGCTGCTGCTGCCGCCAAGCGCGCTTCGTCGTCAGCCCTGGCACTTCACCACCCAAGCTGCTCCCTGATCAACAACGCTCACGCCCGCGTCTGCAGCCGAGTCGCCGGGTACAATTACTGGAACCACAACTACAGAGTCTCCGCGAAACTACTGCGTGCGCTTGCAATTCCAGCATGGCGTCCCTCAATCTCTCCAGCAATGGGCCGTCTATAACCAGAAGCTACCAATCAGTCATCAATTCCCCACCACCGTCCGGCGCCGCAGCCAGCTCACCCACGTACGGACAGTGGGCAGTCTTCTCAGTTGCTGCCCCGCTCGTCAGCGCCTTCCAGCAAGATGGTGGCAAAGAAAGCGTATTGAAGGTCCAGAGTACTGGAGGTGTGTAAACAGATGGAATGGACTGAGGGTTCCAGCTGATACATGAAAATAGAGGGGGAGCTGGTCGACTTGATCGAGGACTTCTCAGACGGCAAGATCCAATTCGCCTTTGTGAAGGTGAAGGATACAAACACATCGTTGCCAAAGAACGTCCTGATAGCGTGGGTAAGGACATTCGAACCTCTGCTTAGCCCCCGCTGCTGCATGGAGTGCTTTCCATTTGAGCTAGCTGTGGGACGGTAATGGATCCATGACAATCACTGTAGCTAATCTGTCCACAGTGCGGAGAAGGTGTGCCGGAGCGTACAAAAGGCTACTTTACCAGCCATCTAGCTGCAGTCTCTAAGCTGCTGCACGTAAGTAACCACACGTCCGAGCCTGAAGCTGAACGTCACTAAAACCGTAACTAGGGCTATCATGTCCAGGTAACCGCGCGATCGGATCGCGATCTCACACCCGAACGCATAATCCAAAAGGTCGCCGATTCGTCCGGGTCGAAATATTCTGGTGGCGGCTCAGCGACTGCACCTTCAGGCGGCGCACCACCTCCACTTGCCTCAAAACCCGCATTCACACCCACTCGTGTAGGAGGAGGAAGCAGTGGCTTCAATCCGTTAGGGTCAAGATCGCGAGGTGCACAGCAAAACACCAACGTGGATGAGGATGGATGGGGTGCGGATGCGCCGCCAGTCACACGGACGCAACTCGAGAAAGTGCAACCAGCTTATAGACCTACCAAGGTCAACATAAGTGAGCTCACGTCGCAGAAACAGGAACCTTCTAGGTTCAGTGCTCCACAAGCGGAAAATCCTCCGAGTGATGTGGTAAGGGGAGGTTATCAACCTATTGGAAAGGTCGATATCAATGCTATCCGGCGACAAGCAAAGGAGTCGGGTGCCCAAGACAATCGACCAACAGCGGTGAAAGGAGCGTACGAGCCAGTGGGCAAGGTCGACATAGCTGCAATTCGTGCAAGGGCACAAGGTCCCTCTGGCGCAACTCCCCCGCCAAGCAATATTTCTCCGGCCGCCACAGGATCATCAGCCCGCGATGAAGACCGCGAGGAAGCTCCCAAGTCTCTTGCAGATCGGTCTGCTGCTTTTACCCAGCCGGAGCGGCTGACATCCATGCCGAAACCGAAGGTCTCCAACCGGTTTGGGTCTTCAGCCAGCACCTTCGCAGGCACAAAGGCTCCAATACCGAGTGGATTTCAATCTAAGCCTATCGCTACCGCCGCTCCGGTCGGTACTACCAGCAAGACCTTTGCTGATGAAGGTGGGAAAACACCGGCGCAGATCTGGGCGGAGAAGAAGGCACGTCAACGGGGGCTCAGCGGCGCTGGCGAGCAGCCTCCTTCCGCTGGTCACAACGCACCCCAATCCCCTGTTAGAGCACAGCAAAGTGGCGAAGGTGGATGGAAGAGTGGCTACTCGGGCAAATCATGGGCGCCTGTTGAGACTACGCGAACGGGTCAGTCAGCTGCGAGTAATCTCAGTCAGCAACGGACCGGTCAGGATGAGCAAGAAGAAGAGGCGGCATCTTCACCCGCGGGAGGCGTCGGTGCTATCCGCGATCGGTTCAAGGGCGCTGCTCCGATGGGCGCACCAGCATCGAGACGAGATGTTCCAGAACCCGAATCCGCTTCACCGCCCCCCATGGATATGGCAAGCAAGCCGAATTCTGGTGCTGCTCGTGGCGTACCCATTCCAGGTCTACCGCAACGTCCACAACCGGCAGATGACGAAGAAGACGTGCCTGCTGAGGAGCACGTACGGCTTCCGACGCCACCGGCACAGCCTCGCAGTCCGACGCCTCCAACTCCACCAGCCATGCGGGATAGTTCGCCAGTCCGTATCGCGATGCCTGTAGGAAGGGGCCGGGAGCCAGCTAAGGAGCTTGAGGCGCCGGAGGAGCGGTTCTCGCCTCCCCCTATGCCTGTACAGTCGATACAGCAAGCCATATCAGCTACAAAAGATATTGAGCCCGAACCACAAATCGAGGATGAAGATCCTGCAAGAGGCGCTGCCGCAGCTGCAGCCACCGCTACGTTCGGTCATACCGCCGCACCAAGCTCACAGGCTGGCAAGCGCGCGATTGCGCAATACGACTATGAGAAAGCAGAAGACAACGAACTGGAGCTGCGTGATGGAGAAGAGATCACCGATATCGAGATGGTTGACGAAGACTGGTGGATGGGCCGAAATTCACGAGGCGAGGCTGGGCTCTTCCCCAGCAACTACGTCGAACTTATCGAGGACACTGCGGCCGCTCCATCACCACCTGCTCCTGCTCCAGCTGCCGCCACTTCTTCGGTGTCTGCGCCTGCCGCTCCACCGGCAGCAGGAGGAACCGAAACACCGACCGCAACTGCGCTATATGATTACGAAGCTGCTGAGGATAATGAACTGAGCTTCCCAGATGGTGCCACCATCACTGGCCTAGTATGTGTTATTTCCCAACCTCTCTGTCTCGACCAGCTGCTAATCCCATATCCAGGAGTTCCCGGATGAAGACTGGTGGTTTGGAGAGTACAAAGGAAAGACCGGTCTCTTCCCGGCAAACTATGTACAACTCAACGAGTGATCGCAACTGTGAAAGCGATGACAACCACCAGGCATTAGAGGGAATATGTATACAGTAAGCGTTCAAGGACAAAAGCGGGATTAGTCAATCAATATGTTATACACTCACGCGGTGACACAAGTTACTAGACCCGTCAAGTGCCAAGGTCCCTAATCACTCCCAAATCACCAGAATCTGTTGAAACCACCTGATTTTCAGAGGGCTATACTCTGACCCTCCACATCCAAATGCAACCCTTGAGTGGTGCCCGCTATCCCTGCCGGACATCGCTTTCCTATACGAGATGAGCAGGTGCGGTACCAAGTCTAAAATCCATGAGGTAATTGAGATCATGAATTAATGGTGCAGTACGACTTACAGCGAGGTCTGTCAACAGCACGGGCTAGGTCTAGAACTGCTCGAAGGAGTCTCGCCCTTGTTCGGTGCCACTCCGAAACGCAATGACTGAGGAATGCGGACTGACCCATGATCACAGCACAGCCGCGCAGATCAATTCCCGCGTCTCCGATGCGGATTTGACTACTACCTTGGGGAGTTGTACCTTCTATCTACCGGCCTGAGATCCTTACAGGTCTGGAACTACGCGTTATGCCTCTAAAACTCGGTCTTTTGTCGCTCGAGCTGTGCTCTGTTGGAATGCTGCATTGCTTTGCCATAACGACGACTCGCCACGCGGTGCTAACTGCTAACGAACCATTACATCAGAGCCTGGCACTGTTTGTCATGGAAGGTCTCATAAAAGAGCAGCGCCCGCTGAGTGTTAGTACCTCTGTGTGTGCATGTCTAGCCACTACAACCGGAACCTCAAGGGAGCTTCATCAGTCCTCTCTCTTGCAATAGACACCAGCGATGCTTCGTCTTCTGTCTCTTTCGGCTTCTCTATTCCTTTTCTCAGCCCTGATTTCTGGAGCCCCGGCACCGTCGCCTGATCGCATTTTCAAACGTGCTGAAGAACTGCTCCTATGTGCGAACCTTACCTCACCAATCAATGGCGACTGCAACTTCGATGCCGACCTTGACCTCGCTCAGCCCACTCAGGACATGAGGCTCCTCGAAGTGCGCCGCCAGTTCTTCGCCTCTTCATACCGCGCTGTCGTCGTTGACGACTTACCAATCCTCGCTCATCCGCAAGAAGCTACCATCGTTGGAGCGGCGCCGAGAAGAGGAGGTTCGCGCAGGCCAGGATTTGTTGTAAAGAGGCAAGCGAAAGGTGAAGCGCAGGGCCTTTTCGACGAAGTCGTTATCTGGTTCCAGAATGTGCGTACCCTGGTGGCTGAGGATTGTTGAGCAACCCCGGCTAAGTTCGGGGTGACAGTCAATAGCAGCACTTGGCAAAGTAACCGTCAAGACTACACTTACCGAACAAACAACCGAGCTCTTCTGTGAGTCTAACCTACTCCTGCGAAGACCGAGTCCTGATCCCTCTAGACAATTACAGCAATGCCGGTCCCAATCCGCCAGTAGGACTCGAATGGTGCTCCCCGATCAACAACCCCTGGGTCTTCTGCAACGCCACGACCGGCGACATAATACCTGATGTCGTGACCTACCACAACGAGACTCCGGACGTCAGCGACATCGAGGTCCCAAGCACTGTCTGCATCACCCACGATGCAAACGCTCTGTGTCCAGACGCAACTTTCAGCATGCTGCATGCTATTGGCGGCGCAGCCGTCCTCCACAAGGCGCCAAATGGGAACATCTACGCGTTTGACGAGCCGGTTGACCGCTACAATCTGTCCTCCTTCGCGCTGCAGAGCTCAAGGCTGTTCTCTGGGAAGGCGCATTTCGTCATCGGAGGCTCGCAGGGGAGATTACTACACGGATATAACGACACCCTGAATAGCTATGGCGTTAGTAGAATCAGGCTGTCAAGACCGAGTATTATGCCGAATGGTTCGATCCCTGTGTAAGCTGCCGCATAACCTCTCTGCTCTAGAACTATGCTGATCAGTTTCACTGCAGGACTCTTGTGCCGATGGCAAGTCCAGATGGCGGACCTTCGATTGTGGTCGCGATGGACACGTCGGCTAATGTGTATTACTTGATCACCTGTACCATGGCTAACTCGTATGCGAAGGTCTTTCTTGCAAAGTCTATGGTGGACGGTCCGCTGGCGTTAATGGATCCGGGGTTGATGCCTACGGTTACGGGCGGCGAGATCACGTCTTGTAGGGTTGTGCCGTATACCAATGGGGATAGGCCTGCGTAGTTTTATGGATTAGAGAGTCTATCGGTTGATACCTTGTGAATCTATTGTAGTGTACGTGTATTGTTTGAGTAATTTTCTGATTGGTACTACCTTACGCTTGCATGTCACTTTGCGTCATACGTTGTAGAGACCAAGACAGTGTGATTTCAGTCCGCGAGCTCCGACTGCTATTCTGACCTACCTTATGATCGTGGCCTTCAGAAATATAAAGATGCTCGCCATCATGCTGTATCACGTGATCTGGTGTCCTCAACGCGACGTCCGGGAAGGGCCACTGACATCCCACATCTTCTCACGTTTTTCAGATGTATTTTCATTTAACGAAGACGCCCACTACGCACGCGGGGCACTCCGATCAGGATAATGGAACACGGGTCTGCCGCCGCAAAGAGCTCCCCAACGGCCGGCACAGGACTTTTCGCGACGAAAGACCTGCCACCCGGAGAGTTGATCTTCAGCCTGCCGCGGCCACTCATTGGTGTCCTCGATATACCACGATTAGAGGACACCTGCTCGAACTGCTTCCTGTGGCCTGCGGCATCTACTATTGGTAGCCGAGGCGATGATGCCGAGCAGGTAGAGGTTAAGGCGTGTACTGGGTGCCGTACACTTAGATATTGTAGTAAGGTGTGTATCTTCTCTTAGGTCATTGAGCCGGAGGCAAGGTGACAACAGTTCAGCTTTATGGAAGTACACAATAGCCTCAACCTTTCAAGGTCTGATCCGTTTGTCTTAGAAATGCCAAAGCGAGTCTTGGAAGAGAAGTCATAAGCACGAATGCAAGATACTAGCCCAGATCAAGCGGCCCTTACCAAGTGCGGTTCGCGCGTTAATTCAGATTCTTCTATTGAAGCATCACCAAGTGATGTCAGACGACGAGTGGTCGGCGTTACAGCGATTGGAGTCACATCTGGAGGCTAAGCGTGCTCGAGGAGGTTCTCAGTGGCAAGAGATAGAAGTCCTTGCTCTCGGCGCCTGGAGATATTCAGATACCAAAGAGACAATCGAATTACCAACCGCCCAGCAAATCTCTTGTGCGGTGTGTTCAATAGTGGTGCATTCCTGTGAGCGATTCCGTTACTGATCAAATTGCCTAAGATTCTCACGAACGCGCTGACTATTGTCACGCCGACATTCGACCCGCTCGGTGTCTGTCTTAATCCTTTCGCTGCCTTGGCTAATCACTCTTGTGATCCAAACGCTGTGGTGGTCATGGACGGCCCAGAGCTATCCTTTAGGTCTCTAAAGCCGATCGCTAAGGATGAAGAGGTTTTGATCTCATACATAGATGTCACCAACCCGCTTGCCCGCAGACAAGAAGAACTCAAAGAGCGGTACCATTTCACATGCGCCTGCTCAAAATGCCAGAAGGATCCAACAGGTCCAGAAGACAAGTTTCTCAAACCACCGAAGAAGCTGATGAAGAAGTGGGCCACCTTAGTAGACGACCTGAAGAAGGCTGGAAGCGTGCCCAAAGACGACCCAGCAAACTACGTGGGCGATGATATTGCCTCAGAGAGAATGGCTGTGTTACAAGGTATGGCTTTCTCTGCGCTGCAAACCGCCCGAGGAGCATCAGGTCCTCGCGAGACGATCGCGGGCATAGAGAACGGCATGCGGTTATGCTACCAATGCGGAATGTTCCCAGTATATCGTCAGCCGTACGCTCAGATGAGACACAACCTCTTCATCAACATGCTCACTGTTGGCAATTTCCCCATCGCTTGGGCTCAAGGCGTCAAGACATACTTCCTCATAGACCCTGTACTCTTCCCGCAAACTTACCATCCTGTCCGCGTGGTGCACACTTGGACATTGGCGATGCTTACTTTGTACATTGCGAGCGAGTACAATGGTCTTCAGTTCCAACAGTCAGTCGGCTCAGAATTGGACCTTGGTATCATCATATACGGATTGCTTGCGGAGGTATATGGAAATGTCCAGCGAAGTCATGGTCACTCAAGCAGCTTTGCGAAACTGGTTCAAAGGAAGTTTGAGGAGGTCAAAGTGGATATGACAAGAGGCTTTCCGGATGCTTTAAGAGGGATGGAAGGCCGTGTTGAGAAACATTGGAAACTTTTCAGGCACGCAGCCGACTGGATGCAGTACTAGGCCTTTCATATGCACCTCTTCGCATCTCTTTGACAACATTCACAACATATTTGGAGATAGCGGATATCTTCAAGAACCGTTGCTGCCTGAGTTTCACTTCACTTGCTCCAGTCTCGTCGCACGCTCGTCAACTCAGCGCAACCTCCAAAGCTTCCAGGTGTTCCCTCTCCACTCTACCTTCAAAGATCCATCTAAAACAACCTTGCGAATCTTCGCTTCTGCTGGAGTCAATTCCATCAATCGCTTCCGACTCTTGCAAGAAGCTATTTGCAGGCTGCAAGACCTTCCCGGCTGCTTCCTCACTATCTTCACCCAGTAGTACGTCTTCATGGTCCGCGTCCACGCAACTCTCTGACAAACTTCACAAGGCTAACTCAAGCCTAGACACACAGCTTCTGCTCGTAACACGTAAAAGTCTCAGATCATTGTTGAGCTGCAAATCAGTCCTTTGCTCTCTTCCGCCAAACAGCGCCGACCGCTTGCTGCAGGATTGAATCTCAGAAAACACCTACCGAAAACCTGTGAGTCCATCCGTCTCTGCAAATTGGCATTGGCTGATAACTGCACCAGGCCTTCCAGATCCAATCAAGATCAATCAAAATGGCATCCATCACCTTCTCACTCGACACTCTTGCTGTCCTCATGCTCGCTCTGAAGGAAAAGAGCGGCAAAGGTCTAGAGAACGCACATTACGAAATGATGTCGGCGCTCGACGGCACCAAGACCGCAGAATCTTTCAAGCACCAAATGCGTCCTGTCATCACGCGCGCCAATGAGTTGAAGGAGAAGCGGGATGGAGGAGAGATCTTCCGCAGCGTCAAAGCCGGCATGAAGCGCGGTTCGTCTCCCTCATGCAGTTGTTCCAGCTCCAGTGCTGACGCTATAATGACAGCCAAGACTGAGACGCAGTCTCCGGCTCCCGCCGCGAAGGAGCAACGCGGCCCTACGAAGGTCAAGAAGGAGAACCCGCAGATGCCTAAAGGTAAGGGTAGGAAGACCCCTACGACTGCCGCTGAGTTCAGTATCAGCACGGAGTTCGAGGACGCAGACGGCAACGTTCTTAAGGCGGAGGAGGCGGACGACGATGACTACCTGGTCTGACTTCATGGTACTGATACGCTAAGTTGTTGGTGGTGAAGACGTGCTACGGCTCTTCTGGGATGTTTGCGGTGGCTACGGGCGACCGGGGGTGAGCGCGGATAACGTGGAGTTTCAGCTTTTCAGCTTGAGCATAGGTTTAGCAGGCGTTGATTCCGGACGCCGAATACCTTATCAAAATTGGTGATCACAACCGCTCTTATGAATATTATCACGCAGCTGGCGATGCAGTACTATCTCGATCTTACGGAAAAATACCGGTCATTTCTCGGACTTCTCCAGTTCTATCTGGAAAGTTACACGTCTTAAAGACGGGCATTCTAACAAATAATCCCTAAAACTCACTTAATACCTAGCAGACGAATACCACCCCAAAACACGCACTGTTACCATCTCAAAGCTCACTTTAACTTCCTGTCTCAAACAACAACAGCCCCGCACCACCACCATGGCCGCCGAAGAAGAAGACGACTACATGACCTTCACCGTCACCGATCCGCAGCCCACCACAAAAGAAACCTCCATACAACGCCGCGCGCGCCTGAAACGCGAAGCCGAAGCCCGCAGCCGCCCGAAGCCCCTCTCCGAGCGCCTCACCGACTCCGCCGCCGCGCGCGACGCCGCGCTCTCGACCTCCCTCGACACCTCGAACAAGGGCTTCCAGATGATGGCGAAGCTGGGGTACAAGGCCGGCGCCACGCTGGGGAAATCGTCGGATGCGCGGGCGGAGCCGCTGGGGGTAGTGGTCAAGGAGGATAGAGGCGGCATTGGGCTGGATAGCGAGAGGAAGAGGAAGTTTAGGGAGGAGGTTGAGGGAGAGGCGAAGAGGGTGAAGGCGGAGGAGGGGGATTATAGGGAGAGGTTGAGGGTTGAGAGGGAGGAGAAGCGGATGGAGGGGCAGGTTGTGGGCGCTATGAAGGTGGCTGAGAGGTTAGCCGGGGAGGGGACGGAGGAGAATGGCGAGCAGCGGGAAAGTGAGCAGCGGGAGGAGAAGGCTGCGGAAGGAGAGGAGCATGAGGCGACGGCGGGGGTGAAGAAGAAGGAGCCTGAGCATAAGCCGCTGAAGAGTGTCAATGTGCTGTGGCGCGGTCTGCTTCGGCACCAGCTGGAGAGGGAGCGGGAGAGGCGCATGCGGTATGATCTGCATCAAAGCCTTTCACGATTACCAACGTACGAAGATCCGGACGAGGATGAAGACGACAAGCGGGCGCTTGGTAAAGACAAAACCGCTGTTTACGAAGAAGAACTCGAGGAGGAGGACCCCGAGCTCGAGGCGTTCAATGCATTGCCGGTCGCCCAGCGTCTGGAGAAGCTTGTCCGCCATTTGCGGAACACGCATCACTACTGCTTCTGGTGCAAATACCAATATTCAGACGCAGATATGGAAGGATGTCCAGGGATCACAGAGGAGGATCATGACTGATCGTTCTAGTAATGTACGAAATGGTACAGTATCTGAGGAACCCAGATGCCTCCTCAAGATCCTGCATCCGCCGAGACACGCCCTGTCGCTATACAACGCCGAACCGATGCCTCTACAACACTAAGCTATGTACAAGGACTGATCTGCTGAGTGGCATGGGACCATCTGTAAGTTGGCCGGTAATGTACATCGAGCAATGCCTCGAAGGGCGCCGTAGATAACAAGAACATAGAATACAAGGGCCTGGTTAGCCGTAGTCTCCAGCGCTCCGTAGGACCATTCGCACTAGAGCCCAGTCAGGCATGGCAGCCCTGAGTGGGCGTAGCCTGCGTATTGCGATCCCTCGGGAAGGGATTCGTGAACGATACGGGACGGTAAGTCCTTGAGCGTTAATATTGCCGCTATGTGAGCAGCTGCTTGGAACCAGGATAGTACGGCCGTCGACCACTTCGACGCGGCTTCGTGGTCGGAAATGTGCCCGCTGAAAGGCTTAGGGAAAGCGAGCGGCAAAATCTTCATTGTCGCCCGTCAAGTTGACCGCTCAGCTGCTATGGGCCGCTGCCCGCCCGGCATACCTAGTTGCCAACGCGTCATCGGAAGAGTGTTCGGGCGATCTCGTTACCGGCGTTGCTTGTTTCGCGGTCATGCCACGTTCAATGTGTAAGCAATCGACATCTCCAGTGTCGATTTTGGGTACTCCCATCTCCACTTTTGCTCTGTGGATTGATCTTTCGGCTTCTAGAGCGGAGGTGTTCATCATCAACACCGCGCGCAATAGCTCAGAGATCGAGTTGAGGCCAATTTCCGCCACTTCATGATCGCTGGGTTCGTTTGCGAAGTACCCGTGAGCGCCGACGGCCTTCCGTCTGCCCGCATCGAGGTCTCTAAGCTTCTGAACGACAAAAGCCAGTCTTCGCCTGTAAACGGGAGAGCTTTCCAATACTCCAAGCTGTCTGTAGGATCTCGGTACAGGAAGACCGACACGCGCTACTTGCTTCACTATAGCACGAGCTACCATCTGCTGTGGGTAGATGCCGAACCGGGTCTTCAGAGCGTGGAGCGCGACCAGGGTCCCAGCCAAATCAGGCACCATGCAGAAGCTGGATATGATCCGATTGTACGTCACTCTAGTAATAGACTCATGCAGTCGCACGCCGGAAGCGTGTTCAGGATCCGAAAAGGCTCTTTCCATCCGAGCGAACAGACTTCTTGGTGGCGGGTACCCTTTGTGCCAGCTATTCTTCGTTCGGTCGACGTAGAGTGTCATGCCGTACCAGAGCTTAGCGTAAACGTCGGCGTTGGCTTGAACGGTGTTGGAAAACCGCCTCACTTTCTGCCAGGCTTCGCGGTAATGGCCCCACCTCATATCCCGAAATATAAGCTGCGCCAGGAACGTAGCTTCTGCGGGGACCCCTGAGGATTTGCGGACATTCCGGAGGTGACTCACGTAAGATTTGTGGTGCGGTCGGTCGAGCCTGTTCCTTGTATAAAAGCGAAGCAGGATGGTGAATGTCTCGATTGTCGCTGGTAAAACGGGTCGACGAAGAAAGATGGGGATACGGGCATCATTCTTAGGCTGTCCCGCGGGCTGCCCGTCCGACAACAAGCCTTTCCTTCTTGACTCGCGTTGTTGCCGCCCAAAGTTGAGTCTCTCTCGTATCATGAGCCAGGCAAGCTCTTCGCCGTGCCTGCGTGCCGTCAGACGCTGAACCGCGTCACCAGACCGCTTTGGCCTCAGCAAAGTGCGGACGACAGTGTTGAGCTGCCTCGCCGTGAGATCGATGTTCCTCTCATACATTAGCTCCAGAAGCTGGGCGATTGAAAGGTCGTCCTTAAACCTCGCCAGCTTGCCTAACCACGTTTTGTAGATGTCGACGTTCTGGTGATGATTTGGCATAATCCGAAGTCCGAGGAGAGAGGCTTGGTTGATCTGTGAGGTCGTTTCGCTCAACAATTGAAGGCGGCGAATGTAGCGGTATACCTGCCCGCTTAAACCCTTGGGGTCGTCTATCGAGCGGCTTGTCTGGGCTAGCATATCCATGAAAACGGAAATGGAGAGGTCTCTTTGGCGACTTCTCAAAAAGCTGGAGTAGATCGCTTCGTATTCCAACCGCGTTAGGTCTGAGGTGCGCTCTTGCAGCAGCAGGTAGAGTGCCCAAGCTTGATGGAAGTAGTCTTGCCTAGTATCTCTGCCGTCGCATGTATTGAACGATATCAGAAGTGGGATGATGATTCGTACGTCCCAGTTCGAGTGTTTCTCACGCAACTCTTCGAGGAGCAGCTGGGCCCGATTGGGATCTCCTGCCGCTGCATGGATTCGGATGCCGAGTTCTAAATAATCTTTAACTCTTTCATCCGATACATAGCGCCGCTGCTTTTCCCAAAGGTCGATGGCTTCTTCGTGTTCGCCAACGTGGCACAGAGCCTCAACACGTGCGAATCCCTTTAAAGGGGACCGACCGATGCTATTAATGTCTTTTAACAACACTTCCAGACGCCCAAATCGTTCGCTATCCGGGTAGGAAGAAGGCCCAGCCTGAACGGTCCATAGAAAATTCCACGTTGCTTGCGAGATTGCCTCGAGTAGCCCTGGAACGGTCCGCTTAGCTTCTGCGTAGGAAGCCCAGAGCGCTCTTCTGTTTGTAGCGCCAGTCCTGTCTGCTAATGATTGGCCTAAGCTCGCATTGAGACGAAGCAGATCCGGTGGCGCAGAATGCTCCCCCGGTACTTTGATCTCAATAGCCTCCAGTTCGGCCAACCTCATTCGATATTCCTCTACCTTCCTTAGGCTATTAACATGTTGGATCTGCGAGAGGAATGCGTGCTCGTGTTGCTGGCGTGTGCTTCGTTCGGACCTCAGCTTTTCGCTGTGTTTCCGAAGCCTTTCCTTAACCGCAAGAATCTCTGCCTGTTGCGCTTCTTCGAGCTCCCGGGCCGTCTGCTTCTGCGGCCATGAAAATATCAACCCTTCGCCTTCGATCCCGTTTGCGCGTATGTCTTGAGCGAAGCTCGTAGCGAGTGACCGAAGGAAGCGCTGGCATGTCTGCGGTGTAGGTACTGCTTTCCGCGGAGAGTTACAGGGCGCAATGCGATGCATTACCTGGGGAAGGCGAACTCGGGGATGGTCAGCTCACCTCCGGACGGCGCCTGGCGTGGTGAAAGGGTTGGCAGTACAAGGAAGGCCGAAGGTGGGGTATATGAAGGGTGGTCGAAATGAATAACATCCATAGAGGCAAAGTTTGGTACGGTTGGCCACTTGATGGAAATATTGTCACTAACCTGCAGGGTCCAAGATGTCATGTCCGCCGGCGGATTGCCGGGCTTGAGATAATCGGTGCACGTGCCTGCGCGTTGAACTGCGTCGCGCCAACCGCGACCAGTCCTGTAACGCTGACAACCCAAGGGTCAAATCCAGTGCTCTTCGAACCATGGAGCATCAGAAGTGCTATCTATTTAAACCCCAAGGCGGCCGGCCAGCCAAGAGGCGGCGCCTAAACAACTCTGACCTACCTTCCTCCTGGCCCCTGAGGGAAGCGACGTACAATGAGCTCTGGGCTACTCAAGAAAAGCGTATCAAGGTGAGCGGTTTTTTTGCGTCCGAGAATTTTCGTTCGTTTAAGGTTCCCGTATTTCTTAGATCTCAATCAAGAATCTTCAGTATTATAGATCTCATCTCTGTTACGGTTAGCAATATCATATGCCCGTGTTCTTGTCCTATCTAGAACACATATATTGGTGTATCTGTTCAAAAATCTCATTACTAGCGTAAGAAGGTCACAATACACGACAGCGCCAGTCTTCTGAAAATCAACGCCGGGCTTCTTTCGCGTGATACAAGACTACCAGACAACCTGCGCTTCGAGGGCCCCTTTGACGATACCGATGCTAAGTCAGATTTAGGATGTACTTTCGGAAGTCAACAGAACCACGACAGGGGAGATCACATCCTTCGTATCCGCATCTGCGACTGAGTCCCGCACCTCTGCGTACAAGATACCGACCGGACTTGTCGTTGCTGGGCCGAGCATTGCATCTCACCGGACTTTGTTTGAGCATCTAGGGCGCGAAATCGTTGCTCAAACTCGTAGCGCTTTTGTCTTGCTCACCTCTGCTGAATGTCCAAACTTGAAAACACTGCTCAAGAACCTTATCAAGAATGCTACAGCACGCTCGACTGAAGAAGACGAGGACGATGAAGTGGCCGGCAACGCTTCCCAGAAGGGGCCGAAGCTTCTCACTTATGACTTACAGCTACTGTATCTATGGTTTAGGATCCAAGATCTGGACCAGCTAGTTGTAGCTTTCCAGGACAGCGAGGCATTTGACGGCTCGTTACTCGGAGAAGCTATCGAGTTGCTCAGGTGAGTTCTCCCCGCCTGCCGAAGACATCCTGGAGTGACCCATTTCAGGTTCTGGTCGGACCGCACACCGTTTGTCTTGCTTTTTGGAATAGCGACGACCGTTGAAACCTTCGAAAACAAGCTGCCTCGAGCTGCAAAGCGGTGTATCGAGGGGCAGAAGTTCGATGTGACTCAAGCCGACGAAATCCTCGAACGAGTTTTACATGCAGCCATTGACGGTGATGATGTTCCTCTAAGGCTGGGGCCGGCGCTAAGTACGCAGTTGCTTGACAGACAGAAGGACCACGTTCAGAGCGTAGATGCTTTTGTTGAAGGCCTCAAGGTTAGCTGAAATCGTCCTCATAGTAGATAGGGGCGCTGACTGGTATTAGTACGCCTATATGTCCCACTTCTACGCTAATCCCCTGAGTCTGCTTCTCCGCAAAGATCTGAAATTTGAACAAATGTCCGGTGATGACTTTGAGGCCGTCCGCAATCTGGGTTCCTTTCGCGAGTGCGTGTACCCAACTCAGCGCAATTGTGGTTCTACAACTGATATCTATAGGTTAGCCGAGCGGTTGCTCGACAACGGTGAAGCAGCACTAGTTCGATCTCTGCTCGATTCTGATGCAGCTCTGTTCAATTATACAAGGGGGCAGCTCGATGAGGGGCAGCTCAAAGTCTCAAGCATGGTCGGGGCCCTAGAGACGTTGAACGTGCTCCGCGGCTGCTTTCCGAAGATGCCGGTCATCCCTCTCTCGTCGCTTTATGTTAGGGCAGTCTCAGGGGAGCTCAACGGATCGCCCGCAGTCCGTGAATTGCTAATTTCTGTCAAGAAAGCATCTTCGGATATTTTCATCCAGATTCTGGATTCCTTGCTAGCATGGACGCCAGAGGATGCTCAGTCAATCGTGTGCTCTCTTCGTGAACGGCTTGCTGCTCTGATGGAGTCCAATGAGGACTGTTCGACACCCCTTAGAAGCGAGCACGACTTGCGTAACGAGACACTCAGGACGACCGTTGTTGCACAGAAAGTAGAGTTGAGCAAACAGAAGTCGGCACTATCCAAGAGAGATGCCGCATACTCAAAGCTGGTCGATGAGTGTCACAGTCGGCTAGAAGCTTACTTTGCCGAGATGTTCATCAATCCGCAGGAAATTTTTCTTCATGAAATATTTCTTTACGATCTCAAATCACCGCACAAGGACGCCTTCACTCCAAGGCCCCGATACGCAGTGGAGCGAGCTTTGTCAGCGCCTCAAGATTATCTGGGATGCGATTGCTGTCGTCCGGCTGCTGGCAACGACGGCACTGAGGTACGTCAAACTCTAGAGCGTCTTCACCGCGTCGTCTAACATTCTTCACAGAGCACGCTATCCTCTACGCAACCTGCGACTACGATTATGTACCAGCTCTATCTGGAGTCTGGTTCCCTGATCAATGTCAGCGATCTTTGGTCAGCGTTTCAAGCAATCATGGGTGACGATGATGACGAACAGGGTCTCACGATGTGAGTACTAAGATAGTGCTGTTCAACTGAGGACGATATATGATACAGTATGTACACAGGCTAACCTTTCGCAGGGCGTTGTTCCAGCGCGCACTAGCGGAGCTAAGATGCCTTGGTCTGATCAAGAGCAGCAGAAAGAAGACGGACCATGTGGCAAAGCTGGCATGGAAGGGGCTCTAACGCAGTACTCAGTCCCGACCGTTCCTATCCCTGCTGGAAGGCTCCCTAGCCTTTCGTTAACCTCAACCCGTCTCCGGTGTTCTGGACGGGCCACCTGATCTCTCGGAAGCTTGGTGGCTTGTTCGACAAATCAAGCACATCTTTGTTCAACGTTCAGTCTTTTGCGGGCTTCGGTGCAACGTCACAGATCTCGCCGCAGTTTTTACACTTCCTCGCCTCCGTATCCGCCTTAAACTTATTCACGGCCTCCTTTATCTGTGTGCCAAGGTCTGTGCAGTGGAAAGCCGCCTCGTGCACCTTCTCGCCGCAGTTCTGGCAGTACCAGCGCAGCCTATCCATCGAGCCCTCCGGTCGGGGCTGCTCTAGTACTATGCCAACGGTGTTCGCAAAGCGGACCGGGTTGTGCGGCGTGTTCGGCGGCAACAGGAACATCTCGCCCTCGTTGATGTGGATGTCGCGGAATTTGCCACCATCGACTGTCTTCAGAAGCATGTTGCCTTTGTATTGGTAGAACCATTCTGCTGTCTCGTTGATGTGGTAGTCGGTTCGTTCGTTGGGCCCGCCGACAATCTGAGGAAGCACCAGGTTGTCAGTATACATCTGCTTACGCCTGAGACGCGAACGTAATACCATGACAGTCATTGGTCCGTTCTCAACGCAGTAGTTGTTGATCGGTGGTTTTAGCAAGTGGGAGTTTTCTTCAAGCCTGTAGTCACTCAGTCAATCCCACATCCTTGTCATTGCGTATGGGAGCCATACTACGCACCACTTTGGAAGGTTCAAGGGGCTAGCCAACGCTCGCCTCCTTCCAGTACTGGAGAAGTTGGCATCGCGTATAACTGTCGGTATGATACGGGAAGCCGGCGGGGCGCAAAGCGCGCGGCGCGTCCCAGTGAATAGCAGAGGCCGGACTGACTGCATAGTCGGCTGAGAGGTTGTGTTGCAACTCCGCGATCTGGTACCGAAGTCGCAGTGATAGTGATATCGTGCAAAATCTTACATAGTGACTGCAGATATGCCAATTGTCATCCCGCTCAAATGGCCTCATCGACCGCGGTTCCGGGGTTTAGCGTGAGCCACTACCTTATCACCGGCCCGCGTCGTGGATCAGCACGTGCCTCTCAGCCTCCGATCAGCGTTCCGCAACGACAACACGCGATAGCGACCAAGCAGCTTCGAACTGCTCCCTTCTCCAAACTTACCCACCTCACAGCAACTCAGAAACTCAGAAACTCAGAAACCAGCAATGGACCACTCCCACATGGATCACGGCCACATGGACCACGGCAACATGGGTCACGGCGGCCACCAGTGCAAGATGAACGTGGGTCTCCCCTCCCTTCACTCTCTCCCCACCCCCTTCCCTTCTGCGCGCAGGACAACAGCTCTAACAACGCCCCTCCAGATGATCTTCACCTGGTCAACCCAAGACCTCTGCATCATCTTCGACTGGTGGCACATCCACAGCTCCTTCACGCTCTTCATGTCGCTGTTGGGCGTCGTGATCCTGACCGCGGGGTACGAACTCGTGCGCGAGCTTGCGCGGCGGTACGAGGCTGGCGCGAACCAGAAGATGCAGAATTTGCCTGGTAGGTCTCCCTCCTGGTTCTGAGCCCTATTTCCTAAGGGGTTTTTGGCTGGGTCGAGGTGTTGGGGGAGCGAAGGGTCGGGGAGGAGGGCTTTTGTTGCGGCAAAGCTAAGGTGTCCAATACATAAGACACACGAGATGATGGCGAATCGAGCTCATTACTGTGGCCAGGGAGGACGAGGGGGGAGGCCGAGCAAAGGAGCAGGATTGTCAAGGCGGTGTTTTATGCCGTCCAGGTGTTCTACTCGTTCTTTATCATGTGAGTAATACTTCCCACTTTCCGTACCCGGTGCTCGGTTGGTTGATATGGATCGCAGGTTGCTGTTCATGACGTACAATGGCTGGGTTATGCTAGCAGTGGCCGTTGGGGCTTTTGTGGGGTATCTGGCGTTTGGGAATTCATCGGCGACGAAGAGCGTTGCCTGTCACTGAGGTAAGTACCGCAGGTTCGGGTTGGCTGGGTTAGAGATGAGCTGTGGACTAGACGGTAGAAGTCCCTCAACAGCATGAATTCCATGGAAGATTATCGTTCAGGAAGCAAGTTAAGCGCATCAAAGGTGCTCCTGCTATTACGGTATTTACAAACCCAACACCACTCCACTTTGCATAGACGCCCAACGCCCATCGCTTAGTTACCACACGGCCGTCTCTACACCTGTAATCACTCCTCTCCATCCTCCTCATCCTCATCCATACCCTCCGCAGCCGTGACCTCAAACGTCGGCGCCTGATCCACCCCAATGTAGCTATCACTCATCAAGTACAGCGTCAAACTATGCTTCCCCGGCGTCGGAACCACATACTCCAGCCTCGTCTTCAGACTCTTCCCAATCGTAACCCTCTTAATCGCCAGCAGGTTCTTCGTCTCCTCCTCGCCGACAACAAGCCACCAGTTCTCCGTCTTGGTACCCGGGTAGAACGGCGCGTGCACCTCGGTGTTCGGCTCCTTGTCCTCGTCGACCTCGCGCTCGACCGTGATATTGATGTACGCCGGCGCGCCCGCGGTGACCTCATCGGGGTCCTCGAGCTCAAACGCCAGCTCGAGATTCGGATACGCATCGTTCGTGAACTTGGCCGCGTCGGCGAGCTGCTTGTTGCTAAGCCCCAGCTTCTTGATCAGCGCGTTGTAGTTCGGGTTCTCCTCCGGATCCATCGCCTCCATGAACTCAAAGACATCGGTGATGCCGGCGTCGTTGGCCGCCTTGACGACCTCGTTGTCGAAGTGCGGGATCTGCTTCAGAGGGCTGTCGCGGTCCCACATCGCCTGTACCACCATCTGCGACATCTCCATGGCGCTCATGGCGTTGAGGTGGCCTTCGGAGGAGAGGACGTCGACGCAGGCGCTGAGGAGGTTGAGCACTTTACGCAGGATGGCTTCTTGGTCTTTGGAGAGGTCTATGGGCAGCTGCATCCGCGAGAAGTGGGCCTGTAGCAGGACGAACGCCTTGAAGTGCGGGGATTCGTAGCTAGGCTCCGCCATCTTAACGGGCAGGCGGTCGTAGATCCGACGCAGTACGTGGTCTTCGTGCCGCCGGATTTGAATGTTCTCGAACTCGGTGGCGGAGGTGACGATTTCGAGGATGCCCTTGAGCTTGGTGCGGCCGGTTAGCGAGAGGAGGAACGTCTGCATGGTGATGAAGGAGATGTTGTAGTATGCTGCGATCATGGCTGGGTTTAGCGGCGTGATGGAATCGTCCTCTTCATCAAGCTCGATAATCTTAGCTTGCTCGAGATCCTTGAGTGTTGTTTCGACAAGCTCTGACAGATGTGTGCTGAGGCCCTCATGTGAGGTATCGGTAAGTCCGTAGTAGCTTGGATTGGCGAGCAGTCGACGGTAGAAGTACGTATAAGTGGACCAATCGACAGCATCCTGGGTTGACTCGATGGTTTTCGAGCTGATCTCAGCAACGAACGCATCGTGGAGGTTAGCCTGGAGGTGACTCTCCATAGGTAGCGCCTCGTTCAGAAACTTCTTGTAGTATTCCCGCTTGACTTGCGGTACCATGAGGACACCCTTGCTTGTCTTGTCCGTGCCAGGTCGACCGGATTTGCCGAACATCTGGAGCACCTCACTGATTGGATAATCGATATAGCGATGCTCACGACCTTCGAAGAATTGAGTGTTCATGACAACGACAAGGTGGGCGTTGACATTAATTTCCCAGCAGGAGTCTCTCGAAACGAGCAAGACCTGGATGGCGCCCACGCGGAAAAAGTGCTCAACAGCCTTCTTGTCGAACGGACTGAGAGCCTCGTGAAAGTAACCAATACCGTGAGACATGGACTCGGCGAGTGCTCGCTCATTGATCCTTTCAAGGACCGAAGCGATCTCGTTGATATCAACGTTCAGGAAGCGGTCCTCGTCGTTGTCGGCGGTGCAGGCTGCAAGTAGATCGAAGGCTGTCTGGCGCACTTGCTTTCGGCTTGGTACGAATATCATCGCTGGCTTGTCGGGTGACAGCTGCAGGACAGCCTGGTACGCCGGCTTGGCCATAGCGAGCATAAGAGAGGGGAAGTGCGGGATCGTGTAGGACTGGATGTGGAGTTCGAGAGGCACAGCTCGCACATGAGGGCTGAAGTTGAAAATCGTATGCTTGCTGGCTCCAATCCACTCGCCAATGTCGCGGGCATTTGATAACGAGACACTGAGGCCAACAATGCGCATGGAAGACTCCAGCTGAAGCGTCATGGCATGCATGCGAGACACAATGACCTCGTACGTATAGCCGCCCGAGCCACCGAGCATGTGGAGATCATCTGCAATGAACAGCTTGACGCTCTGTACGTTCTTTCGCCGCTGCCACTGCCGAGAGATGCTGTCCCACTGGGTCGGAGTAGCCAAGATAAGATCACCCATCTCAAGTCGCCGCAGGTCTGTTGTGGACTCGCCAGTAAGCTTGACCACTTGCTTGCCGCCGGCGACCTTTGCGAAGCGTTCTTGCCAGTCCCTGAAGCGGGCGTCGACCAGTTCTTGGAAAGGCGCAATGTAGACTGCGCGACCGTTGTCAGACTTCGCCCAGTGCCGTAACAGCGCAAACTCCGCACAGACAGTCTTGCCGCTACCTGTGGCTGCGCCAACAAAGACGTTGTCGTCCGAGGCGAAGAGAGAGTTAAAGACCTGGGTTTGGATCTTGTTGAACCGCCCAAAGTTTTCGTAAAGTGCCTGGTAGTCTTGCCGCTTCAGCGCTGCGACTGGAAGAGGCTGCAGCTCGAGTAGTGCGGTGTGAGGAGGAAACTTCTCCGGTAGTACGAGCTTCTGGAAGGAGACCGCGAGCTTGGTCTCGGCATGCATCCATCGGTCGGAGATGACTGTGATGAAGTAATGAGGTGGCATAGGTTCAGTAATCGGCACGGTGAACTCGACCAAGTGCTCATTCATCTCCGACTGCGCATAGTCGCGACGTAGAAGGAACTGGTCATGGAACAGGATGTCTTCGCCATCGCAGTCCTCAACCAGGATCCAGAAGCCTTCAGCACCACCATGCAACGCTTCATCCCACTCGAAGTTGGGCGTGATTGTGAGTTCAACACGAAGCATAGAGCGTGTCATGGGCTGAACCTGCGCTTGGAGTTCAAGGCGAGGGAACTTCTGCACCAGCGCGCAAACAGTCTTTCCGGCTTTTGGAATGCCCAAAAGTTCGCCCATCCGTGGCGGGTCGAGATCAAAGTAGCTTGACCACGGGACGTCGATCCGCTCCGCTTTAGCAATAATGTCTCGAGGACACGAGGGGAACTGCCGCAGTGGGCTCATGGTAGGCCACATTCGCTTTTCGGCCATCTTACAGAGATCTAGAGCAGTCTTTGCAACTGACGCCCATCCCTTCTTCAGTGCGATCTCGAAGATTGCTCTGAGGATACGACCGGCTGATTGAGTCACATAGACAAGATCAGCCATGAGTGCCAGGCCTTCTAGTTTGAGACGCGAGATGTAAGCTTGCAAGAGCACATTGATCTTCGCATGAGGTTCGTCGATACTCTCCTTGACCGGTATAGGCACCCGGCCAAGCAGCTTTGCGAGCTCGAGCTTCTCATCCTGTCGAACCGGGATGTACTTGAACTCGTCGCTGAGCGCAAAAACACGGAAGAGTTCGATGGTAGAGATAGATGGCTGAATATGCAGGTTGTATGTAAGCATCGAGTTGTGGGTGATGTAATAGTGCGAGGCGACTCTCCCAAGTTCGGTATGCTGAAGCTTCCCTGATCGCTTGTCGTACTTGACGAGATTCGACTTCTCAAGCACAACTGCGGCGGAGTGAATCAGATCGACCCGCTTCTGCTCGAGAGCCTCGTCGTCCTCGTATTCTGCACCAACGCTGTACAGGCCGGGCGACCTAAGCATTCGCACGAAGAGGTACGTGTAACCAAGCCACTCAACACCCTCATCTCTCGACCGGACATTGCCAAGGACCACTTCAGCATTCAGATTGTCTGCCAACTTACTTATGAACTGGGACTCGATCGGAAGCTGCTGGTTCATGAGGGACAGGTAGTACTGCATTTCGCTCTGAGTAGTGATGATGATGCCTTCACCGAAAGTGTCGTACTGTGGTCGACCGGCACGGCCAAGCATCTGCAGCACATCCTGAGGGCTCAGTTCCACCCAGCTACCCTTTTCCGGCGAGTATATCTGCGTTCCCTTGATGATGACGGTGTGGGCAGGAAGATTGACGCCCCAGGCTAGAGTTGCGGTGCAAACCAATACTTGCAAAGAACCGTCAGCGAAGAGGTCCTCGACTGAAGTGCGATCTGCGCGGCTCATTCCTGCGTGATGGATACCGAACCCGTAAGGCATCAGGTCCTTGAGGTCCGCATTTGTAACGCCCTCGGCTTCCGTCCTCAAGATTTCTCGGCTAGCAGCGTCAGTCCGAAGAATCTGACCGATGGTCTCCAACTCGAGGGCCTTGTCCCTAATGTACTTCGCGGTCTTCGCAGTCTCCTTCCGCGAGTGGACGAAGATGAGCATCTGGTTCCTGTTCTCGCCAACCTGCTCAAGCACCTTGGTGTAGCAGACATCGTTCATAGTTCTGAGCTGCTTGATTGCCTTCTTCTCAGTGACGCCAATGAACTCCTGCCTGAGCGGGCAAGGCCTGTAAGAACCATCGAAATGGAACAACCCTTTGAGAGGATCCACACGAAGGAAGCTTGCAACATCGCGGTAGTTGGGTAAGGTAGCGCTCAGACCAACCAAGCGGACTGCATCCCCAGTCTGCTCCATACGACGGATGGTGCGGCTGACTATGCTCTCGAGCACGGGGCCGCGGTCGTCGTGGAGCAGATGGATCTCGTCGATGCAGATGAGACGCACGAGATTGGTATAGCTTGTATCGGTGGCTTTGCGGGTGATGACGTCCCACTTCTCAGGCGTTGTGACAATGATCTGGGTATCAGCGATTTGTTGCTTCGTGAGCTGACGGTCACCGGTAAGTTCAGACACACGAATTCCGTAGGGTTCAAGCCGCTTTCCAAAATTGCCAACCTGTTCTTGCACCAGGGCCTTGAGCGGAGCGATGTAGATGATCTTGAACTCATCAAGGTTGATCTCTCCAGTCTCCGGGTTACGGTGCTTGCCAATCTCGCGAAGCATGGCCAGCATCGCAACGTTAGTCTTACCGGAGCCAGTGGGGGCGCAGATGAGCATGTTCCCGTCGTCGTTGAACGCAGTCGGAAAACATCTTGTTTGGATCCGATTGAGCTCTTTCGACGTGCCAAAGCCTGGTCTGGCCCAGTCGGGCAGCTCAGAGGTGGGCATGTTCCTAGGGTCGTTCGCATCTCGTCTTGGTTTCGGAGCTGGGACGTGGATCTCTTCGTAACCCTTGAACGTGCGTTTCGTCGAGCCTTGTGGTAATTTGACGTTAGGGTTCGTCATGAGATGGTTGCCTTGATCGAATACGAGGTTCTCCAAGTTGATGAGCCGCTTTGGCTGCAGACCACCAACCAATCCTCCCTCTTTCGCTCCATCGGCCATGTCTGTATCTTTGGCTGCCGATGGCACGTCTATGTCCATGAGATCCAGCTTCATCTTTTTACTAGGAGCTGCTCCAGAGCCATCCTCCACGGTTTCCCTAGTGCGTAGCTCGGTAAGAATACTTCGATGACCTGATGCAATCATCTCACGCTCGACGGCCGCCCTAGCAGCTTGGTCTTCCGCAGCCTGTCGCCATCTGGTGACCCAGACAATCTTGTCCTTGTTCAACACCAGCTTCTCGACTAGCTCGTGATGTTCGTAGTCGAATAAATCCATGAGATCGTTCTCGATCTCGCGCAATGCCTTCTCTTCACCATCCTCCGACTCGCCAGACATGATTTGCAGCGCATCTCGCGTCTTTTCCTGTTGTGTATGGGCATCTTCGTAGACTTGTCCAATTTGCCTCTGCAGCCAGTAGGCATCAATCTCGTAAGCCGGTACAACTTTGTCCTCAGCTTTTGACTTGGAGTCCCGGTTCGTTTGACCAGAGTCGATGACCATCCCACCGTCCTCGTCCGGCGAGGCGCCATCTGCTTCGACATCAGCTGCACCGCCAGCGGCAGCAGCTTCTTCGGCGCCGTTGCGATCGGCAAACTCGTCTGCGTCCTCATCAGAGGTTTCACCCTCGTCGATGACTTCACGAGTCTGCCCTTCATCCTCATCATCTTCGTCGTCGAAGACAACAGCGACGCCTTGCCGTTCGTCAAGTTCGGCGTCGTTTGCCGCACCGTCCGCACCGTCCGTCGCCTCATCGTCGTCCTGGGCGTTATAGTCGGTGATCTTCTTCCCGAGATTAACCAGCTCGTTATACTCCTTCGAGCCCATGGTCGTCCCCAGAATATCATCAATCTCCTTCTTTTTGTCATAGTCCTTCATGTCGTCGTTCTTAAGGTACTCCAGGATCATATCCGCCGCGCTTAGGGTGACCGACGCCGGCACGTCTCCCAGACTCCTGCCCACGATTGTGATGATCAAGTCGTACGTCGCCCTCGTGGCCGGCGTCCTCGGGCGATAGCTGAGCCCCGCAATGTCCAAATCCTGCGACAGGATGCCCACGCCCCTCATCTGCGCCGGCTCGCCCCTCTTCCTCTTCTTCTGCTCTCGCTCCAACACATCCTCGCCCTCCCGTATGCTGCCGCGCACCACACCCGCAGGTCCCGTACCTTTCTTGTGCACCGGCGCAGCTTCCCTCGCCGTTCGCGAGCCCATGTCTCGAATGCTGAGGCGGCCGGCGAGTGACTCTGGGTCTCCGGTGTTCTCGTCGCCACGGCGAGTGACGAACCTGCGGTCCGCCTGGAGGACCAGGTTGGACATGGCCGCATACTTGAACTGCGCGAGGTTGTTCTCCTTCTTTTGATCCGCCATTCTGAAGAGAGTGTCGCGCTCCCGCCTTCTGTCCAGATACTAAGGGATGTTGGACGTGGGGTGACCGACTCGGAGTATATCGCGTAGAGGTCTGGGCGGCGCGACAATAGGATGGGTCGGCCGTTTGGTGGGGGTTAGAGGTTGTAGGCGGCGATGCAGCGACTCCAGAGAAAATATGGTACCCGGTAAGGCAGCTTACAAGAGCCGCATCACGCTAGTGGTGAGAAGGTCTTGGCATTGGAGCCGCAGGCATAAGGACAGTTTGGTCACGTGGTCTTCCCAGTGCATTGCACTTGCGAATGGTTAAAAATGAACAGACTGCCGCTGAATGAAAGGCATGCTGCAGCCGGGTGCCTAGCCGTAGCGATGATGCCCCTAGTGCCCATATCCCATTTCATGGGCCTTATAAACAGATTCCTCTCGAATAACCAACCCCCTCCACAGCAAGCTTTACTCTAGCCATTCGATTCCGGGACCCGTCCAACGCGCTTCCTCCGATACCCACTAAACCAAGTTCCATAAGGAACACGCGCAAGTGCCCCCTAAAGATACCCAAGACACCAACCCAAGAAATACGCCTCTCACTAGTCCAACACCAAAACATGCTCGCTAAACCGCAGCAATAGAGAAACACGAACGTAAAGCACCATTCCTCCTCGAAACGCATGGCCACTCAGGCAAATGTCATCTTGATCTCCTTCTCCCGCCCAAACTCATCATCGTCGTCCGCCCAAGCATTATGCTCCGGGTTCATATCAAAAGTGCTGGCGGGCATCGTAGTCGCTGATCGCAGCGGCGGTCTGCTGTCCGGCAATGAGGGTGATGTCCAGGAGTCTTGCTGCGGAGTTGGTGACGTTGTGCTGGATGCGACGGGTGAGCGCGAGTGGGATGCTAACGGGGACTGCTGATAGGATGTGTCGAAAGTCATGGAGATGTTGTTGTCGCCATCGTTGAGTTCGTCGTAGTCGTCGTAGCCATTGGCTGGCAGCGGCTTTGTGGGTGGAACTGTGGTGTGACCGTTCGGCGCGACGGGCAGCGACAGGTTGCTTGCATTCGACTCTTGTCCGAGCGCTTTGCTGCTATCGTCGAAGCTTTTTGTTTCTCGTAGCGGGAGGGACGGCCGTGCGGCAGGGCTTACGTCGATTCTCATCGGCGGTAGCGTGGATTTAATCTCCTTGATCTGTATCCCTTCCGCAGCAAACTCAGCGGCTTCTCTCCTGATCGCATCGACGTCGAACAAGACGGCTGCATCCTTCCCGTCCACCCCATCCTTGACCCCCGCATCCGGCCCTGTCTTCGCCCTCTCATCATACGTCTCCCATTCCTTCTTCTCAGCCTTCTTGCTCTTGAACAGGCCAAATCTCTTCTTCTCCGGCTTCTTTTCCAGCGCCTTCCTCGCTTCCTCGATCTCGTTGATCAGCTCTCTCTGCCTCTTCTCGTGGTTATCCGGATCCGGGTCCTCGATTTCGGCAAACTCGTCGCTCTCGACCACCCAGCCCACTTCGCGCAGCAGGCGTGGCATCGCTGCTCTGTACGCCATGTGCCCGTTGACGAGATCCGTGACGTTTACGTTTTCGATGCCTTGAACCTCGACGGGGGCGAGGCCTGCGACCCGCATTATGCCGCCGCCGGTGGCGCGGAAGAGGTAGCCTACAGTCGAGATCAGTCCATGTCGTTGGGAAATGCTTGGCTCTCCAAAACTTACCCAAAATCCAGTCGTTGGTGGCATACCCGTTGACGAACCGTCCCGGCACCACACTCTTGATGCGGAGATACTCATCCTTCTTCGCAACGATAGGCGAGCCAAAGAGATACGCGTTCTGCACCAGGCCGTATGCACCACGGGCAGCCAGCTCGCGTAGACACGCGAAGATGACGCGGGAGCCGAGCGAGAAACCGACTAGAGTGACGGGTCGGACACCCAGGTTGCGGTCGATGAGAGAGTCGGCGAGGATGAGACCGGCCATGTCTGCTCGTGCTAGTGATACGTTCCATGGGTTGTCGATGAGGTAGGAGAGCTTTGTGAGGACGACGGGGAGTGTGATAGCTGCCATGAGGGCGGTGAGAATAGTGCTGCCAAGCACCTGTTGCAAGCCTTGAGTGAGAGCCTGGGTGCCGTTAGCAGTCGGTTCATGCTACAATCCATGGTCATCCTACCTCCGTAGCAAGAATGTTGATTGTAGCTCCCATACTCCGTAACATCTCCGGTTCCCACAGGACAGAGTAGATGTCGCCCATTATAGGATCTACAGTACTGTACGGTAGCCGCACGTCGTCGACCTTGCCGTTCATCCACCCAGCAACTGTGACGATGAGGTTTACTCTCTTGTTATTGTGCAATGGGCTATACTCGAAGGTTTTCACGGCCCCTGTCCGCCTATCAGAAGCTCTGACGGCAATGGTACCTCCAGCAAGCACTCCCGTGGTCGTGACAAGCGCCGCACCACCCGCGCCAGCCAGAAAACCACCCGTACCCGCCACGCCGATAGTAGTGAAGCCCGCAGCAAGACCGGCACCGATAACCGGCGCAAGAAGCCCAGCCGACAGTCCAATGACAAGACTACCGCCCACGGTTGCCAAGCCCATCATGACCAGCCGTCTGTTCCGCGCCATCCTCTTGCGGTTTTGCATGTGCTCTTCCTCGTTCCAGTTTTCTTTGCTGGCTGCTTCCTGCATCTCCAGGGCGTCGATGACACGCTTCTCGAAGCGGCAGATCTCGAGCCATGGCACGCTCAGGGAAGCGCCTACGCGCTCGAGGAGCTGTCGTGAGCGGGAGTCATAGACTGAATCTGCGATCAGAACGAGGAACAGATCACATAGGATGGTCCAGCGGAGGTCGATGTCAATGTTCTGAGTGTCGGGGAGCTGTGAGGGCGTGCGGACCTCGGGGAGGTCGTCCCCTTCATGGTCTGCGTAGGGTGGCGGAGGCGTCTCAGCAAGGTTCGGAGTTGCTGGGCAGCTCGCCAGCTTCTCGGTGCTTGCGCCTGGTTGTGGCGAAGAGATGGAGGGTCTTCCAGAAAGAGGTTCCTCCGCATTAGGGTTCCTTACTCGAGAGTTCTGCATTAATTGAGGGGTCAGGTCCTCAGGTCTGATGTCGTGCTCGGCCAGCTGCTCAATCATGATCTGCTCTGCTGAATCAACTTCCATGTGGCTGTATAGTCGGACCATCATCTTTTGGCTCCACATCTTCATGGACTCAACACCCAGTTCTATCTCTTTCTTCGCGCCCTTGGTCTTCTCCAAACTTTCCAGATCCTTTACCATCTGTATCATGGCCAGTCTCACAACGCCAACATAAGCTATCCGCTGCCCTTCAGTAAGCAGATTCTTGGTAGTCTGCATCTGTGACAGTGGATCGCGTGCATCATCGTCTTCATCCACGAGATGGTTCCCGCTCTCTTTGAACAAGTACGCCGTGTTATCGTCCATGCTCGTTGCCGACTGCGCATCCTCATCCAGCTGTACCCTGGTGTATCCCCTTCCGGCTCCACCGAGATTGCCGTAGGCTACCTGCTCGTTGTCCGACTCCGCCGCTTCCTTTGCGACAAGCTTGTTGTTGTCATCGTAAATGTCGTATGGCGCATAGGCGGGCATCACCTGCCACTGTTCCTCTTCCGTCTCTGGTATATCCTTCTCCGCTTGCGGCGCAAGCTGCTGGTGGGACCATTCTGAGGCTGCTGCACCGTGTGGCTTGTCGGATACATCGGCGAAGAGGGCGTTGTGGGTGCTTGACGTGTTGCGGCCGTGCTTGCTTGAGTGTCGCGCTGGTATTACAGGTGCAGGACCGTCGGTTGTGGCATCGGTAGTGGAATGTTCGGCTGCCACTTCTGGGTGCTTGGGATCTTCAGCGGCTTCGCTCGGCTGGGCAGGGCCGGTGAGCTCGTTCTTCTTAGACACCTCTGGCTCAATCGCAGCGGGTTCTCCCCGCGAAGGGGCTTCGTGGTATTCGACCGCATCACTGTCGCTCTCTGAGTCCTCCTCTTCGAGTGTCGGTCTCCGTGTCTTCGCAATTGGTAATCCAAAGTCGTCGAGCTCGGGCTGTGTGACATCTCTCTCATTCTGGCTTGCAGCGGTGGGCACAGCTTGTTCCGGGTTGGCGTTTGCAGTACCTCTTGCAGCCTGTTCGGTAGGAGGACTTAGAGAGTGCCCATTGTCTGACATGTTGTATATGTCGTCGTCCAGATTGACACCACAGTTGCTATGAGAACTCCATATGAGCCCTTAGTGTACTGCCCTCAAGCCTGCCGGTTCAGGTAGCCGTGTATATTTACAATGGCACAATGGCATTCGGACGTAAAGGGACAAAGAAACGGTCCCTCGATCAGCGGCTCCGAAACCGACTCTGAGAGGCGGATGTTCGCGTGGGCATTCCGGACGTTGGACCGGGGTGGCACGGTCCACGAGCTTAATCTCAGCCTCCAGATGGAATTTTTGGATGAAGAGAGCCGCAACTGCAAAACCCTGTATCACGCACCCCACCGAACGATTCTCTCAGCGACGCCGTTCGGCTCAAGAACCACATCATCAACACTAAGCAATTCCTCCCATCTAATCCCACCTCACTCCTTTCCGTAAGGCCACACCGGCCTCCCCTCCGCTAAGATGCGCGGCAAACGCGCGAAGCAATACCGCAAGCTGATGCACCAATACGCCCTCACCTTCAACTTCCGCGTCCCCTACCAAGTCCTCGTAGACGCCGAGATGATCCAGGACGCCGCGCGCTTCAAGATGGACCTGCTGGGCGGCCTGGAGCGCACGCTGCAGGGCAAGGTGAAGCCCAGTACGTCTCTTCTCCGGCCCTCTCCCCCAATCCAAACCTCTTCACGGTTTCAGAAGTATATGCTGATGGCACGGCAGTGATAACATACTGCTCCATCCGCCACCTCCGTGCCGCCGCCGACGCTTCCAAGGACCCGGGCCTTGTGGCTCTCGCCCGGCAGTGCGAAATGCGCCGCTGCAACCACCACGAACTCCCTGAACCCTTGACTACGCTCGAGTGCCTGTCTTCGGTCGTCGATCCTAAGAGCAGCGGCACGAACAAGCACCGCTACGTCGTCGCGTCCCAGGACCAGGCCGTGCGCGCCGCCATGCAGCGCATCCCGGGCGTGCCCCTGGTCTATATTAAGAGGAGTGTCATGATCATGGAGCCCATGTCTGAGGCGTCGGCGGGGCTGAGGGAGAGGGAGGAGAGGGGGAAGTTCAGGGCGGGGTTGAAGGGACGGAGGGAGGGAGGGGCGTTGGCGGGGAGGGTAGAGAAGAGGAAGAGGGAGGATGAGGAGCATGGTGAGGGTGATGAGATAGAGGTGGGTGCGGATGCGGGAGCGGAGCATGAAGATGGACATGATGTCATGGCGGTGGGCGACGCGCAAGCGGCTCCGGCGGCGAAGAAGCGGAGGAAGGGTCCCAAGGGGCCGAATCCATTGAGTGTCAAGAAGCCCAAGAGGAGAGTGGAGCAAGATGGGGCAGGAGCCAAGAGGCCGGCTAACGAGAGCGCTCCGCCTACGGTTATTACTGCCGCACCAACCCCAACGATAGACGCTACGGCTACCGAAGAAGCTACCAAGAAGAAAAGGAAACGGAAACACAAGACCAACACCTTCGGCGCAGATGCAGACGCTGTTTAGAGTGTTGCAGCCGCGCCGGTGTCCAGCTTCCTCGACGAGACATGAACAGCCTGAATCGACGCGCTTCCTTCTAAAAGAGTCAGCCTTTGCGAGCGCTGCGTGGTGGGGTCCCTTGAAGTGAGCATACAGGTTTGGCGAGACGAGCTTAAGCCCGCTGCACTGGCTTTTCGAAGCCACAGGTGTGCCGCTCTACGTGTGTTGCTGGATGGAGACCAGATCAAGGGCGATGACTGACGCCGTGTACCTTGCGGGCTGCGGTCCCAAGCGGAAGATGCCTTGAGGGATCTGTTGCGAGAGCAGAATAGATGAAGTAACGCTTCACACTTTCTTGCCTTGCTTCAACAGATCAGACACCTTCGGCGGCAGCACAAGCGTGCTGCGATCGTTTCGCCTGAGGAACTCTACGATGACTTCCGCGGTCTTCTCTGGCAGGTCCTCCTGGACGAAGTGGCCAGCAGCGGGGAAGACTTGCAACTGGAATTTGCCTGTACATAACCGTTAGGGATCAACTCGGGTAGTTACATTCAAGCTTTCAGCATTCCCTTACCTTGCATCTGTCCGATCATGAGCTCCTTATCCAGCCGATCAGTGCCGGCAAGCAGTAACAGCTTCGCGCCCCTGGCTGAGAGGAACTTCGAGCTCATCCCGTCGAACCAGTTAGACCAGTAAGCCTCTGTCTTTGACAGGTTGGTCCGCCAGATCCACGAGCCAGCGGGGGTCTGCAGCAACAGCGAGGGTACAGACGCCCGCGCAGAGTCCAAGTTCCGTATCGTGCGTGATCGTATATGCCAGTCGATCGCAGAGTCCAAGCTAGGAAAAGCCGACGGTCTGCTCGACAAGTATAGTTGCATGCTCTTGAGCGCCTCCATAGCGGAGCCTTCGACAACGTCGAGGACGGCATACCCGATCAGTTTGCCGCCCAGCAGACCCGTCTTCGCGGTCTCTGTGACGACCGCTCCGCCTAGGCTGTGGCCTACGAGCAGGAGCTGCGGGAGGCCAGGCCAGCCTGACTTCTCTGCCGTCATCCGGATAACGTCTACGAGGTCTTGACTGAGGGTGGTGATGGAGAGGTCCTTGTCAACCTCACCGGATGGATCCCAGACGACGGATGAGCCGTGCTCACGTGCGTCGACGGACATGACACCAGCTTCAGGCATGAGTTTTCGCAGCTCACGAGCGAACAGCGAGAACGAGAGACCGGAGGATCCGGCGCCATGGTGTGCAACGATGAGCGGTGCTTTCGGCGTTGCTGGCGGGGTTAGATAGACGTGGAATTTTGCTCGGCCGTGATCGGACTGCCTCTCGAGATACAGCTCCTGGGCGAAGTAGTCGCTCCAGTGGGTGGGAGGCGCAGCCTTATGGCTGGAGGACGGCCGCACAGTGCCTGTGGACGACACGCTGGAGGCTGAGGAGGAATCATCCTCGCGGTCTTGCTCTTCAGGCAGAGGAGGCTCTGGCGGCAGGCTGGACAGCTTGGCTTTGGCGAAGGATCTTACTAAATCGCTCATCTCGTGAAGGTCTCAGGTGGACAGCTGCCTAGATATCTGGGCCGGGTGGAGTTGGGGTTGGTCGATAGTGCTGCAGGTGTGTGGCGCGTGCAATCGCAGGGATGGAGGGGCATCCTTGCCAGTCAATCCGCCGCTACTTGGCTGGGCGGAGATGGCACCGGGGTGTGGCGAAGGCCCTCACGATGATGACACTCGCATGGCGAGCGACACCTTCAGCCCAATGCTAAAGTAAAGAGCGGGAGGAATCTCTCTGGTTTTCCAGACGAGCGTTGCTGTACAGCTTCTCTGTCTACATGGAGCCGTTGATAAGAAGACTGATGTTGCAGTTGGTGGCGCGCGGAGTGGTGGAGCACAGGCCTGCGGGCGATCTGGCTGAGCCGGGATGCTGGCGCTCACGATCCAGAATATGGGATGACGTCTGGAGCTAGAGCTTCCCCCCATGCTCTCCTGCTCGCCCATTCGACGACACCGTTCGCTGCCGCCTCCGCCCGTCGTGCTCCCCTTCACCTCTCCCATTGCACAAACTTCTTCTCTCCTCCATCTATCCATCCTTCTCTCGCGGCGTTCGTCGAGCTGTCACAAAGCTCCGTCGTACTGGGCCATTGTCTTCCCTGAAGGAAGCTTGACCGTCGACGCCTTCTCCTCACCTCCACCCCCTCTCCTAGCCTAGTCTTTAGAGACTTCGCCAAGATGGTTTCTCTCTGGGGATCGTCGAAAGACGACAACAATCCTAACGGCAGCGGCTCAGTCACGCCCCGAGAGGGCGAAGAGGGCCAAAGCCAAAGCCAGAGTCAACGACCAGCATCTGGCTCTCGTCGTGATCCCGATGAGCGTACTCGGCTGCTGCCCCGAAGGCCTCCACCGCCGAACAGCGATGGCTACCTGGACCCTGATGACCCAGCTGTGAGTGCCAACCCGTACTACAGCTTCGTCGGTTTACTATCCGCTGACATGCATCACAGGTCTCACCATACAATCTATGGACTGTGCGGTTCCTCCGATACCTGACCATTCTCTTCCTGATCATCACCTTTCTCTGGTGGGTGCTGCTACTGGTGGCCATCTTCGTCTCCCCGCCGATGATGCACGCTCGCGGATCGGGTTTCTTCGACTTCTCCTACACCACTCTGACGGCCGGCAACCTGCTCGTTGCCCTCATCTTCTTCTCCGCGCCGTCAAAGGCGATGCGGATCTCGCAACTCATCATTGCCGGATTTCTTCTGGTCGACATGATCATAATCCTCCTTGTTGGACGCATCCGGATGGAAGAGGGCTGGATCGGCATCGCGTCGGTTGTCTGGGCCGCCCTCATGGCCTTCTGGTGTGTCATGACCGACCGCGTTGTCGAGTGGGGGAAGCGACAGGAAGAGGAGCGTCTGACCGGACGTCCTGAGACCCGCCGGACACTCAAGCAGTGGCTGGCTATCCTCACGGACCAAGTCTTCCTCATTGTCTTCATTGCCATCGTCGTCCTCATGACTGCCACCCTAGTTCTACGTTGGCGTGATGCCACCCTTCCATACGAGGGCGAGCGCATCTTCGTGGATGGGGACAAGTACCAAGTCCACCTCGCTTGCGTGGGCAACGTCACCTACACTGGCGAACAGCGGGACCCCACCGTCCTTCTCGAGTCCGGCGAGAACCCGTCCGAGTACGACTTCGAGCATTGGGCCTACTCGTCCTGGAAGAACGACACGATCACGCGCTACTGCTACTGGGATCGCCCAGGATACGCCTGGTCCGACAACGCACCCTCGCCGCACAGCGCCGGCATGTCCGCTGACGCTCTCTCCGAGGCCCTTGCTCGTGCCGGTGAGGAAGGCCCCTGGATCCTCGTCTCCGCCGGCTATGGCAGCATCGTGAGCCGCATCTTCTCGAGCAGACATCTGCGCGACGTCGTCGGCATCATGATGGTCGACCCCCTCCACGAGGACCTCCTGCACCGCATTGGCAGCCCAGCCCGTGGCTTCGTCCTTTGGGGCTACGGCATCATCTCGCCCCTCGGGCTGCAGCGCATTTTCGGAGCAATCTTCGAAGGCAGGACGAGGGAGGACCGCGTCTACGGCCGCAGCGCCTACCAAGGTGGCAAGTTCATCAAGGCGCAGCTGCAGGAGAACTTGGTTGCAGATAGCCTGTCGAAGAACGAGGTCGCCTCGGCACGCAACATCCAGAGCCGTGACACGCCTCTCGTTATCGTCAGCTCTGGTATCGAGGTCCGCAAGGACAGCGAGTGGGAGAGGAAGCAGCGCGACTTGACGCACATCACAGACAACCTTGTTAGCTGGGATGTTGTTAACAAGGCGCCGCATCTCGTGTGGCACACGCCAGAGGGCAGGGAGGTCATGGAGAAGGATCTGAGGATGCTGGTGAAGCTGGCTCCGTCGGTGGCGTTCCCAGAGGACGAGTAATGGAGAAGTTGGCATGTCGAAAAGGTGCTGGATGATGCGTCATGAGTCTAGTTCTAGTGTATACATGTTGGGCCGTTTCCACGTGGGCTCCGATCTGTCGTCTCGTAATTGCATCTCTCTGCTGGTTCTGTCGATAGTGTTTCCCTTTGAAGTTGCATCACGAGCGTGTCAGTTTGGATCAGCTAGGTTTGCTTGATGGTCAATCAATCGATTACTGAAACGGAAATCTCGTCTGCGATATGCGATCCAATTATCCTCTGCTCCTATCGTGATCTAACACCCATAATGTTGTCTTAACCACGTGCATAGAGGTAGTGGTCACTGGCCGCCAAAGCCATTCGTCTCTAAAGAACCGAACAATCCCACAGATATACTTGGTTGGGTAACCAATCCTGACCTCATCCGGAGTTGTTCCACAAGAAGTCAGGGTAGCTGCGTCTACCTCGTCACCGGGCAGTCCAATTCGCCAGCTCTTCATCACAGCTCTTCACCGTCCTCGTTCCACGCAAGCATAACCCCCATAGCCCTCTCATACGTCCACATAGTAACCGCACTCGCCGGCGCCGCCTTGATTAAACTGACCCCCAAACCTCTATACAAGCCCCTCATCCCCTCCCTCGCCAACACCGCCTTGATAGTCCCCAGCACGCCCCTGAACTCTGGAATATTCCGATGCACATACCTTCCCCTCGTCGGGCCCTGCACCTGCAGCCGCTTCCTAACCGTATCAAGCGGATACACGACCGTCTTGGCCGTCACGCTCGCGACGGTGCCGGCCACGGCGTCGGAGCTCCCAAAGGGGAGGGACAGCTCGGAGAGGGGGAGCTTGAGCGTTTCGTAGACGGCGAAGAAGAGGCCCATGTAGGGCACGATGCCCGTGACGCCTGCGCCCAGCCCGCGGAAGAAGCCAGGCAGCCCCTCATGCCGCGTGATCTCGCGGATCGAGGCGGCCAGCGAGGCGTACACGCGCTCGGAGCCCTGGGCGGCGAAGCGCGTGCGCAGCAGGTCGAGCGGGTAGGTCGCGGTGGTCGCGACGGTGCCGGCGAAGGCGCCGGCCACGAAGCTGATGGCTGCATCCCGCGTCTCCTTCTGCGTCCTGGGATGCGGGTGAGAGCGCCGGAAAAGGGGCACCGTGGAGAGGTACCGCGATGTCAGGCGGTAGGTGCTGAACTGCACGCTGCCGTACGCGAGGTAGAGCAGCTCGGCGGGGACGTTGCCTTTCCAGAGGCCGGTCAGGCCTTCGGTGCGCAGGATGTGTTTGAGGGTGTGGAGGGTGCCGCTGTAGATCGGGCTGCCGTTGGCGAGGGCGTGCGCAAGGGGGTCCGAGAGGGAGTGCGTTTGGAGCTGGAGCCGGATTTTTATGACGTCTAGCGGGGCGATGCAGAATCTGGGGTATGGGGTTAGCTGGGGGGAGGTGTGCTGGAGGGAGGAGGGGGGAAGTGTGGGTTATGGTACCGTGATACGAGTCCTGCTATAGCCCCCGCTGCTACGACTTGTCGTTGGGTGCCCTGTGGGTGGTGAGCTTGTGGTTCTATGAACGTGTGATGGTGGTATACCTCATCTTTGAGCTGTTGGGCAGCTCCAGACATACGTCCTGCTCCTCAGCGAGCACGGCGTGCGGATGGGCCAATGAGTGGGAGGAAGTGGTGCTGTGGGTTTACGGATTGTTTTGGCCGAGGTTGCGGTGGTGTGGAGCTTCGTTTGACAGTGCGGGACAACGTCTGTCGTTCCAGCGGTTGACTTCAGACACCATACAATGTCTCTACATGGTACTCTGAGGTCGCCGCTGACCCTTGTGTGCAGAAGTGCGAGGGTCGTTCGGATAGGAAGGAGCAGATGGAGCAGGCCGCGGCCCTTCAGCGTCCTCAGCAGCACCCGGCAGCAAGAGCGTGGAATCCGGGTGGCAGATCCTGATGTTACCGGGGCATATAATCACAATGACTTCACACCGGTAGAAGCTACACAAGGAGTTCCGCTCGAGCAGGACTATCGTTCTCAGCAGAGGACTTCTACCAATGTTTCAGAAGCCCCCGAAGGCGCAACGGCCCCCATTGTTAGCTGGGTCCGCGACACAACCCTAGAAGAACTAGACCTTCCGACGGCCACGGCCATCCAGGTCGACTCCGAGGCAAAGCTGTTCGACCACGTCTATCTACGGGATAGCTGCCAGTGTCCTCTCTGTGTGGATCCATCCACGAGTCAGAAGCTCTTCCAGACCTCCGATATCCCATCGAATATCACCCCGACGCAATGTTTACTCGGGGAGAATGGTAGTCCACAGATCCAATGGGCGAATGACATTCCCGGATACCCTGCGGACCATACATCCACGATACCAATATCCTTGTTGGAGAACCCTGCGCGCACTTCCCCTGATGAGGCACTATACTCTCCCGGCGTCGAGGGACGCACTACATGGAACCGCGACAAGATGGCAGAAGAGAACCGGTTCGTCCTATACAGCGACTACATGAGGAGTGATGTCGTACTCTACAGAACGTTGGACCAGCTGAACAAGTACGGTCTGGTTTTCTTGAAGGACTGCCCGAATTCGGAGAAAGCTGTCGAGCGCATTATAAGCAGAATAGGGACGCTTAGAGACTCGTTCTATGGCCGCACGTGGGACGTTAAGAGCAAGCCTGATGCGAAGAATATTGCGTATACGCATCAGTTTCTGGGCATGCATATGGATCTTCTGTGCGTAGTCTTCAATACAACTTTGCTTCATATCACTGTCTTCCGCGCATCAGTCCTCTGCATGTCTGCTCGTCTCCGTACTGTCCAAAACCATTGCCCACTTTGCCCTCATTATCCCGACTGCGCCCATTGCCATCAACCCCTGCTCACTTCAATCTCCAGTTACATGACCAACCCGCCCCACCTCCAACTCCTACACTCCCTCCGCGCCCGCGCCCCCGGCGGCGCCTCCATGTTCTCCGACTCCTTCGCCGCCGCCACAGCCCTACAGCACAGCTCTCCCGACCTCTTCGAGACCCTCACGACCTACCCCGTACACTACCACTACCACAACGACGGGCACCACTACCGATCGACGCGTCCGACGGTCGAGCTCAACGAGAGCGGTACCATCCGCCGCGTGAACTGGAGTCCACCTTTTCAGGCCCCGCTGAGCTCCGGCATCTACGCTACTCCCGCTGCTGAAGCGTCCCCAGGCGAGCAGCAGAGCCCGTTGAGGCAATATCTCGCCGCCGCCTCCGCCCTCCAAAAGCATGTCGAAGCCGAGACCAGCATCTTCGAGCACCGCCTCAACGAAGGCGAGTGCGTCATCTTCGACAACCGGCGCGTGCTGCATGCGCGGCGGGCCTTCGAGGCGGATAGGGGGGAGCGCTGGCTCAAGGGCGCGTATGTGGACGACGATGTCTTTTTCTCGAAACTGAGAGTGTTGGGGGAGAATTTTAGGCCTGAGGGCGTGGTAAGGAAGACGGCGAAGGGGAAGATATCTGCGAACGCTTGGAGAGAGGAGATTAGGATGAGGCATTTTGAGAGAAGAGGGGTTGACAGAGGCGGGGAGGGGGCGGAGGGGGCCGCAGAGGGCCGGACGGTCAGGATGAAGAAAGTTGAGGTTTCTTCCCCTATCAGGCGCATTCATCTTCCGTAGACTGCTGTCTGTCGGACCATGCTCGCAGACGGGTTTGACCCTGGTTGGACGCAAGATGCAGAGCCGTTGTTCAGCGCATACAGTGTCTTCCAACTAGCGTAAGAAATGTTACACGGGATATCTAGCGTGAGCATACCGGACCCCAAGCCCGAGGTCGGATGGCAAAACATCAAAGCGGAAAGAGAACCCCAACCGAAGATGCAAGCCCATGCACTCAGACCGCAAGCAAGCAAAGCCAGCTTACAAGTACCATCACTCCACCACCGTGCCCGTTAACACAAGTCATGACGCCCAAACTCACCAGTTCCTCATCTAGAAGTCCCAAAAGTCCTTCTGCGGCTGCGCAGGCGCCCGCTTCCTCCCATGGCCCTGGAAGCCTTCGAACTTTCCCGCCTCCTCATCGCTGTCATCGCCAAAGCCCCAAGTCCTGCCACTCCCCTTCCGTCCACCCATCCCATCATTGGCGGTCTTGATGCCTCTGTTCGCCGCTGGATCCGGGCCTTGCTCGAAGAGACCCCAGTGGCTCTCGAGGTTCTTGCGGGCGCCCATACCGTTACCTGCGATCCTGATCTTCTGGCCGTTCTCCGCCCCATCGGCTTTCTTGTCGCTGGGCAGGGATGGCGAGTCGTCCGTCATTTCAAACTGGCTGTCGAAGTTCTTGCGGCGGTTCTCGTTGTTCCTGTCCGTTGTGACGTCTTTGAGCTGCTGGTTGCCGTTCTTACTGCCTGGTGCAGCGGAGTCCTCATTGCCGATCACGTGGTCTTGGTATAGGTCCATGCCCTTGTTGGAGAGGTTACCAGCCTTGGAAGGGGCAGGTCTGTCAGCCTTGGGCGTGCCGTCGTCGGTGAATTCGAAGTGGCGGGATTCGGCAGATGGACGGGCGGCGTGCACTATCGGGCGGTGAACCGGTGACTTCTCGCCCTGATTTCCGAGTCAGAAGGTGTAATTGAAGTGGCTCAAGAGCGATCGATGGGCAGTTCTCGGGCGCTTACCTCGTCGTCGGACCACCCAAAGTGGCTCACTTCTCGTCCAGTAGTCTTAGCGGGGGCCTTCTCGGGCGTGACGAAACTCTCGAAACCCCAATTTGACTCATGCTTGTTTCCTCTCGTGCCGCCCTTGGCCTCAGACTTGGACTTGGTCGTCGTGTCCGCTGCATAGCTAAACTCGAAGTGCTTGTACTTGTTCGGATCCGCCTTCTTGAGCTTCTCCGGCGACTTCGTCGGTGTGCCCGGCTCGTTCTCGTCGAAGAGCCGGTTGGGCTGGAAGTTTTTGCCTGCGCCGCCTTTGGCCTTGACGCCGTGGGCGGATTTGGTGGGTGACGGGCTAAGCAAGGCAGAGCTGGGAGACTGAGCAGTCTCTTCGCCAGCGAAGAGCTCGCCGTATTCGCGTGGTGGAGGTTTGGCCGAGGCACGGGGCGCAATGGTGCTGGGAAAGCTGTTCTCTCGGCTAATCGGGTGAGATTGAGAGAGCGAGAGGCTGGCGTGAGGATCGCCGGTAGCGCTGATGTTGCTGTTGGAGTGAGGTCTGCCGGAGCTAGTGGCTCCATTTTGGGCCTGGGAACTCGTTTTGGGACGTCCAGACGCGGCCGAGGCTGGTCCGCCTGTAGACGAAGCGCTGGACTCAATGAGACGTGCCTGGTCCTTGCCGTCGCGTATAGGCCAGTTGCGAGCGCGAGCGCCAATTACGTCAACTTGTTTGAGCAGTGAGCCTTGGTCCCAATAGAGCCTGATTTGACGAATCCTCTCGTCTGCGTCGAACTTCACAATGTGCACCTGATATTGCAGTCAGTAAGCTTACACCGTCACGGTAGAGACCACGCGAGAGATGTTCCTTACCACTGGAAAAGTGGCCGTTCGGTCAGACAGAAAGTTGTCGTCGAGGCCGGGAAGAAAAGCCCCTCCACCAGTCAAGAATTCTAGAGTAGTCTCCACATCGAGACATAAGCTGTCGGCGCTCTCCAATGCACTCAACACCTTCTCTCGCGTTTTCTTGACCTGTTTCGCCTGTGCTGAAAGGTGCTTCGAGATTGGCACGGCACCGTTTATCGTCGTAAGTGTTGTGATGTAGTTGATCGATGCAGTGTCTGTCAGCGCCGACGTGCTGGAACTGTTCAGGAACTGCTCGTATTTGGCCTGTAGCGACATTGTGGCGTCGTTTAATGTGTTTTCAAGCGTAATGGGCGTTGTAGAGTTGGCGGCGCTGGAGTTGTGCGATTACGGGTTGTGTAAACAATCCAGTTCGGGCTTCAGACGCGATTGTAGTGTTTGTATTGCGCAGATTCACAGCAACAGAGGAAAGCAGCTGCGGAGAAGAGTCGTCCGCCAAGTCAAACACTCATTTCCTGAAACAGGTAGGTGGGTTGCTGTGAATTGAAGGTGGGCAGGCGTGATGGCCTGTGTGTTGATACTCCGCGGTTCGCGTCGTCTCCCCAGAAAACGGCCGCTTGCTGCAAGGGGCTTCGAGTCACGGCGGGCGGGCAGCTCAACATCGCCATCAACGGCTCGATGGCCATGCACGCCTACTGTGCGTCGAGCGTCTGCAATACCAGTTCACAATTCCTCGGCCCTGAAAGATCTCTCCACTCCCTATTCTTAACACGAGTTCCAAGAGGAAACCTGCTGCATGCCGCCAGTGTTTCATATTCAGAAGGCTGGCGCCCTAGCACGGCATGTCTGATACTGAACGAAAGCTGCTCGTACTGCACGATCAAGTAAAGTAGGTTCGATTGCATCTACATCGTTTGCGCAGATCGATAACCTATTACCATCTGCGAACTCGATTGCGTATATACAACCACATGGTCTGTGTGGCTAACGGTCTCATACGTGCTCTAAGGTCCATTGTGGATATAGCCAAGGCAAGACCAGACATTTCATGTGTCGCCATCTGTCACCAAATCTTTCTCGTTGTCGGTCTACATCATGTCGACTTGTCAGTCAAATTAACAATTTTCATAAAGATATAAACAGACAAAACACAAAATACTTCAAGATATAGCACCAAGCGTATGAAAGTCTCGTCCTAGGATGCGAGACTGGACAGTACCACTATATTGTCGGATCCGTGACTATTTGTGCAAACACACACCAGCTTCGCTCGTCTCCTACTAGATCAACTATGGCTTCACCAAGGAGATTGACTTCCTCTACAGAGATAATCTCATCGTGTACTGGAGCGTCAAAGGCACCTTGCGAAGCTGTATTTGGATATCGTTGAAGGGGGGAGCAGGTATCATGGACTGTCTTTGGTGTGTTGGCCCAAGCAAGGGTGCCGGTGAGGTTGTCCAGGGGTCACGTTCACAGGACGGCTCACTTTCCAGCCGCCAACCACTCACCCAGATTGCCTGGCACCTGGATGACAGAAATTGCCGGACTCCGAAAAACAGATAGGTCTTCAGTCGGCTTAAGGAGATAATGAATAGGCGTAATCCTTTATGGTATGCTGCCACATAAATATATGCAAGCTATACCTGGAGGTAGGATGGCTAGAGTAACCATCTTCAGAGACATGGTGAATCTGATAGATTTCGGTGATTTAGGAGTGAGTTGTAAGTCCGGTAGTTTACGAGTCCGGCGATTTCTGTCACTCGCGTGCCTGGGAAGCTTGCTTACGGGAAGCTTGCTACAGTGAGCATAAACGTACCCAGAACGGTTGTTGGCAGTCGAGCAGCCGGAGCCTTTCGTGCCGCGGATATGCGCATAATGCGTGGCTGCATCTCTCCGCAAGGCCCGGGATGGCACATTGCATGGCACCTCTCATGGCGGAGGCTCCCGAAGGCTTGTTCCCATCAGCCGATCGAAGGTTTTCACCATTACCGGAGCTGCCGCACGTTACAACCGTAAACACGTCGCTCCACGGTGTTCGGGTCGCAGTCAGTGTTGAATTCGAAGGCCATGTCGCTTGCATCATTTGTCTCTGTGGTAAACAGATGACAGCAGAAACGGGGACTGTCCGCTGGGTGTGCGAGCCTGTCTGTACTAGCCAACACAAGCAGATGTTGCTTTCGCGGTTACTCACCCTGTTGTCAAGAAACTCCGGCGCGAGGTCAGACTGGCACGAGACCGACAAGCAGGTTTGACTCCGAGCAAACAAATCTACAGACCAGCCCACCGTTGCGAGAGCCGGCCAGAACCCACTATGCCAATGCCAGCAGTCAACCGTCAGACATGGCTGCTTACTGAAGGTCAGGTTCAGCCCTCCGCAGATCTACATGGATAAACCAATTTGGTCTTCAGGCCGAAGCAAAACACCTGTCAATCGAGATGAACGCTGGATGACTTCATCGTGTGACGGCTACTATGCAGCATACTGGCCGCCGACCTACAATGCACGATGCTGGAGGATTGTCACGGATGAAGGAGGAGCTTCTGCAGGGCTCGACACATCAGCGCAACAAAGAGATTGAACTTCATGCACCACCGCCAACGGCCTCACGCGGACGATGCCCTAAGGCTCACCTGCTCCTTCGTACGACGTTACTTAATGCCTGTGTACGATGGTTGTTGCTGAAGGAGAGCGCAGTGGCTGTGTTTAATGCCTACAATACTGACACCGCACATCATGTTACCCCCCATGGATGAACCCCTAAGTTAGTTGCAATTTCAGCTTGATTGCTATTTACAAGGTAAGACGTCACCGTAGTAACACTACAAAAGGCCGGTGAAAGGTCCAAACCCGACATTAACCGTTGCCCTTGGGCTGGTCGAATCGTTTGCTTCCTATCTGGCTCCCATCTTCTTCTTCAACAACTGCATATCAATATCCTCATGGCTATCTTACTTCAAACCGTGATTGCTCTTCTCGGCCTGGCTTCCATCTTCCTATGTGACCTCGCCAGTGGTCTATCTCTCACTGTTTCGAGCAATGAGGGAAATGCCTCCAGTCCACTGCTGTATGGTTTCATGTTTGAGGTATTTGGTTGAGTGACTATGAATTGCCCGCTACTGATTACGTACAAGGACATCAACCACTCGGGTGACGGGGGTATCCACGCCCAATTATTGAGAAACAACGGGTTCCAAGGAGAGAACGCAACATTAACTGCTTACAGCGCCGTTGGTGGCGCGACTCTGGCCGTAGATTCTGACAATCCACTCTCACAGGCTATTCAAAGGTCATTGAAAGTTTCAGTTGCTGAAGGTGCCACTGGACAAGTCGGCTTCTCTAATGAAGGGTACTGGGGCATACAGGTGAACCAGGCCAGGTTGTCTCTCGATAGATTCCTTATACTCACCACTTTTACTGACGTTCGTTCACCAGATACACTACAGCCTTCTACATGAAAGGCCAGTATGAAGGCGACGTCACAGTCAAGCTTGTCGGAACGTCCGACGGTACGGAGTATGGCTCGCGGACCGTTTCAGTAAGGAGCAATTCCTCTGCATACTCGCTGATCGAGACCTCCATCGACGCCAACCAAGCCCCAGACGGCAACAATCTCTGGATTATCACCTTTGATGCGGCGAAGGTGGCCGGAGGAGCCTTGAGCTTTGATCTCATTCAACTGTATCCGCCAACATTCCGCAACAGGTACAACGGACTGAAGCCGTTCCTTGCAGAGCCGTTGGATGCCATTAAGGGCTCTTTCTTGCGCTTCCCGGGCGGGAACAACCTGGAAGGCTCATCCGAGAACACGCGGTGGAAATGGAATGAGACAATCGGCCCACTCAAGGACCGTCCAGGTACGTAACCGGTCCAGGCGAACTTACCGGCGCTACTGACCGCAGTCTTCACTGCAGGTCGACAGGGGGACTGGACTTATCCCAATACTGATGCTCTGGGACTGCTCGAGTACTTTTACTGGTGCCAGGACATGAATCTGACGCCTATTTTGGTCGTTTGGGCCGGCTTCAGCCTGAACTCAGGCGGAAACACTCCGATCACTGGTCCAGCTCTGGAGCCATATATCGACGACGTCATGCGCGAGCTTGAATACATCCTTGGAGATACCACTACAGAATACGGAGCATTGCGCGCTTCACATGGTCAAGCGGAGCCGCTCCCTCTTCCCTTCGTGGAGATCGGCAACGAGGACAACCTCGGCGGGGGCAACCTGACATACCCTGAACGCTTCATGGCCTTCTATGACAGGATCCATGCCGCTTACCCGGACATTACCATCATCACCAGCCACGCTGAGGTGGAGAACCTTCCGGACCCTAGACCTGCCGGCATTTGGATGGACTTCCACACTTATGCTGAACCTGATCAGCTCGTCGCCAACTTCACTCAATTTGACAATGTTGATAGGGCGTTTCCGTACTTCGTGGGTGAATACGCTGTCATTGACGACGCAGCGGGAGAGAGGCTTGAGTATCCCAACATGCAGGCTGCTGTTGCCGAGAGCGTCTATGCCATTGGTATGGAGCGCAACTCGGACGTAGTCAAGATGGCAGCATATGCGCCTCTGCTGCAGCATCTGAACGATTACCAGTGGACTGTAGGTTCCAACAACGTGATACGGAAGCAGTGGACATAACTGACACAGCCACAGCCTAACCTCATCTCCTTCAACAATGATCCAGACGGTCTGGTTCTGTCGACCAGCTATTACGTGCAGCAGATGTTCTCCGTCAACCGCGGTCATACCATTCTGCCCGTCACAGCTGATAGCGCTTTCGGACCCCGTAAGCCCCTCATAATCTACCCTTCTCAGTCCACACTAACCCAACAGTAGTTTACTGGGTTGCGTCAAAATCAGACGATGGCTACCTTATCAAGATGTCGAATTACGGCGGCGCCTCGCACGATATCTCTGTCGCTTTTCCACAGCCCTGCAGTGGCATCTTGACTATGCTTACCGGAGATCAGAATGCTCAGAACACCAACCTGACTACCAGTGTCACGCCCACAATCTCTGACATAATGTCGGCTGACGGAAACCTTCACTTCATCATGCCTGGTTGGTCAGTGGTCATTCTGGACGCATCACCCTTGTGACGTAGTGGCTAAAGAGAGTACCTGCTCTTATACCCTTCGGTAAAGAATGTGGGCAGGAGCGGGTCGGGTAACCTTCTGGGCTGCTTTCTATGCTTTGATCCTATCATTAACATCTCCAAGTCAGGGTGTTTACGGCATCTGGGTGACCCTTGAAAGCTTCTCTTTAATAATCTGAGTATTTCGGTTGATCTACAAATCGAGAGGATATTCCATGCTGCCATACCGCCACTTCAGTGAAAGTCTCCTCCTCGGCCAGATAGTCTCTCTGCCATGCATTCCACCGCCGCGAGGTGCTCTTTCAGAAGCGCGGAGCACGCCACCAGGCCTCGTTTCGAAGTCTCTATTCTCTTTCCGCATACAAGTCGTTTCGAAGTTCGTGACAGTTCACACACTAAAATCTGCCACTCTTCCTTTCTAATCCTCTCGTAACCGCGAAGTGACTCTCGAACTCGCCAGATCACATGAACAAAGCCAGGTGGGATATGACACAAAGGCTCAGTCAGCATTCGCTTTGTCTCTATGCTTCAAACAAGCCCATTCAATGTAAAGTTCTCTTTGTTGACAAAGCCGTTGTGGGCCGAAACAAATCCACCTGAGTCTCCCTTCCAACGACTCAGTCATACCAGCACATACCGTTTCCACGCGCTTCACCACGCCTTCCAAGTCATTCCGCTTTCCCAGTCTACTGATATAGTCCACGCGCTGCGCGCCGGATGCGCATCAATTTTGGCTAGCAAACTCCATTTCACAGCATCCCTGCGACGCCTACGACCAACCTATCGCCAGCACCGACTGGACAGCGCAGAAATTGCCACACAGTTGTTAAACAATCCAACGAGAGTCACCCTCCAGAGCCTTCGCCTGAATCTCCTTAAGCCCCTCCGATGGCTCTCTCCAATACCGCCAAGCCCAAGGCTCTCAAGCCCCTTACCCTCAACACTAAAATTACTCATATGCGCCTCCCCCTCGCACCACTCATCTCCCTCTCGCACGGCGCGACGCATCCTGCCTTCCCGAAGACCTTCTTGCACTTCTGGCTGCTCACCGAAGACGAGCTGGACGACATGATGCGCTTCTACGACCAAGCGGCGCCGAACCGGAATATGTTTTCATCGTGCTATCCCGTGCCGGTGGAGTACGATCTTGAGTTTCTCGAGCGGCGGCCAGCTTCCTCCTCCACTTCCACCTCCACTTCCACCTCCACTTCCACCTCCACTTCCACCTCCACTTCCACTTCCTCTTCCTCTTCATCTGCACCTTCCTCTGCCTCGTCGACCGCGTCATCGGGAGTGGACCTCCCGTCTGTGCTAGGAAAGCGCCAGCGGTCGCGACCAGCAGAGCTGGCGCCTTCACCAGCCCCGCCGGCACTGGATCTGGGTTCCTCAGCAGATGAGGAGGAGTACCATCTTAGCGACCACGACCGCCTCGCGATCAAGCGGCGCAAGTTCGGCAAGTTCATTGGCATTCGCGGGTGCGAGACGCCGCGAGAGGAGGTGCTGTTAAGGTTGCGGTTCATGCAGCGCCGCATCAGGCGGAGTGTGGAGGATGAGATGAGGTTGAACGAGGAGGCGGAACGGGGGTGGATGGGGAGGAAGTGGGTTTAGGTATCAGGGCTCTTGCAAATACTGTCTGATTTCGATGTGTTCATGTGGGTGCTCTGGAGTGCGCCGTTTGAACATGCTGCTTTCGATGTGCGACCCTAGCTAAGAAGGGGCGGCCGGCGGATGTCTGATTGCTTGCAAGGTGTTTATGCGGATCTGTTGCTGTTCAGCGATGTATTTAGCCGGGTGTTGAAGTCAGTATGAGCGATTAGTCTGCACGGGAGTTTGACTGTTAATGATATATTATTTTAACATGGTCGCCCGGATCATACACTTTTTCAAACACCTTGTGTTGCCATTTTTCAGTTCCTGACTGCATTAGTTTGCGCTTCGGGATTACAGCTTCAGATCCCTAATGCCACCAACAACCTCGTCCTGCGGACTCGTCATATCCGCCTCCCGCTTCAATGCCCTGCCATTGCTGCTCTGCTCGCTGTACTTCGGCAGCCCAACATGCGCATTGATCCAGTCCAGCACAACAGTATGCCACAGCAAGCTGTTTTCCCGGTTCAGCACCCAATGGTTCTCATCCGGGAACGTCAAGAACTGGCTCTCGACGCCCTTGTCCTGCAACAAATGGAAGGCCGCCAAGCCCTCGCTAATCGTCAGGCGGTAGTCCAGCTCGGAGTGTATGATGAGATGAGGAGTCGCCCAGTTATGAGTGAAGCGGGCCGGGTCCCAGCGCAGCCAGTTCTCGGTATTGTTCCAGAACGGACCACCGAACTCACGCTCGGGGAAGTAAAGCTCCTCGGAGGCCATTTGGCCGGCCATGCTGAAGACGCCGTCGTGCGTGACGAGGGCTTTGAAGACGCGGCCGAGGTCGTGGCCTTGGATCCAGTTCATCATGTATCCGCTGTCGCCAAAGTCAGTGCTCATGCGTTGGTAAGAACAAGATTTAAGGAGGAGACCGCTTACCCATATGACGCGCCTAGAGCGACGGCCCGGTCAGTGTCGATATAGTTCATATTTTGAGAGATATACTCCCAGCCCAGAACGAGATCCTCGTACGGCAGGCCGCCCCATTGATTCTGGATAGCGTCTGTGAAGGCTTGACCGTAGCCGGTGCTACCCGTCGGGTTCGGCGCGACGACAACGTAACCCTGCTCGGCGAAGACGGCAGGATTCCAGCGCGTGCTCCAACTGTCTTCCCAGGCACTTTGCGGACCACCATGAATGAGGTATGCGAGCGGATATGTGGCGTTTTCCTTGAAAGTAGAGGGCTTGAAAACCCAAGCGTGGATGCGGGTGCCGTTAGCCGCACCTGGCCACCAGACTTCAGACACCTGCGATCTGGAGAGACCGAACGCAGTGCCGTTTCGCGAGTTCGAAGATACTACTCTTTGGATGCCCGTCGCATCAGGCGATACAAGATAGTACGCGCTGTTGTCCACGAGGCTTGTGCCGGAAACGAAGACGTCACCGGTGGAGAGTGGTCTGATAGAGTTAAAACTCCCTTGCTTAGCCAGTAGCTGCGGTAGTCGCGAGCCTGCGCCAGTATTTACGGACAGCGACCACAAAGGCACTGAGCCAAGGTCATCGGCAAGGAGATACAGAGTCTGCCCGTCGTGGCTCCAGGCGATACTGGAGGGACTGCGATCCCACTGACCGATACCATCCGCTGTAGCCAGCATAGGTACAATCGAGTCCGGCCGCCCGACATCTGGGACGATGAAGATTTGGTTCTTGTCTGATTCGTAGCCGTTCTGCCGCATCTTCAGGAAAGCAGCGCTCATGCCGTTTGGAGAGAAGACTGGTGAAGACGCAGCACTATCGAAGCCGGGCACGCTAATGTTGACTGGGGCCGGTGCGGTCGTCTCGCTAAACGTCAGTCTACTGTAGTAGACGTTCATCTTGGTGTTCGTTGCTGGGTTCAGGTCGGGATCTCTCGCGACAAATATCAACCCGCTGGTGCTGATATCGAAGTGGTCGGTGCCTCCAAAAGGCGGCACTGGAGACTCTAACTCGGTCCCCTTAAGAGCATTGACCGGATCCGACATCGCGTAGCTATTCCCTGATGTGCTGTTGCTACTGCCTCTGGAGAGCTTGGCAAAAAAGATAGCGTTTCGATTCGGTGTAATCCAGGTATCCCAGTGCCGCACAAACATTGCTCTGTATAGCCTTCCGGATGATGTAGGGGCAGGAGCCTTTTCGGCGTTGTACAAAGAGCCGTCCGGCTTTGCGAGAGCCGCGAAGGCAATGGCGTACGAGCCATCCTCAAGGGCCGCAAGCTTTACGCTACTAGCTGATGCATCGATGTTGCCGGCGGTGTAGTTGCTGCAATACTGTTAGCGTATCGTTAATGAAGCCTTGGTTGTTGACAGAGTAAATGCAGAAGAGGTGAACAAAGAAGTGAGGAGACATGGAACATGATACGTTAACACGTAAGGCGTACATGGGGAGAGTGAAGGTCAGAAGCCGATCGAGTACCAGGGACATGGTTTTGCAACGATAGAACCCGTTCTTCCGGTATACACCAACACTCCCGAGCTCTCCACGCCGATGCGCCTATGATACTACTGTTCAAGCTTCGATTCAATGGATCTGCACAGATTTTTTCATAGTACTCTGGTGCAACTGGACTTCCTCAATGAGGTGGGAGTCATCGGATGAATTAAGCGCCCAAGCATCAAGAGCTCTCACCTATTAGCAAAATCGTTGGTAGGTCCAACAAGAACATCAGTAGTCCCGTTGCTCCCAGATACCAGCATCAGAACCTGGTCTCCGATCCAATTCGGCTCACTCCCACCAGCATCGGTAAGAACAGTCGACTCTTGCGTCGCGGTGTCGAGGACTCGAACTTCCGAGCCGCCGGAATGCTCTGCGAAAGAGTATGTCGAAACGGTGTATAGGACTTTGGAACCGTTTGCATTGGGCACGCCGGCGGAGCGACGCGGGGCGCTGAGGAGGACCTCCGGCGTGAATCTGGCGGCGCGGATGGTCATGGCTAGGATAGAGAATATTAGGAGGAGAGTTTGAGAGCGGCCTGCCCGTAGAGACGCCATCTTCAGCTTTGGGACGCCTGAACGTAATGGCAAAAACTTGGTACAGCAGCGCAAAACTGCGGTTGCGGCAGGGAAATGTACATGGGTGAACTCTGAGATATATCTCCCAGCGTCAAGGATCAGACATTGAGAAAAACTGACGTGGGAGCCGATGAGAACCTGCAGGCGGTCGTACGAAGCATGGTAGAGTATGCACCTACCTGAACAGAGAGTGATAGACGAATGGCCAGTGATGCAACCGTGCCGGTACGATGAGCAGAAGAGGAGCGTGGTCACGTTGATTCAACCGACCTTCCCAGTCAAGCTCGACTGCCCACAGATGGCTGCAGATTCAGTGGGGAAAGCGAATGCTTGCAGGCGGACGCTGGGTTTCTTTCAGGAAGGTGACTCGCGGCTTCCCCGCAACGGTTGGCGGGATGGCTGATCTGCAAGGGGCAAAACGCTTGGTGGCGCCGGTTGGCACGATAAAGCTTGTTGGCCTGTATCCCAAGGCTTGGATCGAGGCTTCTATCTACGATGAATGAGTTTTGAAGTAAGCAAGTCGGCCTTTATCAGGTGTAGAGTTATGAGATTGTATCGTAGCAGTACAAGTTTGCAATCCATGGTCGAGCTGCCAACAGAGAAAGGCTGACAGTTCGATATCAACGCACTCACCTAGCATATTGTCCTTTGATCGTTGATGTTTGAGCCGATTTGAGGCAGTTGCACCGGGCCATTGAGGATGTGCTGGTGTTTTGCACCGTAAGCACTCCGCCGTACGCCAGTGCAACGGCACAGGTCCAGAAAGATGAACGTGAGGGCCGGAGCGGCCGCCAGCAAAGTAGCGCAGGTAGAATACTGACTAACGCGAGCGAGCCATATTGTTCCTGCGTTTTCAAATCCGCTGCCATACTACGAATAGCGACATATTCCAGACGTGGTAGTGCATGCCCCTTCCATAGGACCCCCGCCGATTTCCACGAAGCACAGGTTACGTGCCCCTAACAGCGAAACTTAAGAGCTCTCCAGCTTCCAACATTGACGAATAGTGGATCCGCTGCTCCGAACCACTCAATCTACACATTGGCCGAGATGACCGGCCCGCCAAAGGAGAAACACAACCGATCCACGGTGACCGATCTTGGAAGCCCCTTCGTTATCCCTACCGGAATATAAGGTAGACAGATCCTGACCCGAGCGCCCTTACAAAATACCCCAAATGAAACGAGATCCACCATTACTCTGCACCGCCGTCCTGAGGCAGTCCTTCAATCACCTCTTCGACCAGACTGATTAGCTCGTCTACGTCCGGTCTCTCCGCCGGCTCGACCCGTAAACATCTCCTCACAACGTCTTTCACCGCAGGCGTAATACCCTCCTCTGATTTAGCCTTCTGCTTCCCTCTGGCAGGCGCCTCGTCAGGAAATCTCCAATCGCCGCCAAGCACACAAAGGCTCAGACTCCCGCCTGTCTCCTCCGAGCGTGCTTCGAACGGCGATTTGCCTACGAGACACGCGTACAGCGTGCAGCCTAGCGACCAGATGTCTACTTTCGTGTCGATGGTGCTGCCTGTCTTGACGTCGAACAGTTCAGGGGCTCGGTACGGCATCGTCGAGTGCTCCGCAGCCTGGTCCTGGACTTGCAGTGCGAGCGATCGGGATGTTATCGATGTGGGCGCGGGAGCTAGAGAACCCAGGTCCATCAGGATCGGTGTCTGCCCATCATCTGAAATCATGATGTTGCCTGAAACACCTCACATCAGCTGCCTTCTCCAACAATGCACCCTCTCACGGCACACTCACCAGGCTTGATATCCCTATGCGCATACGCCCTCTCCTCACCAGCCTTCACCCCCTCCTGACTCCTCGTGACCTCCCCCTCCATCAACGGTTCTTGCTCCAGCTCGAGATCGTCGCCCGCAGCCTCACCCCGCGGACTTCGCTGCCGCCTCTTTCCCATGTTCATTTCCACCTCTTCCCCTGCCTCCCTATCCGCCCTCGCAGCCTCTCTCCGCACGCCCCTAGCCTTGCGTTCACTCGCCTCCCCACCCGGGCCCTTCTTCACCCTATAGTGATGCATCGCCTTCAGCGCCCTACACACACCAAGAAACAGCACCATGAGCCTCCTTTCGGGAAATGTAGTATGGTTGACCAAGTTCGCATTGATCATGTCCTGCAGATTCCCTCGGCGGTAGTACGGCAGCAGGATATAGACAGTCTTAGCGCCGGGGTCGGACTTATCGGACTCGACGGAGTGGTCGATAGCGCGGATAATGTTGGGGTGCGGAGCGAAGAGGGAGTAGGCCTCTACTTCTTTGAGGGCCTGCGAAACGGACTCTTGGCCGAAGGGGCAGCGGATCTTTTTCAGGGCGTAGAGTGTGCTGGTGCTGGTGTCTTGGACAAGGTAGACGTAGGAGAAGCCGCCCTGAAGGTTCAGTGTCAGTCGAAAGTACGCTCTTTGGGACACGTCAAGTGGAAGCTTACCTCGCCGAGTAGGCGCAGGATCTTGAAGCTCTTGTTGTTTATGCGTAATTGGGGGGAGCCGGGGAAGCACGACATGCAATTGGTGAGCGAATAGACCAGGTCGAGGAAGTAAGACGCTGCGGCCGACATGGTGGTGGTAATGCGCTGAACTCGAGGGTATGGAGCTATTCGCAAGGGGGTAATGCGGCGCGGGCTCTGGCGCAGAGGTCAGATTGCGATGGAAGTGGAGCAAGAATCTATCTCTTGCTTTAGAAATACGGTGAGTGGTCACAGGTCAGTTGCAACATGCGCAATGCGGTAAAGGATGGTTCAGCGAAGATGAGAGCACCGAGCTGGAATGATGGATCTCCTGGCCTGAGGCACGACCTGCGAGCGCCAGTGGGAACTAGACGCTAGTGCTCCATCCCCGGAAACATGTGCAATCACGTGCTCTATAACGACAACCTTCTATCTGGGAGTCGGGGGTCCATGTCCTTGTTGTTGCGTGAGACAGACAGCTTGCAAGATCACTGGGCTCGTGGAGAAGCCAGCTCTTAGTTTTCCGCCCGTGTCGCAAGACGCCCACGCCCATCCGAAAGGAAAGTGAAGAATGCATGCTGGAGCGTGTTGTAGAATTATAATAATTAAGGGTTGATTAGGAGGGCTCTGTAGGTAATCCAATAAGTACGAATGCTCCTGCAGTCGCAATCTATGTGTACAGGATATCATCCGCTGTCCCCAACACCGCCGTCCCCAGACCGTCAGCGCCATTCCAAAAGATGACACCCTAAGAATTCAAAAAGCGTCTTCATATGGACAATTAGTCGCATCATGCCCGTCTCTCTCGCACAGCGCGCACCACTTGTTCGGATCCGCAGCGCTGCTCCCCTTGCCCGGCACCAGCGAGGCATCGAAAGGGTTAGGCAACGGTGCCGTTGGTGGACCGCCGGGAGAGATTGCCTTCTTCCCCGGCGTCAGTGGCGCAGGAAGATCATCATCCGAGGAGACCGAGAGATTCTTGAGAGCGGCAGCGACCACGTCTCTGCCAGTCCTCTTACCATCGGGAGTCCTAGCAGAGGTTGTTCCATTGCTCATCGCTGAGCAATTGAGGATGTCGTGGCCTCCAGTTTCGCAGATTTCGCACCAGAGAGCGCTCTCCCCTGTTGAAGACTGAGTCTCTGACTCGGCCATCGGTGGTAGTTGCGAGGCGTCGTGGCGGCGAGCATCCGCTGAATCGCGCCAGCTGGCGAGCGTTCCCTTGGAATCGCGACCTGACAAGCGCTTGTCCTGCTGCGCTGTCCGATCAGACATGGGGTTGCTCATCATGCTGTTTCTCTGCTCAGCCGGTATACCAGATTCCCTCCGTAGGCGGTCGAGGTCGCGCTCAAGTTCCTCTTCTCGGAAGGTCTTCCGCTCAACAAGACCTTGGAGCTCCTTCTTTTCTCTTTCCAGCCGACTTACTGTCTCACGCGACTCATTTGCCGCAGCACTCGGAAATGTGCCGTTTCGCTGCAGGGGCGATGTCGGGCTGTTCGAATTACCCAGATCCGGATCTGAGCTGAGAGAATGTATGATAGCTTTCAGTCCACGAATCTCATCGTCCCTCTGTTCTACTTCTCGTGTCGAGGCTCCAGGACTCAGAGGGCCATCCATCGCGGTACCGGCATTCTTCAGCGCAGCAGTCGCTTTCTCGCGTTCTCGCCTGAGCTCCGAGCGCCCTCTCTCTACCTCGCCGCGCAAAAACTCCACTTCGCCCCTAGCTTCGGCTTCACCTCTCCGCGCATCTTCCAACCCCTCTTCGAGCTCCTGCACAAGCTCCTCAAGCTGCTTTAGCTGCCGGGCGACACTCTCGACGTCCTCGCCACGCTCCTGTAGCTCTCTGACCTCCTGCATCAAATCTTCGACCCTCTTCTCATACACCCGTTCTGTCTCGGCACTCGCCATCTCGAGCGTGTCAATCGTGCTCCTAAAATCCGCTCTATGGGCGTCAAACTCCGCGGTCAACATGGCGATCTTCTCGTTCTTCTCTCTGATAACCGCTCGTAGCTGCGTCGCATCTGCATCCTCCTCGACCCCTCGTGAGCTCCGACTCTGGTGCGCCTCCTCTTTCGCCATCAGCGTTTGAAGTTCAGCGAGACTGCCCTCCATCTCGGTCAAACTGGCTGCCTGCTCTTTCAACTGCTTATCCCGCTCCTCGAGCTTCTTGTTCAGCCGCCGTATTTCCTCTTGCGGTTGGCCCGACACAGGTCTGGTCTTAGGAAGTCCAACAGGCGTCGTCTCTCCATCTTCCTCTATCGGTGTATGATGACCCAACCTCGATCCAGTGCGCGAGAACGGCCGAGACGGCACTGGCGTCCGTCCCTTAGGTGTTCCCGCCCTGCCAGGCGCTGGGCTCGGCGTGAAGCGCGGCGCGCCACTGACGCTCTTGGAGAAGGCGGCTGGCGCTATCGAGCCGCCTCTGCTAGGCGTGGGCGCTAGGTTTGGCTGCTTGCGGAACGGTGACTCGGGCCGAGCTAGCGACGGCCTGGTTTTGGGTTTGAAGAGGGGACTCGGTGCTCTTGCGCCAGGGCCGACGGACTGTGAGAACTTTGGTACGGCGGCTTTTGGCGGGGTGTACCCGTTGCTTGGAGAGACTCCATTGCCGTGGACATTGTAGTTGGTCAACGAGGGGGTCGGAGGGGTGGACAGGAAGGTATCGGAGGAGTGACTAGGCGATGCGCGTTTCGAGGCGCGGTGGAGAGGGAGGAAGATGCCTGCGCCTGGAACTGAAGTTGTAAAGTAGCGTATCCTACACTTTGTCAGTTTCCGCGCAAGATCTGTGATGTGACCCGTATACCTACCCATCGACGTCTCCATCGTTCTTGCCCCTAGCAGCATACTCTCTGCTCAGCTCTACACCAGCAAACGCGCCCTTCTTGCCTTTCACAGTCCCAATGAACTTGACAGCTCCATGCATCCCTCCGGGCACGTCCACAATATCTCCTACCTCAAGATCTCTACCGTCGCCACCCACCATCTTCGCGAGGGGCGTGCTAGGTCCAGATCCGCCAGCGGTCAGAGCGCTCAGGCTTGCTTTGCGGTGAGCCATAGCGGCGCCATGGGGAACGGTGAGATTGGGCGAGGAGGCTGTGTTGATACTTTGGCTTGCGAGGGAGGGCCGGTTCGACGGAAGCCGGCGGGGTGTTTGCAGGGCCATTGCGGATATGTGAGGTTGCGGCTATCTGCCTCTTAAGGTCATCGAATCACTGGGGATATATAAATGGTACGGAGTAGGGTGTCTGAGAATGTTTATTGTGTGTCAGAGAGCAGGGGTAAGGCTGAAGCGTTGGAAGCGCTGCCAAGAGCGACACGTTGGCACGTGAGAGTCATCTGATATCGTAATTGATTCCAGCAACCAAGCTTGTATCCTTCATTCAATTGCTGTGTTGAGGTAGATCGATTCGAGAGAAATTTGCGTATAGTCTTGCAGTTCAAGACGCAGTCCACGACCTCGATCACCTCACAGCTTCTTACCTCATTCAAAAGCGGACACTAACACTATGTCGCCTACTGCAAGCTAATGTACATGACCACCCAGATATCCTGTCCAGCGCCAGCGTGAACGCAGCTCCTTCCCTAGATAGTGTCTCCGCCTTCGAAGCCCGTTTTCTTACTCCTGCTTCATCAACTTCCTGATCATCCGCCATTGAAGAACTTCACCGGACTGCTTGATGTCGCAGCAACCTATTACCATCATCGGTGCGGGTATAGCAGGCCTTACTCTTGGAAGATGTCTTCTCAAACGCGGTATATCAACCGTCCTGCTGGAAAGGATGACTTCATCGCCGAGACATTCATACGGTATCACACTACATCCATCTGCGTATCAACCTCTGCTCAGAGTCCTGGACATGGATGAATCGACCTTCCGACGACGGACAGCCGTGGATGGGCCGATCGGTGGCAATGGACGCATCGATGTTGATGCAGTTGCTCATAAGGATGAGGTTCAGTCAGCGTCCTTCCGTGCCAATCGCGAGAGTTTCGAGCGCCTCTTGCGCGAAGGTCTCGACGTGAGATGGGAGCATGCTCTCGCCGAGATTCAGACGAAACCTGATGGTGTCATACTCAACATGCAAAACGGTCAAAAGATTGTGGAGAAATTCGTCGTCGGCGCGGACGGGCCGCACTCGAATACACGCATAACACTTCTGCCAAAAGTAGAACTAAAGGTTTTACCAGTAGTGGCGTTTAATGGCAAACGACGCGTGAAGCAAAGACTGTTTCACGAAATCTACGCACCCCACATGAAAGACTCGAATATAGTGGAAGCCAGGAAGAACGGCGCGCTACTGCATGTGTCAGTGAACGAGAATGCGGGTGATTCGGTGAGTGTCAGTTGGATATACTCACGGCTATCGCATGGCTCAAGCGACCCGCTACACAAACCCAACCGTCCCGTTGCTGGTGCCACGGACATCCCGGAGAAGTTCTACGACGAGATCGGCGCTCTCAAGGATCTCGAGCAGCCCTTTGCGGACATCTTTGACGAGGAAAAGCTCAGAGACGAGAGAGTGCTGCATTGGCTGATGCGTACTGTTATGATCCCGCTTTCCGAACTGCAAGCGCTGGCGAAGCAGGATGTTATCTTCCTTGGGGATTCAGTACATGCTCAGCCTATTTTAGGTGGATGGGGCGCGAACGCCGCGATCAAAGACGCGATTGAGCTGGCGGAGCACATTGCGAAGAACGGTAGTAAAGGAGTTGCCGATTGGTACGAGGCGAGGTATGCAATGTGGAGTGCGGATGTTGAAAAGAGCGAGAAGATGATCATGGAGATGCACCAAGGGCAGAAGTGTACTCTTTAAGCAGTTTGACTACCTACGAAGGCCACTAGACCGGACTCAGACTTTCCCATTCTTCAGACTGAGCGACTACCTGTTACAGACATTATGGGGATCTAAACGATAGTAGATCTCCTTATCTCATTAGACGTTCCCGGGATGTTTTGTAGTTGAGGATAGAGGTTATCGAGCAAGGCGTATAGCTAAAATACAAGTGCGATGTCAAGGACTCATTCTTTAACTGGAACAAAGTAAGAAGTCCAATATTACGAAGGGTGCTTCTGCGTTGAGCCACCTCGGTAAGGCTTCAAAATCGGTGAAACTTAACCATATTCACCAGGCCTCTCACGGTCCTTACCTTGGGCGTTCTCGCCGCCAAACATGCCTGCAACTCGTTCGTAGGGTCCTCAACGTCTCCGCCCATACCTTCAATCCAGCTGCATCATCATGTTTACTTAAGATTTCGTTTGAATGATTACCGCATTTGCCTAGCAGTCCGTGGTTTTAGTCTTACTCCATCGCTCGGCGCTGCACGGATTCGTTTTCCGAACCTCGGCCCTTCGTCGTACTCAGCTCCCCACTATACCTACCAAACACCTTCAACTCCAATATGCTTTACCACCGCAAACATGGCCGGGGCCGTACGCCAACCGATTGACGTCGCCTCGCTCGAGCGCTACATCGCCAGTAATGTCCCGGAGATCAAGGTGCCGATTGACGTGAAGCAGGTAATCTAAAACTCAAGCGGCGGAGTAGCAGAGCTACATAGGGCTAACAATAAGCAGTTCGGCTATGGCCAGTCGAATCCGACATACCAGCTCACAGACAGCGCCGGCCGCAAGTATGTGATGCGCAAGAAGCCGCCGGGGAAGCTGCTCTCCAAGACTGCACACAAGGTCGACCGCGAATACCGCATTATTCACGCGCTCGAGAACACAGATGTCCCGGTGCCGAAGGCATACTGTCTATGTAAGGATGAGAGCGTTATTGGGACGGACTTCTACATTATGGAGTTCCTGGATGGGAGGATATTCGAGGATCCCGCGTTACCAGAGGTGTCGCCTCAGGACAGGACAGAAATGTAAGAAACATCTCAGGAGCCAATACCATATCACTGTCAGGCGGCCTTACTGACTAACAACAGGTGGCACTCCGCCATCCGCACCCTCGCAAAGTTCCACAGCGTCTCCCCCGCCTCCGTCAACATGACCTCCTTCGGCAAGCTGTCTGGCTTCTACAACCGGCAGCTCGCGACCTTCAACACCATCTCCGAAGCCCAGGCACAAGCCGTCGACGTCGAGACCAAGGAGCCCGTTGGCAAGATCCCGCATTTCGACGAGATGGTCCGGTTCTTCAGCGATCCGAAGACGCAGCCGAAGGATAGAGCGACGTTTGTGCATGGCGATTATAAGATTGACAATCTGGTGTTTCATAAGACTGAGCCGAGGGTTATTGGCATCTTGGAGTGAGTTGACTCGCACGTCAGAAGAAACAGGATTAGTGCTGATTATTGGGTGTAGCTGGGAGATGTCGACGATAGGTCATCCACTGTCGGACCTCTGCAACCTGCTCACGCCCTACGTCACGGCGGTCTCACCGAGAGCCATCGAGATTGGGCGCGGTAGCAAGGCCTTCCAGCCAGGCGCTACCGAGGGTCTGCCGGCTAAGGAGCAGCTGGTAGACTGGTACATAGAAGTAGCAGGGTGGGACCCCAAGCCAGACTTGACCTGGGGAGATGCGTTCGGAATTTACAGAGGTTCCATCATCATGCAGGGAATCGCGGCGAGATACGCGCTGCGGCAGGCAAGCAGCCTGAAAGCGAAGGACTATGCGGTGCAGATGGCGCCCTTTGCAGAAGTTGCCTGGAGCCTAATAGAGGAGTGGAAGAAGGATCATGAGAGGGCGAGATTATAGACAAATAGTAAATATGGAGAAACATTTTCATGCTGTAGACTATGGAGCAGGACGCTCCCATTGTATTGCCTTTTGCTGTGAGCTGAGATAGGTCCCTATTAAAGGCCGTGCTAAACATCCGTTCTCTTGTGGTCTCTGGGATACAGAGAGCTAGTCATCTTTGACCGTGGGTTCTCTTACCCATTGAACTCAGGGGCACATAGTGAGCAGCGCAGCGAGCTGACGCATATCCTTTCTCCCTTGGCCTTCCTCATCATGCCGACCGGATCTACCCGTTCGCGACGCTTCATCTGCCACCCTGGTGGCGGTCGTCTCCACCAATGCGCTCAAGAGCCTGCTCAAGACATCAGTACGCCGTCGCGGTGGGTACATAAATGACGAGCCATGGACTCTGCGACGAGGGGTCCCATACCTCAAGCATAACCACCGAATTTCCACGTATGACGACCATACCAATTTTGACTTTCTCCCCGCCTGCTTTCTCCTCTACCGCTTCGTCCAGCACGATGTTCAAGAAGACCTAGGAGGGAGGTCGCAAATTAGCCTTCCTGCCTAGGGAATGGGATGGGAGCCTGATCGGTAGGGGATGGGCGGAGCGACAGGTTCGAAACAGCAATATCGTTGAGGGTACGTACATCGTAACCACGCAGCACGCCGATGACCTTGCGGCTGCCATTGAGCTGGACGAAGAGACGCTTGTCGAGGTACTATGCGCGCGTCAGCCGGGGGCCTTGATAGCATTTTCAGCAAAATGTATCTTTTGGCTGGGGTGTTCACGTGGCTACATACCTTCTTGAGCTCTGGTTGTGCTTGAGGCATTTCGTGATATGGTGTGTTCGTGTGGTGAGAATTGAAATATGAAGCTCGACTGAAGTCACGTTGCGGTCTGATGCGGAAAGTCTGCCGAGATCAATCGCGCTTCACCATCGCACTGTCCCGTCGACCTGAACACATACTGTAATCTACTGCGTGGCATAACTATTCTACTAGACACAGCATCCCACTCTGCTGTTCACCTGCCGCAAAATTCCTCGCCCTACCCTCAACATGAAGAAATCCTTCGCCGCACGCCGTGTGCCCCGCAGAATCGTCCAAGATGAAGACAACGACACCAGCAAAGAGAGCCCAGGCACGCCCGGAGCTGCAGCAGAGGAGCCATCAGGTCAGTTCCATTGCATCCTAGCATAACGTCCTCCTGTTCTGACGTCCGCCTCGCAGAATCAGCCAGCTGATGAAGCTCTGTAGAACCCGTAGTAAAACGACCTTCCCTAGCCCTCAAACCCAAGAAAACCTCCAAACTACGCCTATCCTTCGGTGCCAGTGAGAGTAGTGCAGAGGCCGGCAGTGAAGGCGACGATGGCTCCGTGTTTGCGCTCAAGAAATCAAACCTCAGTCGGCTAGCGATAGAGCGCAACGCCGAGCGCACAGCCCTACGAACATCGCTATCCTCTGAGCGCCTGCCCTTCCGAGCCGGCGTGGAAGACAGACCAAGCTACACTAAAGAAGCGCTGGCAGAGCTGCAAAGCTCCACGCCTACCACGCCTAGAGACCTACAGCCGCTAGATACGGACGACCTAGCCAACGAGGCCAAAACGCTCGATATCGCATCCAAGTTCGGCAATACCGTCGCCCGCCGCACGCCTGACGTCTCCTCCTCAGCCATCCCGACAGACGCCGAGATTCGCGAGAAGAAAGCACGGCGCGCGCGCCTCGCGAAGGAACAAGCCGCCAACCCCTTGCTCGACTCAGACGAAGAGCCAAACGACGACGACGACGACATATCCGATGACGAGTTCCGCCAGAATCGCAACGAGATATCTCTCCGACCCGATGATAAATATCCAGAGACGCGCCTTATACGCGATGACGAGGACATCGCCGAAGGCTTCGAAGACTACGTCGATGATGGTAAGATAAATCTCGGGCGCAAGGCCGAGCACGAGGCGGAGAGGAAGCGGCGGGCGGAGATGGCGGATCTCATAGCAGATGCGGAGGGCGATCCTTCGGGCGACGAGGAAATGGACGACTCGGAGGCGGAGCGCAATGCCGCATACGAGGCAGCACAGACGAAGGCGGGCGCCTACGCGGGGCAGAGGGAACGGATCGAAGAAGCACGAAGACCGAAGACGCCGCCGAAGATCACGCCGGTACCCGAGCTGAGCGTCGTGCTGGAGAGGTTGAAAGGGGCGCTGAGAAGCGCCCAAGAGGCGCAAGCGACAAGAGCGCGGAGGGTGGGGGAGCTGGAGAGAGAGAAGGCGGAGATTGCGGAGAGGGAAGCGTGGATTCAGGGGCAATTGAAGGAGGCGGGGGAGAGGTATGAGAAACTGAGGATTGAGGCGGGACTAGGGGGTGGGACGGGGACGCCGGTGGATGGGATGGGTGGGGGACCGCTGGTTTTGCAAAGGGGTTTGGAGAGTCTGGGGAATACACCATTGCCGGTCGGCGGTGGGATGAGCGACGGTAGTGATGCGTGATCAGGCCGATGAGACTCAAATATAGTCCCATATGCTGCTGCGGAACAGCGTTTGCCTGCTCGAAGATGCTTCTCTGCAGCTCTGGAAGACAACTGGCGCAGTAATAAACCTCCCTTGATACTCACACCCACGTCTATGGCTATCACGCCATCCATTCAAAAACAGCTTCAGGTTGAGAGAAAAAGTCACGTGCCCTACTCTACGCGTCCTCGCCCGAAAACGCGTCTCGCTCCTCCTAAGCTCACATCCAAACCCTCCCCTTACAGACGCAGCAACAATGGCCGACGAAACAGCAGCAACGCCCTCCGTAACCCACGAACCGCCCTCCCTTCCCGCCTCCCCCCTCCCCAAACGCACCAAAGTCATCGACGCCGCCCTCGCCGGCCCCTTCCCCACAGACAGCGGCACCGCAACGCCCACACCGCTCGCCATGTCCACATCCGCTTCTTCCGCTCTGTACCACGCAACGTCTCCAGCAACAATGGGCGTGAAGTCCGCGCCCAAGGAAGCCCCAATCCCAGTTCTGCAGGTGCAGAAGCTCTCGGAGAAGGGCCGCACGCCGACGAGGGCCAGCGCACTGGCGGCTGGGTATGATGTCTACAGTGCTCGGGAGGCGGTGATTCCGGCGAGGGGGTGGGGGATGGTGGACACGGATGTTGCGGTGGGGGTGCCTGCCGGGACGTGTAAGTTCGGGTTTGGTCACTGTTGTTTCGGGCGTTCGAGGAAGGTCGTAAGTTGCTGATTATGGGTGCTAGACGGCCGCATCGCGCCGCGTTCAGGACTCGCGGCGAAACACGGCATCGGTGTCAATGCTGGGGTCATTGATGCGGACTATACGGGCCATGTGAGGGTTATACTCATGAACTTTAGCGATAAGGACTTTGAGGTTAAGGAGGGGGATCGGATTGCGCAGTTGATTGTTGAACGGGTAATGGTCTCTCCAAATCACGTTAGAATGCTAAGGTTGCCGTGTGCTGACTGTTCCATTGCAGATATACACGCCCGAGATCGTCGAAGTCGAACAGCTGCAAAGCAGCGACAGAGGCGCTGGCGGGTTTGGCAGCACGGGCGGCTTCGGGGGCGTCATTTCCAACGGCGCATAGCTTGCACGAGGACACATCAGCGGAGGCATGGAGTTAGGGGATTGCTATGCATAGGTATCTAGGCGCAGGTCTATTCAGATTGTGCTTAGAGGTGCTCAAAATAGACGCTTCAGTGATTTACTACACCACCACACCCCGTCAATTCCTTTGATTGGTGTTGTCGATATGGATCGCACTCTCCGACCCCTCACCCCCCAGATTCGTGATCCCCAGCTCATCCGGCTGCGGCTGTCCCACGCTCTGACCAACGTGCACACTCACCTCCTGCGCCTTGTACTTCTCCAGATCAGGCGGATGTCTCAGATCATCCACGTTCCTCACCAGCTTTACCTCCGCCGCTTTCGTGAGCCGCAGATGTCGTCTCATCTTCTCTTGACTCATGCCTTCTTTACCGCTATGCTGCCCCGCCCGCACATCGCTCATCTCCTCATCAAGCAGCTTCCGCTCCGCGTCCCAGGCGGCATAGGTTTTTCGCAAGACGGCCTGCATGCTTGCTAGCACCTTCTCTGCCGCCTTGGCCAGCGGTAGCTCTGTTGAGGGCACGTCGTCTGGACTGACCCATCGCTGTGCTTTGTTTATCCCCGCTTCGAACACCGCTTCACGTAGTCGCGCCACGGTAAGCGCAGCGAACATGTCGCCGGTGCCAGAGAAGAAGACAGGAAAAGCGGGTATATCGATGCGGAAGAGCCGAGGCGTATGGTCTGCGCGCGCGGTGCTGCCGACGATAGTAAGGGTGCCAGAATCATAGTCAGCGGAATACGGGACTGTAGTGCCGGACTCGGTGAATCGGAGCGATGTGATGATGATGTGCGGGATCTGATGAGTGCGGTGCAGGATCTGGATAGCTTCAGCGAGGGTGTCGAGGTCGCGGATCTTGGTGTCGGAGAGGAGCTCGGCCTCGAATTGATTGGGGAGGATCAGGTCGGCGTTGCGGAGGTGGGTTTTGTAGATGGAGACTTCTTCTTCGGGGATGTAGAGACGGCCTTCATCGCCCATTACTGGGTCAAGGACTGCATGAGGAGAGATTGGTCAGTCTCGCTCGTCGTGGCGCTTGCTGCTGACGGAGAATATACCCCAGAAGAATGAACCAGGCTTGGTTGTGGCGTGGAATTTTAGGTCCCTCCCTATTCTGCCAACAGCTTCTACCGCCTCTGCACTCGGTGTGTAGCCAGTTAGGAGCACGTCAAAGTCGGTGAGATTGGACTGCTTAAGGCCTTCGTAGAGTTCCGATATCTCTTCCGCGGTCGTCTTTCTGCCCTTGACCTGCTTGTAGGCCGTGTGATTGCCTAGTAATGGTTGTATAAGTACGGCGTGGCCATCGCGCGACTTTTCCACCTATGTGCGTCCTACTGTAATGGACGGTGTTGATAGCTGACACCTCGCAGCCCAGCGACTGCAGCACGAACGAGGCCATGGTGTTCCCGACATATCTGTATTCTGTCAGGGCCAGATGGTGTCGTAGGCGGCCTCTGTGCGCTTACCCGTATACGACCTGATCCCGTCAGTTTGGATGGCAGTCACGTAGCAGAGACGGACTCACATGGCTCGCAATAGCGAGAACACGTGTCTCTGGGATCTCTGAGTCCGAAGACATTGCTGGCAGCACGAACGCAACCGAAGAGAAAGACACACAAACAGATGCACGCGACAAGCACAGGATGCGAATGGACGTGATGGAAGTTTTTATGAGACTCGTTATCTGCGGACCCTGAGCTGTGACGTTGGTGGGGTCAATCTGATGCATGCGGCCCCGCCCTAGCTTGCCCGATTGCTCTCCGCAATGCTCTAGCCGCGAGAAAAGGATTTCAACTTGCCCCCATATCACCGCGTATCTATCTCATATTCAAACAAGCCGCTCTTTGCTGCTTCCACGAAAAACGCTATGCACGCAGGGAGATGTCCGGCAGCTCTTGGGGAGGGGATACCGCGGCCGACGATACGCCGCTTTAGCTGGCCGATCATTCTTCATCCCCAATCTGTAGGGAGTTTAGTATCATCCTAAATCAAGCATGGCGCGGGTTGACATACCTTTGGAGCCAGATAGAACCGCAAGTAGCTATTGTTCGCCAACCCGTACTCCACAAGCAGTGGCACCTCGTTGGAGAGGCAAAGCCTAACTTGGCCGGACAAGCCGCTAGCCTTGCAAAAGTTGACCAGGTATTTGAGCGAGAACGTCAATGCGACTGGCTCGGTGAGGTCTATCTCGACATTGAGGTCCGGCTTGTCGACATTGGTGTGACTTCGTAGCGTGACTGAACCCGAGCCGATGTCGCCCTGGCAGGCAAACTTGACGCCTTCCTTCGTGCACTCGATGGCAACTGTTATCACGTTAGCCTCCTGCTGGATTGGCAGCCCAAGAATGCTTACCAGACTCTGAGAGAGCCATCAGGTCCCTGCATATCCTCTGAAACTCTGCAGAAGGCATCTTGATAACAGCGGCATACTCCGTCTCCGGAATACCCAGATGCTCCTGATCAATGTCCATGAGCTTGATATCGTACTCGCTCAGCCGGTCGCTCTCGGAGCTTTCAAACACCAGGTTGACCACATCCGGCGCATCTTCCGCCTTCAGCGTCAGGATATCCTCGTTCTGCGCGCACCGAAGCACCTTCGTGAGGGAAGTGAGGTTGATGCCCAGGGCGATGTTCCGATCGCAGCGGAAGGGTGAGAAGCTCTCGGACTTGAGCATCATGGAGACGAGCGCAACGTGTGAGTTGTCCATGGCTTGTAGGGCGATGCCTGAGTCATTGCAGTCGAAGTTGCAGTCTTGGACGAGGTCCTTGATGGCGTCGACCACCTGTGGAGAGTGTCAGCTCCCATGTCGGACGATGAATGCGCGGCATTCACCTTCTTGAAGAGATTGGCCTGTTCTAAGCGTGCCTCAAGCACTGCGCCATACCGTTAGCTTTCCGCGCCTCTCAGCCGTGCGCTTGACATACTGATGGCAGTTGTGTATCGGAGGCCTTCTAGGGAACGATGCAGTGCAGAAGCGCGAGCGGTTTGCGGACTTGATGATATGCGAAGGCGTGCTTGCTGTCGGGCGTGGGAAAAGCTGAGTGCCTGTTGTTGTCTACTGAAACTCGGCAGGCGGGCAGGCAAGCGCGGCTGAACGCGCTCGCGTCGCCGAAACGCGTGACTAAGCTGGCTTCAATTAAGCCGCGTCGAGCACTGGCCTACCATCGCTGGTCGCTGAGGATGCGAGTCGTCGACTCATTCACAAGTTCATGCAAAACTGTGTGAGGAGAACAAGTGTAGTGAAATGCTCGGGTTGCAAGTTACGTATCTACGTCTGTGGGCATAGGATACCGCGAAACGCGCTCCCTTCCCTAACGGCCTCCTGCATGTACACGCTGGCATGCACCACATCCTCCACACCACGCCTGCCGGCTTACGATCATTGGGAGTGGCCATCAGTGGGCGATCCGGTTGATACGTATGCGCAAAAGAATTTCTCGCCCATAGTGCTGTCGTCGTGAAATGAGGTTGCTCCGCAGACTGCTGCACCCTCTCGTCCTACCTACATCCACCAGTGTGCCGCAACAAGCAAATCGTATACAACCAGTCCCTGAAGCACCGTTCGGGAGGAATCCATGCTGAGTGAGACTCCGGGGGCAAGTTGACAGGCTCCTGTACCGTCAACTGTGCCTGGCCAACAGCATTACCATCCTCAGAAGGGGTCTGGCAGACGCTGAGCGCTAATTGTCCTGTCGACTCTCGATTCCGTGTTCCCTCAAGCCCTAACCAAGCCATAAAACAACGTCCACGTAAGGACGAAGCTACTGAGCCCACCAAACACTTCCCCCAGCAAAAGGTTCTGCACTGGGCTGTAGAAGTATGCTTTCGGCTTTCCCTCCGCCCGGAGCAGGAGTATCAAGACAGAGACGACGAGTGTTCCGAGGAGGTAGAAGATGAAGCCAGGGTATGATTCCAGACCGAGTGTGCCTGCGGCAACGCCGAAGAGCGACGCGGTCAAGTTGCGAATGTTGGCGATGGTCTAGTTGCGAAGTTTAGAGAGAGTGGTAGCAGTGGATGAGGAGAGACATACTCGCGCATTTTGTTGCACGCTCTCTTGGACGATAGGATGTATGGCGAGCTCTCGTTCGTCAAGCATGTTGGTGGGGGGTGGCGCGAGAGCTTCCGTGGAGTCTAAGTTACTGAGGTCGCAGGTGTGTGATAATGTAGTATTCTTAGAGCGGCTTCACTGGGAGTGGCAGAGTACGACTGTGCTATCAAAGTGATTGATATCTTGCGAGGTGATATCGGTCTCCTGGCATCCGAGGAGCAGATGTCGGCGAGTTGAAACGCCGACCAACCTCAAGATGGACGACATCTCTAGGGATAATCTTAGAACATAAAGGCGGCATTCCTGGAAACAATTCTTATATCTACAACATCAAACACGATACTATCAAAGAGCCTCACACTCTGCACCAACTTGGAGTTTGCGTTTATCATGACTGAGAAGATTGCCGCCGCTGCTCCGTTACTGACTTGTAAATCCAATACTCGACAGCCAAGCCCTTGTCGTCGACGACGAACCTGCTTTGGCCAATCCATAAAGACTGCGTATCGCCACAAGGTCTCTCTCGGTTCCTCCTAACAGCCCAAAAAGGATAATCCCTTCTGATGCCGTGCTCTAAACAATGATTCAGTCTACTGGTTTCGAGCTTTCGGCATATTCATAGAACCCCGATCCAGACTTGACCCCGAGCTTTCCCTGCGCTACCATCTTGCGCAGCAGTGCGCGAGGTTCTTCGGGGATTCCCTGCCGCACGTCGGCATAATGTTGTTCGATGTCAAGAACAACATCCAGCCCCACGACATCCATCTGCTCGCAAGGGCCTTTCGGCGTCTTGAGTACATCTTTGAAGATGGAGTCGATTTCTTCCGGGCTGGCGACACCTTCAGCCAGCGTAAGTAGTGTTTCGCGCTTGATCGCTGCCCAGATTCTACGCAAGGTCAGAAAGTGCCGGAGAGAACGCGATGCGGTGAGAGATGGATCAATCCAACCTGTTGTAGATGTAGCCAGTTGATGTCCGGTGGACTTGGAAGGGCATAAAGCCATGATTCCGAGTCTCTTCCATCAGCCGAGAGAGGATTTCCGGCTTCGTTTGGCCGGAGCCCATTATTTCAATCGCTTTAAGCATCTTCCCATCAGTGTCCTGGCAAAACAGAGCATTGGCTGCTGCGAAAACGGATATACTCACCCGAAGTTTCGGGAGGCCAATCTGAAAACGCGAGATAGGTCAGCAGAGGTCCTACTGTAGGCTTGAACCAGAAACAGCGCACATGAGTGAAGGCTCACGAATCTATCGGGCTGCTTGACTCGTAGACCTTCTATGATCTCAGTAATTGTGTAGCTGCTCGAGTTGGACGCGACAATCGTGTCTGGGTGAGCGAGATCGTCTAGCTGTTGAATAACCTTTCTCTTCAATGCTAGCGACTCGGGAACGCACTGGCGCCGGGTTCAGTCGTCAATCACTTGCAGCCCGTAGGCGTGCTGTTGTGGCTTCATACTGTACCTCGACAAGGAGCCAGGAACTAGAAACCGCTTTCGATAGGTCCTGGCTTGGAGAAGTGATGATTTGTCCCCAGCGCCCCAGCGATGGGACTTGGGACTCTGCTCTTAATTTCTCGATATACTCCTTAGCTCGTAGAAGCTGTTGGTCATCACGGTCGACCAGGTAGACTGGTCTTCCTAGTCTTGACCACTAGATTATGCTCAGCACGTTCTCCTAGATGAATGCCGCAATTGGCGAGAGTACCATGAACGCGAGCCGTCTCCCTTGAGTCCCTCCACCTAGAAGAGTCACGGCCGCTCTTCGTTGGCTCATGTTGACGGTTATAAGCTCCTTACTGGCTCGTTGATGGCAAGGCAGCCTGATAGACTAACATGCGCAAGAATCCCCTCGTACTCACAGCGTTATAATCACTTTAATGGAAGGGGTTATCCGGGAGACTTTCTCCTATCGATAAGTCGGCAAGTAGGACCAAAGATTTTGTGGCTGCTGTTCCCCTGCGAAAACCAGGCCACGAGTTTTCGGGATAGCCCTTGGACGGACCCTTCAACGCACCGGTGGGCGTTTAGTTTTTACGTGTTACACGAGTGCACCTAGTTCTGAATGCTTCAGCTAGAAACTACTCGAGCAAAACACCACGTAGTGAGCCTATTGAAAAGGGTTTCGATATTTTCTTTTCAGAAGCGAAGGACGAAACAGGTTACGTCGAACGCCGGACAAGTAATGTCAGAACGGATACAATAATTCACATTCTGCGCCGCGTTCTTGCATGCGAATCGCGAGACGATCAGCCACCCTTACACATCACTCACACCGAACAAGCAAGCCAGTCATCAAACCTGCCTCCTCCTCATCCCCACATCCAACCCCAACGGCTTCCTCAAAAACCCCTCCCTCGTCTCCAACTCCCCCTGATAGAGCTCAAACTCATACCGCCTAAACACCGTGCTCACAATCAGCGCCAACTCCATCTCCGCCACGTTACGTCCCACACATGCCCGCGGCCCGTAGCTGAACGGTATAAAGGCCGCCTTCTGCTTCTCCGTGATCCTCTCCCAGCGCTCGGGCACGAACTCGTCGGCGTCGGGGCCCCAGATCTCCTTGGAGTGGTGGATCGTGTAGGCGGGGACGGAGAGGACCGTCGCTTGCGGGAAGTGGTGGCCGCTGACGTCGATGCCGGGGCCGGGGGGGACGACGCGGGGAAGGCCGAGGGAGGAGGTCGAGTGGATGCGCATTGTTTCTTTGATCACAGCGTCGAGGCTGTTAGGTGGAAAAGGTTAGATATGATTCTTCCTTCTTGGATGTGCGCCCCTTTTTCACATCCAACTGGAGATTTAAGACGAGAGATAGGGAGAGAGGAAGACCTACTATGGAAGATCCCTGACCATAGCGAAGTTCGGCACAGTCCCAGCGTCCGGAATTGCCTGATCAACCTCCTGCTGCAGCTTCCTGACGACCTCCGGATGTTTCAGGCAGTGGAACAGCAGCGCGCAGGACGTGTTGCTAGTCGTGTCGCTGCCGGCGATCAGCTGCGTCAGCGCCTCGGCGGTGAGTTCCTCGCGGCCAAGCTTCTCGCCACTTTCGTCCCGGCCTTCCATCAGGCGCGCGAGGAGGTCGACGCGATCGATCTTGTCGGCATTGGCGAGGCGTTGGTTTACCCGTGCGACGGCGATGCCAGCGAGGTTCTCGACTGCTTTTACGCCTTGGGTGAAGAAGGGGTCGGGGAGGTAGCGGGCGTAGGGCTTAAGCTGAGGAAGGCAGCCGATTGTGCTGGATCGTGCATGTTAGCCACGGGGGGTCATTGGTTTCATTGACATTGCTCGAATTGCAATGCGGAAAGGGGGGCATACCCGGAAACTTCTCCCCTCCGATTCAACACCTCGATAGCCGGCGCAAACGTCGGCTTGCTGTCAGGCGTCGCCCTGATCTCTGCGATGTCTTTACCTTCCTTGAGCATGCCAAACGGCGCGCCAAACGCCAGGTCGCCGATAATGTCGAACGCAAGGTAGTTGAACCAGTGCAGACTGTCCATCTTGGCGTAGCCGCCCTCTGCCTCCTTCGCCATACGGTCCCATTGCGCGACCAGCTCTTCGAGGTTGTGGTGCATGTACTGCTCGAACTGGCCGACAGACTTTGCGCTGAAGGTGTGAGAGACGGTCTTGCGCTTGCGCGTGTGCTCGGCGCGGTCGCGCGTGTTGAAAAGGCCGCGGCGGATGGAGACGAAGGCGTCGTAGTAGTCGCTATAGTAAACATATGAGTATATGGTGACACTCTGAACATTGATACGGATTCAGGGGGCTGTACCTCTTGAGGAACCCATTACCGTGGCCATAAATTATGGGTATAGCATCCGGGTCTGCTACTGATACATGGTGCGGCTGGATGCGCACAAGCTTGCCGTATTTTTTATGGGCTTGGTCAACCGCCAGGTAGCGCTTCCCAGTGCGGGCTTGGTAGACCAGCCAGAGATTGGTGAACTGGGCTGGGAAGGGAGCGGGGATGTCTCTGATGGACCAGTTGCGGAGGTAGGGGAGGAGGTAGTAGAGGACCGGGATGGCTAGCAGGGCATACGGCGTGAGGAGGAAGGAGAGAAACATCTTGAGGAGATTTGGTAATGAAGCTGAATTATGAGACCACCAATTCTAGGGGTCAACTCGATTCTACATGCCTTTATATGCTCCTGGCTGGCGTCGAGCTCCGCACGAGAGCATGGCTGAAGAGCAAGCAGGTCCACCGATGTCAATTGGGGCTTTACCCGCCAACGGCCAATAGCATTCTGGATTAACAAGCCGACTCAGTCAACCGTGTGGGTGGGAGGTGCCGGTCTGTCTATCCAGCGGCAACCCCGCGCAATGACGGATCTGGGGTAGACGCCGCCCGAGCGGTCTCCGAGTGACGTGCGGAGCATCAAGCTTTACTCGGAGCTTGGCTTTTTGGAGGGTCCATTTTGTGTTCGACATTGCGAGCTGTGGGACTTGTGGGCTGTGTTGTCGTATCCACAGAGACTCCCGTTTTTCTGTTCCGGTCTGGAGTTTTTCTGACAGCTGCTGTCGATCTTCAGCCCGCCATGAGGGCTCGACGGAGAAATAATCAAGGGGGCAAAGGCGTACCCAGACAACTGCATCTTATCAGAGTACGGAGAGTACTTATCCCATCTCACGTGCTGATAATGACAACCTCGGCTTTTTGTCGTCATTGAAGCCTGAGGCTTCCATCTTTCTTTGACTCTCTACCGTCAACATGTAGCCACAACACCTCCATATATGCTCCCAATGCAATGACATCCTCATCCGCTCCGCCTACGGGCGCCTATGTCATCGCTAAAGCGTTGCGCGACCTCGGTGTGACGGTGATCTTCGGCATTGTTGGCATACCTGTTGTTGAGATTGCAGAGCAGGCCATCAATTTGGGTATACGCTTCATTGGCTTTCGCAACGAGCAAGCGGCAGGCTACGCGGCTACAGCATATGGCTACTTGACGGGCAAGCCTGGAGTATGCCTTGTCGTAGGCGGACCCGGTGTCCTCCACGCCATGGCTGGGGTACGTCTGCCAGATAGCATAAATCATAGCTTGCAAGCTTAGATGCTGACCTGAGCTTCTTCCAGATCGGTAACTCGTCTTCCAATGCCTTCCCGATGCTGCTACTGGCCGGCTCCAGCGAGACCCATCTGGTGACAAAAGGCGCATTCCAGGAACTCGACGCCATTTCCCTTCTCGCGCCGCATACGAAGCTCGCAGCCCGCCCACCCGCCTTGGAATCTATACCACACCTCATCGAGAGCGCATACAGGACTTCGTGGTACGGCAGGCCCGGCACCGGCTTCGTCGACCTTCCAGCAGACCTCATCCAAGGAGCGGCCGACTCAGCAGAAGACATACCCCAAACCGCACCCCTACCTCTTCCCCCCGCCAGCGGAGCAGACGAGGCCAAGCTCTCCAAGATAGCTCGGCTCCTTAAGAATGCTAAAGCCCCTCTCCTCGTCGTCGGCAAAGGCGCCGCCTACGCGCAAGCAGAATCCAGCATCCGCGCGCTCGTCGACCAGACCTCGATCCCCTTCCTCCCGAGCCCCATGGGCAAGGGCGTGCTCCCCGACTCCCACCCCGCCAACACTGCCTCCGCGCGCAGCACCGCCCTCCAACACGCGGATATCGTGCTCGTCCTCGGCGCCCGCCTGAACTGGATCTTCCACTTCGGCGACGCGCCCAAATGGAACCCAGCCGCGCGCTTCATCCAAGTCGACATCGAGCCGTCCGAGATCGGACGCAATGGCGGAGACGCGGAACTCGGGATTGTCGGCGACATCAACGTCGTGGTCCCGCAGCTCCTGTCCCAGCTCTCCGGCTGGACGTACTCGCCTTCGTCCTCGCCCTACCTCAGCGCGCTCGCCGAAGCCAAGCGCAAAAACGAAGACAAGGCCGCGAAAGCTGCTGCAAAGGCCTCCCTCCCCTTGACCTACGCGCACGCCTTCGACGTCATAAAACGCACGTTACACACTCTTTCCCCTCCGGACGACGGCGGCATCGTCTACGTCTCGGAAGGTGCAAACACAATGGACATCTCGCGCTCCGTCTTCCCCGTGCAGCACCCCCGCCTCCGCCTCGACGCTGGCACCTACGCGACCATGGGCGTCGGGCTCGGGTACGCCATCGCCGCGCACGAGGCCTACAACGCCTCCCCCTCCTCCCCGGAGGCAGTCTCTGGCCCCAAGCCCGGGAGGAAGAAGATAGTCGCCCTGGAAGGCGACTCCGCATTCGGCTTCTCGGCCATGGAGGTCGAGACGATGGCGCGGTACCAGATGGACGTGCTGATCTTCGTCATGAATAACGGGGGCGTGTATCACGGGGATTCGGACACTGCGGAGGAGTGGCTGGAGCGACAGGGTGCGGCGGGCGGAAAGGGGCTCAGGAGCACGAGTCTGGGGTGGGAGGTGCGGTATGAAAAGATTGCGGAGGCGTGTGGGGGGCTGGGGTTCTTTGTGAGGACGCCGGAGGAGTTGAAGAGGGCGACGGAGGAGGGGTTCAGGACTAATATGCCGGTGGTCGTGAATGTGGTTATCGAGAGTGGGAAGAAGGGGAAGTTGGTGAGTTGCGCGATGCACCTGTCGTGTTGTTTCTTGATGGCAGAACTAGACGCTAATGTTTGTCGCTGTAGGAGTTCGGTTGGCAGGCCAGCGCGAAGAAGGGGAAGAAAGGGAAGAGTGATGCGAAGCTCTGAGACACTTAGACACATTGGATATGCCTGCATTTGTCATCGACGCATAGAACTGTCTGGTGCTAGTGAAAGGCTGGAGTTACCAGCGACTCCTTACGTTCTGCACATACCAACAAATCCGCTCCTCCCCCTCTCTCGTGCCTACCTCGTACATCCGCTGTTCGAGATCGACGACTATAACTCCGTGTCCACTAGTAAATCCAGGTAACAGCCCTAGCAATGACTTTACATGTATTTCCCTGGCAGCAGGAAACGATAACCCACCAGCGATTGACATTCCAAGAAGGAGAAACTAACGATACTGCTTGCGCGAGACGCTCCAGCAACTGAGTACATCAAGGAAATCTCTGTCTTTCTATCCCAGGATAAAACATGAAATAGAATTTCCCAACACTGCTTAACGCCCTAACTAACAAGTCATGCGATGAAGTACCAGCCCCAGACACAGCTATCCAAAGGAGGGTGAGTATGAAAGCGACAGCACAACCACGTGCCGAAACAACATGATCGGGTACCAAAGCTAGTTGAATCCTTCATGCACGTCGAGGAAGGACGGCCAATCGTAAGTGGGATCCACAAATCCTCCGTTCAAGTCGAAGGGCGGCTAATCGAAGTTGGTTCGCATATTCTTGTGAACCTAATCACGAACTTGGTATCTTCATCGCATTTCTGGCGGGGCGCCAATCTTCAGATGTGATACAGACCGCAAATCCGCGATTGGGTACAGTGCGTCTTTTGCATGAACGGTATGGCAATCTACCGTAGTAGCATAGTGAGACCAGGTATACCGGCTGCGGTGATCCCATTGGATTCAGACGTCTCTGCAAGCGGTCGCCGACGGCCGTGATGGTTCCTAAATGCGTTCCTGTTTCAGAAGGGCTCGGTGAGGTGCAGTGCAAGACCTGACCGATAGTTGCCCACAGAAAGAACGGATGCGCTTGTGTCAAACATAAGGCAGCTGGCCGAAAAGGTCCCGCCTCAGAAGCATGAACCAGACGCTTCCTCGTCGCACGGTTGACAGGACGCTGTACAAAGGCACAAACTTGCGTGCCAGTCTTCTCTGTGGGCGTCTTTCAAGGCGATCCGAAAGCCTGATCGGGCCCGCGTCCAGTACCGTCGTTCTCCTGGAGAGACACGTACGTCCAACCGCACTTGTCGCACCTCGCATGGTTACACTCCACACAGTGGCTGAACAGGCCGTAACTCCACGGCCCGTGTCCACAATGGCACTGCGCGGTTCTTTATCAGCAATCTCCATTGTATGTTAATCTGACAGAGGATCGGCCTTACGCAATTGAACATCGGCTCTCTTGGTTGTGAATGTTGCCTTTTGGCTGGCGGATTGCCGGTTCCGCCGCCGTCATGAGGTCGCTTCCTTGAGGTCTGTGGGAGCGAGACGTCCGCCATTGAGACGTACGCTCGGCCTGCACCAGGGCTTGGGGTCCGCCGATTGGCCGTGCCATAAGGAGGCGAGGGCGATGAATCCCTATCAGGGGAACCACTCCGATCTGCTGCACCCTCTTGCTCTTTCGTCATGTCTGTCTCGACGCACAGCCACTTGCCAATCTCCCATCCTTCCTTGAACATCGCATCAATGTGGTTAAAGCGCTCATCCCATGCCTTGATCCCCACGTTCTTTACCGGGTGGAGTTCTCTATGGAAGCCACACCAGTACTGATGCAGGCCGTTGCGGCCCATGCGGCATTTTGACAAGAATTCCTTGAGTTTGTCCTTGTCCCTGAATTGATGGTTTTGCTGGAGATGGCTCTCGAAGGACGCTTGTTCGTAGAAATGGTCGGCGCATTGGTCCTTCTGACTACCAACCTTCGGCTCTAGACATCGCCAAGCTTCGTGCTGGAAGTGCTGAGTGCTTTCGTGCCGTTTCCAGTCGTTTTTGCTGCCAAAGCTCTTCTTGCACTTGTGGAACGTGCAGCCGTAAGGTTTGGTGTGGCGCTTCATATGCTTCCTGTCACTCGAGTCAGCAAATTCCGCTCGAGATTGTATCGGATCTGACGCACTTCAGATCGCACTTGCGAGGCAAAACTGTTTTGCATCCGGGGTGGGAGCATTGTATATTTCTTTCGACCGTGGCGTCCTTGGGGACATCTTTGGATGACAGTGACCCCTCCTCTTCGCGGCCTTTGAGGAACTCAGCGAGCAGCGTTTTCATTGCTTCATTGAGTGTAGGGGCATTCACAACCGTCCTTGCTGCGTCGCCGGTCCGATCCGACTCGATGATTTCTACACTGACGTCACGTTGAGGCTCAGTACTGGCTAACGGCTTACTAGGTGGTGCAATCCGGGATCCCGTGCGTGAGGCTGAGTTGAGTGTTAAACCGCTTTTCTTGAAGCTTGCCATTCCATTTAAGACTTCTCGAAGAACTTTCATGATTGCTTCGCCCTCTGCCGGGTTGGTTGGAGTTGTTATGGTTGCATCGGCCGGTGGACTAGACATCACTTGAGGAGATGAAGAAGCTGCCTCATGGTCGGACAGTTCCACTCGCGGGTAGCTGTGAACCGTGTCCTCTAAGGCCTCGTGGTAAGGTCCGCTATCGCAGGAGTCAAGGCCCACCGCAGCGTCAGCTAGGAGGTCGAGCGAGCCGATAATGTCCGCAGTGTCGCTTCGCACATTACGGGGGCCAGCCGGACCTGGGCCAACTGAACTGAGCAAGCCAGGTTGCCTCTGTCCAAGGTTGGACTCCCGGTCAGTAGCCCGGCCACAATCATAGAGTTGGAGGAGATTGGCACCTAGCTGGCCTCCACTGTGATCACGCGGTTGCCTTCCCGTCACTTGGGTCTGCCCATCACCTTGATCCGGTGATATACACAGATCGGAGGTAGTGTTGTACGACAGAGTTTGGATGTCCGAGCCGGCCCCTATATTTGCTAAGGCATCCTCAAAAGGAGGAAGGGATGGGGGCCGCAGTGGAGGTGGGGAATCAAAGGCTTTATCACCGTGGTATTCGGAGCTAGGCCGCCCCTTGTCAGCTTCGAGGTTTACAAGAGCTAGGGGAGACATCTATACCGGCCGATCAGGTCATCCACGTCTGGCTCTTCTTCCTTGTGCATTCTTTCGATATGCTGCTTGAAATTATCGAGCCGTGGCCAGATCTTTGTCTTGCCTTTGCATTTATCTGCTGCACACTTGTAGGACTTTGTCCTTCCTCCAGTTCTATGCACGCTCTTCTTGTGGCGCTCTAGGTCGTTCACGGTGGTGAAGCCGTCGATTCTTGTGCAACCAGGGAAATCGCATTTATACGGCTTCTCATGTTTAAGGACGTGTTTTCTATAAACCACCAATTAGCCAGATACCCTAGACTCTAGGATTTGACGTACTTGTACTCGGATTTGCACTTGGGTCTCTCTAGGCAGTAGGGGCATTGCTGGGAGGCCTGCCTGCGCGGAGAAACGCCACGAACACTGGACGGCTTCGCTTGTTTGTTAGGCTGGAGATGTGTTGAGTCAGGAAATTGGGCGTTGGTGTTAGAGAGAGACAGGTCAGCTAGCGAGGTCGTTGTGACCGGGCAGTCTCGTTCCGTGTGCAAGGGCTCAGGGACGCCTTGGGAACGAACACTGGCCGTCAGGGTTCGATAGCTCCCATAGCCAGAGTCCTCACGGCAAAGTCCAGACGCGGTACTCTCAATCTCAGATGCCGGGCCGCGTTCACGCCATCGGCCAAGGTTGAGGCTCGGTGCGCTCGGATAAGCAGCCGACACAGATCCCGAAGACGGCTGTTCGGACCTAAAGCCAGCGCTACCCATCAACGGATTCCAGGGTGCTTCACTGCGTTCACTACCTTGGTAGAAGGCCAGTATGAGATCATGAGTGCCATTAACGGAAGGAAGATCAGAAGAAGGTTGGAAGCTATCAAGCTCTCCGCCTAGGCTAGAATCAAGCCGGTCAAGTGGGTTCTGGATGTAGGTGGGAGTATGAGTATATCCTTGGACTGGCCCAGCGGACTGAAGCTGATTTTGGTCAGGGTAAATGGGAGGGCCCATCTGCATCAGACTTGAAGGTCGAGGGACCTCGGTCGTCCTCGGTGCCCTCCATTGCTGTCGAGATGAAGCGGAAGACTGAGACTGAGTGGCACGAGGATACTGCCACTCTTTAGTGTGATGCCTTGACGAGATAAATTCAGAAAGCATACATAACTGGAGTTAAACATGTACTGATAGTCATTGTTTGCCATGCTCGTCGCCTGACGCTGAGTGTTAGTTGTAAGACATCTACATTATGCCACGACGAGGCGATGACCGTAAAGGCAAGCAGCATCACAAGGCTATATCACATGGTAAGGCATACGACAAGCAGGATATGCCCTCACGCGCAGACTAAGATTTGAGGAAGGTTTAGCAAGACAAACGAGATGTAGCACACCTGTTGAAGCCGGTTTTCTGCAGCCTTGTGCCTAATGATTCGCCGAGGCGGATGGCAGTGGAGAAGCTGAAGTACTTAAGAAGCACGGCCCCGTGGCAGTCCTAGCGAGAATGATTGCTCACCCGAACGCAAAAGGGCGATAGCACGCCGGACAGAGCCTCTTGACAGTCTGTGTTCGACACAGTGGGTGAACAAAGCGTTCGGTGTACGGATAGGGGAAAGGGTGAGAGGCCGCTGGGCGACACTCATCATTCAGCAGGGCGGTGCAGTCAAGACGGTGAAAGAGCGTCCTTTACGCAGCATCGACCTATCAAGAAGTGCCATTCCGAGGCTTCCTAGCCGCAAAAGTGTCGCACTGAAATGGGCGGGCGCAGCTGATACGATGCCGCGGAGGCAGAAGTGGTTGCCTTCTTCTTGGCAGCAAGCAGAGGCCGGCCGTTGAGGCGGGCGCAGCACCTGGCAGTCCAAGCACTTTTGAAACTCGTCATCCTGTCTGCATCTCACCGCAACGGCCAATAGCCGTAATACCGGACAGGGTTTGGTTTTGACGACGCATTGCTGGTGTCACGGAGCAAGCAATCATCTGCAGGGCACACTAACTCGGTATCACCGGAACTTTCAAAAAGGTAATTCGGTGAGAGGGAATTGAAGAAATCAACAACCACCATCTGTCTATGAGCTGCATGAGTAATGCTCGGACAGCGTTGAACTATATGCGAAACCGGTTTACGCCACGGGTATTCACTGGAAAAGGGCGCCCTGCCCCCCTACGCCCCGCGGTAAATGAAAACGCTACACCCGACCCAAGAACTATCAGAGTACCGCCTATTACTTCATAAATGAATTCCCGGTCTACCGGCTATGGAAAGGATACAGCTGCTGCTGATACACATACGACGGCACCTGCTGGTACTGGCTTCCAGAACATGGGAGCGCTTCCGAATGATCGTACGGGTTGCTGGCCTGTACAGCCTGATTGCTCGTGTTCAAAGCAGGTGTGGGGTGCCCCGCATGAGAGAACTGCATTGGCATCGTGCTGTCGCTAGGAAATGGCGTTGCATCAGTCGGCGAGGCGTACATTGGCTGTTGCCCGTACGCTGATGTGGGCGTTGCTGAGGGTATGAAGCGACTTGAAGCATGAGGGGCATATCTGTGTTGCTGCAGTTGACTAGGTCCAGAAGCGGCACTCTGAGCGTTGCCAAAGGACTGCGCTAGGCTGGCAACAGGTGGATAAGTGCTACCGGAAAAGTTTCCTGGAGTGTTCGAAAGATCGCTGTAGGCATACGAGGATTGATGGTACTGCACCCCGTGATTCGCAAACTGAGGAGGGGGATATGTATGCATCACTGGAGCAGCAATAGTGGGAACAACCGGGTACTGAGTACCGCTTGTGTGAAAGCCAATCTCAAGCGGGCCGACGCCTGTCTCTCGGAGATGTGTCGATCCATTGCGGCTGATGTAAGGCAAGCCGCTCTTCAAAACCGCGGAAGCTGGTGAGACGGTTTGAGAACGATGCTGTTGTTGCGCGTCGACAGGACTTATGACAGAATCAGGTTGGAGGTGCTTCTGCTCCACGAGCGGGAGGACCGGTAGGCTGATCTGCTCCATGTGCTTCGCCAAGTGCACTGTCAACTTCTTCCAGCTGTTGCACTTGTTACTGCAGAATCTGCACGGTTCATCCTCCGGCTGTTTTGGGGCATCGTGGCGACAGAGTTCGACAAACGCCCAGACCTGTTCGGAGACGTCCTCTGGGATTTGACCTGCAGCATGGTCTCCGCTGTGCCGTCTGACGATGTCTTCGATGACGATATCTTCGAGGTTCACTGCCATGTTCCGAGTCGCGGCGTTCGAAGACCTCCCAGTCCTTGCTCTGGGTTCCGGAACTTTGTGTTCTCGGACAAGGTGTTGTACAAAGTTGTCCTTGCGATAGCACGTGTGTCCGCAGTCTGGTATAGTACATGTCCAGCTCTCGAGTTGTCTGTGGCGTTCGTTCTCATGTCGAACCCAGTCAGCCTTGCGCTTGAACGACTTAGGCTCAGCGCAGTTCGGAAAAGTGCAGGTAAAAGGCTGCACATCTTCGTGCACATGCTTCGTCCAGTCGGAAGGCTTGGAGAACTTCTTGACCTGGAAACAAAGCGGACACTCGAATTCTGCCGGTAGCCGCTTGACAGGCGGTTGAGGAACACCGAGTGGAAACTGCGCGGGCTGAACGGTACCGTCACCCAGATTTTCCGCACCCTCATCACCAGAGCCGGGTGCGGTCACGTGGAAACCTGTGGATAGGGGGTCGGTAAATCCTCTGCCATCCGTACGAGGTGGTATTTCTTTTCCTTCTCCTCCTAGAGCCGTGCAGAACTCCAACGAGCAGTTCCCTCTCTGGACGCAGTTTAGATGCTTAATTTTGGCCTCTAGCAACCTTTTGTATCTTCTGATCTGTTCCTGAGTGGCTCGCTCCAGCATATACTCTGGTAAGCGAGGATTCAAGTGTTGTATATGGGTCTTGAAACCCTCGTAATCTGGTATGATCGGATCCGACCGGACCGCAAGGTTCATCTTGACGGCATCTTGTGCTGACAGGTCGTCCTCATCGTGATCCTCAGCCAGGATCTTGGTGTCAGGAGTTCGTTGCACGTCAGTGCTCCCGGAGTCATTCGCAGGCGAAGGAAGTGTCAGCATAGGTGGACCACCGTGCTGACTCATAAGCTCCTTCAGCCTAGACATTTTCCCTACATCGCTGCGGCTTCTGACTTTTCTTAAACTGTTCCTCGCTTGAGCGAAAGCCTTGCCCGGCGCGCTCGCACTAAGAGCGCTGGTATGTGCGCCATCACTAGGGATGAGGATCACATCTGTGTCGAGTCTAGGGCTTTTGGGCCGGCTCGAACTCCCTTTTCGCTTTCGCGGCTGTGTAGTGGTCTGTGTGTCCCCTTGTGCCGTATCCGTAGCGCCACCATCGGGCTCTTGTTGCCCGGCGTCGCTCTTCTTCCGTCTCAGAATATTGTTGGTGCTACTTCGTCGGAAAGAGACCCTGTCGAGGAAGCTGCCACGCCTCTCCGACCCCTGAACCACTGAGTTAGTATTGTACTGGACAAAATAAAAGCGATGCTCGCGGTGCCTCAGCACCTCCATACACGGACTAGAGAAAGAATGCAGAAATTTCTTTCCTGTATGTGCTCTTGCACAAGCTGTCTCAGACGCGATCATGCAGCTTCCTCATGCCCTAAATTCTTGCTCGCCGCTTTCCAGCCGAGAAGAGTTAAAGTCTTTGCCCCACTAGCTTCCTCTTCCGAAGTATGAATGGATAGAGAGATCAGGTCCACGGCAAAAGGAAGCCAGGAGACTTTGTCACTTACTTTTCGCGCTAGCTCTTGGTCTTTAGTAGCCTTGCTCTTCTCTTGAGTGTTGGCTCTGTCACCGACCCGTACCGAGATACCGGCTGCGGCAAACAAACTTCCCATATCCGATTCGCTGCGCCGTCGTGAGCCGATAGTAGCTGTAAGAGATGCAGATTCCACATCCTTGACTTTTTGTCGAAACCGCATTATTGCCTGATTAGCAGTGAATGATTGCTGGAACCCAGCAGACGGCTCTGTAAGCCGAGATCTGTTGCTCCATGAGTAGTCAAGAGCGAGTTGACCCGGGAAAGCCGCGGCTTGGGTGGAGAAAGGCGTTGTCGGGGAGTAGAAAGCTTCATCAGCAGCAGAGCCAATCGGCACTTTGGTTGGAGGCGACTTCGGTATGTCAATCTCCGGGTTAGAGATGTATTCCTCATCGTCATCACCACTCTCCTCGTCGAGGTAGACGCCAGGACCTGGGATACTGGCCTCTGGGAACACAGACGTCTGGATGACTAACGCAGGGTTAAGTGACAAGCTCTGACGCGCCCCAGCATCGTTCGTACTTCTCGCTCGGCGTCGACCTGCATTTCGTCGTATGCGGCCGTTATTGGCAGGACCATTAGGATCGTCGGCCCGGCCATAAACCTCGCTATGCACAAGCCATTCGTGGACGTCCGCGTTTTTCTCCGCAAGTTGTCGCTCTTTCTCTTGTTCCTCGAGTGTCGGCATATTCGAAGCTTCCATGGACTCTCGAGCTTCGGGATGTATACCCGCTGGCCCTGAATGAACAGCGAGCCACGACCCATCTTCGCTGCGCTGCACTGAAGGTTGGTTTACTGCCAAGCGCGGTAGATCTTCCCGGGCAGCTTGCATATTGTCGCCGTCATTGTCGACGGAGGAGTCGTCCGCCGGGTATGGTGACAGGTGCGTTGCAGATTTTCGGCTAGCGTGGCTACGCTTACTGAGACTTCGGCTGAGCGGCGCTGTCGGAGGTGATTCCTTCATGCCGAAGTTCTCTATGCGAACAATGGGGCTTTTCAAGTGGACTGGCAGTGTCGTAGATATCGCACTGGTAATCACACTGGGACTACCAGTTGAAAACGGGCTGCGGTACGGATTGGTAGCTGGCGTATGCATATGCGATGTTGGTTCTAACAACGATAATGTGGGCTGAGTGGTCGTCGCGCTTCCGGAAGGCTGGCCACTTGGTGTAAAGGCCGAGACGTAATTCATCTCTACAGGAATGGGACTTGAAGCGTGTGTAAGATTTGGAGAGTACAGCTGGAAGTCTGCTGCCACTAGAGCTGAAGTAGATACGGACATAAAATTCGCGGGTTGTGAGGAAGGGTACGGTCCGAAAGACTGTGCCGGGCCCGATGTGTGGCGAAGACCGTACTGAAGAGTGCCCTGGGAATCAAACGGCAACTCATGGTGCTCGTTGAAAAGCTGCTGGTCGAAAATCGGGGTGGTGTATTGACTTGCATCGACATATCCTGGGTTTGACAGATAATCTTCGGAGCGTTGAGCGTACATATCGTGCACCATAAGATGAGACGGGGACAGTGTCTGTGCCATTGGGCTTGTTGAGAACGCTGCAACGTTGCTTTGCTGCTGATGCGAGTCGTGCTTGTTAGATTGGTGGTAGGTACTAGCTCTTTCTGAAGTAGCAATCGCGTTGAGGTTGTCTGATTCGAATGGTGATATGTACCGGCTGCTGGAGCTATTGCCGTCGGCTGGACTTTGATGGGTTTCCGGGTTATTCGCGTAGGATCCGTCGTCCAGTGGAGCCGTCATTGACACGCTACAGGAGCTCTTTTCACCAGATTGAACAGTCAATGAAAGCCCGCCGAGAGTAGTAAAAGGTGAAGCTTAGGATGATGATGGCTGGTTTCCACCTTCGGCGATAAGTCGCCTGTGGATATCTCTCCTAGTAGTAGCCAAGAAGGGCCCAGACGCGGGTCAAAGCTACACCTGGCGGCCCAGCGAACTTTAAGAGGCTGGCCGACACCCTAGCCGTTCTACAATGGTCGCTCGTTACACCCTGAACATGTCGGACTATCAAGCAACAATCGTCGTCCCGAAAGGTATCGTGCCTCGATTGTGAAGAGCGTGGAGAGCAAAGCTCTGTGTGGAAACGAGAACTGGAAGAACGTCTCAGGTCGTTAAGGTAAATGAGCTTGACAGAAGGGAGGATACAGAAAGTAGAGGAGTGTTCGGCGGTTGCGTATCTGCGCGATTGGCTGTTGGGCCTGAGCGGGAGGATTTCGCTTGGCGGTCTTCGAGAGGCCTTCTCGAAGCTGAACGCAGACGGGGTGTTTGGGAGCGCGCTCAAGATGGATAACGAAAAAAATGCCTACGCGACGTACCGTGCAAGATATGACTCTGTGTGCTCATGGAATCAAGGAATGGCCAGCGTACAGCACTAGGCGTAACTCGAGGCTGACTCGAGGCTCTACACGGATTTGAGTGTCAGAAACAGACGCGGGCTGCTTTGGTAGCCGCAGGTCCTCAAGTCGGTGAACTTCTGATATACTGAAACACGCTCTTGAAGCACTGTGACGTGATAGTTTTACTAGGGCTCCGAGGCAGATTCGCGATCAATCACTCTGTATGTGGCAGTGGTATATTGCCTGGCGGACACGCTGCGCCTCAACGGGTGGAGCCTGCCCTGTCAGGCCGCCTGATGGCTGAGCACTGCCACAATCAGCAGCAAACTTCAGAATTCCTGTGGTGCAAGTGCAACACGAGGGCTTCTGGATGATCATGCAAGTAGTCAATGCCTTGCGTCAAATGCATCTCCGATTGAGCACCAAGTCGATCTTGCAATTTGTCTGATCCCCACAGGGACTGAGTGTCCACGTGACTATATATCTGCTTGCGCCTGGGGCGCGCCTGACAGTTCTCCCTCACCCTAAACATGATGGAGAATTGTGTTTGTGGAATGCTTACAACGTTCATGAGAAGTGATACGCTTAACCGAGGTATATGACATCTCCGAGGGATATTCAACAAACGTGGGAAAGGCAGACCCGGCTCACTGCTCCATATCCATCAACCCAAGACAATCAAGCTCAGTCCTCACGATTCTCTCGAACTCAGCCCTCTCGATACCCGCACTGCGGGCCAAACGAAACAGACTCTTGATGTCAGTGCTTATATGCTGTTTGATGCCCACTTCGGCCTGTGAGTGGTCTTCGGCCTGCTGCTGCAGTCGTGCCACTGAGCTTGATAGCGACGACGCGGAGGATGAGGGACGTGGAGATTCGATTGCGTCGTTGTAGACAGGCGCTGAGAGATTGCTGGTCGTGGTATCTGGTAGCGGAGTCAGGGTCATGCTCCAAAAAGAGTCAAGAGGTACTCACTTGTTCGATCCCGGCCTGACTCAGGATGACCATTTGGCTGCAGGAGAGCTGGGATCGCGGAGTCTCGACTTAGAGACCCCAGATCTGTCGTCCCCACTGCCTCAACTTCCGGCTGTGGTGCGGGCATGCCTCGGGTAATAGAATCACCATTAAGCGTCGACCCTCCCGCTGCCGCCGCCGCATCCTCCTCGTCCGGATCATGCGGGTCCATTGCTGGCTGCACTTCAGCGGCGTACCGTGCGAAGTACTCCAGCTCTGATGTCGTCGGCAGTTGTATGCTGCTTGGCCTGCCGGTGTTCGGTGCTGGCGATCTTTTCGCTGGTGTCCGTCCCGGTGTGCGGTCGTATGCGGCCCAGTAGCTGTCGTCGTCCTCATCTTCATCTGCATCACCTTCTCCTGCTAGAACTGGCTCCGCGTGGCCGTTTATTCCATTTGTGCCAGCGCCCCTCGCCCCCGCCCCTTGATTCGCCTCCTCTATACTCCCAAACCATCCCGTACCATCGTCCAGGTCTTCCAACGCTCTCATCTCGGCCAGTCTCCAGCCCGTCCCACCGCCAGCTTCATCATTCTCGCACCACAGATATATAGGAAGGAGGCCAAACTGATCCAACTCAAACCGTGCGTGGAGAGTCTCCTTGTCTAAGCGCCTATATCCCGTCGCCCTGACATCATCGAGTTCGAACTCGCCTGATACTGGGTGAGGCTCCAGCTGTATCGTCTGAACAATTTGCGGGAGCTTCGCCGCACGCTGACGATCCCAGCACAGCAGGGGAAGCCATGATTCTGATGCGGAATTGCTGGACGCGAGGAGCTGGACGCGCTGGCGGAGGATGGGCGATAATAGGGGTAGCAGGGCCGGTGGAGGTCGTGGAGAAGCGAAGGAAGCTGGGAGACATGCTAGGAGCGGTGGTAGGAGGCCCCTGGGAGATGGTTGAACGATCAATTGGGCCATGGTCTCGTTATCGGTCAAGGCGGTTCTGAACTGTAGTAGCGGCACGGGAGCAGTCGTGAGTTCGTCGTTACTTGCTGGTGTTTAATTTCCTGATCAACGGGAGCTTGCAGCGTAATGTAGGGCGGGGTTGCATGTGATAGAGGGGTGTGACGCCGGCCAAGAAGAGAGGAGTGAACAATCGAGCGTGAGAAGAGAGGAAGATACTGGACACTTTGTAGCTCCATCATTTCACGATACGTCTCGCGGTAATTCTTTGGACCAACGGCTGGACCGTTGAGGCCGATGCTTCCTTTCCGCCGGAGAACGGGAGAGCCCTGGAGGGAAATCTGCGGCGCTTCGGTCCCTTGTTCCGCGGACCCTGCAGATGGCGCTACGATATCGCAGTTAGTTGAATATCCGTGGATGCACGTGGAGAGGCTCGAGGGGTCGAAAACGTTCTCAGAGCAATATTCAGAAGCGGCATAACGGCATACGACAGTCATGTCAGTTGGTTGCAAGAATGGTTAATTGGCAACAGGAGTGAGCTTTGTTCCACGGGGTAGGTACATGCCTTACAAACATCACGAGGCTATCAAAAACTAAAGAACAGTATCCCTCTCATGCTGGTTCATTCGCTCTAGTCCGTTACATAGATGCTTGGACAAAATCGCCCGGGTCCAAAACAGACTTCAAAGCTGTGATAGCGTGTTCTCCCAAACGCCCCGACTCGCCCGATGGTAGTCAGTGCTCAATGCTCTTTGATCTCGAGAGCCCACCGTCTCTACCCTCGCCTTCGCGCTTTTCCACTCCCCGGGCTGCTCCCTGTCGTAGCACCCTTCCTAATCTGATCTAGGACACCTTGCACCTTCTCCGGCCTAACGCCATCGACGACGTTCCCTCTGCCGATTTCCTCCACCACGTTGTTTGGATCTGCCTCGCCAATGACCGATATCTCGCTCGCAAGCCACTGCTGGAACGGCTTAGCTACAAAATAGCCGTCTGCAGAAAACCACTGTGTGAAGGGCGCTTTGATGTCTAGTTTTCGGCCGTCGACGCTAACCGTGAGGTGGTAGATGGGGATATGGTCTTTCGTTTTCGATGCCATCGTGATCTTGTTGCCAGCGCTGTCAGTCCATCCAGTGCTTGTCGATCTTGGTCTGTAGCTCTGCCGGGGACTAGTTACCTGATTCTTCCCCCTGCTCCCAGCAAACACAGTGCCCTTCTCTACAGCCCATATCCAGTAGGTAAACACACCGTTGAGCAGGAAGTACGCTAGAACAGCAGGGCCAGTGTACGCCTTAGTATTCTCCCAGCCAAGGGTCCAGTCGAAGTAGAAGAGCACGCCAGCAATCGCGACGGCTGTGTAACCAAGCACTAGGCGGACATCTGCGAGGTAGTGTGACTGCTTGAAGGGCTCATTCGGGAGCGTAGTCAGGTATACGGGAAGAGCGTCGTCGGTGGTATTTTTGAGGTCTGCAACGTGATCAGGATCTGTTTACTGCTGCACAGAGTCTCGGGAGTTGAATCTACCGGAGAGGGAGTAGACGGGAACCTTCGTTGAAGACGTCATGGCGAATCCGGGTGTTAGACTGTTCTCCGTTTGCACACTGGGTGTATGGAGCTACAATGAGCTCCCAGCGCTGGTGTTGACGCTCAGTAAGTGTGCAAACGCAAAGGTGTCCGATTTCGTGCAGCACGCCGAACCCCTGCAACCTCCAAAGCAACGATTCCACCACGGCGTTGCGGGCACTCAAACTCCAAGTTTCCGCAACACCAGCGCGCCAGCAAGGTAGACGACGACTGAGCATCAGGATGGCTCAACCGGTGGTGCAGACGATCCATAGGGATCCAGCGTTGTTGTATGGCTCCAGCAACATACGACAGGTTGAAGATATCAGCTCACAGGTGCTCTAGCTACTGGATATTGCTGCCCATCACCGTGGTCATGGTATGCTCTTCGCTCCACCCGAATAGAGGACTTTGGCTAACTACTATATAGGTTCTTACTGGCATCCTCAGACACTACGCAATGATCCTTCTCCAATCCGCTCCCAAGAAGCAAACCCTCCCTCAAGTCCGGCAACAGCGCTCCCTCATGCGCGCCATCAACCTGCGAAACAACTTCAACGTCATCTCAGCCTCATCCTTCCAGAACCGCAAGGCCCTTATGGTTCAGGCCTTCAAAGATGGCGCTTTCCTAGCGGACCCAGAAGCGAGAGGCAAGCCGAGACCGAATCCAATGACAGATCCAGCAATGATGGAGGGCATGATGGGCATGATGAAGGGGAATGTCGCTATGATGGTGCCGCAAACGTTGATTATGGGGTGGATCAATGCGTTCTTCTCGGGCTTCGTGATAAGTGAGTGCTGGTGCCCTTAACCATGGTATCGATGGACCACAGCCGCAGCCTTCCGCAGCCTCCTCGATGTATCTTCAAAGGAGGCGGAACGGCACGGCCCATCTGACCGCTGCACACTGGCATCGCCGAACCTTGCTGACTTGGCGATCTGGCGAGCAGTGAAATTGCCCTTCCCACTGACGCCACAATTCAAGTCTATGTTGCAGTCAGGCGTTGGCACTCGGGATCTTGATGTGCGATGGGTATCGAGTTTGTCATGGTACTTCCTCACGCTTTTTGGGCTGCAGCCGGTATACAACTTCATCCTTGGCAGCAACAACGGTACGTTGATCAAGCCAACACGGCCTGCTGTCGAGCGTAATGACTAACAGCAACATAGCCGCAAGCCAAGTTACACAGCAAATGGCGCAGATGAATCAGATGCCTGGGATGGGTCCAGAACAGGACCCGGATAAGCTGTTCCTTAGCGAGGCCGAGAATCTGGAGGTGATAGAGCATTACTGGATCTTAGACGGGGTTGAGGACCGACTCCTGGCTAAGTTGACCTGACGGACATATGGGGGCGGGCGAGTGGTTTGCACGGCCTGATGACCAGGATATCCAGGTCGTTTGCACACCGAAGATGAGCGTCAGGCATGGGCTCGTAGAGCAAACACCAAATAAATGGCGCAGCCCTGGCGGCCTGGCGGGCGCGGGACTTTCTGCCAAACGCCTGAGTAACAACTTCAGCTGAGGCCTGCGCGGAGCAGAGTGAGGCAGATTCCGCAACATGGATGTACCTGGGTGCAGGTGCGCTGTCCGGTGACGAGCATCCCACCGCCAGATGGGGACGCAGAGCCTCAACCGGGCGAAGCCACAATACCGGCTTGCATGTAAGTAGGTAGGATCTAGCGTGTCCTGATGAAGCAGAGTCCTGAGAGGCTCCTCTCCGCGCAGAGTAACGATCGAAGTGAACTATGGCGCTTATTTGCTTCGCCCTCCCGCCAGCCGCTCGTCCTGCAGAATGCGGGTGATAAGTTCCTGCAAGCGATCCTCTCGTCTTGAACTCACTCGACACCACCGACACCACCGACACCACCGACACCGCCCACACCACCACCATCATCATCCGTGCACTTCAGCTGTTATGCGCTTGACGCGAGCAACGCGAGGGCCAAGGACGCAGGACAGCAGTAGTCGGACAGCATGACATATGGATGCCCCTGCCGGTTCTCTGCCTGACGGAAACCCGTTGCCTCGTTTCAATGTCTCCACTGGGCACCCCCCCTTCGACCAATCCCGAGAAGCGGCCTCCCTTTCAAGACGCCCGACACCACAGTCGTGTCGACACTGCCGCGACTCCCGCATCCAACACGGCGACCGCGCAGTCCACTTGTAGCTAGGTGAATTGATCTTTGCTCGCTCGTCATCCGTTCACTCCATCATGGCAGTCCCTAGAGCGCTGTCGACCTCGTAAAACTCACCGGCTAATATGTAAGCATCCGTGGGCTGAAGACGGCTCAGCCACAATTGCTATTTTGCGTTCACCTGCATAACCTCCGTACTGCACTAGGCGATGATTCGTCCGACCTCTGCGGCAGGGCAGCTTTCTCACGATCCTTTGCTTTTCTTACTATTTCAATCCGCATGGCACTTGCGCCCGGTGTACCGCTGGACTAAATGTGGGCTGCGCCAGCCGGCGGAGTTCCTGAATCTTCCCATGCCACGATGCAGCTCTTCGCATAGCCAGAACCATCTAGCCAACCGGGACGTTATTCCCCCATCCCCCGCTATCACCGGTCAGCACGCAGGGGCGCCTTGCCGCTGCCGCTAATTGGGCTCGAGCAGAGGGCCTCTCCTCAGGATGAGGCTCTTCGCGCTCAAGCTATCGTATGAGCCATAGGATGGTGGGGGCTTTGAGGCAGTCGGCTGATTCTGGGTCACCCAAAGTTGGCAACTTGGATGGAGAAGTACAGGTCCCTCTTATCTTAGTGTTTCACAGTCTGTCTGCCCTACGGTCCAGGAGAAGCATCGGGCACCGCCCCTTTCGAGCTTCAAGTCCCGTCATCGCTCGCGTATGTCATTGAGTTTCTCGAACCGTTTTCTAGTGTTATAAGTACCGAGGGTAGGTCACACTTCCGGTCCATATCCCATTGCAACAGATGCTCCCCACGATCCGGCGTTTACAGCTACTGTTCTTTGCTCACAGCCACCGCTTAGAGCATAAGATCTATTCCTCTAGCCTTCCTCTTTCCTATTCGGGTATATGCGCTCGAACTCATCCTGCGTGTCAGGACTATCGCTACCGAATGATCAACGGCACCAGTTGAGCTCTTTCTTGTTGCCGTCAATACAGCATGGAGTCCTTGCAGATTTTCTGTGATATTCCAGACATCCAAGTGAACGAGGATGGCCCTCTCCATTCTACGCGTTACTATCCAGATTTCGACGACGGCTTTGTTGACCAGTCCATGAGTTTCGCGAGCCAGGGAAGGGTGATTCCAGGCTTCGGAATGGATATATCTCTCGATACACGCAACAGGCAGAGGATGTCGACGATGCAACGTTTCTTGGATCAACCTCCGTTCATGCCTGGATGTCTGCGTGCAGAGCCTGGGAGACCTTATGAGCTCTCTGGGCAATTCAACTTCAACCAGCCATACAGACCCAGGTCGCTATGGCCTGTTGTGGACGAGTATCAGCGTCATCCATCGCCGGATGACACTATCTGGTCGGCCTCTAGCGGTGGCTCGAGCGGATTGCATCTTGAAGACCACTCTCCACCTGAGTCCTTCTGTTGCACTCAAGACGGCCGGCTCAGCTGTAGCTCACGAAAATTTCCTCATTACATGGAGCATCTTGACCGCCGTTCTGAGCCTTTCGCAGGTGGTGATTCTTGCATCACTCTGAGCGACATCCAGCAAGTGCCCGACGAGGACCCAATTCAAAGCGCTGAAGACTCCGACCGTGACATTAGGTTTGCTTATGCTGCCTACGACTCAGATCCCCATGGCTATCCAGTCAAGGTTGAAGGCGAGGTCAATCGATACAGTCAGGACTACCAAGACTCAGGTGTCGGTGAATCGATCCGAGACGCCGAATCCGTCCAGCCATGCGGTCAAGACGACGAAGACTCTGAAGATGCGGACTATAACCCACCAGCCACCTCCCCTCGGCCAGCCAAGCGCGCTTGTCCATCATCTCCCCAGTCTCGCAACTCGTCAAACGGCACGCACAAGCGCCCTTCCCATGGCCGCAAAGTCTCCACGAGCTCGTCAGTTCACGACAATAGCCGAGTCACGAAGCGCACCAAGTCGAACAGTACTTCACCAACACGAAGCGGCAATGGTAACAGCCCCCGGCCCTTCCCTTGCCCTATCGCGCTGTACGGCTGCACCTCAACATTCGCGTCTAAGAACGAGTGGAAACGGCACGTCAGCAGCCAGCACATCCGGCTCGGCTTCTGGCGCTGCGACCTCTGCGCCTTGGTCGCACCCAATCAGCCGCCAAATGAGTTCAATCGTAAAGACCTCTTCACGCAGCACCTCCGGCGTATGCACATGAAGCCAATAGCCGCTTCTCAGAAGACTACAAGCGCGCTAGAGTTGCCAGTTACTGAAGACAATCTCGGACGCCACCAAGAACGGTGCTACAAGATGCTTAGAGAGGCGCCGCAGCAGTCGAGCTGCCTCTTCTGCGCCCGTCGGTTCGAGGGCCCGAACAGTTGGGATGAGCGGATGGAGCATGTCGGACGACACCTGGAGAAGGAGAGAAAGGGCGAGTCTAAGCAGAGCGCGCTCGCGGATTGGATCCCCGACCCAACGCTTGAGGAGTGGCTTCGTGAGGAGGGGTTGATTGATCGTGACGGTTCAGGAGGATGGCAGCTCGGTGATGGGGTCCCGAGGAGGCAGAAGGGCAACTGATGCGTATTTTCGTTTCTTTTGCGAAGTGCTATGGTTTATGAAGCACGATTGACGATTCGATACCCGCCCGTACCTGCAAAGATTTCCTATCTTGTCTAGTTTAAAAGTTTCGTGTTGTAGAATCAAAATTCTATCTTCACATCCGTCCTCATCAGTTGACATCCTTAACCTCATCGCCAGCTCACAACACACCAACACAACTCCCCATCCCTCACAACACGCCCGCATAAAACAATCGACCGATTCCCCGGGCAAGATGAAACATTCTAAACTTCCAGCATGAGCCCGCTCCTCAGCTCAGCCTCCGCAGGTGCAATGTCACATCTCCACACCGGCGACCCAAACGCAGCACCCGGACTCAGCCACCAACAACTCGGATTACGCCCCGTTCCCGATCCCGCGGTAAGGCGAAACCGGCGGTTTCAGCGGTCGGCTGAAGCTGCCATTAGAGACTCATAAGCCACCGGTGTCTGAGACACCTGCTGGTCTGCCTGAAGGTTCGCGGACGGGGGAAGGTTAAAAGCAAGCAAACATAATGACTATAGTTTTGCCATCTCTACTCTAGCTTGGGTAACGACCGGGGCAGGAACTTAACCCACCTTTTGTTAGCCCTGCTGTTGTGAATTGCGCTGCCCCGTACATTATCACAGGGAGGGAAGAAGAGTCGTCGATTTACGGAGAAGGGACCTTTGAATGTTGGATGAATGCTCATGGCAAGAGCGCTTCTGAATTAGTTTTATATGCCCGGTAAAGTGTCTACAACCTATATTACAACTCCACCGTAAACTTCTCCCTTATCTTCCCACCATAATAGTAGAACAACAACGGTGCCGGTGCAAGCGCAAGGCTCAAAAATGCAAACACCGAGATGCCCCATCCGTATCCCACCATGTCAAATAGCGTGGGCACAAACAGCGGCACGATGCCGCCCACGACCGACCTGAAGACTGCACCTGCCGCTATTGCCGACGCCGCGTACTTCTCGAAAGAGTCGATGTAATAATTCTGCACCGTATTCAGAATCATGACCTGGCCAATGCCATAAAACGGCGTGCTGAGTATTGACGCGGCCCAGTGAACACGGTACTCCACGGTCCATGCAAACCTGAATATGTCAGCTGGGACGTAGCCAAGGCGAGCTTGGAAAGGAATGGTCCGCATACCAGAAAAGTGCTATAGGGATGAAAGCCGCTCCAATGTTCGCGAGGGGCAGCCGATACTCCGGCTTCGCTTTACCCCCGTTGCGCTTTGCCAGCTTGTTGTAGACCACATCAATCTTCGGGACGAGGAACCACACTGCGATCAAGAATCCGGAGCCCGGGCCTAGGTAGAGCAAACCCACTTGCTCGGTATTGAAGCCATAGGATCCAGAATAGATGTCTTCGTAATTGGTGTACAAGCTGTAGGTGGTGCTGAACAAAAGAGCCTGATACAATGACATGACTGCGACTATAGGCTGCATGAAGATCTTGACCGGCCGTTTCAGAGAGGTAGTAAGCTTGCTCGTGAGCGGTCTAGTATCTTCGCCTTCGTAGCTATACCTCTTGCCGCCGCTCTCTTCGCTTTGCTCATAGCGAGCTTTCCGCTGGGCAAGTATAACAGGCGCGTAAGTTTCCTTGAGGAAGAAGTAGCCGACTAGCGTGTTGACGCCGCATATGATGGTGAGGACCCAGAAGATCCACCGCCAGCCGAGACGTTGCACGATGATGCCCCCGAACAGCGGCCCTAGAGTTGGTCCGAGGAGCGGTCCCAGTAGGTACCAACCAAAAACGCTGGCCCTTTCTTCCGGTGCAAACATATCGGAGATCGTGCCTCCGCCATTTGCTATGCCAATGCTACCAAAGAATCCAGATATAGTACGGACGGCGATGAGAGCCCCGATATTGGGGCTGAGCGCGGTGGGTATCTGTAGGAGCGAGAAGATCCCGAAGCACCACAGGTATAGCTTTCTGCGGCCGAACGTCTCTGATAGTGGGGCGAATACGAGAGGGCCAATGCCCAGCATGACCACGAAGCCGGTCGTCGCGCCAATCACGGCGTTGAGGTCTGTGTCAAAGCATTCTGCAATCTGCCGCATACCAGGCGTGAACATCGAGCTTGCTAGAGGGCTCAGGACTACGTTGTTCGCATCAGCGACGCGTTGCTTGGGTCGGCTCGAGGGCGAAGGAGCTCACTTGACATTAGCGCAACGATGCCGACATTGGCCAGCTTCTTGGATTTGGGCCATGCTCGTGGGTTCTCGTCGTCGCTCTCAGAGAACTTCAGGAGCTGAGGAACTGATTAGATTCCTTCAATGGAGTTCGATTTGCCACAGGAACGTACCTCGCGCTCTTCCTCTTCCTCCCCGCCGTGCTGGCGGTTCTGGAGTAGCGGGGACCGCTCATCGTGATCCCTTGCCATCGTGCAGCAGCGGCCTTACAACGCCAATAACCACAACGGATAGAACTGAGAGGCGCGAGACCCTGAGGTTCGCATCGTATTTCATGCAGGCCATGATCGGCAAGATTGACGAGCGGCTCAGCTTACCAAGCGCGGATGTGGAGGTGTGGCGGTCATGTCATGATGCAGCTCCCGAGGCCACTGACTGTCAGTGCATCATTGGAAGCACCGGCCCGGACGTTTTCCCGAATGACTTCAAAGCACCAGGCAAGGGAGCAGAACCTAACCTCGCCATCGCCCCCTTCCTGGCGTCCAACTGCCCGCTTTCTCGTTCACATCGTGTAGTTCGATGTAACAAAGCCGGGGAACCCTTAGCAACCCAGAAGAGCTCAGTTAGAGGGAGCGGAAGCGAGTCTGTTGCAGCTTGCTCAGCTGTCATATCCATCGGTAGCTTATTAAGTCTATCATTGATTGCCAGCTACGTCCCAAGCAATCCTTCTATCTCATCTACATCGTTACCAACCTGATCAAATTACATGACTATGCCTGAGTGCATCCTTTTCCTTGACCAGCGCTAGTCACCACCAGGCACCAGGACGAAAGCATCAGACACGTAGAAACAAATTTATGTCTTCTTCGCCACCTGTTTGCGCTACTTGAAGTCCGACTGAAACACATTCAACCCCATCTTCAACGTAGAGCAAGCATCATCCCAACTCAGACTTACAATGAACCTTTCCGCTATACTCACAAATGACTGCAACAATCATGGTAACCGAGGTAATGCTCGAGTCGACATGGATCATTCCCTTCAGGAGCCTCTTCCTCTTTCGCCTGCTGAAAAGCTGAGCTTGGACGTCCTATTTCTGGTATTTGACGAAGTATGTACTAGCTATGGAACATTATGTGTACGGACTAATCGGATGCTCGTTGCAAGCTTTATCGATCATCCCGTCCCGGCATCCTCCATGCTGCAACAGTCTGTAGATCATGGCATTCAATCGCGCAGCGCATTATCGACAACAGCATTGAGCTGGTTCTTTCTCCGGGGTCACATGAGCGTAATCTAGCGCTCTTGAAGCGTCTTGAGCAAGATGGAGCCTTCAGAGGGAGAGTGCAGCAGATATGTATACAAGACTGGTACGGCTCGAGTCTAACCCCGATGATGCCCCTAGACGCTGGCGTCTTTCTACCAGAGGGGCTCTCGCTGGATGCGTGGGTCACCTTCGACTGGGAGAATGATCCTGCCCGGGCACAGCTTACAGCTGTGGTTGATCTCATACCGAAAATGTCTCTTACAGACTTCACGTAAGTTGCCAGATTTGGAACAGCAAGCGTATGTCTGACGAGTCGACAGGTGGAGCGCAAAACCTCCTATACCGGAACTTGTTGAAAGGGCGATCAGCGCCCAGCCGGACTGCAGATTGCACACCCTTCTCCGAACAGATGCACCGGAAATAACCGGTGCATTTTACACAAAGAGCAGCATGTCATCCTTGCTGCCGTGGTCTTCGCATTTGTCCAGCTTGGGCGTCGCCGTACCAGCTAAGGACCGGCCGCTACTAGAGAAGCTGGGCAAGCTTGTCTTGACATGCCACAATCTGAATTCATTGAGGATATTTTCGGCAGAGGGAGTTCGCTCAACTCCTATCGGCGGACCCAGCGAGTTCAGCGGAGTAACAGATTACCGATGGATCATAAAACATTTACAGCAAGGACGCGAATTCTCAAGGCTAAAGGAGCTGGAATTGAGCAACTTCTGCGTCTGCGAAGCGAATGACTGGCATCTGTGGTCGGATTCGCTTCACTGGTCACTGCTGAGCAAGGCCTGCTTCACCTGCCCATCCTTCATCACCAGGGTCGGCTCAAGGCTCTCAAACCTCCAGAGTCTCATTTTGCGGCTAGATCCGGCATCCGTTGGTGCGAGCAAATGCTGTCCTCATCCACACTCAGAGGAGCGCATTCGGGATATCCTGCTCTCGTTTGACGGCCTTGCTGATTTGGAACTGAGATGCGCAAATCCTGCGCTTGATCAAGCTCTGGTTTCTCATCTCGGGCGCACTTTGCGAAGTCTTCGCCTCCAAGAAGATGAATATTATTTTTCGAGGCCTTATTCAAGGCATTTCCTCTCACCCGCAGACCTGGCACTCATGGCCGCCAATTGCCCACTCCTCAGAGATTTGGCGATTGATACGCCCAGGGCGAACTCATCCGTAAGTAAAATTATTAAGCGATTACACTTACCCTTAGAGCTCGTCTCTCTCTTGACACACCCGTGCAGAAGAACAACAGAGCTGACTATGCAAATATCGGTAGCTCCTGGAAATTCTAGATGCCATTGCAGAGCATCTCTGGTTTGTGCCGCGTCTTGAGCTCCACCTAGGACTTGAAGAAGGCGGACGGGCCATCAGATGCCGCCCCTTAGGTTTTGGCAGATGCTACAAACTCTGGTACCACCTTTGGGCACGCACGCGCCATTTCGCCGAAACGGATACCCGACGACTGTCAACCGCACCACGCTTTCAAAAGTTGGTTGTGGTCGTCGATGGCGTTGATCCGGATGGGGTGGTCAGCGTCAGCAATTCTAAGCGCGCTCGAAGACGCTTTGAGGTTTCGCGTCTTGACGATGCGGGAACGGACGAGGGTCGAGTTATTGTGAGAAACCTTGGCATTGAAGAGGCGGCAAAGCATGCTAGGGAAGACCCGACTCTCAAAATGCGGGACGCGATGCGGCCTAGTATGGTGTTTGACGGGGACTTGACCTAGGATGGACCTGCTTCTCTGGCGCAGCGGCAACAGACATACTGCTGCCATGATCAATGCAAAGCTGGTCGGGTGTCACGTCCATGGAAAAGGTCGAGCACTGTCTCGGTCAGGGGCTCGCTATTCTTTAATTTAATAGCACAGCTCTTGGTTTATTATGCCATACAGCCTATGATTGACCCGCATGTTTCCCGCCGTCCAGCAGAGCCGATAGACCAAATTCTCTCGGGACAGCATCGATAGTCAAAGAAAGCAAGCTCATTTATCAACATCCATTAAGCATCTAAACTCATTCGAGCACGCTTTTCTTCTACGGAAGTACCAGTCAATGTGTCCTGCAAGGGTAACGCTGCGAGCAAAAGCCCTCTTTCTTCTTGTTTGGTTCTGCACGTGTGTTTCACGAGCTACCAGGATGTGCTTCCAGTGGACGCCTCAAACTGTTGCAACATACTGGACTGTGACTCTAGTCAAAAGCTTGACTAGGAGATGGGGCTCTGCTTCTTTGGTGTTGTTTCGTCTAAAGGTCACGTCGAGCGAAACTCTCCAGCGTGGCCATAAACCAACAGAACGACTCAGAAGGTCTCGTTGTAGTGCGCAGAAGGACGAAGGATTAGTAGGTCGGCGAGAGTCTAGGTAGTACTCTACTCCACCGTCACTCAGGTGTCCAAACGCGACGAGAACGCCGCATACGTATGCCGCCCACTCATCACCCAGGCCCAGGAACAATCATCTCATAGCCCAGCGTTTCGTAATCATGAAGTCTCGTTACCGCATCTCGAACCCGTCCATTACCCCACCCCATTACCCGCCCATTACTCCGCCAACACACTCTTGAGCATGGCCACAAAGCCTGGATGCAGTTTCTTCAACTCCCTGATCTCCGGCTTGGGCGGCTCGCCCGCCCTGCGCGTGAGGGCTTCCCGGGCGCGCTGGCGGCGCTTCCTCTCCGCGCCGATCGGGTCCGCAGCCTCCTCGTCATCGAGGTCAGAGTCGTCAGCCTCTTCGTCGGCATCGAGATCGGAGTCGTCGAGTTCGAGGTCTTGGAGGTCGAGCTGGTGTGGGTGTCAGTGTTGCTGTTGGGGCATGAAAGACAAGTGTAGGGCTCTTGTAAGGGAAGAGGAGGGGGAGAGAGGAATAAGATGAGAGAAAGGAAAGAGCAACACGTGCGCAACCCACCTCATTAAGCCCAAAATCGCTACTCCTAAATCCATTAACTCCCAACCCCTTCCCTCCTGAGCCCTCCCCGCCGCTCGCCATCTTCTGCCTCGTCTTGTCGTGGTGCCACTTCTTGCGCGCCGCCTGCCACCTCACCAGCGAATTGATCTCCCTAACCGCCGTCCTCTTCTCAATAGTCCCGACGTCCAGCGCGCCTTGAAACAACGCATTCATATCCAGCATCGCGCCGCTTCTTGGCCCCTTCCTCAGAAACTCAAGAATCCCCTCCAACCACCCCATCAACTGGTCGAAAAGCCCATTGTCATGAATATGCACCTCATGCACAAACCGATAGAACGCATCCTCGTGTCTCGCACAGAGGTCAATGAACGCCTGCACCGTCTGGTTCGGGTCGGCGGAGACGTCCTGGCGCTGGGCCGCTTCAACGACCTTGATCATGTCGTCGACAAAGACGGCGAAGTCGGTGATGGAGTTGTACACGTTTGCGGACTTGTAGACGCGCACGAGGGGCTCGTAGAAGATGGTGAAGAGGTCGCGGAAGAGTTGCAGGGTTGTAGGCTCTTCGATCATTGCGAGCATCATTTGCTTGTCGCGCAGGCGGAGGTGTAGCTTGAGCAGCTGCTTGAGATGTGCGAAGAGGGTGGCGCCTTGGCGCATTTCTTCGTCGACCTGGAGCGCGATTGTTAGCAGGAGTGCGGAGTAGTATTAGCGAGAAGTGGGATTGGTGGACTTGCATTTTCGACGGCGTTGTTCCAGGCAACGTAGGCGTTGAAGACGCGGCCGATTTGCTCGGGTGTGAGTTCAGGCTTGAAGTAATCCGATCGGAGGATCACGACTACGAGATCGACTTGTTCCGCTTCGGCTTCCTCTCGTAATGCGTCCTTGATCTCTTGGCTGGACTCGGTGTAGGCTTTGATCTTGTCGCACAGAATGGGGTCCTTGATTTTGGTAGTCGCTAGAGTTTCGATAGCTTTCCGGCCTTGATAGATACCATCGTTGATTGCCATGCCAAAGATCCGCTGCATGAGCGACTTCGAGCCGAATGGCTGTGCAAGGAACAGATCCAGCACGCCAGCCATGACGGCTGCTGGATTGGCGATGCGGATAACGTTCTTGAGCACCGTGTAGGGAACCATGGAGTGTATTCGCTTTGCCTGGGCAAACAGGTCTGGCGAATTGTCTTCTGCGAGGAACAGGTGGTAGATAGTAGCGGCAACTTCTATCCGGAGCCACTCAGCGAACTTTTGGTACTCGGGCCGAAGCTCAGCGATGGTGTTCTTCTCGCGGATTTCCTGGAATAGTTTGGACAACCCGTTGGCCTCGACGATCTCTCGTCTGAACTTCTCCATGTGCACATCTAGCTCTCTTGCCCGTTTCCTTGCGATCTCGTAAAACTGCCTTTGCTCCTCGAGACGCTTCTTGTCTAGCTCCTCTCGACGCTCGATATCAAGCTTCTCCTCCTCATTCAGCTTCACTGGGTCTCTGGTAAGGAAGTCCTCCATGGACTTGGACTCTGCAATTTTCTCATTCTTGAGGAAGTTCCGAAGGAAGGCCCGGAGAGAGACTCGCTGCTCCTCACGGAAGAGTACAGTGGTTTCTTGGTATGCTGAGAAATCTACGGAAGCGCGCGGCGAGTGCGTCTTGCCGAGAGAGTGTGCTGAGCTGTTGCGCTTGTGGCTTCGACCGAAGGGTAGGTAGCTGCGAAGTCCTCCACCGCCTCCACCACCCTCATACGGGTCCGGTATAACCAGGTTTTCTTGCGTGGACTGCGACGAGATAGAGTCCGCGTCACTAACTTCAACGTCCAGCGTAGCGTCCTTCTTGTTCTTCCTGGGTAGCGGAGGGAGCACCTTGCCCGGCAGCTCGAGGCGTATCCTCTTATGCAATTGCGCAAAGTCGCGGTATCGCCGGCCCACGAATATTTCGGGTTGACCCGCCCGCTTTACTCTAAGTATGAATTCCTACAGATGTTAGTCCGGATTGCAAGTGCCAGAACAAGACCAAGGCTCATCGCCTGTACTTACTGCGTGTTGATGATACCTCATATGCCTCTTTACGGATGTAGTGCGCACGCTCGCAACGTTGACGTCCCAGCCGTTGATCTCATGTCCTTGGGGAACATTGGCGGTAAGTCCGTTCTCATCTGCGCCGCGGTCGACAACCTCCATCTCGGAGAAGCGTATCCGTTCTTCATAGCCAGACGCCGTGGGCAGACCAGATACCATCATCAGCTCCACCAGCTTCTCGGCCTTGGTGGCAAGTTTCCGCCGCTTTGTCTCCTCAAGCCTGTCTTCGGATCCAGATATATGTTTGTTGGCGAACGACTCGAGGAACTACATTCGACTCAGCCTTGTCAGCAAAGCTCTCGTGTCCAAGGTATGCGGTTGGTTGACGTACGACTTGCAGCTTATCCTGCCAGAACTCCTTCTCTTTCGCCTTGTCCAGGAATGGAAAGTTGCGGACATGATGGACGAAGATGTAGCGTAGGATGGGGAGCTCGGATTCCTCCGGCGGCACCTCGCCCTTATCCGACCGGAACGGTGCGCCGAATCGCTGGAGCGCCGTGGGCGAGTTGAGTTCGGCGATCTCAAACCTGACCTGCTGCGAGATCAACTCCCGCTTGAGGTCTGCAGAAGAAGTTAGTGACGTTGTTGCGCGCTTGGAGGAGGCGCCTGACCTACAGTGCTCTTGCTTGCCCGTTAAGATTGAGCCTGGCGGCGGGACAGAGTTCGTCGACACCCTGGACATGTATGAAGGGTCGGCCCGCTCGAGCTTCTGCCGTGTTTGGGCCGACTGTCCGTTCGTGGATATGGGAAGATACTCTGTGTCCGGATTGTTTACTGCTGATGCCCGAGCGGCGCCATATGGAGCGGGGGAAGCAACATTGCGGGCGGCCATGTTATGGGCGGAGGAGGAGGATTGAATGGAATAAACGAACAATGGGAACGAACAGAAATACGAGAGTGAGATATGGGGAGAAGCTGTGGAAAGCGTTGAGGCGCTGGCCCAAGAACGCGTAAGATATCAGCGCTTGGGGGTGCATCATCTGCACAGCGGGCAGGGCAGTGACGATGCCCGCACCCGTTCCCGGTGAACGTCCGCGACGCGCCAAGCTGGTGGGCGGCGCGGCGGACAGCTCGGCGCTTGCCGTGGCTCACCCCTAAACTGGCTTTGCACAACCTCATCCTGCTTAAAGGGCGGCTTTAAAGGCAGCGAGGGCAGGGCAGCGTCTTTGGCCTATGCAGTCACGACGCTGTATATCAAGCTGGAGCCGAGTCATGAACACAACTGGCTGAGGGTGGTTATAGGGGGGAACGAGTAGGGGAGCAGGCTGCTGTCCCAAGTCGAGAATGAATGGAGGTAGCGGTTCTTATCACGAATTCAAAATGGGAGTAAAGCTTTCGAGCAAGGATTCTATCTGCTTCTTACTAGACTGGTGGCGAAGGAGATAACCTTGAGCAGATGATGTAGACCGAAGAGAACAGAGAAGCGTCTGTGAAGCACGCACCAACGCCGGTAAATCCCCTCCGCGCCGAGGTGAATGCAACAAAAGCAGAAGCCTTGTGCCGAATCGCTACGCAGCATATCGATGTTTTTCAAGCTGGTCAGTAGTTCAGCTCAGCAGTACCCCCACCAGCCGCATCCAAGTCCTCGTAGCTCTTGAGACTCCTTCCCTGCACAGCTTCCCGAGGCCCAACAGTCGCCGCACCGCCCTCCGCAAATCTAGTGGCGCCAGTCGGCCTGCCTACGCCTGCACGCGGAGGCGTCAAACGTCCGTTATTCCATCTCATGTTGCGCCCATCCCTCTGCTGCCTGTCATAAGGACCGGGCATGCGGTTGCTGTTCATGCGCATGTTGCCACGCCGCATTGGGCCGGCCCCGTGCCGGTCTTCACCGTCAGCGCCTGGGCCTTGGCCGAACATCTGACCTTGCTGGCCAAAGAAGGCTTGGAAGGCTGCTGGGTTGGGCATGCCGTTCATCGGTGGCATCCCGAATGGCATGTTGGACAGAGAGAAGCCGCGCGGAGTGCCAGCTACCGTGTGGTTATTGAGGGGGAAATGCCCATTGCTGTTCGCGTCCGTGCGGGAAGGCGCGATGTGGGCCGGGTCGAGGACATAGAGATTAACCAGCTCAACCTGCACAATATGTATTAGCCTGTGCAACGCTTTCATGTCTGTAAGTGCACTTACATCTTTTCTCAACTTCTCGTAAAACTCGGTATGCCTCTTCTCAACATGCTTTCTCCAGAAGGTCTCACCCTTAAAGAGCTTGGTGCATTCCGGGACCTTACATCGGAACTTGGCTTCGTCCTCTTGCTTGACATACCGCTTCAATTCCTCTTCTAAAGCTTCTTCGGTTGGCCTGCCTCCAAGCTTCTTGATGTCGACATTTTCCGGCTCCAGAATCTGCATGAGCTTCTCTTCATATGTTTTAACCCAGTTGAAGGCCCGCTGCAGTTGCTGCTGGTTCTTCCCATTGGTCCTGAACTTCCTCTCTTCGACTGGCGATCCCGTAGGGTCGTCTGCACTCGATTCTTGTCGCTTGAGTGGGAAAGCCTGCCCGAGAGCGCTTGCCTTCGCCGCCGCTTTTGATGCTGTTGTGAGACTGGACCGCGGCCGACGAAGATGACCGCCTGGGCACTTTCTAGTAAGTTCGTGCACCGAGTCGCTCTCGAAGACGCAGAAGAAGCAGAAGTTGTAAACGCGGCGAAGGTACTCCACTAGAAGATCCAGTTTCTTTTTCTTGGCCAGAAGTTCTTCATCGTCGACCTCATCATCGTATGCGGGTTCCTCGCCTTCTTCCATTCCATCCTCTTCGCCATCTTCCATGTCTTCGGGATCGCGAGCCTCCTTTTTGGTACCAGTGGGCGCGTTGATGGGCGGCTGCAGCCATCCTTTACCACGTAGATCATCCACCCTTTCGTCGACCTTCGCTATGCCACTATAGCCATCGCCCAGTTCAGCATCTAGCTTAGTTACCAGCCGCTCCACAAGTTGCAAGTCGCGCTCAATTCTTTCAGGCGCTGAGAAGAGATCCCAGAGAGCTTTCTTCCTTGGCATTTGAGGCGGCTCGTGAATCCCAACATGGCAGGTAAAGTTTCCTCGCTTCTCATCCTCGATAGTCTTGCCGTTGATTTCGGAAAGCGCTTTCTGTGCGGTTGACTCAACAGGAGCATCGGCATCAGCCATGCCTTCATCTTCCTCTCCTTCCTCATCGCGGCCATCACTCCTCTCGTTCTTCTCGGGCTGTTCTGGTCCAGGATTGAGGATCACCCAGCCAATGCGATGACACTTCTTCAACGGATTGGGATCACTCAAGCTGAGCCACTTGAAGCCGCCTTCACCTTCCCCAAGGTGCTCCTTGCAGAAGGCTTCCATCTTGTCGCGGCTGACGGTAGGAGCAATTGTCTTTATCAGGAGCGTCGGTTGAAGCGCAGCCTCATCACGCAAGTCTCCGCCTCTCGATGGCAGCAGGTCACCCACTCCAAGCACTTCATTGGCTGCAGTCGTCTCACCCTCCTCCTTCTCCACGACTCCACCCGCTCCGTTACTCCCGTTCTTGTAGATGCCCTCCAGGGTGAACTCATCAAACTTTCCAGTGTCCAAGTCTTGCTCCCACTGGCCATAGATGCCTCGTCGGTACTCGCTTAGGCGGGCGCGGAAAGCAGCCCTGGCGTCTGAGTCGTAGCGCTCTTTGAACCACTCCTCATCCTTGTGCTGTTGGACGAACGTCCGGGCCATCTGGACTTGAAGCCTCTCTTTGTAGGCATCGTAGGCAGCCTGGATCTGCTCTCTTTCCTTCCCGCGCTCTTCGCGTATCTCCCGCTCGCCCTTGATGCGGTCCGGCCGTCTGCCGCCGTTCTTCGCACGTTCACGCTCCTCCTTTACCAGCTGATCCATGCGCCACCATTCTGCGAAGTAGTTGAATCCGACCTGGTAATCTAGCGTCATGGGGTTTTGCACGGGATTCGTCGTGATGGCAGGTGGTGGCGGTTCTTGTCCAGGAACGTATCGGTCGATACCGGCCTGAACGGGCGGAGGAGACGAACGTCGGCGGTGGTGGAGTTCATCACGTCCGCGGTAGAACTCATCTCTCGGAGTTCTATCTGGCTGATATCGGTCGATCGGCTGAGGTGAACGAGAGCGGCCTCTGGCAGGGCGAGCTCGGCGATCGTAGGCGCCTGTAGGTTGAACTGGTAAGCAAGCTTCTCCGTTTGATGAGATGATGCCCCCTTTTGTATGCGGCAAATATATAGAGTTAGACACGAACAGGGAAGTCTCTTTGTTGAGACCCAACGTTCGCAGACAGGGTACGAAAACTGCAGGAGGGCACGTAGGTGTTGACCTGCTGCTGCGCGCTGAGATTGACGTCGGAAGCGACATAAGAGGTAGGAGGTGCTAGGGTATATGTCGTGAGCTGACATAGGAGGATGTGAGCTTACTGGGAGACCTTCGTCGATAAGAATCCGTCATCGTTCGACCGCCATCCTCGCGTCTGTCAGACTGTATGTCAGCGTGGACCAGTGACGAGACGGAATATACAAGCCTACCCATAGGAGTCCATGGTCGTTATGCAGGGGGTTCGTGGTCAATCGAAGAAGCTAGAGCCCAGTCCCAGAGTGCGTTACTGTGCCGATACCAGTCTTTTCAACGCCAGAAGACCATCAGACGGTATGTAGAGCGCGAAAGGGGAAGGCGTCAGGTTCAGTGGTGTTTTCAGGTGATTGGGTTTGGACGATAGAGGCGGACGATTGTCCGGAGGAAGCTGTTTGCCAACATAGCCGCGCGTTAGAGAAGCACGCTAAGACGGTAATGTAAAGAGACGAGGTGAGGTATGGCAAGTAAAAAGGTGCTGAGCGGTAGAAGTGATATAAAGAAGCTCGCTGGCGGTGCAAAGGCAACCGCAACAGCGTATAGAATGTAAGAAGCGAAGGAGCACGAGTGGGAACGGCGAAGGCTGGGGCAGAGCGAGGCTGCAGCTAGGGGACTGGCAGGGAAAAGGGCAGAGAATTGACCAACAAGACGAGGAAAGGAGACGAGTACGCACAAGGAGTGCCCGCACTCACGCCGCGTCGTTCTCAAGATGAGTTGCGGAGTTGATGCGCTGGAGTTGAGTGCGGGTCGTGTTGGCGGTTCAGGGAGCGCGAGGTGAACGGAAGGGCAGCGGACGGAGAGTCGGCGCTTGGCGGTTTGCTGGGGTCCCGGGGTCGCGTTTCAGCCGGCGGCGCGCTAGAGCTGGGGCGTCAGCGCTTAGCAAGGGCCTTAGCAGGGGCCTTAGCAGGGGTCTTTGTGAGGGCCTTAGGCGACGAGGCAGTGGGACGGGAGGGGTCGACAAGGCAGAAGCTCCGGGGCAGCTTTGGATCACCTTGGATTACCTTGGATCACCTGATCTTATGATCCACCTGTATATCAGGCCAGAGTGTTATTTTCAGCATCAAGTCTCACATTTGACGCCTTTGAACCGCTGGTCAAGCTGTCTCAAGTGCTTGGGCGTGCAAAACACCGCTCCGAGACACAGACACCCACACCCCAACGGACCCCTTGAGCATTGGAGCTCAGCAATCAACCATGACGACCTACATCCCCTCTCTCACGCTGCCCTCGGCCGTCTTCGAGCAGCCCGCCGTCTCCGTCCTGGTCCCTCTAGCGCTAGGCCTCGGGGTAGGCTACTCAACGCGCCGTATGTCCTTCCCTCTCCCCTCGCGCACCAATACCCATACCATACGGTGTGCTGACCGTCCACAGCCACCCAGGCCCAAAAGCTCGCCCGCGAGCTCCGCCAGCCCCCCGGCCACCCGCCGCCGCAGTACTTCGGCCCTGTATGGAGCTTCCTGTACGCCAGCATGGGCTACGCCGCCTACCGCGCCTGGACGGCCGGGATGGAGTCGTTTGACGTGCGGAAGGTCCAGCTCGCCAAGGTGCGTGGACGCCCTCTAAACCCAGCACAGACGGCATTGGCTTGTGCTGCGGCACGGGACTGCTGACGAACGATGTGGTTGACAGCAAGGCGCAACCCTCTACACCATCCAGCTCGGCCTGAACCTCATCTGGATGCCGCTGTTCTTCCGTCTCGGACGGCCTGTGGAGGCTTCGGTTGATATTGTCGCGCTCACGGGTATTACTGCTTATCTCGCGTATATCTGGGGACAGGTCGACGAGGTGGCGGGGTGGCTGCTCGTGCCGTATATCGGGTGGTTGAGCTTCGCGACATACCTATCCGTAAGCGTCACGTGATCAAGGGGCGTGGACTGTGCTGATAACGTGTTATAGGTGGGCGTCGGACATCTCAACCATTGGGATTTTGAGGGGAAGGAGAAGGACGCTGCGAGGGAGGCTAAGAAGGAGGAGTGAGTCGGGATTGTCACCCGATTTGGAACTTGGACAGAGGCAAAGACTGCGATTTTGTGGCGGGTCATGAGCGATGATTCAGCAACGGTTCAATTGTGGAATATCACAAGAAGCGGCAGTTTGAGGGTCTTGGTACCAACGATTGTACACAAGGGAGAATCCCAGCTCATCCTATAACTCCATCAGCGTTGACAGATGCTTCAGGGTCTATCGATAATCACGTCCTATATGTTAATCATCTCTGCTAAATGAGAACGCTATGGTCCTAAAAAGCCGGTAAAAGTCTGGTGATGGTTTGTAGCATTCCTCGAGCAGTTGCTAACCCGTTGCGCAAGTAACTTGTTCCATTCTATGAGACGTTCCCAATGAGCAACAATGAACATCCTCTCCCGGTTAGCTCTGTGCACCACCACTGCCAGCCTCTAACAGTCCAAAGACCTTGGGTATAACAAAGCAGCTGAGAACAACCAAACTTCAGCAGCTGTAACAGCCCCACGCCGACTGCCAATGACTTCCACTAGCCATCCACTAGCCGATCACAAAGAACGTCTTCTCCAGCCTCCACATCGATTCCCCAACAGGCGCGCCTCTCAAAATCGAGGACACGATGTCGGATGCAGCCAAGCAAGTCCTCCATCACTCAAGAGTTGACTTCCCGTCCATGCTCACAGGTCCAAAGCTGCTCCACCTGCCTTGAATCGAAACCAAGCGTACAGATCACGCAACCACTCGGCCCTATACGCTATTAGCTTTAACACCGACAGCAACAAGATTCAAAAGAGCTTACTGTGACTGATTCCCGTCATCCCCATCTGAAACATCTCCGTCTAGGCCGGCTGCCATCCCGCTTGCGTATGCACCTCGCTCGAGTCATAATGTACGTACCAGCTTAGCCCTGAGCGGCTGTGCTGCATCGAGTCTTTAATGATGGCTCCACGCTTTAGAGCATCCTTCGCTCGTTCAAAACTCGAAACGTTGGCGACCATCTCGACATGGACCGCCATTTCATTGTCCTCGAAGAATCCCAGGACGCCAGGCAACGCGTAAGAAGTCCACCCGTCGCGGATCGTTAGCGCGTTCATATGGCGCAGGATGCGAGTTGGCACCCGATCCAATTTCTGTCGCAAGTCCCTGATGCTTGCGGGTGGGATGCCAGCATTGAAGGTGAAGACCGCGGCTTTGTAGAAAGCTGATTCGGCCTCGTGTTGGCTTTCTCGCGTTGCGGTGAGTATCCCGGCTTGGTGGAGTGCTGAGGCGACAGAAGATTCGTGCATGGCGTCGAGCGGGATGCGTGGAGAGTCTGTTATTAGCTCCTGCGTTGCGAGTTGCCAAATGCGGCAGCGCAGTTCGGTTGGGAGAGAAGGAAAGCAGCGGAACTGCTGTGCGCTTGAGCGGGTGTAGTGTCCCCTGGCGCTTCGATGGGTCCAACGATTCATGGCTGAGAAGAGAGGGCCTGGGATAGAAACGTTATAGAGGATATGGCTGGGAAGAGAATGTCTAGTGATGATGTGGTTATAGGGAAGAATCTGAGACGAGATATATATGGCCGGAAGCTGGGCGTGACATGAAAGCAACCCGAGTGAAGTGGACGTAAGCGAACGTGGGTGAATCGGGAGGCCAACTTATTCACTCCCGACCAAGCAACCTTAATGAGCGTAACTTAAGATAGCGGCCGACAGATACCGCTCTCGAGCCGCCGGAACAACGCCATGCACAATGTTCACACTGTCTTTAGTCCCTCCCACGCGCTTTAGTCGAACCAAAGAACATGCAACATGCATCACCATGCGCCGAAAGAAGACAGCTTGCTAAGCGGGCATCCACAAGCGGAGGGAGCACAAGTCTAATCAGATTCTCCACGAGACACAAGCCACTGATGGCCCGGGAACGCGGTGAAGTTCCGGCTGAAGTTAAGGAAGCTCAATGTCTCCGTCGCAGACCGCCCAGCCCAGATCATCTATATCTCAAGGTTAGTATTCCATACCGGTTGTGAGAGGTATGGTATGCCACATACCTGTAGATACTGTCCATCCATTGTGCGATTGATCTCTCCGAATCCCTGCGGCGCCCAGCCTGGCCTTTTGAGATCCCCAAGCTGAAGAACGTGGTAGACATACCAATGTAGCACCTTGTCGTGTTCTTGACCATAGTGCCTCCGATACCACCTGGTCAGAGGTTCTCCCAACCTCAGCATACGTTGCGCCTCTCCGACACTAGAACAATTGAGGACGACCTCCACCCGGGCTCTCAGATCGATATCTTCGAAGACATCAAGTGTTGCATCCCTTATCTCGGGCGAAAGAGGGACTAAACCGAGAGAGAGATGGAAGATGATATGCTTGATCTGGCGGCGATTGCGCCTCGCGAGACGCCTTAGTTTTTGCATGAGTGGGTTGATGCCCGCGCTCGTCACGTCGTAGGTGAAGACGATATGCTTATAGAAGAGACTCTCGACTTCGTATTGAGCCTCACGCGATGCGGTAAGAACGCCGGCATTAGATAGGTCCGTGAATAAATGATTATTCAAAGAGATCTGTGAGGCGCCATCGAGATGTTCCGTAGTGGCGAGTCGCCAGACCTTGCAGCGCAGTTCGGTTGGGAGAGAGGAGAACCGGCGAAAATTCCTCGCGCTTGAACGCGTCCAGTGACCCATTATGCTTGAGGCTTTTGATTGTTGGGACTGAGGAGGAGAAGGGTGGATGGCAAATCTTGTGTCTTACAAAAAAGAGTTCGACGCGATATTTGGAGGAGCCATGGCCAGTCACAAAGCAACCTAGTGAGGGGAAGGCAAGACTTCACGGCGACATTCACATGATGTGTGACCAAAGAGCCAGAAAGCTATGGCCAACAACGAAGTGACCAGGTGAAGTGAATGCGAATGAATAGTGGTCTGGTTTCAGTGGGACTGGTTGGCCTTGAAATGCGTGGACTAAATGCGGATTGGCCTGCTAGGAAGACTGTGGACTTCATGAGGCCACGGCCGTTATCTGAAAAATCTTACGGCAAGCGCTGCTGTAGACTAAAGAAGGGAAGATTCCAAACACCGGCAGCCTTCACGAGAAACGATGGCGACCTAGAGCTTGTTGTCAATATGCTATAAGCCTACTTCGCTTCCTACGTGACGACAACACTTACCAAGCACCACTCCCGCACAGTCATGGCCAATCACAGAGCGAATCAGTCATAAAAGCCCTTCCATCAACGCTGGAAATCATGCTTTGAGGCCTGAGATTATGTGGAGCCGGCAATCACACGGTTATGTTGCACCAACTCGCGGTCAAGAGAACCGGAAAGATCTGACGGGGCGTTCCGTGGAGATGTCTGGCTACTCCGTGGCTAACCTGCCGTTAGCTTCGGCTTCCGCGTTACGTTTTTCTCCAGTTAAACGTGCCTTTCTCGCTTAAACAGCGGGGATTCTCTTCCACTGTAAAGTAGGGGCTCCGTTCATCCACTGCACAGGCAATCAGCAACTGCAACCGCGCAAGTACCAGCAGCTTCTCTCTTACCTGAACGTGACCACCATAGCCGTAGAACTCCCATCTGATCTCCGCATGAAGATCTTGGTTCGCTAAGATCTGAAAAAGCGCAGCATGCTGTTCGATACGACAACAAGATGTCTTCACAAGTATACGACTGATCTCCCTAGCCTCCGGAAACAGAAAGATCCTTGGAAAGACGAAGTCGAGCGAGGGTGTCAAGAGACAAGACCAGCAATTGCCATGAAAGATCTCGTAGAGGACCTCGCTGCGGATCTGTCTGGAGATCTGCGTGAGTTTGGAGTTGACGACGTGCTTCATGAATTGTGCCTCGGTGCTGCTCAGATTGAACACATCCTCAGGATCGTGGACGAGAAGCGGCTTGTCCCATGAGCTGCGGATGAGTCCGCCAATACCAGCGTTATAGATTAGAAGCCGGATTTCCGCGGGAAGATCGAGGAAGCGAAATGGTGCTGGATCGGGTTCTGAATGAAGTTGCTCGTTTGTAGTGATAAATTTCGGACGCTGACGCCGCTTGAGGCGAAAGATGAACTTGAGTTTTCTGAAGAATCCACGCATGGCCATTGTAAGAAACCAAGACCTTGTCGGGTGTCTGATCTGGCGGTGGCGTTGAGAACTGATATTCGGAGGTACAAACTCGAAGCAGGAACCAGATCTGGAAACCGGACGGTATGAGCCCGAAATGACGTCTGTTGGTGTCGGTCGTCATGCTAATTTGAATGTCAGCAGCTGAAACTCGGTTTCATTCACTTTGAACGAAAAGCATATGACTAACCCAATGCCGTCGAAAAACGCACAAGAAGTTGTGGGAGTTCCTCTAAGCATCGCAGGAGTCTACCAATGCAGGTGCTTGCATCACGGTTTCCACTTAGCAGCCTTTAAGCATCATTGCCGACGCTTGAGACGAAGGGACAGCGTGACCGTAGTACTAGAAGAGCTTACAGTTGCAATTACGCAGGTAGTAGAACCTGACCGTCCTGAAGTGGAGGAGCATCAGGAGCAGGCAACACCTCGTAGCTTAGAGTAGTTGATGCAAAAAGAGAACTAGTGCAAACCAAACAGCAAAAACCTGATCGCCGCTTGCGCGGCCGCAGGAAACTTTTCCTCGAGGGCAGTTTTTTTTAACGTGGACTCGGACAGAGATTAAATGAAAATGAGAGTGGAACAGGTGGGATTCGTACCCCTTCATTCCCCAAGAGGGAGTGAAGACCTAAGCGTCCCCCGTCCAAGCCACAAGGCCTTGGGCGGGTTCGCCGGTGAAGAGTACAACTGGCTGAGAGGATATATATAGAAATCTCCTCCAACTGCGTTTGCCGCTCATAGCCAAGTACGCTTGGCAAGCAAGTTGATAATCTAAACGGATTTTTTTGTCACTTTGAGAGGAACCAAGAAAGGCATGATTGCAAGCTGCTCCGAATGCTGACAAGTTGCCGCTGAAGTGAGTCTGAAAACAATGAGCAGCTGAGAGATTTGTTTGATGCTTGTTGTTTCATATGGACGAAAGACGTAGGTAGAGTAGAAAGGACTCAAGGTGTTGAACAAATTCTACCAGCCATCCTCTGCTCACGCACCCCCAAATGTTTTCTTCTCAATAGCTGCACCAACAACCCCATCCCCACTCACCATTCCCGTTGTTGCGATGACCACCCTCCTCCCAACCCCCTCCTCCTTCAACCTCTTCGCCACAAACCTCAACGCCGCAACCTCCGCCCTGCAGACCCCGCCCAAAAAGAACACAACCACCGTCTTCCTGCTCTCACCACCACCGCTACCATTCAGCGCCTGCCGCGCCCTAACCGCCTTCTCCTCCCCCGTCTGCGCCTCATCGAACGTCGCACCTTTGACCTGCTTGACCACATCCTCAAACGGCCGCCAGCCCTGCGCAGCGCTCTGCGGTGGGGGTGCTGCGGCTGCGGTGGCCCTGCTGCTCCCAAGAGATGCAAGGTACTGTTTCTGCAATATGCACTGCACGAGACGGACGCTAAGCGGAGCGTAGCCGCTGAACACATATGCGATGTCGTCTGGTTCGGACTCATTGACTTCGTCGACGATGAGGTGGAGGTTCTTCCGAACGGCCGAGTAGTTAGTGACTGTGCCCGGCTTCGCGGCCGGTCTTCCAAGCCCGCCGGCTTGCATGGTCAGCAAACCGAGCTTCTCGAGGCCGGAGAGTGTTAGGAGGTGCTGGTGTCCGTAGCCGTGGAGGATGGCGCGCTTGAAAGTCTCAAGGTCACCTCGTTTTAGGCCGCCGCTGACGCAAGATTCAAGGCACAGAAGGCGGAGGACGGTAGGTAAGGGTAAAGCACGGGATATCAACTCGTCAATACTGTCGTGTTGGGACGTTGGGTCGGCACCCGCAGCGAGATTCTGCTGCACTTCGAGGATTCGGGAGAAGATATCTGAGCGAGTGTGCTTGATGATCTCTTCGGCAAGGGCGGTGTGTATCTTGAGACTTGCTTGCTCGGCCTGATAGCCGGGAAGCTTTGCAACAAATTCACGGAGCTCGGCTGTGGATTTTGAGGCGACATGTCGACTCTCGTACGAGCTCTGGAGACGGCGTGCGACTTTGTTTAGTAGAGAGCCAACGATGGCGAAATTTGAGTCTTGGAGGGTGCTGTAGAGAGTGTCGCTGGAGTCAAGTTGGATCTTGCGCTTCAGTGCTGGGGTGGAGGAGGAGGCGGATGATACTTGCGGGGCCTGGGCGGGAGTCGCCCCAACGATCGATGAGTCTACTTCAGTTTGGTTTGCTTTGATACCAAAGATTTCGTCAATGAGGCCTTCGTAGGTCAGTTGGGTCAGAAGAACAGTCGGAAGGTCAACTTCGCGGTCAATGATGATGAGGCTTTCGATGGAGGAGCTCGGCGTGAGCCCGAGGGAAGATGCGCCGTTGCTGTACGAGGCATCCCCTGCTGTTACTTCCGAGCGCATGCGTAGCAGGAGATCTGCGAGGCGCTTGGCATTGTCACCTTTGCCTATAATTCTAGGGAACAGCCCGTGCCGCTGCTGCATAAGCATCAATGCTTTGGCTGCGAGGAAGGTCGCTGTCGGATCTCTGCGCTAGTAGTCCTCAGCATCAGTCTCAGTGCCAGGTTGGATGGATCAGGAGATTGCGCACCAGGTAAAGATCGCTAAAGGCGTCATCGAGTTCCATGGAAAGCAAATCATCGGCAAGAGGAATGAAGTACAATGCGTACTCCGCAATGTTTACTTCGCCGAGTACGCCAGCCTCTTCCAGGATTTGATTGGATACAAGCGTTCGTCTGGGTATCCAAAAGATGGAGAACTCATGGTCGACCTGTCCACTCCGGCGGAGGCGGTTTATTTGCTCTACAACATAATGTTAGCATGTAATGATGGCATCAACCTAAACAGAGCAGAAAGGAAGAGCTATAGATCATGCTGCGTAACGTAGTTCTATTTAGGGATCAAGACTGACGATGTAGTGTAGGAGGCCTCTACAAAGTCTACTTTAAGATCCCAGGCGGAGGATGCATCTGCGGAAGCACGATGTACTGGAATCTCACATGATGCTCTCAAATATCAGGGCATAGATACATGAACATAGAGCAACCTACCAGCTATTGCAATCACCGTCTTGGCCTTCTCTCCACGGGCAAGAAAGACGACATTCCGCTGAGAAGAGTCGACATTGTCATTCTCCAGGAAGTAGAACTTATCCACGCCATACTCCCTCAAGGTCGAGGTTTTGACGATTAGACTAAGGGTATCCGCGAGTGACTTCTCAAGCACGAGGTTCTTCTTCCCCCTAACCTATACCACGGATTAGCAAGAGCCAAATATATACAAGGACTGGGTAGGGTAGCCTTACGTACGCCTTCGAGCAGCTGCAGGAGATCCCTCCTCGCCTTCTCAGCGATATCCTGGGTGTTCAGGGCAGCATGCGGAGCCATGGCAAGCTCAACATGTGCGAAAGCTGCTACATTGACATTGCTGGTGGTCAGAGCCGCCAGGTAACTTCGGCGATGCAAGACGTCGTCCACGGTCGGTTCGGCCCGCCGTAGAAAAGTTCCGGCAGCAACTTCGTCACCAGTAAAGTGACTCAATCCGCGCATTTCGTCCCTCGCTTCCAATCGCACTTCTTCTCCTGCCTTTTGCATGCAGAGCCTCTCCTTAACCTTTCCCAGGTCTGTCAGGTCTGTTCAATTCCCTTCTGCGACAACTTCTAGAGCAGCCTATCGAGCATTTCGAACCGCACCTCCACGACTGTTACAAGAAGTCAATATGGGGAAGGACAAGGTGGAGAAGACGAACTTCCAGCTTAAGGTGCCCAAGGGTACCAAAGACTGTGAGTACGATCACTGCTAGCTCCTGTCTTTGACCGCAGTTGCTGAGACTCCATTAGGGGAGGGCAAGGATATGGTAATCCGCGACAAGATATTCTCCACTATCACCGAAGTCTTCAAGCGCCACGGTGCAGTCACAATAGACACGTACGCTCCTCCCGCACTTCCTGAACCCCAGTCCGCCGGCTGACCTCAACGCCCACAGCCCCGTCTTCGAGCTCAAAGAAATCCTCGCAGGAAAATACGGCGAAGACTCGAAGCTGATCTACGACCTCGCCGACCAAGGCGGTGAGCTCTGCTCCCTCCGCTACGACCTCACCGTCCCCTTCGCCCGATGGCTCGCCATGAACTCCTCCGTGCAATCTATAAAGCGATACCACATCGCCAAGGTGTACCGACGAGACCAACCGGCCATGACCAAGGGCCGCATGCGGGAGTTCTACCAGTGCGACTTCGACATTGCCGGCGTATACGACCCCATGCTGCCGGATGCGGAGATTCTGCGGATCACGAGCGAGATTTTCGAGGCATTGGGATGGAAGGGACGGTATACGATTAAGATCAACCACAGGAAGATATTAGATGGCATATTTGAGGTGTGCGGCGTGCCGACGGACAAGCTGCGGACAATAAGCAGCGCAGTGGACAAGCTGGACAAGGTGGGTTTACCGGCGCCAGACCGTCATCCCACGTAGCAGCATCACTAACAACTCCCAGTCCCCCTGGTCCGAAGTCCGCCGCGAAATGACCGAAGAAAAAGGTCTCGACCCCGCCGTCGCCGACAAGATCGGCGAATTCGTCAAACTAAAAGGCTCTCGTGATGTCCTTTCCCAGCTCCAATCCAATGAAGCCCTCACCGCGAACGCCTCCGCAAAGAAAGGCCTAGACGACATGGCGCTCCTCTTCAACTACCTCTCCATCTTCGGCGTTCTCGACAGAATCTCCCTCGACATGTCCCTCGCACGCGGACTGGACTATTACACAGGCGTGATCTACGAGATCGTGACCGAGGGCTCTGCGCCGGCCTCAACGGGCAGCACGGAGGGCCAGAAGCTGCAGCGGAGCGCGAAGAAGGACCGGGCGCCGAAAGCGACGTCCGCGGATCCAGACGAGGACAGGAGCGCCGATCCCTCTGTCGGCGTCGGCTCCGTGGCCGCGGGCGGCCGCTACGACGAGCTTGTCGCTATGTTCAGCGGCAAGAGCCAGATCCCCTGCGTCGGCATTTCTTTCGGGGTCGATCGCATCTTCAGCATTACGAAAGCGAGAATGGAAGCCGACAAGAACGCAGCTGCGGTGCGCCTGAACGAGGTGGACGTCTACGTAATGGCGTTTGGCGGGAAGGGGTTTAATGGGCTGCTGGAGGAGCGGATGGAGGTTGCCAAGACGCTGTGGGATGCCGGCGTCAAGGCGGAATTCTCGTGGAAAGTCAAGCCGAAGTTGCCCGCGCAATTCAAGGCGGCGGAGACGGGCGGCGTGCCGTTTGCGGTTATTTTGGGGGAGGATGAGCTGGCGCAGGGGAAGGTCAAGATTAAGGAGATGGGGCTGCCGGAGGGGCATCCGGAGAAGGATGGCGTGATGGCAGAGAAGAGCAACCTTGTGCAGGAGGTTAGGGAGAGGTTACGGAAGTTCAAAGAGGGCGAGGACGGGACGCAAGAAGGGTCGTCGGAAGTCCCGCCGGAAGTGGCGGATGTGGAAGAAGTGACGGAGAAGATGGGGAAGACCAGTACGCAGGATAGGCCTGAGATCCCGGGTGAGCCGCCTGTGATACCTACTGTGACTTGAGAAGTAGATACCCAATGCTATATATTCCGTTGCAACTACTCGCGAAACAACAAATCTTTTCGTATGATGCCTATGCCACCTGGACATGCTAATCCTATGCGCCACGTTGGGCAGGAGACTCACAGCGACAGCAGTCCAGCACTCGTTTACCGTCAACTTCACAAAACAAATCCATGATCAGCCGCTGTATCAGATCTTAGGAGTAATCAACAGGATGACAAGCTTTCAGCCAGCTATTTAGACTGTGTTGTGAGGCACTACGTTGCTCATATAGGGAGCTTTGTAATTGGTGCAGCTTTGAATCCCTACGTTCGAGGTAAGGCTCTCCTTCCGCCCGACGTGGCCCTACCCATGAATGCCTCTGTATATATGAAGGCTGGCAAGCTAAGTCCCAGCCGCCTGCCTCATGAACCATCCCTTGAGTGGCCCTATGGCATTCACAGCTGAGAGCCCCCAGCTCCTTACAGGTACTATCGGTCCAGAGCCGAAGCTGTACAGCTTGTGAAGCTTGTCAACAGCACCCAGCAGCGCATTGTTCGCCTGCCAGCGCTCGCCGGTATAGGCTTCTAGAGCGAGCTGCGAGCCGATGTCCGAGCCTTGGCTGACTGCCGTCTCGATGACACGAACGAGGGCCGCGGCATCTGCTTGGCCTTGGTTGAGACCTTGGCCGGCGAGAGGATGGACGGTGTGAGCGGCGTCGCTGAGAGGGAGTTGCAAGTTAGCCTCTAGGCCTATCGTATGCAGCACTTGACTACCTAGGTACAAGAAAAACGATATAGACTCACCCAACAAGCGCAACCCGCTCTCCGGTATATGTATCCGCATGCCTCATCTTCAGCGGGAAGTTCGCAACGCTCCCCGCCTGTGCTCCGACCGCCCTCATGGGGATCTTCTGTTCATCAACCGGTGTGTGCTGCTCTCTCCACTCCACTTCCTCTTTCTGTCCCTCGGGTATGGTATGCAAGTATTCCAGATCCACAGGTGAGAGCCTGAATGCCGCATTCACCATCGCTACAAAGTCCTCTTCCTTTAAGGCCTTCAGCCGCGCTGCTCGCTCTGGAACCGTCGACCACACCAATGTTGCCATGTTGCCTGGCAACGGTAGCATGGCGACTGGCCCAGTTGGCAAGAAACGCTGGTATGCAATCTTGTGCTCTTCTCCGCCCCATCCTGGCCCTTCAAGCCGTAGCGAAGCTACCACTCCATGCCGGCCGTAGTCCCAGCCCCGTGAGGGGATGCCAGCGAAGGTGCGAACGGGGCTGTTGGCGCCATCCGCACCTACGAGAAGCCGCGCTGCTAGCTGACGGCCATTGTCGAGTGTGACCGTAGGCCAGGAGCGCAGGTCGAGGGCTTCCGTCTCCTGCCCGAGTTCTACAGAGGACACGCGCGTTGGCGAGGATATGGAAAGTTTGCTGTCGAGCTCGGAAAGGCGAGAGAGAAGGGCGGTAGTCAGGTTGAGGTTCTCTATCATGTAAGCGATCGTGGTCCGGTCCACTGGCTGCTTGAGCGCCAGACCGCTGGCTGAGGCCCAGTCGAATGAAATACGGCTGTCGCTCACGCCGTCCCAGACTTGCATCTCTTGGTATGGCTGCACTCGTGAGGTGTCGATATGGTCCCACGCTCCGATCTCTGTGGAGAGCGCAGATAGTCAGCTCCACTGGCACCCTAAGAGCTGCTCTCGTACAACAGCTTCGAGCGTACCTCGGAGATATTTGACGGACGCTGGCGTGAGCGAGCTGCACCGATTCGAGTATATCGTTGGCGATGCATCTTTCAAAACGTTCTTCTGCAGATCTTGACCTTCCACAAGGGCGATTTTGAGGTTCGACGTGATCTTCGAAGAGCCTATATAAGCCGTAAGCGTCTGCAATACACAGAAGACTCGAACATGCCGACTCACGCAGCCCGGCGACCAAGCTCAGCCCTGCAGGGCCCCCTCCCACGCAGACTACATCATATAACTCCGGCTGGCCAGGCGTTGAACTGGCGGCAGCTGTTGAGTACCAGCTTCGAGCTGGTATATGGCTTCGGAGTAGGCTGATCCGGGAGCAGCTGCGTATCGAGTACAACACCCGAGACGGCATCACGGAGCCACCTGGCCGACACAGATAGCTACTTCGGGGAGTTCCACCTCACTCCACGGCTTCGAGGTGGCTCGAGGTGGTGATGCAAACGGTGCAAACACGCAGTAGCGGGAAATGTCTCTTGGCGGTTCGCGAGACCACATCGAACAACCGCCATGAAACAATCTCCTGACTGCGACTGGTCAATGGGTTCAGAATCGTTGACGTGTACTCGAATGCCGCGCAGTCTGTGGCTATGATGATGGAACGACTCAGATTCCCTAGATTTCACCTTCACCAGATGATTTCAGGTTGGCGCTGTCCAGTAACAATGCTCTTGTCTCATTCGACCGAGTAATCAACACTACAAGTGGCGTATTCCATGTCGTATTGCTGTGAGGATCAATCCTCACCTCAGCTTCAATACCACTTGCCTGCTCTTTTCACGTTTTTACGTTGTCCGATTGACTCTTACTCGTTCTCTGATCGACATTGCTAAGACTCTGTCGCGTGCCTAATCTACCGTAACCACTCGAAGTAATCCTTAAACCGACTCGGGTTCTCAGATGTTACTTTCACCTATCTCCATGCGTGCTCTGAATGAGCTGGTGTCCTCGTGTGATATCCCACTGTACCAAACTCTCACTGCGACCAACGGTTCAACATTACAGTTCAACATTACAGTTCCTCAGTGCGGGGAAACCCCCTCATTCGAACGACCTCTGGGCTCGCTGAGCTGTCTCACTCGATCTTCGTTCTATGAATGCGTAATAACTGCTCTTTAGGCGCGGCATGATCCGATGGACCGAACCCAATGATCGACGAACTTGATTCAAACACCTTGAGTTTGATAAGGACCTGATAGGCTACTTTTACGGCTATGCAGCTCTTGGTACCTCAGATTTACCTCTTCAGCGACACTCGTGCCAGCCATTGCTGTGATGCATGTAAAAATGTCATGCTCCTGCAACGTTCCATAGCGCTTTGTCGTCGCTGACAGAGATGAGACTGCAGTACTTCACCATTCCAGCATTCGACAGATATGCCACGGCCAAACTGAATGTAGAGAATGCGTAAGGTTAGCTCAGGATATGAGCACCTTCCTTTGGCGTCATGGCGATACTCCAGTCTGGCATCTTCCGGGTGAGCCTGCCTCTCACCACGGCCCACGGTTTCCGCATTCAGACGTCGTCAACCGTGGACAACGGTCCTCCCCAGGAACTCTGTTTTGAAGGTAACGACGAAGATGTCATCCTGTCCTTCCATCCTTCCGGTGCTACTCTTCCCCAACCTCTACTCTCTTATAAGCCCCCCACTTTTCCTCTTACTCCTCCTCCAACTTACATCATTTTCAACAGCTCTGCATCGGACTCTCGTCCCTGGCCGTACACATTATGCGCTTCTAGTGGCATCCTACAATCGTTACACTGTTTCACGATTTACCGTTTACGCTTTATGTACATTCACTCATCCGCGCTTACCGCTTAGCTGCTCTTCCACCATCCCTCTCTCACACCGTAGTGCCCTGTCGAAAGCTGCTTGATCCTTCTCTACATGTATCATCCTCAGTTGTGGGGACAACCGCGAACTTCTGCGCCAACATCAAGGTATGTGCCACCCCGCCACTCTCTCGTCTGCCACTCACCGGCCGCATACGTTAACGACACACGCAGGATCCGTACCTTCTACAATTAGCGCCGACTCTCGCACAATTGCAAATCTAAATGTCATTTCGAGCGCGATTCGATTCCATCGCGGTTTTCTTTACCGAAAGCAAAAGGCAGCGCCCCGCTTCATCGCTTCCTAAGAAGAAGCCTCCAAGGCGATACAAGCCCCAGACCTTCTCCTCCCGAGAGATCAGGAACGCGAAGAGAGGAAAGCGTCCGGAGGGGCCGCCGCCGTCAGCAAAAGCAAGTCCTTCCAGAATCGCAAAGGGAAGACATGTACTTGGTCGCCTTGTTCGGATCGCAACCCGCAACAACAGAGATACCAAAGACGATACCGCGCGCGCTCCAGATTCACCAATCTTGATAGATCAGGCCCTTGCAGAGTCCAGCGCACCCCTCGACAACCCCGACCACGAAAACAACACCAAGGAGACAGATAATGCCAGCTCAGACACGGATGCAGCCGAGGGGAAAGATGGGAAGGCCAGAACATCGATCGTCGCTAAGATCATGAACGGAATCACCTACCTCTCCAGCCGTCGGAGAGCCCAACCTGAGCCGTGTAACCCCCCGACCCTTTGTGAGGAAGAACGTAAAGAGCTTGTTGAGTTCGGCGGACATAGGGGGATGTTGTCCGACAGGGCCGAGGATGCTCCCCAGGGCCCCGGCCCCAGTACTTGGTGGATAGACCCTGAACTCTGGAACATACCGATCTGGACGACTGATAAGTAGTGCGGCCGGGATTGCGGCACAAACGGAGACGTTCTTATATGAACTGTATCCTTCTGTAGCAGAGGTGGATAATGGTGTTAATAAAGTAGTAAGTTCAGCCATCGCCAAGAGCTCGTTGTCCTGATCGGCGACTAACTCGTTCTCTCAGATAGACCATGTGATTCCACCAGTATTGGATATCGTGCCACCTGCTGCCAGCAATAAAGCTTTCACTCGCCAAGCTCATCCGCTACCGTAGTCCCTTCTCACCCTTACAGGAGGTTGTCTATCGGCGTAGTGCAACCAGCCTTGGACATAGCTTGTCGTCGTATCATCGAGTTAACCCTCCTACGTCCCTAAGCCCGCAACAAGGCGAGACTCTAAACGAGACGTAGTATTCAGAAACTCAGGGTGACATAATCCATGCCCAATCACGAGTATCCAGGACGCCTCATCCGCTATGAAGACGCTCCTAAAGGACCAGGCCAGACGGATGCAGTATCTAACTGGTAGTTCGAGCATGCCCGAAGCCAGGTTTCCCACGATGACACGCCCACACCCTAGAAACGAAGTGCATGCCGCAGCAGAGAGTGCTTGAGCCGCTAGATCGATACCCTTCGGTGGAGGATACGGGTTCATGGTTCTATTGTCCTTATGGCCTTGACGTCAGTGGGTGAAGCCCTCTTACCTTCAAGCGCGATAGACTCTGCCATCGACTGGGAGACAGGGTTTGATGGTGTTTATTCGATCATCGGACATTCAGACCACCTCGATTGAGATCTTCGACAAGTAAAGCGCAAAGGGCGGGACACTTTTAATGACATCTTACTCCATCGTCAGTCGTATCGGATGTGTTGAGGGTGATGGGATGTTTTGTAGCTATTTGGTCTGCAGGCATTGGAAGTGTATAAGCTCAGGCAACATGTGAGTAGCAAACAGTCAAAGAGATGTAGTAGATAAACACGATCCAAAGACCTGTTTACGTCCCGTGAACCCGCCGTGCCTACGCCAAGAACTTGCGCTTTTATGCTGAAAGAATGTCCACGCCCTGAACCACCGATTACCTATTTCCTTACATTATACGAATATGTACGACCCGAATGTAAAGACCGACGCCATGCTGACACAATGCCGAGCTGAAATGATGAATGAAGGGATGCTGAAATGTACGGCAAAAAACGACGCCAGCTGACGGGGAGTAAACACTCAGTACGCCCCATTTAGAGGACCAACGCAAACCCAGCAAGGACACCAGCCACCACAACCGCCAAGCCGTAGCTCTGGCCAAGATTCACCATCGCAGCCGCACCCTCATCATCAGCACTCGCGGCCGTCGTCTCCGCGGTGTTGCCGAATCCAGTGAATACCGCCGAGGTGGCCGACGCCTCGGACCCATCGGTTGCGGTCGCGATGGTGGAGGTGATGGTGCTGGTGTTCACAAGCGTCGGGCTTTGGGCGCCGCAGGGGTTGTCGGCGCGGCAGGAGCTTGCACATGCGCTGTTCTGTCCGCAGGCCGTCACGCACTGGTTGCCCCACTCAGTGCAGGTGAAGTAGGGGATTGTTTGGCTGTATTCGGAGGCGTTGGGGGAGAGGCCGTTGACGGCGCAGACGCAGTTGAAGACGAGGGTTTTCTGTTACAGGAGGTTAACTGATGCAAGGTGGTATAGGGGAGGGCTGGAGCGGGCTTACGGGATCACAGTCGTTGGCTGCGGTGGAGGCGGAGTTGCCGGGGTACTGGAGGCAGAGGAGAGGGCAGGAGGACTTTTGGGATTGACACCATTGTCCTAGAATGTGTCAGTGATAGGATGCTTGAACGGTCTGGAGTGCGTGACTTACTCCTTGTTGCAATGTCAACGGAATCCGGGTTGATGGATTGGGCGCTGGCGAGGCCGGCAATGGCGAGGAGGAAGGAGACGGCGGCGAACGAACGCATATTGATTACTCTTAATTGCTTTTGAAGGTTCTACACAATGATGCTGGTCAGTCTCAGCTCGGTGACGAGTATATGCAGCACTGGAATGGTAAACAAGTCTCACCAACCTCGGATTTGTTAAGAGACCAGATATACTCAAAAACGGATATTACTGGTTGCAAGAAGTATTACGAAGAAAGACACTCCGGTGAATAGAAGCCTGAGAGGACCTCTTGTGTACTGGACAGGAAGCGACGGTTGGGATTGCTGAGCGCAGAAGGAGGAGCCGGCGGAGGTGTTGAAGATAAGTTTATTAAAGGGACCCGAAGGCGTCGCTCAAGAGGCTAGCGCGGCATCGAGACCCATGGCAGCCAAGTCAAGTGGCAGCACATCTCGGTCGCTCTCCGCAGAATCAATGTGCAAGCCGTCAGCGCCACTGCTGGATGGGTGCTAGTTGTGCTGGATATCTGGCGTTGCGTGCGCGTTCGCGGTCACAAAAAGCTAGCCGTGCTCGCGATGCAGCTGGACAGACCACCCTTCGCACCGGGTCTGCCGTTCGTTCAAGGGTTTGCACCGAATGAGCGCCCGTGGATGTGGTAAACTAGCAGGGAGCGTGGCTGTTCTGAGCAAATGCATATGCACGACAGCAGTCGAGAGCCCCAACCTCTTGATCCTCACTACTGAACCCTGCATCAAACATCTTTCCCCACCGCATCCGCCAGTCAATCGAACGCCTCAACTCAGCCGCTGCACCATTTGCTCAATCAACCACGTCCAAAGACAGTCCGGCTGCTCCGCACACGAGCCACGACAGATGGATGGAGTCTGCGGGCTCTGCATCTCTTAGCACGCCGCCTAACTCCGCTCTATCAAACGGCCATGCAGCTGCCTGTGACAGCGGCAAAACCCTCACCTCCGCACTTCCCACCGAGGATGAGCAGCAGGTAGTCCCGCCGTACTGGCGGAGGCATTCACACCAGCGGAGTGATTCCACTTTCAGCGCTACGCTGGACAACCACCGCCCCACGCCAATCCGCCTTGAGGACCATACCGAGGACGACTCTGAGCAGAGCAAGGTGTTATGGGCGAAGCATGTAACCATTGACCATTACGTGATCGTGAGCGGGAGTGCCCCCGGCGTGGGAGCTTACGTTGTCTGGAACTGTACAGTAGAGACGATTAATGTATGTCCTTGTATGCCAACGCCCTGGTCGGCGGCAGAACCTCAGACTTGTGACTGTACTGATGGATGCAGGGAGGTCGAATGAAGATTAGGAAACGGTAGCTTAATCAACGCCTTCGTACTCAGGAAACTCTAACCGCTCATACGTCTTCAGATATTCAGAGTTCGACGATTTACGGCGAGATCTCATAAGGACATTTCCGTATGCCGAAGGCTCACTGCCTGAGCTGCCGCGCAAAAGCGTCATCTGTATGGCTCTATCATCGGTTATATCCTGAGTTTGTGGCTAACCATACGTTCCAGCCAAATTTCGTCCAAGGTTCCTCGAGAGGAGGAAAGCTGGTCTTTCCTATTTCCTAAAGTACGTTCCTGGTTTCGATAGGCAAGAGAACTCTCAACTGACATGCCTCAAGCTGCGTACTGTTGAACCCTGAATTCTCCAGCTCACCGGTCCTCAAAGAGTTCTTGTTTTCCTAATGAGGCTATCACGACCAGTCTCACTTCTTGTAATGTGTACGCGTACTCTTTGCTCAGGCGTTAAAGGCAACGAGAAGAATTCGATTGTCCCAATCCGGCTCTCAACACAGGCTAGGACGTTCTCCAACAACCATCGGCGTGCGGTGTCCGACCGCTGATCCACCATGGCGACCTTATGTTACTCAATCGTCCATTCACTGCTGTATCCCCGGAGGTGCTGCTCCTTGTTCGTCCTCACATCGTCAGCACACTATTCAATCGGGCACCCCTTGCCGCCATGGTCTCAGACAACCTCGGACCTACTTCCAGTACGCAACGCAGGCCTATTAGCTTCTTCACAAAATCATTGTCGCCTTTATAAAATAGCCTCGCGCTAGAGATGCGGCATCATGTTTAAGCCATTGATACACCGGAATCTGCTAGTATGAGCCCACTTGGCGCTTGGTATTACTTTGCTTCTGTCAAAACGCCTGCAAATCCCGTTGTTTTTGATCTGCCTCACAGCACTGACAAGGACTGCATCGCGGATTATTTGCTCTGACGTGATATTACTAGGTCTCGTGTTTCCCTCAAGGGCTTGCATATCCGAGAACAGTATATAGGAGCCTTCTCCGCAGTGACGAAACTGGTGATGCATGCTTTTTGCGCGGAACTGGCCAATTGACCTGCCCTGGTCTGCCAATCGCTATACTGATGCTTACGATGTTATGAATAGACTATCCGGGAGTGAATACCAGTTCGTGAAGTTCATGCAAGTCACCTAGACACTGTAACGATGTTGGCTAGCTCCGTGGCTCCCAAACCACAGATCGCCTTCCCTTCGCAAGGTGCGGGCCCCCTGCGAACCACGGAAGAGACGAAAGCTTCATCAACGGCCACAAGGGTGTTCAAAAGTACTGCTTCATAGAAGACCGACGCAATATCCGCGAGCAATGACCTTCCTCCCTACGGTCAATGATGTCCACCTCCTCCCGATCGTTGGTGAGGTCCTCCAGCGGGCGATTCGCTCGCCATGGTAAACGATCCGCAATCGCGACCGGCGACGACGCACAAGAAACGTCCGCAGAGCGACCAGCGAAACGCATCAAAACGTCTTACGAACCAACGCACAGCACGCTGCATGCCTACTTCACCACCAAAGAGAATCACCAGCCTCCTCTGCCGAAACCAAGTTTACCGGGCCAAAATGTGACGGCTATACGCGCCCGCGGCACTTCCGGCAGCAGCTCCTCCGCTGGCGAGAACACCCGGATCAAACCGCCCACCAGAATCACTGTCACACAACCTCATGGAGAGCTCCTACAAACAACAAACGGCGTTCGGACCTTGCTCAAAACGCGCGAAGATGACGTTTCGCCGCCTGCAACTCCGAATACTGGAAAGCTATGTGTCAACAGAAATCGCAGCAGCGCAGCAACGACAAAAGGGGAGACACCGAGTACGGACAAGCGAATGCTGAGGAGTCAAGATGGAGGGTCGAGGATCAAGAGCGACCTGGCAATATACTTTCCAAACTACGATGATGTTATCACTGGTGCGCCGCAGGAGCCTGGTATGTATACCACAAGCTCCACACCTACGGCTATACCAAGCTGACGTCCGCTCACAGAATACCTTAACATCGACACACCCATCTACGTTGTGGATGAGCCATCCAAGTCTCCCAAACCCCAGACTTCAGCCTCTATACCGCCCAAAGCACCCCTAAGTCCCGAACGACTACGCCCATCACTGCGGGCACCACCCACTCCATCAAAACCCTCTGCATCCGCGCACCCCACTTCCTTCCCTAAGCTCGACTTCTCCTCCATCAACAAGCACACCTCGCCCGTCACCTCCGACACCGACCCTCTCTCCGACGCACACTATTTTAAAGCGCATCGCCGCGCCGAGCGCAAAGAGAAACAACTGCGCAACATCGAGAAGGAGCGCGCCATGCACGAGAAAGTGCAGCTGGAACGCCTACTCGATGGACTGCTGGGCCACGACTGGCTGCGCGTGATGGGCGTCACCGGCGTCACAGATGGTGAGCGCAAGGACTGGGAGCCGAAGCGCGCTTACTTCGTCGATGAGGTGCGCGCGCTCGTTGATAAGTTCCGGCAATGGAAGGAGGAGGAGAAGCGCGTGCGGATGGAGAAGGACAGGGCAAGGGAAGAAACCGAGGATCGAGCGACTGAAGAAGCAGAAGAGGACGCCGCAAGCAACGGCCCACCCTCTAGCGATGTCGATGCCTGGGCTGCACGACAGCTGCATCAGGAAGCGGCATCTCAGCAGAGACCTTCGTCAAGACCGCAAAGGCACAGCATACAGCTGCATCCTCCCCTGCCGCCGGAACCGGAAAAGCCGTTCGCGTCTTTCTACAGCAAGCCGTATCTACGAGACGCAGCGCTGGGGAAACATAGACATGGGAGGAGTACTATGGCGTTCGGACAGCCAGTGCCGGAGCTAGCCCCCAGGCAGTTTCGCTTGCCGGAGGAGTATCTTGCGCCGGATGCGTTGAGGGCGCATGCCAGGAAGAGGAGGCGGTTGCGAAGGGAGAGCGGAAGGGACTGATTGGACGTGCTTTATCCATCTTCTGTTCGAGAGTGTACTGGCGACGTTCGCAGATTGAGGTGCTAGGACTAGTCTCAGAGTCTTAGGCGCTGTTGCGGATATAGATCCTAGAATACGCGTCTCTGTCATGCTAGGCGGCACCGAACTCCTACGACCATATTAAAGACCAAGTCACATTCGGTCCTACGATGCATCCCTCCCCCATTCGCAATAGTTGACTGTCCGCCATCAGTTCAAGCTTCTGGGCCTTGCGTGAGACAGCTGCTGACTGTGCACGTGACCGGAAGAACGTCGGGATACGGAGAAACATTTCACCCATGCTGCAACCGCCGCCAAGCAATGTCCGACGTGAGTTGCGCGCCGCGAAGTGAATGCGATGGCATATATAAAGCTGCCGCCTCCATATCTATCCACACCTTGCATATCGAAGAAGATCCGGATCCACAGGCGCCACCGAATTCGACGCGTAACCAAGTTTGACTGCCCTCCGCCCCGTCTATCTCCTCTAAGCGCGGACATTCAACCACACGGTCACCGCGCGGATTCGGACAAGCCGCTCACAGTTCGGTCGCCTCATAGACACTGGGGAGGTTCAACACCCCACAAACTTCTGAGATGGTCGTGAGAAGGACGTCGCCGCGAAGGATATTTGGGTAGAAGCAGTAGCGGCAACGGCAAGATGCCTGGCTTGGTTGAACCTCCGCCTCTACCCTCGCCCGAGATCGGATACTCGGTTGGGTCGCAGAGGGTCGAGCTCGATATCGACTTCGTAAGCCGCTCACTCAAAGGAAAGACCGAGATCTTGATCTATCCGCGGTCAAAAGCCATACGGACGATCCGCTTGAACTGCCGACAATGTACGCTCACAAGAGTCACTGTTCAAGGCAAGGCGCCGAGCCTCACGTACGACGATCCATACACTGCTCTGGATCTGCGTTCGTCGCTGGGTGTTCAGCAGCATCACATACTAAGGGAGAGGATAGAAGGCCAGCTGAGGGATCCTCCGGAAGAGGAGCTCGTAATCACAATACCGAAGTCGGTTCGCATCGATGAGTTAGATCCTATGTCAGCTGCCGGGCAGGATTTGCCTCCTGCAATGACAAGTGGAGGGTTTTCAAGAGCAGCGGTGGACAGCATATCAGCCGACCCAACTGAGACCCCGGTTGCAGCCTCGCGGCCTGCAGAGGAACACACACCCACTTTTACGCCCATCACTATACATATCGAGTACGTCATCGAAGAGTTTAGGGATGGCTTTCATTTCGTTGGATTCCAAGATGGTGACTCAAGATACCCTCACGTGTACACGCGAAGCTCTGCGCTTCCAGGTACCGCGTGTAGCATATTTCCCTGCATTGACGAGGCGTCTTCGCGACAAGAATGGGATATCTCGATCCGCTGCCCACGCACATTAGGCGATGCTCTTCCGAAGCCGAGACGTCCTTCGACGAACGGCGTTGATGGACACGAGTCGGTCAACGGAGCTCACACAAATGGCGCCACAAACGGCATCCATCGAGCTGATTCGCTGTCTGATAATGACACCTATGGGTTAAGCGAGGAAGAAAGGGCAATGGAACTAGCGGTAGTCTGCTCTGGCGACATGACAGACGACGTAGGTAGCTTATATAGATACAAGGTGCCTTTTCTGACGGTCACAGATCGTCGATCCCGCAGATTCATCTCGAAAAACTGTGTCGTTCCACTGCTCTCAACGGGTTGCGCCTCGGCATATTGGCTTCGCAATTGGTCCGTTCGAGCACGTTGATCTTTCTGAGTTCCGAGAGAGTGATGAAGATGAGAAGATGGGTCAAAGCGCCATTCGAGTACATGGCTTCTGTCTTCCTGACAGGGCGGACGAGGTCAAGAACACATGTATGACACTTGCTAAGGTAAGTGCATTGATGCTTTGCCTGGATTCTCGTTAACATGACCAGGCCATCGACTACTTCACGATGAACTATGGCTCGTACCCCTTCACGAGCTATAAGATTGTGTTCGTAGACGATCTCGTTCCAGACATTGCACATACAGCATCGTTGTCCATCTGCAGCAACCGGCTGCTCTTTCCGGAGAAGGTCTTGGATCCCCTAGACACCGTCACACAAAAGGTAGTCCATGCTCTGGCCAGCCAATGGATCGGTGTGTATGTTACAGCGGCAGATCCGACAGACTCATGGATCATCGTTGGCGGAGCACACTTCATGACCGACATGTTTCTACTATCTCTCTGCGGCAAGAATGAGATCCGGCATCGACAGAAAATGACGGCAGACAAGGTAGTCGAGATGGACGTGCAGAGGCCGTCTTTGCATGCACTCGGCCCGCTTCTATCTCTCGACTCCTCAGAGCTGGAATTCATGGAACTGAAGGCTCCCATGGTTATGTTCATCATGCATCAGCGGATGGTCAAGGCAAGCGGCAGAAACGGAGTCAACCGGATTCTCTGGAAGGTTTTGCTCAATGCCAAAGTCGACCAAGAACAGCGGACTGTCTCTACTGCAGCCTTCCTGAGGGTCTGCGAGAAGGTGGGCCACATGAGGCTGGAACACTTCTTCAGCCAGTGGGTAAACAGCGCGGGCTGCCCTCAATTCTACGTACAGCAGCGCTTCAACAAGAAGAAATTGGTGGTCGAGATGACCATCAAGCAGACACAGATGGATGATCTGGAAGGCAAGAGGACCAGAACGACGCTCACGCCGGACAACTTTCTCCAGGAAGCAAAGGAGGAGATTAACAGCGTCTACGCCGGGCCTATACAGCCGCTTTTCACCGTATGCGTTTTGATATTGTTTGGTTGGCTGCCAGCTAATCAGTCTAGGGTCCTATGACAATTCGCATTCACGAGGCTGATGGCACGCCCTACGAACATATCGTCGAGATCAAGGAGGTCATCACAAAGGTCGAGATCCCGTACAACACCAAGTACAAGCGCTTGAAGAGAAGTCGCCGGCAAAAAGAACGGGCTGCTGCGGCTACCGGATTGGATGTCACCGGCGACGCGCAAGACGACGTCCTGCTTTACTGCTTGGGCGATGTGCTGCAGTCTGAGGAAGAAGTTCAAAGCTGGAAACTCGCCGACTGGTCCAATGAAGAAGAAACGAAGATGCAGCAGGAATCATATGAATGGATCCGTATGGATGCCGACTTTGAATGGATCACGAAGGTTACGATCAATATGCCGCATTACATGTACGTCTCGCAATTGCAGCAGGACAAGGACGTGGTGGCCCAGGTTGAGGTAAGTTGTCACATTCGCTACCTACCTACACCTAAGTTGACCGCTTGTAGTCGATACGGTACCTTTCAGCTCAGAATCCGCACCCTCTAATATCGAGCATCTTGACACGGACGTTGATGGACGGACGCTACTTCCACGGCATTCGGACAGCAGCTGCGGCTGCTCTAGCTAAGAATGCGCGTGACGAGCTCGAATGGATAGGACTGTACCACTTGGAAAAGGCTTTCCAAGAGCTCTTCTGTCTACCAGGCTCCCCTATGACTAGGTCGAACGATTTCTCCGACCGTAGCTTGTATTTGCTCCAATGCGCCATCCCTCGAGCCATAGCAAAGGTCCGCGACAACAATGGGAAGGCTCCAATGCGTGTCAAGAGATTCTTCATCGACAAGCTGAAGTTTAACGACAACTCGAACAACGAGGTTGGTGATCTATGAACGTCGCGTCAGGAGTTGAGACTAACGTTTAGGAGTACTCGGACGATCATTACGTCGCTACACTCATGTACTGCCTGGCCGAATCGTTAACCACATCGAGAGAACCCGGCAGCTTTGGCTTCAGCTTTGGCGAAGATCCGGACGACTTCCAGTTCCGGAAAAGCGCAATCAACGAGATCGAGCGTTACCGGCGGATCGACGAATGGACACCCTCCTACCACAACATCTTCACGGTCACAGCGCTCGAATGTTTTAAGATATGGATCCAGAACAGTATCATTCCTCGAAAGGCGGATGATCTATTGCAATACACCCGACCGGGCAACGCGGATGAAGTCCGCATTGAGGCTTTTGATACTCTCATTGACCTTGGCATGCTCAGGAGTCAGGCCATCATGAGCTTTCTGCTTTACAACATCGAGACAGACCACTCGCCTCATATGCGCGACAACTTGCGGCGCATACTCTGGCGCGGTCTCGGCCAAATTGCGCTTGGCGAAGGGAGGTCCAGCACCAGCACTCAGCGCCATGATGTCGGTCTAGTCATCGAGCAAGACATGAGCACTGAGAATCGCGCCCAGGATCTTGCACGCACGCAGAGCGCAAAAGGAGCGATGGACGCACTAAAGGCAGAGCTCGGACAGGTCCAGTCGCTCCAGACGGCTCTGCGAAACCTCCTCACGTCCCCGCTTCTCAGCTTACAAGAATTCGCCGATGTGCTGGAGCTCTGCGGCATCCTCTATGATCCCTATTCCGCACTCGTGGTAACGCTGAAGTACCCACATTACTGGAAGTGCGAGCACCTCGGAAACGGAAAACTCAAGTTCTCCCAAACAAACCGCGTTCGGACCAAGATGATGCCAAAGATCGCTGTGCCGGAACCGGCTCCTCAGGCACCTCCTCCACTCCCGAAACTCATCATCAAGACTTCAACCACTGCACCACATGACGGCCCGCCTCCTGAAAAGCGCCGCCGCACTTCTATTGCTCCGGCGGTTGGACCGCCTACTACTCAAGGCCTTCCTAATCCTCAATCTCTACCTCCTCGACAACCGCAGCATCCCCAAGCCGTCCTCCCTCCGCCCGCCCGACCCGCCATATCACGCAAACCATCCTCCCACGCGCCAGCCATCCAAACCACGCCAGCGCCTCCAACTGTCTCCCCTCCCCGGACCCAGAGCCCAGAGATAGCCCGCTCGGCTCGACCGGGTGTCATCACACTCTCCTTCAAGAAGAACAAGAACGCCCTAGCGCGCTTTGCTGACTCGACGCCGAATGGACACACAGCGTCTCCGCCGCCCGCACCGCCCGCACCGCCCGTCTCTAGCATTCTCAAGGGCACCATTAGCAAAGGCAGCAGGAAACGCGTGAGGGAGATGTCGGAGTCGGCGTCTTCGCCGAAACCGGCCGCGCCTGCACCTGTACCGGCGCCAGCTGCTGGTAGTCCCGCGGCGGAGGCGAAGCCAGGGGGTGGGTTGAAGTTGAAGCTTAAGTTGGGGGGGCCGAAGAAGGAGAGTTGATCACAAGAGGCAGGTGAGATGCGCGTGTGTATCATACTCAAAGGCTCAGAAGGGTTGTGATTCATTACGGAGGCTTTTGCTTGTTGCTCTTTGGTGAGAAGGCATTCTCGAGGCGTTTGATTCCTGTGAACCGGAGAGGTCTTTCGGGACGGAGTCTGGGATTGTACGGCCCTTACTTCTACATGGATGAAGTTGAGAGGCATAAAGTAGTGGGGCCTTCCTTGGCCCGAAATACAGCGAGTGGGATGGGGCTTGGAATCCAAGAGGCATTCTGTTGCCAAATAGCTCAGCTTTATGCTCACACCAACCACGTGATTGTGTTGAGATCTGCAGACGAAAAGCTTATTTCAACCTTACAGTTGTTCTACGAACACTTCCGACTTCCAAATCCAGCATCTGACAGCTTTCCGCAGAACGTCGGCTAGTTACTAAAGGCGCAATTGCTAGAAGGGAGGTGTGTTTCTAGCTATCTTACAGGGATCTTATACTAGGGTTAGCCCCTATAAGCGCTGTCCTTTCCAGAAGCGGTAATATCATTTCTTCTGTAGAGCACATCTCGCTCTTCACCATTGCTGCTAGTGATGATCATCATAATCCTCTTTGCACCCCTTCGCCTCCGCAGTAGTTCTACGGACCATACCCCTTCCAGATACAGCACTGTTGGTGTTTTTCGTAGGACGTATATCACTGTCCACTTTCGGCCCGGTAAATATCCGCAGGTTTCGAAGATGAGAAGACAAGAAAATTGCTATGTCGGCCGGTACGTAGCGATCTTCCCGAACGTGTCGGCCATGCCCCATATGCCAGCCCTGAGGCAAGCCAGCTGCACTATCTGCGAGTGATCAACGAAGAGGTTGACGTCGACGCCGAACTCGCGGATATACCTGTTCGGTTATCAGTCCGCGTCACATGCCAATCAGAGACCTCAAAGAAGAGAATCTCACCAATTGAACACCGCCGGCTCCGCCGCCTCAAACATGACCTTGTCCATCGGCAGCTCCTTCAGGATCGCCTGAATCACGTCCGTCCGCCATTCCTTCACGTTCTCCGTGATCCCCTCGCTCTCGATCATCATCCTCTCCACGCCTGCATCCACGAACTGCTTGGCGAGATTAATGACCCTGCTCGGATCGCTCGTCCCCATGCTCTCCAGATCCCCCGCTGCCGTGTCCCCACCAGCTCCGAATTGTATCCCAATCTCGGGCTTCGCTTTCAGCCCGAAAGAGTGAACCCGATCCACGAGCCGCAGCCAGTCCGGCGCCGGCAAAGAGAGGAAACCGGTCGAGAGCTCCACGACGTCGAAGCCGATGTCCTTGCACTTCTGGAGGTAGCGATCCACCGTCCCTGAAACATCGCCGCCAGCCCCGGTGAGGACGTGTTCGATCCAGCCGCCCGTGGAGACGTAGACGCCGTGCTCATGAGCCAGGTCGATCAGCTCGCGCAGCCGGTCTTCCTGGAACAGACTGAAGGAGCCCCCGGCGAACTTCAGCCCGTCGACGTGCGGTCCCATCGTCTCGAGCACGTCGGACAGGTACCGCTTTCCCATTACTGAGTAGTAGGGTCCGCGGATCTCGGTCACGCCGGTTTTGCGCGGCTTCGGGGGGAGCGGGTTGTGCCGGATGAAGCCGAAGCCGTTATCTGGGTCCTCGAGGAGAATGTTGGGGACTTGAGAGGCGGGCATGGGAGCGGGTGAGCAGGGGAGGAAGGAGACGGGGGCGGTGGTGGATATGGCGCGGGTTATGGTGGGAGAAAGGCGTGAGACACGCCGTGGGAGGGGGGAACGGAGGAGAGGTTTGAGAGCCTGAGAGCGGGAGAGAGACATTGTGAATGATTGGAGAAGTAGTGAGTATATCTACTCGATGTACTTTTCCGTCGTACAGAAAGCGGTCTATGGCGGAGAGCTCGGAGCTGCTCACGGCTGACGTCAACTGGACATCAGTCGTGCGGACTCGGGAGATTCGGAGAAGAGACAGGACAAGCTCTATTTGCTGGCACCAACATTGTCCTGCATAGACCTCAAGCCGTAGCTTCTTCCTGCTGCGGTCAGCAGAATTGAGCAAGCCAATGTGGTTGAGAAGCGTTCTCAGTTAGCTGTAGCTACAGCAGACGCGGTAAAACACCGGAGACGCGTCCACCGAACTGCTTCACGCGTGGCAATGTCATATGTAGCTCACAACCACATCAACATTCCGAAACTGGTACCCAACCCCCAAGGAAGCGGATTCTCAAGAGTGAACTTGTCAAAATGTATGGCTAAGAGCTTCATTGATTCATCTATGGACTGTGGGAGAGGCTGGCTATATACTCTATGCCAA